ACATACCATATTTTCGCTCGACGTAAAAGACGATTTTCGTTGCTACCTGCTCTCTAAACCGAGTCGGAAGAATTAAACAATACGCGAGAACTGAGACTTTGGCCCAGTTCTCGTTGATGTGTCCAGAGTGATGATTATTTTCAAACACACTTTGTTTTGTCGAGTTCTTACGTTGCCATTACCCCCGTGGAGACAAATGCAGAGTTCTGACCCAGCGTCTACAATAGTTGGACCAAGGCCAAAAAGAAGAATTGTGAGGGTCTCAGTGCGAAATCTTGGCCCAGTACCTATAACATTTGAATGAAGAAGCAGGTGGAGGTCGACGTTAAATTCTGGCCCATTGTTTACAAGTATTGCAACAAGAAGCGTCAGGCCGACAATGCATAGGATGTGAATATGTCTATAATGGGCCATCAAGGCTAACGCTTCCAACAACAAATTCCCAAAACCAGTGGTGAATAAAACCCTCACCAATGCAGGGTATGGGATGTGAATGAACTGCAAACTCGATGTTGCACTGAAGCATTTCTCCCCTGAGTGAGATGTGATTGTTCGTGATTCGATTGATACATAGCCCTATGTGTAAATCCTCGACCAGCTTTGGGAACTTATAATTTGAAGTTTCTGACTGAATTCATTTGAGAAAGAGCGCCTTACAAGCGGTGATTGTTGCCGGTTTCGTTTTGCTTACCGTTACATCCAGAATAGCAGTGGAGATAGCCACCTGGTGTTGCATCGTCTTCCCCTATTGTTTGCTCATTATCCTGCTAATTGCTGTTTCGACGTCCGCGGTGGATATCCTGTCTCAGTTAGAGTAGTCATGGCCATTATTATTACTTCACAGGGCGAACGCTCTCGAAGTTGAACCGCGCTTGCCTTCAAGTTTCTGCCGATTCTCAGTTTCAATAATCCATAGTGCTGCGTTCTTGCCCTTTACTTTGCTATCATTTCCTGTTATTTGTTCTTAAACGACAGACTGAATGGTCTTACAACATGGTCTGTGGATGGTTTGAGCTGCTTTTGTCACTAGATGCGATAAACCCCGTCGCGGAACATGTCATACCCCCCATCATGAACATCAACTCAATAGTATTCCATATAATAATGATAGATATAGTTTGCTGTATTATTATCACATCGAGTCTTTGAGACATGGGGCAATTGGACATTGAACCAGTTGCATGGTATTAAACAGGCGGGGATCCTCCGCTGGGAAAACACTCATCCAACTCAGCCTGGCTCGAACGTAAGTTGAAGTTGACATGGTGCCTTATTATGGTTTCATAAAGAACCGCAGGTGAGTGAGCTACATGTTGTCAACCGCTGCTAACAGCAAATCCAACGGGTAGCTTGTCTATGGCGTTGTCGTATCCACACGAGATGGTTCATCCAGCACGAGCAACAACTTGAACATTAGTAGGGCATCAGAGCGCGAAGGAAGGCGTGTCTCTTTCGGTGGTTCGGGAATTTTGCGCCACATGGACCCAGTCTGCTAATATGCATCACCAGGACATACGAGTGAACGCCACGTCAATTTGTTTGACTCAGGTCTGTCATGATTCCCAGATGCCCTACTTCACGGCTATTATAGATCCGACATTTTGTTGTCGTTGATGGAGTGTGCTATTGAAAGATTGCTCGGCAAATGCCAGCAACCCTCCTGCCGGACCCCTGTGGTACATATCCGACGGTACGCCAGGGGCGATAGGACATCACAAGACATGTTCGAGCGATCACCTGCGCCCATTCGGAACAGGTGCTTCGGCAATCTGATATGAACGGCGTATCACGCTCACTCACTGCGTGGCAGAACTGTTGCGATACTGGTGCTATTGTTGAGTATCCAGTGAGACGTGTCGCCTGACTTCGAAAGACTAAGGCGATTGTCGTGAGAAGCGTTCAACTTGGGCACGGATATCTTACAAATACACCATGCGTACTGGGCCTTAGCCTTGGCCCCCGGTATATTGTAAACGACACCTAACACCACCGAGTGGCGACGTCACGAGAATGATTGCCCAAAATCATGGCCATAGAGACGATACGCTGACTCAGCAATCGCGACGATAGGTGCGCCGAAGACTTCCACGCTATTCACAGGGCTGATGGATCAGATTCTCAAGTCAATCGGCAAGACAGACTGCGTTCGGTTGTGCCGTTTGACGGCGGCCGCGTCAGCTCTCGCTGCCAAAATCCACAGCAACTTTTCATAGCCCATTGTTCAAGTAACGATGGCTTCAGAAAATGACACGTCTTGACTCAGTGGTCGAGTGGATTTGTAGTGGTGCGCTGAAGCTCCTTCATATTAAGCCAAATGGCCATGAGCGCGTCTGCACAGGAGGTTTGGTCAGTTATGGAAAGAAGTTGGAAGAGGAAGACAACGCAGTCGCACAGGTCAATTATTCATCGTCAATCGAAATCCCATCGTCCCGGCACTGGCGATGGCATCGCAACGGCCGATCTCTATCGCGCATTTGAGTGCTGTGCGCTCTTGGCTTTCGGACTACCAGATACACAATCACGGCGTTATCGTCACCAGAGCAAACGCGACAGAGGCGCGGGTTCTCCCGCTATGATCTGACGCCGGTGGGGTTTGTGTCACCTTGCCGCCGACAGCCGTTGCAAGGTTCAACGGCGGCCCGCTGGAATGTGGAGACGACGACGTTAATGCCAACGACATGTCGTCGAGTTGTGTGTTAGTGCTAAGCGACAGCAACAGCAATGGCAACCATACCGCACAAGATTGATTAAAAGTATCACTATTACAACGTGAGTGAGTTTTGTATGTATCAAGGGAATGATCATGTGATTTTTTCCCATTTACGGCCTATTCGACTGGTCTCTGAGACGTACATTACTATCATATCGCTAACACCATTCAAAGGTCACTTTTGCTTAGAAATACGCCAGTGATGAGGCGCTGCTCTTGATGCGATGACTTAAATCGATATGCGAGTCAGCTTCTGCAAGCAATGTATGACTGATTAATTCTATGCATCGCACTTCCTTTTCAACAGACACGGTCAATGCATCATGCGCACTTGGGCACCTTGTTGCTACATATGGCATACAACCATGCAGTAGAACTGGGAGAATATCTATCAACGAGGGAATATTTGAGTACTTAATGTGGAGCTTAGGATGAATGTCACAGTGTTTAGTCAGTTGTGCGCTATTTCGTGTATTGAAAATTGTCTGGCAGTCAAATTCATTCCATCGCGACGGATCACCTTGATGAAGTTAATACAACACAGATGGTGGAGTCATAATCACATAATCAAATGTACGAAGTTGGAACATTCATGGTTGGATGATGCCGCATATCAAGACTCTGCCGGCTTGATTGCAAAAACCAAGGCAAGCTGTTGCCCTTGTTATTTTGGCTTAACCAACCGTCATTTTCGACCAAGTCGACAGCAGATTGTGCACCTTTTCCTTTTCCCAATCAAATCAGCAGCAGAATCTAGCGCTCTGATTTCCATTGAATTCGATTGAGAACTTGGACGTCCAAAACTCAGAGGCTGGTTGGCGGCGAATGAGCCAATGATCTGCTGTGATTGGGGGATTTTGGGAAGACAACACTGTAGAATCACTACAGATTAGCGAAGAGGAGGTTGGTGAACCTGTGACAACCAATGACAGTCTGCGTCTGGCGAAACAACGCATTGGATTCTGCTTAGTGCAGCATGAATAATTCTAATCAGTAACTCGGCAGAACCAACCCTGAGGGCCATAAATATCTGAGGTTCTCCCAGGTTTTTCCTTCCTTTCCTTCTTTCTTTTCCCACGCTCTCAATATTCTTTTTGCCAGTCATACGACCAGCTTCACTTTGAGAGCAACACACTTCGCAACACCGGCATTTTTCAACAAGCAATCATCTGCACTAACCGCTTTTTAACGACCAGATTCGGCATCACTCGTCATCAGGTAAGTCTCATGTTCCATCCCATCACAACACCTTTCCCATCGATCAACTGCGCATTGCAGCATTTGCTTGCGTAGCTTGATTTTCATCACAATCCTTACCATAGTTCCATCACACCATCATCACTGCGGCACAGTCGAACGCCTTACATCAAAGTGAGCTTCTCTGTGTTGCTTGTCATCACCACCAATGGTGTGCACGCGCTTCTTGTCGCTTATGACTCCTTCATGATTATCTTCTGGTAATTTTGAGCTCGCAAGAAGCATCACAACCATTTCCCCCGCCTTCATTTCTTTGATCTGAAGGCTTTCGACTTTTCGTCAGCTTCATTTTCTGGCACAGCTACCCCTCCCCCACCACCATCACCATGCCAATATCAAAGCTTGGCACCCACCCGACTATTTCCACAACCATATCAGTTGCTGCCTTCAATTCAACATGCCAAGATTCTTTGGACTTCACTGACATTTTTCGTCTTCAAGCAGCTTTCAGAACCTTCAGCTTCTTGTAATCATCATTCTTCACACATCGTTACGACTTCGGCCATCATCGCAATTTGTTTGACTTTGGTAATTTTACCTTGGTCATTTCCCGCAACAGCTTACTCCATCACTTTTCAATTTCAATCACCATCATCAAACATCTCTTTGAGCGAATTCCGCCTTTAGGTTTACCTCATTCTTCCATCAAGAACTTCCACTACAGGTCGTCCTTGCTTTCAATCAGCTGTCCCGACTACAAGTCGTTTCCAAGTCAAGAGCTTCCGCCCATAGGTCGTTTCTGGTAAGTTTTCTGTTCTCTTCTCAATTGAAAAGCTCTAATTTTTTTTCTGCAGCACTCTTCATCCAAGTGACTCGCGCCTACCGCGTGCCTTCTACTCAGAACTTCCGCCTCAGGGTTGTTCTTCGTTACATACTCCCAACTACAGGTAATCTATCATCAATCATTCAACAAGCTCCAGCGTTGTAAGCTGGTTCATCACAGTAAGTACCATCTGATCACGAAATCAAGCTGCCACACGCTGACATTAGGTCAGACAGTTCATTCCCCTGGTCGTCAGCTCAAGCTAGCAAGATGTCTATGCAACTTCCACGCACCACTTACATCCCTCCCCAGACCAGAGCTCGCGTGGTCTCTCGCAACGTTGTTCGCAACGGAGTTGCCCGTGTAGTCTCTGGCCCCATCCCTGCCCCTGTCACCATCGGTGAGCTTCAAGCAAGCGCCATTCCCCGAAGCCGCAACGTCTCTGCTGGTTCGGTGGCTTCACTCCTGATTTCTACTCCTTCCATCAACGACTCTGCAACCTCCGCTTTGTCTGGTTCCTCCAATGACAGTGAAGTCGATCAGTCCAGCCGTTCCTCTACTGCTCCTTCTGTTCAGCCTACTGTCAGTCGTGATGCCGATCAGCCGCAGACTCCTACACACTCTTCCACTCGTCATGCTACTTTCGAAGATACTGAAGATGTCGAAGTACGTCTTCGACCAGGTCTGATTCAAGATCCGTCTCCTCGTGTCAGTGTTTTGACTGCAGTCAACTCTCCTCTTCGTCTCAGCAACGGCACAGCAGTCAATCCTCAAAAGCTGCTTCCAATGGCTGAAGAGCTTGAGACAGCCCGCCTCGGAGGTCGCTTTCCTGTCACTACAGCTCCTTACATGGATGCCCAGGCAGTCATGGACGACTTTGACCAACTTCAGCTTCTAGTCGAGCTTGAGCATGGTTCACGGGAGTATACAGAGCTCTACGTCGAGAATGTCCGCCGCATCCGCGAGAGGGACTCGGTAGTTCATCACGAGAACCATGACGCTCACATGCGACACACCATTGATAACTTGATGAGAAATCAGGATGTCGGTGAAGATCTCCATGCCATCATTCGTCAGGCAGCTAGGAACGCTAGTGCGAATGCTGTCCGCCAAGTTCTTGCCGAAAACAATGGCCAGTCTCTTCATCAGAACGTTGTTCGTGAGGTCTCCCAGGCTGTCATCCGAGCAATGGCCGAGCATGGTCTTGTTGGTGGTCAGGCTGTTGACAATGTTGATGACATCTTGGAGGAGATGTTTGGTGTTGTCGAGGCTAGAATCCTTGATGCTACCGGTCCTCTTAGACTCAATGTCAACAACCTTCGCAACCTCAACCAAGCTCACGAGGCTGCTATTGGTGATCAGATCAACCGCATCGACCAAGGTCTTGGTGATCAGATCAACCGCATCGACCAAGGTCTTGGAAACCACCTCAACCGCATCGACCAAGGTCTTGGAAACCACCTCAACAACCTCAACACCCAAGTCGGCGCCATGAACAACCACGTCAGTGCTGTTGGCAATCATGTCAATGCTCTTGGTGCTTTTATACATGCAATCAATAACACGGTGTCCCTTACCAACAACCAAATGGGCCAGTTCGGCAACGAGATCAACAGTCTCCAGCAAATTGCCAATATGCTCCCTACATTGGTTCAACAGGTGGTTCAACAGGTGGTCCAGCAATCCGTTCAGCAAATTCTCCCTGGTGCCGTCCAGACAGCTCTTGTTCAGGCTATCTCTGGTGCTGCTCATGCTACCAATAGCAAAGGCTCAGACATCACTGCTACGGAAGTCGCTGCTGCCATGAACGAGGAGACTGTCCATACCAACAAGGCAAAGAAGAACAAGAAGCGTGGTTTCTGGGCACGACTCTTCAAGGGCTGCAAGAAAGATGACCGTAATAGTGGCGCGCCTCCTGGTATGGCTTGCTAAGTTTTCCACTATAAAAGACCCTTCCACGCCTCCGCCAATACTGCACAGTCTGCGACAGCCGACCGGCACTTCCACAAACTAACTTTACCGCGAGAATTTCATTTCTAACATCATTCTTTTTCGACACTCAGTCCTCTTTGTACAATATTTCAACTGCATCTTTGAGGCTTCGGTATACCATTTTACACTGCATCATACTTTCTCGGCAGTCAGCGTCTTGTCTCTTTGACAACGCTACATGCCGTCTTAATCACTAATTCCCTTGGTCACTATTAGATAATTGCGACGAACCTTCGTCATTGAAATATGATCCTTGGTTCACAACTAACCTTGCTGAAGCTTCTTGGATTCCCTTGATTCTTCGCTTGGAAACACTTTTGCAAGATGCTCGCACTATGGTCAACTTGAAGTATCTTCGTTGACTCGCCTGGCCTCGGAGCACATCCGCAGCTCGGTCATTGCTGAAGTATGTAGCATCTTGCTGCCGGTCTTCGCTGGAAACTTCCCTTCGTTCTGCTCAAGTATTGGAGAATCGTTCTCGTCTCTGCGGTTCGATCTTCATCATACTTTTTATTCAAACATTCTTTTTGCTCAGCTCCTTTGGCGTGTCTGCAGACTCGTGGCATCAACAGCACTTTCACAACATTGCAACGCACGTCAAAGATGAGTTCTGGGCACATCAGACGCTTTCTCTTCATAACTTGGCGTCCATGACAGCAACGCGAGCTGCACCAGCTTGCTGGTGCTTATTGGTTCGCATTTTCAACACCATTTTCCCTTTCCAAAGACTGACGACACTGACGAGACGGTGATCAGCATCATCTGAGATGGAATGATATGGCAAGACATGTCATGAGGAAGGTTATGAGAACATGATCAGATACCCCTGTACAAACACTGCATTTCCAACGACACTCTCGTATAGATAGACAATTGAAGAACTTCAAACTTTCGAAATTTTCACAAATTGTTCCTGTGATTGTTAAATGTAAATTATTGGCGTTCGCCATTCTTATTAACAGATCCATAGAGATCTAGGAAGAGATTTCCAACGGATCTTACGATTCTATCTGGAGGCTTTTCTAGAAAAGATTCTTCATGCTTCATCATTAGCTGATAGAAGACCCTGTCTAACCATAATGAGAATACGATCGCTATGTTTGTCTTCTGGGATTTACATACAAGGGGTTGAAGCATCATTCAGCTTGAGTAGAATTCAGCTTGCTACCAATAACACCGTACGATGCAAGAATATGACCTATCAAACATCACAAGCTGCCAAAAAGGATTGAATCCACCTCGAGAGATCCTGCAAGTTCTCATGATCATGTTGAGGACCAGACAGCCAAGAATTTAAACGTTACCATCAGATTGCAAAGTGAGACTTGGAGATGTACGAATGGGCCAATGATTACCTAGTGTTTACGGTAGGCAAATCACAGGGCCACCAAGGGTCCTCATGTTGCCTTCGGGAAATATACATGTTCGCCCCATCTTCTGTCAGACGCAGTCGGTTTTCTTAGATGGATGGATATAGAACAAGCTCTTGGTATCATACCAATGGTGCAGCTTTAGTGATAGCCCGATAGGCAGAGGATCGGAAACTTTACCAAGGAGAGGTTTGAGCGAAGTGGCTGGGTCGACAAGCACTAGTTCAATACTACAGCTCGCCTGGAAATGAACAGACAGTGTAGATATAAGACAGTGTCATACCGCTAGACTACTCAGTAGATAACCACTATCTCTCAGTGTCTTTGCATAGGTCAATTATATCATCCCCTCCTGACTCGATCAGTCCTGTGTGACCCTCGAGCTTTTTTTTGTTCAAGAAGCTGGAAACTCTTAAACCGACTGAACCCTGCCATGGAAAGATCATGATCCTCTGGCTTCACCCGATTCATATCATACAACATGTAACAGGGAACGATATTTGAGGGGGGTGATTCTGAATCAGTCAGCAACATCAGTAGAGTAACTGGCTATTGGATGTCTTCACGAGTGATATATACGCAAGGCGACGTGCCGATATTTTGGTGGACTATGAAGATTGGGCCATAGTTTGGGACAAATGGCCAGCTATACAGTATCTGTACATGGAAGTGGCTTGAAAATGTTTTGGAAAACAAAGGGTTGTTGAGATCATTAGATCAGAATGATTGTCTTGGGAGAATCTTTAGGTCATATTGTGCGAAGGATCTTCTGGGAGGGGGTTTATGGCTTCCTCGATCGCGTGGAGTCCTTTTTCCATTAATGTGTTCCGCTTTTGCGTCGAGGCCCTTCCTCCATCTGTCACAAGAGAACAAGGAGCCAACAAGGCACCTGCTCAAGTATTGAGTCTGACCATATTGGGCGGGATTCAGCAGCTTGGCAGGTGCTCCTCTTTTGCATTATTCCTCTCTGTATGGTTCTTGGAAATTCGCATCAAACTGCCCTACTTCGTGAATAGAAATAGAACGTCAGGTTTAAGAGTTGTAGTATAAGCCGCGGGAGCTGTTTGGGGAAAGGATTGTGCCTGGTGAGAAGCAACGACCCAACCAGTGCTTCAGGCACAATGGTCTTCAGTATTTGGAATATGCTCACGTGCTCAGAGTATATCTGATTAACTTGTCGCCATGATCATCCGGTGGAATGTATATCATCTACTTGGGTGTAGAGCGAGGCAACATGTCGGAGACTGTTTAGAGAAACATTACTGCGATGAGGAATCAGCAGAGAATGAGGACGGCTACTATGTATAAATCTAGCGGCTATTTACTTGGACATCAAGACGCCAGAGGTTCTCCAACGCGCAGATAACCGATTCTTTACTTCTCCGCGTGAAAAATGCATCGCCTGGGCAGCGGCGACGTGGAACAATTCTGTTGCTCATATACTCTAAGACGGTATTCCAGGACAGTAAGCTCTAGATACGAAGCAATCACACTAGGTACTTTCTCTATGTTTGGCATGGACCATTGTCCGAGAACTCAGACATCAGAAACGGCACAGGAGACGGGCAGGTGAGGCAGAGGAAATACTGCTAGCCACTTATAAAATCCGTGGTTAGGTCATGATCGTAAGTTTGAAGCGGCTGACTCCCTAAATGGCAGCATTGCATGGCACTGCCAAAATACTTGGACGAGCTGGGGCTCGATGATTGATAGCTTATGTGAGAATTGTTGATCATTATTGATACACTTGCTGGGAAATCTCGTATTACTATGATAGAACAGCCGCAATTCCTTGACTGACATGTTCCATCGCCTATGAAACTGTCTCCCTTCCTAGACTCCTTGTAGCTTTCGTTCTCCTCCCTTTCCACCACGACAACTAGGCTTGGTGGTAATTGACAAAAGAGGTAAAGCACCGGTACCTGTGATAATCTAGCGGATACAAGAGACGGATGTGTCGCCAGTCTTGGCCTCACCAGCGACAAAGTTACTGGTCGCCTCGCTCAATGCCATAGCGCCAAGGACGTCCGTTGTAGGCTGGTTCTTCTGAGGACCAGGGACTTAGGGCAGTACGTTGTATTTTCTGGCATTAATGGGCACTGATTTTAGGCTAGGTATACAAGTAATCTAGGTGAAGAACAAAAAACTTGCTCTTAGTGCCGTCCTCGGCCATCTGTTGAGGTCTGCTCCTTCGTAAGACATGGTATATGATATGCTGAGATTTGCGCGGCTATAGATTTGGTGTACGGGTGCTACGTACAGTGAAGTCGAATTTCTTTCGGAACTATTGTCAATCTGAACACTCAAAGAAAGCTTGCGATATCATACATGATAGCTCCTCAGCGCCGATTGGTGGGTGGTACCATGATTTCGAAATGGTGGGGTGTCCGCATGTAAATGCCGTGTGTTGCTGCATAAGAAATTCATCAGATTCAAAGGATCGATGAATGCTACCAAGGTTCATTTTTCAAAGACATAATTGACGTTGTCAGCAGCATAGTGTCTCCAATTGATGTGAGTACCTTCGAATATTTTGTATTTGGCGCTAGCTGCCGGTAGGACGCGGACCGATCATGCAGCACCTGCAACAGCTACATGGACCACTATGTATGGTGAGCGTTTGACCCGGCACGGTTTGAATTAGCATGCGATACCCGTCTGTCTGATGGACTTGATAATCCAGTCTACTAAAACACACACGATTACAAGTAATTCGCATTTGGGACGAAGGAAGTATTATTGATGGGCGGTAGGATCTTAAGTGCCAAACCGGACAGACAACTCCAAGTGCAAGTCTCTGTGTACAAGAAAGGAACCACGAGTGTGGGCCTTAAACTCTGCTTTGCCAACCAGAGGTTATTCATAGCATCCCCCAAAGACGAACTAAAGCATCGACTGCGCCAAAAAGTTAGCTTAAGTTCGATGGTTGATCATAAGTGAAAACTTACACAATTCATTTGCCCTTTCCTTACAATCCCTTATCCGTAGATTCTTCCATGTGGTGACCTTCAGATTGTCGAGCCATCATGTGTTGACCATGCCAGAAGAAACCAGGGGTATTGTGATTGTGCCCGAAAGGTGATGGTGTAAAACCATAAGGTAGAACATTTCCAGAACTGGGTCTAGAAACCGCCGGCATCGTCATCATTGGTGACATGGGTGGAGCCGTCTGTAATGGATATCCCATGTTAGCAGCATAGTCGAAAGAGTGAAAGCCAGGAATGTGTTGAGCCGACATATGCGTGTGGTGGTGGTGATGATGATTATCACCGCCATAGACTGAAAGGCTGCCATCGGACTTCTTCTCTGTCGCGGAGATCACAAGAACTTCATCGTCATCGTCCTGGCTGACCCGCTCCAGCGCCTCGTGGGGAGTCGGGAGGGTCGAAGCGGGTGCGGCCATGACTGCGACACCACCATTGCTCTGTTCGATCTTCACGTTGATGGCATCTTCAAATTTGATTTCAGATTTGACTTCACCTTTGATCGGCTCATCCTCGTCGGGAGCGTTCTCGTCGACCTCCTTGAGTTTGCGCTTCTTGGAGGCGGGCTTGCTGCTGTCTCCGCCCTTCTCCTTCTTGACAGGGGACTTTTTGGGGGCGCTGGAACCGGAGTTGCCGTTGGTGCCAATGCCATGAGCCTTCATGAGGCGTTCATAGCGCTTGGCGCTGTCCGGAAGGTCTAGTCAGCGATATGGCGCGAGTGTCACAATGGAGACTATTGACTTACGCAGCGCCCTTAGAAACGATTTCAAGCTGTTTAGCAACAGCTGCAAAGTCGACCTTCAACAGATTAACAATGAAAAACACGTGACAAGTGTGAAGGTGAGGTAATTGGTGTTTTGAGCTGATGGTCATCTCGTTGAGAACCAAAGATATTGCCCAATTGGCTGGTACGGATGAATAGAAGGACCCACCTTGCCGTTGTTGGAGTTCTTGATGCAAGTGATCAAGAACAGAAACTGCGAACTATCGTCCTTTCCAGACATGATGAATGCTGTTTGTGTCGTGATGCGGAAGGGTGGCTTTGAAATAGGTAATTGAAGACTCAAGTCGTATTGCAAAAATGGCTTGACGTTTTAGCGAAGGCGACTGCTGTCTCCAATTGTATGATGGGGAGTCGGATGTTTGTTGTGGATGACTGGAATTCGAAATTCGGTTGTGGGTGCAGTAACTTTCGAGACTGACCGATGTATTGAGTCCAGAGTGAGTGAGGTGGGTTGTAGTTTTGGCGGTTTGGATTTTGGCTGGTTTTGCGGACCAGTTACTGGGCCAGTATGCACGGATGGACTACTGGGATCGAGATGTCACCAGTATTCCAGAATGGGGGAAATTTGGGGATCTACGACAAGAATCGTCTATTTGTGGTCAAGCTCTGGTAGGTTCTTTCTCTAATGAAAAAGAGGAAAGTCCAACTCATGTCGAGCTGTCCTTCAATAGAAAGTGTTTGGTCCTTTAAATCACTTTTGTTGTATCCTGCACATATCTCTGGACTGATCCTAACTTTGTCTGCAAAACGGAGGCTCAGTACTCAACTTTTGGCTGTGTAGGGTTGAGTAAACATGTCGCAAATGATGACACACTTTAGACTTTGGCTGGACTACATATATGACTGCTTAATACCTACGCCAAATACCACTTTATCTTTCTCTTGTCCTTGAAAGCCTCACATCCAGTGGATATAAAAGGTCTCTTTCAGAATTTTTTTTTCCCCAAACAGTTGCTCACAACCGTACATTATAGCTGAAAGAAAAACACAAGGGGTTGATTCCATTAGCCATGGTTTGATGTTAAGTAGCTATTGTAGGAACAAATTGGAACATGACAAGTAGAGATCTTTGAATCTGTCTTAATTCATGGAAAGACCTTTCAGTCAACTGAAGGTGACTAAAAGGTGAACTAACACCTTATACTGTTCAGACCAAATGACCTACGGACTTCCTGAACCTGGATGTGTGAGTTTCTCTTTTCCATTTCTCTATACATCATACCACATTATGCGGCGATTCCCATATTGAACCGCCAAGCAAAGCTCTTGCACATAATTGTCACACTTTGTACGATATATCGCGGAGTTCTCTAATCTCGAGTGTTACGCCCTGCTCTTTCTGCACAGAACCAGGATAACCATGAGGGACCACCGAGCGCTCTAAGCTCTTACTATACATGACATGACATTCCGCAAGAAATCGTCATGATTTTTATCTCGACTTGTTATGTCAAGCTCCTCCCCCCTTACTGAAACTGGTTATTCGATATTGCTTGGATTATTCGGATAACCCGTTGCTTGAACTTGGACACCCAAAACTCCTACAAGTCTTCCCAAAAGCAAACGCACAGGCTACATCACACCATACCACACCACACCACAGCACTCAAGCACTCACATCTAACCGCATTCACGACTCATTCTTATCTCAACATGGCCAGCCCTACTACAGTTTCCAAGCAATCCGGCGATCTGGAGGCGAAGTTTTTTGCCGCCATGATCAAGAATATGAAGAACAAGCCCGAGATTGATTGGAATGGCGTCGCCGATGAGCTGGGCTACGCCAATGCCAACACCGCCAAGGTAGGTAGCCTCAACCGGCGACCGTGCGGCTTCTCATCTGATATCATCACAGGTTCGCTTTGGGCAGATCAAGAAGAAGCTTGGTCTTAACTTCGGGAATACGCCGAGCTCCGAGGGATCTAGGGCCGTCAAGCGTCCTGCCACGAAGGCCCTGTCTTCCAAGGCAAAGCGTCCCAAGAAGGCATCTGCTGACAAGGCCTCTGCCGACGAGGCTCACGATGACCAAGATGTCGATTCAGTGGTTCCCGATACCCTAACTACCGCCAACGCTGGTAGTATGGAGTTTGAGACGACTTACGGCGCTGGAGACATCTAAGTCCCACTGCAAGGGCAGAATGCATGGATTTGTTTTCACGTGACACAGGCACGTCAGGCTGCGGAATCTCTGCTACTGCTGATATGGAACTTTGGCATTGCAATGGATTGGATTCGATGGACTTTGACGTGAGGGTCATGGCAGTAGATGGCCTGGAGGCATCATCAAGCCTTTAGAGCAGAAAGAGCTACAAGCAACAGTAAACAATGAATGAACTATAAGATCCCATATTCCCGCGCTCTTGCTCGCAATAGTGCTGCTTTCCAGCTAGCGACTGCAAAAGTGCTGACCATGCAGAGGCAAGAATCATAGAGGTATTTCAAATCAGTACTACGATTGAATGTCACGTGGTATTGTTACCTAAGCCAGGTACACTTAACATACCCCAAACTCCACGCAACCCAGTGAATCATGCCGAATAGTAATGTACATATCTCATTCAAAAGTACTTCCCCTAACGGCGACTGTTGAAATGTGATAAAGCAATGCAAGTGAGAGCGTCTCAGAAGTAGAAAGTGTGAAACACCCAAACTGATGAGGAACATGATACGTGATTCTCAGCAGCCTATGCTTCGCCAAAGTATCTAATGGCTCGGTTAGTATGAGAAAGTGGCTCGGTTGCAATTGGGTGTTTTTGACTTACCCATGATCTAGTTCATGATCCACCAAGACATCAACATTGTTATCGTCCAGGGCTAACCCAGCTGGATCATCCAAATGGTCTGATGGATCATCCAGTCTTGGGCGTTTAGCCGGCTGTTCATCTAGATCATCTTCACCAGTAACCAACTCTAGAGACGTTGGTTCTTGCGCAGGAATCGTCAAAGGAAGCGGCAGGTCGTCGGCGATTGCATCATCTACAGGTGGGGCAGCATCAGGCGGAGGCGGAGGCGGAGGCGGAAGCGGCAGCTGCTGCTGTTGTACCTCTTCTTCATAAGGGACCCCAGCAACTCCTGTTAACGCGGCACCATCCTGACCAGGATTCTCAACAGGAGTAAGCGGTTGCTTTCTGGGCCGACCGCGTCCTGGTCCCGGCCGACGGGTGATGGGATTGAGAGTCGGGTCGTTCTTTCTCGGGCTCTCCGCGACGGTACCGTTGGTCTCTGCTTTGTTCTGAGCCCTTCGGAGACCTTGAAAGTGTTGCCTGTATGTCGATCAGTTCTCATTTTCGATAACCCACGTGGTTGCAGGTGCAAAGCTTGTAAACCGCTCTTGATTGTAATGTGGTTCCCAGGCATGAGGTATGGCTGTTTCCGGCATAGCCGACCCATTATATAGTGAGAAAAGGGTAAGGACGGTATATGATTTAGGTTTGAACAACTCGTCTCAAATACTCCTAAACTGTGAGGGCAATGCGCTGAAGCAGTAATAATTCGAGATGGGAATAATACCCGAGCGATATGCGCTACCTGGAGACGAGCAAAGCTTGGAATGATCACGGGAAGTACGTACCGGCAACCTTCATTTGTAAAGCCGTATCCCATGCTGCGCATATGGTTACCGATGGCGGTCCATTCTGCTCCGCTAATGACACCAATGTTCTTGACGGAAAGAATGGTAAAGAACAAGTCCTTGTCGGCCCGGTCACCCCAATTCTTGTTCATCTTGACTTTTTGCCGTCCTGCCTCAACCTCACTTTGGGACTAAATAACGAAGTGGAACTTGTGGATTGAGAAAATTGTTAAGAGACAGAGGCTCTGACTGGACTGAGAGTTTGACTTGATGGCCGGAATTTGGAGAACAGCTTGGCTCGAGTCCGTTATGGGGGGCCCATGCGCTCTTGGCTCTGCTGCAAGTGCTACAAGTTAGGTCGCAGCTCCAAGTAGGCTTAGTCTCACGCAAGGCGGGTCTTTCTTTTATTGGCGTATGCAGGTGCTGACGAATGAAAAGCGGCTTCACAGTGCCATGCCGGTGCGCTATCGACGAAGAAGCAAAGTCATCCCGAGGTCCTGCTCAATCTTATTCTTGTGGAGACCAATTAAAATGAGATCACGTGGGTTGGTGTCAAACCGCGCAATGCGTGAGGCGGCAGATGCGACCTGGACGCGACTTGCCAACCACTTTGATTTTTTTTGTTCTGTTCCCGGGCGAAAGTCTCACGGCATATTCGTATGGGCGGACTGCTTTCTTCTCCTTCAGTCTGTGAGGCATCTGTTAGCATATGATATGTCATTCTCTCGTGTTTTCCCTCGCTTGTCTCTACCCGACCCGCCTGTCGGCAGCCACTGTCATTAAGTGATGTTCCCATATGATAGGTTATCTCCGTCATCAAGTTGCAAACTGCCGTTGTCATCACTCACAGGAGAACGGTTCAGCTCTCATCTGCAGTAGCATGCCATAAGTGCTACGCCCAAGTAAACTTTTTCTTCCTCTGATTCATAGCCTTGATCCATGCCAGGCATTGTCCAATGATTTCCTTCAATTCAGGCAAATGCCAACGTTATGGCGTCAATCCAGTCACTCTACACAATGCCAGTCATAACCAAATGATCAACCCAGCCACCTTGTGAACTCGGATGACTCACACGTTTCACCAAAAAAAGGCACCCCGAAGGCACCCCACTGCATAGTTTGACATTAGACCTGCTTGATTCCCTGCATTTATCGTTTGTGGTGGCAATATCTTCCAGGTTTTCGGCTGCGGTTCCTGAGTCCCGAGTCTCGCGAAAAGAATCGCTTCTGATGGGAATCGACACACCGAAACAACGCTGCTGCTTTGCTTCTTTCATGTCATGCTGCAGATTGTGGTATACCAAGCAATGCAGGCAACAGGCCCCCCACGTTTGACGTGGTTTTATGAGTATTTCATACGCCAGATTTTATTAAGTCGCCATTGACCAGTTCCCACTCCTCGTAACCCTCATTCTGCTTCGGGGCGAACTACGAAAACGACCGAAGCCAAAGCAAACCAGGGGTCAGATTGCATCTGGTGCGCTCAGGGATTAGGTACACCACTTTACGCGGTCGCATGCGGTGTGCCGCGCTGTCATCCCGCTAAGACCGCGTCTCCCCACCACCATCATCAGCGATCATTGATTACTTTCATCCCCCTTTCCCCAACAGAGTTGCTAGGCAACAGGCAGCCATACCTTAACTTGCATTTCGAGTCCTTTTATGGGCCATCGATGGGGGGCTTGACTGGTCATAAAAGGATCAGACGCGCCCTGCAGGCTTTGCATGCAAGCACTTTACACGTCCCCTTGACCGTTTCTTAATCAGAGTGACAGGCCCTTGTCTCTCACCCCAGTGAGATACTAAGAAAGCAAACAATATCTCATGCATATCATTCCTTTTCTGGCTATCGGCTGAACTCACCCAAAGTCTGTTGACCGTTGACAGCCCTCATTGTCCCATCGTCAGACAAAGTTTCGTTTTACTTGCCACCAGTAGTGGTCCTTGTGCTGTTCTGGATGAAGCCCCGCTTTCCTATAATCTGTTTCGAGGCCCCAGTGTGATCTGCTGAAGCGGACTGCAGGCGCCTTAAAAGGTTCAATGAGAGGTAGTAACATATATCACTGAACACATCTCACCGAATTTCACTAGATACCTCTTCATGAGTCACCTCACCACTTTTGGACCCCACGGCCAGCCTCATCTCGAGTCGTCCGGTTGCCTCGATACGCCTGAGACCAGGTTGTGCATATCTTCTTGAGCGGCTTCACCCTCGCACTCTTGGATCTGGAGTAAACCGTTGGCCACAATTTCTCTTCATCTCGGCTACAACTCAGACATCATGTCAAACAACGATAATGTTATGGCAAGATTCCTGTTCGCTATCTTGCAACAGAAGAATCTGAAGGATGTAAGTCAATTTGATCTTTCATCGCGCGCCTCAATTCTTTACTATTATCGTTGGTATTGACTCGTGGCTAGATTGATTGGAACAAAGTCGCCTGCAACCCTCTCTTGGCTCAAGAAATCACCAATGGCCATGCTGCCCGAATGAGATACTCACGGTTTCGCTCAGCGATGCTTAACCTTGAACCTCAGCGACGCAACCGCACCACCAAAGAAAAGGCCAACAGAGTCACCAAGTCCAAGAAGGAACCCAAAGATTCGAAGTCGAAGAAGGAAGATGTTGTCAAAACGGAATCTGTTGCAGGCTCAGCTAGTGTAGCCGAGTCAACCGAAGCTCCATCTCCCTCGCCCAGAATCAAGCAGGAGAGAGTGCCACCCACCTATAATAGTCGTCTCACTCCTGCAAGCATGTCTACGACACCGGCGGCTGCTACACATCCTGTTGTTCAGCCTCGGCTGCTCACGCCATGTAGCGATACTGATACCTACCCTACATCACCAACAATGATGTCCAGCCCGGCAACGGAGATGCTCACTTCTCAGTCTCCTTACGAGTTTCCTCTGAGCCACTTTGGCCATGATCAACTGTGGTCTCATCATTCCATGTTCCCTCCATTCGAGCCCCCTTACGCATTCGATCCTATGCAGATGACTTTCGATCACCAGGGCATGCACCACCATGGTGAATGTACCTCTGCGCCCGGTGTTGGGGATGCTGAAGGAGAAGAAGTCAGTATCAAGCAGGAGCATTGGGACAACCGTTTTGTTTGAGTGCTGGTCAGATTAAGTTGTTGCTCATGAATTATTAGGGTTAGGGAACTTGCTATATCGCCAGCAAGAAATCATGTCGCTTCACGAGTTTTATGTTGTTAGGTTTCACTCACCCGGGGCGTTTTTGGGACCATATTGGACAGATTGTCATGCCATATGTATTATGTGCTCTAGTCGTCTAGTGAGATATCCTCACTCACCCGAAAGAGATGTACTCATCATTTTTCTTTTGTATGAACCAAGCGTTATTCATACACACTGAAGTCTTCCCGCCCGGGCCTTACGTGCCAATTTAGTGTTGCTGGTGTCCTCGGAACCGTGTCCTGTGGGACCCAATCGCTGAACCCATCTGCAATATATTTTGTCGTTTTGCAGCGAATATATTATCCAACATCAGAAAACATCATGTCCGTGCTATTTGTGTAGCCTCAAGCTTCATCCCGGACTATCATGTGACTCGCTTGTAACAGCATAATTCACTGTTTTGGAAAGGTAGTTGTCCCGTTCGACTTCCCGCACATAAATAGATCTGTCATGTTGTATATCGCTGAAGAAGAATGCGTCCACTGAAGTTGTGCCCGTCATTCCAGGACTAATTAAGCATGTTATACTTGACCAACATCGAAGTCTGGTGGGCCACCGGCCACCCTTTCCTGGTCCATCCTTCCATCTATCCATCGTACAAAACGAACCCCCTGTCGTCGATCTGACAAGGCCGCCTTCAAAGTCATGGTCCATTCAGTCATCCACGATGTAACACAACAAACCCATGCTTGTGATCTGATGGGCCCAGCTTCCATTTCCTGATTCATTCGTCCATTCACCGTTATAAACGACAAAACCTCACTCATAGAATCCGATGAGGCTACCTCTCGCCTCGTGGTCATTCAATTATTCACCACATAACAAAATAACCTCGGTCAATTGATTTGGCGAGGCCATCTTGTCACCATGGACCAAGCTCAAAATTCCAACGAGAACAATGTCACCGGCCACACTCGATGGGACGAAAAAGCTCACAGCTCTGTCTTGACGACACTCTTCTACCACGTCTGGCCTAAGCTGAATGAGAATGAGAAGGCGAGAATAATGATGGAGTTGACTGGCAAGGGTCACACATTCTCTCGGGCCGCATTACAGTAGGTTAACGCTATCGATGCTACCTGCTTTATGCTTTACTTTATAGCGAATATCCGACGCGGTTGCCTGCTGCGATTGTTCGCCTGCAGTATGTTCATGTCCTAAGTAGGGCCTCAGGCTCACATATAAGTGTGTATGGACCACCGAGTGCAGTGCCTAACACTATAACTGTCACAGTCCCAGTCACGATGACCGTTACAGCCAGTCACTACTGCCACTGCCACTGCCGCTATTGCGGCCGGATTAGATAGTTGGGAGATTGCAGAAAACCCACACCTAGAGACTGGTGATGCCCTCTAACCCCCATTCCTCCAACCTCGAACTTTCGCCATACTTCCGCCATGGTTCCGCTATATTTCCGCCATACTTCTCTTTCTTCAACCTAAGTCAACTTCCTCTCTTTTCCGCCGTACTTCCGCCGTACTTCTCATTCTCTCGACCGTTATCACCTTCCTCTCTTTTTCGCCATGTTTCTCTCTTCCTTTCCTACCCGACACTATCTCGACCCAGTTGCATCACACAATTGGTTATCCCAATATCTTCGATCTGGGACCCAGGAAAGATCTCATGCTCCTTCCTTGATAATCATCACCCATTTAGTTGACTGTTCTTTTTCGCCGGCTATCTTTCCCTACTTCACCACACTCTCTTGACATTATTTTGAGAACTCCTTCCGTAACAACATCATCATGGTTCAGTTCACGCCATCCGGTCGTATGATTTGGAACGACGAGGCACATGTCGCCTTGTTGGTCGCATACTACCAGGTCGCTCCTCCTAACGATGATGAGTGGCAGCAGATCCGCGACTCGCTTAAGCCGAAAGGCTTCGAGTGCTCGGTCGTTGCATTCAAGTAACTATCCCACTCTCAGATATTAAACTCTACCAGATCAGGTCTTTTTCTACCACGTCCACTTGCTGGGAGGCGCCATGTTGTTTCATGACCTGCCATTTGGATGAGCTGATTGGGATTGCATGAGCTGACGTTTTCTCTTTCTATCAATCTTCAACGTGTCGGACACGAGAGGCTGACATGTCTTTCCATCTAGGCAGCACATCATGAAGCTTCGCAAGAAGGAGAACATCTCCATCCCCAGCTTCACTCACGGCACCAGCGATTCTGGCACCAGCACTTCCACCACCAAGCGCACCCGCGCTCCTACTGGCTCTCGCTCCAGCTCTGGCAGCAAGCGCAAGGCCGACGCAGGTCCCCAACCTAGCTTCAACGGTAACGGCATGGACATTCGCTCAGGCTTGGCCGAGTTTCCCCAGTGGAACCGCGACAGCGTCGCTCGTGATTACGATCGCGACGTCTCTGGGGAGTACATCGCCAAGCGAGTCAAGGCCGAGACCAAGGGTGGCGACGATGACGACGATGAGGTCGAGGTCCTGCCCGAGTTCTATTCTGGCCGCATGGGCACTCCGTAAGTCACATCTGGCACTTTCATTCCACCTCACTTCATCTCTCAGCTTCTAATTGTATCCTCCTAGCGTCAGCCGCGCTCCTCGCGCTCCCAATTTCGACGCGACCGGATACAACCACGAGTCTCCTGCTCGCGATCTGAACAGCAGCCGCTACTACCCTACCACCTCCACCGGCTACACCGCCAGCGTCTCCCAGTACCCGTTCGGCTACCGCAACAACCCGACCAACACCGGCGTTGTCGACACCTGGCGCACGTAGGTCTTCCCTCAAACACCCTTCACATTGACTGCCATATCTCTGACATGGTCTAGCTCCGTCAACAACCCAAGCCGCGGCCTCCGCGAGCCCTCTGAGGACTGGTCCACCCCGGCCCGCGAGTCCAACTTCGCCGCCGACTTCCGCCGTCGCCCTGCCGTCCCGACCTTCAACGACAACACTTACGGCGCCGGCGCCCGCAAGACCCCGCCTCTCGGGGGCTTGAACCGACCTGCTGCTGGCGGCGCCGAGGCTCACGCCGCTGCTCCCAAGGCTAGCGAATCCGGTGCGCCCGAGGCTGGCGACTCCGACGCCCATCACGAGAGCGAGGGCTGGGCCTGAGCTGGCTGGGCCGGCGAGGCCCAAACTTGGGGGACCCTGAGGTGTGAGAAGGGCTTGCATTTGGCATGGGGTCATAGCATTGCATGACGAGACACGAGGCACGGCACACGATACATACTACCCTAGGATAGGATGGGAGCATCGCATGAGGCGATGAAGAAAACGAGACCCTGGTTCTCGAGATGGTCTTGTAGAGCCAATAACTGGTCGTCTAAGCTTTAGATTCTGCCTGACATGGATGTGACGATCCCTATTTTGTCCTCGTGATGTGCCGCTGACATGGCACCCTTGCTACGTCTGAGCTTGAGAAAAGTGTTATAAGAAACAGAGCTATCAAGAGGTAGAAGAAAGTGGTGTGGGATTGTTCTCTTCATGACTTTAGATACCTGTCTACGAAAAAGTGAAGAGCCCTGGAAGTGAAACAGGAGGAGCCAAATTGAAGGAACGAAGACTTTCCACAGCTATGGAGGCGGGGAAGAATGCGTTTGAGATCTGGTTGGGAAAGGTAAGAATGTCTGAGAATGAAACAGGATCTGCTTAATTGAAGAAACGATAAAACTTCCATGTAAGCTGTACCTAAGAAAACCTTGCTAGAAAGGAGATCGATGCTCATGCTCTGCCGCCATAAGTCGACGGTGTCTCGATGGGCTTGAAGGCATTTCCTTTAATTCAGTTGCAATCCGAACAGGTATGATTCGACAAGTTCACGAAGTGCAGAAGAAATCAAGTGTCGATGGTACGGTGAGATTCATTATTAATAGGATAATATCTTAGTTGATATCGGTGGGAATTTCCTTTATTCAGATCATATGTTGCATCTCGATCCTTCGACCAGCGAAGAACAAATAAGAACTAGAAACAGCATCCACCACTCTATCTCCTCTGATGCTCTGACGAACAAGGTGACAAGGTAAAGGGGAAGGCATGGTGATTTCCCACAAATCAGATCACACAGAATGCGTGGCATTGCCAATTGTGCCACTCCTCAAGCCTGAACCTCCAGATCTTTTTCTCCCACGGGTGTTTAGCATCCTCACGCCAATCCTGTCCTTCCCACATTTCTTGGAAAAGTCGGTCATATCAGGATCAATATGGAATACCTCCCGGGCCGATGTCCAGACCAGCACGATCGAACACGGGCCAAACGTGTGGATCAGAGGGGATGCATTCTAGGCCTTGGGGAGGATCAGTTTAGAACGAAGCTTGCAGGCGAGGGTCGACAAGTGGGTTGTGATCAAGTAGAGAGTCTTCCGCTCCATCCGTAGGGACTTGATGACGGGTAACTGCTTGGTCTGGCACTGGAGGATTGATTGAAGCGCCAGATGAAAGCCCTCCATGTGAAGTAGCGAGAGAAACGGCTTTACCGCCGAATGCAGAGGATCTTGGTTCTCAACAACACCACCGTCCTTCTAAGCTTTCTCGATCGCGTCGTTGATCTCGTCGATACACTGCTCCAAAGTCCATCGAAGCTGGCAATCTTAACACAGAGGTCCCGTACCCAACGGGTCTTATTATCCATCAGCTCTTCGAGGTTTCGCGCTGGTTGATAGTGATGAGTCAAGACTTACTTGATAGCGTTCCAAGTCTTGGTGTAACCTTTGACGCTAATGAGCGCGGAAACAACGTTCCACACCGTAACTCTGTTGTCGACCACTTTACCAACGGCGAAGAGGAATAGGAGAAGATCACGCTCAAGCTTGGCGGACCAATCATGGTCCTCAGGCTCTTCAGATGAACCTTTGACCTTCTCGCCGTTGGTCATATTGGTCTCCGTGGAATGGTGAGGAGTAATATTGGTCAAGTGTAATAAGGGTGTTTTGAGTTGTTTAAAGATGAGAACAAGGAGTTATGCCAACGATGAGAGACACGACAACCAATATTGTGTATTGGTCAGATCAGGTCATGTGCACGAAACTTAAAGCTCTCGAGTCCAACGACCAAGCCATACATGTAGGCCCCTGGGATATATTGGTAACAATGCAAGGTCGTGGGTAGCCCCAAAAAGGCAGAAATGGGAGTCAAGGCATGAGAAGTGCGCGAGTCTTCCAGCATTATTGCAGCCTAGCAGGCGCCAACCGCATAGGAAATGTGTGGTGGCATCGTGGAAAGTCGCATTGTCATGCCAGCAGGGAAGTTGCTTCACTTGGCTTTGTTGTTCGACAGATCATACAAAGCTGACAACTCTCGACCATGCCTCATCGCCAAGCTGTCTAAACTCAATGCCCTCTCCGAAGTAGCCAGCGTCCTGCCACGCCTTCATGGTTGGGCCGTCGTAGGGTCCCTGCTTGGCGGCGTCGTCTCTACCATCCGTCCATCTGTACTCCCACATCTTTTTCGTAGGCTCAGCCTCCCTTTCCGGCTCTGGCTCGACCCAGCGCTCTTGGGTCTCCTTGCTCCATTCTCGAACCAGAACCTCTCGTTCTCGATCATAGATGTCTGGGCGCTCCCTGGCGAGCAACTTGTCGGCGGCATCGGTGATAGCGTTGATCGCGTCCTTGATACGAGCTTGTTCGGGGTCCTCGGCCTCTTTCTCGGCATCGACATCCATGGCGTCGTCCTTCTGCTTCTGCTTCTTTTGCTTCCACTTGGGGACCCTCTTGGTCTTGGTCTGCCCCTTTCCGAGCCTTGCCAGAGCCTCCAGGGCTGTTTCGGTAGGTTCCAGGCGAATGATCAATCGCTTGAGGAGGTCCGAGGTCAAGATGTTGTCGTCTTCTCTCATCTTCTGGCGTATCTCCGCCTCGCGCTTCTCGTGGGCCTCGGCAGCCTTCTTCATCTCCTTCTTGCTGAGACCTTCGAGCCAGCGGTCGTGTTGCGCATCTTTGTCGGCTGCTTTTCGCACGAAGTTGCCAGACTCGTCGAAACGACCTTCCTCCTCCTCGGATCTCAAGTTGAATGCCTCGACCTTGGGGGCATGTTTCTTCAAGCCACCGGCGCCGACCTCTTCGTCGATGTCCTCCTCTTGTATGGCGAGTGCAATGGCCTCCTCGTCTTCGTCGTCGTCAGATTCCTCGTCTAAGCGGACGGTACCGCCGCCCTTGGATCTCAGGTCCTGGCCTTCGATTTCCGAGTTGTCCAAGAAGCGGACCTCCTTGCTCTTTTTGCCTGTGGGTTGGTCGACGTCGTCGTCTTTCTCGTTGCCGTCTTCGTCAGCGAACATGTCGTCTACATCATCGACGTTCTTGTCGGGTTTCTTCTCTGTTCGAATGGCGCCCATCTCCTCGCGGTCTGAATCTGAGTCATAGCCGTCGATGTTTACAGCCCCTCGCTTGGTGGCCGCACTTCCACGAATGACTTCTGCGTCTGCCTCGAGGTATGCGTCCGGGCCGTCGTCACCGTCGTCGCCGGCATCTATGGCCAAGGCGGAGGGATTTCGCACGTCGAACTTTACTTTCTTGGAGTCGGGGCTAGCCTCAGCATGATGCGCCCGGGCATATGCCTCGCCGGCGCGCTTTGGACGGGCGGCGCTGTATCTCGAGGCCATTGTGATGGTATGAGGGGTGAGGATGTAGCATATTTAGAAAAGGCAATGACAGCAATGCTGTGCTACTAGACCACAAACTCTGGGACCAAGAGCTTAACTTGAGCTTCAGTGGGGTAAGCCTCTAGGTTAGTGCTTCGAGGCGGGGGACTGCGCTGGACTGCGCTAATGGCATAGTCCCGAAGATGCATGTCTGTCTGTCTTCAGTGGGTAACGATAGCGCACATTCCTTTGCATTTCCATTTACATTTACGTCAGACTACTAGGTTAGGTACATTGGCAGTATAAGTGCATACGTGTCGGGTCTTCTCCAGTGACCTCGACCAAACATGCTCGATCGAGACCCGTAAGATAACATTGGGGTGAGCCGAAGACAGATTTCACATATCGTTCTAGTCATCGCAGTTCGTTATATAAACCTTTGGTCAGACTAGGTTAGGTCAGTAACTTGCTGTAAGTTAAGTTAGGGATCTTTTTAAGGTTCCTCCAGGTTTCGTCATCAGGCTTGGGTGCCTTGGAGCTCCAGCTAGTCTGGTTGGCAGCTAACATCCCACTTCATCCTCATCCTCGTCTTCAACCCTTGGACCTTATCATCGCCGCCCGCTCCTGCGACTACAACTGCAACTGCATCTCGATTACCCCGTGCGACTGAGACTTACTCCTCCTTCCTTTGCATCCTTGTCTGGCTCCGACGTCTTGCCCATAACAAACCTTTGTTCCACTGCAATTTAGACTCCCAAGATGGTTAGCCAGTCACCTTGCCTTTCCATCACTTACTGCAACTTCGCCATGCAAATACTGACCGCACACATGTGCTCCGCAGTTCCGTCCTGGATTCGACGCCTACGATCCTGACGATCCCGCACACATGTTCAACATGGCACGCTCCGGCATGGCGAGCCGAACCATGCGCTTCGACGAGTATTACCGCTGTTACCCCATCGTCATGGCCCCCGGTGCTGAGCGACCAGATCTCAACTACGGCTCCAAGATCCTCCTGCCCCAGTCCGCCCTCAACAAGATCTCCCGCCTGCACGTCCAGTGGCCCCTGACCATGGAGCTCGTCAACGGCGACAAGGAGAAGCACACCCACTGCGGTGTCCTCGAGTTCACCGCCGAGGAGGGCCGCGCATACATTCCCCAGTGGATGATGCAGACGCTGGTCCTCGACGTCGGAGATATGGTCCAGATCAGGACCACCTCGCTCTCGCCTGCCAAGATGGTCAAGCTGCAGCCTCAGTCCGTCAGCTTCCTCGAGATCAGCGACCCCAAGGCCGTCCTCGAACACGCCTTCCGGAACTTCGCCACACTTACCAAGGGCGATGTCTTCAACTTCAAGTACAACGATGAGGTCTACGACATTGCCGTGCTCGAGGTGAAGCCCGTGACCGAGAAGATGGGCGTCAGCATGATCGAAACAGATGTCTCGGTCGACTTCGCACCCCCAATAGGCTACGTGGAGCCGGAAAAGCGCACAGGTAGCGGTACGAGCACGCCGAGAAGCACGCAGGGCGGACTGCCGGCCGGTGGGCTGTTGCACAGCCAGGGGACTATGGCTCAAGATATCAACTACGATGCGATCAAGCCCAACGGAACGAACGCCGCAGCAGGTGCACGGGCAGTGGCCTCGCACTTCATCAGCGAAGGCCACAAGCTCAACGCAAAGAAAGGTGCCAAGGGCCCCTCCCCGAAGCCCTCCACCCCCGTCGCAGGCAAGTCCTCGAACCCACCGCCCCAGCCCATGAGGAGGATAAATGGGCCTCAGCCCCTGCGTCTCCCACCCAACAAGCTCTTCTTCGGCTACGAAGTCAAGCCCGTCAAGACGGACGCAGACAAGCAGGCGGAGAAGGAGAATGCCAACAGGCCACGCTTCGAGGGCCAGGGGCAGACTCTTAGGGGAGGCGCTATCAAGAGGAAAGGCGACGAGGACGAGAAGCCGAAGGCCCCAGAGAAGAAGCCAGACGGGGGCGGCCGTCGGTTAGATGGGCGTACGGCATAGTGGGCAGACGGATTTGTGCATTTGGCGGCGTTCTAGGATCGGGTGATTTTGGCCATTAAGCATGTCTTTAGACTTACGATAATTGCGAAGATCCATTGCTATGAACATAGCTCTGATTTCACTTTCGACGCAGACTCGACCTCTGTTGTGGGATCGGACTATTATATCAGTATCAATGCTTCGTGTCGCGGGGATTGTTTATGATCTCCACTGTGACAGGCCACTTACAGCGACAAGCATCACAATTCACTGCAGAGTATCCTCGTGGCGAGCGGAATACCTCTCCCGGCCCATGGCTCGAACATCGGCTAATAATGTATTCCCCGCCATGTGAGCGCGGAACACAGGACTCAAAATTCGCTTCAGCGATCGTAATACATCGTCCAAATGCTATGGCTTCTGTAGGCCATTGCGGACACAATGTATGCACCAGACAATATGAAGCCCGCCTGAACGATGCCGTACGTTCTATAGACACAGGGGTTATTGGCGGTAAAACCAAAAAAAGAACAAGAAGAAAAAAAGAGCCCAAGAAAAAGGTGTTACTTACCCGATGACTTTTGACTTACCTGCTGAGGTGCGCCTATCTTCAAGACAAAGTGAATGCTTGCTACCTATGCCAATCATTTCCCATCGAGTCCTTTGCCCGAATGTATGGAGCCGCCATGCGAGTGAGACAATCTGCACCCTTGTTTTTATTGGTCGGCAAACACAAACTAGAGCCCGCAAACCTTCCCGCGGGCGCACTTACGGTCTCGTTGTTCCAGATACCGGTAACACTATACATTATATGGCCAAGACATCAGAAATGTCTAGTTAGGTATTTCTCCGATATCCATACACGTCCCGTACGAATACATCTCGAAATCTAGGTGCTCTCCGAGACGCTTCTCGATAGCTCGGCAAAGAGACTCGTTAGCACGCTGTCACGGTTAGGCTTATAGCTGGAAGGTGACGTCATGCGGGTCACGCGAACCTGTTTTCAATCATGGCATCTCGAATTATAATGTTGAAAGCTTCGGCGGCAATGCTGACGACACTAAAATCTCATGCAACAACAAAAGAAAGCTCATGATGTGTTATTGAATCTCATCGAATAACTCACCGCTGTCAAATTTCTTTTTAATCTTTGACTGTACATATACACTATAACCTCGCAACAAGTAGTAGTGGTAATTTGGGGGGCGTAAAGATGAACATCAACGTGCCGGGCCTTTTGGACGCGGCGATCCCCAAGCCGGGGGAGTCGAACCGCAACGTCCAGATCATCGCCAACAACATGAACGGGCCCAACCACAACGACCCGGGGTTCCTGTCGGACGAGTTCCCGCGGAGCCCGCCCAGGCTCTACGTCACGTCCGAGGACGACGAGTTCGACGGCCAGACTCTCGCCGAGTGGCGCGCCGAGGGCTTCCGCGTCGACTACCTCCCCATGGGCGCCGGCGGCAAGGAGTACAAGCTCCGGCTCGACGGCCTCCGGAGGCAGGGGCTGGGCCCCTGCGAGACCTTCGGCATCGTCGCCTACGGCGAGGCCGCCAGCCAGTGCCTCGAGCACTTCCACATGCTGGACAACAACCCGGACTTCAAGCTCGCGCTGCTGGTCGCGTACTACCCGACCCGGATCCCGGACCCCAAGGGGCGCTACCCCGGAGGCGTGCAGGTGCTGGTGCACCTGGCGGGCGACTCGGTGGGCGTGGTGAAGCAGAGCCAGATGGCGGGGATCCAGGGCAAGAAGCGCATCAGGAGGACGCGCATCGACCGGGGCGTCGGGACGGGCTGCCTGGTGCGCATGGCCTTCTCGGCCTTCAGCTACCCGGACGCGGACCCGGGGTTCGCGGAGCGGGACCTGGACTCGTACGACAAGGTCGCGGGCGACCTGGCGTGGGACCGCAGCCTGGCGGCGGCGCGGAAGGCGTTCCGGTGGGACACCAACGTCAACGGGGTGGTGGAGGAGAACATGGAGAGCAAGTTCTTCGCCAAGGACGAGGAGAGGCTCATGAAGACGTACACGACGGCGCACACCCCGCACACGACCTTCATGCCCACGCTCGTGGGCGGCATCGGCACCGAGGAGGTCTCGCGGTTCTACGGCGACTTCTTCCTCGACAGCAACCCCGACTCGCTGCAGGTCACGCTCATCTCGCGGACCAGCAGCGCCAACCGGGTCGTGGACGAGCTGCACGTCTCGTTCGACCACTCCCAGGGCATGCCGTGGATCCTGCCGGGCATCCCACCGACGCACAAGCACGTCGAGATCATGCTGGTCAGCATCGTGACGCTGAGGGGCGGCAAGCTGTACCACGAGCACATATACTGGGACCAGGCGAGCGTGCTGGTGCAGGTCGGGCTGCTCAAGCCGAGCATGGTGCCGAAGAAGCTGAAGGAGCAGGGCGTGGAGAGGCTGCCGGTGGTGGGCAAGGAGCCCGCGGAGCGCATCATCGAGGGCGGGTACGACGATGCGGACGGCGAAGCGGACAACGAGCTGCTGCCCGAGTTCTGGGACTACAGTGACGACGACGGAGACGACGACGATAACGCGACGCGCCACGACACCAGGAAGCACGCCGATGACAACGATAAGCGCCACGACAGCGATGCGGAGCAGGGCGGGTATTACGGGACCGACGACGAGGTGGAGGATATCGGGCGAGGCAGCGGGCCGAGCCAGCAGACATACAAGCCGGTGAAGTCGGAACCTCTGGACACGGGAAACGGGAAGAAGAATCAACAGGCACAGCAGCAGGCACAGCCGCAGCAACAGCAGAAGCCTCAGCAAAATGCAAATGGCAAGGCGCCCGGGAATCAACAACAGCAGCAGCAAAAACCGTCACAAAAGCCGAACGGGAAGAAGCAACAGCAGCAACAGCCTTCTCAGAAAGGCAAGGGGAAGCAAGTTGAAAGTTCGCGGGGACGGGGACGGGCTGCCGGGCCACAGGCTACGACTATGGAGGATACCGAAGACCGGGAAGGGTTCTGAGACAGTACCGGGCCGCAATGTCCAAAATAAAACGAGGGTGAATATCCAATGCACAAATAAGCATATCTCATACCACGCAGATGACTCTTTCCATGAGACGACCCATTTCGTCATGAGATTGCGGTTAAGGTTTCAGCATGTGTTGTGTTCGTTTATTTTATTAATCATGACTTTTTAATGCTTGGGACGAGCCGTGAAGCGGTGGTCCTAAAAGTCACTTACACTTTGTAGCACAAATCAGAGGAAGACTAAGAGTCAGCTCATGCCCCAGTCAAAATCAACCGAGTGGCTTCTCCAAGTGCCTGTGAGCGTGTATTCAGAGAGTCGCCTTGCCGGCGTGGGGCCTAAACCGTGTGGGTCGAAATTCGAATCGGGAAGTTGCAGTTGCAGTATCGAAAGTCGATATACAAGTGGTCAACGATCCAGATATCCTTCCAATCTGGAAGTATGGTACCATATGTGAACTCACCGCAGAAGCTTCGGGACGACACACAGCGATGGCGAGACTTGGTATTAAATAGGCTCAGTGAATCTGGGGCTACGGTAAAGCCTCCTGAAAGCCTCTCAAAAGCCGTGATTATTATATTCTTTTAGTCGTTTCGCGCTTAGCTGCGGAGCTAGAGGCTTGATTCCAGCCATAAGATATTGTGAAATCCGTTTGAGCCTGAGACCACACCTTACGGCACTTTCTTTGTTATTTGTGAAGAGATGATGCCGATATACGTCAAGGAGCTGGTCCGTGAGTCTGTAGATTTCCTCGGTCTGCTTTTCGATCGTAGAGCCCTGCAACAGCTCGCCGAGCACTGCCGGCTTTGGATTCGTACTGAGCTCCTTCGTTATCTCCTTTCTAATCTTCTGATAGAAGATCAAACTATTTTGGTTGTCCTCGAGTCGTTCAGGTGCCACCCAAAAGCTGCCATGAGCCCGAGCGTGCTTGATCGATTCCTCGACCAGCTTTGTTCGCGTCGCGCCGACGAAATCGATGAGAACATCATCAACGTTAGACCTTGTATCACTACCTTCAAGGTCCGCTAGCAGCTCAACGAACTTTTCCTCAACTGCTTTAACTGGTGTCTTTCCGAATAGTGCAAGCTGCCGTAGGCCACGCACTTGGAAGACCGTGATGGCACCTGGACCCGGCTCCAAATGGTGCGCGAGGCTATCATAATGAGCTCTAAGAGCCACGCTTGCAAGATTATGAGCCCGCGACACGCCGGTGGCCCTTAGTTGACTCCAGAGCACAGTCAATGGATGAGCAAGACCCAGCTTGATTTCGCTGAGGCCCACAACGTATCTCACGAGCGACTCAGCAAGCTCGCGTCCTATGGCATCGAGTTGGAGGACCGCTGATAGAGTGGCAGTCAAGAATATAGGGTCTTGAAGGATGAGTAGTTGGCCATATCTGTCAAGACAGATGTGGAGCAATCGAAACCCATCTGGAGAATCGCGCTGCTGCTCTAATAATCTCGCCGCTCGTCTGATACACATCCACCATGAAGAGGCTCGCTCTAGGCTATCATTGAACTCATGACTGGCCAACTCCCATACCAAAGTCTCGAAACAAAAGTCTGTATAAGCGTGCATGGCATGAATCGCACTCTCGGCTTGATAAAGAACCGTTGGTGCTTGTAAACAATGCGATGATGTCGGGAACGATGAAACCGTCGGTACCCGACGCATGGCATCTATCATTGAGCGGTCCTGGTGCAGCGCTTTCTCGAATCTCTTAGAGCCAACTACACGTCCATGGATCGTACGTGGATGCATCTGGGTGCCAGTATAGATCTGCGCTCTGATACGATGCTCTTCCTGTTGACTTAGGTACTTGGCCAGGCCCCATTCCTTGAATTTAGACTTGTACATTCTCGTCCTGTTCAAGTATCGGTAAGTCTATCTTTGGCAGCATGACATCGGTGGTGGGTGGGCGTACGTGGCGTGGAAGCGGTGCTCAGTTTTCATGATATGCATCACTTCCCTCAACGTCCTGTCCTCGCACCAGTAAAGACGAATTATCATGTCCTTGTAGAGCTCTAGGTCTCTGCTCGAAACTTGATTTCCTCCATAGGACATAGTAGCTGGCATTGATGTGATATGCGGCCGCACCGCGAATCTGGCGCTGTCGACATGCGGTGCAGTGAGTGCTTTGCACTTGAACATGGCTCTAATTGAGGCGCTTGCGCGACAAGAACGAGGGCGGCATTCGAGCGTATGCTCCCTGGGCCCATGATCCATCTGCTTGGGAGAGAATGGAGTCCGACTCGTGCCACACTTCACCAATGCCGGAAAATGGTTTTGTGTAGGAGACTCTCTCTGATAACATTCACTGAAGCCAGAGAAGACGCAGGGTGGCCGAAACGCGCTTAAGTGTTGAAGTTTGAAAGTCACACTTCCGAAAATCGCTTCTTGTACAGTAGTTAAGTGGCAGGGATTCTTCGCGCCTGCAATGCGTTTTTAGACGCCAGGGCATCAGGAGCTTGTTTTCAAATGCTATCAGGCTAGCAGTAAACGGCAAAATCCTGAGAGGAAGTTTGATGGGTTGTCGGCATGAATTTACCACTGAATGCTGAATGAGTAATTCAACTTTGGTCAGCTCGTCATGCGTCGAAAGTGCGGAATGATACGGCTCTGCGCAATTCGCGCTTGGGAGGGGTGTCTGTCAAATCCGAAACTTTTGAACGACGATTTGATTACTTTTACGCCGTATATAGATCTCGCACCTATTACGCCCAAGTTTAATACTTTTATTAGGCCTTTAGAGGACAGTACGCACCTAAAGCCTTGAAGCACAATTGCCATCGTATCCTAAGTATTAGTTGCTTTTTCGCCACTACGACGAGGATTAACCAGAGTGATTGCTCGGTCGTACTCGTCCCAAGCCCCGAATGCACAGAAGTCGGATGGCATCCCCTGCCATGATCGAGCCCTCGAGAGCTGCAAATTACATCAGGATCGGAATAAACTCTTGACGATCACCCAACAGAATACTTCCATGAAATTTTGTAGCTACTATTTGGATATTCTCCCTAATTACCCGATACTATCACTAACGATGTCGAAATGGCTAGCTAGTAGTACCCGCAACATAGCTCGAGTGAGCGACTTCTTGCTGAGCTGCAAGACACAATAGCTCATCGCCAATCAACGAGCAATTTCTTTCGTGGTGGGCTCTCCGGATTAATCCTGAAGCTCATTTTGGAGATTTCACAAGTACGAAGAAGGCAGTCACATGCCCCTGCTCGTGATCTTTCGGAGTAAGATGACGTATCCAAGCGTGCAACTATCAACCATTTTTAGCTGCTTCTAGGAACTGGAGAATAGTTTGGATGAATTGGTTGAAGATTATAGCCCACAAAATTTGGGCATGGTTATGATAATGTGCTTGATGACAATATTCGCAAGAAATTGATTTCGCGGCGAGAGTTGCAGGCTGATTTGACCCGGTCAAACTTTAGAGATCGCTAACGATGTCGGTTTTCATGATAGATCCATGTAGACAACATTTTGAGCTGACGTTCTTTTGTGCCACAATGCTGCATTGAGGAGTCAAAGAACAGCATGTTTGCTAACGCCGGCTACCTCCGCTTATTGCCGCGGCTTATGTACTTCACTGGGACGGTCCCTCGCTTCAAGTCCACAGCTTGACACCCAACGTGGCAACTCTCACTCAAGTCGCCGGTTCGCAAAAAGGGCTATCTTAACAATGATGGAGAACAGATATTGCTTCGTAGATGGGTTTGGGCCTAGCAGGGCCACCAAGAAAGCCATACGCAGCCATGCAATGAAAGGCAAGAACGCTGGGAAGACTTTGCATCGACCTTCGAAACTAAAACAATTGGCGAAGCCTCGACACCTTGTGTATCCTGCCCAAACAAATTTAGCTCAGCACTCGAATCCCGGATATTTTTCAGTCTGTGAAAACCTAATTACAATCCCTAGACCTCACGGAAATGTCTTTCTCGCCTGTTCCTTGCCGGTCGTACTTACGGCGCCATCTCTACGGATAATCAGTCAATGTAAGTGTCTGAACTACGGTGCTGATTATATTTTCTTACATATAATCCTCTTAGTCCTCACTTCTGTCGCAGAGAAGATGTATCCCCCTCGGCTAGGTGTATCGCCAGATGAAGCGAGGTACATGTGGCTCCAGTTGATGTTCACGGACGAGGCGGGTGCGTAAACCTGTCTACTAGAATGAAGCCTCCAATTAGGCTGATTGTTCAAATAAACTTTTAGCATCCCGCTGTAGTATTGCCTTGATGGACGCCTGCAACGGATTCTTCTTCGGCGATAATCCTGATTCTCCTAGAGGTCTATACTTTCTTTCGGAAGTTTTGTGTCTGGTCAACGAACGATTACGGGGCAAGGAAGCTTTGTCAGATTCGACACTCTCGTTGGTTATCTCCCTCATTCTTCAAGAAGAGATGCGACATGATCAGGCAGGTGCTGAAATTCACTATGCCGGCCTCACGAAAATGGTGCAGCTCCGAGGTGGTTTGAACGAGTTCAACAGCAATCTCCCGCTGCTGCTGAAGATCTGCAAGTAGGCATAACCTGTCCCATCTCATAAGCGCGTTTGCTGATGTACTCAATTTCCAAGAATGGATATATGCCATGCTCTCCAAAATGGGGGTCCTGTTTTGTTCTTTTGGGATTGCCTACCTTCAAGTCAAACGGACGTTCATCATGTGTTGAGTTCCTCATCCTACTTGGATGGAGACATGGCTCCAGATTTGCGTAGGATCCTCGTGGATGCCCTTAACTTTTCAGCACAGGTCAACCAATGCTTAAATTTCCCTGCCTATGATGTCATCACATTTCAGGAGACGTTGGTGTCAATCTGTTGTCGCTTGAACCAATTTCAGCCACTAAAAGCACTCCGATGTGGTACGCCCATGGAAAGTGCCTATCATATCGGCCTGACAACTTTTATGATGACCCTATTTATGCAGTGGGACGGTCGCCGGATCTGGCACTATCCTCTGGTCTCCCGTCACCTCAGAGAAGTGCTCGAGTACGAGGAAATGTATGGATGTGGCGAATACGATAATCTCCTTCTTTGGGTGATGTTTATTGGCGGTATTTGGGTTTTGGCCGATCCCGATGGCTTTTGGCTCTTGCCTAAACTCCGAACTCTGGTTCGAAAACTGGGCATCAAAGATTTCGAGGGTGTTTTGAAACGGCTCCGAAGCTTCCCATGGATCAATGAAATGCACGATGAGGCGGGTCGATTTATTATGGATATGCTATAACCAGGGACTTGTGCTGTTTGGAATGACTATGTATCGGGAACGTATGGTTCCCGGTGTACCTGAGCTAATACGGGCGTATCATCTTACCATTTAAACTTCTGTCCAACCAAATCTTCGGACAACTTCCACAACCTCTCGGCCTCAGTGCTCGAGACCGCTAAGGGAACCGGCAAATCGCTAATCTGGCAATCCAACAAAAAGGCGCCATAATTTTCCTTCTTGCCAGGCCGGCGTTCTGGCGCTCCCAGCTTCGGATCAAGTGCCGCGACAATACTTGTCGCTGCACCAGCACCCTGAGTCTTGAATTGATACATTCCCTTTTCCAACAACTTACCCACGGCAGCTATCACGTGTGGTGAAGCACTCCTCGATAATTCTGTTGGGATTATGCCTGGGTGCAGTGATAGTCCCAGAATGCCATACTTTTCAAACATCCGCTCGGTCAAACCTATGCCAAATAGGACGTTGGCGACCTTGCTCTGGCTGTACGCTTCCACCGGGATGTAAGAAAGGTTTTCCGGATCCTCTGAACCCCAAGAGCGGTGAAAGTCATAGGCGGGCTGCTCTTGTTCTGGCAGATCTTTGTTCTTCTTTTCAAAGTTCAGGTCGGACCAGCGCATGGTTGCCACCGTGGGCGAGAGCGAAGAGACGTTGATGACGCGCGTCGCGCCCTTGGTCGGGTTCGCTTCTGCGGCTTTGATGAGCTTCGGCATGATCAGGTTGGTGAACAGGAAGTGGCCGATGTGATTGGTGGCGAACGTGATCTCGATGCCGTCTTCGTTGATGGTGCGCTCGGGGATATTCATGATTCCCGCGCTGTTGATGACGATGTCAATAGTCGGCACGTCGGCCCATGACAATACTTCTGCGGCTGCACCGCGGACAGCCTTCTGGCTGGAGAGATCGATCTCGAGCGAACGGTAGTCCACATCGGGGAACTTGGCCCTGAGAGTCTCAATGGTTTCTTTGTTTTTGGATGGCGTCCGGCTGGCAATGATCAAGTGGGCAGGAGATTGAGAAGCCTATGGATGTTAGTTGCTTGGAGCATGCTAGTTGAGGTGCGCCTACCAGGGCCTCAGCGGTGGTAAAGCCAATTCCTTTGGCGTTGACGCCTGTCACTATGGCGGTCTTGCCACGGACGGAATCTGCAAAAGCACGAGCGACCTCAAGACCTTCAGTCTTGTCGTTGAACTCTGGGTATGTGGTAGCGGTCATTTTGATGTGGAAATTTTGTTGATGACGGAATGCTTCGGTGCGTTGTCTTGATTGCAGAACTGATATGTGCCTTATGGATGAGAACAATTCAGAACTTTGGCTGGAGAGCGGCTAGGTTATATACTTGATCATTCCGGTAGGATACCGCCTACGGTCATGCCACGGGCGATCGCGAAATCCCACAACCCGACACAATGTCATCACAAATACGGATATACCGGATTGTACCACAAGGCCATGCATCACTTGTGTCGGAGTCTGAATATTAAGCCCAACCAATAAGAGATTTGGTGCCTAAAGTGGTATGGTGGTTTACGTTATGCGCGCCGGGGTTTATCGGGCATGGGAGCGGCCTGCTGAGCTTCGTCCAATGGGAGACTTACTTCCAAATGCGGTTACCGTGTACTATAGCCAACTTTGTTCTATGCATGCCACAAGCTAGCGTCATTTGCTTGCCACGGTGAACTCGCATGAGATGGGTATGATTTAACATTTCTCGATATGACATGCCTCAATAAGCAATAGTGAGGCTTACAGTTGTCCTCTTGAACCAGCGGTGTGAGCACCGATTGAATAAGTATCAGATGTTAAGTATTCCCAGGGAACAGAACACACTTTTACAATTTGACCAAGACTCTGGGCTTGTTACCGTAGTTAAGACGGTCGATGGATAAAACTATAAGACTCACTGAACTGATATTGGCACATGGAACATCGATTCCTAAGCCCTAATTCATGCTCACATGTGTGTCATTAAATGCCTCGCGTTATACTATCAAACTAGATACTTGACTATCTTGGTGATACTTCAAACATACCTTGGCAATTTTTCAGCCTCAGGCCATGTGAGAAATAGAAGTGCATTCGCTTCTTTCAGCGCACCCACAATATCAACCAGATATATCGCAACGCTCTCATCAATGGCTGTGCGAAAGGTACTCAGTCTTTTCACCGTTTATCTTCGGCCGCCCCTACTACCACGGTTGCTACCACCGTGGTTTTTACCACTTTTGACATGACCCTGCTTCTCAGGGAAGAAGTTGAAGCGCGAGGGCGGAATTCGTGGCAACACAAAAGTGCCGTCATCCTTCATCCAACTCCGAAAAGTACTCCTCAGCTCCGGCCTAACACCAACCGTGGGATCGAACGGCAGTCGAAGAGCCAGTGCCAGCGCCTGGGAAAGGGGCTCTTTTGAGTAGCCCTCCTTCACACTCTCGTCCATGGTACGGCGCAAAAAGCTAGTGAAGCTGGCTGCAGTGGGCACAGCTGCGAAGCCCATCTCACGCATAAATTGCGTGAAATCATTCACACCATGTAACCTCCGGACTTCTGCTGCGACATGACTTGCTGCACCCTGGGGCGGGCCACCATGCCTGTCAAAAAGTTGTTCACGAATGACGCTGAGCGGCTCATGATTGGGCCGCGCGGTCCGGCGGAAAAGCTCGGAGAACATGAGAAGACGGTAAGAGGTGCGCGAGACCTCAAAGGTTTTGTTAAGACGGTAGGCTGAGACTTCATCCGGTTCTTTGTAGGCAAGCTGCGGTTTGGACTTGAGCATCCAAACCACGTTGCGTGTAATGGCCTCGGTCACGATAGCCTTGCGTAACTCGGGTGTGACTTCGACATCGCTAATGAGCATAGCGACGAGAAGGTGGCCGAGGTTGGGGACGTCAGTCTTAGATCGCCGACCTCCTTGGAATCGAACGAGTAATCGGTTTGCCGTGCGCACTATGGTAATATCTTCCGAGGCGAGGCAGACAAGAAGATGGAAGAGGTGAAAGTATGACTCGATGGCCTTGTCTGATGCATGTCTTAGAGTAGACTTAGAATTGTGGCGGCCCCGGCGATCGACTTCCACGTTGTTCAGTCTAATGACAATCTCCGTCATAAACTGGTACAAGACCTGTGCGTTTGTGGGCTGTTCAAATTTGATGCATTGATATGCTTTCATCCTTTCCAATGACTGGTGGGCATTGAGTCTAACCCGGCGCCAATGTGGTCGTGAAATGGGCAGAGGAAGCCAACAGTCGAAGTAAACTCTATGAACCGAATGCCGAATTGCATGTTGAAGGAAAGCCTCGTGTGACAGAAGGTCGAACTCAGAGCTGATCCCCTCGTTGTTGCCGTGGACACCTACGCCAAGGTCGACTTCTCGGTACGACTTTTTCAACACAAAACATTGGAGTTCCCGCTGTCGCAACACATCAAACTGCGTTATGAGTTGACTCACACGGGGCCATGCACGAGCAAAGTTGGTGAGGTCCTCAAAGTCTTCAATCTTCTTAAGAATGATCAGCAGGATCTCGTTGGGGATTTTGCTGATTTGCATAGTGAGATCACGACTGAGTTCCACAATGCGTGGGTGGCTGAGTGAGTCGCCAGAGCTAGGCGAACCATTCGTGCTCTGGGCGGATGAGCTTTGTGTCGCGACGCCGGTCTTCTTGCGTCTACTCGATCTCTTCCCGGGTGCGTTTGAAACATAAGTAGCTCCAGGGATTTCCCTCTTAGCTAGTACTTGGGCTTCGCCAAAGTGACACTTATGGCAACTGAAAGGATCCTCCCGACGGACTGGACCCCACTTGTCCCGACCAGAGCGGAGGGCATTCCTGCGATATTCTTCCAGGTTGACGTGCTCACCAGGGTAGCTCTGTTCAATGTTGTCACTGCTGAAGAAACTCAAAAGTTGAATGGCGATAGTTTTCAACGTATAGGCTGGAGTATAGCCCTCGGCAGTATTGAGAATGGACGCGCAAATGTAGTGACCTATGACATTTGGGTGGACGACATTTGTATCCATTCTTACTCTTGGCGAACGGAGCGGGAACCAGTTGAGACCGTCAATGGTAAGATGCAGCTTTTCTCTGGCAATTGGCGAGAGAATCAAGCAAAGATGTGTAAGATCTTCGCCATTAACGTGCAGTTCAATATTTGGGTATGGCTTGCGACAAAGCTCGTCAATATCCTGCAACAGCCGCTTCTGGAGGCCGCCACCGGAGATTGATGGTTCTGCCAGAGGATTATCCATGTTGCCGGTTTGTGTAACTTCTGACGATCTTAATGAGTTGATTTTATGTGTTGAGAGATCGTGTGCTGTTTGTTGTTATAGTTGAGAAGGAATAAAATGCCGATTCGTGAACCTCCGGAAGCAACAACCTTGCAAGAGTCAGGAAAGCTTTGCAAGGCGCGTGCAGATGAATCAGAATACCATGAAATGGAAGACATCGTTCAACTTTTATATTTTTATTGTGTATTATGGAGCATGTTTGCCCGAGTCTGCAAATACTAACCATCAAGCCAAAGAGGAAGTAACCCGGCCGAGCCAGTGCAGGTAGGCGCAGCTGTCCTCACACTAGTCTAACCTAAGCACTAGTTAGCTACTGTAGTTAGTATAGTTGCCGTTTGACTCACATCGCTCGGTCAATTCAAAGTTCCAAGACCCACCGAGCTACAAAACCTTTCGGCAACCCTCAATAGTCCCGGTGAGGCACCTGGGCGATTCATCAGGGCCATGATTTATGGGACAATCTCCTATTTTCTCTATTCCAACCCTATTGTCGCATTTATGCAAGCATTGTCCAGATATTTTTTTCAGCCTGGGCTGAGCAAACGGACGGCACGTGGCGCGCGCCTTTCCTATACCAAGTACAGTTCCAAATTTCCGTAATGAACACTATCATTAGAGGGAGTTCCTCGTAAATGGGGAGTTTTTTCTTCTTCAAAGCCGTTCCTGCATCCCCGACAAGAACGGCTGACGTATGCAGAAGCATAAGTAATAACAGTTTGTCTGGTCTTTCAAGACATAGAATATAGAGCATAAAAAGTACCACCGGGACACTGTAATGAAGTACTCCTGCTGCCAACATTCCTATCCATACTTCTCACTGCCACTGTTCCATGGGTGGGGAGTTACGATTCATTGCCCCCAATGCCGCCATACAATGTGCATTCAGATTGAGGTTCTCGATGCTGCCCCATTTCTGCCTCAACGCTTCCGCGAGAGGCACTGGGTTTAGACCAATACCAGGAGCCCGTCCCGTCATAAGAAGACTAATGTCATGTGCAGCGCTGATCACGGTTTCCGCTCGAGGTCGACACACTTCATCGTATGCGCGAAGTGCTGAGGAAATGCTGGATCTCGACGTGGTCCGTCCTAACAGAGTGACTAGAATCAAAACTTCTTCAAAGGCTAGACCTGATAAGGCCTCATGACTTGACAGCATCCCATGAGCTGCATCACCCATAAGAACTACATTCTTAGAGGTGTAAGTCCGCGTCGGCACGTGTTGTATCTGGCAAATACCCGCGATTTGTATCGTATAGACACTCTGAGCAAGCTATCGTGTGTCAGTATTATCTGTTATGTGGATAGATTAATTGAGTAAATCATACCTTGACCATACCTTGACATGGCGGAAGCATATTCTGGGAGAATATTTGCTGGAATTCCTCAGGCGAAAACAGTTTTGCCCAGGCGAACTCCTCGTTCGTGCCGTCAAAAGTACCGGTGATTGATATTTGCACATCTTTGCTAGCATTAATCAAGTTGTGCTGCATCGTCGTACCATGTCCAATCCAAGTCACTTGTCGAGGATTTGTCGAGTCGAAGTTCTCTGCTCCAATCATTTGTCGTGCCCGGTTCACGGAAACTTTAATCGGCAAATTCCAAAAACCAGAAGGCTTGGGCACTTGAGCAGGATCCTTTGGGCCGACGACGTGAGCTCGGGTCTTTCCTTGAATCCCATCAGCGCCGATAACTACATCGTATCTTTTCTGAGTTCGGTCCGAGAAGATCAAGGTGAGACCCTTGCCCGGAGACCCTTCCATAATAGAGTCTAATCTCGTATTTAGGTGAACCATTCTCGGTGGAATGCCCTCCAGCAATTCTGTCAGGAGAGCTTGACGACTGACAGTACGATCTATGTTCGACTGCCCAGTGAAATCGACACGCTGCCCTGCCAGAGGTCCAGTGGCAATATAACAGTCTGCGGTGGTGTATATAGCCCCGGAGCGATCAAGACAGGACAGTATCGATGGGTCGATCAGCTGGAGGATGTCTTGGGTAAGCGCACTTAGCTCAATGCCAGGCGTCTCTTCTTTGAAAGAAGGTCGCGACTCGTACAGATCGGCTGCTATATGGCGGTAACGCATCAGACCTCTAAGCAGAGTGACACCCGTTAACCCACCGCCAATGATGGCTACCCGAATGGCAGTGTTCGAATCGCCCATTTCGTCTAGGGTCAAGACTCGTGATAATTGAAATAAGATACAGATTTCTGAGCTTAGAATATGAGTGACACTTGGTGGCAATGTCTACTTGGCGATGATGGGAGAAACTCATGGTGACTTAAGTAACACCAGCCATACCATATTTATCTCGAGCTTTGATTCTAATGGCAAGGTACAAATGGCATGATGAAGTCGTTACCTCTAGTGCCGAAGGAATTAACAAAAGGCTATTTTAAAACCCATAGTCCGAGATGACCAGGTTTCTTTAATGGTCAAGGCGGAATTTGGGTTGGTCGTGGCTAGTGTAAGCCGCCCATGTTTCTCTGCCGAAGTTGCTTTTAGACCCGTCATGTATAAAAACAGTTGACAGGGGGGTTATGGCTGGGCATCTCTAATAGTTGAATCCAAGCAACAAATCCACATCGATTATGAAACGCAACATAGGGCTGAGGTGATCAGCCAATGACGCGAATAATTTGGTTGAGGTGAGACCTAATGTGGTACCGAAACCCTGTAGTGATTGATGTAGATCATTGCATTTGCAAACATTGTTGGTACACGCACCTATATTTTCAGCCGCATATACACTCAACTTGGCAACATAACCGAACTCTCCATGCCGTTCGGTTGTCTCTTTGCAGGAGTCCTCGCATAAACAAGATCAGATCCTGCGAACATGTGCAACGAACTAGTGACGCCGATGTTATCGCCAGAAAGTATCCACCCAACTTTTTTGGCCTGTGCCGGGGGTTGATATCATATAAACACTATGGAGTCTCCAATTAGCGTCTAGTGGACCCGTCTTCCGATCGTGAACGCAAGGATGTTTGGCCTCCAATCTACGATAGATGTACCTGTCGTATGTGCTCTATGGTACCTTTGGACAACAATTAGCTGAGCGAGTCTAACGAGCTGGGACGAATTGAAGGACACAGCTTGGCACTGTCTGGCAGCCCTGCAACAGAGGATTTGGCAATGGCAGTTCCAGGCAACAAGATATGGCTTACCTTGCGTACTAGATCAGTGGCCACGACTGGAGTAAAGGCATTAGAATGTTGATTCTATGGCTTCGCTATGGGCAAGACTGAAGCTGGTAGGGTAGGCCGGGGATCTTGCGAGAGCCTCAACAGGATTCCTGGGTCAGTTGGGGGCCAATCCACTCGGCCGGGTGCCATAAGCCTAGGTTAGGTTAAGGTTAGTTAGTTTCCTCCCGCCACGGCCACAGTGACAGGACTGGCGAAAGGAGCCAGGCAGCGAGTTATCTCAGAATAACTCTGAGATCCATACCGATGTCAGAACTTTGATAGTAACCCTAGTCAGTTCTGCTCTGCATACCCGAACGGTGATCCATGCTGTGGAGAGAAAGGGACAAAACAGTAATCCAGGCCTGTGGAATTTGATGTCATTTGCTCCGATTAGCGCGCAGCGCCCCGCAGCTACCACAAATCAAGCCGTTTAGCGCCATTAAACGCAGGCAGCAGAATTTCACGAGGCAGTGTAATTTGGTTAGCGAGCGCCGTTTGAGCCTCAAATCCTGGCCGCACAATGCTTTGCAATCTTTCAACCGCAATTCTGTCGCCTAGAAGGAATGTGTAGGATTAAACTTTCATTTCTCGCTCTTTTCACAAAGTTGCTGGAACGCAATAGCACAGTATTCCAGGGAAAAGTCGGAGTCGAGCTTCGTAGCGTAGAGAAGTTTCAATGGGAATTCGAGACCTCTCAATCAACTGCCGAAATGTTCGTGAATATATTAACTTATCAAGTTTCCAAGACGCGGTATCATGTTGGCGATGTCGAAGGTACAATATTGTTTCTGTCAATATGAGACCAAACTGGAGGTCAAGTTCGAAGAGTTGTAGGGATTTATCTGCAGCATTTTAATCCAACACGCCTCGTTCTCATGTTTAATGAGCGCATACTTTCTGACACAGTCGAAAGGATGCAGTTAGCTCGTCGTTTACGACGTTCATTGTCCCTCCTATCAGTTGTATTTCTGGGATTGTCATTCAAAAGCGGGACTATGGTGGCCGCTACATAGCGAAGGGAGCCCCTAAACATCGAAGACTCATCAGACTATGTCGCCGAATCGTTCATTGGTCTCACACCTTGTACTTAAACTCAAAGTGAGCTGAGGTTGAGATGAACCAAGAACAACCCCATCTTAGAGAATATCGAACCGGCAGTGACAAATTAACATGTTGATGTAATCTAAACGCTATCTCGATCGTGGCTTGATCGCGAACTCGTGAAGACCATCCGCCATGAAAATCGGATGTAACTAATCAGATCGTCTTGTACAGGTCTGATCGTTATCAGGGAGTAGAATTGCTTAGCGATGGAGATGTCTATTTGAAACCCATGTGTGTCACAATCACGCATTTGAAAGAGCTAGATTTAGAACCAGATACATAAGGTCAAGATGGAGCTTTATACCTTCGATTTCCTTTATTGCAAAACCACATAAACTTGTCTCCCTTAATGTCACCCTACAACATATATTGATGCCAAGTTGTAATAAGCGCGATGGATCGAATTATCTTGTATTGCGACTAAGATACTGGTCACTAAAATGAGACTCTTCTTATTTCACTAGTTCCCTGATACAACGTGCCTTTTCACTGAATGATGCAATCGGCACGTACTGCTATTCAAAGTAATAATATCAAACGAGAATCGAGGGAATTCGTGGTCAAAGTGTAAGGCGGCAGAGTAGTCTACCCAAGTAGCTGAACAAGGAATCTAATTGTCAAAATATTAAGTCATCAACGGTAAATCTGACTGCGAACAGGCATACTGTCCAGTGACAGCTTTGAGGGTGGCCCCAAAGATGCGCGGTGAAATTCTTCAATCTCTGATTGGTTCCATATCATGCCCATGCTGTTAATCAGACACGACCCGCTTCGATTGATGTCACCAATATCTGAAAACAACCGTTCTTGAAACAGGCTGGTAGGTCAGTCGGCTAACAAGACCACGAGGAAAACTTCATAGCGATACCCAAGCTTGATTGTGTTCACGTCTCCCTAGCCATCTCAACACGAAAAATTGTGATGGATTAATATAAACAGGTGCTTCAAGTGCATAAGGTCGAGTCAGGGCGAAGTGTATACTTGCTACTGAAATCTTGGGCCGGCCAAGACATCGCGCTCGTCGAATGGTATTTTGGGTGAGATGATCACCCTGGCTGCTCACCAAAAAACATAACCCAAACGACATCGCGATGACGATTGGTCTCTACACAGTCGACTTTTGCAGCTCATCAAACATCAGTAAATATGAGCTCAATCTGGGGAACGTTTTGGATCATGCAACTAATACCCATAAGGCAAGTAAGTGCCCAGGTAGGAGGCCCAGGATGTTGGGCAGCGCTAAAGCTTGTATCAGAAGCTTGGCGCTAACCTAAACTCACCCAAACTCCGTTAAACTCAACGGCAACTGCAGCCCACGGGCCCTACCAGCATAGAGCCTGAAACGTTTCCCCCGCATATTAACATGGGATGATCTGCCTCAAATCAGGAATGAGACGTCGCGAGGGCATGCAATACTCAAAATAGATGTTTGGAACGTTTAGTCGTGAATGAGATGAACGCCGGTGATGGCTGCCATCCATACTTGGAGGTGCACTGGCATCAAAGCATCGTTGCCCATTATATGATCGGATGGTCTATAAAAACGCGGGTCTCATCCAAGTACAGAGATCTTTTTACCATTCCGCTCTCAACCTCACTTTCATTGCTCTTTCTCTCTTAACTTCAATTCTTTGGCTGGTCCATTTTGTTATTTGTCCTATTAAATATCCAAGTTTTTACAATCAGACATAACGAATCTTTCACTCATCCCACCACCAAAATGAAGTTCTTCTCCATCCTTCTCCTCGTGGCCTCTGTCAGCGCCATGGCCATTGAGCCTCGCCATCACGCGTAAGTATTCAATAATATAATCTCCCTATGCTTCCCGTTTTCAATTTTCTATGAAAAGAAACTGTAAACGGCATGCCCTCTGCCTAGTACCCCGTGCCGGAATCATAACCCCGAGTTCTTTCCTCTTCAAGGCACGCATGATTAGCTGACACTCCAGACAGGGGTAGAAAGACTGGACAGGCCGCTGCGGCTACCGGTAATGGAAACAATGCGAATGCCAATGCCAACGCCAATGCCAATGCGGCTACTGGCACTGGAGCCGCTGCCGCTGCGAACAACGCCAATGCCAACACCAATGCGGCTGCCGCGGCTGATCCGGCTTGCCTCGCTGCTCGGTATGTACCTGAGCGATAGATTCAATGCCGAGATATTACAGACGGCTAACCATCCGCGTGTTACAGCCACCACGCCGGCAGAAAGCAGGGCGCCGCCAATGCCGGAGCCAACGCTGCCAATGCCAATGCTGCCGCCACGGGTGCGACTGCTGCTGCCTGTGCCAATTAAGTGCGGCTATTCAACAACGGCATTGGCTTGATACCCGGAATTTATTTTGGGGACTCTGAGTACGTCGTAGACGAGAGTCAATTCATGCACGCTTGCTTGTTTTTTTTTTTTTAAAGCGCATATGCATTGGCATGTATGGTCTACGGCATAGCGGAGAAGTCGGTCTTGAGAGTTGCATTTTGAAGAAGCTTCAAGGACAATTTCAAGGGGCCTCATTCTATCGAGATATGGATACCGGTCGCTTCGAACATCACCCATAGTTGTAATAAGATAGGAAGGGAAATAATAAATGAGTGATGAGATCATTCATTAGCTTGATGTGCTTGCGTCAAACGTTACTATTGTTTGTGCACATATGTTGACGATCTCGTCCTTCTTGAGTGTGTGCAACATATCTGGATTGCTTCTTCAATATGCTGCACGGGTAGTATCTGGACTTTCTTTGTTACAGAGCTTTCAAAACATTTAAAAATTGAGACCAAAGACGATAAAATCCGGTACACTATAATTTGCCTATATATCTGATGGGCCACGTGAACTAATGGAGCGCACTGTTCTCGTTCTATGAGGAGTCAGCAGACTATAGGACTTAATAGAATATTGACGCATATTTAGTATAGCCCTGAAACGATTGCCGTCGGAGAAACTTTGAGTGCAAATATATCATAGCTTACGTTGGAATGTATTTGCTTTTATAATAATTATTACAAAAATTATATTCTCCTGCGACTATTGTTAAGAGTTCGTCTTCACATCAAACACGTGCTAATTACACCGAAAGTGGCGACGTAGGGAATATGCCACCATAGTTCATAAAACATTTTCCTTTCAGAGTAGGCTGAGGATCATTGCGATATCGAACTATGTTTTCCGAGCCTTCTTCGGTTCTAAGGCTGTAGTTGCGTCAGTAATTATGGTCCGAAATTGGAACTACGAGGCAACTTCAAGCAGTACGGCCAATACATTATGACGTAGCTGGAATGATCACGGAATTGGAGCGATCGGGTCACAAACTCAAGAACATACACGGCTCTCATGAGCTGCTCCGCTTGGCTGAAATCATCCGTATTACTTCGAAAGGTAAGTGATGAGATCCTGATAAGTTCAGTGCCGCTTGAAAGTATTAACATCGTCCTGTGCGGACTTCAAAAATGTGACACGCTCAGAACCGAGCATGTGAAACTTGAAGTTCGATTGGCATTGCTTTGGGTAGAGTGATCTCCGTAATGTCATCGGAAAGTGGCGTATGCTACTCACTGTATCACAGAACAACAGTATCAATATTGCTCATTAATCGCAAAAGAATGGACAAAGCAGGAACGATGAATCACGTTAGTTACCAACGTCATAAAAAATAGGCGAATCAAATGCGTCTCATACTTGTATCATTTTTGATGCCTCATACAATCTACTGTACATGCCCAAACGTCTGCATATCTCTCATGTGCTCCCGCCAATCAGCGATGGGATCCCAGACTTGTTCGGGAGTGTTCATAATACCGATGTTCTTTGACTTGACACCGTAGAGATACGGTTTTTCGTTCGCATAGCAAGCCGTCTCTTGTTCTTCCGGAACAATGCCATTCAAGAGGTATGCCTTGGCAATGCCGTCAGTGCAATCGGAAATGTCTCTGGAAGAATGTCCATAACCGTGATGGGCAATCAATCGAGCGTTTTCCCCCATCTCCTTGAGGAGGCGCCGCCCGTTGCGAAGAGGTGTGGCAGGGTCGTAGGTCTCAGCAATCAGCAACACTGGATTTTTCAGTGTGTTGTTGAGATCGCCCCGATAAGCCTCGGCTGGTTTTGGCCAATAGTCTGCGAAGTGTCGGCACGGGAAGACATCCAAAAATCTAGCGTTACCAGCAATCCATGATTTTGTTGTCATATTGTCCCAGAGTTCCAGCCACCAGTCGAGTCCGTCGGGCTGAGGTGCATCCCAGGCGTCTGCACATATAACAATGAGACCTAATTCGTCCGAAGAGGGGTTTGGTGGCGAGAGAGGACATGGTTTCGTCGGATCAAATTCCCAGTCTTGCAAAAAAGCCGCCGCAAGGGTCGAGTTTCCTCCCTCGAGCTCATAGAGCATTTGTGCCAGCGCTGGCCAAGACCTCGCGTTGTACATCGCACCATAGAGAGCCTGGACTAGCTGACCATAAGTGATAAGTGATGGTCCGCTGGTCTTGGTATAGCCCGGAATGGGGCGCTCGATAATCTTTTGAAGCAATGCATGCAATCTTGCTTCGAGTGCTTCCACTGTAACATCTTCTCCTTTGCGCGGCTTTGCCAACGCACAGTGGTTTGGACCAGCATTCACACATTCTCCTAGAAAACCGTCATGCCAGGCATCGGTACCATTATCTAGAGCAGTCCAGCCGAAACCTGCAAGTAAACGGTGGTCACGGACGTATTCTGTACCATCTAAAATGATGCGACCGACGCTTTCCGGAAACATGTTGGCGTAAGTCTGTCCGATGCCTGTTCCATAGCTCACAAGGTAGCCCGTCAGTTCATCCTCTCTCAGAGCCTTTCGGATCTCCTCAAGATCTCGAGCAACAAAAGAGGTGCCCATGAACCTTCCCAAGTCGCCGTGCCTTTCCCAGCAGCCATGTAAAATTGATTCATGCATAGCATCCGCGAACTCCAGCTGAGCGCGTGGCGATGCTACTGTTTCGCGATACTGTGACAGTTGCAGTGACCAACGATCGCGATCTGCATCAAATGGCCAACAAGCAATCGAAGGGAGCGAGGTGTTGATGCCACGAGGGTCCCATCCTAGAATGTCGTATTTGCCATCGGTGAAACGCCTCCCATCGTCCTCGGCGGCTCGCCAAACAAGATTGGTACCGCTACCGCCTGGACCGCCAGGCTCAACCACAAGGGTCCGTTCGCTCTTCTTCCCAGCGTTAGGATTTTGTACAGAAGCATCCAAAAGCGCCAAACCTGATACTTGATATTTGGTCACTGAGAGCCGTATAATGCGCTCATCTGACTTGTTGGTGTAATCGAGGGGTACATCTAGCCATCCACAGAGATAGATGCCCCGCCCAGCGTACGGGTCCTCAAGGTCCACTGTCAGGTTAGTGTCTGGATTTCCCCAACTCCAATGGTCGGGATTTGCATCAAACAGCGATGCCCACGTATGGTTTGGGTTCGCATTCTCTAAAGCCGGCGGCACGGTAAGGCTCGTGCAGGGAATGAATTGAAAAGGGTCGTCATGTGTAGGAAGGGTTCCGTATGGCGACGTTACGGATGTACGGGGCAGCTCCTCGTCGTCATCTAGTAAAGTCCAGGCATTACGGAGTCCAACATTGAAGCAGTACAGTGCTAGACAGATCCCGAACACACGTACAACTTTGAGCCGCTTCGATTCGTGAAGGAATCGCCCAGGTGTAGGCGCTTCGATATTAGGTTGCCCCATGGCAATGACGAGCAATGTGTTGTGAGAGGTAACGAATGGTCACGGATAACTTGATCAATATCTGCGGAGATTCAAATTTATATGACTGCCTGGATGGTGTCACCCGCGCTATAACCGAGCCACTAAGTTGAGTTAGTCGCATGCGATACAGGTACCTAATGAGACGGAGTTGGGAGGCTTGTGATGGCTTCACGGTGTGCACTGCGGCTCCGCCGCATACGACTGGCACTACACTCAAACAGGCAGGCCGTAAACATCGGAACTAAAACATCGGAGTTGAGAGCCGATGAACGCCATGAACCAAAAACAGTTGTAGGTTTGATCGAACAGAGGTGAATTTGGAAGTTCTTCAAATGACTCCTTTAATTTCTCTTTCTGCAACGAATATGATGCGGTCTGCCATCCTGAGCTGGTATGATTTGCGTTGTGATATGTGCTGTTTAGTTGCCGCAATTGCTAAACCATTGTATTTGTTCGGAACCTGCCCATAGTGCCAGCTAATTGTGCGTCTGTATGCATTCAACCCGTATCTATTCGCTTAGCACATATAATACGACATGTGCCAAAGATGCAACAGGAGAGCAGCATTCTGGAAACATCTTCTCACTCATCTCTTAATCAGACAAGTGCAATTTTCTCCGAATTGCCCAGATACTGGCTTCGGATTGTACTCCCAGGAAACGTGGCAGGGCCTAGACAGCCCTGAACAATACATGAGCACTGCGTTGCTTCGCAGGTAATGAGGTCACCAATAAAAGCTTAGCAAACAGTTCTCTTGATATGATTTTTTTTTGGGACAACAGCTGCTTGTCGCGCTCGCAGCTTCCGTTTGTATAGAAGTTTGTTGGTAAGATGGGCGCCTGAAAACAAAGACTTCGACAAAAATTATGTAAATGACGCAAACGTACATCGCATACAATCTTCTCTACATAAAACGCTCGCAGTTCTCAATCTCGCTACACCTTGCCACACCACACTCATTGCCTTCAATTCTACTCTCACTTCCAGTCTAGCAAACACGCCAAAAAAAAAAAAAAAAAAAGCCCCATTCAGTTTTCTCAAACTCAACCATCAACTCTTCTACCAAGAATTCAAGATGGCTTCAAACATTAACAGCCAGGTTATCCACGATATCACCACGAAAGAGCGTGAAAACACCAGCGAAGCTCGTTTTGTGCGTCAGACATATTTCGATGGGCAAAGAATCGTTGCTCTGAGCAGTAGACACCTTAGAATGGACAGAAGAAACTGAACGATCTGCCCGATCAATGTCGTACAAGCACACATGCGATCATGCGAAGGGTTATCGGCCCATACTGGTTCGCGATATTCTCTCCGTGATCTTGTTGCGATGGTCAGAAGGTCAGAACAGACCCAGGTGGTCTGCGTTGTTGTGAGTGTATTCAAACGGTAGTTTTTATCTTGATGATCATGCAGTAAATTTTTTTTAGGACAAAGATAGCTACAAGCCAACGAGTTAGTAGGGTCACTTTCACAACAAAACATAGTAAGAACTATCTCTTGGCACGTGCCTTCTAGCGAAAGAAAAAAACATAATTTAAAGTTTTTATAGAACAGGTATGTACTCAAACATGTTTAACATCACAACGAGGCCAAAAAGAGCGAAACATAGCGCATAAATATATCCGTTATCTTCGTGTATGGGCATCGGATCCACCAGATGTGAACAGGGATACGCCCTCCATATTTGTCTTGGATTAATTGCAATAAAGCATAACAGCAGATTTTTGCAGAGCACGTACAGAAGCTACCAGGTCATTATAGGTCGACTTGAGATAGCGCAACGCGTATGCTGCCAGTGATATTAATATAGTCAGCCCCTTCTTGAAGTTGTGCCGACGTGGTCTCTCTTCAGTCCATGTCTATCTTTTTCTTAATGGCATGATTTTCATATTTTACGCTGCACTACAGGGGAGCAGATGAGCACGCCCCAGTATCTGCCTATACCGTGTATCTCAGCCCACCAGCTCGGTATAGAATCAGCAGTGGTAATACATTGCCTACTGTTGCATCGTCCGAATAGGCTATAGTATCTTCTGTTGCCAGGAATCGGCCCACCTGGCGATTAGCAAACTTACATGCATTAGAAGACCAGAGTATTCTTTTTTTTTTTTTTGAATCCAGTTGGCTACGTTCCCAGGTTGTGAACTTATTTTCAATATTTCAAGGTTAAGCTTCGTAAATCTGTTATTAGGGCCCAGAAGCGTGGATAAGATCCACCACGAATCCTCCCGCTTCCCTGTCAGGTCCACCGAAATGGCCGCTTGATAAACGTCACCAATAGGATCGAGTTCGAGAGCCGTGTTTTATAGTGCTGTGTTGGAGGGTGACCCTGCAATCAGACATTGTCAGGCCGTTGAACTCGTGGCTTTCCTAGCCAGCATTCACAAGGTGATCCTAATTTGGAGCTGTCAAAATTAGATGGAAGAATTTGCCAAAAATACCATGCATGGTACGGTAAATCCGCGAGATTTTAACTTAATGGCTCGTTAAACCTCTTCTAGAAGAAAGAATTCCGTAGTTCTACTAGTTTTCGCGTTCATGTGAACCGTCAAACGTAGCAACCATCATTGTCGTTGCCAATCGTTAACATGTCGACCGACGACTTGTTCGACCTTATTGGGACATACGACAACCTTAGTGAAGCAGTGCCGAGTGCGAACAGTCGTGCAACGCTTCTGGGTACCGTTGTAACATTTCTGGTACGTCTACCGAGGCCAAATTCTATGTTGAAGCTAGAAAGATTGGATACTGACCATCAGTGTCTAGATCATATCATGGGGTTGCGCTTTATTTCGCTTCTACACGAGATTCTTCGTCATCTATTCCCCTGGATGGGATGACTTCTTCTTGTTACTTGTTCTGGTATGTCACTGTCGAATTCTGATGGAAAGTTTGCTATTGGCAGCGACTAATTCGTAACGCCGTGTAGCTTGCGAGTATCACGGGAGCGACCTGCATTTGCATGTGTGAGTAGAAAGTTCTGAAAATCATTACCTTGGAATTAAAAAACATTCTAACACGATGGAGTTCAGTACCCGACTATGGGCTAGGCCAGCATTTCATATATTTAACAGAGGATCAAATGTCGGCCTATTTTAAAGTGAGTATTTGATGCCATGAATCTTCTCCAGTCTCCCTGGATGAGTCAGTTACTCTTCAGTGAAATGATACTAAATAACAAGAATAGGGGTATTACATTGCGAATGGTACCTACATCCTGTCCACCACATTTATCAAGATTTCGCTTCTCCTACAATACCTTCGGGTATTTGAAGAACGTACTTTACGACTGATCTGCTGGTCCCTCCTGATTGTTTCTTCAGTGTGGGGAATGATCTTCGCCATCCTGGCCTGGATTCCATGTGCGCCTGTTTACGAATTTTGGGACCTCACAATGTCACGAAACGAGAAGAATTGCTACGGCTACGGATCTTCAAGTCGAACTGGCTTCGTCCGGTCGTATCTTAGCCATGCCAGCTTTAACATGACGATTGATATATTCATTCTCTCATTACCGGTGTGGCTGGTCGTTAGGAAGACCAATGTTCCCACGAATCGTTTAGGCCTAGTAGGGCTGCTGGGAGGTGGCTGCGTGTAAGTATTTTGAAAATTGGTTGTATATACATGTGTTCTGAGCTGACAGTGAACCTTTAGGGTGGTTTTTGTCTCTATCTGGCGACTAGCGAGCCTAGTAAAGCATCAAGCTGCTACATATCCGACGTTCGATCCGACGTGGTATTCTCCGATAAGCATCATATTGTCGGCCATCGAGGTGGATGTGGCGAGCATTTGCGCTTCCATTCCAGTGTTCTGGCCAGTACTGACAAACTCAGTTGGAGAAATCTTCGTAACCAAAGAGGTGCACATCATCCACGAGGAGCGAGGAGACGAATTTGAACTTCACCTTTCGCGCAGTGGCAGTGGCGTGACACACAGCAATGACAGCAGGGACTATCCAAACGAAATGATGGTCGGCGTCTCTTCGCATACCGGTAGCAAGCAATTAGAATTCAACCCACTCAGGAGTAACCCACTTCCAGGTGTGAATGAGAAGGAAACTCATACAGTCATCGTGCGGACGCGTATACGCAACGATAATGGCGCAGTAAAATTACAAAGCTTAGAGTCTCTCCTCTCTGAAAAGTAGACTCAGGAGACGAGATAATGTAAAAGTAATTACGAAGATCTCTTTTTCTATAACTTAATTATAGAGTTGCCAGAAAATATACATGTATGCATTACAATACTCGGGAACAGGACAACCACACCATGGGGACATTGATACCAGGATGCAACTAAAAGTAGCGGATGACTATAGTACACTGTCTTACTGTATTGGGTTCGTGGTACTCTTCGATTGTTGACGGCCAATGATCGTCTGTGATATAATGAACTGTGGTAAAACGTTGGACCAGATAATCGGACAAATATCGACTGTTTACTTCTCTGCCTGATTATAGGCATTTTCGATGTTTTCGTACAGAAATTTGAACCTGAATTTGAAGCACTCCAGTGGCTTTGGTGCCAGGTCGCGACCGCGCAGCCCCGGAGTATTCTATGTCCGGGGTCGGTCCCATTAGTACAAGGGACCGCCCTTGCCCACAACGGGGGCGTTCGTTACGCTGGCTAGAAAATGTCCGGCACGGTAAATGAGGTCTGCAAAGATTGTTGCCAAGTAACGAACGAACATCAACCCTGCAAAGATTGACAAGAAATGAACAAGCCATACGCGCTTAGCGTCACGACATTTGGTAAGGGATTGGACGGTAGACATGAACGAAAACAAGGCTGGTAAGTCGCACTTCCTCCTATTTAGAATTAAGCTTGGAGCGCCTACTGATTTCTCAATAGCAGAAACGACAGCCTCGATAGCCTGCGAACTCTGCCGAACCAAAAAGCAGAAAGTAAGCATTTCTACAAGCTGATATAGTGCCAGAGAATTAATATACAGACAGTGCGACCGTAAGACGTAAGATGAAATGCCTGAGAGTTAGTCTTGTCAAATGACTGATTGATCATCTTGCTGCAGACCGGTGTGCTCCCAGTGCGCAAATGCCCCAGAAAACTGCCGTTACCCAGAGCAGAATAGGAGGTAATGCACCACCGACAGCTCCGGGCGCAGTTGACTTTGTCCGGCCATCAAATTGATCCATCATCACAGGGGACTTCCAGCAGGATACTTGAATTCTCTAGAGAAACGCCTTCTTGAGACTGAACGTGCTTTATTCTTTGCACTAGCAGAAATCCATGCTAGATGTACAGAACTGGGAGACTATTCCGATGCCGGCTTGCGACTCATGAAGCCTTCATCTCAAACAAAGACTGAGTTGGTCCAAAGTTGGTCGCGAAATCCACTGGACACTCGTAACGATGGTCGGAAATGGTTTTTTGAGCACCAACGTGGTCTAGAAAATACCTCTGCGACAATGGGCAGCACAACATCGCCAATGCCCATGCAGGTGCCTGACAGTTTGCCACTGAATACACAAATAAACAATGAGCCGTGGCCATTGGGTTTAGATGCAGGGATGCCACCTCAAGAAACTAATAGCGCTGTGGCCCCAATGGACTCGAGCTTCTCGGGCCAGCTCGCTAACACACAATGGAGAACGTTTGGTACGGGCAGCCCAAGCGTCCGAGACAGTATGCAAATGGATGGTTCATCAGCTCACTTTCAAGGGAACAGCCCCTCAACACCAAGTGATACCAGACCCGTAGCAATGCAGCACATAGGCTCCATGTCGGGAAAAGGCCAACAAGGGAAAGCCAGTGGATTTGCGAAGGATAATCAAAATATGTACTTCTAGTGACAGAAAAGTCAAGAATAGAGCTTGGTTCATTGAAGTGACTCGAATCAGATGGCTATAGTGAGAAACAGCCTTGGCATGCTCATAGTTTCATATATGCTTGTGGAAGGTCGATGTGTCGTGCTTCAACGTTATTTAACCATTAGTTAAGAGTATGAAAGGTGTATTGAAATCTTTAAGAAGTCAGCCTCTTCGATTAACGTAACCTAGTGGGTTAAGACAATCCCTCGGGTCTGGACAACGCTACATTTAGCGCTTAGCGCGGGCAATGGGCAGCCGGCAAGCTGAAGAGTCGAAGTTTGTAGGTGCAAGATTCTTCTCCAAATCCTGCTGATCATCATTGCTAAACTCTTCCTTGGCTGGTGAAACCGCACATAAGGTGCGCTCTGAGTATAAAACACATGACAGCGTTTGGTCTGCCACTCGCTTCGCCAAAGCCTCGTGGCAGAGTATTGTGACTTGAACACCAATGAGTGACACTACAAGCCCAGGGCTGGACGACTGGTCCAGCCACACTGAACCGGCGCGGTCCCCCACTCAGCTGCAACATCCAGCGAAAAGAAGGCGGACAGACTCTCGTGGCCATGCATCTCGAGAAATCGGGCTCATGAGGAATGGCGGTAATTCGGGACTACCTCGATTCATTGGAAGTGGAAGTGGCATACATTTTATCCGCACTGTATATGATGTGTTGGCTCGGAGCGCTCTTGGAAGCCGTCCAGTTGATCGAAACCAAGTACAGGGGGATATTGTACCAGGCGAAGACGATGAGCTAGTCGACCCAGCTCCGGATATCGTCGAGACCCCTGGCACCAGATCTCGTGCGCCTTTCTGGCGACAAGATGAAGTCGTCGAAGACCCGAGTCAAGGGGCACCTACTATCGACTTTGACAACTTGGTGCTTTGGACGAAAAGTTACTTTGAGAACTGGCATTCAACTTTCCCCTTCCTCCATGGGCCTGAAGTACTGGCAACGTTCGAGAGGGTCGCAACTATCGGCATATTCAACATAAGTGAGGCGGATGCTACCATTGTGCGCTCTTTAGTCTCGATATCTCTGGCTGATGCGCGTCAAACCGGGACCAACCGAGCTGCCGTCCCAACAAGTCTTGTCTTTCTCAATCAGGAACATATCGCGTCAAGTATGGTGTTTGCATTAGGATGCCCTGCGTCTTTGAAAAGCATTCAGGCAGCTGTCTGTGTTCAGCTCTTTCTAGTCTCCATGCTTAAGTTTAACATGGCGTCAAGACTTGGTGGGATCATCGTACGTATGTCGTTCCATCTTGGTCTATACCGATGTCCTGTTCGGTATCCAAATTTCAGTCCTCAAGAAGCCGCGATGCGAAAGCGTATTTGGTGGTCGATCTACTGTTTAGAAAGAATCGTTTGCCAGTCTCTAGGCCATCCGTTGGGCATAGTGGACGATGACAGCGATGTTTGTCTGCCCTCGCATGAAAGCCATAGACAACATCCATCGAGTGGCTCGACTGAAAGTAAGCCTCGCAAAAATTTGTTTATACCCTGCAAAGAAGTTCATGCTAATGTGTTGATAGACGACCCATTACTATTTCTTACTCTTCTCTCCAAACACGCCCGCATTAGAGGTTTGATATTAGAACTTAGGCATAAGTCCATTGCGATACGTCATGATACTGTTGACCGAGCTATGGTTGTTCAATCTGAATTAGCCAAATGGACGAATGATGTGCATGACAGGACAGACGATCGAGAGGACTTTCAGAATGAGGGGGAATCTGTTGTCAAAGAGCTGATCTCGCCCTCACAAAAAGTTTTGCTTTCTATCATGCACCACGAGTCTACGATCACGCTGTTCAGGCCACTTCTAGCATCAGAAACCAAGTCTCCTGCTTCTCAAGCCGCACTGCAAACATGCATTGGTGCATCAAGGGCTCTCATAGATACTGTCATCACAAACAATCCTCGGCAGAGTGGTAAATCAATTCACAACATTATGGTTTGGCCACTTCTTACGTGGTCGGTTTGGATGAGCTGTTTCATATTGACATATGCAGCACTTGAGGGTGAAACAACAATATCTTCGGCACAAAAGTACAGGTGTCCGCTTCTCGTTCGCCTAGTTCCAGAGCTAATGATTTATCTAGGTATGCGAAGAAGGCGTTGTACATACTGAAACAGCTTTCGGCTAGAGGTACAGTCTGGCCGGAATCATGTGCTCATGGAGTAGAGCATCTTGTGTCTGCACTCAAAGGGAAGCAAGAAGAGGGTCATGTAACCGTGGTCGAAGGGGCGCGAATCCCAACACTATCTCAAGAGACGCGTCAAACGAGAAATAACGCAAATACTACTGACAGAAACAGTTCGCAAACAGTACCGCAGGATAAAAATTCGCTGGACAACGAGTTACATTCAGGGACTCCTGTGACCCCCCAACCACAGCAAAATGGGCGGAGCTCATCATCTGTCATGCCAGGGTAAGGTCACTTTGTATTTTTCTGCATGGCCGCGTACTTACATATATTATATTTAGAGCCGTTCATGGCGGTGAAGAGCACGTTTTCCAGTTCCGCTCCCCGTTTGATTCCACACAGTTTATACCCAACAATGGTCAATTTCCAATGACCGAAAACCCATCAGGGACAGATTTATATAACCAGGAGTGGTTTGATCCTCTTGGGGCCTTGGACTTCTCAAATTTCGCTCAAGTTGGAACGAGTGACTCAACGCTTGGCTATGGCCTTTTCTGAGTGTTAATTAGATATTGTGCAAGCAAACAAAGAGGTTAAAATCTCATTAAACGACCAGGATTCACATATAATCACCGATATACTCATGCCTGACGCAATGCACCAAACGATACATTTTTAGCAATTAGTCGTGGCGATCAGATATATCTGACAGAGCTCATGCTCTCAGAAGGAGATATGGTACAAACTTTAGCCATTCACCAGCCATTCAAGTACGCGAAGTGCAAGCTCAAAATGTACGATGCATATTTATCGCTCAGTTACGGGGATCTATTTCCTACGAAAGTCTAACAAGAAGATTATTTCGGTCTGCTTTTGTACAAGATTCGCTGAAAGTTGTTGTGACATTCATGATAGATTTTACTGATAGGTACATCGATACCCAACCTTTTTCATACGCGGGCAACTCTTCAACGTGGAGCTGGATCCCTTGCTTGAGCACAACGGTTTTTGTTTCGATAAACTTGCAGACTTGAATTGAGGAGGAACAAACCTAATGAATAAACTTTCCTGAGGAAAGTCGAGTGTTTGCGTATTTGTCCCACTCCACTAGCTTCAGCTTGACGTCACTCTTCACACCTAGTGCTTCCACCCCGTCTGCATATCAATATCAAGAGCTGCCAAGTATCTCTAGTGCTTGTTGTTCCTTACCTCCTGTTTCTAAACTCTCCATCTTCACAAAGAAATGCCAGACCCAGCACAGATCAATCGTTCCCTAGGAACAATTAGGACTGAGCTCGAGTACCTCGCCTCGTCTGGCGTCTTGTCTCAACCACAGCTGCAGTCTATCCAGGCGCAACTGCCCGTACGTCACGACAACTCGAAAAAGATCATGAGTTGCTAATATTTCTAGCAACCTAATGGGCAACCTTCGCCATACATCGACGCTAGATATGCCTCAGGCCAACAACAGTTCAACCCATCACTAGTGGCGCAGCAAGCTCAGGACCCCCAAAACCCTGCTCACCCTGACCATCCCAAGGTACGCTTCTCTTAGCTTGTCGTAGTTCTTCTGGCTGGAAAAGGGTTCAAATCAAATCACTGACTGGTTAACAGCATCACGAGTGGGCAAAGAAGCTTGGCAGCAAATTCGGCAATGCTGCATTATGGGGGGCTGGAGCAACATTTGGCTCGGACTTGGTGAATGATGCCATGAACAAAATTTAGAGGACTCGTTCCGGCGGTTCATAATCGGGAAATCTCGTATGGTTACATATGAAGCTCTATGAGCTGATTCAAAGGCAACTAAAGAGCATCGTGTTGTCCTTGTGGAAGCCAACTCTAGCCCAATCGAAAGTGTCTTTATCCAAACCTAAGTATAGGCCGTAAGTGTAAGTTGAGTTGATTGGTCGTAAGTTATTATACAATGAACATTTATTATTTGCCAGGCTTTCCGTATGAGCTCTTGATCTCCTCAATGACAGCATCCGTTACTTCAACTGTCTTTGCGGACCCGCCCAAGTCGGCTGTGACAATACCCTTTTCGCATACGCGCTCCGTGGCATCCAAGAGCTTCTTAGCAGCATCCGACTCGCCAAGCCATTCAAGCATCTCTGCACTCGTCCAGAAAGTTGCAACCGGGTTCGCCACGCCCTTACCGGTGATATCGAAAGCTGAGCCATGAATGGGCTCAAACATGCTAGGGTTTTGACGAGTAGGGTCAAGATTAGAAGTGGGAGCAATACCAATAGAACCAGCCAAAGCAGCCGCCAAGTCGGAAAGGATATCCGCGTGCAGATTCGTCGCCACAATGGTATCGAGGGATTCCGGCTTCAGCACCATGCGGCAGGTCATGGCGTCCACCAGCATCTTGTCTTGTGTGACATCGGGGAAGTCCTTGGCGACATGGGCCGCAACCTCGTCCCAGAGCACCATACCGTTGCGCTGGGCATTGCTCTTGGTGACGACGGTCAAGAGCTTGCGCGGACGTTTCTGGGCGGTCTCGAAGGCGAAACGCATAATTCGCTCTACAGCGTGACGGGTGAATACGGACACCTCTGTGGCCGACTCCCAGGCCTGACCGCGGTGGGAGCGACCTCCTTGTCCGGCGTATTCACCCTCGCTGTTTTCACGGATGATCACCCAGTCAAGATCACCTTGCTTGCAGTTACGGAGTGGCGATTGTGTGCCTTTGAACACTTTGGTAGGCCGCACATTGGCATATTGTTGAAAAGGCTGGCAAATCGCCAGTCTGAGACTCCAGAGAGAGATATGATCGGGGACATCTGATAACTCGATGAGCGAATTGTCCAATGCACTGTTACATGGTGAGCAAACTTACCAGGAGCTCCAACAGCACCGAATAAAATAGCATCGTGCTTCTTCAGCTGATCCAAACCGCCATCTGGTATATACTTTCCAGTCTTCTTGTAAGTCTCTGAACTCCAATCATAGTGTGTGAAGTCTATTTCGAAAGATCCCAAGGTCTCTGAAAGAGTCTTTAGGACTGCAATGGCTGCATCGATAACCTCAGGCCCGATACCATCGGCCGGGATGGAGGCAATGCTATAACTCTTAGATGCAGGAAGGGCAGATGGAGACATGGTGGACGATAAGCGATGTATGTGCTGATATCAAAGGATGGAACGTGACAAATTGAACGAAATGAAATGTTATTCTCTTTCCACCAAATCTTGTTGTTTAGCTTACTCTTATGTTTCTACGATTCAGGACTTACTATCTGGTAGATGCGGTCTCGCCATCGTTCTCGACAATCCCAGAGAGCAGTATCCACCCGGACGTTTCCATGTCCGGCTGCATAGTGGAGTTGACCTCCCCGCATTCAATGCCCGGTATTGTAATAGTCCGACATGCGTTCAACTCGATGGGTCTAGGAATTGAAAGCTTAAATTATATGTTGTTGGTAGACATATATAATCCCTAAATAACGAAAAATTTGGTCTATAATAGGCGATCCAGCCGGTTCTGCACAAGATCCGGCGGCAGGCTGGTCCGAAAGAAGCTTGAAAAATAGAGGCCGACCGATCTTTCCCAATGCATGGGAGAGGTTTTTGCGAATGATAAAGACTGCTGATGCAGGGGCTGGGCACGTGGGTGACGCGACAGTGATTGTCTTCAACTCAAAATACCTAAGCAACCAAGCAACACATGGCGGCTCAATAGTCTGGAGGTCTCTTGGGCCCCCAAAAAACAAACTTGGCGTTCCGTATAATGAACAGATCACCATCAATCCGCACACGACGTATCTCACAAACTCATACGACAAGCGGAATCTTGATCCCTTACCGATCGACAACAGTGCTGCATGGTCTTGCTAAAATATGAGCCGTATTGACTTTTGGCTACGTTTGAAACTTAAAGGGTTCAAGTAGCCGACAAAGCTCAGTTGAGAGGTATGATCCAGAGCATGCATCAGCAAAGAGGAACATAATTTATTGTTATCCACGTTCTAGCTGCCAAATCTGACTCAATATGAGTGAACAGTACATTCAAATCTTGTGAAAAGCCATTTTATCTTTTTGGCACTACGGGTGAGCACAACACCGCTGTCGTAGTTGACGCAACAATTATATCACACTTGACTATCATTATCGTGCTTCGGTGGTACACCACCCCGGGGAGGGACAAATTCGAACTACAAGAGTCGCAGTACCAGTGTGGACATGATATCTGACTATCTGTCACCGTCCATCCAAAGGACTCTATGAGGTGCAAAGCCGGCAGAATCGACAGCTATCAACTATCTATTCTAGCCAGTAGTCAACAATGTGCTTGTTACATATACTAGGTATATAGTTGTCTCCGACAGTAACAATGTTCCGTAGATTTCATGACTGGCGACTTCGAGCTAGAGGGCTTGCCGGCTTTCAAAAAGCAATGCGCATGATTCGAGACAAGGCTCATACATTGTGCTCAGTGCAACTTATTACATAGTGCGCAAGAGCAGTGGCTTACGTGGTCTGGACCCATGCCCGAGGACATGGTTCAGCTAACCTAGAACTTCCCCGCAACCCAATTACTGGATCTGGGGTTTTGTAGCAATGGGGCTCCCGGCTCCGCATTCATTGTCACGGTATTGTCTGAGCTCATGACATAAAACGACGCACACTACACTCTTAAGGCTAGAATGCCAAGGGAAAAGAGCTTAGAACCAGTCCCAAGCTCTCAACTCCACGCTGAGCAATGGTCTTGCGGAGATGACTTTGTCCGTTATCCTCATCCCCATGGGGTGATGATGGCGCGGTCTGGGGAAGAGGAACCCTCGACATACGGTTCCGTATCATTGGGACAAGAACCGTAGAAGCATAAAAGGGCATCCGTTTAACAGCCGAGAACATATCTATCCTATCGTTCTTCCAAGTTCTAAGATCTGAAAGATTGAAGCGAACTCTATCGATTCTTTCCTAAACCCCAACGTGACGCCATGTCCGACCTTCAATCTATCATGCCTGAGAAGGCCAAGGTAGCCAGTGAACCGACAAGTCAACAGATCGAGTCAATCTACGAGAAAAGCGATGCCGAAGCCACTCCTGGAGCTGATTATGCTGGAGCCACAACGAAAACAGATCCCAAGGAAATTGCGCTTGTCAAAAAGCTCGACTACAGGATCATGCCAATCTTATGGGCCATGTATTTCATGAACTACCTGGACAGGAACGCGATTGCGAATGCTCGTCTCAATAACCTCGAGAATGACTTGGGACTTGTCGGCTCTCAGTACAATACCTGCATATCTATCCTTTTCGTTGGGTATGTCACGCTTTGTATTCTGAAGCTTCTAGGACACTAATACCTATCCAGTTATCTGCTCATGCAGATTCCCTCAAATATGTTAATGTCATCGGGAAAGATTCGACCATCTTGGTACATGTGTGCATGCATGGGTGCTTGGGCCACTGTATCAGCGCTCACGGCTATAGTCCACAATTATACTGGTAAGCTCCAGTGCAAAGCTGATAGCTTATGTCTAATGCAAATGACACAGGACTCGTTGTTGTGCGCTTCTTCTTGGGCGTTGCCGAAGCACCTTTCTATCCCGGCGCGCTCTATTTGCTATCCATCTTTTACACCAGAAAGGAGATCGCTACCCGCATTTCCATCTTATACTCTGGCAATATCTTTGCTACTGCATTTGCCGGCCTTATCGCAGCTGCCACGTTTTCGACGTTGGATGGCGCCCATGGTCTTGCCGGTTGGAAGTGGCTTTTCATCATTGAAGGCGTTGTTACTTTTGGTGTCGCTGGGCTTGGCATCATCATGCTTCCTGACTCACCTCTTACCACTTGTAAGTCCGGCAAGCATATTAACATGGCTGTCTTCTAGAATCCATTTCTTGATACATGAACTTGATGGCTGACTATCAGCCAGCATGGCTAACACCTGAGGAGCGGCAACTAGCTCATGATCGTATGGCCCGTGACACTGTCGGAGGCGAGGGCAGTAAGGGAACCCGAGCTGGTTTCATACAGGCAATCAAGGACCCAAAGCTGTATTTGTTTTGCTTTATGCAGAACATGCATCTATCGGCTTGTTCCTTCAACAACTTCTTTCCCACGGTGATTGGTAGCCTGGGTTTCAATAGTACAATAACCCTCGTCCTTACCTGTCCTCCAGTAAGTACAACTGACCATCTGCATATGAACAGACTCTTACGTACGTTTCATAGTATCTAGTATCTGGTTTTGTGGGGTATTTCGTCGGTCTCACATCCGGACGCTACAACGAGCGCACGTGGCATATTACTCTCAGCATGGGCGCGGCTCTGGTCGGATTCATCATTTCATGCGCCACGCTCAATACTGCTGCACGATATATCGCCTGTTTTCTTTTCGCGAGTGGAGCCTACGCTGTGAACTCTGTCATTCTCGGATGGGTATCGGCAACTCTGGGACAAACCCAAGAAAAGAAGGCTGTCAGCCTCTCCATCGTTAATGTCCTAGCCAACGCCTCCTACATATACACGGCCTACCTGTATCCGAAGAGCGATGGTCCGCGCTATCTGATAGCCATGTCCAGCAATTGCGCTTTTGCATTTTTGACCATCGTGTCTGCATGGGTCCTGCGGGTCTGGTTGATGCGCATCAACAAGCGTTCTGCCAGGGACGGTGGCCTGCAGTTTGCATATTAATGGAATTAGGCAACCTTTAGTCTTCACCGCCAAACAGAATATTTGAGGCATTTGCTAGTATTTCAGATCCATGACAAGTTTTTGGTATCCAAAGATATGAAGCCAGAGTGTGTCATAGTACATGGATCCGGAACACTTCCGACGGCCTGGACACATTTCGAGCAGATCGTACGACAGTCAATGTACCCTACGTCATATAGGCTGTAATTATATAGACGCTATGAATTGTCGTGCTTGCAAATCCAGCGGCGGAGAAATTATTAGCGAAATGAGTATGATTGCCATGTGCCACTCCCAATCTGTCAAGCGAGGAGGGGTTGGAGAAGTTCGGGGTACATTTGCCCCGGCGTTGTTTCCCCAGGTTCTCTGAAGCTTGGTTGTGGGGGACATGCTGATCAACGCTTATAGTCGATAGAAAAGTCAATTGAATGTTTGAGTAGCGAGGATGAAATTGCTCGATCTCTTCAGAGAAGTGACACTGCAGGTGCCTCTCAGTTCTATCAGCGATCATGATTGCAAAAAGTTTATACGTGTTGCTCGTTTGCTCTTTCGCGTGCGCCGCTATAGACCGTCAGGCAGTGGTTTCTCAATTTAATGCCGTTAGGACAAGTTTAATCGATAATGAGACTACACCACTTCAGGTCGGGAACGGCAACTTTGCATTCAATGTTGACAACACTGGAATGCAGTCGTTTCTGCCTTTTAATACACTATCCAGCTGGGCATGGCATAACGATTCCCTTCCAACAAACGGGTAAATATCTTCCTTACCCACTCAACGATATCTCTAACTTTCGATGACTACATAGTGAAGAATTGAGCGACTACGAGGGCGTGCCTATGTTGACACATGGAAGAAATGTTTCATATGATCTGTCGGATTCCAAACTTCCAGCTATTTCGCAATGGCTTATAGGAAACCCTAATCGCATCAACTTGGGTCGCATAGGTCTCAAGTATAAAGGTGATACCCTTTCGGCTACCAATATTACGGAATCCAACCAGGAGTTAACTTTATGGAATGGTTTTATTACATCGACTTTCAAAGTAGATGGAGAAGAAGTGAAAGTTATTACTCAAGGCGACTTCGACACAGATTCGGTCGTTTTCGAAATTGAATCGGAACTCATTGCATCTGGCAATTTGCAGGTCGAGCTCGACTTCCCGTACCCACCAATCCATAGTACCAAATACAAGTACGAGGTCTTCGCTGGTGTTTACGATTTTCCTCTTAACCATACGACAAAGGTTGTCCAAGATTGTAAGGACAGGGCTTCTGCACATATATTTCACCAGCTACAAGAAACAAGCTACTTTGTCAATCTGCGGTGGGCTCCCACGAAATCTTTGGTGCTCTCCCGAGACGAACCTGAAGGGTTAGATTCCACTAGGGCCCATCGTTACACATTGGGCCCAACAAACTCATATAACACGACTACAAAAAGCATCTCGTTCACAGCTCAATTCGCACCAGATAAGCAGACAGCGGACCTCCCTGCAACAATTCAGCAACGTAACCCTATAGGCTGGGAGGAATATTGGAGCAACGGTGGTTTTGTTGACTTGACCGACTCCTCAAATCCAAATGCAACGGAGTTGCAACGACGAATCATTCTTTCTCAGTATCACGTGCGGGTAAATAGTGCACCCAAGGGCCAATCGCCACAGGAAAGCGGGCTGATGAACAATGGCTGGTACGGAAAATTCCACATGGAGATGGTCGTGTGGCACAATGCGCACTGGTCAACTTGGGGACGCCAAAAGCACTTTGATGATGTCTTCCCGGAACTGTACGAATCACTCTTGCCGACGTCGATCGCGCGTGCAAAAGCCATGGGCTGGGAAGGCGCGAGATGGCCGAAGATGACTCAGACCATCACAGGGTCAAGCGCACCAGGTGGTGTCAATGGACTTCTCATGTGGCAGCAGGTGAGGATATCATAGAATCGTTCCAACGACATCATACTGATACAATAACTTAGCCTCATGTCATGTACCTTGCTACGCTTGCATATCAGGCTTCACCTACTCAAGATACTCTGCAGCGCTGGGACAAAGTCATCACTGCTACTGCGGATTATATGGCTTCATATGCATGGAAGAACGAGTCTTCGGGTCATTATGATCTTGGACCTCCGTAAGTATCCATTTCCGCCTCACAGATTGGCTATATTTACCAAAAATATCTAGCGCATATGGAGTTACGGAAAACACACCACCAACACAATCACTCAACCTTGCATATGAGGTGAGTTTACGTCTCTGTACAAAAGCTGGCCTGTACTTACATCTCTCACAGGTTGCTTATTGGCGTTATGGCCTCGACGTTGCGCAAGACTGGAAGAAGAAACTGGGCCAGGCCATTCCCGAAACTTGGACCACTGTCGCTGAGAATATGGCACCACCACCTCAAATCAACGGCCTCTATGCTGTCTACGAGGGTCTGAATGCGTCATGGTGGAATGATACGTCTCTCAACGGCGACCCGCGCAGTCTGATCATGTTGCAGGGCATCCTACCAGACACTCCGGCGGTCGATTCGGATGTTGCACTGAAAACGGCCGACAAAGTCTGGGAGGTCTGGGGAGACGCGAATATCCGAGGTTGGGGACGGCCTGTGCTTGCAATCAATTCGGCTCGTATCGGCAATCCGGAGAGGGCCATCTACCATCTTACGGCGTACGATTATTGGCACTTTGACGATGCTGGTGAGTATTCCCAGTGGCTCTCCACGATTCCCCAGTTCACTGACGTAACACTCAGGCTTTGCTGTTCGAGGAGGTGATGGAGGCACTCCACCACCTTTCATGCCAGGAAACGCGGGTTTCCTCTATGCAGGTATATTCATATTACTATTTATCCTCATTTATTCGTATACCGACTAACATATGCAGTTGCTTATATGGCGGCTGGATGGCAAGGCTCTGAGAGTGATGCACCTGGCTTCCCAGCGGATGGATCATGGACAGTCCGACATGAAGGATTGCTGAAAGCACCCTAGATTTCAAATCATGGTGGATACATATTGGATGGCTACAGGTTGTGAGGATTACAATATCCACACAACTCACGTAGCAAGTTATTATACTGGTACCTCTTTTGTCCCCGAATGCATTGTGACCATGCCCATTTGAGCACAATCCGTTAACAATCAAGACCCCATTAACGGCACATCATCCCATCAAGTCACTAGGTCGGCGACGATCTAGTAAGCCATCGGTCCGATGGTGTAGTTGGTTATCACGTCAGTCTAACACACTGAAGGTCGGCGGATCGAGCCCGCCTCGGATCATTGTTTTGCTCATCTCCTAGACTTAGCCGATATGGACTCGTTTAGAGGGTTTTACTTTTTGTCCCTCCATGGGGAACATTGATTGGCTATGTTGCTGTGGGATGAACATTCACTGTCCTTAGTCATAAAAGAAAAAGTTTGTCTGCGACCCACATATATCGGGTATACCGAAGAAACGCTGGTGCTAGCGCCTCAGATCTGACAACATCGGCACCCTTCCAGACTTTCAAGCAGATATCCGGATCATGCAAAAGTTTTGCCGTCAACGAAGGCAAAGTTCAACCGAATAGGTCAATCTGGGATTCGAACCCAGGTTACCGGAATGGAGTATGTACTCAGAATCCGATGTGATAACCAACTACACTAATCGACCAGGAATTTCCTGTTCTGGATGGAAGCCACGCGCATAATGTGTCTCATAGAGGTGGACCCTATAGCCACGACTTTTTATTTGGTAACACTATGGTAATAGATACATGTTCAAGAAATGAAATTGTGTAAGAGGCTCACGGCATGGAATGAGGTATGACATCCTTAAGTTAGACCCCGTATGATATCGGCAGCCTATTTCTTGGTCAGCACTATTTCATTCGACATTGCCTCTCTGAGCGTGATGATTCTTACCTTCTCTGCTACTGCATAAACCGTAGTCATGGTGTGGGTCGCTGGTAAGAGCGGTACGACACTGGCGTCCACGATTCGGAGGCCATCAACGCCATACACTTTGAGCTCCTCATCAACTACGCCGCCCAACTCTCTTGCGCCTAACTTGCAGCTACCTACTGGGTGGTAGAGTGTGGCCGCGGTCGATCGTATAAAGTTCGAGATGTCTTCGTCACTTGTCACATTTGCGCCAGGCAGAACCTCGAACGGCCGAAGAAATGCAAGCGCTTTGGCTTGCGCCAGTGTCCGGACGTACTTGACGGCCTCAACGAGAATCTGAACATCCAGGGGGTTGCTTAGAAAACCAGGGTCAGCGAGGGGAGCGTCGAAGACACTTGCAGATGCAGCTTGTACGCTTCCGCGCGAGTATGGATGCTCGAGACCAAGAACAACCGCACCATCTGCCCAAATGAGTTCGAGAATAGCGGAGTTGGTTGTGGAAAGTTTTGTGTCCAAGACATCATGCTGTTGCTTGTAACCTTCGAGTACCTCAGGAGTTGTGTTGTTAGGGAGATAGGCTGCCGCATTCTGAGCCGCCGCACTGGCAGATATGGCATCCCATTTCTGGGTAAAATTTTGCAACGGAAGGAAGACCAAGAAATCACCAGTAGCGCTTGAATATGGCCCTGTTCCCTCGGTATCGTATTGTGCACGTGATTCGGCTGCGTACGTTGCGTTTGTGGTTAGGTTGCTGGATGTGAGAGGAGCGGTGACTAACAAAAGAAAGTTAGTTCATATACGGTCACTGAGTAACGCTTGCACTGACTTGCGTTGACCACTGCCAACAGAACGTGGTCTTGAAAATTCTGGCCAACAGCCGGCAGATCGACTACGGTTTTCACGTTGATGCTGGCAAGGTGTGCAGAATCGCCTATGCCTGAAACCTGTAAAATTTGGGGAGTGTGTAATGCCCCTGCCGCCAAAATGGCTTCCTTATTTAATGTAATTATCGACTTTGACGAGTTGGCGTTGGCTGCATACTTCACAACCTGTCAGCGCATACTCGTACGAGATGTCTCGATCTTCTTACCTCTACACCTGTAACGACAAGGGTGTCTTGAGTAGTATCTATGATGATACGGGTAACTTGTTGTCCGGTGATCAAATGAAGATTTGATCGCCCAGCTACTGTATCATAGTACGCTTCTCTGGCCGACGATCTTGTCGCAGTCTCGGGATTTTGGTTATGAGGGCAGTAATAGCCTCCAATCGCATTGCCATTGGCTTGGTCCTCCGCAATTGAGATGCCAACTTCTTTCGTGGCATCCACAAAGTTCTCTGCATATCAATGGTTAGTAGTCCTGTGCAGCATGAGATAGTATAAAGAACCTACTAGTAGTTGGCCAAACGAATGGTGAATAGCTCACATTCATGTACCCCTCAAAGCCGTGAGCTGTAGGATCATATGTGACATTGTACTCAGAAACAATGTAGTCGTTCGGAGGTGTGAAGATCTCGTTCTGCACAAATTTCTTGTGAGTCCCCGAAAAATGAAAGCATAGCAATCTGGCATCTTATTGCTTACCTTCTTAAAATAAGGTAGCAATGCATCCCATCCCCAGCCTTTGTTCCCAAGCTCTTCCCATCTGTCATAATCGGACTTGGAGCCACGGTCGAACACCATGCGGTTAAGCTTCGTTGAGCCACCAACTACCTTACCCAAAGGGCAAGAGATTGCACGGCCGGCAACGAATTCTGTAGGGACATAGGAAATATTCCAGTCATATTGAGTACCGACCGCACCTCCAGCAAGACCGGGAATTGTGACGATATCTTCTCCCTTATCACTGCATAACCTTTGTCAGACCAATTGCAGCCGTGAGTAGTAAATAGTAAAAAAAGATAGGCCAAACTCACAGTTGACCGGCTTCTATAACCAGTACGGTTGTTGCTATCTCTTTTCAGTATACGTTCTTGTCAAAAATGCAGTTTCAGCCTACCAGCATCTTCAGTGAGACGGTTTGCTACGGTAAGTCCGCTCGCGCCAGCTCCTACGATCACATAGTCGTAACTGGAAAGTAGATCATCCCTTTTGTCCAAGATTAGGCCTCGGAATGCAGGGTGTGCCGCTGCCAAGGAGTTCACCAGCGCAAGCTGTGCGAAACCACTAGTCGTTCTCATGGTCGATGATTGTTGCAAGAAATGAAGCGCAAGACAGTTGCCTACAAACTAAATAACATCATTGTCTTTCTTTTGAACTCAGCTGCGGTTAGAAAGGCATGAGCTAATCAAATTCGATGCCCTCGGTACGACATCTTGGCGGGTACGGCACTTTGGTACGCCAAATGATTCTGGGATGTACCTGCATGATGTCGTTTACAATAGCATGGTCCTGCTATAGCTGAAGAATTTGGCCCAATAGCAACCGCTGACGAAGGACTGCGCGTGCATGTACTGTGCCCAGATGTAGATTGACGGATGCAACGCTCGCATGGGTAAACAGGCTAAAAGATTACCGAGGAGAACACGGCCATGCGGCGTGCTTGGTTCTGGTGGGCATGCCTTCTTCTCCCAAAGGCGGGCTGGAGCAACAATGGCCCGCAAGTAAGTGTATGTGACATTCGGAACTAGATTTCGATTGTGTCATATCGTGCATATTACCGTGCATCGGCATCATCCTGTTGTCGTGGTTCTTGAGCACGAGCATGGAGAGCCGCGGCATGAATCGTTGAGGTGTTGGCAGATGCTTAGAATAGCAGGTGCATTTGGCTATCGGTGGATTTTGATGGCGATACCCGAAACCAGATTACTAGGTTGGGCCTTACGATAGGGGGAAAGCACCAAATGGCAGCAAATGAATCGAACCTGAGAACAACTGAAAGGCTTGGGTCGCAGTTTTGTCGCCAAAGGAGTGTCGAAACGATAGGCATCAGGAAATAGTTCGCGAATCGAAGCAATGGTGCATGCATTGCCTCGCAAGACAGGCGCCCAGGTGATCAAGAGATGCCGGCTCCACTTCTTCTCACTGGGTGAACCGTGCAACGTCTCGTTCGCCTTCCGTGAGATCTTGACAACAATGAGACTGTCATGACTACTTCATTTTCTTGAAATCAATTGTTGGCGCTGGCGCCCAAAATATTGTGTAGTAATCTTTATTGTGCAAAAACGCGTGCAAGGAGTAAGGTTAGCTGAGACATTCTCCCGGCACACGGTTAACTTGAGACGCGCTCCGGACGTCCGTAGCCAGCGATGACGAACAGCAGCCGCAGGGAGCCGGTATGCTTCCAGGAAGCTTCCGTGCCTCTCAGTCGCAGGACATACCTAAGCATTTCGAAACTCCTCTTTGGTATTGTTGTGGTATCATATGAACAAAGCTCTTCTCGGTCCCGAACCACGGTCCCGAACCACGATCTCGTCAAATCCGCTCTGACGATCTCATTCGTGCAAAGCCGCATTAAGCGGGGTTATACAGTTCAGGACGTCAGCTCCGGGGGGTTTAACGGAAATCAATAGGTTCTATGGCTTTGAACCTTTGAATAGTCTTATATGGGCGTGGAATTCCCACCAAGCTAACTCAACATTTCTTGTTATGAGACCCCGTCACCGTATAGTCTCAATCCAAGGGCGACTTTGCCGTGGAACATGTTGTCATGCGGCGCGCGGCCGCTTGACTACGGACTCCTCCACGTTTGGCAATGGCACGAGCCCGCAATGTCCACGAAGTCTAAGAATGAACCATTTTCCTTTTGTGATGTTGACAATGAATGTGCCACTTGATTTTTCTTCATTATATCTAGACTTGCAACCAATCATTTATCGCCGTTTTCCTCCATAAAGATCATTTCAAAGCTGCAAGGATGGGCGACCTAGCACGAGGGCTTGATATCATCATACTTGGTGGTGGAATAGCTGGCCTCACAACAGCTCTCGCTCTCACGAAATTTGCTCCAGACGATTCTATCCCCAATATTCAGATCTTCGAGGTTAGGCCAGAACCCGCGACGATTGGCGGCGCAGTAAATCTCACGCCCAACGCGCTCCGTATGTTGGATCACCTTGGGGCATATGAGGTCATTAAAAATCGAGGCTACGGAAAGGATATAGATGAGCTAGAAGTCTACGATATATATTCGACTAAGCTCGCTGTATCCAGCTTCAAAGGCACCCATGGTAAAGGCATTGGCAGCCCTCCATACAAGGCGCTTCGTATCACGAGAGGTGACGCGCTGAAGGCAGTACTGGAAGTCATTGAGCAGCAAAGCAATATTACCCTGACATGTGGCAAAAAGACAGTCGATATTCAAGAGACCCCTGACGATGTGACCATCACATTTGACGACGGGACCCCGTGCACTGCTGATATCCTCATGGGTTGTGACGGTATTCACTCTGTCACCCGACTGAAACATGTTGATCCTGAACGCAAAGAGACGTACACTGGGGTTTGCAATGCTTTCGGCTTCGCCGCTATTGAAAAGGGGTTTCCTGTTCATTTTGATTGCACAGCCATCAACTTCGCCCGGCGGGGAATGCTTCTCACTAGTTACCACAGTCCGGAGATGGATTCCGTATACGTCGGCGCTTTGATTCAAGTTGCCGACATTGGTTCGCGTGATGGGTGGAAACAGGTTGGTGGAGATGCGGAGAAGACCAGAGCAGAGCTACTGAGCCGATTTGGCGATGCGAATGTTTCCTGTATCAACACTCTTATTAGGTTGGCGAAAGACTTCTACTTGTGGCCAGTTTTCACGTTGTCGAAAGACGGACGATGGTCGACCGATCGGTGTATGCTATTGGGTGACGCAGCAGTAAGTGCTCCTTGGAAGCCTTCAAGATCGCATATCTGACATGTACAGCATGCAATGCCGCCTCAGGGCGAGAGCACAGGCATTGTCTTCGAAGACACTGTGATCTTTGCGCGTTGTCTGACCAAATGGGTTGAGAAAGGCATGCCGGGTGGCAATCCCAAAGAAGCATTCGAAGCTTACGAAACTATGAGGAAACCTCGAATCGCGACAGCTTTTGATGAGTCTCAAAGTGTTCTTCGAACCGTTTCCGACGCCGGATGGTTTGGTCATAAGCTCAAGACTTACATCGTGCCATGGTATCTCTGGTACACCAGATCATACCGTGAAAAGCACTTCATCGAAGATGTGACGACGAGTAAGCTGAATTACTGCTAGCACAGTATTTTGATGCTCAATACCATCACCAAAGAAAAAGAAAGAAAAAATAAGAAGGAAAAGCACGACGTTACGTTCAATACCAGCTTTGGGATATAATTGCAGCAAGCCACACACTGTATCGATACTTGGAGAGCCATACTAGACCCATTCTGAATGATGAAGGATGAATGAAATTTAATTTGGAACAGGAAAGGATGGAAAGGGGGGAAGTGCAGGATTTTGCGTCTAGCGAAGACATAGCAAATCTCTAAGATAGATCGCAAGACAGAAGAGGCCAATTTTAATTTAGCGGAAATAGCCTGCAACAATCGAACTCGGAGTATCCGACTAACGTCTTTAAAAACTGAGGCCTCTGAACCGAAATAGACTGAGATGGGTACGACCCAAAGATGCAATATTGCTTATGGGATAGACCCGCAGAGCCGAACTATAGATGTTTTTCTGCTAAAGTCATAAACAAACTCATCGAACGGTTCTGTAGCGTGCTAACGTTTTCTTCTTCTCTTTTTTACTTTGGTGTAACGCATCTGGCGTCTTCAAGCCAGCCGCTGAGATGCTCATGGTGGGCTTTCAGTTGGAGTAGTAAGTCTCCAATCTCTCCACTTCATTTATCCAGCTCAATTGCACATTGTATTTCTTATTCATAGCGCTTGAAGGTACTATGTTGCTTCATATTTCCCTCTCGCCAGCCTCCCTGGCGATCAACTTCGTGCCACTTGCTGTTGGAAGCTATGTCGCACACTCTCCGCCACGCCAGACCGCGAACCAGACTCTCTTAACTGGCAACTCATATCTGTGACTCAACCTCACAAACAAGCCTATCACAATGGCAGCTTTCGTCTCACTGGGATCACTAGTGATGTATACGTTGAGTCTCATCTTGCTGCACCTGTCCACACCTGCCTCGTCATAGCGCAGGGGATAAATTGCACAACAGGTTCATCAAGTGGTCGCTATCGACCGCCATTCCATTGGCCTGGATGAATTAGGTTGGCAATTCACTTCGCTTGGGTAAAGTCAAATGGATAGTGCTCGTTATAATCAATTTCAGTGCTCTTCGATCAGTTTCCTAGGGTCCCACAAGCTGTCATTAAGCCTATGGCTGATCGCCCATTCTTCTATTTTCGACCATTTTCTACAAACATGTGTCGTCACCGCACTTGGGAAGTGCTTCTGGGACTCTTCCTTCCAGTACCAATGAACGAGACTGATGTCTGCATTACACATCAAGCTCTGTCGGATCGAGTCGATGCAGTGGAACTTGTGCATTTCTTCCAGGTGGTTGAGTTTCTTCTGATCGGAAGTGGCAAGCTTGGCAAATGTCTCCCTCAAGTCGTTTAAACAATGCAGTTGGTGATACACATCCAGTGCCATTATGTGGAGGTCGGGATCCTTAGAGATCTGTGATGTCGGACGCAACAATTTTGCAGCATCTTCACCAGAGATCTGGGACCGGTAAGGGTCCATCAAGTCGTCCCAAGCCTCGTTGGCGTTCTCTGAAAAGCCATAATAGGCCGTGTAATTGGTGCTGTATTCGGTCAGATTAATTCAGACGAATCTGGAAAAGAAACAGCCTAGAACACTTACTGGTCTTCAATGAAATCTGAGTCAAAAGTGACTGTTTCGTACTCGACAGCAATCTCGGCTGGTGCTACAACAAGTTAGACTTTACACACATGAGCGTGACATGGTGAAAGCTCACAATAAAGAGTGCTGGGCCATGGAGGAAGTGGAGACTGCAATGCTGACAATCGCATCCAGAGGAAGGTGCTTAGAGAGATCAAGAGGACGTTGGCAAACAAGGACAGAACTATCATCAAATTTTTCCATTTCGTATCTTCGCCGTCCCAGGTACGCGGGGCTTCGTTTCGGTTCCCATAGTCTTCGTCCTTCTCACGGAACGGTCTATACTCAGCTGAGAGCAAGTTGCTGCCTTCAAAATCGAGAGAATCTGATGAATCCATGATCCGCTTGTATTCGCGTTGGAATTAAAGGATGTAGCGCTGGGTACGAGTTAGCAGACGAAGAACTATCCTCTTCTTGGATGAGTTTTACTTTACTCGTTTATATCAACTTTGCACCAGACCAAGGCCAACTTTCTCACTTGGAATCTTCCTTGTAATGCCAGCAGTATCTTTGGGGCCCCCATTCTCTTAGCGTAGCAGTCATCATCTTGTCAGTCTAAGACGCCGTGCCTCCCCCGCCCGCAGGATCACTTATAGCCCCATAACACCTTTTGGAGACAAGGGGGTGATTGGAGGAGCAAGTATAATGTTTTGACGACGTAAGACGAGTCGGTCGTCCGCACAAATTGCAGCCGAGTACCTCCATAGGCCTTTTGTTGAAGGATCTGGTTCGAAGGATTCAACGTGGGGTTCCTAGTCTGGGGACTTGACCTATAGGAGTATCCTAACCCCGGATTTTGAATGATGACTAAACTAAAACTAAACTCAATCTCAACATAATCCCCCTGCGGATCGCCCGGCTTTCCACTGAGTATTACCAACGTGGCAGATGCTAGCCATATATTGTCAGACACCACACCCTCCGAGAATAGTAGTAGCAGAATATTTCGAATCCCACAAATGAGCACGCCATATTTCGTCGTACTGCTATGATCACGTCGCTATGTATCAGTCCGAGACGAAGCTTACATTGGGTCATGGCTTGGTTCTGCCTCGGAGACATACTGTGGCATCTTAGGTACGTTTGAAAATGTTGTTAAATATAAATCTCCGAACCACCGTCTGCGATCATCTATTGTCACACGCGGTTCGTGGTGAACAATATCTCATCTCATACAGCAGCATATTTTACAATGAAATTCTCACTCCAATTTCTTGCGCTGACTGCGCCTATTTTGATCATGGGCTCCCCTGTCCCACCGCCCGACTTTGGCCAAACCGACGTCGGTTGGACTAAGAGAGAGGCTGCACCAGTCCCGCCGACCGATTTCACCCAGACCGACGTAGGCTGGGCCAAGAGGGAACCCGCCGCTGTTCCACCTCCGGACTTCACCCAAACAGATGTCGGCTGGGCTAAGAGAGAGGCCGCTCCGGCTCCACCTCCCGACTTTGGTCAGACTGATGTCGGTTGGACCAAGAAGGTCAGGAAGGCAGCTGTTCCTCCGCCTGACTTCACCCAGACCGATGTTGGGTGGACCAAGTAAATCAATGCATGAGAAAGCTCGGTATATATATGAAAATCACCAAAATAAACCTTAGCTAATATTTCTAGAAGTCCATGATTCATGATTTACGAAGTAGGCAAGCTTGGGGGCAAGGCACATTTGGGAAGAGAATATGTACTACCTCATAGACCGGAACCAGTTTGACGAGTTTTGAAGTCTCATGAATGCAAATGAATGCGAATGTCTAAACTGAATTGCATTCAATTGCTTTGATGTCTTGCGAAGGCGGAGTCCCTATTGTGCCAGTGACTTGCGTGTTCGTAGCATTGTACATCAGTCTCAGTGAGGATCGCTCAATCACTTTCCCACTTTTTATTATTATTTCTTTTATGTATATATATATATATATATATATATATATATATATTTAGTTAAGCAGCGTACAATGTAACAACGTGCTGATGAATGCGACTGTTGCAGTCCACAGTCTTGTGTTGCAGGTGTGTACGAAAGGAATCAAACACATACCGAGTCGAACAAAGCTTTGTGATTACCACAATCGAAACTTTCCAATTGTGAATAAGTAGAGCCTATAAGTATATAATATTTCTCGACAAGGCTCAATTTGTGTATTCCGTTTTCTTATTTCTCCTCAGCCCAGGCATAAACACACACATACCGAATACACGCATACCAGATACACGCATACCAGATACACGCATACCAGATACACGCATACCAGATACACGCATACCAGATACAAACATACGGGATTAACTCGTGAGCCAATATGTCTGACAAGAAGCCTAAGCATGCCAAGAAGATGTTTGCCTCTCCCTCCGACATAAAAGAGCATTGGCCAGAGGCGTTGAAGCAGTTCAAATCCGCAATCAAACACCTGAGTGAGGAAGAGGCCCGACCCATTGTTGAGAAGTTCGCCAGTGCTGCTATCATGGGTGGATGCAATGAAGACCAGCTTCGGGATGGGCTTACCGTGGCGCGAAAAAAACATATGGGTGACGTGTTCGTGTGTGCCAGGCAGGATGCTGAAGACGCCGCCGAAGGCTCGCAGCAACAATAAAAATAAGGCCCACAAGGAAAAGAAGTAGCTCGAACCCTAGGGGTGACAACAACACAAATAATGGCCGTAGAGTTGTAGACCAATTCGGTGTCAAACACAAGGTGACGGCAGGCCAAACATTCCCTAACCGGCCGACTGCCTCTGTTGTGACTCTTCTGACTGGAACCACAGGGTAGCTCTTAGTTACTATCAATAAATAAAGCACTCAAACTGCTGTGACAATATCTCAAAATATCTTCGCTCGTCACGTAGAACATCCAAGCTGCACGTGCCGACATATCGCCTTAGTCATATCATTGAGTACAATCCGTATTTCTGCTTGGCTAGGTTCCGTGGCTGTAAATGCATTGCAGGCCACGATCTCCACAACACTGGCACTGTTGTCACCGTCATCGGTTTAATAAAGAAATGGCCAGGTTCTCTTGTGGCTCATTGACTGCGGCTTTAAGTTATACTGCAGGAAATCAGAGATAGTGGGTTGTGGTATTATCGAAATATCGTAGTCTCGAAATAATACTTTCGTGTATGTACTGGTCCAGTTATTTGAACGCATAGGCAAAATAGGATAGACGTGTGGCCTGAGCAATGTGCCAAGCGTGAATTGATCTCATAGCCGTCTAGAAAGGACAACCATAACGCAGTCAATTATTAAACATTTCGATGCATTTCTATTGTGAAGCTATTGATTAATCTTCAGCGAAAAGTCGACGTAGCCAGTGCCCTGGTGTATCGAGCTCGTCGAGATAATGTCGATATCGTTGCACACATACGGCGCAACATTATCCTCTTTCAGACCACCACTCACTTCCAACAAGAACGATTTCTTGCCTTGCCACCTTTCCCTCAAGCTTCTGGCAGCAACCTTGACACCGTCGCCTGTGAAGTTGTCCAACATGATGATATCTGCACCAGCCTCAATGGCCTCGTCTGCCTCGGCTTCGTTTTGCACCTCGACCTCGATCTTGAGCGCAAAGCCACCGACAGAACGTGCCGCTTGGACGGCGTCCGTGATGCTTCCACGGCTCCATACGTGGTTATCCTTGAGCATGATCATGGAGCTCAGGTCCACCCGGTGCATATCCGCGCCACCAACGAGCATGCCGTATTTCTCGACGAGCCTGAAGCCCGGCGTCGTCTTCCTCGTGCCGGCCAAGATACCGGTATATCCGGCATCCCTGACCAGCCTGACCATCTTTCTCGTCTTTGTCGCAATGCCCGAGCACCTGGCCAGCATGTTCAGACCGACCCTCTCGCCCAGCAAGAGCTGCCTCGTGGGCCCGCTGACGGTCGCCACCTTGACCTTGCCCTTGTTATCGGGCGAGGGCGCCACCTCGTCGCCCTCCTTCAGGTGCCACTCGACGCGGCAGCCGCACTGGGCGAAGATCTCGTCGAAGAAGGGCACGCCGGCCACGATGCCCTCGCTCTTGCCCCAGAGGGTGGCGGTGCGGGGATCCTCGCCGACGACGAAGCCGCCGTAGTCGAAGGAGGGCGTATCCTCGGCGAGCCAGGTCGTTATCTGGGCTTTCCATGACGGCGGAAGAAGGTGGGCGAGGTTGCCGGCGGAGCTGGGGAGGCCGGTGGCCATGGTCGCCGCGGGGTAAACTTGTGGTGGGGGTCTGGGATGATGGAGAAAGCGGCTCGGTTTGAACCGGACCACCAGATCGGGGGTTTTGATTTGCAAGGTATTTGGTTGGCAGGATGCAAAGTACAATGTAAATGTACAATTGTCAAGAGAGGGTAGCGAGAGGATATGGGGAGGTGGCTACAGTACAATGACCCGAAACTGTTTTGGAGCTTGCGCCCTTGTTTTCGCAGCTGTTCCCCGCAGAAATGTGTCAAGCGGTTTCCCTCTTTGAAGCAGACGACTCGATGTGTCTGGCAGCGTGAATTTGAGAATGCAAATGGAAGAAAAGACCAGATCAATTCGCCCTCTCGAGAGCCTCAAAGATAAAAGCTTCCCCGTACATTGCCGACCAAAGCCGCCGCGCTGGAAGGGGCACTGCCGAATACCGGAACGTCGGGTTCGTGGGGTAATGTAATGTAATTGTTTACTCTAAGACATGTGCCAAGTTAGCGGCATCTCCTCTGGCACTCGGACATGTAGGAAAGGCTATATCGCCATAGTGCAAGCTCTAGATCCGCACATGAAAGCTAATTACAATACAGTCAAATGTATACAGTAGAAGTATAATTAGTTGAATCAACTCGTGCGTGGAATGAAGATGGTTGTACGTAGACCCATCACATTCTGCGGCTTGGCGCTTTTGTTTGTTACAGTGAAAGCCTGGGACTGCAGACATACCTATTATATCTAAATTATGACAATGTAAAGTCATGTTCCATTCTATGGAGTTGAATCTATATGATACGGTTTCTAACGAATTAATTTGCCGACAAGAAAATCTTTATGGTTCAGCTAGCTATTGATATTTATGTTTCATATGCCGACTCCATACTCATGGTTCCGTCTTTTAAGCTTATCCACATTATGGTATCCAATCAAGGGCATCATAAAGCATGATCATTAACAACCGTTTGTTAATAGGGATCTACTATAGCCCTACACCATGATCTTCGCGTTGGTATGGAGCATGCGCGGCGTTTGTAATTGGCGGACCAGGGCTTGACTGGATCCTCAGTTTTGTCATTATGATGCTCTAATTCTGGGTCCCCCGTTTCTAGACGGCTTTCCTCAAGCCATGTTGTTGCGGGCCATTGCGTCTTTTTTCCAATGTTGCGACATTACCGATGCGTAGTCATAGAGGCTGCCATAATGGTACTCATCGATAATAGGAAGTTGAGACCTCGGTACAACAATTCACCTAACCAGACAGCTCTTCGCGTTGTACAGCCTGACCTCCTCGGACGTGTCAATTTGACCTTCGTGCGCGCTATTGTTCTCGAAGAAGACATGTCAGGACTGTTTCTCTTGGAATAGAATAGAAACAGGTAGGTCGGGACGAGTATTTTTTTCACGAGATATCCGGCAGTACCTCCGGTTTAACAAAAAAAAAAAAATTACATGGTATGGTTACATATCTCTTTAGCACCTCAGCCAGAACTACGAACCAAGTTCATGCCGGGTATCCGTGGGTAATTCAGGACGACGAGTGTTTGTATGAAGTTCGTTTGTTTTCACCTCGAAGAATCCGCTGTGAGGTCCCGGCGTCGGACTATTACTCGAGTTCTGAGATTGAGCTCGGATCTGACTTCGCCGAACAAACATGGCTGTGACAATCGCAGTGATCAGCCCCGTGCTCAGACAACTACCAACGACAATACCGGCTATTGCGCCGGCGCCAAGTCCTTCTCTCTGCCCTGTGGCTGGCGTCGACGGAACTTGACTTGAACTTGCTGGTAATGTGGAAGAAGTAGTTGCTTCGACGGGAGATGTCGTCGTGCTCGATGATGAAGAGGTCGATACTGTTGCTGAAAAAGTTATTCCCTCCCCGACCTTCACTCCAGCTACTGCGTACTCGCCGGAATGAGAGCTACAACAATCATCGTTGTTTAGCCCACAACAGAACTTTCCATCGCTACACGGAGTAAGCGGCGCCTATACGATTGTTCACATCAGCAAAATTTTGTTCCGAAAAGATTTACCGTGAAGGAATACTCACTGCCGCATCGGAGGGAGCCCGCACGTCCTGGTCATCTCGGCACAAAGGGCTACAATTTGACGATTTCCAGGTCGGATCTGTACAGTACTGTCTGTGGACGACTGGATATCCGTCGTGGAGATTGTAGCACAGGTTGTCCGGATGGCAAAAATCGCCGCCCACGCAACACGTTGCGAAGCCGTCGTCTCCTGGGGGACACGCATATATTCGCAGATCATCGCCAACGGAAGACCAGTCCGTGGCAGTACCGTTGGGGGCATAGCACTGAGTCTCGGCTGCTTGCGAGAAAGCTGCGAGGAGAAATGTGCGCGTGACGATCGACACCAGGAGCACTGGTGACCAAGAACGAAGGTGCACCATGGTTGAGCCTGAACTGAGGCTGGCGGACGAGGGACATAACATAGGGAAGTTCTCCGTTACCGTGGCCAATAGTGCTTGTCACTCTATGTACCAAGGTGAGACAGCTTGGACGTTGTGAAAAGGCTCCCACAGATGACCCGAGACCTTTTCATATTAACCCGCCTTCTGGTAGGCGTGCGGCTCAGGCGCGTAACATTGAGACTTATTGGTGCTTTTTTATGCCAAGACTGCGCTGATGCGGCGCAGCGTTTTGAAAAACATCAGATCATTGAAGCAGATCTTGGACTACATTGCTCTCGAGCAACAAGCAGCATGGGTAGATATTGAGCTGCTGCAAAGAGACTTGATTGGTTACCTTCTATAAGTAGGATTGCGAACCTGTCATGAACTGTTAATCATAAATGTGGGGCTTTTGAGCAACACCACTCATGAGGGCCAGATGCAACTACGATGAAGGATTTCGAACGCACAACGATCCTCAAAAGGTATTAAATACTTGCACAAAATGATCATACATAAATGAATAGAGGCCAGCAGTATTTGTGGCATGAGCGCTCAAATTCTTCATGCCCCCTGCGGAGCGCCTCATTAAATCCTGTATACATGACCAAATTTAGACCTGCATGGACGTACGAGAAGTCTGCCTCCTCTCCGATAACATCGACAGCAGCTAAGAATTGATATGTTATATTATCTGCACAAAGTTCCCTTGACGTTTAATTGCTTCCAAAATGAATCATTTGTTGCGCCTTTGTGGAAGGATGGTTTCGGTCACATGCGTGTGTTACCGAAGAGGCATTACGTCATTCGCGTCATTCCCTCCACACGTGTGAACAATAAGGTTGAAATGCCAAAGTCGACTTGCACTCTTTACTCCTTCAATCTTGACAGGATAACAATAATCCTAGAGAGCCTCAGCTACCATAACATACTCATCATATTCACAAGTCTGAAAAGCAAAACTTCAAGATGTCTAGCTATTCCTTTACCAGCTCATCCTCGTCCTACTCCAGCAGCTACAACGGCCGGCAGAGCGGACAGTCGTTCCAGGAGACGTCTCAGACCACGCCTGAGGGCACAACCGTCCGCACCACAACCCAGAACCTGGGCGAGACACCGATCACTCAGACACACAAGTATGATTCACAAGGCAGGGAACTCATTGGCGATAGTGCAAACGGCGGCTCCAGTCGACGCGTAGAGGACGTCAGCCGGAAGGATGTAAACCCTTTGTACGAGGAGAGAATTGAGGATGAGTACGCCAAGCGCGAGGGAGGGGCCTAGGCGAGAGTGAGTGGTCATGGGAACGGAAATGGAATAAGGTTGGAAAACGAAAATCAGCTACAGCTTTTGAGCCGAGACAAATCCGGTATTCAATCAATACACCTACAAGTCATCTATTGAGCTGATCAAGCCCGGATTCTCGGGGGTAATTTGACATGAGAAGATTGGGGAGGTGATTTGCCTGGTTTTGTTTGCATGATCGCATGTATTCGAAAAGAAGTCTCAAAATTAATAAATTTTGTCGCCGCGAGCAACATTGAAACTAGTAGTGGCAAAGTGTTGGGGACGTTGTAAACTTTAACTAAGTTAAAGGGTCTCCAGTGTCCATCAAACAGAAAACATCGGTCGGTGCTGGTAGTGTTCTTTCTAGAAGGTAGCTCCCGCTAAATTTAGGATACAACGACAACCCCACAAAGCTTGGCTTTTTCTGAAACAACATCATGTCCGGGATTCCCGATTGCTAATAAGTTGGTACATATTCAAGACGACTCGAAGTTAGCGTGGTTCTGGTCGAGCCGTCGCATGTGAGAAACAAAGTGTGCTGCCGCTGCTCTCAAGAGCGAAGCCTCTCTTGTGCCGGTGAATACGTTGAAGCCACGTTGGCCGAAAACCAAGACAAGCTTTTTAGTGCTTCCCGGATCCCCCAAATCCCCTGTCGTTTCAGCCTCCAGGCACATTCCTGCGGTAGCCAGCGTGGGGGGTGGTTGGCCACTCTGCTTACAACAGGCTGATGACAAGCTGTCAGCAATCTAACAGGGTTTTTCCTGAAAGTATCTTTCCATCCTCTAATAGACAGAGTCCGAAGAGCCCTACGTATCGAACTGAATTTTGCTTCCTTTTGGACACCGAGTCCTGTCTCTATCTGTGCCTGGCTGGATGATGGAAGACTACGGTAGTATCGAGGCAGTTTCGCAGCTTCGTCATCTTTAATGTACGGAGTGTTGTCACCGTTTGATGAGGCAAATAGAATTGATTGTGGGTGGCCCAGTCATTGGTTCTCAACAGAGTTCTCATCCATGACGGACCGCCGTGCATTGCTTCCCGGATAGAATACGGTTTCACGTGCTTGGCATGCGTGTTACTATTGATTGTGATCTCTCCCTGGGAGAAAGTGGAGAGTGTCTCTTGCCTGAATGCGATTAGATACTTGCGTGTCCAATGTTTTCAGCTTGAGCACCTAGCCGAAGGTGATCACGACGGGCTTTGCGGTTGGGGGTGGGGGAGGGGGCTTTCAGGATAAGAGTTGACAGCTGTAATATAAGAGGACGTATGCGTTTACGCGGCTTGCGTGGCGGATATGAATGCAAGCACCCTCCACGATGGAGCATAGCCCAGTCATTGACAAGCACACCGGCAGAGAGCAGAGGCAGAAGCGGAAGCAGAAGCAATGACATTTAGAGTTTGCCGATCCAGCCACCAGTTCTGTCACGACTGATTGAAAGGAGATTGCTGCGAGAGGGATTTAAACGAGCTTACTTCTCACAAGCTAATTGGGCACGAAGGAGCAGAAGTGAGTGAGGATGATTCCAATGCATCTGACGCAAGCCTGCAAGCCCGTCGACCTCCAATGCGATTTGCATCTTTTTGGTGGGACCCCCCTGTCCGCCTCAGATCACTAAAATCGGCCGCCAAGCCCACCCAGAGTCCGACATTCTGGGCCTGCGCCGTCGCATTCACTTCCTACGTTGCAGCAGAATCCTGGAGGCGCCTCGACTGAGAAAGCATCCCAGAACCTCTACTGTCACGGCTTCATTCTGCCTCGACTCGGCGCTTCCTTGGTGAGGAAAAACGGCAGAAGGCTTGTCGGAACATCGCCGCTGCCATTGTGTGCTTGTGTTTTGCTTGTATCAACCAGCATCTGAGTGGCCAAGCTTCCAGTTCCAGGGGCCCGAGGAATTCATCCACCTTTTGCTTCTCCCGATCTGGCAAGTTACTCCTGACGGGGTCCTACATATCACCAAGCCCGCTCGGCCTCGACCCTCCCACTCCATCCTACGATCAGCATTTCCTAGATTATCCGTACTGTAGCTTGTGCCTCGCTCGGACTGTCGCCCGCGGCTCATGTCTGGGACTAGTCTACCTGCTTAGTTGACCGTTCGCAAACCCCCCGATCTATTCTCAACTCGCCAGCTCTTCCTCCGCAACTTGGCCGCGTCACGTTATTTGGGAGGCACCATCGCCAAGATGTTGTCCTTCAAACGGGCCCTCATTTTCGCCGTCTTCTTCCTGACAGCCTTCGTAATACTGCGACGATCCCACGGCACCACGTCCGACGACGAGCAAATAATACCTGTTCCTGCCAGAAAAGACTCGGATGCTTCACCGCACAAGAACCCCAAGGGTAGTGGCGCGTCTTCCTCCCTCGATCGCGCCTCCGCCGCGGCCCAGCAAGACATCGACCATGTCCCCGCCCAGAAAGCGCTGAAAGACACTTCCAAGATGTCCTTGTACGACAAGCTGGCCTATCAATACCCTTACGACCTCGAGAGCAAGTTCCCGGCATACATATGGCAGACGTGGAAGTGGACACCTGCCAACAAGGAATTCAGGTTTCGCGAGCAAGAGGCTTCGTGGACAGAGCACCATCCAGGCTTCGTCCATGAGGTCATCACCGATCAGGCCGCGCCGCATCTCCTGCGTGTGCTGTACGCCGCCGTGCCCGAGGTTTTGGAAGCATACCACGCGCTGCCAAAACCGGTTCTCAAGGCTGATTTCTTCCGCTACTTGATCTTGTTCGCAAGAGGAGGCATTTACTCAGACATCGACACAAGCGCCCTGAAAAGTGCCCTCGATTGGATACCAGACTCGGTGCCCAAAAAAAGCATTGGTTTGGTCGTTGGAATCGAGGCCGACCCCGATCGCCCCGACTGGGCAGACTGGTACAGCAGGCGCATACAGTTTTGTCAGTGGACTATTCAGTCCAAGCCGGGCCATCCAGTGCTACGGGATCTCATCACGAAAATCACCAAGGAGACGCTCAAGAGGAAGGAAGAGGGTGTGTTCATTTCCAAGGAGAAGAGTATCGTTGAGTTCACTGGGCCGGCTATTTGGACCGACACGATATTCGACTATTTCAACGACGGTCGCTTCTTCGACATGAGCCATAGCATGGGCAACATTTCGTGGGCAAACTTCACCGGCATGGAGACACCAAAGAGGGTAGGCGACGTTGTGGTTCTTCCAATTACGAGCTTCTCCCCGGGTGTGCAACAGATGGGCGCCAAGGACATTAATGATCCCATGGCTTTTGTCCATCACAAATTCGAAGGTAAACCTCTCTCTTACCCATACTTTCATACGTCAACAGCACTAACTAGGCGTCTCAGGAACTTGGAAGCCTGAAAATGAACGCCATATCGGCGAAAGCTAGAAGCTTCTGATTGCCCCCTTTTTCTGAAATTGACAGGCAGTCTTGTTCGATTCATTGTATCATATTGGTCGCGAAAGGTCCCTGTCATACGTGCGCCTCTTGGAATAGACAGCGGCGCTGGGCGCGGGAAGGCTGCGTCGTCTTGCCATGGGTCGGGACAAAAGAAGCAGCCAAAGTAATGTCCAGAATACTTGATGGGAAACGCGAACTAAGTACTGTATATACCCTGGAATATCGCATAGAGCACGGCGTTTGGTAGAGTGGAAAATTAAATGTTTTATGGCCTGGTGAGCAGATCGGCCGAAACTTGACTTTACAGCACTTTGACGACCACCTGCGAGATGCAATGGTTAAAGACACTGTTTTCCATCTTCAGCAACTTCGTGAGACATTTTCTCAGTGCATCTCACTGTAAAATGCATATTTCATGGGTCCCCATCAGATATTGAACGACAACATGAATTCAAATGACTATCAGACATTCTTCCTCCAAATCAGGTATCCCGACGTCAGCCGCAATTCCTCGGCCGATCTCAACGGACATGTATGCGATTACCCCACATTCTACCCCAATGTTCGAGGAATCCCCAGTTCGGCAGGCCCCCTCATCATTTGTCGTCCTTGCCAGAACTTCCCACCGAGTTTGCGCTTTGCAAGAAGTAAAGCCTCTCATTGTATCTCATGTATATATATATCTGGGCATGGTTATTGCTTGCGACCTAGCTACTCTGTCCCTGTGATCCTTTGTCCGTATAAGTCCTCACCACCTTAGCCCACAATCGGCAGTGTATAGCCGACCACACAGATACCATACCGTGTCGCTTATAGCGAGTCCGGCGTCTTTGATGCATCGTCGCCAGGGGAGGTCCTCATCGTCGGTGTGTATATGCTTATGCGTCGCGTTGGCATATCGAGGTGGTCGGTAGGAGGTGTATGGGAATGAGCGCCATGGCACGCATAATCACATCAACTATAGGACGGGGGCGACGGATCTTAGGTCGGCCAGACGGCTGGGGTTCTTTCTGGAGAAGGAGATTATCAAGCCTGAGATCAGGCTTGAGTTATGCGGAAGGACCTACCGAGGTGAGTACAATAATTTCTGCTGTCGGCTAGTATCAGGACTATGTTTCAACACCCTGGTGTAAAGGTGTTCCTACGCCACGAATGCTGGCTACAATGTCTTTCCTTGGAACCAACGGTATACCCTGCTTCTGCTTTGAAGCCTGTTGCCTGTGCCAATTCATGGCTTTCGATGGCCGTTGTTACTGGTTTGTTGACCATTCCTAGCCAGCTTTGCTACGGTGCACGATACCAGATCATTTCGCTTCAATAGTCTCGAAATATGGTGACAAGCCGGCAGTCATGGCTCGATCTCCTACTATCGGGGGTTCGTTGCGCTCTGCAAGTGCTTCTGATGCCACCTTCGACTCACAAACTACGGTTTTGACTTATGAGGCCCTTGACACCTCGTCAAACACCCTTGCAGACTCCTTACGGTCATTGGGCGTCAAGAAAGGAGATCGCGTGGCCGTCAGCCTGGGAAACGTGACCGAGAATGCTGTTCTCACGTATGCTATCTTCAAGCTTGGTGCGATATTAGTGCCTCTAAATCCGACTTTCAACCAGCAACAGCTGGTTGCCGCGCTTGCTCATCTGAACGTGGAGGTCCTCATCATCGGAGCCGTCACGGATCTTGCATACAAGCCGTGCCGGGGTCGAAGCAACCTACCCATGCTAGAATCTTTCTTGCCGAACCTCAGGGGCAAAATCGAGTCATCAAAAGTTCCCAGCTTAAGAACAGTGGTACTTGTCGACAACACAGGCTCACATCCCAAAGTCCAGTTCCCGGTCGACGAGCTTCGCGCTCTTACGCCTTACTCGACACTCCTTGGCGGCTCATCACGTCCCATCAGACCTGATTCGCCATTGTCAGCCGATGAGACTATCAACATACAATTCACGAGCGGAACGACGTCATTGCCCAAAGCAGCGATGCTGTCCCATACTAACGTTCTCAACAACGGCTATTTCATAGGAAAGCGTATGGGTCTGACACCCGAGGACAGAATTGCTGTCCCGCCGCCCCTGTTTCACTGCTTTGGATGTGTGTTGGGATACATGGCGACTGCCACAACGGGAGCAGCGATCCTCTTCCCGTCTCCCGCCTTTGATCCCGCTGCTAGTCTGCACATGATAGCTGAGCAGCAAGCCACGGGACTTTATGGTGTTGCGACGATGTTCGTGGCCGAGCTCGAGCTTCTGGCCAACCCGGCATTCGCATCGAAAATACCAGAAGAGGCTTTCAAGAACTTGAGGAAAGGCATCGCCGCGGGTAGCTCGGTGCCAGAGTCTCTCATGCGCAGACTTTTCAAGACTATCGGCTTGCAGGATCTAGTGATCTGCTACGGACAGACCGAGACAAGTCCAGTGTCGATTATGACCGCTCCAGACGACCCGTTTGAGAAGAGAACTGGCACTGTTGGCAAAGTGATGCCCCATACCGCCGTCAAGGTCGTTGATCCTCACGACCGCACCAAGATCCTTCCAGTCGGTGAGAGAGGCGAACTGGCTTCTTCCGGCTATCTTGTCATGAAGGGTTATTACAATGACGCTGCTCGTACGGCGGAAGATAGAATTGAGGACGAAGAAGGTCGTGTATGGATGTACTCAGGTGATGAGGCCCGAATGGACGAGGACGGGTTCATCGAGATTACCGGTCGCATAAAAGATCTGATCATCAGGGGTGGTGAGAACATACACCCGCTCGAAGTCGAGAATTGCATCTTCGAGTGCCCTGGTGTACAAGATGTCAGCGTTGTCGGGGTGCATGATGAGAAGTACGGGGAGTCTGTGGGGGCTTTTGTCGTCCCTGCGAAAGGATGGGAGGTTTCTGATGATGAAATATCGCCGGATGTTGTACAAAAACAAGCAAATATTATTCGAAAAGGAGACATAAGGCAATGGGTCAAGGAAAAGCTCAGCGGGCATCTGGCACCCAAGCATATCTGGTGGATAGACGAATACCCCAAGACAGCCAGCGGGAAGATACAAAAATACAAGCTGCGGGAGGTGGCCATGAGCCGGCTCAAGGAGGGCTCGTAGGCAACCCGATGCCCGTTATTCCAACCATAACAGCGCCCTGTCTCCTACCCTCACAGTGACCAATACACTGTTGTGGCCGAGAATTAACCTTGCTGCCGTATATATTATAGGTTAAGTGGGTTATTGTTAGCGAACAAGCCAGTCAGCTTTAACAATAAAGCATTTCCATTCGGTTGATTCTCTTAACAGGTAGAGTTCCAAGTTATAGACCGCTGACTTATCAACAGACTTACAAGTTCCAACAAAAAGAAATACAAGAAAGGTCCTGCTTCTATAGGAGTCTCGAATTCAGTTCCCTCATCTTCCAAACATTGGAATAGTAATAGAATTCTGCGACTTATGATCTGTAATTATAGTGATACGTAGGACTACCTTCCACCGCCAATTCCATACCAAACTCGAAAGAAAAACTCGAAAGAAAAACTCGAAAAACCATAACTCGTAAAACCATAACTCGAAAACCCAGAACTCGAAAAACCAGAACTCGAAAAACCAGAACTCGAAAAACCAGAACTCGAAAAATAAATGCTTGAAAAAGCAAGCAAAGTCCCATCACTACAAGCTGTCAGAGATCAACCAGATGGAAATGCCTTGCCTTCTCTTTTTCTTTTTTTCTTTCTCTAAGCTTTTCCTCGAGGTGCTTCTTACTAGTATGCATAACACCATTGTGCTCAGATATGATCCCATAATATAATCTCTTGTATGCATGGATCGTTGTGAAGCATATCATCAAGACAACACGTTCTCTTTCTGCCATTTGTGCAATATCTTCCAGCACATAAGGAACTCGTCGAATACGACATGCTATCGCTGTCGACGTGTCTGCGTGACGACGTGATGTGGTTGTGAAATGCATTGGTCGTCGACTTACACGCGCGCCCTGATTACCGAAAAGGGGCTCGGCCCCACTCCGGTGGCTGGTTGAGCTTGGGGGCAGACCATTGGTCGAAATGCACTGGCAGTCGCCGATTTTGGTAAGAGCACCCAGATCATTGTACAAGGCAGCTGCAGAAACTTGCAATTGCCGAGTCGGGCAGGAACGTGTCGGCATTCTCCAAACGATGTGAAATTTACTCACTCAGTCTTTGGTATGCAGTAAAGCTGAGATTGGTAACCACTTCAGCTGGCATTCAGCTGGCTTAGAGTATCTCTGTTATATTTTTGCTGGTCTATTAACTTTTTGTGCATTTGTTTATAAGTCAGGAGGAAATAATGGAGTTAACACAATTTATTGTGACGCATAAGGTCTCCGATGATTCTCCTGTCTTGGCTAATCTGAGAGCGGCATTCGGTCTATCAAGTATGGCAGGTCGAGATACCCACGCATCTCCAGCAGAGGTTTTGTTCATCCCATGTCGTTCTATGGTTGTAAGTAAATTCATTGCGCTGCGGCACCTTGACGATGATGAAGAGCGACACAAATATAGATTATCAGCCCACGACCGCGTATCAAATCGTCTGCTCCGAACCAGTCAATACTGAGCCACCTAGTTGAGTCTATATTTATTCTGGCGTTGTCTCGAGGTCAACCTATGCGAGTACAAGCGTGGCTTGTTACTCACGGTTCAGATGTGCCGTGGTCATTTCAATGCCTTCTCTTGGCTGTGAGTCAGGACCGCTATCAGAGGGTTATATTCCTGCCAAATCGTATCTCGAACGATGATTGAGGCGCTGTATGGGTTTTTCTCGCAATGTGACGGACTAAGCCGAGCGCCGTGGGAAATGTCAGTCACTGTTGCGTCACGAGTATTTACATACTCAAACCTTCGGTTTCTCGGGATTTCTTGATATCTTCACTCAACAGCTAAATATACGGTACTGAGCAGCACAAGATCCTGCGCTTGAACGTCAATTACACACCCCCTTCTCAATACATGACAAGCTTCCTTACGCCGACGAGACTACGATCCATCACTGCTTCCGGCATGGTCTTGCGCTCAAGTTTCGACTGCAGCCAGGCCATCACATTCTGTGTCGATCATGTGCCGGCTGACGGACCGCGAAAAACGATATTGTGGATGCGTTGTCAAAATCCGACTGAGAGGTGACTACTGTGGCAAGGCAAAAATGGGCACACACGGCGGAAGACGACCTTGTAAGAATTGCATCGTGTTCCAATCCTCGGCAATGTACAGCGACTGTAGTGCTCACAGCACTATGTTTGCGACTAATCTCGCCAACCAGTACCGTATGCTGCGCAATCAACCAGATTGGACACGTTGGGCCCCGGCTCAGGACCAGAGCATTGCACATGCCTGGGTCATCATAAACAGTCAAGAGTTCTCGGGGACACATTCGCCGAAAATGAAGTGGGATGTATGGCAAATTGCTTATGAGAAAATGTATAAGAACAACTGTTCTATGAACATGGGAGATATGCGGGCCGCGCTCGCCGAAGTGCTGACCATGGCGCGCACCATGGAAACGCAACACATAGAAATCACCGTTCATTAACTCAGATGGCAATGATGGTGCGGAGTCTGGCATGACCTTTCGAATGTTCTTGGTCACACGGTCACAATGGTCTTATGGCATAAGGGGTAACGACAAATGCCACAGGTTTAGCGCGGGTATTATTAATTCGATATAGGGTACTCATTTGCGTCCGCTGTCACACAAGGCTATGGCGTCTGTTAGTCTAGGCGTTGTTCCAAAACCAAGTTGAACTGTCTTGTAAGGATGTGATGTCGTTTAGGCGTTCTTTCCAAAGCGGGAAAAAAAAAGCTATATTAACATACCGACTCTGCATCGCCTAACTTATTGAGGTGACTGGTGGTCCCAGTCAATTAACTAGTTCACATAACAATTTGAGCCATGGGTTCAAATCGGTGCTTGTTAGTAAACCGCGTACATGTGACGGTCAACCCAGAACACCCACGTTGACTACCTAGCGTTGTTGGTTGAGGTGAATGTCATGAATTTCGATGATGATTGAAATATCTTGTCATTTATTCTCTCGTGGCAAGTGGCATCGTTCTCGTGCCAGAGATTTATTGGTTTCGTTTTACACATTGGAACCAAGCGACTGCGACTCTGCGCGTCCTGACATCTCGACCTCGTACGTGTATTCAGCTCTTATGCCCCGCAAGCTTTCCTCCTTGTCCGAGTCATCTCCTAATCTCCTCCAGTCTCCGTTGCCATGCGCATGCACGGCCGCAATGGAAACGCCGTTCTCCGTATTCGATTTAAACGTTCGCGCCCGCGATCGTCCGCCGCTGGTCGCCTGCGCTGAACCCCCAAAGGTCACGAGACCTAGCGGAGGGTTCAGCGTGCTGTCCTTTCCCGACGACTTGATGACCTTGGTAACTATCAGGCGGCGCAATGAAGGCAGCGAGCCGGCAATGAGACCGATGGCCGATTCGATATTCGAGTATAGCACGATCTTGCCGACATGCGCGATGAGGTTGTCGGTGGGATTTCGGTAGGCTTCTATTGTAGGTGTCCGAATGATAGTCGAGATAGATGCACTGTCATCGAGTATTAGCGATTGGCTCTCGCACGTTAGAGACGTCGAGGTGACTCACAGAGAACCGAACGAAAGCAGGATGGTGACAGAGATCTTAGTGCTCAGCTTCATCTGGGTCCTCCACAGGATGACACCGGGTAGAACAGCGCAAGCCAAATCAGTGGCAATAGAACATGCCGTCGAGGTGTATGACAACCCGATCATAGCGCTCATGCCCGCGCAAGTCGCCCTTCCCTCCGCGATCAGGGACGTATTCCAGTTGGCTTCGACCGGCTGGCAAAGAGATAAAATTCCAATAAATGTCGTAAGGTAATTTCCAATGATGATTGCTAGCAAGGTCCAAATAGCGATGCGATAGCTCTTGGTGACGCCCGCAATTCGGTACATCGTAACACAAATTGAACACTTGATCAAGACCAAAGCATTGACGTAGACCAGCATCCATATCATCAGATACTTTGTTGCTTCAACCTGCATGAAAGCGTTGAGGTCGGAGTTTTCCTTCCCAAGGCCACGACATGCGCCTACACAGGCCAGGGCGACATCGACAAGGAAGAGGACCTGCGGATAAATTAGATATATGCCTGGTTTTTTCATGACCTCGAAGCCTTACGAGTCCGCCAGCCATGAGGCCATCGTCCCATCCGAAGACATTCTCGCGGAATCGGACGAAGGCGCGCAGAGAGACAACAACCAGCGATATTATTCCCAACGTTATCGACGTTGCAACTATTGCGAGTCCCGTCTCGTCCAAACTCGACACCCATACTGTATCGGCGGCGACTGCCATGGCAGGCCGGCGTCCAAGTCCTCGAACGACAACGTAATAAACTGAATGTGCTCCACGCGCGGTCAATTATGGAATACTCAGGTATGCATATACAGAAGCTTGAACGGTATTGGAAATGGAGGAGGAGAACGAAGCACCAAAAGCTACCCACTGGTCATCCATCCCTCTTTGTGGAAACACGATCAGGCACGATCTCTTCAAGACCCCACGACGCCAATCGGCCTTAATTCGTCCCTTTTTGGTAAAACTCGTGCAAATGGGATCGTAGAAGCGGGTGGCGTGGCCCTCGAACATCCCAGACCATGGACAGTGCCGGGGAGCTAATGGAGAATCCGAACTCGTCCCAGTAATCTCAGCTAGTTAGTTGGTTTAGCTCCCGGTTTACACAAAACTGCAAAACTGGACTAAGCTCAACGGTCCACAGTCCACATGGTTGAGCCGGAAACTTCAAGGAAACCTGGTTATGCCAGCATACCCGATGCAGGTACATGACGAATGCTCGCTTCAGACTGATATTGAAAGGAGTTGTTGTTCTCCAAGACGCTGGTTCGAGCACTGTTTAGCTCAAGTAGTCGATGGTTTGCCACAACAAACCAGCGAGAAATGACATGAAACTCGCTTGGAAGATTTCGGTTTGCCGATGAGGATTTCGTTTTGCCGATGAGGATATCGTGTGCAATATAATCAAAATGGGACAGGAAATGACCGTAGAGGCGATCATTCGAATTAGAACACTTGATCAATGTCTTTTAAATTTTTATTTTTAATCCTTTCTCAGCCCAGATTGAGTCCCATTAAAGGGCGCATCGATAGGCTCTTGGGTGCTTGGCCTAGGGCTCCATCTTGTGGCTCGATCTTGACAAGGCAGAGTTGTCAGAAATGGGTATCCGTAAATCGAGTGAGCAGTTTGCGACCAGCATGCCTCGTTGGGAAGAAGTACACGACTCATGCATGCCCTAAGCCAGAAAAGATTTGCGTCATGTGAAGATGGGATCATACCATGGCATTCCTCTGCATCATTTTCTGGGAAGAACCATGTGCATGGAATCTATTCCGCGTGTTTAATTTGGTTCGCCTCTTGACTCCCTCCACTTTCAAACGCGAGCGTTGGAAGTTTGGCGCAAATGCCGCACTACTGTAGAACCCTGCCGCACCTACTAAGGCTATGTTAGGTTAGTTGTAACTTACCTTCTGGTTACCCAACAGGCTGATAGGTTGTGGCCGCCTGTTCCGTCTTTGTGCCTGGCGCTATCCCAGTGCATTGGTAGCGAGATGACCGTTTCGTGATTTACCGAAAACAAATGATGATTGACTCGCCCATCTCGGGAACCCGGTTCAATGATATTGCGTCAAGGGCCATTCGTACAGAGAAACCCAACATTCGATTGTCTGATGAGGTCCCTCTTTGCTTCGTCCAATTCTGCTCCTGATCCATCTTACAGATTAGCAGAGAATGCGTGTGTAGTTGGTCACTCCCAGCATGCTCCCTGCACGGTGTGCCCCGTTAGCTCTCAGTAATCCGCATTACATTCCCGCCAGACCGCATGCCAACGCATGCCAATGTGAAGTAACTAGACTAGGTTAAGGTAAAGTGAAGATTAGCTTCAAGCTAAGCGTTACAGGTGACTTCAGAGGGCCAACGCCTACCAGCTCTAGACTGGGAAACTGACCGCGCATCGCGGGCTCGTTTCTAAAATGATATCCATCAAGGAAGTCAGTACAATAGTAGAGGGGATAGCTAGAGACAGCGGACATGTCTAAGGTGCTCTCCTCGATCCGACCGCATCGCGGTGCCCGAAATGTGATATCCATGATGTGTCTGGACTCTGGCTTGCCGATTTAGCATCTGAAATCCTTCAACCGGGGCATTTCTGCAACGATGTCTCCGACTCTCATGACCCTGGTGGACTTCATCATGCATGATGGCAAGCATCAAGGTAAATGACGACCCCGCTCGGGTCCAACAGCGATGCTTCATGTTGGAGTATCTCCAGTTCCTACGCGAGATAATATAATCACCTCCCGGCGTCCCGACCCCGTCTTGAATTGCTCCTCTTGCGCTGCATTCGACAAGCATACAGGCATAGTGATACTCTCAGACTCAGACTGTTCTCTACGCCAGCTTCCCCAGCACACGTCATTCTCCATCTTCCCGTTCTATCTATACTACTTGAGTCATGGCGTCCGTTGTCAGTGTCCCGGCCCAGCGTCACCACGAAGGAAAGGTCGCTATCGTGACCGGATCGGCGAGAAGTGAGACTCCTTTACGCCAAGGTTGGAAAGTCTCGGCGTTGCTGACAAACTCATCGCACAGGCATCGGCGCAGCTATCGCACGAAACCTGGCCGCCAAAGGCGCCAATGTCCTCATCAGCTATCTGACCGAGGGCTCAGATGCCGCGGCCGCGGAGCTTGCCAAGGAGCTTGAGAGCAACTACAATGTCAAGGCCGCACCATGCCGGGCTGATATAACGACCAAGGACGGCTGCGAAAAGATTATATCGACATGCAAGTCTGCGTTCCCAGCGAACTCCAAGACTGGCAACCTACAAATCGATATTCTTATCCATAGCGCTGCCCTGTTCCATGCCATGCCGCTGGAGGCCGTCACTGTTGAGGATTTTTACAAGGTTTACAGCATCAATGTTCTGGGACCCATCCTCCTGACGCAGGCCGTCAAGCCCTACCTCCCCAACGACAGGTCGGGCCGCATCGTATGCATCTCCAGCATTGGTAGCAAGGTCGGGCTTGCATACTTGACCCTCTACGGAGGCACGAAAGGTGCCATTGAGGCCATGACTAGGACTTGGTCCCGCGAGCTCGCTGAGAACGCGACCGTGAACAGCATCAACCCCGGATCTACAGCGACGGAGATGTTTGCCCAGGCTAGCGATGCCGCAAAGGATGCGATCGCATTGCACTACCCATTGACCCCGTTGGCGCCAGTGCGCGAGTGGGATACAGATGAGATGAAGGAGATGGGAAAGAAGTACGGCGGTCGTGTCGCATACCCAGAAGAGATTGCCGGTATGGTCGGCATGATCTGCTCGCCAGAATCGAGCTGGATGACAGGAAGCTTGGTCAGCGCCAATGGTGGCCAATGGTTTAGCAGTTAAGCGAATATTTCAGATACCCCTAAGCATATAGACTAAGCGCAAATACAAACCAAGAACTTTGGATGAAATGCAATACTAAACAACCTCTAGAGTCCATATCGCAAGGAATGCGACGATGCCTTTGTGATTACAACAGCCAACAGGTTCTGAAGTTACACTAATCTTGAATTGTTTTGTTACACTACACGATCAGCTTTGTTATAAGCTTTCCCTGATTGCCGCCGTTGAACAAGCGCATCCAAACTTCAGGTTGCTGTTCGATATTTGCCTCGACCACAGTCTCTCCATCCTGCAGCTTAATCCTACCATCTGCGGCTGCGCCAATGAGCTCGCCGAGGATGGCCGGGGCCTTGTCGAGCCAGTCCAGCATGATGAAACCTTTGATATTGATTCTCATCGAAATAACCTCGAACCAATTGCGTAAAGCCATAGGCTCGGCTGAGTTGTAGCCACTCACAGCACCGCAGACGGCCACCGTTCCGTCTCTCTTCATACGCGTCAACATGGCATCCAAGACATCTCCGCCGACGTTGTCGAAATACACATCGACCTCATCCGGGGTGGCGGCCTTCAGGTCCTGCACGAAAGTTGCGCTCTTGTAGTTGACACACGCGTGTGCTCCAAGCTGCTCCACGACCCAGGCACATTTCTCGTCCGAGCCCGCTATGCCGACAACGCGCTTGGCGCCTAGAAGCTTGGCCGCAATCTGGACTGCCATCGAGCCAGTGGCCCCGGCAGCCGCCGAAACGACAATGGTGTGCTCCGGCTTCGCGCCACCAGTGTAGTACAGGCCGCCATACGCCGCCAGACCTGACGCCCCAAAAGCTCCAAGCCAGTGAGTAAAAGCCAGACCGGCCGGCAGGGGCTGCAGCTTCTGCGCCGTGACCGAGTTGAGAACGACGAGCTCACTCCAGGTCCCCAAGTGGAAGTCCATGACCTGATCGCCAGCCTCATAGCCGGCGGAGGCCGACTCGATTACCTCGGCGATGATGCCCGAGCGCATGGGAGACCCGACAGGCACGGTTGGTACATAGAACCGCTCAGGTGCCACGGTGCTCTGAATGAAGTTCCGCAGACCCGTGTCGTTGGAGAAATAGAGGACTTTGCAAAGCAGCTGCCCATCTCCGAGCTTTGGTAGAGTGACCGTCTCCAGCTTGAACGTGGCTTCTGGACCTTCTAGAATTGGTAAGCCGGTGGGCTTGGATGCGAGCACCCATTGTTTCGTGGTATATGAAGCTGAAGACATTTCCTCTCATTGATCGTGCAATGAAGCGTTCCTATCAAATATGTTTCTCATTATGTGGAATTTGACAAGACTTATTATGTATAAATACCTTTTCAGCTAAGCCAAGTGAATGCCCCCGGTCAGAGAACCCATGCTCTGCCATAGAGTGTTCCATGAGGGGTCAGTGAGGCTGTAGTGGACCGCAGTGGACCTTTATCCAGTGACATGGAATCCCACTTCTGACAGGTGACCCCACGTCCAAGTCTCACGGACATAGTCTTTAGCGTCACAGAATCCTCCAGGAGGCGCGGTAAGCGATCAATACCATAATTTCCCAAACGTTCGCATGAATGGAGCGCTTTAACCACGCCAGTCACCAGTCAGAATTGTGATCGTAACGTGCTGGTTTTCGAATAGCGTTAGATAAAGAACCAACGATGACCTAATGTCCTCTTGCACAAATAGTGGCTTTGCGGTATCGTCTTTCAACGCGTCAGTATCCGAACATCATAATAGGGGCAGTGTTTGTGATCTTATACTAACTATTACCTAGGGATTCACTCCACGTCAATAGTTCAAAGAAGTCTTGATTGCCCAATGGTCTTTGTGGGTAGCGCTGGACATATGAAATCACATCTGAGCTTTGCTAGGGACTTCGTAGTCTATCGTAATGATATTGCACGTGCCAGGAGCCGTAGACCAGAATAAAAGTAATGGCGATAATAATAACGGTGCTTCTTATCAAAGCCAATTTGGACGTGAGAAGAGTTGTGGTGATTTTGGTACGGTTAGTACATATTCTGGCGGTTTTGAGTATCAGCCCGTGCATTGGCAACTTCAGTGTCAACTTCCGACAAACATTGCATTGGCACCATTACAGCCACGACAAAAAGGGTTGCAAGGTAACAAAGCTTGTTTTTGATACAATTTTAATAGAGGAGACCTAAAATGCCGGTGACTAAGCTTGATTCGTTTCTCAATTAGTTTCCTGGAGTTTTTGCAAGAATATTATGGGGTATGTGAACACCCGCCTTAGTCATGGGCAGTCACAATGTTTTAGTATGGGTAAAATCCACTGATGTAATGTAGAAAAATTGGAAGCCATTTGACTTGAGAAAATTTTTTTAATAAAAGACTAGAAGTATAATATGAGACATACCGGACAGCCACGTCCACATTTGCAGGTCGTGGTTATGTTGTTTTGTGAAGTTTCAGATGCATGGCATGCGCTATTCATTGATGTATGAAAGCAGATGATCAAAGCCGGACACTGGTGGGAATGACAGGATAACCAACTACCAAGTTTCAAGAGAGTCTGCTCCAAGTATATGTTTGTAGGTTTGCGAAATTATCCTGAGCCCTTTGTTGGATTTCGTTGGTGGCGTGGATCGGCCGGGCTCCGACTGGAATGTTGCATTTCTACCAACAGCTCACATTTTAGCTGATCACAGGCCTAACGAAGCTTCAACTATCTACTACAATCAGGACATTCGACTTGGTTAAAATGACTCATAAATCAATACATACGACTAACCATATCATCAAGTTCTCAATAGCTCTGAGTGGGATAGAGTCCCAGCGAAACTACAACGCCGAAGTGGTGGACTATGACGGACAGAGCTACAGAGATTGCTTTATCAAAGGAGCATATGGAATCATACGCCAATTTTTTCATGGAACATGTGCCAGATGTTGCTGACAACTACGAACTGGCGAGTAAAGCTTTGGAGTTACTCGCAGTAGCTAGGAGACCTCTGAGTATTCAAGAACTAGCGTGGGCAGTGGCGTTGAACGACGCGCCCTCTGCGTTACATACTGTGTCGGCCCTGGGGGACAACTTCGTAGACACTGCGGAAGTCATGCAATTAATCCAGCCCTTCATATTACCTGTCGATCTCGAAAAACTACAGAAACATCAAATCATGGTGCACCAATCCGTCAAGGAACTTATCCTTATCAAAAGCCCTTTACGATGGAACGACGCTAATGGCTTGGTAAGGTTGCTGGTTGATGAAGCTACATTGAGCCAACGCCTCGAGACATTGGAGGCGAACTTGTTGAATTTATGCGTCAGGTACCTTCTTTTGGACGAGATAGGCGAAAACAGCCTCTTCTCGCCAGAGCAACTTGGTGCTGAGCTGCCTCAAAGCCATGACCTTTTCGACGACAATTTAGATTCGTCAAGATACGATGCAACTTGCACATGGGACGAGTGGGAGGAAGACATGCTCTGCTACGATCCTTCTGAGTGTGGTTTAGGTGGACTCTTCGCATATGCCTCTGTATATTGGGTAGACCACTTCTCTGTCGCCACGGCCCGATCCATGCCCGACATACGGATAATAGAAAAGCTCTGCCAGAGAGGTTCGAAGCGGCTAGACAATTGGTTAAAGCAGAATTGCCGCCCCAATTGCACTTTCAAGCCACGATGGGATGCCGATTCTGAACTATTCGACCCTCTAGGTGTGACTGCCTTATACGGATCAAGGGCTATGCTAGACAACATGCTCATAACTTCTCAATTCGAAAAGGAGGCGTACTTAGACAATTCGGGTTTACAGGCGGCGCATCACATTGTTGTTAACCACCACTCGGCGGACCTTTTTAGGGTGCGAATGCTCTTTTATGCAGACAAACTTGGCTCCCAGCTACGAACATCGGAGTTCTGCCGAACGGTGATGAGGCATTGGAGGACAGGAAATCGGAACAGACCAGGATGGCATGATGTCATGGAGCTTTTCATAAAGTGGTCGCTCTCCTGATCAACTTCCAAGCGTGGAGTGTTGAGCTCACCTTCTGTAATTAAGTGTCATTCATTGTGACAACTCTTTTCTAGTTACCAACTGTTATGGAGCACAACAGAAATAGCCCAGAGCTCAAGTACCAATCTGTGTTCTTTTAGTCCAGCATAATTGCAGGTCATAGTCGTCTGATTGATTGTTACCGGAGTTCATCAGAAACCCGGCTTATGAAGAATTTATGTAAATTATACCGTAATTATGGCCTTGAATCCATGTCATTTTACTATTCCTCATTCTGCCAACTTGTAGCGTTAATATAGGCCGACCAAGCTCCAAATTTCCACCAAAATCTGCTTGCATCGCTAGGGCTCCGAGCAAACACAGAACTCTAGACTTCCATTATTATGTGATCCGAGGTAAGGCGACATTACCCGACTTGCGCGATATAATTGAAAACTTTGTGCTGCGTCATTGAAGTATTTACAAACTATCAGCACATGCATCCAGAACGCGGGTGAACTTCCACTTGCACTGACCGAGGCTGCCGGACAAACGCAGTGGCCGAAGCTTGCACTTGTTCAAACCATGACAAAGAATAGCAACGGCTGCAGATCGACGAGGCATCGAAGTCCGGATCTAGATGGTTGCCGCCGCCGACTACCGTTAGCTCGAGCTTGATTGTGCTTCCGGATTTCCCAGGAACTTGGCTTATCCAATCGCTCAGCCCTGGGATGAACAAATAAAATTCTTCTTTTTCATTTGTCCTGTCGCTTAGCAGACCGATATGATGAGCTATCCGTATACGATCTTCGAATGGTCAGCGGGAATGCACGTGGTGGGCTGGAGTCACATTGAATCATCTCCGCAGTGATTGGCCGTAAGATCCCTGCAAGTCATACCCGTGTTGAAATATAAGTCTATAGGCAGCCGTGCGCTGAGATCCTCAACGACTCAAGATCAAATCCTTGACAGACGAGATCTACGAATCCTTGGCTGACTTCAGCCGAACGATCCGTAGTTATGGCTTCACTTCTCAAGTCATTGGCCGTGTTGCCGCTGCTTGCAGCTACCACGTCGGCAGCAGCGAGTTATCCATCCAAACCATCCGATTTGACGACGCCCGTGCAGCAGCGCCTTGCGATCAACGGTCCGAACTGTGAGTGGCGCTATGCCGAAGAGCATTAATAGTAATAACAAAAAAGACCGAACTAATTAGTCATTATTCAGCGGTTTCTATTGGTTGGAATACTTTCCAGAAACTTACACAGCCATGTGTACAGTACGGTACTTCTAGTAGTGCTTTGACATCTCAGACATGCTCCACCAGTTCAATCACCTACGACACATCCAGGACCTACTCGAATGCAGTGACATTGACTGGCCTGACTCCGGCTACTACCTACTACTACAAGATTGTGTCAACCAACTCTACTGTTGACCACTTCTTTAGCCCGCGTGTACCTGGTGACAAGACGCCTTTCGCTCTCAATGCTGTTATCGATCTCGGTGTTTATGGAGAGGATGGGTATACTATTAAGATGGATATGAGTAAGAAGGATACTATCCCATCCATTCCCCCTGCCCTGAACCACACCACAATCAGTCGCTTGGCGACCACCATCAACGATTACGAATTTGTGGTCCACCCAGGCGATTTGGCTTACGCGGACGATTGGTACCTAAAATCCAAGAACCTCTTGGACGGAGCCAATGCCTTCGAAGCTATCCTTGAGAATTTCTATGGCCAGCTTGCCCCTATTGCTGGCCGTAAGCCATATATGGCAAGTCCCGGCAACCATGAAGCGAACTGCCAGGAGATTCCAAATCTTGGTGGCCTCTGTCCTAGCGGCCAGAAGAATTTCACTGACTTCAGTAAGTATTTCTCTCGACAATTTTTGACCTCTCCAACTTTTTTGCACAGCGAAAATTCCCTCTCAAAAAGATACGGCTAATTTCTTTTTTGATATCCCCTGATTACGCGTGTACCACTCTGAGAAGCAACTGCTAACTACAGTTCCTCCAGTGAACCGTTTTGGCAGAACAATGCCAACAGCTTTCACGTCGACTTCATCAGCGAGTGCTGCGAAAGTCAATGCGAACAAGGCCAAGGTGCTAGCTAACCCACCATTCTGGTATTCGTTCGAGTACGGTATGACCCATGTGGTGATGATTGATACCGAGACGGATTTTGCGGATGCCCCTGATCAGCCCGGCGGTGATGCAGGTCTCAACGCCGGACCGTTCGGTACTGCCGGACAACAGCTTGCCTTCTTGGAAGCTGATCTTGCATCGGTCGACCGTACTGTGACGCCCTGGGTGATTGTTGGCGGACACAGACCTTGGTATACAACAAGTGGAGGTGACGCCTGCGACTCATGCCAAGATGCCTTCGAGCCACTGTTCTACAAGTACGGTGTCGACTTAGGTATTTTCGGCCATGTACACAACTCTCAGCGCTTCCTACCCGTTGTCAATAATACGGCGGATACGGCCAAACTCAACAACCCGAAGGCTCCGGTGTATATCGTTGCTGGTGGTTCCGGAAATATCGAGGGCTTGAGTTCTGTCGGCACCAAGCAATCGTATAATGCTTTTGCGTACGCAGACGACTTCTCGTATGCCAAGGTTTCATTCTTGAATGCAACTAACTTGCAAGTGGACTTCATTAGGTCGTCTACTGGTGAGGTCCTGGATACGTCGAACCTGTACAAGGCGCATGCGCAGCAGTTCGTGGTACAATAACAGAAAACTTCAACTGAAGTCTAGAATGAGTCAGGATGATGGGGAGTCAGAAGAATATACAACGGCATAATACGGGATGACATATGATTGAAGATGTCTTTAATATCGCTTCAGTGAAACAAATTTAGCATGAGAGATGGTCGGTCAAGTGGCGCATACAAAAGTTTACGATGGATATTACCAATTTTCAGCAATTTCCACCGATATAATATGGATCAACCTCAAAGTCTACTAGATCTACTATCCTTTCAAGCAAAAGCCATTCGTGTAACTTGGAATAAGATGGATTACCACAGTGAGGTCAATGAGTGCTCAAGTATATACGACCTCGTGAATTTGTGTATCGGCGGCTTAGTCCGTCCAGGCAAGGTTTGATGCTGAGTTTCATAACGTACCATATTCAAATCAGTACTTGTCATGATAAATTGGCCTCTGTCATACGCGCATTAACTACATGAGTATTCAACTAGTTGCAAGAATTAGAAAAGAAAAAATGGAACGCAAAATACCTGAACGTCGCCTGTTCTTGGCTCTACACGAAAGCCAGCCGAGTATTGATCACCCAAGTTTTCCCCGCGCCGCAACGCTTCCCCGCTAGAAACCTTGGTGCCAAACCAGTACAAAAAGTTTTAGAGCTAAAATCGGCAGCCGATACAACCTCAATTATTACCTGATTCAGATGCTTCGCCAAAATACACGAGAAGATTCTCAGTTCAATTATCCATGTCTGGGAATCACTTGCCCCTACAATAAATACACTCAGCTCAAAACCCACGCCTCACGTCACTCACGCCATGCCCAGCGCAGCCAACTACCTCGGCAGGGCCGAATATTGGACGGAGCGAGTGCGTAGCGAAGGCGAGGGGGATGAGCAAGGCTTTGACTGGCTACTACCCAGTGACAATGCTGGCTTTAAGTCATTCATCACAGACGCAGTCAAACAAGTCTCCACACAAACAACCGAGACCCCCCGCGTCTTGCATCTTGGACCTGGCAGCTCTAAGTTGTCGCTTTGGATGCACGACCTTGTCGACAAACCCCATCATGTGGTTCACTTCGATTTTGCGGAGTCGGCAAAGGAGCTCGGTGAGCGATGGGAGCGGGAAAGCTGGCCAGATGCAGGCGAGCAGCGGATGCGCTGGATGACAGGTGATCTGTTGGAGCTTTCAAGTGTACGGGGCCTCACTCAGTCGCTGGAGGATGCCGAGCGATCGGAGGGAAGGGGAGTACCGGGGCCGATATTATTTGACGTACTTGTCGACAAAGGCACCCTCGATGCCATCTCGTGCGTGGAGGCCTTGGCCCCTCAGAGCGAGCTGGTCGAATGCATCAAGAACTATGCGCCTGAGATACCGGCCAAGGTCATCAAGACGCCCATCTACTCGAGCCTCATGGTAGCGTTGAATCTTGCGGCTATTTGCCGCCCTGGTGCAGCCTGGGTGATGTTGTCTTATGGCGGAACTCGTTTTGATGCTTTCACAGCGCGTGTCAGATCCGAGACGCCAAGAAGCCTTGAGGAGTTGGCGTCAAGATTGTGGCGGCTAGAAGTAAGGCGCGAGTTGGAAGAGGATGTCAAGACTGAAGATGAGAATGGAGACGTGAAGAGAACAAAGGCATATCATTGGCTCTATCTGTTGCGTCGCACAGATGTTCCGTTTGGAGTAGAGCCACTGGAGAAAAACCAAGAGAAAGTGGCGGTCAACCCATAAATATCAGGCGTGCCCATCCATAACCGAAACGGAATTTAATCACAATGGGAGCCAGCATTGTTACTTGCTTCGCGTCCAGTGCTTTGTATGGCTGTAACACTCGTTCGTCCAAATATTATTGAGGGGTATCCTTGCTCCTATTACGATTCTCGTTCCCCATTCGTACGTGATTGCAGGAAGTCATGCAGTATTCCGCCCAAATGTAGGGACCTAATAGATAAAATGCGGGGAAGCCTGTAATACCATTTGTCACATCGTAAGACCTCGAGCTGTCCTGAGAAATCTATAAATCAGTCTTGTTTTTACGTCTCCCCATCCTCATCCTCATCAAACCTAAACTGATTTCTGTTTCTGTTGCATACTACTGTTGTATCCATGCTTCATAGGAAGTGGGGCTCGTACAAACCTATATATACTTGTAATAACTTTATAGTAAGTTATGTTTTCTTTAAGCATCAGGAAGGCGCGAGAGATCTTGCGTAAGAGCAAAATACTCTTTGGCATCCATATGCGCAACCAGAGAATGACCCCCTACTAGTCATGATTGGTATGGCGGTTGAAATAGTGTTGCAAGATCAATTCACCTATCTCAATGCGTATAAACGATCCGCAAGTCACGTAAACCGAGCTTGCGGAACTAATGACCATTGAACATCCACTTACTACAGGCGAGTGTTACTTAGCAAATTCTTGGATCAGCAAAGTTTACGGGAAATTACTCTCAACCTTTCTAATGTCCTGTACGTAACTGACCGATGTATATGCCCCTGGCTGATCCAATCCGGGTTCGAACAAATCGACAACACATATTCCCTGCGCCTGCATCCACAAATGATATATTGCTAGCCTTGGTCCCTAACTCAGTCAGCAGCACACGGCTGGACCTGAGCTACTTGTTCTGTGGTTCTCGAATCACGACCGCGTAAGTGTAAGTTCCTCCGTCGATGACGCGAGATACAATATCCCCATTCTCAACACGCTTATAGCCAAAGCTCTCGTAGAGCGGAAGAGCCACTGGCGAAGCTTCGGTAAAACAAACCAAGCCTTCTCGGTCAGCTACCTCATTAGCCCAAGCCAGGTGCAGCCCACCAGCTCCACGACACCGATGAGAAGGTAGCGTTCCTAGCATTCTCAAGACTATTGAGAGATTGGTTAGGTAGAATCCACACCTTGATTGTGAGTTCTCAAGTATTTGGTCACGTACTGATGGCGGGCCGATCTCCTACGACACGTTTTTTGACCGCAGCACACTTGTCCGTAAACTCAACGGCAGAGGGATCATCCAAGCCTTCAGGCGTAACAGGTCGTTCTGGAACAAACCCTTCCGGCAATCCTTGGGTCAAATCAGCATTCACGTCGACGTTCGTTCGAGGGGCGTTTGATACAAGGTAAATCGACACTTACCGATTGGCTTCGCTAGTTTTTCACCTGCTGTAGTATTCTGGAATCCCCAGATCGAATAGCCTATAACTTCATTCGAAGTAGTATCCACGACTTTCTTGTAAACCTTTCTCTCGAGACCACCATTAATACGTGGCCAGCGTGAGATGGCCCCGGCCAACAACTGATCAAATGACATGCCTGGGAACAAAGTTTGATTCATGCGGTCGTCGAAGAAGGCACTGATATATACATTCTGAACGGCAGGGCCGTCGGCGAAATCAACATCCTGTAACTCAAGAGGCATCTTGTTGCGAGATCAACCCATAACTGGAGTCAACGTTTTCGTGGTATAAACAAGATCGGCAGTCAACTTGGTCAACTCCTTAGCGAGCTTTTTCAAGATCAGCGTCCAAGAGGAGCCAACTAGGTATTTCCGGCATGCCCACCACTTTAAGAGTCTTATGATGTAATATGCAATGCTATGACAGATGCATCATGCTTAAGGTCGCTGCCTGGCGTAGCGACAAGGGGCATCTCTTCCTATCTTCTTCAAAGATGCTTACACCGATCGTATTGAACTGCTTGCTGCAATACGGTTGCAGTCAACTTTGCTAAATGGGTTATAGGGGTTTTCTTATTCTTTTCTTTCGCACCGTGGCATGCACCACACTGTATTGTCACCAATTCAAATGAGGCCAGCTACTGAAGGTCCCAAACCCACCGCAAGCCATTTGTGCTGCTAGTTTAACCTTAGTCTAGTCACTTAACAACCAATACCACCGGCCACAAGTCCCGGCCGGGTGTTATTGTTGTACAATATTCTATAGAAAATGTCTTCAGCCAGCGTTCGAGTCTTTCAATACTTTGGTATAAAAAGAAGAAGAAAAATTGTCGTTGCAGGTGGCACAGCGCAATGTGTCTCACAACAGCAGAAGCTGAATGATGCACCGTAAATTTTCAAGTATCTCGAGCTAGTAAACGAAATCCAGCGAGCTCGGTCGTGGCGCTTCCAATTATTTGGCCTCATCCTCGATATGGGATAACCGTTATATGTATATTGAAACGATAAGCTAGCAACGGTATATAGAATTGCTGGCATAGCACAGACTGCCATAATGTAGGATAATTCTGGGCAATTGCTAGCTGGTTATGTCAACTATCCGACTAATCTGGACACTGCACTTAGTGTCACTCCAGACAGCTCGCTGCGACTGTTGGTCATAACGCGACCACCATCGCCGAGTAGTTATATCAGATGATCACATATTCTATATCGCAGCATAACTTTTATCGACCAGTCCGCTCGATGCTCAACCATGTTCAGGGGAAACTTTCGAGTCTCTTGGCTGCATGAGGCACCCACTGTGTTTGCAATGTGGGGCTAACCTACAGGGTCGTAACTGTAATACACAGCGAGTCGGACCTGTAGACCGATATCTCGGAACCAAACACCGATCGGTCAAAGAAGCCGATAGCCTTCGTACTGGGAGAATCGACTGGCAGCCAGCCTTCGCCGGAAAGTTTGGGAATCGACCTCCGCAATACAAAAGATGCGCTTAGCCGCGGTGCGGGGCCCCGGTCTTCGGAGCAAGACGCTACGATCTTCACTTATACATGGTAGTTATAAGCAACAAAGTCAGCAGTAACCACGAATTTGGCAGTCTGTTTGAGGACCAATCAACCAACCCAGTATTATTCTTGCTTGTCCGCAGCCATGGGTCTCACTGTGCTTTCAGATTCGGACGTGTCCAAGGTCTTTTCGTCCTTGTCGACCGAGGAAGTCAACGGCTTATTGCAAGTCCTCGGCGAGACGCTCACCCACTATTCGTGTCATGGAGGAAAAAACGACTACCTGGCCCGAAGCGCACATACCAGAAAGGATGGCCAAACCAGCCTGTTCATGCCCTCGGTCACCCAGGATCTGATCGGCACCAAGATTGTTGGTGTCGCCCCGCCTCAAACTCAGAGTTCAGCAGCACCCGTCGCCGGTTTGAAGAGCGTCCTGACTCTATGCGATGCCACAGGTCAGGCCGTCGGAATCTTGAACGCCGCAGAGTTGACTGCGTTCCGCACTTCGCTGGGGTCGATGTTATTATTCCATCAGCGACAGACGGTGCGCAATATCGTCGTCTTCGGCGCGGGCAAGCAAGCGTTGTGGCATGTCAAGCTCGCTGCGATCCTACGTGGTCGGGATATCCAGATGATTACGATCATCAATCGTTCTAGCAAGAGAACAGAACAGCTGATTTCGGACATCCAATCAAGCGAACAGTGGCCTAGCCACATCAAGCTCGTGGCCAGCGAGAACCAGGAGTCGTTGGAGCAGCTTGTGACTGATGCCGATGCCATTTTCTGCACGACACCCAGCACGGAGGCTTTATTCCCGGCGGCGTTCTTGACATCAGATGCTGCAAAGAGCAAGACTCGCTATATCGCAGCTATTGGGTCCTACAAATTGAACATGAGGGAGATAGACCCGGAATACCTCCGCACGGTAGTGGATCCTTCGGGGCCGCTTTCTGCCCAGGCATACAAAGAGGGAGTGATCACCGTCGATAGCCAAGAAGGATGCTCGGAAGAAGCAGGAGAGATCGTAGCAGCCAAGATTCCCCACGAGAAAATCGTCGAAGTGGGCGAGCTGCTCCAACAGAGGACGAAACCGGCGTCGGCCGATCTGGAGAAGTGGCTGCAGGAGGGACTTGTGATTTACAAAAGCGTGGGGATTGGTGTAATGGATATTTCCATTGGGCGGGAGATTCTACGCCTTGCCAACTCGAAATCTATCGGCTTGACTGCCCCAGACTTCTAAAATTGTAATATACACTCCAATTTCTTCCTGTCTGCTGTTTCATTGTTGTGAGAGAGACCACACACACCCCGTTAAAGCCCAATCTCCTGGAGATACGAAGGCAGCTTAGTCGTCACGTTGTTTGGCACTCTAGAAGCGTCTGCACCTTCCGTGAAATCAGGTGCCACCTGATCGATGGTGAAACCACAATTTCCAGTCTTGCAAGGACAACCATCATTGCCACAGGCTGTATCGGTCATGTCTGGGACTGGTTGCCAGCCCTGAGGCGGCTCCTTGCAGTAGAAGCCGTGAGGGAGTGGCTGCGGCTGGTAGGCCGTGAAGCAAGCAAGGTAACCGAACCAGTCGTAGATTTCGCCATTGTCTGCGTTTCTTTGTCAGTGGCTGAAAGACAAGGCTGACAATGGCTAGCATAAGGTAGTAATGTGCAATCCACACGGAGTAATAATGATGACACTTGAGGAGCCTAGTGTCATAATATAGGAGGGCTGGGAATGACGAATTAGACAAGATGTTAGAAATTACTCATAGGCAATGTGCTGATTACCTAGCTATCGTCAAACGGTGCACCAGCATAGTTGAGTTGATTGCCGTTTTGGACGAAGCAGTTAGTGCAAGAGTGACCAAAATTGCCACTATCGAAGCTCAATTAGATAGGAAATCACGGCATGAACGATGGGCTTATGGAAATTTTCGAAAAACAGGGACTTACTTCTTAAAGACAAGCTGGCCGTTAGTGTTGCCGATGCAAAGATGTACGTTGAGGGAATTCTCAGTGATCTCGTTGCAGAGGTGGCTGTTGCAGAAACTATGGACGGTGGCGCCTACGAGGTTCCAGCCATTGGGATCTTGCATCTTGCAACCTTGGTCTAGAAACCCATAGGTGTTGCACAAAGTAAACAGAACACTTGCAAAGGGGAGAATAAACGGAAAGTGTCTCATTGTGCAACTCTCTACCAAGTGATATGTCACCGACGAGAAGGAGGCCGTGGATAACACATTTTATCGATGTACTTTTGAGATATCATGTTTGATTATCAACCTGCTATTGCCAGAAATTTACAACAAAGAAATCTCAGCACCAGAACGCCGCAGCTCAAACCCCCAACAGGCCTTCCTTCCTTACCATTCAGCCACTCTGTGTAACCTTTTGGAACTTTCTGCAATGATGAAGCCATACTTGCCTTCCGTAACCATTTTCCAGTTCTGAGCTTCAATATTCCAGTAACTCAAGTCTCTTCTTGTGACATTAAACGTCACAGTGGCTGTCTCCTTCTGCTTCAAGAACGTCTTCTCGAAACCTCTCAACACTTTGACAGGGAAGTCTACACCCTCGGTGCTCTGCGCATCAGGTGGGTAAACAAGATATAACTGCGTTACGACTTGACCGTCATTGGCACCAGTGTTAGTAACATTGGTAGAAACCGTGGCGTAAGTCTCCCACAGGTCCGGATTACCACCTTCTTCGCCGCCAGCTTGTGAGAGAGGTTGTTGGACGTCATAGCCTTCAGGATAGGGATATGGGTCTGTTACAATCTCATCGACTGTGTCCAAGTAAGGGTATACGAATTTTTCGAGTTTCCGGAAACCAGCTGGAAACAACGCTTCTTCCTCGTCCGGGATGTTGGTATCATACTCGGGCGGAGAGGCGAAGTCCTTTGGTCGCGAAGCAGGATACGCGCTTTTTGGCTTGAGCTCATTGATATCAGGGATGGTGAATTCAAAGGTGGTGTACGTGAGTCCGAAGCCAAATTCGAATCGTGGCTGAATGTTGTACTTGTCGAAGTGACGGTAGTCCACGTACAGGCCTTCGGTGAAGTCCTGCTGCGGTACAACACCGTTGGGCAGGTACATGATTTTGGCTCCCTCACCATAGTCATCCAAACTCTTACCAATTGTCCAGGGCAAATGTCCACTGGGGTTAACGTCTCCAAAGATCACATCTGCCAATGCGTTTCCGCTTTCCTGCCCGGGCAAGTTCGCGAGAAGGACCGCCTTGACACCAGGAAGGTCAATCCAGCGCTCCACGAGAACGGGACCAACCGTGTGGATGACAACGATTGTTTCGCCTGCGCCGCCACCACAACCTTCTGCGACGGCTACAATCAGGTCATCGCCACCTTTCTGGAGGTTGAGATCTGGGCGGTCACCCTTCACGTTGTCCCATCCCATGAATCCCTCGCCTGCATCGGCATTCGCGAAGACAATGCAAATATCTTGGTCAGCAAGAATCTCTGGCTCCTTCTTGAAAGGCGGGCTGTTTGTCAACCAGGAGGTCAGCTTGACCTTTTCCGAGTCCCAGCCGCTGCCAAGCACATCGATTGGTGTGACAAGATATGGGAACTCCACAGCACCAGAGCCCCATCCAGAAGCCAGGGTGCCTTCATTGCAGCCGCGATCCTTGCATCCATTGGCACCGTTGGGACTTGGGCCAGCGTCCTCACCAAAGATACCAATGCGGACATGACCGGTGTGTCGCTTCCGTAGTTTCATGTCGGTGTTTCCGTGTCGGTCAATGGGTAGAATTTGCTCATTCTTGAGCAGCACGGTGCCCTCTGCTGCGATCTGTCGTGCGAGTGCTGAATGATTGCCCATGACATTGACGAATTCGTTGACAACAACTTTCTCCTGATCGGAGGGACTGCCGGGTGCTTCCACACCAAACTCATCGTCTGTCCATGAAGAGAAATTGGGTCCGTCAGGGTCAAACCTTGTAGTATCGTCTTGTCCAAACTGATACCAAGCCGCAACAATACGGGTGACCATGTCATTCAGCCTCTCAAGCGGTACAGATCCGTTTAATACAGATTTGGTCAGCTCAGGGCCCCAGAGCGACTTGCCATCGGCCCAGAACAAACCGTCTCCCGGCATTGTCATGTCCAGTCCAGCCAAAGCGGTGGAGACACCTCCACGCTGCGCAAGCCAGTCACTCATGACGAACCCCTGGAAGCCCATCTCATCCTTCAAAATGCCGTTGAGAAGTTTCGCGTTTCCGCACGCATACGAGTTGTTGATTTGATTGTAGCTGCACATTACGCTGGCAACGCCTGCCTTGACCGAGTCACCAAACGGCCACATATAAAGTTCGTGCATCGTTCGATCATCGATATTGCTGGAGATGGCATTTGGCAGACCCCATTCCCAGGATTGGCGGAAATGTTCCTGCTCGTTCGCAACCAAGTGCTTGATCGTCGCCATGACACCTTCATCTTGAATGCCCTTGATGGACTCGGCGGCAGCAATACCTTGCAAGTAAGGATCGGCGCCGAATCCCTCCCAGTTTCTTCCGCCAGCGGGCATTCGTCCCAAGGGACCAATGCAGGGCCCTAGAATGGCGTTGATTCCCTTCTTTCGAGCCTCGATGGCATGCGCATTGCCCCATTTGTACATTAGATCCTTGTTCCAGGTCGCGCCCACAGTGATGCCAGCCGGGAAAGCTGTAGCATTCTCCGTGAAGCGTATTCCTAGTGGCCCATCTTGCAAGGCGAGAGACGGGAACCCAACATTCACGGCGGGGCCCGTGTTACCGACAGCTGGGCCCATCGACCAGCCAGTGCCCGTTGTCACGTTCACCTTCTCTGGCAGCGTCATCTTACTCACCATCTCGCTCGCCTTTCTGTAGCTGTCCGCCCAATTTCTTGCCGTACCACCTTTGGGAGCGGGATACCACGGCGGGCTGAGCCCATCCTGTGGACTGCTGTATTTCTTGTACGCAAAGAAACCCCCCGAGCCGAGCGCTAGGAACACAAGGGCTAGTATAGCCAGGAATGACCAAATGCATTTCCTCGACCGACCAGCGCAGCAGCCGCAGGGCTGCCGCAACCACCGGCTGCGGGGCTGTGTCTGGAATGCGGGAGCGTAGGATCCCTTCTGTGCGGTCAGTGGGTCTGACTGCAGGAACTCGGTCGCGTCGAGGTCAGATCCGAACTCTGAAGAATCGCGGGCGTCGTATGATTTGCGGAAGCGCTCTTCGAAGTGCTCATCTTCGGGGCTGAGGAGGCCTGCTGCCTCTTTCTCGTTCCGTGCCATTGTGAGGTTATTCAACACTAGTTTGGTGGGGGGTTTTCTGTGGCAAAGAGAATGAGGTCGGATGGACGGATTTTCTAAATGCAGAGATGAAGATATGGGCTGTAGGTAGGTTGGTCTGACCGAATAGCTTTGGCGATCATTGATTGAGCATAAACGACTTGGAAGATATGTAATAATAACAAGCAGCCAATGCCGCAGTAACACAGTCACAGGCACGGCCTCAAGCCAGGTCGCGTGGCAGCTGCAGCTTGCCAACTAATATCAAAATCACTATCAAACACCAGGAAACCGACAAGAGTTGGGAGGAGGCACTGGATCAAGAGGGCCTCATGAATATGGATTGAGGATTAAGAAACGTCCGCATTGAAACATTGGCAACATGGCCTCTGACAATGGAGCTGCACCTTGAAACTTAGGATCGGACTTGGCGTAGCATTGACCCCTTGAAGCTAAGGCTAGAAGAGCTGAACAGCTATTCGTGGCGACGGCCATGCGAGCGAAGCCATTCCGCTTAGTCCAAGGTTAGTCTAACCTAGGTTAGACTAGTGTCAATCTGCCGGACTCCCGCCTAAGCTTCAGTGGAGTGACGCACAAGCTGACAAGCTCAGGAACAAGCAAGCAAGCTGTAAAAGTAACACCCACACTGGGTGCCCCAGGCCCTCTATGAACTGGTCCCGTTTCCCTTTCGCAGAAGACCCCCACCCGCTCTGACTGGTATCAGGGGTTTGCAAGGCTTACCGCAGGTCTGTGAACGACTTTCGCATCTTGAGCAGGCATGTCCAAGCCAGCGGCCAATCTAAACAGTCTATCGCCCATGTTTGTGCAGAATAATCTCAACAGTCAGCAGGGTTCGGTTTATGCAATGCCTAACGTTTGTATTGTTGGTTTGTTCGGTGCAATATGTAGATCATCTCATATCTGCAACACCACACTACTGTAGGCTAATAAGTTACTGTATCTCACCAACGGAACCAGGGTTACCTTTGTATGCACATCTAGATTTGGCTTCTTCTGTTATCGCTAGCTGCAGACTCCATAGCGACTAACCTTGGAAGCTGATCTTTGAACTACGTGCTCATATCTATGGGGTGACTAAGCTGAAGGACAGATATTAGAGAGTATAGCATTGTATTGCTACTACATCACAGTAGGTCATGTACTCGAGCAGTGCAAGCACAGCAGCACAGTTCGATGTCTCCGGTGGAGATAATGCCCATGTGCCCCCCTCGGCGCTGATCGTTCGAGTATAACCTACCTTGTGCATACCATTTTATGTTTGCATTGCACATCCAACATTTGAGTTTCGCCGTATAGTGCAACACAGACCTATCATCATACACCGTACTGCTATGGAACAGGAAGTAAGAGAATTCACGGTGCGGGGACATAGATTGGATCATACATCAGTATTGCGTATGGGCAGCTGTGGGCAAATGCGACACCCTGATTGACGTCACTAAAATATGGAGTCGCAACACCTCTCATCACCACGCGCTGCGATTCCCACGACATTTAAGAAAGCACGTTGTAAATCAAGGACTTACTCTATAGCGACAAGGACTCAACTTAAATCACATTTGTACTCTTTGTCTTTCCTCAATAAACATGCCTGTCAAGTACGACGGATCAGAGATACCCACATCATATGCAACATGCAGTATCGGGTACAAGGAGTCACACACCCTGCCCATCAAGCTCAAGGCTATCGCAGATGCTGGGTTCGATGCGGTTGAGCTGTCAATGCCTGATATTCAGGCCTATGGAAAGTTTCTATATGGACAAGAAATCGATGAAAAGGACTACGACACTCTTGTGAAGGTTGGCAAGGAGATCAAGAAGCAGGTCGACGAACATGGTCTGAAGATTCTCATGCTTCAGCCATTTGCAAACTTTGAAGGTTGGCCAAAGGGTAGTGAGGAGAGAAAAGATGCCTTTGATCGAGCAAAGGGATGGGTCAGGATCATGGAGGCCGTTGGTACCGATATGTTACAGGTCGGATCTTCTGACGCACCTGGCATCTCGTCATCATTTGACGAGCTGGCTGGGGACCTTGCGGAACTGGCAGACTTGCTTGCAGAGAAAGGCTTCAGAATTGCCTATGAAAACTGGTGCTGGGCCACACATGCACCCAGCTGGAAAGACGTCTGGCACATTGTCAAGAAAGCCGACAAACCAAACTTAGGACTCTGTCTCGACACATTCCAGAGCGCTGGAGGAGAATGGGGGGACCCTACGACAAGATCAGGGCATCTCGAAGGCGTGGGCAAGTCACAGCTGGACCAGAATTGGGGCAAAAGCTTGGCCGAGCTAGCCGTTACCATACCTGCAGACAAGATTTATCTCCTCCAGATTTCTGATGCATATAAGGTCGACCCTCCGATCGAAGCGAAGACTAACGAGGAGGGCTTGCGCCCCCGTGGACAATGGAGCCACGATTACCGCCCTTTGCCGTACGCCGGTGGTTACCTACCCATTGTCGAATTTCTCAAGGCCGTCCTCAGTACAGGATTCAGGGGCTGGCTATCCATAGAAGTTTTCGACGAGAAAGGTCAAAAAAACTACCCAGATATGGGTGTCTACGCAGACAAGGCTATGGATGCTCTCAACAAAATGCTGAGCTCGAAATAAGAGCTGCACCAACCTGCTTACCTATGGAGTGGGGCGGAAAGCGACTCCAAACGAGCGCACTGCAACGCAGCTTTGGCTGGTGGGAAGTCACAGTATTGCGCAAAACGAGTAGCGTATTCAATCCAGCATTTCCTGTAATTTGTGTCGCGGTATCTTTGTCTCTCATTCGACCTGTAGTCGCCATTTTGAAAAGTCCGAACCGCGTTGCTTAGCAATGGTTAGACGCTATTCGGGCACTAAGTCGCACCGCTGTGCGAATGCGAATGAGATGAAGTACGTCATCCATTCTGCACCCGGATCACAGATATGGGTGACAGCGTATGGACTTCAAATTAGGATGCCAAAGTATGAGTCCCAGGTATCTTGGCTACTTATACTAAATCTAACCAGATATCTTCCAACATTTATGTGTTATGATCGACATTGCCACTATCTCAACTTGAACCAAATTTAAGCCTGCACCGTTCTTATTGCCAAGATGGCTATTGGGACACAATCCAATCTCTCACAGCTGAGGGACTTCCTTGGGTATCTCACTACAGTCAAGGGTGATTTATCAAACATCACAGCTCCACCATTCGTGCTTTCGCCAAAATCAGTAACAGAGATACCTGCATCATGGGCCGAAAGGCACAAATTGTTCCTACAACCAGCCCAAGAGGATGATTCAGAGAAACGCGCGTTGCTTATCCTGAAGAACTTCCTCTGTAGTCTCAAGCGCCAAGTCTATACAGCGGCCTCGAAGAATTCGGATGGAGGTGCCAAGAAACCGCTAAACGCGTTTCTTGGTGAACTATTCCTGGGCACTTTTGTAGAACCAGAATCAGGCAGTACTACTAGGGTCATCTCAGAGCAAGTGTCGCATCACCCACCAGTCACAGCCTGCTTCACATATAACAAAGATCATCAAATCTCTTCCTCGGGCTACGTGGCGCAAGAGACGAGTTTCAGTGCCACGAGCGGTGTGGCAGTCAAACAAGTCGGGCACGCCATCACCACAGACCAGAGGCATCGAGAAAGTCATCTCATGACATTGCCCATCATGTCAATTAAGGGACTCCTGGTGGGTAAACCATATCCGGAATTGCAGGGGACATGCTATATCTCTTCGAGCTCCGGTTATCTCGCTACCATTGAGTTCAATGGCAGAAAGACTCTGGGCCTGGGAACGAAGAACTGCGTAACTGCTAAGCTGAGTAATCTGAGAGATGGCAACAAAGTCTTGTATCAAGTAGATGGGCAGTGGAATGGGCAGATGACCATCAAAGATGCCGTCAAGGGAACGAAAGTTGAGACCTTCGACGTTGATGATGTGCCCTACACGGAGTTGAAGGTAAAGCCAATAGAAGAGCAGAGCCCTTGGGAGTCGAGAAGGGCATGGAAACCAGTGCTGAAAGGGATCACTTCTGGCAGCATGGAACTTGTCAATAAGGAGAAGGAGAGGATAGAGAACGCACAAAGGGATTTAAGAGCGGCGGAAGAACAAACTGGGGTGAATTGGCAAAGAGTTTTCTTCCGTAGTATGAACTCTCATGAGGAATTTGATGTACTGGCTAGAGCTATACCTGACAGCGAGGCTAGAAGCCTACGGAAAGATCGGACAGCAGGCGTCTGGAAATTTATTGGTATCAGAGCTGCTGAGAGCATAATTGAGAAGGGCGTGTATCACTCAGGATTGGATCCGACCGGACAGGTCAGGACGAACGGAAGTTCTTAGTATGACAAGGAAGTCAGTCGGAGGTGGAAGTAATGGAAATGTCTTACATTGTTGTCTTATGGTTAATCGCAAGCATTATCGTCTGAATTTGACTGCCATCGGTGTCTATGTTAGTGCCAGTCTAGCGGACCACTTCACAAACACGTGAAGAGATGCCGGGTCGCGACATTGTACCATCGACGACTACTATGGGTCATTTCTACAGAAACGTTGCGAGAATCTCGTCGTTCCGTCTTTTCCTTCCACAAACCCAATATTTCTCAGATTGAGAAACAAATCCGGAACCCCTTTGCTTTACAACAAAGCAATTCTACCAAGAAACAGTCAAGATAAAGCCTCTGTTACGTTCCTCACGATCATTAGATTAAGCTTACTATGTACAGATGGGTCGTGACAAGAACCCAAGACCGCCCAAGTCACCAAAGAAGTCATCTCGCAAGTTGGTAACTGGACGCCAGAACTCTCTTCCAATTCCCCCCATCCTGCCAGCACTGAGTGGTAACCCCCCCCCCCCCCCCCCCCCCCCCAAAAAAAAAAGGAGAAGAAAGTCACCTCCAATCCCGATCGTGTTCCACACCTCATCGACGCTGAAAAGGGTCGGAAGTACCGATGCCCTCTCTTCAAGGCCGGCACCATCGATACCCCTTGTGGTGCCCTCATCGCGCCCGACAACCACAGCATCAGCTCCCACATGTCAAGCAAACACCGCGGGAACTCCGCCTACAACGACAAGATGAATGACACTGCCTCCAATGTCATTGGCTGCACCAGCAGCTCCTTTTGCTACCCGGAAAAGAAGAAGTAGAACTTGTAGTGTAGGAAAAGAACAACATTTGCGAATCTATATTGCTGCCTCAAAGCTGAATAGTCAAAACCGCCTTTCCAGTACTTGGTGCGAATAAAGCCCGTGGACACTTCATACCACATTTAGAGTGTATTGTCTTTGGACAATGGTTCCTCACCAATTGCTTCAGACCACGCAGGATTATTCGTCTCGAAATTCTATTACACAGCCGCATGATTCTCAATAGCTGTTTTGGGAGAAACTCCGGCGCAGAAAACTTGATTTATGATAGCCGTGGTTCCTTCATCTCAAGTTTCTGCTTGTACTTGTAAAACCATCAATTCTATTTATATCCAATATGATAAGCCATCTTTGTTCAAAATATCAATTGCGCCAACTATACTTTCCAATTCATGAACAGTTACGGACTACTTTAAAATAACTTATATATATTTTTGAGGCATTTAACCCTAACTGTTAACAGTGACGAGGCTGCAATTTATAATTGACAAAGACCCTTTCGTAGGAGGAAACCAAGAACCATAGGGCCAACATCTCACAATGGAAAGTCCTTAGGGCGTTATCACTGGCTTTTGGTTTTAGATTTTGTGAAACAAGGTGATATGGTACTTATCATCCGCACAGCTTTCTCCCAGCTATGGTAAGTGCCTATGGGTGTTTCCATCTTCACACAGAAGATGCTCAAGATTTGTTAAAGTTGTACCAGGAACACACTTACACGCATATTTATGATAAAATTGACCCAGTCTCAGACATCAAGCTAATAAGTCCATTGATCAACCGGATCTTGTAAGCCAAATCCAATCAAGCCGATGGGAAAACCTGAACCGTTGTATATTTCGAACTCATATCATAGAATCACAATAGCAATACTAAACTCAATATCATAATAGGTATACGTCACCAGCCAAACATCTGTGATAATTCACTTTGTCTGGCACTACTCATAAATTACTGGTTTGCTTTATGTTATATCACTATTTTTCTCCCACAGGTTAGTTGATGTACATATCAGGTGCTCACTTCGTGTAAGTCGCCGACCATATCACTATGATATTTTGTGTCAGCTGCTGATCATATCCTATCAACTTTGTGTAAGTCGCCGACTGCACTCACGATAAGTCCTAGTCGACGATGATACTCATCGGCGATGCTATCTTATGTATCAGCATGCCCTTGCCCTAGACATTGTCGGCGATGCCCCTCCGCAGCAGCCCACGATTTGAAAAAGGAAACAAAAGAAGATCACTCCTCCATTTCCAGCCCAACACCCTCCTTCCCTTCACATCTTCCTCACGCCACAACAATCGTCAGTAGAGAAAGGTGAATATTCCTAGCTGCTTAACAAGGAAATACTAATTTTCTATCCCTTAGATGGCTGCCAACAAGGAAGAGGGTGTGTCCCCTGTGGACAACGCCACCAACAGCAACAACAACAATAACAACAACACCTCCGCTGTTGCTGCCCCCGCTGCCGCCGTTGCCCCTGCTGCCCCCGCTGCCCCCGCTGTTGCTGGTTCCGCTGCTGCCCCTGCTGCCGCCGTTGCCCCTGTTGCCCCCGGTGCCTCCGGTGCCTCCGGTGCCGCTGGTGCCGCTGGTGCCGCTGGTGTCCCTGCTTCTGCTGCTGCCACCAACGCCGCCGCCGCCGCCGCTCGCGCCCGAGTCCTAGGTCTCTTGGCTGGGTGCAGCCCACGCTTTTGGGAAAGCCTGATCCAGACCCGGCAGGTGGTTAAATATAAGTGCACTGAGCACAAGTGGGGTCACCCGACCACACCCTGCGGCACCATAATCACCGCCAAGGATCGCAACATCCTCTCCCACCTCTCCAAAATGCACCGAGGAAACTCGGCATACAAGCGCGCTGCTAGCACAGACCGACCAGTCAGGCGCTGTATCAGAGGAGATTGCGACCGTGGCCCGTGGAGCAACCTCAACTCCTACAACGAGCACGTCCGGAATTCCCATGGTCTGGACATGACCGAGGCTCAGATCATGGGCAACCTAAAGGCGAATGCACGTCTTCGCAACGACCAAAGCGACGCCTGGTACGATTACGCGCCGCCTGAGGGCAAAAAGACCACGACCCGCAGGCAGAAGCGCGAGACGCAGGAGGCCGAGGAGGGCGCTAGAAAGCGTCGAAGGACTAGATCCACAAGACGAGTCGTGTTGAGTTCGGATTCGGAGTCAGATTCGGACAAGGGGTCGGACGAGGAGCCGCTCCCTGAGGGCCCTTTTTTCTGGGACGGTCATGAGAACGGCGGTCGGGACGGCGCTGGTGGTGCTGGTGGTGGTATGGTTACTTAAATACCAACCACCACATGCACAGGCAAAGGCACAGGCACAGGATGCATTGATAGCCGGCACAAGAAGGCATTGCCTTGGTAGGTCGCCTTAACCTTTATCCCACATGACATATTACTGACTGAAGCCGTGTAGACATCACCAACTCCACAACGTGTTGACCTTAGCTTGTAGCTAGGTCTAGATGCTCCTCCCTAGAACCTCGAGTTATCTGCTTTCAATACTCCCGCCTTCGGGCACCGTCTGGGCAAAGATTTGGAACCATGGACGAGTCAACCGAATCATCCCACTACGAGGGCCGGCTGTTTCATTTGTTTCTCTTCTCACAGCATCACACACTGGTCGACGTCACTTGCCAGTAATAATATTCACCACCCCTTTTCCCATCACATGACCAACTATTTTATCCGTTTCTCTTCTCACAGCATTGTATACCGGTAGACATGACTACCGGGGCATAATATCCATCGCCCCTTGCTGTACTAGAAAGACCGGTCACTTCGGTTGTTTCTCTGTTCGCAACATCAAAAACTGGTCGGCATCACTGGCGGGACATAGTTCATCACCCTTCTTCCACTAGAGGACGTCCTATTCCATAAGTTTCTCTTTTCGCAGCATCTCTCATATGGAGCATCGTACACTGGCCGACATCACCAGCGAGGCATAACTACTACCCTTCTCCCACTAGAGGACCGGCTGTTCTATACATTTCTCTGCTCGCAGCATCGCAGACTAGGCGACAATACTGGCAGGGTATAATAACCATCACCCCTCGACCGGCTGTTTTGTCTGTTTCCTTTCCACGGCGTCATAATTTGGTTGATAATACCGACTTGGTATACTATTCGTCACCCTCGACCGGCTTTTTCGTCTGTTTTGCTTTTGCAGCATCGCAGCTAGTTGACAACATCGGAACGATATAATACTCGTCATCCTCGACCTGGCCTTTCGTTCGTTTCTCTTTCGCAGCATCACAGACTGTGTTTCTCTTCCGCATCATCGCCAATTGGTCGATGACATTGGCACGGTATATTGTTCGTCACCGTTCGATCGGCCTTTTCGTTTGTTTTTCTTTTGCAGTATTGCAGACTGGCCGACAACATTGGCACAGTATAATATTCGTCATTTTCGATCGACCTTTTCGTTTGTTTCTCTTTTACGGCATCACAAATTGGTCGATAATACCGGCAGGCTATAATATTCATCACCCTCGACCGGCTTTTTCGTTTGTTTCTCTTTCGCAGTATTGCACGCTGGATGACATTACTGGCAGGGTGTAATATTCACCACCCCAAATTGTACTAAAGGACCGGCCATTTCGTTTCATTTTCGCAGCATCACAGATTGATGGACGGCTTTGGCGAGGCATAATATGCATCGCCCCTGATCCTACTTAGAGGACTGGCCATGAAATGAGAAATGCCTTCACGATATTTCTTCTCAGACTTACTCATGATTTTGTGCCTGCTTCTAACTGTGAAATGCTATTTGATACCGACCATGTCTACAAACCCCCCCCCCGGGGACCCCCACATTCATCCACAAGCAAATGCATAAAATCCGGATGGGTTTTCTTTGCTACGTTATGTAATTGAGTGCGGAGGATTGACTTCACACCTTAGGCTAGGCAGATACCGCCTTCTTGGGCTTGTCCTTCGAGCATCCTCAGTTGGAGTTATGTGGAATATTACATATGCGTCAATGACCCGAGCATTCCTGTTATCGCCGCCGGAGCGATTGAGAGTTAGTTCCCGCCAACCATTGGCGAGCAATGACGTTCATGGTGTACAAATGACTGTAATCAAAGCAAGGGTCAAAGGCGATCTACGGTATGAATTCTCGCTTCGGCTGTATATAAAATATGATACGATATAAAGCAGTGGCGGCATAGACTGTTTGAATGACACCACGGAGCGGGAACTTCTGGTTGTATTCCGTATAAAAAAAAGTTTATTGCTGCGGGGCCGATAGTAGGCCGCGAATCGTTTTTAGGGCCGCACGTGGAATCGTGGAACCTGCCCCTAAGGAAAGTAGTGATCATCACTTGCGAACCGCCACGATCTGAAGTTTAACTTATCTGAGAGCTTACAAAAAGCTTATTCTTGTCTCAATTTCTCCTTGCGCCATATGTTGTTATTTTGCGTCGTTTTTTCAAGTCCTGCATTGCCGTGCAACCGAGCAGTACTTTCTTTTCAGACCTTCTCAATGCAGAAGGTGAAGTGCCGATCCATGCTCTGCATGCCCCTTTCATGCAAAGCCACGAACCGTGAGCGCGGGGAGTGGCCAGGATGGCGGCTCGCAAAATTGTCTCGTCTTGGGCCGTTCGGAGCACTGCAGTCAGTGGGCTCAGGGCTGTCGTAGTGGTATGGCCAGCCAAGCCCACGGTCTCAGGTCCGTGAATGACGGCGGGATGAGCAAGGCGAGGCAAGGTAAGGGCTGGAAGGGAGATCTGGGCCGCGTGCTTAGCTGGCGTGGCTACTTCACACTTATCCTTTCTCCCTGGTCGCCAAGAAGTGCAGTCTGCAACCTCGCCGCAGAAGTGGATCTCCGGATGAGGGCACCATGTCACCTTCATGCTAGTGCAAATTGCGAGTAATTGCGATGGGGCGCCAAATACGCGACCCAAGCAAAAAGGATACAAAGCTGCCCGCCAACGCCCTTTTCGAAGAAGATGAAGATCGCTGCTGTCCCTGTCCCGTCGCTCTTTTGTGCTCCTGTGCTATCGTGACGCTCGGCCTCTAACCGATTGAACTCAATCTCGCTCCTTAGATAGTTCAAGTCCGTGCCGAAGCCATGAGGAAATCGGTTGCTACTCGCTCGTTGGCGCATGCCCTGTTGAGCGGCCTAGCCTCTGCGCGATACGCAACATTCAACACTACCACGAGCGCTGCTCCGGGCATCACTGGCACTCCTACAACACCAGCATGTGCTCTTGTCAGCTCCGCCTGGGCAGCTCAGAGTGCCGCCACCGCGACGCCAACTGTTGATGCTTCTATAGCTTATGATTGTCTGAACAGTGTGCCGCTCGCCAAAGATGCCGCCCTGAAGTTTATTGATGGAATCGTCCCGTATCTCGAGTGGCAGTCAGATACAGCCTTCAAGAAGAACCCTCCCTCAGATTACTTCTATCCCGGCTACGATCTGTGGCAGGCTTTGTATGATATTAGAGATCGCCTCGAGGCCGACCTTTACCTCAACGAGTATTCTTGGCAAGCAGATCTGTACAAGAATGTTTTTGGTCCTGGCCACGACGGTCACTTCATCATTTACACGGATCTGCTTACTAGCGCCATCGAGTTTGGCCGCCAGTGGGCACTGGTGTCGATCAGTGAGGACGGTACCTCGTTGCCCGTCATCAAGGTCTACGGTGATGTTATCTCGAATCCCGAGACGGCTTCCATCGTCAAGCTGATCAACGGGTTGGACGCTGTGACATATCTCGAGGGTTGGATCTTCCAGGCTTCCAGCAACCAAGATGCCGACTCAGCCTGGAACTCCCTCTTTTTCTCCAAGGCATATAACCACACTGGCACTCAAGGTTATTTCAAGCAGGCGGGTCGTATCAGATACATTTACCCCGGCGCCGACACTTCAATCACGTTTGAGAACGGTACAACCGTTACTCTTCCCAATGTGGGCAGAATAAAGGGCAACTTTGCCGGTGTAAGCGACGGACCTTCATTTTTCACAAAGTTCGTTTCAGGCGCAATCGGTGTCAGCACAAGCACCGCAAGTGCAACTTCCACTGGCGCAACGACTACTTCTACTTCTACTACTACTATTGCCGCCACCACTACTTTGACTACTTCGACCACTACGGCAACTGCTTCGGCGGCCGTTGCTGCTATTCCTGGTTACCCCGGTGACCCTGTCGTCATCTCATCAGATGAGGTTGTCTCGGGCTATTTTCTCGAGGGTGAAGGGTTCGAAGATGTTGGTGTGCTCGTCATGAACTCATTCTCACCTGACGACCCGGTTGAATTCCAGCAAACTGTGCAAGCTTTCTTTGCAGCCGCTGTTGACGCCGGCATCAAGAAGCTTGTCCTTGATGTACAAACGAATGGTGGTGGCTATATCTTCCAAGGTTACGACACCTTCCGCCAGCTGTTCCCTGATATTGTGCAGAACGGCACTGGCAGGTGGAGAAACTCTGCAGGTTTCGAGGCTGTTTCCGAGGTATTCTCCGCGGCTTGCGCCGATTACGACCCCCTCACGGCCTCCGAAGACTTGATATACACCTGCGAGAGTGTCTGGAACTATCGGTACGACCTGGATATCAATGACGATCATTTCAAGTCTTACGATGACAAGTTCGGCCCAGTCACTTTTGAAGGCGACAACTACACAGATGTTATGCAGTGGAACTTCAACAACCCTATCGACACCATCAACTCCACCTTTGGTATTGGCTATGATGTCACTGGGTACGGCAGCCGCACAAACTTCACACGTCCCTTCGGCGGCCCAGAAAATATCGTCCTTTTACTTGATGGCTACTGCGCCTCTACCTGCACACTATTCTCGCAGTTCCTGAAGTGGGATGCGGGTGTTAAATCTATCGCCATGGGTGGAAGACTTAAGGAAGGTGCTATCCAGGGTGTCGGTGGTGTCAAGGGTTCTCAGTCCTTCTCGTACTCATCCGTTCACGCAGAAGTAGACCTCGCCCGTACTCAGACCAATGACACGGATATCCTAGCTGAGCTTGACAGATACGGCGACTACGTATTTGACAGAGCACCCACTCTCAGCTTGAACGTCAAGGACGAGATTCTGCCCACCAACCAAGCTGACGGTATCCCTGCGCAATACATCGCCGAGTATGCTGACTGCCGTCTGTACTGGACCTTGGACATGCACAAGGATATCACTGCGCTCTGGAAGGCGGCCGCCGCATCTGCTTTTAACGGGTCTCCCTGCGCCTATGGTGGATTTAACAGCACAGTTGCCACGAGACGCAGTGCCTTCTCACACTTCCGCCAGTCTGCTCCATCGCGCCAGACCGCGCCAGTCCACAAGTCGAGATCCATCCTTTCCGATGCCACAAAGCCATTGAGGCCACTCCTGCACCTCCTCGACCCACTCTCCGGCATGACCACCAAGGACAAGGCCCAAGAGCTCATGTTGGCGCAGCAACATATGGTTGTTATTGATTAAACTAATATAATTGGGTATATAATGTAATTACATGACTAGCAAACATATCACAATGCGCAACTTTTTTTCTCGCATTCAAATAGTTGTTTTATGCCTCATCCAACCACTTGTACATACTTGGACCTCAAGCTTCGTCTCACAACCCAAGTAGTTCTTCTTCCTTTGCGGTAAACTTCTCCTTCCCAGAAGATATTCTTAACACCGTTGCCTTCGCCAGGTCCGGCTTCTTGCCATGGCCCAGCAGCCGCCACTGCGCACTGCTTGTGATTTCAAAGTAAACAGCAATCAACACACTTAGGGCCTCGAATGGTCGACCACTCGTGAACACCTGGCCCAACAACCTACCGAACGAGGGCCTCGCTCCTAGCGGCTTCAGCAGACTGTCGATGTACGGCACGTAGGTCTCGGTGTTCACGTGTCTCTCCGACCGCACGTACGTCTTGGCATGCCATGCCTGCCAAGCTCGAATCTCCTTTAGCAGCGCCTCACCCTTTGGTACGGTGTGGAGTCCTGCAATCGCCCCAACGGCAAAGCGTGCCTGCGCTTCTACGGCGGGCGGTGTAGGACCGGGCTGCTCGATGTAGCCCACAAAGTAGAGGTTCTCGTATCTTGCCGGGACGATGAGCTTGTACAGATCCGTCTCGAACTCCGGCGTGTCTTGGTTGCTCAGCACGTCGCTGGGCAGGTAGGGTCGCTCGCGCTTGTATCCGGTAGCCGAGATGATGACGTCTGCTTCGACCGTTTCCCCGTCCGCGAGTACGACTCCGGTCTCTGTGAAACTGTCGACAGTGCTGCGATGGACCTTGATGGACCCTGTGCGCACTCTTTCGATGAACTCGCTGCGGACCGTGGCGTTCTGTGCCATCATGCCGTGTTCTGGTTGCAAGACCTTTGGGTGCTTGCCCTGCACGAGGTTCAGCAGCTTCGTGTTGAGCCACTCCGCCACGGATGGCGGGAGCCAAGTCTGCGACACACGGCTGTCCCAAGATTCGATAGGTTTACCGAGGACGTAACGAGGCATCACCCAAGTTCCTCGACGTGTTACAAAGTGTACTTCTTTGGAACACGTTACGAGTTCGCTGGCAATGTCCACGGCAGCCGAACCGGCGCCGATGATCACGACACGTTTTCCCTCAAAGCGGCTAGGCTTACGGTAGTAGTGGCTGTGAAAGAACTCACCCTGGAACGCCTCGCAATTCTTGAATTTGGGGATAATCGGAAGCGAGTTGATGCCAGTGGCCGAGATCAGGACATCGTAGATTCCTTCCTCTGGCTGCTTCCCGTCTACTCCCTGGGTCCGCACGTTCCACTTGCCGTCCTTCGCTTGCGAGCAACCTAGCACCTTGGTCGACAGGCTGATGTGTTTATGGAGTCCGAAATAGTCGGCGTAGTCGAGGACGTAGCGATGCATCTCCCGATGGCTGAAATAATCGCCGTGTCGCTCCGGGTCAATGGGAAAGTCGCTAAATCCTGTTGTGTCGCGGCATGAGTTCAGAATGACACCGTCGTACATGGACGACTGTAATTCGCCCTTCTCGTCCGGCTCAGCTTGATACGCCCATTGCCCACCGATTTCCGACCGACCCTCGAAGATGTGAGCCTTGATACCCTCGGCAAGACATTCTTTGAGTGAAACGAGCCCGGATATGCCTGGATCTGTGTCAGCTTTCTTGTCTGCAAAAGTATGGGTGTCTCGGCAGCCTTACCAGCGCCAATGATGGCGACCCTTTTCTTGTCCTCGCCCGCCATAAGTTGTTGAGCAACTGGATTTCACTTGAATGAAATTAATATAACGGTGTCGCCGATGAGTATCGGACTTCTTTTTGAAGCAGTGTGAGGCTGTACTGTTCTGGAGTCTCTTGCCCTCTCAGGTAAGCGCGCTCCCTATCTTTAGATTGATTCCTTCATCAACGGATCAGCGGCCGACTTCATGTTAGCGGATCCCTCCAGGGGCAGGGTGACGGCCAATTTAGTGGGAACCATAAGCCTGGGAAATTAGCTTCAACACACTAACCTAACCTAGTCGCCTATGTAAGCTGGAGGACGTTGTAAAAGTGCTCCATGCCATGGCCAACTGGAATGAATGTACGGATCCGTACACTGCAAATACATTCGACCAGTATCTGGCGGAAGTGCAATATGCAGTTCTTTTGAACATGTTTTACTGAATTTTCTATGCTCAAATTCTTTCACGCCCTGGCGACTGAGACCTTGTTGATCATACACATGAAGAACATATGTCGCTAGCTTGCCCTGTTGTGACCTTCGGCATGGTGGAAATGTGGTACTGTACAGGTGGCATGTAGAAACATCAGCCACTAGGTTAGTTAAAATTAGAAGCCCCGAACGACAACGAAACTTTGTGAGACAATGTGGCTGGACGGTTGGAGTAGAACCTCATGCGATTCCCGTATCCCACTAGACTAGTTAGACCCGGCTTTCGAAGTGTTCTCCAATCCTCCCATCCGTGCATGGTTCACTGCCCTGCGTAGAATTGACATAAAGCACTCAGCCGTTGTTGGTCATCGCTCGCCTGCTACAAGCTACTGATCCATTATTAAATATACAGTGTTGTGATTATATTGCTGTTCCTATGTGTCTTTGGTTGAAATCATCCTCTCACACGGCCCACGACTAATGCAGAGGTCTCCACGTCGGGAAGTAATCATAGAAACAGATTAATGCCTGGGAGCACTCTCATGTTTCCGCCGAATAAGGAGTTCTTATTGTATAGTATAAGTAACATCTATGCAGCTCACTGCACATGTTTCTAAGTTGGTGCTTGTTCGTATCTTGATTTAATGATGTCGAGCATTATGTTTATGCGAGATAACAAACGAGTCTTCGTTATCATTCAGAGACATCTACGAAAAAGTTAGGCGTGGAACGCGACCGCTAGAGATAAGAGACGTCACCAAGGTAACCTGGATGCAGACTACCTCAATACCATCAACAATCGCAACAGATATCATCATTTCGGACTCAGCTGATGAGAGATAAGACCTTATATCACATTTCTGACGCTGGGACTAGAAAAACCCCTCATTAGCTCAGTGGCGCTGGATCCTGGGACATCATCTTTGTGATCTTTCAGGTGGAACCACTCACAATCAGAACATTTTTGTGATTATAATGCATTCAAGCTGGTCCGTAAACGTATATTCTCCACAGAACCCTCACTACTATAGTACAATAGCTTGTGGAAATGTTATTTTCAGTGGATGAGAATGTTGAATCGAGTCCCTTATCGCGGCACGGGTACCGGACCGAAGCCCAAAAGCTGTTAGTGCTAGACCCGTGCCAATTTGGCGTGGCGGACGAGGCCCTGTGATTGTGGAAATTTTCGAATGACAGGGAGGTCCACGATGCCGACTTCGGTCTAGACTCGATGATGAAATCGAATAGTCAAGCTGAATTTTTGTTTCTTTGCGCTTCATGACTGCCGAATGCCGGTGGGCAGTTTAAGAGTCAAAGGGCACCCTTGCCGAAAACCCGTGGTTCAATGAGTTTTGTCTCGAAGCAAGATTGAAGTTGAAAGGCGCATTGCAAGTTTGTTCTTGGGATCAGACTGTCAAACAGGCGATCGCGAGTACACAAAGCATCCATTTATCTACAGATCAGACTACAGCAAGCTTAATAAGTAGTGCATCCACATAAGCGCAAAGAGCGTGGTTCGCAATCATGGCCCCAGAACCCGTCTTGCCGACGTCCAACGACACATCGGATACTGCCTCCATAAACTCGGTGTCGCGAAACCAGCCCAACTCGTCGTTCATCACCCGCGCGCGCCTACGCGAAGATGTCAATATCCAGTACGCCGATATACCAGTCTGCCTATGCAGTCTCGTGTCCGGGCTGTGCGACAGCGTCGCCTTCAACGCCGCCTCGGTCTTCGTATCCATGCAAACAGGCAACACGGTCTTCTTGGCCCTCGGAACCGCGGGGCTCCCGGCTAACGTGCCAATGCTATGGCTGAAGGCGCTGTGCTCCATCGGGTCCTTCATGGCCGGCGTCTACTGCTTCGGCCAGTCGCGCCGCTTCCGCCCCCAATCCAAGCTCACGCTCGCCGCCAACTTCCTCATGCAGAGCATCCTGATCTTCATTGCCGCCGCCTTGGCGCAGGGCGGCGTGGTCCCCGCGTTCGGGCTCCTGAGCGCCGCCGAGGAACTTGCAGCGCGGAAGGATGCGGACCTGAAGGTGTTGGGACCGATTGTCCTGCTGGCTTTTCAGTTCGGCGGCCAGATCTGCGCGAGCCGCATCCTTGGGTTCAACGAGGTGCCGACGAATGTCCTGACCAGCGTGTATTGCGACATCTTCAACGACCCCAAGCTATTCGCGCCGTTGAGGGCAAACCCGAAGAGGAACCGCAGGATCGCGGCCGTGCTCCTCATGCTGATTGGTTCGGTCGGCGGCGGTTGGCTGGCGAGGAGTGATGCGGGCATGAGCACAGCACTTTGGATTGGCGGCGCCATCAAACTTGGCATCGCTGTTGCGTGGCTCCTGTGGAAGCCAACCGAGCTCAAGGTGGCGGAGAAGAAGTAACCGGCGGCTCAGTTCATTACGATCACTTTCTCAGAAAAATAGATTTCACAATAGATCTAGACAGACATAGATGGAACGAGATGTAGACAAATGTAGACAGACCTAGATGGAAGTAGATGCAGATGGAAGCCATGTGGCATTAGTGGCTTGTATTGGTTTGTTACCAAGAGATAAACTAATATACTCTCACAGTTATCGCTTATCGCTCGGCTTTTTATTCTTCTCCTTCAACCTCGATGTCTCTTGCTCAGAGTATGTAGCGGAAGTTTGGGTTCTCGCGATCGGTCAAATCCTCGAAAGCGTGAGTCAAGTTGTGCTCATCAGCTATCTGGCCTAGAGAGTCCTTTTTCTTGTTCTCGCGGGCCAGGTGCCACCTGAAGAACAGAAGAGTCAGAACAAGTGCCGTGTAGCAGCCGATATGGACCGCAAAGGCGATGAAGTATCGAGGCTGGTTCCATTTGAGGAAGACCTGAGGTCCAATCGTGTTGCCCACAGACCAAAAGATGAAGTTAGTGGCGACGACGACGGACTTCTTGGTCTGCCCCGCGACGTTACGAGACAACATGGAAAGACCCAGCGTTTGAGCAGACCAGAACGAAAGCGTAATGTAGTACGAGATAAGCAGACCGACGTGCTGAGCTGTGGTCTCGCTTGGTAGAGCCATGAGAAGAGCTGTGCCGATGAATGACGGAATAACAAATCCCAACATGGTCCAGATATTCTGATTCCACTTCTTGACTAACCAGACGGATCCGAGCAGGATGGCGATGATGTAGGCGCCAAGAACCATGGACAACAGCTGGGTTTGGAGAATACTGAACCCAAAGCCAGTAATGATGATACCCGTAAAAGAACCGAGACCACTTGTTGGGAGTGTGGTAAAGAGTTGGATGGCAGCATAGCACCAAGTTTGCGGATCTGTCAGTGCCTCATAAACTTGGTACTTCTTGAACTCGCGGTTTTGGATACCAGTCTGGTTGGAACGAACACGCTCGACCATGAGACGCTTGTCCTCCTCCGAGAAGCATTTGGCACGCATAGGGGAATCCGGCATCCACCAGCCTACAAACACGCCAAATAAAACGGAGATGATTCCGTAGGTCAAGAACAGCCACTGCCAGTTCTTTAGCGGGCCAGATGAGATGAGTGTAAAGAGGTAGGCTAGCAGACCGCCAACGATTTGCTGTGCTCCGTTCATCATATACCAGTATGTCACCCTGGAAGCTTGTTCCTCTCTCTTGTACCATACTGAAGACAGTACAACAAACGCCGGCTGACAAGCGGACTCGAAGAGACCAAGGAGGGTTCGTACGGTGACCAAGCCAGTAAAGCTCTTGCAAGCAGCGTGGGAAGCTAGAACCGCGCCCCAGGCAATGACAGAGAAGCTCAAGTACTTGGCTACAGGAACGCGTGCAATGATCCAGTTCTATTACATTAATGTCAGCTAGTCGTTTGATCAAAGGTTTTGGGCTCATTACCTGAGGATATTCAACAATCAAGATTGTTATGTAGATACAGCTTGTCAACCAGCTGTACTCCTGACCTACGAGGCCGGCGTCGTTTTGGATACCCATTATTGAAGCAAACGTCATGGTTCCCTTATCGATAGCCTGGAGAAAGTAGACTGTGATCATGATAACCAAAACACGCCTATCGATCATCCTGCGCAATCTTCTGTTCTCTGACTCGGAAATCTCCACGGTGCCTTGTCCAGCATATTGGGCAAGCTCCTTATCGACATTGTTGTAGTTGGTACCGGCGGTTTTCTCCAGCTCGTCGACATGAGGCTCAGGGTCAAGGGATTTTCTTGTCGAGTGAAAAGACTTTCGGACTTCATGGCCGGTTGGCAACTTGACTGATGCGACCACATCGGGGTCTGCAGGTTCTAAGGACGACATGATATCTCGCTAATAACCTCGATTGAGTTGCAAGAATCAAGGAAAGGCCAGAAATGGAAAAGAAACACTCGAGATCGCCTCTGAAGATTCAAGAGAACAAGAGATGGATCAGCAGAGTCGGGGATGGGTCACATCTTTTATCCCCATCATATTACCCCAGGCAGATCCCGACCCCATGGGCCATCAAAGCGACCATCCGTTGTAATGCATGCGGGCCAGCAGCTGCTTCCCAGTCCATCGGTACCCACGATCCGTGGAGAGTTCCAGCATCATTCCCCATGGTCCAATTACGAACGATGTGAAGTAGAGCCAGAAGTAGATCTTGTTTGAATTCGGCATGGCATTCCGCGCTTTCTGACCACACGTTCAACAGGGACCGACTTTGTTGGCGGGCTAATGGGCGGTTTCTCATCCTGACTCGCGCCTGTAGCACAACCCCGGGGTCGGTTCCCAGGAAGCCTTCATGGCCTTCACAGCACAACGAAGTGCGGGTTGTAATGGACCGAGGAATCTGGGGTCTGGGGAACAAATGAGAGTGCAAGGAGTTAAAACCCCGCACCCCAACATCCCCAATTTTGACCACTTGAGTTGCGGATCCCTTGACGCAGGGTTCGCCTGGGAGGACGCGTGTTAAGGGATTATTGTGCATATCCTGAATATAATCATATTATTGTAAATCCGGTGGGAGTCAGGTAAGCTTGGTTTGCCAATGAAAGGTCCGAAGACACCAATCTCGCACAACTCGCTGTTGTGAGCCCGAGAAGCCCAGTTCTATTAAACGACAACCCACCCCTGCCAAGCGACTTGAGCTACATCAGGTCATGCTCGCCTCCACCTACGCCAAGGCTGTACGAAAGTGCACTACTCTATCAACATTGGCACAGCTGTTCGGTCGGTTGATGGCCCGAAACCCCAGCGTTGAGGGGTTGGGGTTTCTCCGCCAAGCAGAATACGAATTCCTTGGTGGATCATTGAAATAATGGTTTTCCCTTTTATGTTGACTGGCTTGCCATTGTTGTGTCATATTGATTCTGCTGGCGTCGGATTGCTGGATGTGAATTTTGGGAGCCCACGTGAAAGCCCTCGCTTACACAGTTCGTCTATACCCCTGTACCGCAGCCCCCAAAAGCTTCTTGTCGCCGGGCCTTTTGTTCAGTCGAGCATTAGCCTATCATCTCAGATCTTAAACACACCCAAGACTTAACTACCGAAACAATATACCAGGATGCCTGCAGAACTTCACGGCATCAAAGCCAATGACGTCCATGCCAAGATCCAGCTGTTGATCGATGGCTTGGTCAACATCAAAGACAACTCAGGAGAATTCCTGATGACTTTGGCAGATGGCCGAGTCATCGACACCAAAGGATGGAATGACTGGGAATGGACCCATGGTATTGGTCTCAATGGTCTTTGGGCGTACTACAGCCTGACCGGCGATGAGAAGTATCTGAGGATAATTGAGGACTGGTTTGCCAATCGCTTTGCCGCCGGGGGCACTACCAAAAATATCAACACAATGGCCGTGTTCCTGACATTGGCATACGTCTATGAAAAGACCGGCAACCAAACATATGTGCCCTGGCTAGATAGCTGGGCCGAATGGGCAATGCACGACCTCGAGAGGACAAAGTACGGTGGCATGCAACACATCACATATTTGGAGGTCAATGACCAACAATTATGGGACGACACATTGATGATGACCGTCGTACCGCTAGCAAAGATCGGACAGATTCTTAATAGACCTCACTATATTGAGGAAGCAAAGCGGCAATTTCTGCTTCACATCAAGTACTTATTCGACAATAAGACTGGTCTTTTCTTCCACGGTTGGACTTTCCATGAAGGCGGACACAATTTTGCCAATGCTCGTTGGGCCCGCGGCAACTCATGGATCACAATTGTGATACCGGAATTTTTAGAGTTGCTGAATCTGGATCCGAACGATGCATTTCACCGGACTTTAGTTGACACTTTGGATGCACAGGTTGAGGCTCTTGTTCCCTTGCAAGTGGAATCAGGTCTATGGCGTACAGTCCTGGATAAGCCGGAAAGCGAAGGGTCATATCAAGAAGCTAGTGCAGCAGCAGGTTTCGCTTTTGGTATTCTGAAGGGCCAAAGAAAACGATATCTCGGAAAGCAGTATCAAGAGGTTGCAATCAAAGCTATCAAGGCGGTTCTGGAGAACATCGACAAGGACGGAGAACTTCTACAGACGAGTTTCGGTACCGGGATGGGCCATGACTTACAGCATTACTATAATATTCCGATCACTAGCATGCCGTATGGTCAGGCAATGGCCATCATCGCTCTTGTAGAGTTCTTGAGGGTCTTCTACTAGTCTAGATGAGTGTAGAACCGACTCAAGACATGATAAAGAACAAAGTCTGAATCTGAAGCGACAGGCTTGCGCCAACATTTACATCGTACAAACCATTGTTTGCACTATCACGTGCTTAAAACCAAGCTTAAAACGCCAAATCCACATCGAATGGGTCTATCTCTATTGATTGCACTTCAGTTCCTGACTTGAGCATATCGAACTATTGAGTCGATATATTCCTATTCGTTTATTGCCTCGAGTCAGGAGCGGGGTCAGCGCCCAACTAGCACCGTAGTGAGCGTCGTAATAAGCGGGGTTGACAAATCTGTAGGCTGGGCAGCCAGAATTACGAACATAGTACGTGTTACACGGGACTCTCTCACAACAAAATCTGGGTTGGTGTCAACACCATCTCCACGGCCGGTTGGTGTAGTTGGTTATCACGTCAGTCTAACACACTGAAGGTCGCCGGATCGAGCCCGGCACTGGTCATCGTGCTCTTTTTGCTGGTTGTTTTGATATTCTATGCTGGTGAGCATATCCTAGCGAAAATCATTCCAATATTTTTTTTGCTCGAGTGCCCTTGTTGTTGCTAGACTAAGAGTAGTATGTGTGTATTGACAGTACATCACTGTGCTTATATATGCGTTGCCTTTGACAATGATTTTGTATGAAAGATTGTCCATTGTTCGGGCACACGTTTACGATTTGTACTCGACAGATGCAACTTCACCCTCCTAGAGCTGACACATTACACCCATGGTGGAACATGTGTGCTCACGCTACACGAGTACTGCATTTCAATAACAACTTTTTGAACACCATCACGGCATAGTTGTATATTACGGCATGCTAGAAGCTCGCTTATCTCCTATATGATGTTGAATATTGAATCGAAATCGCATCTCCTTGGGAGATAGCCATGGGTAATATAAAGTATGTAATCATGGTTCTTGGATTCCTCGATGGCTGAAATTAAATCGACGACAAATGTTTCTCGGGCGACATGCGCCAATAGGGAGTTGGGTACCATTTTGTTAGCCATTTCACCCCGCGAACCCTAGAAGTCATACCCTTGGTACGTCGCGCCACTAACAAGGATTCTAATCATTCTGCATGCAAGCTTATCAACAACATTGCCGTCGCCAACACCCATGATTGGTCAATTTGTTTTCATAGCTCTTATCGCTGACGAGATTCCATCATGAAACGAGCATCTCCTCTTGTGCAAGCGAACAGCCGCTGTTCTTTATCGCACTTTCTGACGACATGGGACGCGAAAACCAGTCCACACTAACGTTAGATTCCTCGGCAGCAACTACCGCTGTCACTCTCCGACCTAAAGAACATAAGATTCACGCGTTATCGGACGCTTTCCAGCCCTGTCACTTTACTCTGGTGTAATTTTATTGGCTGTCATAAGGCGGTAGTCATTTGAATCGAGCAATATGCTATGCTTATCATGCGTCTGTCGGTTCAAACTTTCAGATATCAAAAGATTATGGGCCACAAACTATCGCCAAGATGCAAATACACCCTGTTAGCTGCGGCTAGTCTGTACTACGAGAAGCCTATCTGTTGTCCTCCCCGACATTAGCAATCTGTTTCATGACTAACCATGAAGCTTATCCACAAGATATATCGGATGAGCTAGTACTGTAGTATACAGTGAGACCTTAGCTTGTGGGGGCCTCGCTGTCCCGCATGCTGGGACCCGACTTGGTGAAAGCCGGGGTCGATGGAGGGCTCTACATTCAACCAATAGCCATGGCTTCTGGCGGCTGTAAAAGCTTTGGTCGATGTCGGAGCATTGCTTGTCTTAGTTGAGATCTGCACAAGACCTTGAAGTCGTGGTTCACACTTAAATGGTAGGCTTATCTGCTGTTCAGTTCAGTTTACTCCTGGCCTTCTCACACCATTCGCATCCAAATGTGTGAAAACTTGCCATAACTACAATCCGTGGGCAACTCATCACAACTTCAAAATGGTGAACCCACCTCTAGAGTCCGGTGTGGGCTATGGCATAGTCCTTGGCCTGGGCTTCGCATTCGCCTTAGGCATGGTAGGTCACACATCTACCAAGACGCGATTGTCTGCTCACATTTATCACCGTACAGATCCTCGTGACATTTGTCTTACGGCGATACAACTCTGAGCTTGTGACTTCGGAAATGTTCAACACTGCTGGAAGAACAGTGAAAAGTGGTCTAGTTGGGTCTGCAGTCGTCTCATCATGGACATGGGCAGCGACACTTCTGCAAAGCACAGGCGTATGTTACCGATATGGTGTCTCCGGTCCTTTCTGGTATGCTTCTGGTGCCACAGTCCAGATCCTGTTGTTCGCAACTCTTGCCATTGAGCTGAAGAGACGTGCACCGAATGCGCATACATACCTCGAAGTCGTTAAAGCTCGATATGGAACCTGGGTTCACGCCGTCTTCACCGTGTTTGCGCTAGCAACCAATATCTTGGTCAGCCTGATGTTGATTGTGGGAGGTTCGGCCACTGTCTCTGCTCTTACCGGGATGAGTCAGATTGCAGCTATTTTCTTGCTGCCTGTAGGTGTTGTGGCATACACGCTGGTCGGTGGCCTGAAAGCGACTATCTTGACGGATTGGATTCACACATTCATCCTGTTGATCATCATTATCATATTTGCACTAACTGCTTATGCGACGTCTGATACCCTCGGGTCTCCATCGGCTGTCTATGACTTGCTTGTGCAGGCTGCTTTCGATCACCCTGTCGAGGGCAACGCTGAAGGAAGTTACTTGACCATGCGATCTCAAGAAGGCGTTATCTTCTTTGTGATCAACATCGTTGGTAACTTCGGTACTGTCTTCCTGGACAATGGCTATTACAACAAGGCGATTGCTGCATCACCAATTCACGCTCTCCCCGGCTATATCATTGGCGGCTTGAGCTGGTTTGCAATTCCTTGGCTGACCGCAACCACCATGGGACTTTCGGCGTTGGCTTTGGAAAGTTCTCCAGTGTTTCCGACTTATCCCGACCGTATGTCAGATGCTGATGTTTCGGCTGGTCTTGTGTTGCCATACGCTGCTGTTGCTTTGCTGGGCCGTGGCGGTGCTATTGCTACTCTGCTCATCGTCTTCATGGCTGTCACATCCGCGACATCTTCTGAGCTGATCGCCGTTTCTTCTATTTGTACTTATGATTTGTACAGAACCTACTTTAAGCCTGATGCAAGTGGCAAGAGACTGATCTGGATGTCCCACTTTATTGTCTGCGCATACGCTCTATTCATCTCAGCTTTCTCGGTTGGTCTTTATTACGCAGGGATATCTATGGGTTACCTTTATTTGATGATGGGTGTCGTCATTGGTTCTGCTGTATTACCTGCAACTCTGACTCTTGTTTGGAACGGACAGAACAAGTGGGCGGCAGGACTATCGCCAATCCTTGGACTTGCCTTCGCGCTCATCGCATGGCTTATCACCGCCCGTAAGGAATGTAATGCTCTTGACGTCACGTGCACCGGCTCTAACAACCCCATGCTTGCTGGCAATGGTGAGTACAACTTCTTGACCTAAAATTTCCCAAGTACTCACAGATTCTGTAGTTGTTGCGCTTCTATCGCCAGTTATCATCATTCCTCTATTATCCTTCGGCTTGGGACTTCAGCACTATGACTGGGTGTCGATGATGCAAATCCGGAAGGGTGACGACCACGACCTTGCCACTACCGCTGGCGTCGATCTTGAGAACGTTGTCGGCGGTCACACTGAGACTGACACCGAGTTTGCGGAGGAACAGAGCAAGCTCATGCGCGCAAGCAAAATCTCTAAATGGACCACTGTCTTCATGACACTGGCGTTCTTGGTTGTTTGGCCATTCCCGATGTTCGGGTCTTCGTATATTTTCTCCAAGCCCTTCTTTACCGGTTGGGTCACTGTTGGCATCATCTGGATCTTCTGTTCTCTCGGCGCGGTTGGCATCTTTCCTGTCTTCGAAGGAAGACATACACTTATGCGCACTTCAAAGGCGATCTTCATGGATATCACGGGTAAGAAATCGGTTCAGACTATACGGGCTGAGCACACCGAAGAGCTTGAGCATGAGATTCGCACTGAGAAGGAGAAGGCTGGAAAGGGCTCCGATACCCCTCCGAGCCGAGAGGTTCCCCAAGAAGCGGTGTTTTCTCAATAAGAGTTTACTATAGCTTCTGGTTCCACAATAACAATGCAGCCGGTCAATTAATCCTTTGATACCCTTTCCTTACCAATTTTCCAAACGGCTTCTATAGTAAATTTAGCTTGATCCTTCAAAAATGTTCTCAGGTCTAAATTCATGCCTATCTGCTGAGTATACGTGGTCAATGCTTCGGTGCATGTTGCCACATATTGTCTCTGCCGGATATCCGAATAAGCGCAGGGCTGACGGAGGCCATGTGGGTACGCGCCGGCAGACGGCATCAAGTTTCAAATCTGACAACAGCAATCATTTCGTTCTTTCTACTTTCTAGACCGCTTTAGAACCCTCGGGACGGACTGATTGCTTGTCAACTGCAAAAATGGAGGAGCATATCACCTTCTCTGTATTGCGGGCCGATACTTTCCCCCAGCATATTCCGCGGGCCGATGATAGGAGCGGTCTCACTTATAACGACAAGTATGTAGTTCACTACGACTTCGGTGAAGTGGGTACGTATCGCCCAGCTCAGGTTTAGTGGAATAACAAGTATTGACGTTTTGGTAGATGAGGATACTGCGATTATGGAGGTCCAACGTCTATGTGCAGATATTGAAGGTGCAGGTTTACAGTGTGAAGTCCGCGCTGGCGAAGATCGCTCCCTTCTCATCTTCGTCCGAGCACCACCTGAACTTCTGAATATAGAGATACACAAATCAAGGTACGACTACGATTTTTTTTTTCTGGAACTCTAGGCAATCCAGGACTGACAGTACTCAGGGTGAAGGATTGGCTGTACGGCATCACGAAAACCCAGCCACAAGTAGACAAGAGAAGCAAAAGCCAGCTTGTCAAGGATGCATTCGAAGCAGAGAGCATTCTTTCCGTGTATCATCTGGTCAACTGGTCCAAGGAGAACGGTGGTGCAGGCATCATACCTGGCTTTGGTAAATGGGAGAACGTCAAATCAATATTCCCGATTCATAACGAACCCGCCAATCGCAAGCTTCTTAAACACCTGAGCAAGAAAATACTCCTTTCCAAGGATGATCTAGACCAAATACGCGATTTGTTTGGCTCTTCGGTAGGCAGCCTATGTTGCGTGTTGTGTCACCATCGCTGACTCTTCCCAGGTTGCTTTCTATTTTGCGTACATGCAAACTTACTTCCTGTTCCTGGCATTCCCAGCCACGACTGGCATCCTGGCATGGGCGTTTCTTCCGAAGTATTCTCTCGTATACGCAATCCTCACCCTTTTTGGCTGTACGGTATTCCTGGAATACTGGAAGATCCAAGAAGCTGATCTGAGCATCCGATGGAACGTGAAAGGTGTTGCATCTCTAAAGACGAATAGACCGAATTTCATCTATGACAAAATCGTTGTCGATCATTCAGGGAGGACAAGTCACTACTATCCAAAATGGAAGTCTATTGCTCGACAGTCACTCCAGATACCGTTCTTGGCATTTTGTCTGCTGACTTTGGGTGCTCTTATTACCATGGTCTTTGCAATCGAGGTCCTGATATCCGAAGTCTACCAGGGGCCATACCAGCAGTACTTGGTATGACTAGCCATCACTTCCAACAAATTGTATGCTAACAAGTCGTAGGAATACCTGCCAACCCTCCTTCTCGCTGCAGGCTTACCCTACATGAACTCTCTGCTCGAGGACGCCGCCACGGGTCTCGCCGAGTTTGAGAATCATCGTACGCAGGACTATTTCACAATGTCTCTCACCCAGAAACTCTTTGTACTGAGCTTCATCGTCAACTATCTCCCCATTCTCCTTACCGCATTTGTTTACATACCGCTGGGCAACCAGATCGTGCCATGGCTGGGTGCATTCCTCCCCAACACATTGGGCAAACCGCTCGACCACCATTTCTTCCAACGTGACCCTGACCGGCTACGGAACGAGGTCATAGCCCTGACGCTCACAGGCCAGCTGTCCGACATGTTCGAGGAGATGGTCGTCCCCTACGTGATGCACCGGCTCAAGTCCTGGTATCACGCTTACAAAGCATCTCGATCTCACTTCTCGAGTCTCGACGGCGACGACCCTTCCGAAAAGGCGTTCCTCCGCAGCGTGCGCCGCCAGGCGAGCCTGCCGTCATACAACGTGCAGGACGACATCTCCGAGATGGTGATCCAGTTCGGATACCTAGCCCTCTTCTCCCCGGTGTGGCCGCTCGTCTCCGTGGGCTTCCTCGTCAACAACTGGATCGAGCTGCGCTCCGACTTCCTCAAGATCTGCATCGAGCACCAGCGACCCCACCCCGTGAGAACCGACGGCATCGGCCCCTGGATACACTCCCTCGACACGCTCACCTGGCTGGGCAGCATATGTACCGCAGCCGTGGTGCACATGTTCGGCACCCAGGCCGGGGCCAGCAGCACGGTGCTCGGGAAGGCCCTCGGCGGCGTGCAATGGTGGAGTCTCCCGATCACCATCTTCGTCAGCGAGCACATCTTCCTCGTCCTGAGGGCGCTGATCCGCTTCGCCCTGCAGAGGGTCGGGTCCGAGGAGGTGCGCAAGGAGCGCCACGAGCGCTATGCGCGGAGGAAGAAGTACATGGACGAGCTCGAGGCCGCCAACAGGGCCAACGAGATGCTCGACGTTGGTGCCGTGCAGCGCCGCAAGTCGGTCCGCCTGGCGGACGTGGATGTCTTCTGGACAAAGCAGGTCGAGAAGGGCTCTAGCACCGAGGCTGGTATTGGGCTTATCAGGACTCTTGGGCGGAACGAGAAGACGAAGCCCGTGGACAAGAAGGATTGACTAGCGTTGCACCAACTGTATCAACTCGTTTAGCCACACTCACTTATAGATTCCCATTATGTAACATCATCCATATTCTTTTTTACGTTCATAATTCTTTTCACAATTACATCTTCCATTGAGGATATGGGCTATCCGGTGTGTTTTATATGCAAACAGAACGTTTGCAGAAGCCCATGTTGAACGGTATCAAGTCAGCAGGTCTTGCGATTAGGTATCGAAATAAAGTATTGAAACGTTCGGGTGGGTAAGCACGTGAAGCTTTGATATATATATCCTTTTTCTGTTTTTATCCATTTACGCCAATCCTACAGACCAGGGCGTGTCTCGTGACGATGCGCTTCAACGTAGGACACAGGGCGGAAAGAGAAAACTAGTAGTCCTGCAGGCAGAAGGGCATTTGAGTATCTCAAATAAACCAAGAAACAAAAAGAAGGTATTTGAATTCAATTATCAATCATCGTTACAGTAAGTCCAGAACAGCTCGCCGTTGCCAAAAGCGAGCTGCGCCCTTTCCCCCCACCCCTAAACAACGGGTTCCCCCTCCTCATCTCAGCCCTATGTATGACGGGCGGCTGACCCTGCATGACAAGATGCAGGCGCAGATCCCGTCTGTTCCTTGCATTGCTGACACACATGCGCACCCGAATCCAGATTGCGAAGGAAAACAAGTGAAACAAGCATTTTTGAGCCTCATCCGCCTCCCGTGAGGAAAGCTAGGCCGCGTAGAAAAACTCTAGTCTAGTCTAAAACCAGTTCCTCCGGGGCTCGCTGTGTTGCAAAAGCGGCTGCCTGGAAGGAGAAGAAAGATGAAAAAGAAAATCCCCGCTAGGATCTAAAATAGAAATCATGGGATGCGCCAAAAAAGTGAAGGGGAAACATGACGGAAATGAAATAGAAAGGGCCCCAAAAAGAAGGAGAAGGATCCGAGAATATTAAGAGTAGAAAACAAAAAAATGGAGAGCAAGGAATGAAAGTGCTCTGTACAAAAATTCCATCCAGAAGCATAACAGTTGCGGGTTAATGAAAGCGGTGCCGACTTGGGTGCAGGGATGCCAGAGACCAGCTATGGTATTTCTGCGATCTCAAGGCCGGGAGGCACAGCAATGGTGGGGGCGGTGTCGTAGATATCGGGTCCTGTCGTATGGCACAGTGGGGTAGATCCCTTGCGCCGAGTTTGGCCAAACGTCGCTCTGCATCCTGATCTCCGGGACCAGTAGCTAATTATGAATTTTCTGGTGAGCTTGACGGGTCCACTGCGAGTGGACGCCTGTCTAAGTCTATGGAACCTGGGACTCGTGCAGGTAAATTGGTAGATTGCATTCGCAGATGATCGGTTGAAAGAAGTGAAGGAAACGAAAAGGAAAGTTGTGATATAAGAAATGTGCAAGCTTGAATTCTTCCGAATCGGTTCAGAGGTAAAGTGGCATGGAGCCGTGATTAGGTAACGGGTACATGGACTCGGACGAGTTGTCGTAGCTGCCTCGGAGAAAATAGCTTTTTATGCCGTCTACGGCGATCCACATGGACATGTAGAGCTTGATGGCTTGGGACTGCTCTGCACCCATTGAGTCGACATGATCCGATCGACGTGGGCTGGGAGGTGGAGTTGGCACCGGGGGTCGTGGAGGACCCAACGGGCCGGGACCCCGTGGTCCAGGACCTGGTGTTGGTGGTCGAGGAGGGTATGGGAATTGGCGTGAATCCATATGCTTCTGGAGGCGGGCAAGAGACTGGCTTGTGGTATTTCTAGCCCTTGAATCACCGCTGGCATAAGGATTCTCGTGGGCCAGGAATCCCGTGGACTTCTTGGCTGTCGAGAAGGGAGTGTTGACCTTCAGGTCTTCCGTGGCGAATCCTCGGTGGTGCCGGGGACAGCCATGTGGTGACGGATGCTGTAAAGGTAGCATTCTGATGAACACTATCTATGATACTGATATGATGTATGTAGAATCAGAGAGGGAATGTGTGTTCTGAATGGATTGGTGTTGCTGGGGTTTCTGTCTGGACATCACTCAAACTCTGCAAGGCAAACCATATGCTTTATATCCCGAGTATCCATCAGTGTGGAGTATATTTTGTTCATCACGAACTTTCCAAACGAGCAGTCACACTATAGCCCCCAAGAGAGACAACGCCGCCACATCATTCCGTGCGACTTGAAAGCCCCATTATGGCAACATAGTTCATGGGAATGTCAAGCCATGTTACAGGACATGTCTATGACTAGTCGATCCTGGAAGATCCGCAATCCAAGTATAGATGCTTGAGAGTGGTCGTACCAAACGATCGGGACTGACACTGATGAGCTGCAGCCTATCACCTTCAATCCATGAGGTTCAGATAGAAGAACAGTTATTGTGACTGACATCATCTTGGGAATGCCTGGGGCTCATGCGGCGTGCGCGGGCAGAGAGAAAGCCCAAGGATTGTGCATGAGTTCCATGTTCAACCATTATTTTTAAAACACAATCAAGCTAATCCAGCTTGAATGGTTACTGTAAAGGAACGTCTGTGCCAAATCGTAGAGCACAGAATTCGGGTGCCTATTCTGGAGGATTTAGTAGATGACTAAACTAGTAGCAATACTCGTAGGGCTGAAGTTTAGCAAGGCATGGCCCCTACCTGGCTTGCCAAGCTCAGATTATATAATTTCCCATAGCCACAATAACCTTCGTATTCCGAGTAAATTGCAAGAGCGTGCCGATATGGTCACTGAGCGGAGCGCTCATCGTTCCAGGATGAGACAAAGTGGGTACCGGACCGTACGGCGAATACCATGAATAACCTTTCCTATCGCTTTGGTGAGTTGAGGCAAAAGTTATCACATGCCGAGGTGAGATCATGAATACCAGTTTAATAGGATTGAAGGCTGGAAACTAAATACCAAATTCCACAAGGCCGTTATAGCTATAGAATTCCGCTTGCGCAACTACGGCAGAGGAAAGGCCTCGGCTCGGAAACGTTGCAAGATATTCGGGACCGGTCCCGGAGGAGCCATGTTTCTAACTCCAACTAAGTACATGATGTTGGGGCCAGATGAGATGTCATATTCGGATTTGATCCTTGGGGCTGGTGGGCAGGCAGTAAACAGCGGGTTAGAACGCATGATCTGCAGCCATGTTAATGCAGCAATAATACTGAGAACTTCTTTGCATTGGAGAGGACTGCGTATGTTCTCAACTTAAGATATGAGCCTCCGTCCTATTGCGGCTCCAAAAAGCGACCCTGCCATACAGTCAGAACAACCCAGGTGAGGCAATCACCAGTATGCACGCGCCGCATGAACGTCCCACGAGCCCATATACACTTCTGACATCATCCGACGTGGTATTGCTGACTTGTACCTGCGGCGATTCCAGCTGACATGATCCGCAAACGCCGATGGTATGATTGGAAAGATCGCATTCAAAGGAGGAATATGACTAATCAAATTTTGTTCGTACCTTTCTGCTCGATAGCGTAGGCAATCAGCAACCATCAACCACGTCATGTTTAGAGCCTAGGCCGCAAGCTGGTGAGCTTGTGTATGGAGTGATGGAACAAGGCGCAATGGTCTGTAGCACATAAGCAAAACTTGGCCCAATGGCAATGCAACGAAAGTCTGTCTGTTCATTGTCCGGGAGGAGAAAACCTCACCATACCCCAGTATTTTATGTGCCTCCGCCCAATCACATAGGTATCAATTTATCCGTTCAACGCCCAGCCCAATGCAACCAATTATCTCTTCTATTCTCCTTGGCTTTGTTGTTCAGCGGCCACCGCGGCCACGACTTCTCGAGTGGCTGCGGTAGCTGTCGTAGCTGGGGCTACGTCTTCGAGCGTCACGATCATCGTCTAAGCTGTCCCTACGTCCACCACGGCCACCACCTCTTCTTCTCGGGGCAGGTGATCTCGATCTCGAGTCATCTGAGGGGGAGCGGCCGCGACGAGGCGGAGGGGATCTGGAACGTGAGTTGGAGGGGGAACGCGAGCCGGGACGATAATTGTTTTCACGGCCTCTTCCTCCACCACGTGCACCGCCGCCAAAGCGAGGAGAGCGAGCACGGCCGCCTGAGGGTCCTCCCCCAAACGAGGGACCACCGAAGCCACCGCCTCGCGGCCCTCTTCCTCCCCCAAGTCCTCCCCTGGGGCCGGGAGCGGGAACGCGGGGGTCTATGTTGGCTCCCCGGGTCGCTGTAGGGGGAGATTCTGAGAACTTGCGACGGGGTAAAACGATGGAGACGTTGATGACGGCGCCATCCAGCTGAGCTTCGTGCATGTGGGCAATAGCCGCCTCGGCATCGGCCTCGCGGACGTAGAGAATGTATGCAGTGCCTCGGTTTGTGTTGACTAGACAAAGTTGATGTTCGTGTCAGTGTACCTTGTTCTATGCAAGCTCTATGCAACAGGGAGGGGGCTGGTGCGGGTGTGGCATACATTGTCGGTTCATGGGCAAATCAAGATCTCTGATGCTTCCGTATTGACCAAATATTTCCCGTAGATGATCCTCGTTGATGTTCTTAGTCAACTTCTCAACTACGATCTGCCACGATGCAATGTTCTGTTAGCAAGCCAAGTCTCTTCTCTTTGTTCTGCTGATGATGAGGCTCTACGAACCTTGGTGCTTCCCCTCAGGGGGCTCTCGCTTCTGGGGCGACTCTCGCGGTCGCGACTCCGGCTCCGAGTGCGGGTGCGAGTGCGACTTATGCTTCTGCTCCTGCTCTCACTGCGAAGTCTCCCGTTGTTGTTGCGACGACTCGGAGGGGTGGCAGATCGGCTGGGGGAGCGGCGGCGACGGACTGGTGAGGGCGAACGGCTGTGTCGTGAGCGCGGTGTGACCGAACGAGCATAACGCTGGCGAGTCGGCGATGGGGACCGAGAATCCATCGTTTTCTAATGCTACAATGTGTTCTAAGTCGTCTTGGTCGGAATGAATGTGGTGGTGTTCGGGGCACCAAAGCAAAGCAAAGCAAAGCAAAGCCCCCAAAAAAGCTAAGAGAGCTTCGGAACGGAGCTGGAAACTAGAACGAGACGCGACGTCAGCACGCGGCAGCTACATTTTAGTGGATAACCCGCTGTAACTTATTCACTGTCAACCTAGACTAACCTAGCACAGTTAAGTAATTAGCCTCCAGAATTAGTCGATTGCATTAACGTTTGGGGGCCTCCACCGTCTAGCAGAATATCCTCACAATAAAACTAACAGAATACTCTAACAGAATACTCTAGCAGAATACTCTAGCAGAATACTCTAGTCTAGGTTAGACTAACAGAATACATAACGCCCACAGTGTGTACTCGCTCTTTTTACGATCTCCCCATTAGTTGAACAATGACGCTCTATTATTCACTCTAAGCTTTTCTCGCATCTCATTGTCCTGTCTTGTCTTGTGTGTTGAAAGCACTCATACTTCCATGTTACGCTTGCATCCAAATGAAAATCATACTTTTACCGACCAACCTGTTGCCCTTAACGCTAGCATAATGCAATCAACCATGCTGTGCTGTCCTTTGCCTCGACATCCATTGTGCCTCAGCTTCTGGGCACTTTGACCTCTAGTCTAGATGGGAAGTTGCAATGGCCATGCCGCCAGCCACAACTTCTGCTTTCGTTCATGGCGGCCGTTATACAGGATACCCTGGGGTTCCATGTGCTTCGGGGCCTAGAACCACGGTTATTTCACGAATGGGTTGTGTATTCCCACCTGGAACTATCAAACGGGAATATCTACTCCAACCTTAGACTAGACTATATGGAATGATACATGTCCATTATCCAGCTACCACAAACTTCTCCCGCCTCTACCCGAACAATCTGTTCATTCATTTGCCCATAGATTGCAGCATCACATTGTCAATATTCGCACACGGGTGTGAACGGTGAAACACGATACTGACTCCAGATGGTGAAATGGACGAGTTTGCTGATCGTCCCGACGCAATGACCGGTGAACCGAGCATCACCCATAGCGTGGAGAAATTCATTCCAGCTAACGCCATTTGTTGTCTCCTCAGGCCTCTGGGAACATCACTTGTATTACACTGATTGCTATTTCAACTGCAGCCCATATTTGATTAATGTCAGCTTCTGCGTCATCTGAACATGCTTCCTGGGCGACCGCCTCTAAACCCAGACATTGGCTGACGCTGAGACACATCTTCAGTTTTCCACACCGATGAAAAATTTGTAGGTGGGTTGAAAGTCGATCCATAACGTTGAGTATCACGGAGTGTTCTTGTCAATAACTCTGTGTCCTGCTTCGCTGCGGTCTCCTTCTCGGCTTCGAGAATGGTGCAGTAATACTCGGTACTCGTTGCACGTTGATCGCTTCTAGAGCTTCGTTGGCAAAGTCCTGGCTGGCACCAAAGCTTGTGAAATATCAGCACTCATACCTTCTCACAGCGGCCCAGAAATCCTCAGGTGCCAGTCCACTCATCTGACTTTTGGTCACCGACTCTGCATCTCTGGCACCGACTGGGGATCCAGATGTATAGAAGTCATCCAGGAAAGCTTTCTTACCTTGGCTAGCCATGCTCCGTTTGGTCTAGGTAGTTGACACATCTAGGGCCGTCTATCTTCCTGGCATATCGACAATTGGCCGAAGCGACGATCTCGAACAGTTTGGCAAATCCGAACCAAAGTCGACTCAAGTATGCCGTCAGGCTGTGTCTAGAGTCCAAGCAGTTTGAGCTGCAGTCCGGATCAAGGCATGCAACTACCTGCCGGTGGTGCCTGTTACGGTTGATGATATTGAATTCCCCAAGCATAATATTAGACGAAATAGTGATCTCAGTGGAATTATCATAATGAATGAGGAGGTATTTAAATCTGTGGAGGATGAGTTTAGAAATCTTGAGTTGCATTTTGGTCGTTTTCGGCGCTTGCTTGTGGTTGGGACATCCCAGGACCCCGATCCATTTAGGCAGTCGCCCATGCCAACAGAATGGAGAGTCGAGGATAAAAAATAAGTAGGTGCTCTTTTAGTTCTGGTAGCTGATGATATATCGAGAGTCGTACTATAACATACCATACGGAACGTCAAGCAGTGTATAGCAGAGTAGATGCACTCCGAAACTTATAGCCTCGATAATCAGTTGTTATGATCTGACGCAGGAACACTAGACCGTTTGAACCCCTTGGGTGACATATAGGTACCTTTGAAAATGTCTACGTTTTAATGTACCAAAAGTGAGTAATTCTGCTCATGCCAAAATATAACACTCAAATCGACTACGCTGATGCTTGTGCCCACTGCTTGAGAAGCGATTGAGTAGTTGTTTGCACCTGGTTCGTGACACGATACACCATTATTCATGTCAAGATGATATGCTACGTGCCGCTGCGTCAATTGCAATCATGGTTGGTACTGAATATATCAAGCAAGCGATTCAACATCAAAGGAATCTTGTGGTTTCGACTTGGAGTTGAAAGGAATTCAGTGCTTCTACGTTCAGCTATCGATGCTAGGTTCTTTTGAGAAAGAACTATTGAGTTAAAAAGGATAAAATTAATAGCTTCTCCAAGAAAATCCAGACTTATTTACCTGGCACAAGAAATCAGAATCCTAGATTGCGGAACTTTGCTGGGAACCACGACCCGAGTCCGTACTGGAATATGTATAAAACACTGAACGACGTTCAACGTGGAACTAGCGTATCTCGGTATTGAGGTAATACTAATATTAAGCTTGGGTGCATTACTTGAAGATGATATCATAGAAGAGCTGGTTATCTAAACGCAATATCTCACTATTCCTCCAATCCTACCTAGATCAGCAAGCCATATAAAAAGAAATTAATATTTTTTTGTGCGACACCCAAGCATACCACATCCAACAGGCCAAGATCTACCTCGGCACATTTCATCAACACTGCCGCGTTTGTAGCTTGAGACTCGCACAAAAAGGATGGCGGAGTGAAGGTGGTCCTCATGCTTGAAGATGCAGAAATCAAGGTGGCACCCGGGACGATATGATACTCCAAGGGTTCTAGATATGCGGTGAGCGGTTAAGCCCAACACTCCTGAAGGAAATATGAGGTTATTGTTAATCTGCCCCAAGCCCGTCCTTGGGAGATACCCTGCTTTCTTCTGGACTTTTCTCCGTTCACCCCGAGAAAGCTAATCCTACTTCGTTCTGTTTGTCCAAGTTTGTCTATGCTGGATTGTGGAGCACGGGCGACGCGTAAACAGGTTCGTCAACTCGGTGAAAATCGCTTGCGTGAGTGAGAATAACTCTCACAGAAGAACCGGGACTACGACTTCAGTTTTGCTACCTCTAATGCGATGTTTGAGATGCATTGGAAACATACCAGAATACCGTATTGGTCGATGCGATAATAGTGATATTCCTGCTGATAGGGAATTATGATAGGACTTCAGGATATATCTTACGGCATAATATCAGGTTCATTTCAACACAACAACACATGATAATACTGTGGAATCTCCTACGAGGATCAAGTCGTAGTAAGTACTGAGTTCTGGCTCACCAGCAAAGTGCAAGCTGTCTGCATCTGGCTGCTGGAGTTCCTGGCTGAGACTTTTGCTACATATCGGGTAAAAGGCGGTCTTCTGAGTAACTCATGTGGCACAACCCGGAGCTTGTTGGAAGATGGAGAAACCCGACACCATGGCTCTTTGACTAAGACATGTTTCATGCGTAAGTCGATTTGCGAGCCGGGCGAGCTAGGTTGTCCCAAGGGCCAGACCCCATGTTATTTAAAGAATTCACCGACACGCTTGTCTTGTAGGTGAGTCGTTGCCTAGTTTGATATGGAGGCTCTGATGCTCGACCAGACCCATCGAGGCTGATTTAGTAAGAGACCGTTACTCAAGGGATTTTGGCTTTGTCGCGCTAAGCACCCCTTACAATGAATTACTATTTTCTCAAAAGACAGAAACTTGATCTTGAAGATGGGATTGGGACCATGGCCGCGTGGTATTAAGGGGTAGTGTCTCGCCACGTGGTGTGAGTGCTTAAGAAGCAATGGCCAGAAACACCATGACTAAGGCATAGATATTCATCTTTCAAATAAAAGCATAATGGTTTTTCCAGAATTTCCCACGACATTTGGGTTCATCGACTCTGCCTCGCATTGTGTGGAGAAACTAAGCTTTGCTATGTAGGGTAGTAAGTTTCCAGCTAGCGAGGCAGTCCTTTGCACTGCGATATGTTACATTGCTCGATCGACGAGAAGTGATATCATATTACGCATTCTCATTTCATTCCTATTAGAACAGTCTACAACAATGCGTAGATTGATTGACCACTGCGCCTCTAAAACCCCAACTCTATTTTTCTTGCTGCAGAAATAAAAGCAATTTTATCCACAATGGATCGCCAGACGACTACCTCTGGAACGTGCTAGATTCTTGAATTGGTGTTGAAGACCTGTCATTTAGACGATTGATTTGATGAGTATTCTAGGTTATAAAACTAGCATAGGTGTCGTAGGTAGACGATTTCTCTGTAGTCCAGTCCCTACTGGGACATAGCGGACGCGGATCAACGAGCAGAGCACTGAGCACATCCCCTCAGGACAGATCTGCCAGCACAAACAAATTCAGTTCATCCATAGACAGGATGAATGTGGAAATTAGTCAATTGATTCGTATCACACTTTGTTCGATAGATTCACTGAGCCACCAGCGCTTGAATCCCTCACGATTGGCCGGGCATGGACATCAATAATGAGCTGATATAAATATATTGATGCTGAAATATGGCAAAATGCTGTGTTAACTTACTAGGCTTATCTGATTAAGGGACCTTTCGGACTTCAAGCCACGGGATGGGCACCATTCATTCCGCGAATGTATCGCCACATCACCACATCGAGAGCGAACATTGCTGCCATATTGCGGTCAGCCCTTGAGCAGGCTGGGGTCATTGGTGTCGACGAGCCTGTTCCGAATAATTTGACCCGGGATAATATGCGTGTCCAATGCTTTCAAAAAGGCCGCTGTCGTGTTCGGGTCACATTGCTTTGTGACATGCATTTGCCGCGTGAGCTGACATGCTACACCGCATAATTATTGGGTCGTGGATGGCTGAGGCGTAACACCGGATACTTGTTTGGGCATAGGTACTTCGAGGTGGCAGGTTGACACATATTCGTACATGACGTTGTGCTTTGGGCCTCTCGCATGTACTAGTCCTGCTTGCATATGCACGATAATAGATGAGTGAGATGTGCATTTGACGGAAAATGTGTCGATTGGACCCTGATCGTGCACCCGGAAGTGACATGGCCAACGACAGAAGATCAACAGAATACTTCTAGAATCTCACTACGGCTCATATACGAACATAGGCATATCGCATCATGGTGCTGTATACAATGCGTTGGTTAAGCATTCCAAGCAGAACGTCTGCAAGATGATAGAAATCTATGTGAGTGCTTGTAATTACCTGAACTAAATCGATCATACATGAACTTTAATAGTGTTAAGATGCATCTCTTGGCGCAATAATTGGTTCTGTGCATTCTCCACATTGCTCCTAGCTGATCAGATTTATGCATCACGAGCAAAACAACACTGGAGTGGTGATAATCGGAGTCGGTGAGAACTCAGCTTCGAAGCCACTGCGGAGCGCCGTAGATAGGCCCAACTATCGGCCCATTTGGATCGCAACAGAGCAACAATGCAGCCTTTGGGATTGCGAAGAGATAAGTACTCATACCTGAAAACTTGGTCAACATTTCCATGTGATCATAAAAGTGTGCATATCCTTTGAAATACCACGCCAGAACAATTTGCAAGCTTCTGGATGCACAAAATGACCAAAGAATTGGCAGGAAATGGCGTCGCATATCTCACACAATGTACTTGGTCTCACGTGCTACGAGTGGTGTCTCATTCATTCGACCTGCCATATTGGTCAAAAATGGGGAAGAAAAAATACACTAGACTACTCGGCCTTCACGGCACTTGCGTAACTCAGAATGTGAGACATCTTAAAGTGAGAGACACGGGGACGGCTTGCTGCCATGCTTGGCTGAGCAAGACGCCTCAGGACCATGCACTAACTCAACTGTTGTCAATCTTTTGGGAGGCTGGTGTCGGCAATACAATGTCCAAATGAAATCCACGAGGATCCGACATGATGGAAACGTAGGGTTCGATGGTATTGGTACTTGGTATCTTCCTTCAGGGTATAATGCATTCCATCGCAAGCATTGCTGCACCGAACGCTTGGCAGTTGGCAAGTCGCGCCGAAAACAGCGAATGGACTGTTAAGCGAGCTGCGGGCATCCAAGATGTGTCATCTTGAAGGTCAAGGGATTGCCAAATTCCTACTCGGGTCGCTCGTGACAGGACACAAAAGCCGGGAAATAAAATAACTGGAATAAGATCCTTACACATCAGTGTAACGGATTGTTGAACTGATTCAGGTTGTTCCATCGTGACCGTAGACGGTTTGCAAAGTGGCCTCCGACTGAAGCCAGGGGAGGCCGAGGTGGACCAGGCAGACCAATTTGAACATGACGGCCGCTCTTAGTTTTGGGTCGGAACGGTGTGTACGGTGGTCATCAGATATGATAGTGGTGAAGGTGGCCGTTTAGTTTCAACCGGAGCCGCTCTCTACCGTACGCGACGTCAAAGCGACATGATACCCGTGGAGAAACGCTTCAAAGCCAGGTCAACTAAGTACGGTATGGCCTCGGTCCCAAACGCCATAGCAATAAGTTTTGCGTCACACCTATCGGAAAGTTATTCTAAGCCAATTTAGAGTTATTTCCTAGGGCATTCTGCAGGTACAGGGGCACCGTCGCAAGATGGTGTGCGCTACGGAGTACCTCTTGCCGCTTTTCCAACTCCCCGAGCAGGTACGTACCCTCGGTACCCTGCCCTGCCCTGCCCTGATATGGATGCGTTCGTTTGCGCGGGGGTCACCAACAGCCCCACTCGAATTCAAGACCAAGAAGATTGCATACTAGTAGTGTTGCCTTTCACAGCGTCGATCACAACGGGTTATCGGCTCCTAGTCTTTTGTTTACACTTGTTTACAATGCATCCATACTCAATACGAAGATACTGTGCATGCAAGTCAGACTAGGCTCATGGTGCCGTCATGACGAAAGTCTCTAGCATTAGTCCGCCGCAACACGGTGACATGTATGCTGCTACAAATGCAAGTCCTGGGATTTCTGCAGAAGTGCGATTGCGTTGTGTAGAGATGTCGGAAATCTCTTGGTGGAAATATGCCTGGTTCTATAATTATCGCGTCTCTAGCTGCATACAACTGTGGTGGTGTGAGAGACTACGAACATATAGACCGCGAGGAATGCATTGGGTTGGCAGCAACTACGGTCCGTCTATTGCAGTGCGCGATATTCATGTTCCAACTTCCAGCATGTGTCTCGTCTTTTCGGACAGATTGCATGCATTGCCTCTCGCATCGCATCTTAAGCGAGTCTGGCCCAGACCGATAGATTTTGCATGATGAATTTTGGTGACAGCTGCAATGGAGCAAATGATGCAGTGCGGGGCTTGCTGTTGTGTAACTACCTGGGAATTATCGCTCTGTGCATCGGAAATATTAAATGTTTTTCCATTTCGAGACTGTCACGACTGTTATCGGCCACAGTCCTGATCATTTAGGAAATTCACAATTTCCCTCGTGACAACTAGTACCAAAACTGGCCTCTACCGCGAAACCTGGGTTCAAAGCTCAAGCTTGCAAAGATATCATCAGTGCGGACTTCTACCTGCGGCAGAAAGAGAATGGCATCTCCTGTAGTGTAGCTCATGGGCTCGGAGCAGCGGCAATTGTAGCGCTAAATTCGGAGCACTCCGTTCATGTTCAGGGCTTCAGGCTTCAGGCTTCGATCTCTCAAGTATACTTATCTAACTAGCGCTCATTGCCTAGCGGCAGCGCGTCTTTCGTGCTGAACACTGATCTGAAACCTGTGGCTAGCCAATCTAGCTAAGGTTAAAGCTTCGGAGACGACGTGACCTCTGGAAATACCAGTGCATTATGATAGAATGAAACCTTTCTAACGTAATATGAACTTGTATGTCTGTTCTTTCTAAGACCATTTGACCGACCACTTGCTCGTGTCTGCCGAAGTCCTCTCCACCAGCCGTCGGTCGTGGCGACCTGAAGCATAGACGTGGACCAGCCCCGGCTATCTGGTAAGTACCCAGAACTTTTTGCTGCATTACATCCATATATCGAAATGGCCCACAAGTCTAGGCCTATCCCAACGCGGAGGAAACCAAGCAAGTGCTTGCAGCCATTCCGACCGACACATGGCTGGCCCGGCGAGGTATCCTGTACAATTCGAATGTACAGGTAGAGCCAAGCCACTACGTCCCAGCCAGAACAGGGATTCCATTATCTATCAGCTCTCTCTCCCACCTACGTCGGCACGACGATTGGAATCCATATCAAATCACCAAGTGCAGCTGTCTTTCGTTCAAGTCTTTTTCTGGGATATCTTCATTGAGGGTCCCTCATTTCAGTTTTTCTTTAACTAATCAATTCCGTTCGTTTTCAAATCCCATCATCATATTGATTTTCATCTATAATCCCCCACACATCCGTACTCCACTACCATTGGTATCCTCAGAACGCATCACCAGTCATCTGCACATCTGCAAACACGATGGAAAAAGACGGCCATGCGTTCCGCACAGGAACTCCCAACACAGAAAGGAACCCCTTCGACGACGAGAGAATCACCTCTACAGCACCTTCCATGAGAACCGGTCCAACCAACCCATTCACTTCGCCGGCTATATCGAGACCGCCATCCAGCTACAACTCTAGTGCTCTTGGACAAGCAGCTGTGGACCGGGGCCAAAGATACTTTCACTCGCGAAGAGTGAAGAAAGGCGAGGTTGAGAAGCCATGGCTCGATAAGAAGGATCCCAAGGAGAAGTGGGTCACTATTCTCCCAATTATTGGAATTTTTGTTGGTCTGGCCGTTTCAGGTATTCTCATCTGGGACGGTCTACGCAGTGTCGTCAAGCACAATTACTGCCTAGTGCTCCAAGAAGAGTGGTCCGGAGGCGTCGATACGAATATTTGGACAAAGGAAGCTCAGGTTGGTGGGTTTGGGTAAGTCATCCATGCACTAGACGCTTTGGATTTTATATACTGATTGATACGCAGTAACGGTGAATTCGAACAGACAACGACTGGCGACGAAAACGTCTATGTCGAGAATGGCCATCTCTTCATCAAGCCTACTCTGCAAGATGCTACCCTGGTAGAGAAAGACTCTGTCATTGATCTCCTGAAGGATGGCACCTGTACTTCAACTCTAGCCCAGGACTGTTATGCGGTAACAAACACCACGGTTGGTAACGCTACTATTGTACCACCCACAAAGTCTGGCCGCATCAATACGAAAGTCGGCGCAAGTATCAAGTATGGCCGTGTTGAAGTTACTGCCAAGTTGCCGCAAGGAGACTGGCTGTGGCCCGCAATCTGGATGATGCCTGTTGAGGATACATATGGCTCTTGGCCTCGCTCTGGTGAAATCGACATCATGGAGGCCCGTGGAAACAACCACACCTACGCCCAGGGTGGTAATAACATCATTTCCTCGGCCTTGCATTGGGGTCCTGACACCGCCAACGATGGCTGGTGGAGGACAAACGTCAAGCGCCCAGCGCTTCACACCACCTATTCCACCGGCTTCAACACTTTCGGTGTTGAGTGGTCCGAGAAGTACCTGTTCACCTATGTGAACTCCCGCCTTTTGCAGGTCCTTTACACAAACTTCGACGATTCTCTCTGGGACCGTGGCAACTTTCCTACTGCAAACAGCAATGGCACCCGTCTTGACAACCCTTGGGCCCAGAGCGGTGATAAAAGTGCTCCATTTGATCAAAAGTTCTATCTTATCCTTAATGTCGCCGTCGGTGGCACTAACGGATGGTTTCAGGATGGACAAAGCGGCAAGCCGTGGTTAGATGGTAGCCCTAACGCCAAGAAGGACTTCTGGAATGCCCAGGACACGTGGCTCCCTACCTGGACTTCTCCAGCCATGGAGGTCAGCAAGGTCATGATGTGGCAACAGTGCGATGGCGGTGAGCTATAATCATAATGGGTAATAATTAACTATTCTTGAGTTTCGGAGTTTTGCGTCAAACAGGGTTATGTAATGGACGGAACGGACGGGAGTAATTCATACACAGGATGGCTTCATACTAGACTGGGCTCGTCTGCTTCGAGCGTATTACTTAGACACGATATCAGCTACATAATTGTTCATGATAACAATAACTCACCCCAACGCGCGCTTGCAAGTGTGCCGCACCTATTGAATAGCCGCCCAACATGGATTTGTTACATTATAATTCTGAGACTCTGGCTGCCACGACTACCATGTGTGCGGGACGGGAAATACGGCACGGCAGGCTGCATGCATGACAGACACATGGTATGCCTCAGCTGAACCACATACTCCAGCACACCTTATTCAAGCACATGTAAGTATCGAGCGACTATTACACTTCCAGCTCAGCAATCTAGACCATCAGTATCCCTGCGGAAAGTGGCTCATATGCAAGCACAAACTCAGCTCTCCCAGCCTTCTCTTCGCAACAACTGCAAGTCGCTGCGATTACTTCCACTATTGCATGCAGCCGAGCACAATATTCCACAGTTATCGGCCAGCGGCACCGAGTCAAGACCCGACGCCAAACCCTTATAGCCGAACAGGGAAAGAGTCGCAGGGAATACTACAGGGACTGGTCGCCACATTAGTCGACGCCTAAACGATATGATTTTTTTTTTCTTCAACCGACTTACATTAGCGTTTCCATAAACAAGATCGCGTCCAACTACGGCACAATATCACCGTCGTTCCTGGTGGAGCCGAGGCCCAAACGCTATCCATGCATCACCGATTTGGGATCGGAGCGCCAAAGAAGCACTTGTTGCGACAGAACAACATTGGCATGCACCTACCGTTACATTATTTGATGAGTAATTGGCCAATGATCTGATAATTGAATAAGTCTACAGCCCCGTCTATCCTTTAAGAATCCTGTCGACATGTCGGCGCATTCGGATTGCTGCAAATGAGGAAACCATTGCGCTTCCACATGACAGCGTGGTTGATAGGATTTTGATGTCCGAAGTTTATTGCTTCCAGGCCAATACAAGCGTTGCATGTTCGTGATCATTCAGTATCTCGAACAAGTGACAAACCGAACAATCACAGAACCTCTCAGAAATCGGATTTTCGGATCTCAAATATTGATTTGCGCCCCTGAGTTAAAGCTGAACGGCGTGCGGTAATTCGATCCGGATCCACGCTAGAGGAAGCGCCCGAGCCCTCTAAGCATTAGCTACTACTGGCCTGGTTGTGGTGTCTCTACTCCGTAACTCATGACGAAATGTCACAAGTCTTAAATAACTCCATGAAGACCTCAAACAAATGCGATAAGAAGCATTTGTTCTTGGCACGCTGAGAACTTGAAAGCGGGCTGTAGTACGAAAAGCTTCATCGGATTTCTGAAAGGATATGGTCCCGCTTGTCATGATCGGAGAATTGTTCTGTTGGTACCCGTCTCGCCTGATGCTGCCGAGACATGGCTACATAGCTATGTAGTGTCTGGACGCTGACACACAACATTAGGCGCTTGCAGCATTTGACTTCGACCGCAAGGTAAGACACCTCAACACTTTGCTTACTCGCATGAGTCGTTCTGGTACAGATCAGTCAACAACTAGAAGATGTTCCAGAAAGTTCGCTAACCACACTAACACATCATTTGGTATCGGCAAGGGCCGTCACTGTATGCACACACGAAAATGTTTACTCATCACTTTAAACACATGATAGAGGCTTCGAAAGCCACTGCACTACCAATGTTAGGACCAATATTATTATAGTCATGCCTGCTATGTATGCCTTTAAACTTCGGGAGGCTCAATATCTGTCAGATGGTTTAAGATCGAGTCATCTCAATCAGCACTATTTCATGTTGCAATGGTCATTTTGATGAATCGTACGGCGTCGCCTTGATGGCTTCCGATGCCTGTGAGCTGGGATCGTTCAGTCTCGGCATTGACGCCTGCATCGCTCAGCTTGATCAGTTGAAATGCACAACGAGAACTTTCGTCAGCATTGCCGTTGAGCTGTCATCCTAATGTCATCCGTAACATGCACATCTCTACGTTAGATCAATCCGATTCCTTGTGAAGCAGGATTTTTTCTCGAGTTCCAGCCATCAGACGAACCTTGTTTTCTATAGAAAATCGCCAGCTCATCAGGAATCTGGGCATACCTGAGGCGCTTATGCACAATCCTTGGAGCATGTAGGTCAATACGATATCCAGTTTCGTGGTGTCGCCAGCACACAGATAAGGGCGGAAGAGCCTTGAACGTTGCGATACGGTACGTACCGCGAAACGCACCGTTGCAAGCCACAAGCTTGTCTTCGCGAACACACGCTGCTTTAAGTACATCCATTTGCAAGTACCTGAACAAGCGCTCGCTATGACCCGGGTACCCAATCCACTTGTCAAAACAATTCGGTAGTGAACCAGATCGCCACCAAACGGGTTAGTGTGCAGGCTAACTCGACCTCCCACTCACAGGTACAGCTGCATGAATACGAGAGTCCTTCCACTGTAGATGCACCTGAAAGGCAGCAGTGCCAATCCGTACAAACACTGCCCGTAAGAATAACTGCAAAGTATCGGTTACTTCGCTGTCTTTCAACGAATCAGACATGGCTTTGTTCTCTCCTCATGGATCGAAGTGGATTTTGCCCCTAGGAAATATGGGACCAACAACTACAGCAGTACTGGTACTGATGATCGGCAGTAGGGTATCCTATGATGCACTTTCAACTATCGAACTGCCCGGATTTGTTGAGAACTGATGCATATGCCTCTATTGCCGCCAGTGGCTGCCAATGGCAATATCTCCTCTTCTCGGCTACTCGGATTTCCAATCATCTTCCCAAACGTCGTGAAGATATCGTCAAGCGAAGCTATCAGGCCTCCAAGATAGTCTTACTACGACCATGGCTTCCTAAGTTAGATGCCTCCGGGCCAAAACAGCTGTGTCTGATCCACAACCTACCGGCCTATAGCTGCTAGCAGAGCTCATTTCGGAGAATTTGACACATGCGGTCCATATCAACACGAGCCGCACCTTAGCCAGCTTGTTAGATAACAAAAATTCTGGGCCTCTTTTTGAAAAGTTCCCGCAGATGGCTGGCTAACAGATGGTCGAACTCTTCTCGGTCCTCATGAGCACGGCCTTTACGACTACCGTTGTCTGGAGTTCACCGTGAGCTTCCTGAGACATCGGTAGTCCACATGACTAAGTTTTGTCTGTAGTTCCTTTGGTTGTTAGTCCAAAACATGCTGACAGTCTCCTTTACCCATGAGGCAACCCTGCAAGCGCGTTGAACTCTCCTCGTTGCTGGAATGACTAGCGGTCTCGGCTGTTGTATAGTTGTAATTCTTTATTGATGATGGCGAATCTAAGCCGCCAACAATATCGCTCTTGGACGTCAAGTGAGCTACCATCTGATGTGGCATTCGGTTACCTTGAAGCTTCCTCCTGTCGAAAGTGGCTGTTTAGCACCCATTAGAAGTGCCAAGGATACATCCAGCTACTGCAACTTTGTGACAGTTCATATCGTCATCCCCGAATGTTTTCCCAAAACTGTCGGTGGCTTTCAATCTTAGCAGAAGGCCAGCCCGAAACGTTTGTGTCTAGGCGGAGTCCAGCCCAGTATCAGGGCTTTCGTGCCAGAGCTGCGGAATACTAGTCCAAGCACCTGCATGTTATCATCCCGGCCGGGCCCAACCAGGTTGTAAAAGTCTCCCCTGCTCCCCTTACCTTATCTCTCTTTAGCTTGACATTCCTTGCCTTTCTCTACCGTGCCTAGTTTGCATCCATACACACTCACTTGTCCTCATTCAGGGATTGTTGTCTTCGTCTCCGCTTCCCGCTCCTACATATCCGTACTCTTGGTAGCAACTGCGTTCTACATCTCTTAAGCTTCAAGGGATATTCCATCATTCCTACAGGGTTCATCTTGGCCCATCCATTCGTTCACCATGTAAGTAACAGTCTTCCACGGCGGTCATCTCACGTTGCTTCCCTACAACCATTGAGGCATGTCTCAAAGCACGCATCTTGAAGCATCATGTGCAAAATAGTAACCCTTATGTCCTACAAGACGGTTCCGCCAAAGAAGTCAAGCTAATAGAAAATATCAGCGGTTCATTGCTCAACAAGGTGCAGTTGCCTTGATATCATCATACAATCGCTATATTGGTACAATAGGAACTTCCGCCTGTGGTCGCCGGACAAGGTCCGTAGTACTTCAGAAGCATGGGTATCTCAAGTTACTTCAAGGCTAAGAAGCCTGAGGAGAAACAAAGACCAACGCCTGCAACGGCGATCCCCCCAACGGAGAAGAGGAACAACGCACATCAGAACGCTATAGACGATTTTCAACTCCAAGCACCTACACCACACTTCGGTTCGTCGAGAAACTCCATATCAGGGCGGTCGGTAAACTCCAATGGCAGCTCCGTATTCCTGGATGACATCAAGCATGAAGTCATGGTGAACTACCTCTACCAGCAGCAATGCTCTCATCTTTGGGTCAGCGACGGAAGCGGTGAGGTCGAGGGAGTCCTTCTGCGCAAAGTGCGAGGACAGTACCTGGCTTGCCCACCGCAACTGGCTGATTCCCCACTAGCGCTGGCTATGTCTGCGCTCAATGTCCCCGCTGCCATGACGGTTAACTCCAGAGTCATTAAGACATTTTTGTCGTGGTCACCAGACGCGGTAGATGTGCCTTTGATGAATGGTCTACGGGTTCAGATCTTGCCAACCATTGATGATCTACCTCGGGCACGAAAATACCAGTTCGCTGCTTTTGTTGCCTCCGAAGCTTTGCTTGTCATTTGGGATGACGATGCGCTTCACCTGGTACAGCGAGCCAAGGCCATCGAGGCGGAACTAATGGAGCTGGTATGGGAAGCCGGCAATGAGGGCGACGACGACGAAAAGAAGCCTGGCCAACTCGCTGTGAGCGAGTTTGAGATCGACGAGGAGAGCGGTGCGATCAAACTCGAAAGCCGCCCAGTCCACATGCAGAATACCTATTTGGTATCGATTACCATGGTAATTGTCGTCATCTCGATTGGTGCCGCGTGGCGTCAACTCGCTGTAGAAGTGTCAGTCGACGGAAATTACATCCGCCTCGCACTTTGCTGTCTCTTTCCTGTCCAGATATTCTTCACGCTTTTCTTCGCACAAGTCATCGTTGGATGCCTAGCACAGATATTTGGCCCTATTCGTCAGCTTACGATGAACTCCAAGTTCTACTCTGCACGCCCGCCACCACGCATCCAATCCGGACCCCTGCCACATCTCACTGTACAGTGTCCTGTCTATAAGGAGGGTCTCGGTGCCGTCATTGCTCCCACGGTGAAATCTATCAAACAGGCCATCAGCACGTATGAGCTCCAGGGTGGTTCAGCCAATATCTTCATCAATGATGATGGTTTGCAACTCATCTCGGAAGAAGAGCGAAAGGCCCGCATCGACTTCTATGCCGACCACAGCATCGGTTGGGTTGCGCGGCCCAAGCATGGCGAAAATGGTTTCCTGCGCCGCGGCAAGTTCAAGAAAGCCTCCAACATGAATTTTGCCCTTAAGATCTCCTGCAGTGTTGAAGAGAAGCTAGCACAGTATAACCGTGGTCCCGAGTGGTCGCAGGTTGATGAAGCCCATGCTTATGAAGAGTCCTTGAAGAAAGTCCTCGAGGAGGATGGCAGAGCTTGGGCTGATGGTAACGTTCGTGTCGGCGACTACATCTTGATCAGTAAGCTTCATAACGCTCCAACCATTCTATGCGTGGTGCTAATTCTATACAGTCGACTCCGATACTCGTGTGCCATCTGATTGTTTCCTGGATGCTGTATCCGAAATGGAGCAGTCCCCCGACGTTGGCATCATGCAATTCTCATCCGGTGTCATGCAAGTCGTGCATACATACTTCGAGAACGGTATCACATTCTTCACAAACCTCATCTACAGCGCTATCCGGTACACTGTTTCCAACGGTGATGTTGCTCCTTTCGTTGGCCACAACGCTATCCTCCGGTGGAGTGCTATTCAGCAGGTCAGCTACGAGGACGAAGATGGATATGAAAAGTTTTGGTCGGAAAGCCATGTGTCCGAGGACTTCGACATGTCCCTTCGTCTTCAATGTGCTGGTTACATCATCCGTCTTGCTGCCTGGGCCGGCGAGGGTTTCAAGGAGGGTGTGTCTTTGACCGTGTACGACGAGTTAGCTCGATGGGAGAAGTACGCATACGGTTGCAACGAGTTGCTTTTCCACCCGATCCGGACCTGGCTGTGGCGAGGTCCTTTCACCCCGCTGTTCCGTCGCTTCCTCTTCTCCAACATCCGCTTCACATCCAAGATCACCGTAATCTCGTACATTGGTACCTACTATGCCATTGGTGCCTCTTGGATCCTGACTTCCGTCAACTACTTCGTCATGGGTTGGTACAACGGATACTTGGACAAATACTATGTCGACTCGTGGCAGGTGTGGTTTTCCATCATCATCGTCTTCAACGGTCTCGGAAACATTGCTCTCGCCGTCATGCGTTACCGTGTCGGTGAGCGCAGTCTGATGGGTTCTCTCTGGGAGAACTTCAAGTGGACACTGATGCTGGCAATCTTCCTGGGTGGTCTCAGTCTGCACGTTTCGCAAGCATTGTTGGCGCATATGTTCGAGATTGACATGACCTGGGGTGCAACATCGAAGGAGGCCGAGTTTTCCAACTTCTTCATCGAAGTTCCCAAGGTGCTGAAGAGTGTAAGATTTTCCCCTTTTCTCTTCCCCCCTCTCCTGCGAATTTGTCTTGATTTAGCCCGAATCTTCAGCGCGCTGGTTTCAGCTTGGATGAAGACCAACGGCGCGACGCCACAAAGTCCTCTATACCCAATCAAGTCATATTTCTATCACCTATTGATTGCCAACACACATACAATTACTGACATCATTGCCTATTTAGTTCAAATTCTCCATGCTCTTCTCACTACTCTTCCTTATCGGCATGATCATCCTCGCTACTGCGCCTTTCGTGCCTTACGATTGGCGCATCACGGATTTTGTCGCCATCTTGCCTATGGCTACTGTCGCGGGCTCTCACTTTTTGCTTCCGCTGGCGCTGAACCCCGCGCTCATGACTTTCTCCTGGTAACTGAGTAATTGGGTTATCGGGTACATAAATACACACAACTGTTAGTGGTTATTCGTAATGATAAACAAGATGCACATAGCATAGACCCTCATTTGGATATACATAATTATATAGATACGGAAAAGGGCGTTATTGAGTTCCGATGAACCGTGGTGGGTATGAATTTGGATAGCTTAACATGATATCTTGGTGGGAAAGAAAGCTAGTCACAACGGAACATATCTAATCTAACTTTAGACGACTGGTCAGTCATTACAACTGTGTAAACCTTATTCGGGTCCGTTCCCTTCTTAATTTGGAGCATCGGTGCATGATTCGCAATTGGGACGGCTCAATGCATCGTGATTGTTCGATTGGAACTTCATCAACAGGCCCATACATATGCTCACATTTGTGTTACAGTGACAGCAACACGAACCGGTAACTTCTGCACTAAAAGCTGCTAAGGTTAGACTACGGTCAGCAGAAACTCTTCACAAGCACCAAGGTTAATCAAGATTCTGTGCAGATGTTACTTCGGCAGGCACACCACAACTAAAATATCTTGGCCGGATACCAAACAGTGGACACAAGGAAAACCTGGCATTAAATGGCGAGGTTTGTAGGTTAAATGCTGCAGAAGATTTACAATCGCGGTCTCGTTGTTCGTTCAAATATACATACAGTGTGCCAGTTTGTGGAAATACCTTTAACAACACGGTATTTGCACTGGCTTGCCTCGAAAGTTAGCGCTTGTCGGGGCCATCAAATAAAATGGCACCAAAATCAGCTTAACATTTGCTCCTCAATTATTCCAGACCCATCGACAACCTGGAGATCTGTAGCTCAATCACATCAATAATGCCCAGAAAGGTGTGTACACATTATGCCAATCGCAGCTTCCTAGACGCTAATAAAAACCACGTAGGTGCGGGTCCCAGCCTCTAAGGAAGAGAGCCGTGAGGCGCAGCAGCGCTCTCGTGCGCGGCACAGAGAATATGTCGCAAATCTAGAACAACGTGTTAGCGACTATGAGAAGCGTGGTGTGAACGCAACGCAAGAAATGCAGCGCGCCGCTCGTGCCGTGGCATGGAAGAATGAGAGGCTTCTTGTTCTGCTAGCTCTGCATGGGGTCCAACACGACGAAATTGATGCCTTCCTTGCGGCACCTGAAGCTGTCGGAAATCCATCGCAGAGCCAGGTTCGGTATACATCTACAACCCCGACAGGCCCTTCCCCAGCCATAACCCAACCTGACTCAGACAGCATGGCTCCGTCGGTAAATATTTCCGTGGTCAATGTGCCTAGTTATCACCAGAATGTCAAAGACACAGCATGCAGTAAGGTGGCAAGTTGCGGGCCCGCCGGCCCAGGCGTAGGCTACGTGGAAACACGAACCTGTCGACCATTTCCTGAGCAATCGTCAGGAAGTGCACCCGCGTCAGTCAGTGCTTGTTCTTCAAGCCAAGTCACCTCTTGCGAAGCCGCCGCATCTATCATCATGAACCTTCGCGGTCACGGAGACGTTACAGAAGCACGGCAAACACTTGGATGCACAGACAGCAACTCCTGCTCGGTCAAGAACACTGACCTTTTTCAAATCATGAACGAAATGCCATAGGCAGAGCCAGAGATTATGCAACGACATCAATTCCCCTTCAATCCGATGGACTGCTGCTTATGCCTTAAAAAGGTACTTTATCGCTGTAGAGCCGTTCTACGGGCGCCAAACAAGCTCTTATTCCCAATTGTACCGTTTGCCAACCAACTTAACTATATACACCAATCCAAGCAGCACAGGCACTTCGATTAGCGGGCCGACTGTGGACGCCAATGCTTGATCACTATCTGGTCCGTATGTGGCCACTGCAACTGCTATAGAAAGCTCAAAGTTGTTACTTGCTGCGGTGAAACTCTGTGTTGTGGCCAAGCCATAACTGAAACCCAGACGACGTGTGATCCACAGCGTCAGGAAGAAGATGACCAAAAAGTACACGATCAATGGAGCAGCTACACGGATGACCGAGACGATCTGGTGAACAACTTGTCGTCCTTGGGAAGCAAAGAGAACCAATATGGTATACAGCAATCCAATCAGTGACCAAGGAGCGGCAAAACGAAGGAAGACTCGTTGGTACCAGTCTGCACCGAAAAGTCTGCGGAGCGAAAACCGCGTGATGATTGCCGCACCGAGGGGGATGCCCAAGAATACCGCGACGCTCGTGGCTACCACTGAGTAGGACACATTGGTAGCACTTTCATCGTGGCTAATTACACGAATGAAGAAAATGGCCAACGGAGCAAAAAGGACCATCTGGAGGATTGAGTTGATTGCCACAAGGATAGCACAGTATTCTCCGTCGCCACCAGCGAGGCCAGTCCAAATCAAAACCTATCAACATGTCAGTTCCTCTATGGCTAAGCCTTGCGAAAAGATGAGGAAATGTACCATTGCAATGCATCTACCCAAGCCGACAAGAATAAGACCCGCACGCAATCCACTTTCGTCTGGCAAAAAGGCCCATGATAGCCCAAGCTATTGTTTTGTGTTAGATGTGCTGTGACAGGTGGCTCGGCAGTCTTACCATGAGGAACGGCGCTACTATCCAGTTAACGACCACGCTGAATAGGATTTGTCTCCAGACGTCCTTGTGTGCCATGATCTCATGCAGCGACTCGTATCGAACTTTGCAGAGAATTGGATACATCATCGCTAGCAGACCGACCGCTACTATATGTTAACACCTTGTTCTGAAACGAAGATGGAGCATTTACCTATAGGCACCGACACCCCCACGAATTTTCCCTTCTCGAGCGCAGGACCAGTCTCTGGCACAAAATTTCCAAGCAAGATTCCTATAAGCATTGCCAAGAAAATCCATATAGCAAGGAACCTGTCTAGTAGCCCCAGCGCCTTGAAAGCGGACACCTTCTCAGTTTCATCGCCAAGAGTATTGATCGCTTGTTGGTTCTCCATATCACTGTGTATAGGAACGCTTGCTTCCTCAGGGTCGTGGTTCATCTTCACCGTCATCGTCATCTTCGGTTCGACGCTAAGTGGGTGGTTTACCGTTTTCAACTACCACCTGGACAAGATAGACCTAATCTGCCGTGAATAATATCAGTAAAATATGATTGAAGGTTCGATATCTTAAATAACGTAAACAACTGCACCCGCCGCCAGGTAACACTTAAATGACGATGGCCGAACATCAATGAATTGAAGGCAAGAAAACTCTCTCGGCCAATCAAATGAGGGACATGACAGAAAGCAAGGTCCACTTTATAAACATTTCAATCCACATTGCTGCCAAGGTTTGAGAATTCAGGCGTTTTGATACAGAGTATCAAAGTCTAGTCAGTGTCAGTACATTTCGTCTAATTGATTGGGGTATCTCCAAATTATTATACAACTAGGACCTTGGCAACCAGTGGCATCTAGGAAATCCATTCACGTCCTCAACGATAAATAGTCCTCTCTGCCAGCTCAATCATCACCCGTGCTGCCACATCCAGTTAGTTGTTCCGACAACCGAATGCTTCTCGAGCTCAGTAACCTCGTCGTCAGACAGTAGCCAGTCTTCGCTGGCAGCGCGGGCATTCTCTTCCGCCTGAGTGGCGTTCTTAACGCCTCCAAGAGGAATCGCACCCTTCTGGATTACCCACTTTAGAGCCACAGCGCTTGGCTTCACATCATGTGCTGCAGCCACTTTACGCAGGATATCCAACAACGGGCTAATTTGCTCAATTGGATAGTTGCTGAATTTGCGCCCTGATGGGAGAGGATTCTCGGCGCTGTACTTACCGGTCAGGCGCCCCATAGCCCTAAATTATTATTAGTGAGAATTCACTACGAATTTGATATGAATCTTCGTAAGAAAACACTTACAGGGGGCTGTAGGCCATGAGCAGAATGCCTCTCTTCTTGCACTCCTCGAGTAGACCGCCGGTTTCTGGCAGTGTTCTCAGCAAAGAGAACTCAACCTGGTTGCTCGCAAGTCGCAGACCCCTTGTCTTCAGAGCGTCATCCATCCGGATCATTTCGTCTTTGCTGTAATTGCTGACTCCGACGGCGCGTGTGAGTCCCAATTCAACACACTTGGCGAGTCCGCCAGCGACAGAGTCGATGGAGTTCAGGAAGTGAATAGGGCCATGTATCTGGTACAGATCCATCGACTCGAGGCCCATCCTCTCCAGGCTCTTACGGCAGCTGTTGACCACGCCATATGGCATGAACAGTTTCGTTGGCGGGAGAGGGATAGGTATGTACTTGCTGGCAGTGACAAGCTTCTGCTTGAACTCATCCGGACTGCCATCCCGAAGCTGCTTGATGATGCGCTCCGACTCTCCGTTGCCGTAGATCTCAGCCGTGTCGAGGAAGTTGAGACCCTGCTTCTGCATCGTCTCCCAGGCGCCGTTCAGCAGCTGGCGCGCATCCGCCGACGCGTTCTTCCAAGTCGCGTTGTCGCCCCATGCCCAGGTCCCGATGCAGATGTTGGGCAGCGGTATGGTACCCGCGGACTCCTTGGCGCATTTGAGCGCGAATCTGGTAGTCATGATGAGTCCAACTGGCCAGATTAAAATAGACTTGCTACAATCTTCAAGCTGTAACGCTGATCAACGCTGGTGGTTGTTTGTTAACCTCGGGTGCTTCGTTTCGTCCCTTCTGTATATTATCTGCTCTCTCTATGTTCTCCCGAGCCCGATGTCTGATATATACCGCATTCATACTTTAGTGGCATCGTACTCCGTGGTCTTCTGGGAGATAAGGTCATCTTAAAATCCGCGAGGAGGCAGATCTAGTGCGTCATGCTTGAAACATGGCGCGCTATCTAGCATACCGTGCGCTAGACCCCACTCCCACGAACGCTTTCGGGGTCACAATAGGGTCCGAAAGCCGTACGGGACCTGAGCGGTAGGAAATCAGTGGTTGTTGTTGTATATAGTCTAAAATATTGGTTCTTGTAATTCTTACAAAGTCTCCCTACTATACTTATTGGTAGTATGTTGAAGCTCTAGTGTTTTGTAAGCACTAGTCGCCGTCTATGACTGCAGGCATAGTTTAGCTTCCCTTGTCAAGTGTGAGGACGAGGGAGTAGCCCGTCGGAAACGGTCGTGAAGTTAACCCAGAAGTCACGCTCTGGGTTGGGCCATTTGTTTTACCCTTCGCTACCAAGTAGGTAGTTCAGGTGCATGCATTTACTTATTAAACATTAAAATTGGCCGCCATATTATGTGAATACCACTGCAACTGGCGCCGCACGTCTTCTTGACGTAACCTTCATTCATTACCATGTCTATTATTATCATCAGAAGCATCGACAAACTGTTCCTCCTGGCATAAGAGCGGCATGCCTCGTGTGTTCGTCCTCCCCAGTAGCGCGCGATACCGAATCCCAGTATAAGTGGCCTCAACTAACTGCCTGCTCTCTAGGTTGCCTCATTCAGTGCCTGCGATATTCTCAGGTGCTCTATCAACCTATGCCAGCACATCAGAGTCTTTCCGTTTTCTTCTTCTTCTTCTTCTTCTTCTCCATAAATTGATTCTGGCAATGCTGACAAACGAGAAGACCGCAAAGAGGGCACTTGAATGCGAACACCCCCCGCTTCGTGTTGCAGGACACGCACTTCAGCTTTTCGGCTTGCTTGACCTTGGTCCAGAGGTTGGCATGTAGACATGTGGCCTGCATCTGCTGAGCGGTGGTGGTGTTTTCCTGCTTCCATCGTGCCTCCTGGGCCTTGCGATCGGCTTCGAACTGCTGCTCCTCGCGCTTCTGCTGCTGGGCCTTGATAGTCGCATTAGCTTGCTGTCGTGCCACCTTCTCGGCTACTCGCTGCTGTCTCTCGCGGGCCTTCTTCCGTCTGGCCTCCTTTACCTCATCCTCCCTTGCCTCTGTATGTCTTCGAGCCTTGGTAGCGACTTCTTCTTCTGGGCTCATCTTCTTGACCTCACGTCGAGCATCCTGGCCCACGCGGCGTTTCATCTTCACATACCTTCCGGGCCCGATAGACACGCAGAAGATTTCATAGTGATAACCACCATCGTCGTCTTTTCCCTCCCCGTCTTCTTGGAACAGAGGGCTATCGAATGGGGAGTAGCCGAAATGACCTCCGTCAAATCCACCAAATGGAAAGCCACTGCTGAAAGGGAACCTGCCATGTGAGCTATGGAAGCCCTCCGCCGCCGCACCTGAATCTGAATTTGATGCAGAATAAAAAGTGCTAGCCGTGATGACTTGATCATATTGTGCGCGCTTGTCTGGCTTGGAGAGTGTCTCGTATGCCTCTCCTAGCTGAGATGGATATCAGAATCGGACTCATTGATGAGAATAGATAGACGGGGGCACTTACTCTTTGAAATTTAGCAGTTGCAGTCGAGGCATCTCCGTGGTTTCTGTCAGGGTGGTGGACCTTGGCCAGCTTGCGGTAAGAGAAGACAACATCTTGCTGAGTCGCGGTCGGTGAGACCTCCAGCTCCTCATAGTAGTTGAACGATGGTGCGGGAGACATATTGACGACGACGATTAAATGAGGGTTTACTGGATTTATCGTTTAGACTGTTGTTCAAAGATGAGGGACCAGGTGAGCTTATAAGTAGAGGTCTACGGTAAGGCAATATCGATGTTTTATGCTGGGCCACCAAACTGCGCAGTGAATTGTTCTTGCTTATGGAGATACCTCGAGGCAACCAATCGTCGACACTGCGCCTGATTGAAGGCGATTAATGGAATTGTGGCTTGAAATCATGAGGAAGACCATGGCTGTTGTATAAAGCATGCATTTGATACCAAGGTCGTCAGTCAGTGTCGGTGAAGGATTCTGTTTGCTGCTTTCAAGGCGTCCGAGAGGTAGCAGACGTTAGCCGAACATCGAACTAAGAAAAGGTGCATTGATTCAGACAACATAGAATGGAAGCGAATGGTAACTTTTCATAGAAGAAGGTAAGACCAATATACAACAATGAGTATCATTAGTGACTTAAAAGTTCCAACTTTTGTCATGCCAAAGTCGGAAAACGAGCTATTGGACCATTCTTATGAAGAATACATCACCTGAATGAATATGCACACATATTCTGTCTGGCACATTTCAGTCAGTGAAAGAGCTGATGGTGACATATCACATGCCATGCTGTTCTGTCTAGAAAATAGTAACATCAACAGAGCTTTTGACATCAAATCTAACGGGTATTTCCTTCCCTGTCTGCCGTATTCTGCTCCTGTGCACTGGCTTCGTCGCTAGTATCCTGCTCATCTTCCGATGCGTCGACTGCGGCTTCATACTTCTCCAGCCAGTCCACTTCTGTTCCATCTGGCGCAACATGCAAGGGGAATTCCATAGCCCGTCTCCAAAACTTCTGACTGGTGCCACCAACTATGCCATATTTCTGGCAAACGCTCGAGAGGGGCCTGGTGAAATTCTCTGGCCTCCGCCTCCATCCCCAGGACGCGCAGGCTCCTGAGAATGCGCGTGATGCGCAGGTGGTTGTGGTCCATGGGCCTAACCCAACGCGCCAGATTCGATCGGGCCCCTCTCTTTTCCGAGATGTGCGGTTTTCGATCAGCACCGCCGCCATCGGCTTCGTCCCATGAGATCTCGAAGCCATAGAAGGTGAGAATGCGCTCAAAAGCGCGCCGTAGGTTTTGACGCAGTGAAGCGTGCTGCCGCCAGTACAGATAAGTCTCCTCGTCGATGACGGGTGCATCGGCAAACATGGACTCTTCGGGCAGAGGAAACAGCGTCTGGATGTAGTCGTGACAAGACTCCAGACGGTTGTCGCTCCATTCAATGATCTGCTGAAGGCGTCGACCGCGGTTATCGGCGCCCTGCAGTTCGTAGAATTGTACTAATCTGCGGCAGGCGGGCTCGGAGGGAAGCTGCTGAGTTGGAACACTCATCTTGGCCAAGGATTGAGGGGATGTGATACGGTCGATGATTACAAGCCGTCGTCGCAATAGAGTGGAACAGAAACTGGGAGGACGATAAAAGTAGAACAACATGGAGATATTGTCTGCGTGTCGGTCTGCAGTGATTTATGCTAGATATTGTCCGAGTTTGCGGTTCGGTTCCCTACCGAATGTGGGCGTAAAGCAGGTAATATGTTGCGCCTCAGCTTATGGCCAGAACTCCAAAGAATTCAGTGAGTGCAATTGATTTCCAGACAGGCGTGATTCAGAATCAACTCCAGTAGTCAGTGATTTTGGCTACTGCCCTGGTAAACAAAACCACATTTATACTGCCCAGTAGTCATAGTCAATTAATAGCATGCACGCGACAGCACTCTTACGCTTTGGTTAAAGTGCTACAGGCAGCTACAACGTTCAAGCTTTTCTGCAGCGCAAGTACTGTGCTGTGGAGAACATAGCACTACGGTTTCCCATCAACCCATCGGCGCATCATTGTCGATCGAGATTATCAACACAGCTAAGGCGCTTTTCAAATTCTATAAGCTTCACTCTTTCAGAATTGCACAGCTCGGAACTTATTATGTGATGGCCCGATGCCTTAATCGGCAATCACGGCCAATTGCAATCGTGATCGAGTTCGGAGCTTAGGGTATCCTAGCACCTTACTACAACCAGGCTGCCAAACGGTCTGATCGCAACTGTATAACCTTACCCAAGTTCCAACGGCATAAACAACGTTGAAACTATAATCCAGTCCACTGATAGCGTGGAAATGCTCTATAGTTTCTTCGATGCACGGTCATTGTTGTCTTTTCCACTCAATATTCATGCAACGGACCAAGACCATCACCTGTGGCAACAGTTACTACCGTGTTTGAGAGGCGACAAACAAAGAGCGTGCCCGACGTGTCTTGGCAGTAGCCGAACAATCAAGGATATACCATTTACAACTTGACGAGGTATCGCGATACGCCGAAAAGTTCCTGGGTCCGCTATTTTCTGGAGCCGTCAGCCCTGACTCGAAAATACAGAAATAAAAACCTCAAGGCCACCATGAAAAAAATGAAACATTCTCAAGAAAGAAACTAAGATGCATGGCCCCGACTCCGTTAGCATGCTGTGCGTTTGCCCGAAGTGCAGTTATCTCAAGGGCTCTCGTCGCGGCTCCGAGTCGCGGTTGCGTCCGAGGAGAGAGCCGCTTCCAACTCGTCCTCTGCCAGAGACTCCACCTACCACACCCAGCCCCAAAAAGAGCAATGGCATCTATCACGCCCAACGGCCACGCTCAAACTCAGCAGGCTGCCCCGGGAACTGGTACCAAAAACAATTCCTGGAAGAGAGTAGTCCCCGCGACTCGCCGCGGTATCCTCATTGGTTCGGGCGTCCAAATCGCAGTGTGTCGAAAGGAAATTCATCGCCGTCAAAACAGGAGTTGATGGAGCGGCTCGAGGCCGTACATACAGGCAGCAAGGAACTGTCCAGCCGGCTAGAGTTTCTCCAAAAGAGACTGCGGTATGTCTCGCTTGAGCGGGACAAAGCCAGGAGGGAACGAGACGCGGCAAAGCAGCAATTGGCCCGGAAAGACTGGGAGGATGCGAGGCTGTTTGTAAAGTGGTTGTGGCCTGATTTGCAAGAGGACACTGGCGTTGACGAAGTTTTGGCTGACGACGTGCCGGATCATGTCGCGACCTGGAACGCGAAGAATTTGTAATCGAACCAAACTACACGATATAGAGAGCAGTCAGCGATGACATCGGAAATCAAAGAAAAGACAATGTAGAATAGTATGGACCTAGGATCTTTTTCTCCAAAAATCATTTCTTTCCCTTTTCCTTTAGAAGAGATAAAAAAAGAGAGAAAAAAAGAAGGAAAACGTTCATCCTCACGTCAATCTGATCTTTTCGTATCATATTTAGTCGTATCAAATGCTAAGCTGTGGCGGATCGGACGTGACTGCTCTACCGGCTGTTGATTAATATCACATTGAACTTGACCGCAAACCGAAGGCGAAAGGAAATGGTATCAAAATTATCCCGCTATAGCTAAACCTTTTTATTGTCCAACAATGACATCAGTCCCACCCAAACGCCGCCCGAGCCTGTTTATTCAGGAGTCTGTTGAAGTTGTGTTCAAAGTGGCCAAGGTAGCGAATTCCCAGCTTGCTGTTGCATTGTGATAACCGGTCAAGTTCGTCTTCATGTAGCACATGTTGCCGCTGCCGTCAATGTAGCCCCAGCCAGCACCCTGGCATCCGTCCGTCTTGGCACATGCGTCCATGCAGACAGTCATGGTTGCTGCCTTGGTGCTGTTCAGGTCGTCGGACTGGCCCTCGCCGCTGGAGTCGACGCCGCAGAGCACTTTGAACTGCTTGCTGTCCGTGCCGGAAGTGTAGATGGTGTTGTTCGCGCCGGGGCAAGTAGAAAACTTGTCGGCTGTCGCGCTGGCGGTTGCCGAAGAAGAAGTCTTCGTTGGTGATCCCGACTTTGTTGACGTGACTGTCACTGTCGGAGCGGATGCAGCAGAGGAGCTGTGGCTATGGTCAGGATTTTATCAAAATGAAGAATTGGGTATGTAGCTATGAGACTTACAGAGAAGCCTGAGCGGCATCGAGGTCTGATTGTGCGGAGTGGAGATGATTCTGGCTGACACCAAGACCGGCAGCAAGACCGATAACAGTGGCGGCGAGGATAGCTAGGGCCGCGATCAGGGTGATGAGGAGCCCGCGCTTTGGACCGCTTCCCGAAGTCTGAGCCGGAGCAGTGTAACCTCCGGTATAAGCACCGTCATGCGGCACATGATTTGACTGTGCCGCTGCGGCGCCGTTGTCGTGGTATTGTTGCGGAAACTGCTGCCCGTATTGATGATCCACATAATCGGCGGGCTTCTCCTGAGGCGGGTAATAAGCTTGGCCACCTTGTTGGTGGTATTGTTGTTGTTGTTGGTGATCCATTTTGGGCTACAGGAATCAAGATCAAAGGACACGATCTATTGGGTCTAATTATCGATTGCACCAGTTGATCTGCAGATTAGTATACAAGAAAAGGCAGAACTGGAGAGAAAAACTCTCGAGTTTGCACAGAGGATTGTCGCATCTTTTTGTCCACCTGGTCCTGGCACCACTTTCAGCACCTTTTCAGCAGGCCCTCTTGCAAGCTGGGTAATTTGCAGCATCTTCGAAACCCCCAGTCGCTATAGTGTGGGCCTATCCCAGCTTAGCTGCATCGGTAAGGCTCGGTAAGGCACTCGACTAATTAAAACCCTGGCTTAGTTTCTGCTGCAACTCACGTAAGATCCTTCCAGCCTACCAAACGCTACCAGAACCTGCTGCGAGAGTAGGCGGTAGGGGTATGTATTTCACGATGAGATCACTAAAATAAAGCTCACTAGGGCTATTACTAACGATCAAGCTTGATCTCAGTTGGGCTGCTGTGTAGTCGATCTCCACCAACTTGCACCCCTAGGCATATTTATAGAATAAAAGCACCCCAGCGGCCGAAAGTCGCATTTCAAAGGTGCGTTAAGCGACGAATCGAATCGCGGCTTCTTCAGCGAAAGGTCCATCGAGGTCTGGATGGCTTCAGGCCTGTCGATCTGAAAGTCTGCTCTCTGTTACCTCTTCGAAGTCGAGAAATGAGGTGCGTTTTTCTCGTTGACAATTGCACTTGCCGAAGTGTTTCAGATCAAAGCCACCTTCCAAATAAGCGACGTGTCTATATTCTGCAGGATGAATATCCCCATGTCAGCACCATGCATCTGATGCCTGTTGCGCACGAGGTCCTGCATGGCAATCCTGCAGATGTGCGATGAGGTAACAATGTCGGCACCGAGCTGCTGGTGCCTTTGCTAGACGAATGAAGACTGCATATGTTCTGCCGCACAGTTCTACTTTGGCGAGCAATTACTATTGATCATTGTTCCCGCATCTATATTACCAAACAGACAGCCATATCCCAGGGTTTGTGCTGCAACAGAGCCGCGTTGGGCTGGCATAGCCTCATTTGGCAACCGTTCTTGAATGGAGGTCTGGTGGAGCGAAGGAACAGTAGCGCGCGCGGTCGGATGCAATACCGTTCGTCCCCCTTGTCCATTTGCCCAGCCCAGGGGACTGACAAATAGTCAGCGCAATGCAAAAAAGACGTTGCTACAAACAACATGCATTCTCTTATTTTCGGAACCGGGAATCCGCTTCGAGGCTTCGCAAAGAGGACTGCGCAGTGCATGGGAAATTTTTACCTGATGAGGAGGTGTGCTGGCGTCTTGGTAAAGTTGCTCACGAGTTGCTCGTGCAAGCAATCCTGCACGTCAATGAAACACAGACACAGCCGTGATAGCCTCTGTCATTGCTACCTCTGTTCTACCAATGGTTCAAGTTGGTACACCAGACGTGCCAAGTTAGACGACGACGCAGACTCGCGACACATTTCAGAGGGTGATCGATCTATCATGGATTATTCTTAATCTTGATGCTCTATCTGTAGGATTATGCACATAAATCGTCTACTACAGATCCATCGACGAATTGTATCCATTGGTCATCGGCACCGAACTCAGCTAACGTGTCAACATTCGAGCTATATTTCGGCCAAGTAACACCGTTGCCGTCTGTTGGATCTTGGCTGGGGTCCAACAAAAATGATAGCCACAAGGCTAAGACATGTGTTAATCATTCGAAGTCAAATGCCAGTGGGTTAAAGGGTGGATCCTACCTTCCATGCCGTAGCTGGTCTCCCACTCGAACTCTGTCGAATTACCTCTATATTCGTAATGGGTTCCAAAGAGTAGTGGCAGCTCAGCTGATTTTGTTTTAGTCGGGCACGTAACGAAGTCAAGGAGCACGAAAACTCACCACTGTGCGTCGCGCCAATCCATGGTAAGGGTGAGATGTTGGAAAAGTTGCCCGAGTATAGATATCGGTAAGTTGTGTATCCAAACTGCTCACGATTCCTGCCCGTTTGTCAGCTGTTGACCCGCGGAAAAGCCACAGGAAAGCGGTCTGCACTTACCGAACCTCTTTCACTACAGGACAAGTGATCTGTGACAATCCAATGGCCACCTGCGAAGGCGAGAGTCCACTGGCATTGAATGTTCCGAACCCAGCGCCCTCATTGGCATTGCTTCCGAATATCCACGGCTAACGTCTTTATCAGCACTCACTGATCGTTTCGGAGGCTGACCCAACTTACTACTTTGGCCACCAAGCCGTTCGCGAGGCGGTCTGTTGTATTAGAGAAACAGGTGATGTTGTCCGCCATTGGCGAGAATGATATAATACTTGTATGGTTTGAATAGACATTGACCAAAAACTCCGCGTCGACATTCTGCACACATTCAAGCTCGTCCGTGGCATCGAGGTCGCCGCAACCGACCAAGCCAGCCAGCGTGCTGAAAGAAGTGTAGTTGCCGAAGGTTTTAGCCAGGGTCGAGGGGGACCCCGAGTCGGAGATGAGGCCTTTGACAATGAGATCATCAGGATATGAATACCCATACATTCCAACGGATGCAGCTCCTGCAGATTGACCCCAGAGCACCATTTGCTCAGCATCGCCACCAAAAGCAGCAATGTTGTCGCGAGCCCATTCGACCACTGTACGCTGGTCCAAAAGACCGACATTCTGGTGTGCGCCTTCGGCGGCAGGGAATCCGAACACGTTGACTCGATAGTTCATGGTTACAACAATGTGCGATTGTGTCCTTTGGATCCACTGGTCGGGAATTTTGTATAAGGAATCCGCACCTCCTGATGTGAAACCACCGCCAGGAATATAGATGAAGACCGGCAACTTCTTGCTGATCGGTCGAGATGGCGCATAGACGTTCAGGTAAAGGCAATCCTCAGATTGACCCCCATTGATTAGGAACTCCGGCATGTAAGTGGTGTAAACCGAGGCTGCGGTACTCTTTTGCTGCATGCAGGACGGCGCGTATGTTCTCGCGTTGATAGGTCCCGCGTCAGCCTTGCGCTGAGGCGGCTGAAAGCGAAGGCATTCAGTGGGAGGTTCCGCATACGGCACACCCAAGAACTGACGCACAGCTGGAGTCGTCGAGTTGATAAAGCCCGTGAGCTCACCACTGGTTGTCTTGACGGTCAACGGTGCGGCCGAAGAACAAGGCGATGCGCTCGAGGTGGCACCGAGAAGCCCCGCAACCAGCCATGATTTGAGGACTTGATTATACATCTTGCGGGTGATGGTCAAAATCAGGTCATTGAATCACCACAATCTTGGCAAAATCTCTTTGTACCCCATGGCTGCGATCACCCGGATTATATACCGATCGACAACTACCCCACGATTGCAGCATTATGTAGCATCTACAAATCGTTGCACCATAGGGATGGATGAATGTTTAGCAGAACACTCTAAGTGTGGAGAACTCGGCCAAGGTTCCTGGCAGGCAGGCAAACACTTTACTTGTTATGGTCTGGGGTTTGGGGTAACTTGACTATGATCGTCACCAGTGTCCAATGAGGTCCACTATGGTTACCCCCGAGGTCATTTCAAATGCGGAGAAGGTTCGGACCACAATCTGGGGAAGAAGCATTACCCCGTATATGTGGGGTATCATCTCAACTTCGGTACCATCGTGCCAAAGCAATAATTTGAAATAAGTATTCTCAATGAGCAATACCCGTCATCAAAAGCCGTGTTTTGTGGCCGCCGCAGACAAACAAGCCCGATACCGAGGGCTATCGGTTGGTCGCCGCCGGACCGGCTCTTCGTGCGTTTCCATCACCCATTCCCTTCATATTTAGCCTAGGAATTATGTTCCAATTCCAAAGTCTGGTAGGCAAGCGATGATAACTAAACCACCCTTCAAGCATTTCATTTAGGATAATTATCATCATCTTAGTGGCGTCAATGGGAGTCGCTTCAGGAGAAAAGGCTGATAGATTTTATTCTAGCACTGTACTCGGTTTAGGCGCTCTGTAAAATTTTCAACAGATTCAAAGCGCTCTTCTAGTAGTATCAGCAGTCGTGGCACCCCTTTTATACCCATTGAAAGCCCTTTTACTCTCTCTGATATATCGGCTCCTGCGTGTAGAAGTACATCGCAGATCTCCCCAAGCGTCGCGAAGTCCAATATCTCGTTTGGCCCATCACTAGACCCAAATGGCCGTTCACTGGCACTTGGTGTTGCCTACTGTGAATGTAACTCCTGTAGACCATTGACACAGCGCGGGAACCAACGGCCATGCGTGATAATGGATCTTGCGACCGTGATAAATCGATACTAGGGATCGCGGCCTTCATCGTAAAAGACGCGAGAGTTGGGTGTCTGCAAGTCTATGGATCGACTGATGGCGGGCTCGCCACTCTGGTTGATGTACCTTGCAGCACTGTGCTCGAGGAGGCCATTGATTCCGTCGAGCAGGCGCACAATATAACGCTGTATCTGCTCCAGCCATACGCCGCGGCCTCCATCGCTCGACTGCTTGAGGTCATCAGCGCATGCTGGACAGTCTGAGCCACTGGTGACTGTCTCCCCGGGGTACAGGTCGGACTCTTTTTCACCAGACTCATTGTCTCGGTCTTGGTTGACTATAAGTCAGGGCAGATGCAGCATCCAAGGACATCTCGCCTGGTTGGGGCGTCTATGCATCGGCCACCGGACCATGCTCCAATGTAGTGGCGTCACACGTCTCTGTCAGGCTTCGACCCCGTGGGCGCCGTCTAGGATTTCCGTGGAGTAGTACCCTCCTACATGTGCACCTCTCTGTAGAAGCCTGCGCATTGCCTCGATGTTGAGGCTCTGTGCAGCATATTCCAAAGCCGGCCTGTGGTTCAACCCGTCGAAGTAATGGCTGTCAACACCGAAACCGAGCAGATCCTTGAGCACTTCATCCGGTATCCCATGCTCTAAGGCGAAGGCTACCAACGGTTGTAGCGCATCGCAACATCGATAAGACTTCTGTGGAAAAATTCACTAGGAATTAGAACTTTCTGGGTCAACAGCCGGAAGCAATTGGCGCTATTCTCTCTTACGCACTTGAACCATTCAAAGCGTAAGTGACTGGCCTTCGGGTTCATGGAGTCGTCAGTTTGTGGGTTGATAAAATCTTGGATTCTTGCGAAAAGAACTACATTTTGATGTTCAATGGCATGATCTATGGCGCTACTTGAAACATGAAAAATTCTACTCAGGTCAAGGTTGACATTATGCTTCAGGAGTGGGAGATACAGGAGATCGTGGAGTGTCTCGTCAGCCAGGGACAGATGTAAGCAATATTGGTAAGGGAGATATTTCGCAATATCCAGAGATACGTCGTAGACTAGTTTCATGACATCAAATTACGTAGCATTACAATATTAAATTGTAATGGTGATTGTCTGACTCCCGTCAGCGCAAGGTTATATGTAGTACCTTGGCGCCCTCGTCCTTGTTCTCAGGTCGCTCGCACAATTTTGGAAACAGAAAGGTACTAGCAGAGGGAACATAAGACTTTGACCCAAACACATTGACGGACGATGGACAAAAGCATGTTGCTTACAAAGAAGTTGGTTGTGAGGCTTGGATGACAATATGATTTTAGCAGATCATAGTTTCGATATGACTATTTTGTTGATATGTGTTCCACCATAATACAATATATTGTCAATGACACCACATCAAGTAGATATATCCATTGCGGTCAGCGCAACTTAGATTGGAAGACCACCGTTATAGTTAATCTGTATAGCAAGCAGCTTGACGCTCACCATGTCAGCAACACAGTATTCAGAGAGCGGTAAATGTCATCCAAACGGCAGGTGACTTATGGGCCTCGTTGAGCTGACACTCGGTTATAGTCTAGTATGAGAAACTATCTTTCTCCGAGTGACGATCTATGTTCCAGTTATTGCCTGCAATACATCGAGCCCTGTCTCAAAGCCCGTCCATGCTAGTTCTAGCGCGCCCATGAGGTCATCGTGGTTTCTCTGCATCCCGTCCTTACCTAGCTCCCGCTTCTTTCTAACTTCCTGTTCTTCGCTCGGCGGGAGGACTGTAACGTTGCCTCTCCCGGCAACCGTATGCGATTCTCCTGCGCAAGTGAGCTTGACCCGCCATGACAGTTCATAAGCACGAACGATATTGTAAGTCGTAAAGGACGGCCAGACCGGTTTTCCAAAGGGGACTCTCGTGTGGCCCATTGTTGATGATGCGAATTGCGAAAGTCGTATGTCCAGATGTGAGCCCAAGTCAAACGGCGAACCCAAGAAATATGCACCCGCATCGTCAGCATGAAAGCTTGTGTACGGGATCGGGCCTTGCGGTACTGGGGTACCATCTTCAAGTGGCCTAAGAGCACCTGGGTCTATGTATGGCGACCCAAGCACAGCGTCCAGGTCGCCATCACGATAGTCATTCCTGTAGCCAATTCCTGCAGACTCTTGGGGATTAAGATTTCCGCGAATGATAACTGGGACTTTGAAAGTGAAGGGCTCGAATGAGTATCGAAAAGGTACAGAAAGCGTCTCTTCTCTGTCTTTGCCATGAGGGCGGCCAGGAAGAGAACCTTCGCATCGAAGGCGGGTGAGCGAAACAAGATCCAACTCCAACGACACGAACTCGACCGCAGGCAGGCGCCGAACGTCACCGTCCGGGCAAACTGTAGTTTGAACCTGGTCCAAGATCGGCACGACATATATCTTGAGGCTCAACGGGTCCGGATGCTCTAATTGGATAACCTGAGGAAAGATGATTTTGACCTTGTAGGAGTAACGTGGTACCTTGGACAGCTTGAAAAACATTTTGGATCTATCCCGCAATGTCAACTTTTTGTCCGAATTCTGCGCAATTAGTCGTTCGGATCGAATAGTTTTGAATGAGTCACGGACAATGAATTCGTGATCGGCTTCTGCTAACGGTTTTTGTGTCGATGGTGTCCTGATAAGCAGCGGGAATGTGGCTACTACATCCTTTGTCCCGGGACAGGTCATTGTTGCTTCCAGGACATATTCAATAAATGCCTCATAGATATTTCCACTCCATTGAGATTTGTCCCTGAAATAAAACACGCCCGGAAGTGTTTGCTTTGTAACATCGTCTTGTGTGTTGCAAAGGTAATATCTGCGTATTGCTTGGGAGCTTTGGCTACCCGGCATAATGCCCCAGTTGTCGCTCCTATCCCTATCCCAGCTATCGCCACGCTTCTCAAACCCGGGCTGTGCAGCTTGAGGAACTGTGATTGCGAATGGTATTCGTGCGCCGGCGGTGACGGGCCCACGGAATATGCATTCTTGCTCCTCAGCGAATCCCGCCCTCCCGCGGTAGATGACGGTAACCTGCCCTGACTTGTCCACAATCTTGGTTTTGGCGCGGCCAAAGAGCTTTAAATTGACCGACGTCTGGTCAGCTTTTGAAACTTCCGCAAATGAAAGTTTTGTTACCACATGGCCAAGGACGACGCTCCCTGGCAGGTAAGTGGATTGAAAATCTGTGATTTCGATGCTAGCAGCATTGGAGTTCTTGATACCGTGGCGAGGCATTTCTAATCATGTATTCTACAAGACGTAAATCAGATGAGCGCTAAGAGAAGGCAGCAGAGTTGGAGTTGCTAGATTCGTGCATGTTTGTTATTTTGATTAGATGTTGGTAAGGAGCATATTGCAGCTGCTTATTCCAAGTCCACTAAAGCGGCGCAGCAGTTCAGACTCAGCCAGTCGAGGGGGAGATCTCTAAGCCTCATGATTCGTGAGCTGTGCAATCATGAATCCTGCTGTTTATGTGCACAGGGAGAGGGCCGCAAACACAGCAAAGGGGTGATCTCAGTGACTACAACCAAGCTGGCTCATGGTGTGAAAATTAACGGTGCCTGAGGTTCTGCTGGTTCAGAAGCATGTTGTAAGGTTAGAGCATGAGCGCTGTTAAGGCAAAGTCCAACCACGTCAACAAATTGTGGCGCTCAGTGAACTATGGTTGCATCCAAAGTCTTTTCAGAGGTGCAGTCTTCTGTCCATGATGCCCGCTGGTCGCCAAGTGGCACCCGTCTTTGCTGTCTCCAAGTGCGTAGCTCAAACAACAGGGCACTTAGCTCCCTAACAGGGTAAGTTAAACCCGCGGTTTTGGCAGGTTGAAAAGATAAAAGAACAAAACAAAGACATGCACTTCAACACAGATAAGCAACTATTATCAAGGAAGCTGACGTGTTGGCGCTATTGCTACACTTAGCTTCCTCAATGACTACATACGTGGCAATGAAACGCAGAATGGAATTTCCTGCAGCCACGAAGGCTGCAAAGCAACAGGCACGTAGGGAGAGAGTACAACAGGCTCGTGGCGTCAGCAATACGAGACCGCCAATGCAGTCATTCAGAGCTGTTGTGGTTTGCGCACCTCACTGTCAATCCTCGGCCCTTCCCTTCCAACTTATATTATCGCGAGCACTAAGGATTGTGGATCAAATCCTCGGAGCAATGCTAGTTTCAACGGCCGTTGTAAGCAACGTTGTCCTGCAGGCTTTCGATAGTCGCGATATGCCCCCTGACTACGGCGCGTGCATACCTTGTTCAACGTTCCAATCAAGCTTGTTTACATCTCCGGCGTGCAGATGTACCGATACTTCTGCCATCATGCGGTCAGGGATATATGCAGATTTCCACTCGTCTAATCATACATTCGTAGTTTCCAAGCTTGACCAACAGTCCTTTCGCATTTTCATGAACATTCCCCATCATGTCACTGAAAATACGTGGTATCCTATCTTCTCAGCCCATGGCGATAATACCAATTGCGGCTAGTGGGCGATACCCTTTGGAATCCAGACACGAGTTCCAGGTCCGGAAATATGGATAATAACCTTACGATGTCGGTAAATCATGCCTGTGGAGGATGTCAGACGATCACGGTCTGAAGAATCTCGTATTCAGCTTCTGCAAGCCTTATTGGGATTTTGCGTCTAATATATCCGACTTGTCCTTCACCGAAAATGCCATCGAGCAGCAACAAGGCACTCGTAGACTACGCTCGACATGATGGCACTTCTCCAGAGTTTGAGTGTTGCGTCCATATTCGTCCATGTAAGTACATCTGTATCGATGCAGGCATCGGGTTTAATCTGTGTCAGGGGGCTGCATCAAGACTGCTACCGAGACAAATATCAATACCAAGTGATCTGCCAAACAACTGGACATATGTCGGATGCTATGTGTAAGTCAACGCCACAGTTTACCTGTCTTCCAATTGCCAACTTTTGTCTAGCGATAACCTGGATGGGAGAGCCCTTCCACTCGATCAATATAATAATGGCACATCCATGACCGATCAGAGTTGTATCCTGTACTGCATGGACAGGGGCTACCCATTCGCTGGGACAGAGTATGGATCAGAATGCTGTACGTGAGTTGCCCTGCATCTCGAAAACACCCGCTGATACAGGTGCCAAGACTGCGGAGAGAAGGTCGACGAAGCTGCGACCAAAGTTTCTGACACGGATTGTTCTGTAGCTTGCGCCGGAGATGCTACCCAGCCATGCGGTGCAGGCAACAGACTAAGTGTATTCAGCGGTGCAGTATCAGAACCTATTCCTCCAGCACCTATTGACGGTTGGGCCTATGAGGGATGCTTCAGGTACGACGTGCCTTGCTTTCTGAAAGACTTCTTCGCTAATTGGAGTTTAGTGACGGGCCCGGAAGGACCCTTACATATGGAGCCCAGGTACCCGGAGGCTCTGCTACGAGTAGGTTTCACTTGGCCAATTGGCTTCCACTGACACTGACATTGACCTGATGACTTATGTTGCTGACTATCACTCCATTAGTGACCAATGAATTATGTACTGCAGCATGTGGCTCCGCCGGTTATCCTCTTGCGGGAACGGAATATTCTGGTGAATGCTACTGTGGTCAAGTATACTCTAATGGCGGAGCCCAAGTCGACAATGGCTGCTCGATGGTTTGCAATGGCAACTCTTCAGAGGTTTGTGGCGGATCTAGTCGGCTGAGTGTATGGTCCCGTATTGGCTCTGGGTCGAGTCCGACTTCCACTATTTCAGCAACAGCAGTGCCGTCCCCAACAGGCTCAGGCACTGCTGTTCTTCTTCCTGAAGACTGGTCATACCAGGGCTGCTACAGTGAAGGCTCGAGCGGACGTGCTTTTCTGAACCAGCAACCGGACAGCCAGACCCTGACGATTGAATCATGTGTTGATGCATGCATTGGTCTTGGATATAGTGTCGCCGGTATGGAATATGCCGCGCAATGCTTCTGTGATAACTACTTGCGTAATGGTGCAGCGATCGTTCCAGATACGGATTGCAGCATGGCATGCTCTGGTGACGCGTCCGAAAAGTGTGGTGCAGGTAGTCGCCTTTCAATTTACTCTAATGCCACGCTTGTGATCTATCAGCCACCAAAACCTCAAACAACCGATCTTCCTGGTGCTTGGGAATATGTTGGCTGCATCCTGTAAGTTTAAGAGAATCTTACTTTGAGATGCTATATACTGAGAGAAGTTCTAGGGATGACATCGCAGCACGAACGCTTCCCTGGATGTCGATAGACTTGGAAAACGCAACAGTGTCTGCCTGCATAGCGGGATGCAGCAATTATGGCTACGAGGCAGGTGGTCTCGAGTATGGCTACCAATGCTGTAGGTACTAATTCTGCAATTTGTTACGATCGCGGGACTGACCAAGGCCTGCAGTTTGTGGAGACATCGCGAATGTTGTCAATCAGGGCCGTGATACACTACAACCAGAATCGGATTGCAATGTCCCATGCTCTGGTGATCCCACACATCTATGCGGTGAGTAGTATCCACCACTCTGCAGTAAGTTACCCACTAACGTAATGAAAAGGTGGCGGCAATCGATTGTCATACTATCGATGGGCTGGTGACACATTGACGACTTGGTCATATGCTCAAGGGGCTGCTGCCGGAAGCTACGATTTCATCATGTCTAGTCCGATCATCCCTCTTATTAGTACGGTCGGCATTAATGAAAAGGTGGTATTTGTTGAGAAGCATGGAACTTCGAAAGAGAACAACAGCACAGGTTCCTTTGAGTTTGATCCCAGTCTCGCACCTGACTATGGGACCGCCTTCCGTGAACTGCAGCTCAAGACCGATGTGTTCTGCTCTGCTTCACTTGTACTTCCAGACAAATCCGGACGCCAGATCAATATTGGAGGCTGGGCTCTAGAGGACTTGCATGGTGTACGTCTCTTCACACCAAACTCTAGTCTAGGGGTCCAAGGCACAACGCAATGGGAGGAAGATGTCACAACACTCCGCCTCTTGGACCCAAGATGGTATCCAACAGCGACCATGATGTCTAATGGAAGCATCTTCGTCGTTGGGGGTGAGAACGGTTCCGACGGTCCTATGGTGCCCAGCGCTGAAGTCTTGCCCAGGCCTGCAGGCGTGGCGGCAGCAACACATCTCGATTATCTCGAAGAAACGAACATCAAGGTCAACTCATACCCCTTCGCAGCGGTTCTTCCATCTGGAAATATGTTCTTTGCGCAGTATAATGAGGCAAGAATCATCTCCCAGGTTGATTTCAGCACGATCAGGATTTTACCTCAGATGCCAGGCGCCGTCAATAACCCAGACTCTGGAAGGAACTATCCATTGCAAGGTACACTGGCTCTTTTGCCCCAATATGCACCATACACCGATCCTCTGGAGGTTCTGGTTTGTGGTGGAACTACTGATGGCGCGAACTTTGCCTTGGACAATTGCATCCGAACTCAGCCAGACGTGGCTGGTGCCGAATGGTCCATCGAAAGAATGGTAAGTGGGAACCAATAAATTAATGACATTTGTACTAACAAGAAAAGCCCTCCACTAGAGTTGTCTCATGCATGGTCGCATTGCCAGATGGTCGTTACGTGATCATGAACGGAGCCTACAATGGACGCGCTGGCTTTGGCTTAGCAACTAATCCTAACAAGGGAGCCGTGTTATATGACCCCACGAAACCCCTTGGCGAACGAATGACGCAATTAGCAAACAGCACGATCGCTAGACTGTATCACTCGGAGGCGGTCCTCATGAATGACGGCCGAATCCTTGTTTCTGGCTCTGACCCGGAAGATGACGTCAACGTTCAGGAACACCGATTGGAGTACTTCTCACCCGACTACATACTTTCAGGTGCCCCCAAGCCAACGTTCACTATTGAGAACAAAGATTGGGCTTACGGCGAGACCGTATCCTTCACCCTGACCTCCGCATTCACTGGCGCTATCAGAGTATCTCTACTCGCCGCTGTGGGCTCTACGCATGGTAATAACATGGGCCAACGGACACTGTTCCCGGCCGTCAGCTGCAGTGGAAATCAGTGCACAGTTGAGGCACCACCAACTGCTAATGTGAGCCCTCCTGCTTGGTATCAGATGTTTGTTCTGGACGGGCCGACGCCAAGCCATGCAACTTGGGTTAGGATAGGAGGCGATCCTGCTGGCATTGGCAATTGGCCGAATCTCCCTGGTTTCACGACGCCCGGTGTCTAGACGGACATGACGGCTAGAACTGCGAAGAAAACCAATATGCGAGGACAATACCATTATTAGCATTGCTTCATGTTCGCGTCAGCCGCCATTCCCTTTTTTTGAAAAGGCTGAAAAAGAAAACATGAAAAAGACGCTATAGGACCAGATTCCGCATCTCGAACCCAACCTACAAAAAGAAGGGTGGCTAGAGGGGGACGAATCAGCCAGGAGATAATGTTAATGAGATAATGATAATGGTCATAGGTGTGCGTGGATAACCGCTACACCATTATGACCTGTGGCTTCGTGGAGTGTTAATTGAGCAGTGTTAATGTCTTATATAGTCTTTGGTCGAGGACGATAATTTAATGGTTCTCTTCCAGTGCAGTCACAATAGAGTTCGACCGCGGCTTTACGGTTGTGGCGGTTTGAACAGAGTGAACGGAACCGCTGGTTGCTAGATTTGATGGTGGGCTGGCTCGGCGATGAGGTGCCGCATTAATGCAGCCACTGTCTATAATACTGACCTATCCCAAATCTCGTCTTTGTTGCTTGAAGCTTCTCTTCTGACCTTGTTTTTCATGCTACTCACCTTAGTTCGAGATCATATCGTGTCACGAGATTCTGTCTTGTTCTAGGGGACGTATTCTTAATATTGATATTTCAAGTCAAATGGACCAGCCGACCAATACTACCTGACGATCAAACAAATAGTACTCGTTTAGATTCGAGGAATGGGCATCAATCGGCTTAATTCTTGACATTGCTGCTGGAAATGGGCAACATCATTTACACAAATATGTGGTCAAAGACGGTCCCGCTCAGCACGCATTTCTTCTTTAACCACACGCACCATGTACAACAGCTCACACATAGCCCGACGTCTACGAGGAGGAGTGCGCGAGGTCGAATCTCCCCGACTTTGAGCTGGCGCATACCCAGTCCGTTATGGGTGAGCAAGCCCGATTCAAATTGGTATCACCATTGCAAGTGTGAAGAACCATTTCAGGGGGTGGACGAGATTATAGGAAAACGTAGTTCACTTTTTGCTCATGCTGTTAGTGTGTCGCCAACTGTGAGTATCAGTGTGGATTTTATGTGCATTCTCGGAGTATTCTGATACTATTTTCGGATACTTCGAGTGTCTCGAATCTAGAGGCAACCTCGGTCAGCTTTGTGGTCCACGATCTCGCCACCACCCTGCATTGCTTCGTTGCGGTTCAGCGGCCACACTTGCTAGCCTAAATGAGGTGTTTAAATCTTGCCATAAAGTTGAAACTAAACTTCTGGCCTGACTGGGATTTTCCTTGACGCCCTTACCGCGATGGCCAAACGATATATCTACATGGCACGAGGTGTGCTCTGCGCTTGCCACCGTTGAGCATTTGGAGTCTCTTACTCTGCGGCTGGATACGGAAAATTCTCATAGCATAGACAATCTCTTGGACAAAGGATAGTACCTGAATATCCTGGTTGACTTTGACGAAAGGTTGGCTAAGATGTTGACAGTCACCATGCCTGGTGATCCGCAGAAACCGCGGAGGTGAAGAGATTTCACAAAGGTGAAGGCTCCATTTATCGTGTAAGGTCGAGGCTGACCACTTTACGCCGTTGTTCGTGGAGACCAAATCGAGCTTGGCGGCTCTATTGAAGACGGTTTGTACGATTAGGAATAGATAACCCAAGATCTCAGCGGCATGTCGCTGATTGCGAGAACGGTTGCAGCAACGCAAGATGTGTGGCTCCTGACCCAGGCACCAAGTGCTATGCGTTCACTATTGAAATGACTCGCCCAGCATGTTTGCATTCCTGGGGAACTTGGAATGGTTTCAAGGTTTTTGACCATTTATCAAATAGACAAATCCAGTTCAAAATCCTCCTGGATAGCCTATGGACCACTTTTGGCGCGGAGGGTAACTTTGGATCCCAATTAGAATGTGTCGTGCCACAAGTGCATTGGCATGTATGCAATAGTCTTGGCTTGGCGGCGCCTCTACCTGCATGCTTCTGGCTAAATACCAGTGCCGCATAGAAACGCAGACAGCTGCAATGCAATGCAACACCGTTGACAGGTGAGGTGCAACTAGTAGAAAATTACTGTCTGACTTGCATATATTCGCCCTGAATCAGTCAAACACTGACGACGACTTCTGTGACTTGACGTAATATCGACCGTGGCTTATCAATTATGATTGGTGCGAGGGACTTTATTGAGGCACATCTGCACAGCTGAAGAGTATAGTTAGTAGCGATCGCAAGGGAGACACATGGTGAACAGGACCGGACATCTTGGCTATCGATTCCTTGGGTCCATTGGAAATATATGGCATTAAGCCTTGTCGAATGAGATGGCTATACATCTCCCAACAGTGTTCTGGCCAACCTAGCAATCCTACATGAGGCATGCAGTTCGCGACAACCGTCCTCATCATGGTTAGGTAGCCCAAAACAATGGTTCGTGCAATGAAACGTGCAGAGATTATGCTGGGAATCTATAGTCTGAACTGCTGCATACTCCATTCACTTTTGCTTTTCAAAAGTCCCAGGTGCCGGCCGGCACACGCGTTATAGCGGCCTACGTGCATGGCCGTTTCGATGATGGCCACTCAAAATATCGATGGGTGAAGCATATGCCCTTGCGTACATACTGTCCAACATACCAACAAACCTGCGATACCTTATCCTCTAGAACCAAACCTTGCAGAAATGAAATGAGTTCACACGTAACTCTCTGCAATGAATAGGACATGGGTAGGAAAGATAAGGACTATCAGACTGAGTGTCTGCAAGGGTTGTCAAGCTTGGTTTGTATATACGCAGAGAATGATACCCGGCTTTGAATCTTATATAAATGGGCGTAACCTACGGGACAGATTGTAATTCACAATAAGGCGGTTTTGATGTTACTCCCAATAACCACGTTGGATTCTGATTGGTTGCCTACTGTTGGGAGTTACCACTATAATACCGGCTGGTGAATATCTGTACCACTCAGAAATGCGCGCAATTACCCTCGCAGGGGCCATCCCCATATTCTCATTCCTGGCGGCCGTCACAGCGGCCCCAGCTACTGGGCCCATCGAACTTCGGCAGTCTGCAAGCTGCAACACTCCAGACAACCGGGCTTGCTGGAGCGATGGTTTCGATATCAACACAGACTATGAGCTATCGACGCCCGAGGGTGTCACCAGGACCTTTGACTTCGATGTGATCGAGGCCGACAACTGGACTGGACCTGACGGGGTTGTCAAGGAAAAGGTCATGCTCATCAACAATCAGTATCCAGGCCCGGCCTTGTACGCTGACTGGGGCGATACTCTGGTTATAACGGTTACCAACAGCATGACGACTAACGGGTGAGCCCCCTTGACGAAATTTGTGACGCGTATCATGCTGATGTATATAGGACATCTATCCACTGGCATGGTCTCCGTCAACATCATACAAACATCCACGACGGCGCTAACGGCGTCACGGAATGCCCAATAGCCCCCGGTCAGTCCAAGACGTACACGTTTAGGGCCACCCAATACGGTGAGTGGGTTCGATCTGTTGTCGATCTCACCTTTTCTGACATAAGCCTCCTAACCTAGGAACATCATGGTACCACTCGCATCACTCAGCACAGTACGGAAATGGCGTCTTCGGCTCGATCCACATCAACGGCCCCGCCTCCGCCAATTACGACGTAGATCTCGGCGTCTATCCCATCTTCGACTACTACCATCTCACCGCTGACCAGGGCGTGCGGCTCACGCAGACCCAGCCCTTGCCGCCGAACAGCGATAATGTCCTCTTCAACGGCACCAACATCAACCCGGCCGATCCCAGTCTGGGACAGTACTCCATCGTGACACTGACACCGGGGGCCAAGCACCGCCTCAGACTCATCAACCCCTCCATCGAGCACAACTTCCAGGTCTCGCTCGTGGGGCACGAGTTCACCATCATCGCAACGGACTTCGTGCCCGTCGAGCCCGTCGTAGCCGGCGACGTGTTCCTCGGCGTGGGGCAGAGGTACGACGTGATAATCGAGGCCACCGAGGCCGTGGACAACTACTGGTTCAACGTGACGCTATCGAGCACGGGGCTCTGCGGGGCGTCCGACAACGTTGCGCCGGCCGCCGTCTTCCGCTACGATGGCGCGGCGGACGCACTTCCCACGGACCCGGGCACGGCGCCGGCGGACTCGCTGTGCAACGACCGGGACGACCTGGTGCCAATCGTGACGCGCGCCGCCTCGGTGACGGAGATCACGCCGGCGGTGCTGCTCAACGACAACCTGCCCGTGACGCTCAGCTTCCCGCCGCTGTCCAGCACAGTGACGTGGTTCGTGAACGGGAGCGCCATCGACGTGCAGTGGGACAGGCCGGTGCTCGAGTACGTGCTCGAGGGGGACGCGGCGTCGCTGCCCCGGCGTGAGAACGTCGTCGTCGTCGACCAGGAGGACGTCTGGACGTACTGGATCATCCAGAACCTGTCGCCGGTCCCGCACCCCATGCACCTGCACGGCCACGACTTCCTGGTCCTCGGCCGGTCGGCGCCGCTGAACGTGCCCTTCTCGCTCGCGCAGCTCCTGGCGCTGCTCGCCGCGGGCCAGCTGGGGCCGCTGACGGATCTGTTTGACCCGTCGGACCTTGCGTCTCTGAACTTCGACAACCCCACGCGGCGCGACGTCACCATGCTGCCCGGGCTGGGATACCTGGTCGTGGCGTTCCGGGCTGACAACCCGGGGAATTGGTTGTTGCACTGTCACATTGCCTGGCACGTCAGCGGTGGGCTGAGCGTGGACTTTGTGGAGCGGCGGGACGAGCAGGCGGCTTTCATTAGTGAAGCGGAACTGACTGCTTTCGAGGATACGTGTACGCAGTGGCGGAGCTTTTATGCTACGAGTGAGTATCAACAGGAGGACTCGGGGCTTTGATTATAAGTTGCAGGAGTTTGGGTGGCCGGGGAGTTTGGATGTTCTCGTTGTCAGGAAATTTTGGGTTCGTGATTGTCACGGACTTGTTGGGTTGTATCGTGGCGGCGAAGTAGCGCTTGTGAATTCCACAGGAAAAAGCAACCTGTTCGAGTCTTTGTGGATGGGACTTTTCCTTGTTACACCTACCCTAGAAGTACATGATCCGTTGTTTTGTGCCCCGAACTCGTCTTTTTCCTGCTAGAATGATCACACGAGAATGTGTTATAGCCTAGTTCATACTGTGATCGATGTTCTGTGCTTCAATAAAACTTCATACCTCTGATTCGATACAGCTTCCTCTCAGAGCTAAGTCGGACCTCAGCATACCTATACGAGTCCAGAATAACAATCACTCTGCATAGAGGTCATCTCATATGGAGGTTGGACCTGTGCTGCATGCATAAAGAGGAAGAGAGGTGAAAAAGAAAATCGGGAAAGAAAAAAAAAGAAGAACTTCGTATACACCTGCAAATTTCGGGAAGGTTGTGAATACTTGCGCCAGGACTACTTAGGGACGTGGCCTCATCCTCGCCTAGGTCAACAGAGCTAGGGGTATGTTCGTCGCCAAATTTAGGGTCTGCAACAATATCTGTGCTGTCTCTCATAATCATAGTAATCCACCATGAAATCAATTTGCTTCTCGTTGCTCAGTGGCGCGAATTCTCTTCCCATCTTGCTCTCGCTCAGCGCTTCGACGAATCTTTTGGTGTGTGCCGGATTGGGCACCGTCACGAGCCAGTAGAAATACACCAGCACGTCACGGAGATGGTTCTCTCTCCTTATATCTCCTAATTGTCCCCATGCGGTACAGAGAGTCAATGTCCTGCGTCATCCTTGCCATCTTTCGCCGGATTTATACAAGGCATTCCCGATGTCCCTTGAGAATCTATTCTTTAACAAGGGCTCTGTGCGGGAACCACAGTCTTATCTTACTGCACATTTGTCGCGAGGGGCTTGCAGGAATTTCGGGCTTGAAGGACATATCTGTAGCATTTGACAGACAGACAGTGCCTCCTTACTGGTCTCCTTCAAGCGGGCGTAGGCACGAAATTGGGACGCGTAGACGTCGGCATACATGTCCAGTTCTTCTAATGTTAAGTCCAGAATGGTACATGGATGACGAGGCATCACGGCGTGAAGTCAATGCAGTTTATGGGTATATAGGACCGTCCACCGAGTCTGTCAGTCATCCTACTCGTGCTCTATAAGACGGACCCGCCTCCGCTGCCACTTGCAGGAGCGACCTCATCGTGGTCGGTTTCGTTCACGACTTGTTTGCTGTACGATGCCGGCTCGTGATCTTGTTCCGTCTCGGTCTTGTTGTCCGCATTATCAGATCCTGGGATACCGGCGTCTTCAATCCTCGGTACAGGTTCATGGCTGCTAGACTCCTGATGCAGGCCCTCGCCACTCGATATCGCAGGACCGAGCGCAGGATTGTTCGAGTCCGTTGACGCAGCACCTTCCGCGCCTCTGCCTTCTTGGCGTTCTTCTTGGCGTTCTTCTTGGCTTTGCGTTGTGCCTGTCGCTGCTTTCTCAGTTTCAACCTGCGCCGCCTGGTTAGCACCAGTGCCGGTCTCAGATTGCTCAGACAGCTCCAACTTATCCTCCACCTGCTCGGCCAACTTGTCGACTTCATCTTCCTCCCATTGGTGGTTGCCTTGGGCCTTGCGCTTTTCGTAGGACTGCAGCTGTGCGATTTGCCTGGCCGCCTCTTTCTCGCCTACGATGCCTCTCCACATGCTCTCGAGCTCGTCCTTCCAGCCCAGCTCTTCGGCCAACTCCCGGATGCCAGAATCGCAATCCGTGAGACAAATGACGTCGTCAGTCCGTGTTCCCATATCTCCCACCCTCTCCTTGTTGAACAGCACTCTTGGCACACCTTCCATGGCCATCATCGGCAGGCTGGCGAAGGGATGGACTGTCAGGCTTGTGCCAAGAACAAGCATGAGATCGGCGGTGGCCGGTACGCTGCGATTGTCGTAGAAGGCAGAGGGTAGCTGTTCGCCGAAGAAGACGATGTCGGGCTTGACCAGGCCACCGCAGCCCTCGATACAGTGTGGCGCCTTGCCCTGTTCGACATGCTCGAGCATTTCCTTATCTGGATAGGGGGTTTTGCACTCGACGCATCGCTGTGTTGCGAAGCTGCCGTGGGCCTCAACAATAAGCTCGCCCGGGACACCGGCGCGGCGCTCGAGACAGTCAATGTTCTGAGTGAAGAGCTTGCGCAGCAGCTTCTTCTTTGCCAACAGCGCAATGAAGGCATGGGTGATGGTCGGGTAGAATTTGCCGGGGTAGAGTTCTTTTGCGAGAATGTAGAAAGGCTCGGGATTCTCCTTGAAATAGTCTATCTCGAATACAGCTTCGGCGAAAGGGAGGTTGAGCCGGGCCAGGTTGTGGTAAAGACCGGTGTCTGGCGATCGAAAGTCGGGTACTGTATAGAGAGGGTCAGACTCATGTCATGTCCTGTCATGCCATGCCATGCCATGTGCGAAGCAATTGCGATGGGCGGGGCAGGATGAAAATGAGACGGGGCGACAACGTGGACAAGATGGGCATAACACATACTGCCTGCAGCTGTAGAGACACCAGCGCCGGTCATGACGACGACGCGCTTGATGCGACCATCCTTGATGAGCTTGGCGACGGACCTGAGATCGCGACTCTCCAAGGTCTGTGGTGGCGTATCGTCGCCGACAATGCTGCTGTTCTCGTTGCCCATCCTCAATTCTCAGATATCGGGCACGGGGGGTCAGGGACGGGGCTGCGAGCTCTCGTGCCGGTGACAAAGGATATTTCGCCTGGGCGAATGGTATGTACTGTACTATATGTGTGTTCGACCTTGCAGAATAGATTCGATTCAGGCGACAAATGGAAATGGGCCCCCGGTTCACTTCGCAAGGCAGACGAGATTCTGATGTCGCTGCAGCCTGCTGTGCTCCCGCTGTTTGTTTGGCGTTCTGATTTGCTGGGCTGTTAGTGACGTTTTCCTCAAAATGCGGGGGCGGGGTAGTCGCGCCGGCCGTCAGCATCCTCAGGGGTCGGCCCGCCTGAATGTCGCGTCAAAATGTCAGGTACCCAGCTTGGCGTCAGTGGCTTCATCTATCGTCTATTGTCAAGAAAAAGAAACTTAAGGGAGTAGGATTACGAGAATTTCCCCGCCACCATGCCAAACAGCTAGACTAAGTTCTAGGTTAACCAAACGTCGACCACGCACTCTTCAAGAAGTCAACCATGTGGACCAGGACTTTTTCGTCGTCCACCGGAACTAACTGCGTCGCAAACAACGTCGCGATCCCCTTCTCCCTGTTGATCGTCCATATCAGGTTTGGCCATCCGTTCCAGGTCAGCGTACCTGCCGGCAAGTTCGACTCTGGAACTACCCCCTCTGTCACCAAACTTCCAGCAGCTGTAAAGTTGACTGCCGCTCGCTTTCCCTCCGCCCCGAGTCCGATAGTCTTCGCAAACGTCTCCTCGTCGTGAAGGATCTTCGTCAGCCCAGCACTTCCAGCTTCAAATGCAGGTGAGAACAGCAGATCCACGCTGTCCTTGCTCAGGAGCTTCGACTCTGTACCGAGCAGATCGAGCAGCATCTTCTTCACGTCCGTGATACTGGAAGCTATCCCTGCCAGCTCGCCCTCCTTGCAAGCACTGATGCTGCCATCCTCTTCCCGTCTCACGCATTGGAGCAACTTCGTCCTGATGTGCTCCTGCGTGAGCGGTACGTAGCTCGTGTGATTCAGCCCGAGCGGTTTGAAGACGTGTTCTTCCATGTATTCCGTGAAGCGCTTTGTGCCCGACGCACGCTCCACCAGCGGCTGCAGCCAGTGGACACTATGCCCGTACTCCCACCCTTCTCCAGGCTGGCACAGTAGAGGTGTCGAGAGATTCCTAACAATGCTGGGGGTACCCTCGGGCCAGTCCGGCTGCGGTACTGCTGCACGCCAAGCTTCTGTCAGATCATCATCGCAGCTCCCGATGCCGCTCGAATGCGTGAGCATATGGCGGAGGGTGATTGGCCGGACCTGCGGACTGAGGGTAAACTTGACATCTGGGTCCGCCGACGGCGAGAGGATCTCCAACTTCTCGAGCTCCGGCAGGAATTTGTAGACCGAGTCGTCCAAACCAAGAATCCCCCGCTCGACGAGCTGAAGGCAAGCAATATGGGTCACGAACTTCCCAGCTGAAGCTAGGAAGATGGCACTGTCAGGATCTAATGGCGGTGCATCATGAGCCAGTGATTGGTGTCCGAAGGCGCGATGGTACAGAGTTTCACCTGTTTGACGTCAGACTAACCTAGCTAACTAGTAATACGGAACGTATCATAGTCGAAATGCGACAGGCAAACATACCTTTACTATTGATGACTAGTCCGATGGCTCCAAGCAGGTCTCGGACATCGGGGTTAGTGGCTCTGGTGAGATTTGCCTCAAACTTGTCCATCCTTGTTTGTTTTTTTCCTCCGGTCGTGTAATATAAGTTTCAAGTTATTTAAAGGCTGTCGCAACACTCGATCTCGATCATTCCAAGGTATGTAGAGTTGCTCACGACTAATATACCACAATCTTGATTCCTGCATTATCTCGCTGCCTGGATGTCGCTATGGTTCATATTGTTCCAGGTCAGTTTTGGTGAACTTTGCATTAGCGCCTTCCTTTTTTGGCAAGCGCATACTGTATATTCCAGTCACCCCAGAATTGTAGTTTCTACAAATCCTAGCAATCATTGGAGTTGTTGCGGCGCTGGGCAGCCGACTATAGGTCACCGAGTTTCCCGAACGGGGCTCCTGGTCCCAAGCTGGCCGCGCTGGATCCAAGGCATCCATCATACATTTCTCCATCAAACATATCTAATTTCTCTGCCTGAAGCTGCCAACATTGCACGAGAACCATGGAAGTGCTTCGGGGATCAAATAATCTGCTTCCTACTGGCTCAAAGACGACTGCTTCTAAACTGCGATTATATTATTCAAATGTATGAAAAAGACTGCCCACGAGCTACTGAAATGCTATCCTTCCGCAAACGTATCAAGTATGTATGTTTCCGGAGCAAGAGTCTCATGGAGTCCTCTCCAAAGATTCTCCTGGCTACGGACTTGCCCTGAACGACGATCAGGTCTCACATATATGATACGCTCTCAAAATGGTCTCGCATCCACCCATGACGGCAGAAGTTTGGGATTTCCTGCATGTCGAGCTGAGTGTATCTAGCAAACCTGTGGGCCATTAAGCACCGCCACGAAACATCATTTTGTCTTTCATTGCATGTCATATATTTTTACATCATCCCATTTGAGCTTGGTCAACTGAGCATACACCATTTCGGTCTCACAACACATGACCTTCGACGACGAAGTTCTGGCCGTATTTTAAGCACACGTACACAGAGCGGAAGCATCGAAAGAATCGATTATGAGTATGTTTGTGGAAGCGGACCATGATGATTTAGATGATGGGGTTCACCCGCAACATGATTACAGGTCTGCGCATAGAATACGAACCGTTCATGTCTTGAATGACATGAAATTGACGTGGATGCACCCGTGTTTGCCTCGGTGGACCTACACCGGTCAAATAAATATCCAACTCGAACCGAAATGGCAATATGCTTGCGTTGATAAAGAAAGCTATCTGCGAATGTAATCACAATGGGTGACATAGCAATTTCATCGCCCCAGCTGATCTTTTCCTGTGCCATGCTAAAAGGTCGCACTGAACTGTAACGTAACCGCCGAATCCAGGCAGTAGTGGATTGAGAGGATAAGAAGAAAAAGAAAGAGAGTGATGCACTTCAACAATTTCTCAATTACAACTCGACATTCAGAGAACGCCTGTACTACATTGGACTGGGTGCGGCACAGCTATTAAGTTGTTGGTCAGACATTTGCTGTTGACATACCATTTGTTCTAAGGAACCAACATCCATTGCCCACGGATCAGAGTCCTAATTATCTTCTTGGCGGTGTTCGGTCAACCATGGAAAAAACACACACACAGCAGCAGCATCTCGCTAAGTCTAGCAGGTAAAGACCTTTGGTCCGGCTGGCTGATAAGCCTTGCCACCGTTGTTGTAAACATTGATCAGCAGACCCGGGTCCGTCGCTTTATAAGCACCAGGGAAAGACACCAAGTCGGTCGGCTTGCCAGTAGCCGTGCCACCAGTGACATGCAACTGCGCGCAGGAGAGGTAAAACTGTGCGCCGCCAGCTGTCGAAGCAGAGTGAAGCGCTACATGCTCGATGCGGAACAGGTACTCGCCGTCTTCTAGACAGTTGGGGATCGTGAAGCTGAATTGTGATTTTCCTTTACGTATGTGTCAATTACAGCACCACTGGTCGGTTGATGTCTTCTTACCCTCGGATGGCCATGTGTATTGATTACCCGACACGGTCGGCATATCTTGGTAGACCTTGAACCAAACGGCACCATCCCCAGCCCAGTCAGCGGCCTTGGTACCCGAGGGTGCTTTTGCCATGTACGCCGACAAAGCCCCGATGTGATAGATACTCGGCGCTGCAACCCACGTTATGGTGCTGCCGGCCTTGTACTCCTGTGTCGTTGCGCCCTCGTTGCCAGGGGCTAGTTGGTAGCAGCGAATATCTGGCGAGGTCACATCGGTGACGGGGTTGTTGGTCTGCCAGTTGACTGTTTTACGGGCCGAGGACCAATCTGCTGTGCCAGCGAGCTTGGGGAATGTGTCTTGGCAGAATCGTCAGTGGCAGAACAAAAGGGCGGGAGACGAAGACACTCACAGTGTGGGGCTGCCGCGACCGCAGTGACGGCGGCAAGCAATGTTAGAAGACTCTTCATCGTGATAGTCAGATAGAGCTCGATCAATCGTGATTCAAATTCTTTCGACACAGACTGCGTGCGTCATCCTGGCGGTTCCCCTGTGCGGCACCAGTACAACTTATAGTCATTCCATGTTGAACTTGGATTAGAAATCTCACTGCAGATATATTGTCAATTGATACTTCAACTACCTTGGCAACGACTTAAACCCGGAAATCGTGGATGATTTGATATGACCGGCTAAAAGCTGCAGCCAGTCAGGTGCCGTGCCGAGCTCCATCATCGTTCCAAATCGGGTAACACGGATGAGCATGAAAGTAGATTGATGCAGGTCATGAGATATATTATATAGGCAGCCAAGACTATGAAATGCCACATGGATCTGTGGCTCCGTGGCTGGCGTCATAATGCTCGTGAAGATGCTTTGTCAGTACCGGTTCAAGCTTGCTGTCTGTTTCTGTTTGGCCTCTACGAACGGGGCCCTGGAAAGCAGCAGCCGCAAAAGCCACAATAAGGACATAAAGAGTCACAAGTGAAAGCAGTGGCAGGATGTTTGTTCTTCTCTTTTCTTACCTTGAAACTATTCTGAATACCTGCCTTGGTCGCCTCTGCACTATACTGGAGATCCAAAACTCGGATGGCTTTCCCTTCTTGTGAGGTAAGGTTTTGGGCTCCATCGATAACCCAACAAACAAGTAACACACAGTTGATCCTTCTCGAGCATGAAAACGAAGAAATGTCCTGGTAGCGATGCCAGAGCTGCCATGTATCGCTGTTAACTGGTTGACTGTGTGCCTTCTTGTTGTCCGTTGGCGCGTGCTTCGGCAACCATTTCCAGCCTGCTACAAAATGATCTCAGAGAAAGAAATGATATCCGTTGTTGGTACGGACACTGGTAATACACAGTTTTAAAGTTTATCTCAGTCATAAGAAGAGAACGTTAGATCTGGCTATGAGGTTTCTCATTGGTTCCGCTGCGCTGGCTAACAAAGGTATTGATCTGTAGTTGGCATTACCCTAATTGTTTACTGTTGTCGCTAGGCCTCATCCAGAAAAACAAAAACCAAAACACCCAAGTTGAGCAATTATCAGCCAGTAATCTGTTTTACCAGTATCTCGACCAGCGGGATCGAGAGAAAGGTCTCAATTCTACCCTCGGGAATCTGGAGCGGGGCTTCCGCAGATTACAGTGCAAGAAAGAGTTACAGGAGGGAGACGACTCTGCTCGTGCATTAGACATAAGAAGAATTCACAGCGAGCATGGCGCCGATTCAAGAAACGGTAGGGAATGAGGAGGACTGCTCCATACAAGAACTCCCAACTGAAGCAGACAACGGTGTTTGATCTCATAATGCCCATACAGGCACACCGACACACAGGCTGCGAGGCTTGTAATCGTCTGAAGGATTTCGCCCAGCCCATTCAGAAAGAGAGCGAGGCATGAAATGCATGAAATTCTGGCGAAGACTGAAACAGAGTGGGACGGCGTCTTCTCGCCTACTTGAAGGCCCCGGGAGACGAACGAACTACTCGTTCTCGCAGGTCCTTGCCAGTGACAGCGCCAACGCCGTTTACATGCTCCTCCTTCCTCACCCACACCCAAAAGTCCATCATGGCCATGACGGCACTGAACTAAACCCAGATCAAGGCCGAAAACGCAATCAGATCCCACGCGTCGGTCGGTGTCAACAGCGGAATTCTCTCCAACGAATTCTCACCATACCACCTGTACGTTTTACGTCTTTCTTTGGCAAAGTCGGGTAAACACCATAAGAGAATAATAAAACGCGAGTGTTCTAAAAACTGTCTTGACCAGTTTCGGGACAAGTTGGTCAAATCAATACCGAGCAGCGGGGGACCACGGTAGCTGCCGCATCCGTCGCAGATTGTAAGGCGGAGTGTTTTGGTTGGAGAGATCTTGTACTTGTAGACGGCGGTGGTGTTGGGTTGTTGTGGGACATACTGGGGATGGGCTGCTGAGTTTGGTTTTGTGTTTTGCTTGTGTCCATCTGTGTGTTGCCTTCGTGCTCTATTAGATAGTCATCAGCTTTGAAAAAGTGTAGATGGATGGACACTAGCAATCAGGAATGCGGCTGCCGTTTTGAAAGACCTCGATTGACCAACTCGCCTGAGATAGCGCTTTCTTTAGCATTGATTTCGCAAACGGAGACAAAGGCATCGCGAAACTCAATTGTCACCACATTTAGTGGCATAAGGGCTGATGGGTATTGCACCCGTTATTGAGATACGTTGAGTTAGTGTGGAGCTGCAGATATGATCAGTTGCACCGAATAAACCAATAATGACGAAGATTTCGTTTCCGTGCGTACAGATGCAATTTCGTCTCAAGAATGTATCAAGTGATGGCAAGCTGTGCATATAACAGACTTCAATAAAGGTATCATTCAACACTATGGTATTGGTATCATTACATTATATCCAGCACAACCAGCTGTAATGTAGTCAAGCCTGACTAAGCCTAGCCAAGCGCCTAAAGGCTACTATATATATGCACCCAAGCAGATATATCCCACTTTCTCATTATATATAGACACATGTGTTGTACATACTCAAAGGAATTTCAGCCCTGCTGGTGCTGAGGTCCACCGTAATGGTTGAGCTCATCCCAAGATATGGGCATGCCGTGTTGTTGATGTGCAGTCAGATGCTGCTGCTGTGCCGCTATAGCGGCCTGTTCTTCGAAAATCGCACTTGATAAACTTTGGGTATCTGAGAAACTGTGCGCACTCGAAAAGCTTTGCCAGTCCTGCAATGACGGCGGCTTTAGGAGTTGTTCGCTGCTGTCGTACATGTTGAAATCGACGTCCATGGGTGTGGTATCCATAGGCGATGCCAGCAGAGGAGCTGGTGGGAGTTCCTTGTCCAATGACAAGGGCCGTGTGTTCATGGATTGCCCCATCTGCATAGTGTCCACCTGCATTGGTTGAGGTGATAACGACTGTGACGGAATGGGCTGGGGCTGTACCATGAATTGTTGTTGGTATGGGTTGTTCTGCTCAACAGGACTTGTGTATTGCATCTGCATAGATTCACGGAAATCTGCTGATGAGACCCGTCGGCTGGGCTGCCTGCTGATGGGCATCAACGAAGTCGATGCAACTCTCCGTAGTCCACCACGTTGAGAGGTTATGGTGACCTGTCGGCTGAGCGAACATGGATCAGGTTGTTGCTGTTGTTGTTGATGCTGCTGCTGTCGCTGCTGCTGTGGTGGTGGTGGTGGTGGTGCGCTTCGAGATTCCGGAGGCGGCATAGAATCTCCATTCTTCGGCTTCAGAACAACGTGACAATATCCCCAAGCGCACTGCGTGATTCGGGCTGCTTGCTCGCTGGACCCATCGAAAAATTCGAGAAAATCTTGCAGCTGGCCTTGGCTTTCACCTTCGACATAGCCCTGCTGCCTGGCGGTGTTGTCGATGCCCCAGCTGAACATGGGCTGGTGGCCATTGAACTTGCCCTGCTTCCTGGTCACCAATTCTCTCCACGCTTCTAACACAGCCGGCTGGTGTAGTAAGCCATAGATGACGTTAGAATGCATCCAGTCTCCCTTCTGAGCGCCCGATTCGAAATGAGCTGCGACGTGTTCGTAATGTTTCTCGAGCTTGGTGTGCATTGCGGCGCAGAAACCACATCCCCAGGCTCTTCTCTTTCTCATGTACTTGACCACGCCATCGGAATGTGGACACGTTTTGCAACCATGAGCGGACTTGTGGTGTTGATTGAAGGTGTTGGGTCCCCAAAAGCTCTGGTTGCAATTGGGACAAGGATATTTCCGCCATCTCTCATGGAACTCTTCTTCGTGTCTTTTCCAGTCGAATTTGCGCTTGAAAGTCTTGTCGCATGATGTGCACCAGTACTTTGCTTCTGACGATGCCGACGCCGGCGTTGTGGGTTTCACGAATGATCCGCCGCCAATCGAAGAGACGGAGCTGTGGGCGGTAGCGGCTGTTGCGGTCGATAAGATGCTCTCCCGTCCCGAGCTATTTGACGCTACCGAGGAAATTGACGACCGCACTTGATGCGAGGGAATGAAGTGATGATTTGGCACGGCATAGCTGGGCGATAATTGTGCTGAGTGAGCTGGTTAGCAATGCTGGTTTAGAATAGTCGCGTCCCCGGCAGACCTCCAGCCATGGCGGTGTTTTTTGAGCTATCTTACATTCAATGCCTCCTTGCGTCGTTGGTGGAGGTGGCGGTGGCGGTTGATACTGAGGTGGTGGCGGGTGTGATAGGTGAACTTGTAATTGTTGTTGCTGCTTCGACTGGTCGTCCTCCCCCAAAAGTGCAAGCAATGCCTCGCGCGAAAGTCCAGCTTGCTTCAACGCCTCGAGATGTTGTCTCGCTTGCTCGAGTATACGCGACGGATCATTTTGGGCCTCCATGCTGGGCTCATATACGGGGTGCCCTCAATGAGGGGCGTAAACTACGTTGCGGCGAGTACGACGATAAGCGGCTCCAGCAGTTCTGTTCTTTGGTTGATGGCGTAAGATTCAGTCAGATGTGGTCAAGTGGGAGATGTTTGGCGAACGGTGAGACGGTGAGCCGGACTGGATAAGGTCGAGATGGATGGATGAGAGTCAGGTAACCGGACAACAACGAGAGTCGGTCAGCAAGTCATTTCCAGGATTGCAACGCGCGCGTAGGATGGTAGTCGGGTAGCCGACCGGGACATATATTATCGCCCGCCTTGCCTTGCAACCCAAGTAGCTCCTCCTCGCAAGCCACTCGACGCAGAGGCCTTCGACGAAGGGAAGCGGCACTAAGTTACCAGATCCAGGAACAGGTCACCACAACAGGTTCCCCTTAACAGAATACGGATAGCCTTGCCTAGCTTTGGGAAGTTTGGTAGAAGGACCCTGGTGCAAATCGTGCGATCAAAGTGCGTCTTTCTTTGGTGGACCCCCGGACATCAGAGGAGACGACGGAGCGATTACACTAGAGTCTACAGTAGCGGGAATAGGAACAGGAACAGGAACAGGAACAGGAACAGGAGTGCGCAGGAAAGGGAGAATCGCCCGGCTGCCGGGATGTATCATGCTGCCACTTCGGCGGTCTTGTCACCTCTGACAAGGAACTACTCTCGAGAAATCTGCGCTCGTCGTTCGCAGACTTGCAGTTGAGCTTGGACACATTCGGGACCTCCAAAGGCTCCAAGCGCTGCAAGAGCCCTTGAAGCCCTTGTGCTATCCGAAAGCTCATCTCTTTTCATGCAAGGATGTGGAGGTGGGCTGAATTGCTGGCCCACCTGAAACGATTGGCCCCCTGTCAAATACTTCAAATACATCAACATGTTTCGAAACACGAGGATCGCGCTGATTTCTGTGCAGAACGAACCAACGGCACGGCTCATGATCCTTGAAATACTTAGCCTCGCTAGCCACATGGGTAGAGGGCACACTTGTACGTATGTGGTGCTGCTTGTTAAGGTTTGCGGTTTGGGCTGGGTTGGGCAACGTCGCGGGGAAAACATGTTCGTCACCGATTGCGATTGGCGTCGGGCGAGTATGTACTTGCAATTGCACTGCGTTAGGGTAGCCCGAGTGCAAAAGTATTAACAACAGCAAAGTCCCTGGAGCCCGTCCCTGGAGCCCCCTGCCCATCCTTCCAAATCCGTGAAAGGCCCCGGGTCGCGCGAGGGATATGCCATGTAGGGGACTTCCCAATTTTGCCATGATTAATATCGACGATACATGAATCCCATGGGCCGCAATATAAACTGTCATCCTGCTGTTTTGTCGGGAGAGTGTGCAAGATTTGGTTGGATTGATTCATTCCGAAGTAGCTAAGCCTGTCTAAACCATGACCAATGACAACTGCGCCCCGAAAAGAGCACCTGTCAACCCCTTCCGCCTGTCACAGCGACAAGCGTAGGAAATACTCCGTGGATTGATTGCGCTGGGTTACGTTTTGCTGCCTTCCTAGCCCTTTCCCCTCCCTTTCCCTTTGGACGCTGGGCAGGAGAAAATCTCAAACAGATTGACGCCTGTCATCTGATGAGAATCATGAGACGACCAGCTTGCAATTTCTGCGCTGTCCCTTGGATCAATCCTGACTGATTACGGAGCAGGCTCAGCTTGTCTGATTCACTACTGTGCTATCTGTTCTGAATGCAATTTGCTGGCGTGAAACTTGTGCATACGTCCTCGCTAGGGTTGCTACACCGAGTCTGGTGCAATCTTTGGCGTCATCTTAGGGAGATCTTAGCCAGCAGCAAGATCCAAGGCTAAAAAGGTGCCTGATATCAAACGCCGGCCGGCGCGGGATTCTACCACAAGTGCCCCTGACTAAATCCGCGGCAGCGAGGCTATGCTTTTAGAAGTTGAGATCGCTCATATCAAACATCCGAACTCTCAAAAATGGAAAGACTTCGGCGATGCGGTCGCAAGTAAAGAGAAAGCCCTCAAAAATCTCTTTTGGCCGAGTTACGCGTTTCTCTGCAGGACATTGGCGTGGATTGCGTCACATGAAACTGTTCAATGATGATGTGCGACTAGGACACGATCGCATTTGAACCTGGCGTGGTTGTTTTGTTTGCTTGCGCCCGCCAGTCGGAACCTCAAGCGGGAACCGATCTGTACATAAATCTGGTGTCGATCATTGATTTGCGCATTCCTCTGAAACTCGAAATACGCGTGACCGGATGAACTCCTGCTAGATTCGTTGTTCCTACCGCGCATGCAGGCAGGGGCTCTTCCTTCTCGATTCAACTTTCAATTTTCGCATTGGATACGCAATAATAGCCGGAGGTAGAGAGGCACATCTTGCAAGCATTACCGAAATCCGAGATTGGCGCTCGGCGGTGTCGCATTTACGTCAGAAACTTAAATACTTTGTGCCGTGATCAGACATTTCATCACCACGAAAACAACGAATAGTGAACGTCATCCAGCAGACTCATCTGCTCTGACGGCTTTCTAAGTGGGCGCGTCAAATTGATTATCGACAACTATTGTTAGTGTATCGAGTCATTGTCGCGAATCTGTACTTCTCAGTTCGGAAGATCCGCTCCCGCCTCATCAAAAATATGGTTTGACAAGTCAACGATCTAGTGTAGAGGCTAATACTTGCGCACGGTCACTCATCTCAGAGGAACAGCACGCTTCATAACTCGTGATCCGATGTTTTTCTTTAGATGACTGACCGATAGGAGCGTTCCAAACTCTTGCGCACAGCTGCGCGTCGGCGCGTGAGGCCTCTCAGGAGATCGTGCTGAGGGTCGGGACAAGTGGACATGCCATTCAAGCTCTAACGGCTCTTCAAACCACCCCGACTCTTCTTTCTTGCAAGACCCGGCTGTCCCGCGCGCAGTCAAAACGTTGATCCTTTCGTAAGATGACAATTACAATGCCAAGACAGACCGTCTTTAGACAGCAAACTTTGTACCCAGTCTCAGCGGTCATCAAGGTGTTCCGATTAGCCGAAAAGCGTCCGATGCACTGGAGAAAAGCTTGATGCACTCGATCGAGAAACGCTCATACAGCTTTACGAATGTGGCTTGCTCGTGCATTCACCATCTTTATAAATATCTCTTCCACCAATCGTGCATCGTACGACTTGTCATGCGGCTGGATTTGTCAGTGCACAACTCGTGGATGAACTCATCCGGCAACGGAGCTGATTATGTCTTTGCGAAAATCTGCCGCGCAAGCTATGCTCTGGACTATCCGCCGCGCTCTACTTAAGTGACAGACCTGTCGGTGAGAAGAGCCGTATAAAATTTACCTGCACAAAGCGTTAACACTCTCGCTGCAAGACAACCTCGTGCTGCGCTCGTTCCTGTCTCAGATATTAAGTTTACAGCACGTGGAATGTCTAATCTGCAACACAACGTGGTGCTGGGCTCCTACGGATCTGCAGTAGATTATGCTTCTCTTTATGTATGCCAAACGAATCAATTTGCCGCTCGACGACGTGGAAGCAGAGGTTCTTATGGAAGGCTGCCGGATACGGATTCGAATACGATGGCGACCTCTTGACACGCCTACATATGAACATGTGAAGCCGAAAATTCAGAGACAAGTTGGAGATGAGCCCTTCAATTCAACAATATTTACTGTGACGCCATATTTGATTGGTCGTATGCTGTTCAACAGTTGGAGTTTCTGCGCCAACTTAAGCTTAACCCTCGGCAGTCCTCCTTGTACAGCTAGGATGAGCGGCCCCTGGACCCTGTTCTTAATAGCGGCTGATCACTCCGGACATTTACAGTAGCAGTCAGCATTACGTTGGATGGGACTGCAGCTATATAATAATCAAGTCTCTCGCAAATACGTGTTGTGACAGATGTTCCAGCCAGTTGGTCTGGAATTCTGAACAGATCCAGAACGTAAGAATGGTGCATCTATCTTTCGTTTCGTTGTTGACGCCTCTTCTATCTGCCGTTCAATTTGCTGAGGCAGGGCCTTCTGTTTCCACAGTTCAAGCATGTAAAGATATCGATGGCGCTCTTCCGAGACGACTTTCCTGGCCCATTGATTTAGATTACATCACAGAAACTCAAGAATATTGGTCCACTGCGCTGCGTGACTTGAAGCCGGCTTGTGTTGTCCACCCGGCGGATGTTTCTGAGGTTTCCACCGTTGTGCAGGTTCTCAACAAGTATCCAGATGTGGACTTTTCGGCCAAGAGCGGCGGACATGATCCTAATCCTGGACACGGTAGCGTGCAGGATGGTGTCTTGGTTGCTATGAGGGACATGAGCGGTGCGACGTATGATGCTGAGACGGGCCTGGCCACCATTAAGCCGGGTGGCACTTGGAACGACGTAATCGGTGACTTGGAGCCGTATGGAGTTACTGTCGTAGGTGGCCGTCTCGGTATTGTTGGTGTCGGCGGTTACCTACTTCAAGGTGGCATTTCGTTTCTCAGCGCTCAGTATGGACTAGCCGCAGACAGCGTCGTTGGGTGGGAAACTGTAATGCCAAATGGGTCAGTTGTCAACATCGACGCGGGCACTCAGCCTGACCTTTCGAAAGCAATGCGAGGAAGCGGAAGCCAGTTCGGTATCGTGACGCAATTCGTCATCGAAGCTCACCCTATTCAAAAGGTATGGGGAGGACTGCGTATCTATACCAATGCTTCACGTGATGCTCTCACCACTGCGCTGCACAATTTTGTACCCAGCGCCGAGCAAGACCCCAAAGCTGCAGTAATATTCACAGATATCTTGGCTGTGGGAAGCACTCCTATCATTATCGTCTACTACTTCTATGACGGCTCAACACCCCCGACTGATGGAATTTTGGCCGAATTTCTCGCTGTTCCCGCTCTTGCAGACCAGACGTCAACAAGGACTTATTCAGATTTGCTTCAGTCGAATGGAGCCGAAGCCGCTTTGCTGATGTCTCGAGTCTCGTTCAGGGTAAGTGCACTGGTCTTCCAAAACGAATTAGTAATGACATTACTTTAGACGTTCACTCTTCCCTATATACCTGACTATCCAGGCCTTTATTCTGAAATCCATAGCTATTGGGCCTCTATTGTTGATTCCTATCTCGATAACCCAGTCCATTTGACCGCACAGTGTAGTATCGACTTCCAGCCACTACCATCACTGATTGGTCAGCATAGTCAGGAGCGAGGTGGCAATGCCATGGGACTTTCAGGATCTGATCCCAATCGGCTGATCCTTGAGCTGCAGTGTTCTTGGGCCAGTGCTGTGGATGATGAAATAGTTTATGACCTCACGCGCGAAGTCACGGAATGGCTGGAGATGAGGATTCCAGAGTGGAATACTCAAGCTGAGCTTGGCGGGGACGCGTATATGCCATACTTTATGAATGATGCAATGGGGGATCAGAACGTGACTGGTTCGTACCGCTCGTATGAGAAGCTCAAGGCATTGCAAAGAGAAATCGATGCGCAAGGATTGTTCAGGACAAGGTCCGGGGGGTTCAAGTATTAATGACAGGTCTCACCACATTTCTTTCTTTTCGTGGTATAGCACCTTGTTTGATAATTGATATGGGCATGGGGCGGGCACTCTTCAATTTCGTGCTTCGAACTCCCAACTTTGTGTCATGTTGAGGGGTTTGGATTGACAACGCATGAACAGAAACCACAAGACAGCTTAGGACACCGGCAGTGAATTATGTTATATAACTCAATATAATCCACGGAAAAAACTATACCACAATTTGAATATTTTCTTTATTCTAGGAAATAATAAAAAGAGCCCAAATTTAAATAAGTAGTAGAACTGATGGGTACTAAGGTTAGTTAATGGTACTATGATTTAGTTAATGATTGCATCTTTCGAATATCTTGTTGATATACTTCGCCCCAATGTAGCCACTTGGAAACATCAACATAATTATCAGTCGCATATTTCATTACCGTTGCGAATTTTGTATCGCCATAGCCGATATCAGACGATTCCAGGATAATCACATCATGGACAACAATAGATTATGTCGACAGACTGGTAGAAGAATATGAGAAACTGTCGCACAGAACCAGAAATATACGAAAACATGATCTGACATGCCTCAATGCGTCCAATATATCATCCAAGGTGTTGTCAAGCTGTGTTGCTCGTACGGGTGTCAAGGCTTTCATCGTGAGTCATAGGCCACTGCAGTTTGTGGACGGAAACAGAAAGATAACAAAGAATCACACGACTATCACCTGAGCTTGTGACAAATCCATAAGTTTGCTTCTAATTTTTCACACTGATGCTTTTTGATCGATTTCAAAGTCCTCTCCGAAATACCGAGGTCACAACCTGAAAGATCCCCAGAAATGACGAACTGAAGCATATGGACAGTTCCATTTGGGGAAATATAATTCACAATAGCCGTTGCTGCCCCCAGATCACCGGTGCCCATATAAGAATGCAAGTAGTCGTGCGTCGCCAGAGGGATAGCTTTAATGGGATCAAATAATCTTCCAAGCATCTAATATATGATACATGACAATGAAATCCGGGGTGTAAGTGACTTACTTCAACAAATCGAAATGTTGTACTTGTTGCAGCTTCCAGATGTTGGCTTATGTCCCATGGCCAGTCTTTGGCAGGCTTTGTCAAGTTCGGAAATGGAGTTCCTGAACTTTGAGAGTATCAACATAGTTATGTGCTCCCGTAGACCGGACCACACTGACCTGAGGTTATGTTTGAGTCTGACTTCGTCACTTTAGATATTGTCAGTGGAATCATGATATGTAAACCAAAGACGCTTAGAGTGAGGGGAAGTCCCTCCATTTTACTTCCGATTCAATCCTTCTAACCACAATCACCTCAGTCACACGCACTATAAAGCTCCACTGATGGCTAACAATCCACATGTCTGTGAACATGTATGATTTCATGCAGCCACGTCCAAAGTACCGGAGAGTAAACCTATTATGGTATAAATTAAATGTCTATTGCTCAGTAATTGCATTAAGAATGCCAATAAATATATGACATGCTGGTTGAAGGTCACGTAGCATTAGAGAGGAGGAACGACAATATCTCCACGGACGTTAGTACGTGCCCCTCCCTTCCCGAATTTGAATATTACACATGTACTTGATACTTAGATATGTTACAAGGGCTAGTAAGAACGAACTTCACAAGGAAGAACGCCGTTATTTCATATCCTTTAACCGATATGCGTACACGAGATACTTTCGGATCGAACGACGTGATTCCGTTCTAGACGTTCTCTAAGCGTGCTTCCTATGATAAATCCTTACCAGGATACCGTACGTTATTTGGAACTAGCACGCATGCACGGGACGGACGGGCTCAAGCGGGTGCAACCCTGCTCGCACCACGTTTGTGCCGGTCCAGAGTGCCTGTTCAGTCAGGTGTTCCGGGCTACCATACCCGGCCCGACTTACCTATACATCATTGCGGCATCGGTGCATTAGTGTTCTTGTTGTTATGGTTGTGACTGAGACGACGTGTTTTTCCTTTTGCGCTTTATCAAAATACCTTCCATTGAGTGATTGTACTGTTTGGAACACAAGCTTGGCAGTACAATATGCATACTCCAGGACCCTCAGCGAATGGCTATACTTCTAGCTTTGCTACAAGTAGCCAGAAAATATCATTGGCTAAAAATAAAGCGTATTAGTTCCCTCTATTGACGGTTCTCCCAATCTACCAAATTATACGTATTCACGGAAGTTGCTGGTAATACTCTTTTTATCTGAATTCAGTCCGCCCGGGCCAGCCCTACGGTGTGGCGAGTTAAATACATAGTTATGACCTTTGAACATGATGGATATTCAAACTCGTTGAACTACAGTAGGACCGGGATGATGAGGACTCCAATTCCTAGTGGATCAAAAGTTTCAGTACTTGTAGGTGGGTTCCCTCACATGGTTTCGAGCGACCCCACAATGTCTCAAGCTGCCTGCAGCAAACACATCCTCATCTTATACGGATCCGTATTTCTGTGGTGTTCAGTAAATCATACGACTTACGCACCCACTTTTGTCTGTCAACCTGATTCACCGACCGTTCATTGCAAGAAGTTGTTTGCGGCGAATTGCAACATTTTCCCATCTGCCGATGACAAGGCTCATTTGCATGTGACGAAGGTCCATTTGCGTACATAGGATCCATTATTAACCCACTATGTAGCAAGGGCGACGATCGGCAGTACCACTCGACACCCTGACCTGATGACAAAGTGATGTGGCACAAATACCTTGTCATATTTGCCTGCACGGTGGTAGCGGTGTCCGGTCCTTGGAGAGGCTGTTGGCGTTTTTCAAAATCCTGCAGGAGTTAATCTCATCTTGATACTGAGGTCTTTACACGCTTTCAAATTAACAGTCAGCAGGCCAGGAATGGTTTGAGAGGGTTATTCGTACGAGAAGTCATGAAGAGGACTAGGGAGACCCTGGCAAGGATTGCCCGTGCTACAACGGGCTCGCCTACGGATCCAGATCGCATCTCAAATTTGTCGATCCGCCCATCAAGTCAAAAAAATTTCGACAAAAACGACGAGAACCCCATTCTAGCTCGAGATGCAACAGGCCCGCTGGTGTTGCTCGATACCGTCGATTATGGCAATCAGGGAGTGGATGTTGTGCTTGTCCATGGCCTCTTCGGTCATCGCGTTCAGACTGTGAGTAGCCTCCATGCTTTGGGAAAGGTTGAGTTTGAGCTGAGCGTGTCGCAATCCTTCCACGCGTTTGATACAGTCTGCAACGGGGAACTCTGTTCTATTAGCCTCACGGTGAGTTTCTGACTGTTTCGCAGTGGACTAAATCTGGCATATTATGGCCGAGAGATCTATTAAAGCTTGACATGCCAACGTGCAGAGTTATTGCGTGGGGGTATGCGCCTCCCACAGCAAAGATTGATACTTTCTCCGACCTCGCTGAGCGGCTTTTGAGTGACATATCGAAGCTACAGTCTGGCACATCTCGCCCCATCATTTTCATCGGCCATGGAATTGGTGGTCTCATAATTAAGGAAGCGCTTGTGACAGCTGCCATGTCGCGCATCCTTGGTACACATAATGAAGTAGGGAACATCTACCCGAGTACCATCGGGGTTGTGTTTCTGGGAACGCCTCATGCTGGTAGTGGTAGGCAAAGCTTAGGAGAAGTGATTGTCAGAACAGCTCAAATGGGACCCCAGATTGCAAATAAACAGCTTCTACAACTATTGCGCGATAGATCGGAAATGTTTGAGAATCAGCGTGATTCGTTCATCAAGATATCCAAAAATATTCCAGTCTTATGCGTCAGAGAGACACTGCCAACATCCGTTGGATATGTAGGTGTTCTTCTAAGTAAATATTGAAACTATGATAGCTAAACAGCCCATAGATGATACCTACAACATCATCGGCTTATGATGGAGCCAAACTCTCCATCGAAGATTTACACTGCCATCATTTTGATCTGGCCCGGTTCTCTAGCAGAAACGATACCGGATACAAGCAGTTAGTGCATCACCTAGAGAAGCTGTTACCAGCACCTACACCAGAAGGTAAGACCCGTCCCTGTACCGCATAGAAATCTTTCAAAAACACTTACATGCGGGCAGAATTGGCAGCAAGGGCATCTAGAAATCAACGTGAGTTTGACCCGTCGCTTCGTTACGAGTATTGCTTACCTTCTCAGAAATCTTGGACACGCTATTTTTCGAGAATATGTCCGATAGAGAAGATCGAATTGAAACGGCATATGGCAAAACTTGTGAATGGATACTAACCACCCCAAACGAAGACGGATCACCCTCCATCTGGCAATCATGGCTGGAAGACTTTGACGATTCCATCTTCTGGATGAGTGGCAGAGCTGGTTCGGGTAAATCCACCATGATGAAGTATGCATTTCATAGTGAGGACACCAAAGACCGACTAAGAAAGTGGGCTAATGGTGGCGACCTCATAATGACTTCCGTCTTTCTTTTTGAAGCAGGGAGTCAGATTCAGAAATCACAGGAGGGCATTTTGCGTAGTATTCTCTGGCAGATACTCAGCCCAAGACCAGAATTGATTTACAAAGCCTTTCCCGGCTTCTTTGGGGGCTCTTGGCCCCCAGATGAGCCATTCAATACCGTAAAGAACCTCAGTGAAGGGTTTTACTCTTTGTCCGCAAAGCAGTCCGAAACCTTGAAACTCTGTATCTTTCTAGATGGGTTAGATGAGTATCGCTTAATGGACCGCAAAGACTATTATACTGACGAAGATCTTGCTTTGGTATATGATACAGACGACGGTGATGCAGGGCTAGGGTCTAACAAGTGGATTACCGATGCACATAAAGTTATCACCCAGCTTATCAAGGAGATCGGTAGCAAGAAGGATAGCTATAAGATCTGTGTCGCAAGCAGAGAGTTGCCTGTCTTCGAGGAAGCATTCTGCGAGGTACCTCGGCTACGCGTTCATCAGCACTCGAAAGAAGCCATAACCCAAATCTGCGCTACCCGCTTCGAGCTGGAGGTGTCGGGACTTTCTCATATAACACGTGATCTTTGTGTTGACATCGCATCAAGGTCCCACGGCGATGTTCTCTGGGCTCGTCTGGTTGCGGATATGTTGGTTTCTCACGAATCGCTTCGCACTATCAAGCAGACTCTTGATTCATTACCTGCGCGGCTCGGCGGCCCCGACGGGCTGTACATGCGTATGATAGAGAATCTCCATCCAAAAGACCAGAGCGCAGCCTTTAGGATATTTCGGTTGGTAATAAGATCAATCCAGCCGCCATGTTTGATCACTTTGGCATTCGCTGAAGAAGGACATCTCCTGGACTCGACCTTCCACGACAAATGTCAATCACTAACCGGAAGAGACCTTACTACCATCAGCGCTGACATGAAGAACCGATTGAAGACAGCTTGTGCGGGCCTTCTAGAAGCGGATGCAGCCCCACAAGAATTTGGTCAGAGGGTAGTATTCAGTAAGCAATTCTCCAGATTCTCACCTTTTACATTGTGTCCATAGGCGTTTTTAGCCAACAGATGATCCCAGCCTCTTCAATACTAGAGTACCTTGTTTAACACGTTACTAACTGATAATTTTGTCCAGTGCATCAAACAGCGAAAGAATTCGCTGTGCGCAGAGATGTTTGGGCAAAAGTCAGGCATGAGCCGTTTGATGATACCGCCGTAGACTTCTGTCTACTGAGTGGTTGCATAACTCACCTCAAGTGTTTCGATGCATTACAACCAATCTGCATCTGGCCAAGTGTCGGGTTGAATACCGAGACTTGGCTGCTAGTCGCAAATGCGTTGCGTTATGCTGCACGTATTGACGGCGAAACGACGAACAGACATGCTTATCTTGATCTAATTGACGAGCTGGACGAAGCTGCCCAGAAAGCATGGGTGACTGGCCTAATCAAACATGAGCCGCTTTTCGATGACCCAGATTGGTCTGAGAAAGAGTGCCCGGCGCTCTGTCGTATGCATTGGGCAGGCTTTGAGCCAATGGATACCGGCAAGTCACCGATGCGCCCAGATCTCTTGTCGCTTGCTGTTCAGGTAAGTGCTTTCTTTTCGTAAGACTTTGCTGTAAATACCTTGCTGATAGAGAAATAGGCAGGTCTCGCGAACTATGTCGCGGAAAAACTGAGAATGCTTGGCAATGAAGCAAGGCAAGAAAAAGCGCAAGAGCTTCTCGAGTTTGCTGTCAGCCCTAAAGCCGTAGGTGTTTCGGCTTGTATGGCTTTGAGTGGCGATTATACAGACTTCCACCACGATATGCCCGACACTAAGATCCTGATGGTGTTACTGGCAAACGGCGCGGACCCGCGGGCAGACAGAAGGGTGTGGGTAAATGCTCTTAATACTGGAACCCTTTACTTTTCTTCGCAGAGCTTGGCGAGCTCGCGCCTACTTCATACCCGAACAAGTAATCTTTTGATGCTAAATCGGCAACGATGGGTAGCTGCTATTAAGGCGTTGTTGCTACGTGGCGCAGACCCCCATTTGAGCATCCAGATACGGCGGGGCTCCGGAGAGAATCCGTCCGTGGAAGAGAGAACTGCCATGACTATCATCATAGACATCTTGGAAGGGGAACCAGATTTTGCTCTCGAGCTGCGGGAATTGCAGGCGTTAGTGAACCAAGATTCCCGTAAGAGCATGGGATCGGCTCGAGTTGCTCGATGACATCAACTGATGGTTTTTGGCACAGAGACGGAGCAGACGGGTAGACAAAAACTGTTTTTTTATTTTATTTTTCAATATTGGATAGAGTATAAAAGAATGGGTATTAGCGTATGGCATTTGAAACATGGCCTATTATAGTGTCTCACCTACAACGAGTTTGATTTCGTCTTACTTTACAGTGATTGTTTGGAAACAGGATTATGCCTGCACTTTCACAATGACACAATTTGAAGTGCAGCTATTAAATTTTTGATTCCTCGTATGTTCATGTCAAGGTCTCTTGTATAAGCTTTATTATGAAGTATTATGTAGACTAGGGTATATACAGAGGAAAATACATGTTCTACGGGATTCGAACTCCTCTTTTCTCCCACCAGCCATAATCCTGCCGTTTATGACTGTTCAAGGAGTTGTCGCATACCCTTGGCCGTAAGAAAGAATCCCCTGTTCCCCCATTGTGCCTCATGCTCACCAAGATCTAACAGAAGTTTGACCAGATTCTCACTATCGCTCTTCACTACAGCTCGCAGCTAATGGTAATTATTAATAATTGTCATAGTAGAGGGAAAGGTTCTACCTTTACTCAGAGTATGACGGCATAAAAACTAGAAAGCTCCAAGAATCCCAGGCCTGATTTTAGGCCATGTACGGTGCAGTGGAGAACTGTTACTTTCCAAGCCGTACTAGTCACCAGTAACAATGAGTAATCTGGCTTATACAGATCTCAGTTAGTGTTATAACCAAGCACATATCTTGTGCTAGAACTCAGACGACTATGACAATTCGTCTTTATTTGTTGTTCTTCTTCTTCTTCTCCTGCTCCGCTTTCTTTTTTCTTTCTCTTTGTGCATTCGAAGGGGTTCAAGGAGGTATGCTTTGTGCCAATAGACCAATGAGACATATACTTCAGGCATCGCTGCATTTTGATATGAATCATGAAATGGGGTTGTTAGAATGACAGAATAGGGGAAATGAGAAATGAATATACAAACATAAGCTGAATATTGACTCATCTGCCACAAAATTGAGTGGAACCCAGCCGTTTGAGCTTACACTAATGACAGCCGAGGCTTTTTCCAGAAATATCCTGACTAAGTCGAGATGGCTACGAGAAATACATGTATGTATTAACCCATGATATACGGGCAGTGTTGTGTACAAATCAAGGGTCATTTCTAAGTCGAGGAGGTAAGTGTGCCGGCGCCGATGACTTGTTGACACTGCGATTGTCCAGAGGTCTTTCGTCACGGATATTCTATCGACGACAAGATTGGAGTCTGCGCCGATGTTATCAATAGCAACAATTGAGGCGTCAAATATGTGCTTTACACCCATCCAGCTCGCCCATTGAAGGGCCACAGGCACGCCTCCGTGTCGGCATCGCTTAGCAGCAACTTTTTGGAGCTCGCCCAAATATTCGTCGCGCATGTGACACTTAGTTGAGATCAGGGATAACACATCTATATTGTAGAGTAGGTCGAGAATGGAAGCATGATCTCACATACCAAGGCTGCTACAATCAGCTGACAATTCACGCCAATATCCAAGGTAACTTACTAGTGAGGCGATCAACGCTGTTGTCGATTTTATGAACAGCCGACAGTTGCGTGTGAGCATGAGGGGTTTGAACTCGCTTCTTCGCGTGGTCTAGCGCGATTTGCATCTTCCTTTTGTTTGCCATCTTGCCGGTTCTGGATGAGATAGGGCAATTCTTTCGCAGAAATGCTGAAGGACTTTCACCTAAGAGTAAACCATGACTTGTCTGATGAGTGGTGAAACATTAGATTTGCTTGATACGAATAGGTTTCCATTGAGTTTGAGGTCTTCTTTAGTGTTTTCGATCCCATGTATATTATATGATGTTTAGTCCTTCCCAGCGACAAGAGCCGGATTCCAAGCCAACACAAAGGAACGTCTTCACGTAAAGGTAACTTTGGAGTAGCTTGGGAGTTTAATCATTCCAATAACTGTTGTGGTCTTTTTATGATAATCATAGGCTTGCAGTTAATGGGCTCTCAAACTCAAATCAATCCGAGGAATGCACCCAGATCTGGCCGTATCATTGCACCTTAGGTTGGATTTGCATTATATAATTCTACATTCAATGCCTTAGGCTAACACGCCGGGACGGTTTGGATTAGTACACTGTATACATATTGCAGCAATTTCGAAGCGACGGTGTTGCCGTCGACATGTAGCGAGCATGCTGATACTGGAGAACAGGTCTCTATCATCACTGCGCAAACAACTGATACTAAACGCCGTCCAAACCGTTGCAATACCGGGTTCCGTCGATAAGGGACGACGCCTAGGCCGCTATTCATCCAAGAAACTGGGCGTGAAAATTACCATATCAGATTGACTGTTGTTGCGGTAAGGGTATTTAATCCCGTCGCCAAATATTCGAGAGCCGCGACGTGCGATTGCCTCCACTGTTAGCTGAGAGAAGAGCTCAACCAAGATGCAATTATGGATGATCTTGGTGAGATAAACTAATAGTATTTATGAATAGGGATCTGAGTACCGACAAAAGAGATAGTTGTTGACCTGCTCTTTCACGTCGGCGAAAAAAAGAAAAAAGAAAAAAGAAAAAAGAAAAAAGAAAAAAGAAAAAGCTATATATTAGGCTGGTTTCGTTACCATCGCAGTCCGGACAGTGGCCTTCGTCAAAACGGTGCACGGCTTAATTGTAAGAGATCAAGTCCGTAAGACGATGCAATGATCTTCATTCAGGCAAGGCTTCACTGTGTCTGCAGTGCTGCAACCAGCCTAACAGGTATTGTGTAAGCGCCGATAACCCAAAGTTTGGACAGCACCATTAGAATCCTGTGTTCTGGTATTACTGCGTGGCATTATGCTTAAGCGTAGTGTAACTATCATGGTTTGAATTGTTGGCTCGAAAAGCCTTCAATGCTGAGATTAACCTCATTACTGGGACGATGCATGACGTTGCAAAATGAGCGAATCCCTTACGCGATACAGGCAAGTATGACCGCCGGCGATACATGCAAGGCAGATGGAGGAAATAAGAGAATAACTAAGATCGCGGCTAATCTCAATCGGCAGTCCAGGAGGCACTCAACTGTGCTGAAGGGTTTCTGCCAAACATTTAGCGGTAGTGAATGCGAAAAGGCCGAGAGGTGCGAGGATGATCGCCAGAGCTGCGAATAACCCGACGAATGCGACAGATGACCCGAAGATCCCGAATAAATGAAGCTTTAGGTGGAGCTACCCGCGAAATGCCATCTTATTCCATTCGTCATGTCCATTACAAGGCGGCAATAAGACGCAGCGTTCCGGTAAAAATAAGAATACGAAATGTCCTCAACCCCTACGTACAATATCCGTTAGTTATTGTCAAGGATGGGGGTTTGTATATATACCGTGGCCCACGTCACTCATTTTGTACATTCTGGGTTTGAACCTTGAGTTGACATGAGTGGTTAGGGGTTGAATTGGACCTTACACAACTGTGTGCAATGCTGTTTGATATTCGCAAAGCTCTTATCCTTGTGGGTGCTGGGTGTGTTGTCGCATCCACCGATGCTTTCGAGAGCTTGTCTTTGGCTCCCACCAGCCCAACCCCGAATCCTGAGCCTATAGAGGTGAGCGAGGTGCCGCTGCCTCCAGCTCTAGCCAATACTTCGGCGGGCGCATGTACAACTCAGATCAATGCGCGCCAAACGGGTTGCATAGCCCAGTTCGGTCTTATGAGCGGCAACTTTCTCCCCGATGGCAACCACTTGACCGCGCTTCTCGAGTACGTGGGAGCGCCGGCTGCCCCGGATCCCGCGAGCGATTACACTGGTCTAAACCTGGTCCTGCTCAAGGTTGACGGAACCACCTTCCCAAATGGTGACGCATGGAAATGTATCACTTGCGGAGTGCCCTCCGCGAATCGAGCGGGGGCGACGGCACTAGATTCCTACGCCCAAACATTCAGAGATGGCACCCGGGCAATGGCTGGGACGAACATCATTGACTGTGGTGGAAAGCCATTGAACAGTAGCTCTTGCACTCCTGACAAGGTACACATATATCCCATTCGATGGAACAATAAGGCCGACGATGATGGCACTGGCGCCGGAGGCAGTATTCGAGAACTGCGGCTTCATCCAGATGATGTGCATCTTGGGTTTAGCAGCTTTGGCATATACGGTGGATACATCACTGAATATGGTTTCTACGGTCGTCTAGAGTTCAATGCGACTGGAAGCCGTTACGATGTGGTAGACGTCACTGTGTTGCTCAACCCGGATCTTCCACAACCTCTTAGTGCCGATGGTGACCGCCTCGTCCTGAACAGCAGCGCAATTTCCGTCGGCGAATTACGCGGTTTTACAGGTACTGGTAACGAAATAACTTATATTGGTTACCCTGTCGAATCTTGCAACATTGATGCATTTGCAGTCGATCTTGCCACCGGTAAGGTTCGCCGAATCACAACCCATCCTGAATACACGGATCCTTTGGCTGTCTCTCCAGACGACAAGTGGCAAGTTGTTCTTGATACGAGAGGAACCAGACGGCAGATGTTCATGTCGGGGCTTCGTACAGTCCCTCCTATCACTGACATTGTCTCTATCACCGCTAGCTCGTCTACTCGAAATAATGGTGTTCGTCGTTTCTTTGAGCCCTGGTTACTGGACTTTGAGGGAGATCGCGGCTTGTACTTCGGTCAGAAAATAAACGCTGCCGGTGATGGCAGTCCTGGCAGCATCAACGACCCTAATTGGAATTCCGGCGCTGACCCGCGTTGGTCACTGGACGGCACTCGCATCGCGTACTATCAGTGGCTAGCGGTCTCCCCGGCGTGCGGCGGCTCAAACCCTTTGGAGTGTGAAGTGTCGCCCTACGAGGACGGCCGACAAGGTCGGATCATGGTTGCCCGGCTCGTGAGCCGTAAGCCGCTCGCTATTGGGGGAATATCAATAGCCGCTGATGAAGTACCTTGGGGCATTAAGTATGTACCTGGGATGGTGCTGCCCGAACGCACGTACCCTCCTGCCGGTGACTATGTTCTGGAAGGCAAGGCTCAAGGATATGCCAATGTCACCATCACCTATGACGACAGCAACGTTAGCGTTAAGTCTGTGAGGGTCAATTATCACGACTTTAGCAATGATGGCCATAACGTTCTTGTCGGCTACGAGAACGTCACTCGCTCAGCACTGTCGCCTACAGCCGATCATTACGACTGGTATTCAAATCTAACATCGACAGGTGTGGCAACAGGCACGAAAGTCACAAGCCCCGACGGCTTTCATCTGGAGATAGATGTTCTCACAAACTTCTTCGATGCAAACGGTACATTGACGACCACGATCAATGAGGTTGTCTTTGATCAGCCATGCAATAACTGTTGATTTCAGATAGCGTCAATTGAACAATTCATACCGCTTCGTGCATTTCTCCGTGATAATCCCGCTCACGCTTACGCCATACAGTCTAAACCTAATCAACATCTCACAGTTTACTACCGCCATATATATGAATCACCAGATGGCTTTAGCCAAGCTTTTCGACGCCGCGAAGGGATAATGTGGTTGTAATTGTGGTCTCTGGTTTTGGAATTGCACTTCCATTACCACAAAGTGAATGCGCCAGGTATGTTTATTCTGGAGTGAAAACGCTTGATAATGTTTGTAGCGACTTGTGAAGTTTTTCCTTGTGTCACTTGAGCATTTAACTTGACTCAACGCCTCTCTTCAGCATCTGCCTTTTGTTTCTCAACCTCCAAAACCAATTCTTGCTGAACCTCTTCACCAACCCGAAGTGCTTGAGGACCTCGATGAAGCATGAGCTTTCATGCGCATACCTGAATCAAATCGGTAAAGGTGAACGGTCTATCATATATGATTAAACGGCCTCTTAAGGTGTTAATCAATGTATGACCGGCGACTTGACGTTCCCGCTTTCCTTTCCAAGTGTATTGGCAAAATATATTGCTCGGGCTACACATGAGGGCTGACTGCTGACGGTCTCTGGATAAAAGCCTTCTTTAGAAGCTTCCAAGTGATCAGAGAACTGGACGATTATTCTATCTATGTTCTATCAATATCGGCGACTGACAAAAGCTTCCAGGTGGGGGATACATTTTAATCCATTGGACAGTGCAGTATGCCTCCGCGAATTCGCACACTCAACTGTTCCTCCCCGGCCCACCCATACTGCTATTGAGCAACACAAATATGCACACAGTCGCAGGCCCATCAGGACATATTCATTAAATAATCCGCAACTTCACTCACCACCAATCAAAAGTTCACATTCGCTGATCCTATCTCCTTTCATCGACATTCTATCACACTTTATTCGTGTCCAACTCGCCGTCATTAGTACAACCCGCAATATCGATCGCAAATCTTCAGATGGCTCTCAAACGGACTTGCGGCCGCGACAAGCTTAGCCGTGCCGCCAAACACCACCACAGCCCCGTGCCCAAGCATCACGCCGCTAATCCAACTAACATCACCGACCGCATTTCAGGTGGGTTTTAGTATATACTCACTCATACTGAGCACGGTACTGACTGTCCCGAAGCGCTGCCAAATGATATTTTTATCTTCTTATAAAATTATGGTTTGTTAAATTAGCTCTGCTTTTCTTTGTATCAAAGCATTTTATTTACATTATTATTCCTTTTAATTAAGTTAATATATAATATAATTTAGTCTCGATTGGTGTTAAAGTCTATATGTTAGCCGAGGCTCTGCTGCGGATGGAGCCCCCCGATGTCGTTTCAATCTTATCCGCGAGCCCGTAAGGTTGTTATTCGCACACAACGAGTTCAGCACATTCCCAGAACACCTGGTCTTGGGAGAAAGATAGTTGTCTTCGCCCTAGATAGCGTTCTTGTACAACCCAGGCACGGGTGTTCAGGCGAGCAGATGCGAGATGCTTGTATTTGACCGCAGGAAACACGTGATATTCTTTCGGGGTCTGAGCCCGCCCTGCAAACGTGACGGTCGTATATGCTGAAGGAACGAGGTCTCGTTCACTGAAACAGCCACCTCGCCATCTTTAGATGAAGAGGCAGCGATGTTGCACTGGGTATTTTGGTAGATGACACCCATGAGAGCAGACTGTTGCTTCCAATCTTCCAGATCATCTGCTTGACGCAAAGCGAGTCTATCCATGAGTAAGTGTATCCTAGCGTGATGGCAACCTGGAAAGCATCTCTGTATGTTTTTGGTACCATCGAACACTTGGAAATCTGTTGCAATCTAGCGTAATTCGCGCTGTTAACCTCAGACGTCGTGATGTACCCCAGCAATGGCTGAGAGTTAAATGTGGTATTGGTTGCCTCCCAGTAGTTTCGAGAACCCGCCATTGACTTTTGGAAGCAAACGAGCCGTCAATTATTTCCAGAAGCCTTCAAGGAATGAAATTTGATGCCCTGACGAGCGAGCGACATGACACATGATGTTCCGCGCAGTTTTGTAGCCATGCTCGCCATACCTCAGGCATCTTCGCTGTGCTGTTCCCTTGGACACTGGATTTGCCATGAGGTTGTCAGCGGCAACACCCCATCAGGGACCGAAGCAAGAAGCTAAAAGATCCAGAGGGAATATGTCTTCACTATTGTAGATCCAATCAACCCCCTCATTCTTTCCGCGGATTAATACTACGCCGCCAGAATTTGGGAGGACAGCGGCATTGGGGGTCTTCCATCATCTTTATTCATCAACTATACCGCCTGACCTACGGACAAGAACGACTGGGCTTGGATTCTTCTGATTGAGCTACTCCCCAGGGAAAAGTCTTCTTATTATTGCGTTGAGAGTCTTCGCCTTCGCGTGGGTGAAGTATAGCCTGAGACGGAACTCGATAAAACGAGGGGAAGGAGAGGGGTTGGGTCTGCTAGAGGTCTTTGAAAACTCAAGGCATAATCCTTCAGAGTATTCCAGTACTATTGACGACAGGCCATACATCCCGCCACAACTGAGCTGTGGAAACTGAAACGTTCGGTGAAGAATGAAAGGCTCACTCGCCTCTTATAAGAGCTCGATTGCCTCCTTGCATCTGTTGCATAACATTGTGTCTTGGCTGATTAACCACGTATCGGCGACTAAATAAGGAGATGGAGGAATATAAATGCTTGAGCAGTGAAAATGAGGGGGCCGACAGCTACAAATACAATCCACCGTTCACCACTCGGCCGTCCATACCACTCGGCAAGCCGAACTTTAAGGATTACACCTGAATTAACCTAGCTTGACTAATGTGTTTTTATTTAAATGTGATACGGTGTCTTTAGGGGGTCACTATGGCTTTGCCCCCGTGACTGCCCCGTGGCTAGGCTGCCACCATAGCTGCCTAAGGCACCTAAGATAGATAGATATATATCACCGCGGATAGTGGACCGTAGATCTGTGATAGCGTCTTCTATTCATCCTTTCTGTACACACATTTCAGTACCCTATATTCTTTTTTTGTTAACGACATCAATTTATTAATAAACTAATTACATAATCAGCTCTTTGTTAGTTCTTATGTTATGTAAACTCTTTATACTATTAATATATTAATAACAATAATAATCTTAATTAAGAGAAAAGAATTATATTAAAGTTTAATTTATTTGTAAATGTATTTTATAAATTACTTGCATAATCAATATAATAAAATAATATTGTAATATTCACGAAACACAAAGGGTTCAATTCCCAAGAGCAGGTCGGTCGCTTCATCCAAACCATTTTATGTCGCCACACCAGAGCCTTGCCCTAACCCTTCCATTAAGCCGACGATGTCGATCGATTTTCAAGTAAGCTCTATGCAGAATACACCACCGCCCACCCTATTGACCGGCACAAAGCAATACGAAACGAAACTCTCCTCACCGTGGTGTGAGAATCACGAGACAATGGCTAATTTAGCATTTGTCTCACCAATTCCAATATCTGTCAGCCTATTCTCCCAGAGCTATACAAGCGCTATGCGCAGCTTGCGAAGAGCCAAGACCGCGTAGAAGTCGCTCTCGAGTGGTCGGTGGGAAAGGAAGATCGAAATCTTGGAAACAGCCTTCACCGCACTTGGCGACATTCGTGAAAATACTAAGATCATCATCAACCGATTCTTCAATGATGATGATGTTGAATTCGACCTCTTTCTCCACAAACGCAGCCGCCTGTATCTCTCTCACTCTGGCATTGTGGCATCCCATATCAGTCTAGTCCATCTTTGTGCCATCCGAGGACACGTTGATGTGACAGATGCTCTAATTGAGAGAGGTGCTCGTTCCCACATGAGACCCCGTATGAGAGTCAGCCACGAGTAATTCCCACCTCTAAACTCGACAGATAGAGATTTTGTAACATTCAAGCATTCTGTTTAGAATTCAAAGGGCGGCAGAGAACAGTTCTACTACCAGTTCTTCGTGAATCATGTCTTCGGGTTCATATGAAGATGTTAATGAGACTGTTCGTCAGCTGTTTAACCTTGCGAAGTCTTCCCCGGACATCGGTTGCAAACTCCCGTGGAAGATTCATAAATTATCTTGTTTGATGTACAACTACTTCTCCCTGTTGGATCTGTCACTTCGTGGTGATGGAGTCTGGAGCGACATAAGAGTCCTGTAAATGAGCAACATAATGGAGAAACTATCACAGGTGGTGTATGAGCATGAGCTGAGTATTAAAAGAATTGTAATTGAGCATTGATGATACTTGCTGCTGTATAGATATTGCCAAACAAACTTCCACTCGGGCAGCTGAATTTTGTGGCCTTCGTAAAGTAGGTTGATTAACCTATTCAACGATAACTTCGGCCAATTCTGTGGTATGCATCATCATAATTAATAGTCTACCACAGTTTATGTCACCTCCACATGCAGTCATTCTCATCTGATTGGTAAAGTCTGTGGATCTCCGTTTTCTACCACCTGGACAATCTCAGTCGTTTCGATGATGGACTCATACCGTGGTCTTTCAGACACCGACGCTTTCTTCTGACATAAGCCATACACAGCGTCAATTTCACTGCTATACTTCTTTTCGGTATGTTTCCGGAGCAGATGACCCTCAGAACCTCGAGTGAAGCCCCCAAAAGGAGTCAGAATGACGTTAGATTCTGGAACCCTCGCCTCTTCCGGCATATTTTCGTTTTCTCGCTCTATCGTCTGTTTCCACAGATCCGTCGCCGCCTGCACGTCTATACCTTTGGAGAGCTCCACAAGTGCCACCGGCTCTCTGTTGTACTTGCTTAAGACAATGGCATTTTGCACCTTCTCGTGGTTACCCAACAAATTCTCCACGGCTAGGGCAAACTCGTTCTTGCCTGTTCCCAGATCATGGAGACGGCTCACGAACCGCCATGCGTATCGTTCTTTCTGTGGGTCCGGATGTGGTGTCCATACCTCTGCTGTAGGGTATTCGGGATACGGCGGAGCCGACGGTGCAGCTGTGATCCCTAAGCCGGCCCAATAGCCAGCACACCTTTGTGATTCTGGTCTCAACGTCATGACAAGTTCGTATAGGGGCAGGCGAGATCCATAGTCGTCGAAGTACTCGAGATCTCGCTCCTGGAAGCTGATGCCAGCAGCGTCCACGTCAAAATACACATACTCGTAATCCTCTGGATCTGCTAAGAGAACTGGCGGTGTCAAAGTCTCCGAAGTGCCCCATATGCATTGGAATTTGACGTACTTCGCCCAGAGATCTCCGGCATACCGCGAGACGGATCCTAATGATACCTGTTAGCCTCCAGTCACTGCGTGGTCGTTGGTGCGCTTACCGTTTCCATAGGCCATGGAAGTGAATTGCTTGATCAAAGACTCTCCATCAGGGCGTCGCGCTATCACATCTGCCAGAAAGAACGGAATAAATCCCGTCGTGGCGCCTGATGACCTTATAATATCGCAAATCTCGTTCGTTCCACTCGCAGGGCGATGGCGAAAACCTGGCACCAAAATTCCCCCTCCAAACCCACAAACGGTCATGGCCAAAGCCACAGCAATCGGATGGAAGGGCGAAGCTACCATGAGGTATCTGGTGCCGGCGGAGGACTGCCAAGTCCAGTGGCCGCGTCCGTCGACATCCGGCAGTTCTGTCTGGTAGTCCATACACGCCATGCTCGCGTGCGTGAATGTCACAGGCCGCGGGTCGCCTGTAGTGCCCGATGTGTGGCATACGGCAAACGGATCACTTGCCGCCTCTTCGAAGGTCTTTGCATACGGAAACGGCTCGGCCAGATCATCCATGTTCAAAAGGTCATCGAGCTCCGGGATTTCAGCCTTCGGCATGGGTCGCTGGGTCAGTATGTCGCCGGCATACACGCCGCGGGACAGCAACACGCCGCGGCATTGCGTTTGGTCGAACAACGACAAATGGATGTCCAATGTGTTCATATGCGAACTGAAAAGAACTTTGTGGCCGGTCTTACACACAGCATAAAGCAGCATGTAATACCTAATGTCAGGAGTCCCGAGGTAGGCGATAGTCTCAAAACTCGTGGACCGACCAAAAGCACTTACAATGCAGTGCGCTAACTTGTTGATGCCATTTGCAAATGCAGCATATGTGATGTCCTCGAATCCTTGCGAGAGATCATAGTCGTCCACGGGTAAAGAGGCCCACGCACGACTCGGTTCGGACTGGGCGACCTCGTCAATGATGCAGGGCAGAAGACGTTTCCCGATCTCGCCGCCGGGTGATGTTCTCATGGTGTGAGCGCTTCGCTAGAACTTATCCCAGCCTCGAGGTGTTGCTAGTATGGCAATGACTTATGTATGGGGGAAAAAACTTTATCATCATTATCATCCATGCGGTTGGGCAGCGGAGTTATCTCTATTGGTTGAGCCAGTCCTGGCTTTGCCGCAGGGCTATTGTTCCCCCCCCACGCGGCACCGCAGATCCTTGTTCTGTCTCATCTCTCCCTGTAGACAATCTCAAGGACGGCCATGTTTGTACGATTACAGTGTTCACGTCAGTGCTGTGTGGCCTTGAGGGCGAAGCTGACCATCCTTTTCTCAAATCCTTCTTACAAGTTGAATCGCGTCACTATTTATCAAGTCTGTCTCAGTGCGCCAGTGCATCTGGTGCTCATGCCTAACTACCGAGATCAACAATCGCAGCTGTAGCGACAACCGCGAGACCCGTTGTATGATCCATGTACGGATCCATGCTTCAAAGAGATAGCGACGCCATAGGCAGGGGTCGGACCGTCCCGGTGGCCTTCCGATGCGTTGATTTGTACTCCAGTGAACCCAAAAAGCGTCCATGCCTCCTCGAATCCCCTCAGCTGTTAAAAATCTCGCACTATTTCATTTTAGTCGTCTGCCAAGCTGTTTGTGTCATTCGTATCATTGCGGTTTGCTTCAAAAGCTCGTATACCGAGATACCCCTGTGCGCAAAAGGAGCTTGATTGCAGCGACACTCCAATGGACTGAACACAAAGTATAGTCTTGCCGTCGGGGCTTTTCAGTTGAGAGCCTCAACTTGAGACTTCTTTACTATAAACTCACCCGAGGTTAAGCGTTGGAGATGTACTATCTGCACTATGTATGTACGAAGGAGATTGTCATGGATCGACATCCTTAGCCGCGGCGCAAGGACTCAGCAGAGTATGGTTCACACACCTAATGAGTTAGATTGCTCTTTGAGGAACAGGGTTCTTCATGACCAGCAGCTGCAGGATTCTTGGTGCGTGGTCACAGGGTTGTTAATGCCTACGTGGGAGGTGTTGCACCTGGGTGTCCGACGGGAGGTTGGAAGAGCCGACCTGTCAATCGGCGGCCTCTTGGGGGGAAGATCGCCTGTCACGATCGCTGCCGTTCCAGATAAATGCAACTGATGTGGCTGCGAATTCATGACACATTCTGTTAGTATGAGTATCGACCCTTACTTCTAAGGGATGTCTCGTGCCGCCAAATTAAAACGGATACCGATGTCTACGCGACCTCGAATCCACCAATAAGGCGCAACTTTGGATTACGATATTTCAATGTGCATAGGTCAGAATGGTCCCAAATCTGGCATAGTAGCTAATAAACTATATAAGAATAACGTGTCAAGTTTAATATAAATCTCATTCCATTCGATAGGCTCTTTTATGTTATAGTCCACGCTCATTATCCTAGGGTATAGAGAGTCAGAGAGCGCAGTAGAAGAAGTATTGATTTGAAAGGGTTATTTGGCATAGCCGGGATTACTCTCGAAAGCAAAGGGTAGCTTCAACTTGTAAGCCCCATAAGAATAAAGATTTAGAGGTTGCGGTTGGCTCAAAGCGCTCGTACCGACCCTGCACAATACCTGACCCACCGCACTTTCCTAGGCCTGGTACCATAGTATCGTAACGACCTCGGTATTCGTTCTCATTTGGCGGGCACGAGACGGGATGTTCATGATACCCACCCATTGCTTTCGATAGATGATATTCCAACTTTAGCCCTGCTATGTAGATCGGTTGAGAGGACTGTTATAGTTAGCATGATGGCCGAACTGCAGCTTGTTGACCGTTTCCCAATTATTGGAATCATCCTCAAAGGCGATGGAAACAACGCAGCAGTGCAGATGTGGAGTTATGGCAGAGAGACTTGTTTCTGCGTCTCTATCGCGCTATTCAAAACTGAGATGTCCCCGTTGATCGAAATTATCGATCTTAGAGTTCATCTTAAGTTAGCTTTTAAAGAAAATCGCTCGAGAACTGGGCCTTATCCCTTGACTCGCACGGTCCGAAACAATGAGTAGCTCGCTATATACCTTGAACCATGACAACCCGGTGGAGATCAACCGCCTGGACCAGAATCACTACAACCTCTACCTTAAGCTACAGGGTGGCCATGTGGTTCCGCCTCACATCAGAGACCATCTGGAGCGAGTGAACAATCCCCGCGTTGCCGACGTTGGCACGGGCACTGGTGTCTTCTTACGGTCCCTAGCTGAAAGGCTCCCGGCTACCGCTAGGCTTGATGGTTTCGATCCAGACACTTCGAAGTTTCCCGACCCTTCAACCCTGCCACCAAACATCAAGCTCGAATACGGAGATGCCTTAGCGCCGTTTCCCAAGGAACTGGTTGGATCATATGATCTAGTTCATTTGCGACTGCAGTTTTTCTCATGGCAGAAAGATGGCTGGCCCAAGGTCGTCGAAAACATGATGAACTTGCTCAAACCGGGAGGGTGGTTGCTCTGGTTTGAAGGTGGCTGGCATGGATGGACAACTATCCCGCCAAGCAAGGCCTTTCATGAGTATTTGGGTCGTGAGATCGAGCGGACGATGAAGTTAGGACGTGAGCCATTGTAAATCATATCCGCCCCGACACTTGTCAAATTTTCTTGACTCGCTGACACTGAACCAGGGCATGCTTCAAACTGAAGAATTGGTTCAAGGACGCTGGGTTTCAAGAAGTTGACGAGAGAATTTTCAACATTCTTCAGGATGAGGTATTGCACAAGGTTGGCGCTAACGTTCTGTACACTGTCTGCCACCACTCGGCTTTGGGTGTAGCCGAGCAGGGAGACACAGAAGGCTTGAAAGACAAGAAGTATGTGGAAGATCTATTCAAACAAATCAGGAAGGACTTTGAGACGAGCCTTGTGAGTCAGGAGTTCCGTTGGGTTTGGGGAAGGAAACCGCTTGGTGAGCGCCAGCAGTATAAGCTCTAAGCGCTATGAGGAGAGCGGAAGGCGCGTTTTACTGGTAACTTGAAGCCAGCCAGCTGCTCATATGATATGAGTGAATTTTATGAATTGATGTTTCCATTTTTCGATTTCATTAGCGTGGTGACGTCAAGTATTGCTCGAGCCATGGGATGGATACGCTTTGCCTGCATTCGTGGCGATCGTTACAATGTAATACATAGCGAGATGACCCTTGGAGTTGAAGATGATTGACTGGTATGTATAATAAGTCAGACACCTTATAGTATTCTTCTGGAATCCAGATTGGCGAGAAAGCCGGGGTTTAGCTGCGAGCAGATTTCAACAGCAGCTGCGATTTAGATCTAGCAACATCCAGTGAGTTTTGGCATGTGCAAGGATCGTAGATGGATTCATATTCGAGAAGTGTCGATATGCCAATGGAACAATCAAGGAAACTTTGATACAAATCACGTAAAACTTCGCAAGTGGTAGGAATTGGCAGACATGACGACTACATAAATATCACTTCCCAAATTTCTATTTTCATTCACTCTCTCCACAACCAACACCATATTTTTATCACCATTTTCATTACCGTGTTCTATTGCTGCATCCCGTTCGCTGTATCCCATCGTCATACTCGGTTATCCCTCATTATCACTTTTAGACACCACCAGAGGAAATGCCACCTGCTTCAGACAACCCTTCCAGTTCTACTTCCGACAATGCCGCCGGGTCTATGGCCAGCTTTTCAGGTACATATTTTCTCATCTATACCTACAACCCCGCAAAGCTCACATGGTGCCCCATGTAATACATCTGCCCCTCCAGACTTCCCTGGATACCATTGCATTGACCACTACTCAGTTCTCCCAAGCGAGTTACTATTTAACATTTTGGCCTTCCTGCCAGCAAAAGATGGTGTTACAATAGCGCAAATCAATTCGCATCTGTGTGAACTCGTTCTCCCCGAGCTCTACGACCGTGACGCATAGATTGCAGAAGAAAACGTCTTAGAGCTACCTCGTGCTGTGAAGTGGGGCGCTTGGAATGGCTATACTACCACCTTCACCGGCTCTATTGCGGCGATCGACCGCAATCCTAGATTGAATACGACTGCGGTGCTTGGTCGCCTTCTGAATGCCAAGGAATACCACCCATTTCTCTACCAATACTGCCCTTCGTATGTTCACAAACACGGTGTTTCCCACCCGCATTTGGGACTTATTCACCTTTGCTCTCAGCAAGGTTATTCCGATCTAGTAACCATACTGGTTGAGAAAGGTGTCCATCCTGATATGTACGATGGCAAGGGCAACACTGCCTTGTGCCATGCCGGAGATATCAACGTGGTAAGTCCCTAACCTACACGATTGCCCTGTCATTCCTCCTATTCTCAAATTACTCCGATGATACTTCCCGCAATCTTTTGATCAGGAATTGTGGTTGCATGGTTGTCAAGTGTCTATTTATGTGCCCCCATGATCTACTTGTCCTACCATTATGCGTAATAAGACTTTCTCTTGAACAACATTAACGTGTTTACAGGCAAAGTTCCTCATCAGCCGCGGTGCAAGGTTGACGGTCTCTGAATACCGATCACCACTATACAAGGCCATTGCTCGATGCATTTATACCGCTGAACGCAAATTGTACGTTCATCACGCCAAATTGGTAGCAGTGGTAGAGCATCTCCTGAGCCTAGGCTGTCGGTTCCCTGCCCAGACCAGATTGGCTGATGCGCACCCTCTTTTTCTCACAGCGACGAGACAGTCCGGCCACCATCTTCTCAAATTGCTCCTCGACAACGGTGCAAATCCGAATACGACGAATATGAACACCGGAATACCGATCCCGTTCTTGGTCGAAGCGATTGACTATGGCCATTACAAAGCCGCAGGCATGCTCATCGATGCAGGTGCTCACACACGCCTCTTATTTCATTATCCAGAACTAAAACATTTCTGTCCGATACGGACATTTCTCAAACCCCAGAGGCGCACCCACGATTTCGCCGAGTGGGCATATGTGGCAGAGAAGATGTTCGGCCAAAACTTGGATGATGACATTGATGGGCACTCGCCGATCTGGTGGGCGTTCAAGAAAAGCAATCTGAACTTGGTCGAATTCTTGGCGAAGAGAGGTGCTAGTGTGGGCCGTCACGGTTTGTTTTTGAATGCATCAAACCTTGAACAGTTAGCCAAGAAGATTAGCAAGTTGTGAAGCATAGCGATTCCACATTGGAGCATGGGGTTTGATAATGCGTTAACGTACTCTATCCATATTCTGCCAAGCTTCTGGATAAAAACTTCAGGTCGACACTTAGATTAGAAATATTAATATACTTTAATTTCAGCGCTGTATATGACCTTTAGGGGCTGTATGATATCTATTTGGTCCAATCACGAGTGTACCTAAAGAGTGCTTAACAAAATGGGCAGTATTTGGGGCATCGATATCATGTAAAGTCGTTTGTGTGGTGAGACATTAAGTGTCACCGCTGTCCAGCGGTTTCTATTTCCAGAATCTCAGAGGCATCCACCTGCTGTGCCTCTCTTAACGTCTACTGGAAGGGCTTCATCCATCGACAATGTGGATGTGATAAGTCAAGGACACTCCTAATTACGAGGCAGTTGGCTAGTCACTAGTTCAGGTATGCATAGAGACATTTTTAAGGGGGATGCATCCGACCGCGTCAACATAAACTGAAAACCGTTCACGGGAAAGTCTTCAAAAAGTAAAGAACAAGAAACCATTTCTGTGCTAGTTATGCGCAATAGCTCTGAGCAAGCCTATACATACGTCATTTCTCGATTGACGAAAACGCGCGACTTCTTCTTCAACCCAAAAGTTCTTCGTCTTATGTGTTCCATCAGTCCAGTAAGAGAAAGTTGACAGTCCAACAGTTTCGCCGTTTTCTTCAACAGAACATATCCATAACATATTCTTCGGATTTTTCGTCAAAAAGGTTGAATTAGTGCCCAGCGGGAGGAGCTGGATGGTGGTGATCGGCATTGGCCATGGGAGGCGGCAGAGCCGTTGCCGTTGTGGCCAAGATCGACATGTCTAATGTCTCGCCATATTGGCTGCTGGTGCTGCTATCGGCTGATGTGATAGAAGTCAAGAAGGTTGTCAGATTGGTGGTGACTGCTATGCTGACTGAAAAAGGCGAAAGTTAGCGAATGGTGGCATGCAGTGGTAAGTCATGTCAAGTGCGAGAATTGTTAAATACAAGTAACATACCCGAATTGAGAACAGAAGAGGAAGATGAACTAGCCAAAGACTCGCTGGTAGTGGAACTGGCCAGGTTGGTGCTTGTTTCCGTGCATGTCGTATCAATTGACGATATCGTGGCTGATGTTGAAGCTGTCGTGGTGGTCTCTGCTTCTGCAGTCGTCGGAGAGAACGTGGTGTAAGAGTATTCACTCTCAGTGCAGGTAGATGTCTCTGTTGTCGAAGTTGAATCTTCAGTACAATTCGAGGGTTCAGAATAAGCCTGGCTGGAGGTTTGGCTGGGCTCACCTGTAGTAGACTCCCCAGCGGGGCTGATGATGGAGCTTGTGGCACTCAACGATGCAGTCGGGCCTGCAGAAATCGTTGAATTTGAAACATGTGAAGGGAGAGAAACCGGGGAAACCGCTAAGCTTGAGCTTTCCGTTAGACTAGCACTAGAAGATGGTAATGAACTGCTTGCACTGGTCAGAGTTGTACTGTTCGAGATGGGAAATGGAATCGACGCCAGTGTTGAGCCGGACTCTGTTGAACCGCTGGGGGCCAGGGTTGTAGATGTTGCAGTACCGTTGGCGCTCAATAAGCCCGACTGCGTGGTGTCCAGACTTGTTGATGTGCTTGTGGATAGAGTCAAAATACTGGAGGCAGAGATCAGTGAAATTGTCTGTCCGCTAGAAGCAGTTGTCGGTTCTACGATTGGGTTGCCACTGCTGGAGATCGTGGCAACTGGTCTGGTTGTTAACCCGCTTGGGCCGGCAGGAGTAGTGCTATTTGACAAGGAGAAAGGAACCGAAGTTGCTACTGAACCAGAAGTTGCTCCTGACGGGCTAACAAAAGTAGCGGGAACAGATGTAGCGCCGCTGCTGCTTGATACCCCTAAGGAAGTCGGGCCAGACAAAGGCGCTGACACGGTTGTGGCTACAGTCAAGCTGCTAAGTCCAGTGACTGAAGAGGAGTCGCTCTGTCCGCCAGTAGCTATTGTTGACTGCACACTCGATTTGCTGCTGTTAGTGGGTGTTACAGTATAGCTGCTTGTTGGGCCAAGTGCTGCTGAAACACTCGACCCAGGGCCGCTGGTTCCGGCTGCTTGACCAGTTGTTTTAGAAATAGATGTAGTATTAGATGCTGGAAAGGGTGGCAGAGAAGTCGCAGGAGCAGTATATGTTCCAGAAATGGATGGTATAGTTTGGCCACTAGGTGACCCTGCAGGGAGGATACTGCTACTAGCTGAGGTGGCCTGTTCGCCTCCACTTCCTGTTGACTCATTACTGCGTGTGGTATTTAAGGCTGATAATGAGGATACAGGTATGATTCCAGAGACCGTCGGTGACGCCGTTGGAGTGGGAGTAATACCAGGACCCGTGGGGCCCGTACCAGCTCCGCTTGCAGGATTTGATGCAGAAATTGAAGATATGCCAGATGAGACTGCAATTATAGTATCGGATGATGGAGCTTGGATTCCTTGAGATGTCGTCGGTGCGGCAGAACCTCCTGGGCTTACTGCAACTGACGTTGTATTTGACGCCGGAAACGGTGGAACAAGAGATGCACCAGTGGCTACGGTGCTAGCTGACATGGGTGGCCCAGTTCCAGTTGCTGACGGCGTAATTATGCCAACTGATGAAGAACGAGGTACAAAAGATACACTGCTCGAGCCGGATTCGGGAGTCGTCAGTGTGGTGGTTGAACTAAGCGTCCCTGTCCCCACAGAAGGTATCAAGGAACCCGTGGAGGCTCCACTTGAGCCGGAAAAAGAAGAAAAGTTGGAAGCTGGGAATGGTGGAGACGTTGGCGTGATGGCACTGGGACTAACGGGCCCAATAGTCTCGCCGACTGTTCCTGAGATAGGGGCTGTACTAGGCAGGCCACTTGGTTCGTTTGAAGCGGTTGAATTCATACTTGGGGACGGCAGGGAACTTTGAAGGACCGATGAGACAAAGATCGACGAACCTGCGGTCGAACTTATTCTAGTGATTATTTCACTGGTAGACATCTGCGATCCTGTGGTTACTCCAGTAGTGGGTGCTTGCGATCCGGTAATACCGCCGGTAGTTTGCTCCTGTGAGACACTGAAACTTGTACTTTCTTCGTAAGTAGAAGTTGTGCTTGATGTGGTCATGACTGCTGTTGTATTAAAAGTTGTGACTGGAACTGTTGAGCCTATGGTCGGAAGTGAGTTCGAAATAAACGTCGCAGCGGTGCCTGAAAACAAAGTCGTCCTCAAGGTTGTGATTGTACTGTTCGTTGTTGGGAAAGGGGTCCCTGCGGTCTGACCTCCTGTGCTAATAGATGGAGTAGTTGATGCTAATGAAGATAAACTGATAGTGCCCGGAATTCCCGATGGAATACTTGCAATAGCAGTCGAATTTGGAAACGAAAGAGAGCCGCTGGAGAGCAGTACACTTGAAGTTATACTCGCAACAGATGGTTGCTTGGAGAAAGTCAAACTGACTGGACCAGGCCCTGTGGGGACGCTCTTTGATGCACTGTGACCATTTCCAGTGCCACTGGTTGTTTGCACGATCGTAACCCCTGTGGGACTAATGGACACAAGCGTGCCGTTAGATACCGGGAATGGTGGCAAAGACGTTGTTGCAGCTGCGCTTGATGTGCCGACCAAGCCTGTACTTATCAGGGACGAGATTGAGATCGCTGGAGAGGTGACTGGTACTGGTGTTGTGAGCGGTGCCGTTCCGGGCCTAATGGTTCCTGAAGCCGGCGCAGAAGTTCCGAGTGATGGTCCTAGCGTGCCATTTGTTGCAGGAAAAGGTACTGATTGGCCGTTTGATCCCGGCAGAGTTGACCCAATTGATGCTGTACTCAGAGGGAGAGGAGCCGTTAATGCATTTGAAGTCTTGAAAGAGGCTGAGCTTGCTATTATGCTTAACGAGGCGCCAGTGGTGCTTGTAGGAACAGTAGATCCGGTGCCATTTGTCAAAGGAGTTGGCGTAGGAATTGTGCCACTGTCGGCAGAACTGGCAATTGATTCCGTGCTCTGACCAGTGCCAAGAGGAGCTGATGCCGTCGGCGAAGCAGCCGTCGTGGAGTTGAACGCAGGATATGGGGGCGAAGATAACAACGAGGTAATCTCTGTGGCTGATGTGAGGGAGACAGACGCTGGACTAATTAAAGAACCGCTCAGTCCAGTGCTAGTCACAGATCCAGAGAGAGTGGTGCCGTTGGAAACGGAAAATGGGACCGTTATCGATGCGCTGCTACTACCGCTTGTTCCATTGCTAGTGGCAGTGGGGAGGGTAAGTGTCAGTGTTCCTCCACTGGCGGTCACAGGAATTGTGGTTATACCGGGGACCTGCAGTGTCAATGTCGTGTTAGCGAAAGGTACAACCGTGCTGTTCAAGCTAGAAGTCTGCCTGGCGGTGGTAGTTGACGTCAGACTGCCCGTTGCTGGAATGCTTGTGAGTATGGTCGCATTGCCAGTAGTCGCGGACGAAGAGAATGAGCTATGACTGCGTGTAGAACTGGGCACAAATGGTGTTACTGTCAAACCTGAGAGGCTAGAAGACGGCCCTGTTGTACCAGTAACAGCTGTTGTATTAATTGCAGAAAATGGAGCGTTGCTGGAGGAAGTCGAGTAGGATGCGGACTCGGATATGGGCCCCGTTCCCGTTGGCGAAGAAACTGGACCATTACCTGTAGCTGTTGATAATGTACTAGTTGAACTTCCGGAAGAAGTGAAACTATGGCTGCCAGGAGCAGTACCACTAGATCCCAGATTTGTGGTAGTATTGCCAGCTGGAAACGGAGCCGAAGAAACTGAGACCTCTCCTAAAATAGAAGAACTGGTCAAGCTACTAGTTGAAGATGCCTGCGTCACAGTCGTGGAAACTGATTTGGTCGTGCTACTACTACTATATCCATATCCGGTTGTGGCAATTGATGAGGAAGTGGAAGGAGAACTTGGAGAGGTGCTAGGTGAGGTAGCAGGTAATAAAGTAATGCTCGAACTTCCGCTTGACTCAGTAGCAGGGGCCGAGGTTGATGAAGTGAGAATTCCCGGGACACTTGCTGTGGCAGCACCAACACTAGAGATATACAATGTAGTTCCAGGGCGAGTACTGGTGACGGTGATGGTGAAACCAGAAGAGACAGTCAACATTGTGAGTGTCTCCGGCGGGATAGTCTGAGCAACGGGTCCACCACCTGTAACACCAGCCCCGCCAGGTGAGCTGGATGTTACTGTGCTGGTAGACGTACTAGACAACGAAGAGGTAAATGTCTAAAGAAAAAGTCAGCCTATTTACAAGGACAGTTTAACGGTCCACGGGAAAAGATGTGGATGAAAATGAAGAATCAGCCAGCTAATAAATGTGGCAATTGGAACTGGTGACGAGAGGGAGCTTACAGAAGTAGACGTCGATCGGAGGTTGGAGTAGGTTGAAGCTGCAGATAAACCGGTGGAAACGGGTGAAGTGGAAATGTTCGAGCCGCTTGTAGTTGAGCTCGATGAAACCAAGGTCTGAGTAGGATTCAATGACAGCGACAACGAAGTAGCCAGTGTGGGTGGTGGCGATGGATGTCCATAAGGCGGAGGATAATTGACGTTGGCGAACTCATAGCCTCCATTAGCAGGCATTGGGCCACCATACACGTCATATCGAGGCGCGACATCGACAGCTCCATCTTCAACGCCGCGGCGGAACATGAGACTTTCCCAGTCAGGAAGAGCAACAATTGTCGAGATGAAACAGGTGAGTAAAGCTACCGACACGAGGTCGACAGCGAGAGTCGAAGCTCTCATTCTGGTTGGGATAAGGCTTATTCACTGGGTGGAAAAGAGAAATGTCCGAGAAGAGGATGATGGAAACGACTGCCGAAACCGAACGATGATGATGACGGTGATGATTTGGTGCTTCGTTAGAGTTGCCGAATTCGATGAGATTGATGGATTTGGAGATTGATGAACTATTGTGATGTGATCAAACAAAATCCAGTTCAAAAGCGGGGTGAAGGATGTCAAATGGAATAAAAGGAACGAGTTAGACGTTATTCGATGCCCGTAAATTGGGACGAAGCTTCATTCATAAACAGAGACTGCTGAAGTGATAAGTGGCGCGTCTAGAAGCGTGAGCCTTTTACGCGTCAAGGTCTTAAAGTGGTGAGTTCTTGGTGTTAGTCGTATCCCAGTCTGAAGTGACAAGCACAAAGGTCAATCTCCTTCGCCAAATTACTTCCAGACATACTCGACCTAGGCGACAATGGTGACATTTCCGCATTCTGACTACCGAGTGCCGTTGCTCAAGTGCTTTGTTGTTCCATCGTTCCCTATCGGCGAGTCTTGGGGAGCAAGTGCTAGTGTATAGGTTCTCTGGGTGGTACTACTTGAACATGGACAGTCCTGGCTTGACCCGCATTTGACATATGCAAGGCCGTTGAACATCGGGAAGATCTTGCAGACGCTGCGTCCGCGGCTGCTACTTACCGTTGCCAAGAAAACAGTGTTGATAACACGTTCGTTTACAACACGTGCCACGTCCGTGAGAGATCCTTGCAGGCAAGTCATTCGTATTTTAGAAACAATGTTGAGTGAGAAAGTCTTCTGCTGAATATTCATAATAGGGTTTCCTATTCGATCGTAACTTTACAAGAGATCGCATGATTTTGACTCAGCTAAATTGTTCATTGAAAGAAAGACTTGATGTCTTATACATTCTGAGTCGTCTCACCAGGTTGCTGCAACCATGGAGATTTTTCAAGTTATCACAGTTTCTCCTGCACAGATGCGATGGCCTGCAACTACTTCAGATACACCTGCAAAGTATCTGAGACCTCCAATGACTGGTTTCTTCTGGACGAGCAATGATTGAGCATAATCTCTATCGTACGTGTGAGAACGTACTCCCCAGATTGCCCATCTCAGTGTCACGTCTTTGCAGCCCTAATCCAAGTATGATAACTATATAGGAGATATTCAATGCTGAATGTGTTAGTTTTACCACAAGGTGTTTACACTACAGACAATGTCAGACCAAAACGCAGAGTACTGCAAACGTTTTATAGTAGTTAAGCAAAGACGGCACAGGAAATTCACTCGACTTTGTAAAAAGTGAGGGCACTTGTCAGGAGCAAGATCATTGAGGTGGCTGATTACTGCTTGTGATTCGTACTTTCGCTTCAGTTACCGAAACTATTATTAACAGGTCACCAGCGGTTCCAAGGAAGGACCAAGTTGTGATGGGTAAAAAGGACGTCGTCTGGTTCCGCATGTGTACAATAATGTATTGCCAGGGCTTGACATTGAACGGTCGAGCCACATCATTCCCCGGGTGGCACTTCGAAACGAACAGTAACACAATTAATTATGATGGGAACTTGGAGACTCGGAGTACATGGTGACATCGTGTTTCTCTTTTCATTGTCAATGTTACTAGAAAGCCGAGCCGAGAATCTTGCATGCAGTCCTCGAGACTGGTGGGTACAATAAACAGGATGCATTCTTTCCCGCTCTTCGTTTTGCTGCCCGTACTTGTCAGTTCAAGGCAGCGCACACTCCGACCATGTCGCACGCAATCAACCAGACTTGATGGGATTGCGGCCCGACTGATTTCTGCAAAACGTCAATCAATTAATCTCGGATACATCGGCCGGCTGCAGGTTGTGTAATCTATTCGGCTTTCTTTGCTGCTTCGCGCAGCTCAGGGGCAGTGCTCTCTTCCATCTTGGACTCCTTTGCCTCGATGTCAGCAGCCCACAATGCAGCGCCCACTATATACGTTGTCAGATTGGTGAATTCATCGTTTATCGAACTTGCACTTACCAGTGTTTGTGAAAGCGAATAGCATGGACGCGAACGGAATCAGCTCAAGAACCGTGGCGGCGATTCCAAAAGAAGAGTAAGCTCCGGTGTGCTGCTCCAACCATTGAGCTCGTCGAGATGGGGACCACCTTTTCAGTTGGAAGTAGCGATCATGAACACCCCGACCACGAGTTCGACCTTGAATTCCGATGAAGATGATGGTTCCGACGATAGGAATGAAGTTGAGAGGCAAGTACATGACGTAGCGGATTAGAGCCTTGGGACTGTACTTCTCGAAGGGGCTCTTCAAAATCTTGCCCAGTCGCTGCATAGGATCACTACCAGACTTCAACTCTCGACCCTCGCTCACGATACCAGCAGCGTTTCGGGAAACCAATGTTCCATCGAATGTGTCGAGTAGCGCATCCTGAAGGAAGAAGTTGCGGGAGACGAGTGACACAATGGTCGAGCTCTCGTTGAGAATGAGTAGAACTGTGGTGAAGACAGCCAACGGCCCGTTGACAAAAACCAGGATAGCCAGCTGAGGAAGATACGTGAAAAAGAACATGCCACTGATGACAGCAACTGATAAGCTGAGAGTGGGGATGATTCGTGACGCGAATGGTTTCCAGAGGGAGCGATGGGTCAAGAAGTAGACAATTCCTCTGAACGGGTACAGGAAAGAGCCGCTTCGAGCTGCATCGACAGCAAGTGCTCTTGCCTTTTCATAATCCTCTTTGCTTCTGGCCGTTAGCAAGGCGCTTTAGTTCTCCTAGGAAACGGCTACTTACGCGACCTCTTGGGCCTTGGCCTGGACGTGGCCTGCGAATCCAGAAGACTTGGATTCAGACATCGTGGCGGGACAGCAGACGTCGATGAACGGTATGGGTTCTTTTTTTTTTTTTTGAACCAAAGATTGTTATTATGTGGAGTTGGATGAGTTTTTGTCTTCTTGAGTTTGCAGAATATCGCAAATTTGTGGAAAGAAAACAAATGGTCGTCATATGCCAGCTCTCAGTGACGCTGTGAATCAACAATGAGAGCTGGCAACATTATGTCGTCATAGTGTCGCTACATGTGCCCCGTGTACCCCACATTCTTGTTTTTCAATGTAGTCAGTGGCGGACGGCTGAGGCACGCACTTACTTGGATGATTAAAGGACGAGGCGGCAACATAAACCACGGGAAATTGGCCCTGCTGTTTGTAGTCTTTAATCGATGAGAATGCAAACCGTTTGTCAGATATAATACATCCCAATCTGGACTTCCTTGAGCAGCATACTTCTCCCCAGCATACTTGGCTACTGTACTCAATCCAGCAGTCGGAAGATGCACGCTAGAAAGTCGAAGAGGCGCTATCAACTCATGCCACATAACTAACCTTACATAACTAATAGCTTCTCAGTGCCTTAGCAACATTTTGCATGCCTCATTCTCTATGATAAATCAATTATTATCAATCTAGCGATGTTTTGACGTTCTTACTCTCGGATGGCAAATGCTGCGTCTGCTAAGATCTGATTGAGTGGTTGAACCTAAGCTTGTGCGACCTTAGGCCAGAGTCGATAGACGCGCCACTAGTCTACTATGAACATTGAGGTTATTCCGTGGTCGCAGAACATGGAATCGGTAGACTATGTCGAAACCATCTGAAAAAAGGTTACGCGCCGCTTCATCGCAACTGTAACGGCAGTTGTGTGAAATCACAAAGAAGGTTCGAGTTATACCAAGCCAGGTATGTGATTTGCCGTTGAAAGCATCCTATTCGCCGTACTTGGATAACCCAACTTGAAACGTGATTGCCAAGAGCGGACCAAAACTCCAGTGCACACTGAAGCCCGCGGACCAGATCTCAGATACAGTGAGCCATGCTGTGAGTCCCAGTACAGCTGCTGTCAAACAAGAGAACGCTCAAACACATCGTTCAAAATATGCTGAGAAGCCAGGTTGAGTTTCTTATAAGTCGCATTTAGTCTAGTACTACTTAATTACCTCAGGAGCCCCATACGTACATTATCCTACGTTGACAATATGAGCAGCCCGGTATAGTTCAAGTTCAGTACAGACAATATGGCAATGATCTCAGCTCTCGTCTTGAGACCCATATTGATCATTTTCTAACTCTTCCCAAGTCTATGAACCATGTTCTCCTGTAATGTTCCGCAGCTACGAGATCTGGTATTCTATTATTGTCCTTACCTGACCATACCAAGATTGTCATGCAAACGGCCCAGCCAACAATGTATGCCACTTTGCAGTCATGAGAGACCTCACTCAATGTCTAAGCACGTTTTAGAGCACGAGAAATCAAAAGGGTGGAAGACTTTGGCCAATCGTTTGAGAAAAACTCAAAGACAAATGTCGGGGTGTTCTTGTCGAGAATCAGTTGTTAAACCTCGGCATATAAACAACAGCTTGCAACATTGTGGAGCATTCGATACCAAGAGTTGAACCTGCAGCATAGTCTACCCAAAAGAAATTGAGCTCTAGTTTGAGGCATTAGTGCCGCACAACTCGTAGCCATTGGCTACACCACGGTATTTTCTGTGCTCATTGGTAGATTCTCACGATGGAGCGCATCGGCTATAGGAGCCGAAACCTCTCGACTCCCCAACATCCGTGTCATCTGATAGCCCCATGCACCCTCGGGTAAAATAGAGTTATTCATAGCTCGAAAATTTTGGTCTAATTATTGTCCTCGTGGACAGTGCAACGCATCGATTGGTCTACCCGTGGGCGCCAACAATGTGTCAACGATTAAACCCGGGGAAATGCCCCAAAGTGGGCACGACCGGCAGATATAATAAGCTTATCTGCCTATGCACCCCGCAGAGCCACCAGGGATTGGAGCTGCCCCTTTCCTCGCAGTTTCCCGCTGCTGTCAACTCAAGGCACCGAATTAGTCGGCCATGGGCCGTATCTGGCAGGCGACAAGGCAATCGCAAGCCGGTTTCCCGGCCCCTGCAGATTGACTATATACCGCCTTCCGGGATAACTGCATGAGTGTTCGCGTAGAACTCGGTGGGTTCCCATGTCTCGACGAATGCCGAGACACCAAGGCCGACTAATGCGATGCTGGTCGAAACCAGAAGAGAGGCAATGCTGGCAACCTGGCATCCTTGAACGCAGTGGAAGACGCATAGCAGTCCCTTCCAATTGGTCTCAAGGACTATAGCAGCTTGGCCAGATTTCGACCTGCTGTTCTGGACAACTTGGCGCAGCATGGTAAGGGGATTGTGGTCGCAAACACGAATCACATGGCCGCTTACCAGTATCATGATCGGGGGTATGGGAGAGAGTTTGGCCGTCGGTCACTCACGTGGAATAGATGACGGAGAATCGCAAAGGTATATCAGCAGCATCTGCTGCTGCGAGCTTTAGGAACTTTCTGCGAACGGTAGGGATCAGCCAAGTCACCGACAACATCCTCAAGTCTCCAGAGATCTCGTGCCGCCTTCCTCCACCATGAAGTTCTCTCTGTCTATCGCTCAAGCCTTCTTGGTGGCCCTTGTCGCCTCGGCCCCCGTCGAGATCTTGGAGCGCAAGACATACGGAACCACGGCCAACGAGTACACACAGGGTACTTGTAAGAGTGTCATCTTGTTCTTCGCCCGTGGAACCACCCAAGCCGGCAACCTCGTAAGCTAGAGCATCCTCCTACTAGAGATAAATAGACTAAGATTATCGTCACAGGGTGACATGCCAGGGCAGCAATTTGCGACCGCCCTCAGCAACGCTATTGGCACAGACTTCGCGGCTCAGGGCATCAGCTATTCGGCCAGCCTTGTCGGAAACCTGGCATCCGGCGGGTGCCCCGCGGACGAGGCCGAGGACATGGCTGTGCTCATCACCCAGGCGGCGACCAAGTGCCCGAGCGCCAAGCTCGTGGTGGCCGGATACAGCCAAGGTGCGGCGATGGTCCACCGTTCCATCGAGCAGCTCTCCGCTGCCACCGTGGCCAAGATTGCCGCCGCCGTAACGTTCGGCGACACGCAGAAACAGCAGGATGGTGGCAAGATCCCCAACATTGCTGTTGCCAAGACGAAGATCTACTGCAACTCGGGCGACCTGGTGTGCCAGGGTACCCTCATCATCACCAGCGCTCACGGCGACTACACTTCCAGCGTCAACCCTGCGGTTACGTTCATTAAGACTCTTTTGTAGGATTGAAATCAAGAAACCGGTTGATGCCTTGCTTAGTCTCATTGGATAGTCAGTCCTCGGGTTTATTCAACGTATATCATGGAAGTCTGAAGCAGCCTATACCATGTTGGCAAGACTGTAGATTCCCTCAAAACATTCCAGTGGTTGGGGTTGAGGTTGAGGTTTATATGATTGCGAAGTCTCCTAGCGCTTTTGATGCTCTATTAGCATTGGGGTAGTCTGAAGTTGCTTAAAATCAAACTCGATTGCCATGTTGCAAAGTCAAAGTCTCGCGAAGCGTTTTCAATTGCTACGTAGTTCTATCATAGATTAGGTAGGACAAAGTTGAAGTCTAGCAGCACCTATACTTTCTCAGCTTCTGTCACTCTCTGACCTTCTGTTGCGTCCACCTGCATCACATCAGTGCCGACCTTTTCGGGAGGCGGCTGTGTAGGAGAAGTTGGAATATCCGATATCGAGGAAGCAGGAAGCCTGGAAGAGCCTGAAAGATCTGACGTGGAGGAATTAGGGCACTCCTGAGCCGTAGAAAGGTCGGGCGAGTTGTTTCTGTTGATGCTAGGTAGCATCGGTGACTCTGGCGAACGAGCGGGTGTGGCCACAGATGGGCTGCTGAGGGTGTCGATGACGAGTGGATCAATAAGATACCATTTTACCTGAGGCTTGAGTCAGCATCGATATTACAAGAATTCCTTTAACCGCTGCAATTCTGAGCACGTGCTCACAGCCATACACTTCTTGACGGATGATGTCAAAATTCTAGAACCACAACTTACCGTGATACCGTGTCGTGCCAAAAGCTCAACCTCAACTTCCAGTTCGTGCAGCAGCTTATATGAGCCCAGTCGATATGCCGGGTGATACATCCCGCCGTCTAGTGTCCTGTAGGTCTCTGACCATTCCTTCCACCAGATGCAACCGCCTAGTGCTGTGACAAACTGAACGAGGTCTAAATTCGACAGCAATACCACTATACGAAAAATGCTTGCTCTGCCTATAAATGTATGACTGTTTGTCCGGACCGAAGCCGTGATCGTCGAAACCCTGTCAGACAATACTTCTTGACGAGCCGTCCGGAGCATCTTGACCGTCGCCCCAATGAAAGCCTCGCGAGGCTGCAAATGTTCAACACCGCCATTATATTTAGAGTTGGGAGCGAACTGGTAGCCTCCGTCTTTAACCCAACACACCAGCGTGCGCTTATCACGCATGGCGACGTGAGAAGGATGTGTTGCCGCCGCTTTGTCTCCCTCAGCACCCGAAAGCCAAACCAGATCGCACTCCTTGCAGTGGTGGAACCACTCATCTCTGGGCGCGATTTCCGGTGGCCGGGTAATGTCTATACTTCTCAGATCAAATTCTTGTTCCACCTTGAGGCCATCTGGGAGCTCGCTGTCGCCGTCGAGCCCGGCCGTCAGTCCCAAGTGCGCATCAAGCTGCGGGATAAACAGCGCATCCTGACCTCTACACGGCGCTGCCCTTCTCTCCTTATTCGATGAGTAGTACAAGGAGATGTCGTGACCGCCGTCTATGTCGCAGTTGTAGCTATGCAGACATACGAAACATGTTCTTCGCCCGTGTAACTCGCAAGTCGGTATTGGCTGCCGGTCATCTTGAAACAATTGATCCATATTCGTCCACTGAGAAACAACCGTATCCACCCAAAAAAGTTGTATCGAAGAATTTTACTTAAAGGAATGTCTATTAGATCACGTATCAGTGTTTGGTTACCAAAAAAAATAAAGGCTGGCTAAAGTTGGGGCGGTTCTTGAATTGTACTTACAGAAGTTGCACCCCAGAACAAGGAAAACGTCGTAATTGCTTTGAGCACATTTGTTAACTCACAGAGAAAGAAACTTCCAGGATAGGCTACTTAATCTCTCTTTCTTTTTCTAAACGAAGGTTCCGGAAGTTATGATTAATTATGCAACACGACGTCTCACCAACTCCCTACCTAGTTAAATGGACCACATGCAGAGTTCCAACTAAGTGTTTTAGGTGTTTGTCCAATATCTTTTATTAGCTAATAATCTTAAAAGAACCGCCCATGAAGTGGTTCGTCATCTGCGGGTGCATCTGATTGAGCACATTACTATGAATAATATGATTATTGCAACGCCGAACCCGATAAATATGTGCATTAAGATGATTGTTGGTTTCCGTCCTTGTCCACGGTATATCGTCCCGACACATAGAGCCAGGCTTGTGATGTGGAACATTATTGTATATGTTAGGTTTTTTTTCTTCTTCGTAGCATCGTTATTTCAGGATAAGGGCGATTTGGCTATCCTCTAGGTCCGTATACTAGACGGTAGTGTATTCGGAGCTGCTCGATGTGTTTGCCACAGAGTGTCCATATACTTGCTTTTGATCAGCTCTTTCGCCAGAAAAGGTGTGATTGTCGAGCGCATTCTCCTCCTTGAGCTTCTCACCGGGTGCATCTGCCTCTTCAGCCACCTCTTGCGCTGGGGTCATGCGTCGGCTCGTAGGTCCCCTGAGACTAGTGATAGAAGCCTTACTACGTGGAGCACCAGAAATACTAGTCCTAGGCTGGTCCCGTGTTTGACCAGTGCTCAGCCTTCTTACCAGCGCTGTGTTTGCTCTCTCTGTCTGTGCTTGCCACGAAGAGAAATCCCTCGAACTCCAAGAGGCGCGATGAGGACGTGCAGCTCGTGGCAAGCTACTCACCGAGTGCCGCGAGCTGACACTATTCGTGCGGCGCATTCGAGTCGCAGGATGAGCTGTGGGTGCTGACGGATTCGCATGGTGCAGAGGTGGTTCAATTTCTTCCAAATAGTCATCGTCCTCGTCTTCAATCTTGGATATACGGCGGACACTCGTGACAGCAAATCGCGGCTCTTTGGGCCGCGCTGGTACCGCCTTCTCGTCTGGGTCAGATGCACTGATCATTGACCTGCGCCTCTCAGCCGGTGGCGCCCTTTTGTCCAGCGCTTTGATTGCGATGTGCTCGAAGTATTTAATCCTGACGCCTTCAAGTCGCTGGGACGAAAAGTCTTCGCGATTCCTGGTGAGCGACATCCATGAGGAAATACCCCCCAGAACGATTAAAATCAGAATTGCAATAGTGATCAAGGCTTGAACGACAATAATCACAACGCCAATAACTGTTGTAACAATACGGTCGAGATTGAAGTCGGGCAGGAAAGCTACGGACAGTCCCGTCGTGACGAGCTTGCTGATGCCAAGAAGCCAAACAGCGGTTGCAGTATTTCGCTGGCCCTCGTAAGGGTTGATAGCTGCAATGGCCACAAGGGACAGTATATCGACGATGAAGAGGCCAAATATCTGTGCCAAAGGGTTTGTCGTTGCCCCGCCAATGAAACAAGCACGCACGAATTGATAGGCCAACCAGAAGATGAAATACCACCATCGCGATAGACGATAGCGAGCGTAGAGCCAACCAAATCGCTTGATGTAGTCCACATCGTTGTGGACTTTGGGTCGGTCAGGTTGATCGTCCACAAAGTGGCAACGAATGAATGGCACCGAAGCTGCAGGTCGCCGCGCGAACTCTTGTTCCCCTAACTGACTAAGGCGGATAGGAACAAGGAACGGAATGCAACCCATAATGACACCCCGATGCAAGAGAATGCGGTCTGGCTCCACGGCAAATTTCCCGAGTCGAAGACGAGATCGAAGTGCATACGCAGCAAGACCGCCAAGTCCAAGTGTGAAGACAGCGAAAACGATGGCAGCAATAACCAGTGGTCCTGTCTTTCCAGCATGTGAAAACTGGAACATCGTCATAATGCACATGGCAGAGAAAGCGATGAACAGTACCCGGAGGAGGCTTACGCTGATGTAGCCTCTCCAGTGGCTTCGAAAATAGTCGAGACGATCTTGTTTGATCCATTTGAGGCGGGCCAGACCTTCCAATGCAAGTTTAAAGACCACTAGAAGAAGCGTTACGCATGCAAGTATGACCAATAGCCAGATAAAGCTGATCATGAACGCATCGGAAGCAGGTATGCCGAGCTCGGAAAGTGTGCCCGCGAAGCCACTCCAATCTGCTGGAATTGGCATCCCAGGAGTAACTGGGTTCCCATTCCAGTCATAATCGTACGGGTCGCTATCGTTATGGGCTTGTCGTCCCATAATCGTGGTGCCATAGTCAATAGCTTTCGGCGCTCTTCTCTCAAAAACACCCACCAGCTCACTTGCTAAAGAGCGGCCGTAAATTTGTTGAGCGAGACCACCGCCATTATTGTTAATGATTGTCGAACCTGCACCCCCGACTTGACTTGCGTTTCCACTTACGCCAGCAAATCCGTCTATCGACTGTATCATACCCTTGATAGGTATAAAGCCCGCTGTCCAAGCAAAGTTTGACCACCAGGCAGAGAGAACACTCGGCCAGTTCAAAGAAAGAGAACCTGAGAAGAATATAGACTGGAATGTCTCAAAGATTATAAGTACGGAAAACGAATGAGCGTAGTGCATCCTCATATGAGGTATGCTGACACCATAAGCCGCCGTTGCGAACGATGCCACAACAGCAACAGCAGTGAAAACTCCTAAAACAGAGCCCATAGCCTTCGGCTGGGAGAAGGTGGCGCCGTTTCTCATTACAGCTTGGAAACAACCAATCTCGGTCTGGCTGGAGTTTGAAAACAATTGAATGCGGGCGTAACCTTCAAAATCGGGTATCTCATAGGCGATTTGAGGGATCCCTGACATCTGCATCTGTCCTACCGGGAACAGGGCAAAGGCGGTAATGGGAACACTGGCGTTCATGGGACATAGGCTATAGATGTTGACGTAGCAAGGGTCGAATGCCATTGTGAATCTGGTAGTGCCGTAGGCACCAACCGATATATACACTGTGGACTCTTAGCTCGGAAGAACAGTTCATGTATACTACATCCGCACTTACACATCAATGACTCGCTCTTCAGATTCGTGGTACCATCGAGGTGGAAGAGTATAGTTGAGTTGTCATAGTAGAAGGCGGCATCAAACTTTGTGACATTAAGCAGACTTTGTCCGCCTAAGCAATCCCCAAAATCCCCTGTATACAACGCTGGCGTTCGGTCCGCAGCCAAATGGTTGTTTGTCACGCCGTCAAGAGAAGTGCCACTTATATATGTAGTCGCCCGGGCGCTTGCTGCTGTGATAAGGCAACTGGCGGCCCAGAGTGCCGATCGCTTTGACCGGCGGGTCAGCGACATCGTCACGGGATGAACACGATGCTCAGTCGTTCGAGTACTCGGGGGAGCTGGGTGGTTGTAGTATCGTTTTCGCTCGGAGTATAGGCGGTATTGCAGTTCAGTGTAGGCTGCTTCCCACCGGTGGAAACATCCTAGCGACGTGCCAGTTTAGTGCCCGTTGTCAACCAGATGGTCGCTGCCAATATCGTTCGAGAGGCAAGGAACGTCGGCGACGGGACCGGTATTCGAGCTTCAATGGCTGTCTAGAGTCGCGATTTGGTATTTCAGTGTTTATCTCTCCGACGAATAATTCGAAGGAACGGGCGAAAAGTATAAATCGGACCGTATGTGCGGACGAGCCAATGGCCTGGAATGTATTATCGGTGTGGTTGGCTGTCTCAGCTACGCAGGCGCTGGCGCTTATGGTTATGGCGGGGAAGTCAGAGCAAGTCCGAACTCTCGTAGAAGGTGCTGCTGCTGTTGCCAAATGGCTGCCAGAATTAAACGTTCACTCCTGCTTATTAGATCAAAGGTTCTTGGTTCGTGCCAACATGGTGACGTCCAAGGAAGAGGAGCGAAATGGTGTGAATAGAAGGGAGTGACTTTATCGCAATCTGCATGTTATTATCTTGTCGCGGATGTCGAGCTCTCTGACCCCTGCGAACCACCCCGGCTCAGCAGTGAGCCCGACAACAACAAATACAATGTGGTACGCCACAAGGTTTCTTATCACATGTGCGAGTAATTGCCTGGGGGGAGTGAGTACAGTTTTGCCCAAACACTAGAAACGCAATTGCAAGTGATTGCGGACCTGTGCTCACTTGCTGAGAAGCTCCTACTTGACCGACTCAATGGTCCATAGGTCCCAATTGCATCTCCGATTACGTTCACGCATATGCTACTGTGTCCGGTGAACAAGATGTCCAACCTGACGAACGATATGTAGTGATTGACTCCTCCGGAGACTTCGGATCATGCCATGCAGCATCGAGTTGTGCCCAGTGAGGCATGCAGCCCCTCAACGCAATCCATGCACGCCGACACATTGCAGACGGATAAGGTAAGGCACCTACTGTGTTACGATATGCCACTCCCGAAACCTTACTGAGCCCAACAAAGTCCATCATGTAGCCAAACAGCGGGCCAAAGTTCGAAACGACATGTCTGTAAAGCCTGAGGGAATACGAAGAGATCAGCTAGCTTGTCCTCGCCAACAATTCTGGCTGCTCAAATAACGCTCGACAGGACGTTTTCGAGCGCTGACTTCAACCTCGACAACGCATGATCAACCGGAAACGCGGCCGAGGACAAGAGCGCCAAGACTGATACCGTAGCGGGGATTATGACACTAATTTCGGTGAATGTATACTTAAGGGATTATTAGCGGTCTCTCGGTGCTCCGCTCGCGACTATAGTTGCTCACAATCACAAAACCGTAATTAGGAGTCGCGTGTTATGTTTCTCAATGCATGTCATCTAGGTCCTTGTTCAAAGTCAAATTCTCTCGGTATCTGCATTCATATGACCACCTAGGTTAGAACAGAAGCAACATCATCACCCAAGATAATACTTCACTCGCTGGTACTCCACAATTATCTTGAACGTGAGTAAAACCTAACATACATCCAATCCCAAATACTCCACCCGTCGTATCGTCTAGACTCCGAATCCTGAGATATGATCGTGGAATATGTTTGCGTGCACACCGCCGGAACGTAGTGGAAGGCTTGCGGTCTTTCTTGTTCCCCTTCGTCCTCTGACACTGGATCTTCATCCAGCAGATACTCGAGTCTCTCCTGATCGTGTATATGAGTGCCGTAACCATATTCGTCAGTGAGAACACCAAAGACACCGATGATGGGAGACATTTGGCAGATTGTGTTGACCAGTGAGTGATATAGCACATTCCAGGAGAGGCCGTGGCCCTTGTGGGGATCGACCTTGGCAGCAAGATGTCGTGGTTCACTAAAAATGTACAGGTAAGCATGTACCATCTCATGGACAAGTACAGCAAGCATATTCTTGCGGTCGCAAGTGGTTGTTCCATCCGAGCAGTACCGAAATACCGTTATGCGCCCAGAATCATGTTTGTATAGGCCTAATACGTTGCGTCCAGACAGCCGGCTGGTGGGTTCGTGATGGCCTACAGACAGCCTTACCCCGTGCTTGAACAGTTTACGCTGAAAGAAATACCAGTCCAATATGGTGAACGCCCCTTTCATAAGTTCATCAATAGCTTTTCTGTGACACGCCTCATAAATTCTGGCGAAATCATCCCTGAGTTCTGCCCGAAAGCCGTACAAGTTAGTACCTTGGGGAACAGATATTAGTGCCAAACGTACGAGATCATCAGGGTCATGTAATCCAGGAGTGATGCAGTCCATTTTTGTGTGAGTTGAGCGTTATCAGAGTCAAACTTGGAATTTCGGATGCACTGTTTAGATACTACATGATATGCTTTCTGCATGCATCTTATTTCTCGTATACTCGGTGCCGTCTTTATTGCTGCCACATCTACCATATCGCATGCAGAACCTAGATTATTGAGCACAAGACCACTATATATGCGAGAGAAGTTAGTGATTCGCCATTTATATATGGGGGCGTTCTTGATAAAGAATTATAAGCTATAAGGCAATGTACTATAAGACAACAAAGGGATTTGCATCATTACTGGACGTAACAAAGCAATATATGATTACTAAGAGTCAGTAAAACATATAACACCTTACTTTCTACGATGATGACTTTGATTTCTCACGTCGAATATCTACTCTAACCAGGCTGCGGCCTTTGGGGAAGACGAGGAGTAAGACTGATGGTTATCTGAACAGTACAGGCTCCTTTCAAGCAGACGTCATGTGAATACATTTACTAACCATAATATTTCTCCTCGTAGTAATCACGATCATCTGAAGCTTACTATGGACAACAACATTGCGCCAGCATAACAGGTTCTTACAGGCGTCTTGACCTTCTTTTCGTTTCGACAAATAATTATATCTTCGGAAACGATGTGGTGTAGTAGCCCCGCCGAGCATGCTCAAGGAATGCTGTGACAAGAACCCAACATACCCTCTGAGACCCGCCAACTCGATACCTCTGCTCACGACATCATTGAGGTTATCTTGTCCAAACACCCCCAAAGACTACCCCAGACGATAGCTCGGCATATCTAGAGCATCGAACACAAACAACACCCGGTACATATTATACCTCCTTGATTTATCTTTTGCCTCTCTGCTATGATTACAAACACGAAACCCACAGGTCATACCTACACACGCAGGCTATTTTCATCTGCCAGCAGCTCTTATCATCCCCAGGTTTCTTGTTCTATACCTCGAAATCACAATGAAACTATCAGTCGTGTCACAGTACGAAACCAATTCAACGCAACGAGTGCTAGTGGTGAGTTTCCTTGCCGTTTCCTTTGTCCTCAAGACCTTTGTCGCCAAGTTATGGTAATATTTACAAAATCATTTAGCATTCCAGCGGGAACGCACTGAGCACCGAAAAGGGATGTGGGATTCTGAACGCAGCTTTCGCCTTTGTTCTGATTTATGCCGAGACATGCACGAACCAAGCTAGCTAGCAGGTGCTTGGCAGATTCATAACGTCACATAATCATAGCAGCTGCTGACCCGTATTCCATTCACCTCACCTCGGTGTTCTGTTTCATGATCCCGCGTCATGGTTACACGACTGATTATTATCGCGTCCCTGCACCGGAATCATTGCATAATGCTTGCTTCTTCCTGAACCTCAATGGTTGTATTTTCGTAGGCGACGCTGATAACCACCGGCATCCGGCGGACGAACAAGAGAAAGAGACGCGATAGGTCTTCAGTAGCAACAAGCAAATCGGTATCTTCGTTCGTGTCGATTTATATAACAGATCATCCCAAAAACTCGCTTGCATACGGAACGTCATCTCGCGATCCCTCGCCGTAGTGAAGTAGTCAAGAGGAAAAGGGCGTAGAAAATGAAATAAAAGGATTCAAAAAGCCAAATAAAAACTCCGGTCCCATGCAAAGATGCAGCAGTGAGATGAGACGCAAGACCATCTTCCATGCCATGATGCAATGAATATATCTCATGAATCCACTTTGGTGGCCAACACCTGCTCCATATCGGTGTTGTACTGTTTGTGAAACTTCCACGACACCACTTTAACCCAACCTCCGATTCCCCATCAACCTAGTTCTCTTCGTCATCTTCCTCGATGGGCGCCGGTGTCCTGCGCTCAGTCCTGCGCTTCGGCCTACGGTGTCTGCTACTACTGATATTGCTTGCCGAATCATCAGGCGCCAGACTCTCCATATCATCACCGCCCCAATCACTCTCACTCTCATCCTCGCCCGTGGCCCAGTAAGGGCGGTCGAAGCCGTTAACACTGCCGCCACTCTGCGGCAGGACCGAGGGGCCTGCTCTTCGCTGCTGCATACTCATCATAAGACCGGTGTTGCGCTGCCGCAGGGCTATCCGGACCATTTCCGCACGATGGTGGAGTTTCTCGAATGCGTCCTCGAGAGCTTCCATGCCTTGGTAGATCTCGCGTTCGACTTCGGCGAGGACGGCGATCTCAAGCTCCTCGTCGTGCGATACGGCCTGTCGGTTGTGTCCTTGTGTTGCCGAGGAGGACAGCGAGACGAATGACGCAGGCGTCGCGCCGCGGCTGTACATGCCTGAGAAAGGCGTCGTGTTTCTCGAGGCGCCAAGCCCAGGCGCTTGACGTGACATGCCTGTGCCTGGTCGCGAAGTTGGAGGCGAGAAGAAACCGGATGCGGGAGTTCCACCGCGAGAGTTGGGGTATTCTGCTGTCGGCGTGGTGCCGTCATCGCCGTCTGCTCCGGACCACAAAAACCCATCAAAGCGACCGGAAGTCAATATCTCCCATTCCTGTGGGCTAATATCGTGGATGGTGACAAGCAAGTCGTGGTGGAACGGGTTCTTGACGAGATACATGGCGACCTCGGCATCACGAGGAGTCTGAGACAACTTGTATAGACGCTGTAGTGACAGCCCTAACTTGACGATAAAGTCTGAACGAGGCTTACGCACGTTCGGCGTAGGGGCTCTGACATCGGGCTTCAACTCGTGTGACCCAGCTAGAAGGGCGTTGAAGTATGGACGTTCTTCGGTTTCAAGACTGGTCAAGATGGCGAAGGTGAGTGTCTCATCGTCAACATCTGTCGGTGGCGGTGCAGGCGCCTCAGAACACACGTTCAACCACTTGTCCACAGCGGACCTGACCTTCTTGGATTGTCGGAGATAGTGATCCCTGAATTCCTCGGCGATATCGGGATCCAGTTGTACGGGCGAAGATGGCCTGGGCGGTAAGTTGGTGAGCTTCTCCGTCGCTGCTGCGCTCAAGGTCGCGAGGTCAAAGGGTGGCCATTGGGGCAGCTCGACCCTGCCTCCAACTCTCTCAAGAACCTCTCCCCAGCCAAGTCCGCGGTGTTCCTCAGGCGTCTTGGCACACATGACACACGAGCAGCCTTCGGCAGGTAGGTCTCGCGAGAACACATCCTCCAGTCTGTCCAGCAACCGCCTCGCTACGGTCTTGTGGCCAGTTGCCACTGCCACCGAGCCTTGCTTGTGGATAACGTCCTGATATTTATCCAGAAGATTGAAGAAGGGCGCAAACATGACTTCAGTACCGACCAGGGGCGGATTTGAAGGACGTGAGCCGTTCTGCTTTGGTATGACGGAAAGGAAGTGCTTGGGTATAGGGTGCATCAGACCACCATTCTGCATGAGATAGTCGATTCTTGGTACATCCTGGATGTTGAGAGGCGGCGGCGGGGGAGGTGGTGGAGGTGGAGTACCAAAGTCGGTCATCGGTGTTGCGGCAGGCGTGGGACGATCCTTCTCGTCGAAAGCCACGGGAGGCTGTTGTCTCTCATTGGGAAATATTTGCGGGGGCGGGAACTGTGGTGTTGCGGTTGGGGTCTTCGGTGAAGAGTCCTGGACCGATTCTGGAGAATCGTCGTCAGTGCGGTCAGACCGCCTCGATTGCCTCGAGTTCATCCGCTTTGGGAGAACAGAGGTAGCAGCAGAGCGGGCGCCGGCCGTCTTGTCGTCACTGACAATAGAAGAATCGTCGTCGTCATCATCATCAACAAGATGGATATTGGGAGTCGCCTTCGACTTGACATAGGTAGCCTGACTGGATGTCTTGGACTTGGTAGACAGTTTTGATTTGTCGTCGCGCCTCGAACTCGACCTCGAAACGCCGCTGGTCCTCGAGCTCGGTCTGTCGTCACTTTCTCTAAGATGCGACGTCGAAGTATGGGTTCGTCGCTTCTCGCCCGACATTTCGGTGTCGGGCGGGCTCGGCGGTCGGTCATCCTTCTTCTTGGCCGTCTTCTTGCTGCCGCTGGCACTACTTCCGGAGCGACTGAGTGACTTGGACCTCTTGCTGACCTTGGAACCCAGGTCTGTCTGGTCGGGGGTGGGTGGTTCGCGGTCGGGCATTGGCGGCACGGAGAGATCCTCCCTGCTGGCGCCGACGAACTCCTTGCTATGGGCCTTGTTGAAAGTTGGGTAGGGCAAGCTGACCCTGCTGCCCTGCAGCGAACTCCTGCTCATCTCGGGGACCAGGTCGCTCATTGAGCCCGTCTTCCTCTTCCTCTCCTCACGCTCTCGCTCTTTCTCCTCTTTCCTCTCGCGGTGTCTCTGCAGCTTCTCCTCCTCGGTGCGAGGTCGGCGGTATGTGGTGGTCGAGGTCTGGGATTCTCCGTCGGCGGCCATCTTGGAGCTGCGCGACTTGGTGGACTTGTGAGTGCTGCGGTGGCGATGTTCTCTGTCACGGTCGCGGTCGCGGTCCCCGTCCCTATCTCTACCATCTCTCTCCCTCGACCGCTCGCGGCTCTTGACCCGCTCGCGCTCGCTCTTGCTCCGCCGGGGTCGCTCATCGCTGGCGGTAAGGACGCTTGCCGACACCTCGGACGCCCTGTCTTTGCTCGATGGGCCCATGGCTGGGGATTGGTAAACTAGTTGCTCTCTTTCCTTTGTCTCTCTCGCCTCACCCGTATCTCTAGCGTTCACCCACAGCAAGGCAGGACCGTTATAGTGTTAGGTGGAACCATGGGAGCCCAACCCGGGCCCGACCGCTATTTAGGTTCGGCAGGGAAGCGTTGTGCTGCTTGATCCAGATCTTGGATGGACAAGATGAGAACCAGTCGTCGATCTCCCGTGGTCGGGGGGATGATGTCAACGCAGATGCCGTCGCAGCTTTTGTGTCTTGGTCGGTCGTTCTTTTCTGTATTTTTTGGCTCTAGTCGGCGAAAAATGGTAACGGCTCAGAAGGATCAAACCATAGTAAGTTACCAGTAGTTAGTCAGTGAATTAGTTCAGAAACCCACGGGCAACCTCCCTAAAGGTCACAGTGCTAATAATACAAGGTAGGCAAGAGTGGTGGGCACCAGTGCATCTGAACGCAGGCGCAGACGCAAATGCACCCTTTTTCGTTCAAGCTCGGCGGCTGCACGTACTTTGATGAGCAACGTCACGAAACCTGATTCGATGGCAATGGGGGCAGCATCACAGAAACGGCAGGGGTCTGACAGCAGCCAGCCAGCCCAGCCTGATCCTGACCCCAAGCACTGGCGAGCTTGTTCGGCGGGGTCGATTGGGGGAGAGTTCGAAGGTAGACAGACCTACAGTACCAAGTAATTAACCTAGGCCGGGCTACCTTAACAACTAACGTAACACATGCGAATCATTGACACAGCCTTGACTGGTAATAAACAAATGGTGATTGCCTGCAGGAATACATGAACTGCATACCGACATTGGATTGGATTAAACACCATTCACAGCATTGTGTCTCAGAATGGCCAGTTTCATGGTCCAGAACGCTGGTTGCGCCGCTCCACGTATTCCCTTGGCGTCCTCGTCTCCATCCATGTGCTGTTGTGCATGTCTTGCCTTATTTATTCCAGCTAGCTGCACGCTCCAACTTTTGGACGGCTAACAGCCCTTGGGTGACGGCCTCTTTGGCTGAGAGTCATTGTGGGTTTGCCATAACAACTTTCAGCAGACCAAGCCATAACCTTCATGAATCCCTCCTTGTCGAGCGGCATGGGCTGCCAATTATCCACAACACGACTCAGCAGGAATCCCGTAGATCTGATTTACCCCCACGGCTGAATCGACATGTAGATTCCTGTCAGATTGCCATTACATTCATCCGTACCTACTACTTACCTATGCCACCAACACACCAAGTTACATATATACCCCATGCAGTACAGTACGAATAACAGCTGTCACGCCCCCAAGAGCAGCCGCCGCCAGGAGCTCCAGAAATAGCCCACCCGCTGCGGGCCATTTTGAACCAGCCAACCATCCGTGTTGGCAGCAAGTATTGAATACCCGCCTCCCACACCGCAAGAGCATCGGGTAGCAAAGTCTGCAATACCGCCAAATTTGTCAACCCCTCCCCTCCTTCTGTGAAAAAGTGCTAAGCGCTGGCATGAGCTGGCCATGATCTCGGGAAAACGCCATCATGATCTCGGAAATATTCGTAGTACGCACTCGGGAGCGAAAGGTCGTCTGATCGGGATGCCGTGCAGCCGTGCTCCTCGGAATCGAATAGATCGATGAGTGCATGGCATTCTCGTGCAAAGCGTCTCAGCGAGCACAAATGATGTGTTCGCTGGGGGGCAAGTGTTGCATACACGGCAAAATCTGCATTGCCTACATAGTATGACCTTCTCTTGGTAAGAGTGGACCATTATTACACATATTTGAGAGCAGCTTTCGGTCACGGAGAATGAGTCTGTACGGTTTTCAACAACCCATGCAGGGTTTGCCATTCGTTCTACATGACACTATGTAGTTGACTACAGATGTCTTCTCTCTATCTTTCAATGCTCGTGTCTCATTCCCAATGGCATCTCTAGCGATCCAACAATTTTGAAGAGTAAACATAACCCATGATGTGACCCAATGCATCCCAAAAACGCTAGGAAATGACCCCGCCATAACCCCATATTATGTATAGAAAACGACAACGCTTTATAGGCGGTCCAAGAGGCCCTTGCTCTCCAAGGTAAGGACGATCTGGTGGACAATAGCACGAACGCTCTGCTTCTCAGCATCAACAACCAAGTCAGGCTTGGCGGGGGTCTCGTAGGGGTCATCGACACCAGTGAAACCCTTGATCTCACCATCACGAGCACGCTTGTAGATGCCGCGCTTGTCCGTCTTCTCGCTGTACTCGAGGGAAGTAGCGACGTGGATGAGGTAGAAGTCACCGAACTTTTCGACGAGCTCCCGGGCGTTCTTACGGTCAATCTCGTAAGGGGCGATGGGGGCAGCAATGACGGCCGAGCCGGAACGGGTGAGCTCTCCAGCGACGAAGGCAATACGGCCGATGTTCTTGCTGCGATCCTCCTTGCTGAAGCCCAACTCTGCGGAAAGCTCGGATCGGACGGTCTCACCAAGCAGAAGGGTGACCGAACGGCCACCCTGCTGGTTCAGGGTAACCTGGAGGGCACGAGCGATCGCGTCCTTGCCACTGTTCTGGTAACCGGTCAAGAAGACGGTGAAACCTTGTTGCGATCGAGCAGGGTGCGACTCCCGCAGAACCTTGACGACCTCGGGGTATGAGAACCACTCGGGGATCTCACGGCCGCTTCGGAGTCTGGCACGGAGCTCGGTGCCAGAGATGTTGGCAGTGCGAACGTCCTTGGGGATGGTGTCAATGGGAGCGTACTCGTCGCTGTCGGGGAGGTAGGTCATCATCTGGAAGGGAACGACCTGGATGCCGAGCTCATCCTTGTACTTCTCAACAGCGTATTGGGCGTCATAGGGACCGTAGAAGTCGACACCCTTGCTGTTCTTGCCCGGACCGGCGTGGTCACGGCCAACAATGAAGTGGGTGGCACCATGGTTCTTGCGAATAATGGCGTGCCAGATAGCCTCACGGGGACCTCCCATTCTCATGGCCAATGGCAGAAGACCCAAGACTGCCATGCCGTTAGGGTATCTTGGCAGAAGCGCCTTGTAGACACGGACTCTGGTGAAGTGATCGATATCACCGGGCTTGGTCAGGCCGACAACGGGGTGAATGAGGACATTGGCGTGGTGCTGGCGAGCGGCGCGCACAGTCAGCTCACGGTGAGCGCGGTGCATGGGGTTTCTGGTCTGGAAAGCGACAACCTTGGTCCAGCCCAGCTTGTCGAAGTGTTGCCTGATCTCGGCGGGGGTGACTGTGGGCAAATGCTATCAGTAAATGCTTCATAGGGGGGGACTTGCCATTTCACTATAAAGTAGAGCTTACATCTGAGATCGACAAAGTCATAGTGCTGGAGACGGTTGATTGCCTCAATCTTTCCACCGACGTAGAACTCGCCAGCGGTCTTGTAGAGGTAGGCGACAGCAGGGTGCTCCTCGTCACCGCCGAAAACCTCCTTGGCCTCGAGCTGCCTATAATGAAGACGTGATTAGTGGCTGAAGTTACCAAGCGCTTGGCAGCTTGGCGCAAAGATAACTCACTTGTCAGGTCTGTAGACGTCCTCGACGGTGAGGATAGCCAGGTTGGCATCGTCACGGAGATCGCGCAGGGTGACACGCTGTCCGGGCTTGAGGCCGACCTCGTCGATTGTCTGTTGCGACAGATCTAGGGTGATGGGCATAGAGAAGAGAGCGCCATCGGCAAGACGGTTCTCCTTGACAACTCTGCAGGTCCCATATTAGCTTCAAATTTACTCAATTAGGTTTCAAATCGATCGCATACCCATTGTAATCAGCCTCGCTCATGAAACCTGCGCAGAACCATCGTGTCAGTTTCAGTTGGTCACAATTATGACTTTACGAAGTCTTTCTTCCCGCGCCCGAGTCAGGAACGCGAAAGTTATGACGACGATGGCGGGGCAGACTGCAGGACCCCGCCATGCGCCAAAAGAAAAGTTCATGGGTATAGATGGAGTCGAAGGCAAACTTACCCTCGAGAGGCGAGAAACCACCGTTCAGGATCAGTTCGAGATCGCAAAGTTGTCTCTCGGTCAGGGTGATGGCAGGAAGAGTCTCGGCCTCAGCAGAGAGCTCGTCGTGTCGGGGAGCATCTCGTGCAATGAGATCCTTGAGGATACCGCCGTGGGGTGTGTTGGCCATTTTGTGTATAAGTGAACGAGGTAAAGATCTAGTACTAGAGCAAATCTAACAACGAGGACTACTTCGCAACAACAACTGCAAAGAGGACAGGAAGGCAGGAGGAGGAGGAGGAGGAAATGTACCAGGGGAGGATAGATATGTAGAAGAAAGAGAATGGCGAAAGTAGCGAACTCGGAGAAAAGTAGGCTTCTTCTCACCTGCTTTTTATTGTAAGGCGTAACACCGCTGAGAAATGACAAGACCCCCCCAGACAAAGTACACTGACTTGAGACGACGGCCTCTCCGGGGAAATCTAGAAGGCAGACACAAATAGGTACACAGTTACCTACATGTGCTTTACTAAGAGATCGCAAACGGGAACATGCAATACGTCTGAGGCTCACATCGCTGCAGACTCCAAGAGTCCACAAAGAGACGAGCTTGACCCCATCGAGGCAATTAGTACCGGTCCGCGGAACCATTGAACCCACTCGCCCACACTGCAACCGCAGAATTCACGAGGTAGAGATGTGACGTTTTGTGCGAAAAGTCGCGATATGGAGTAGAAAGTATTGGTTATCGTTTCATTCCGATGGCGTGCTCACAAGCTACAACCGGTAGCTTGACTTGGATCCCGCACCCAACAAGGCGAGCGGCGACCTACTGGAGTAGGTAGGTAACTAGGTACCCCAGCCAGCTAGTCGTCTCGGTTCAAACCAGTATGCAGCAGCCGGCCGATATGATTTTGATTTTGGCAGTTCCGTATCATTGCCACGTGAAGGAAACGCAGGAACAGATGTCATAGTGTCACATGCGCCTGGGTCTGATAGTACTTCAAGATAGCTACCGTGAAGCAATTTGTGAAGGTGGCATCGAAGCGGTGCCCTAGTCTTCTCCGGGGATAAAAATGAACGACATGCACGACGCCAAGATCTGCTCCAAGGTGAGTAAAAAGAAGATTGCCGAGTACCCACCGCTTCCCGCCCATGGATTTTATAGCCGTATTTAGCGTCATCGCCGACAACCGTAACCGTAACGACAACCGTGCTTTTGAGTCCATGCAACTGGCCAGGTTTGACCTACGTTATCAATTATCACTCTGGAGAGAACTTCCATATTAGGCGTATATGACCTCGAAGATGGAACGTTGACTGATTCTTAAGGATACCTCACTATCAAAACGGGATTTTCGATGTGACGTAAGTACAACTACTATCTAGTCATGCTAGGTCATCTGCGTTGTCCTTTAGCCTATTTCGCCTCAAGCCGGAAAAGCAGACGAGCGATACCTATTCGAAGAACACGGGCTATTTGGGAGTCAAAATTTCAACTCATCCTAGGACTCAGAGACTGAATATAGCTTACAAGCACCATCTACATCATGCTAATACAAAATACATAAAATTTGTGTAAATACTGTCACCATAGAATATACCGCTAAGGGCCTTTTCTTCTTCTTTTTTTCTTCTTCCCCAAGTCAGTAGTGTGGCTGGCTAGAGTAAGAATAAAAAAGAGGAATAGAAAGAGGAATAAAAAAGAGGATAAAAAAAAAGGAGAGCGAAACAGTACTATACAACGAGACCTGATCTACCACGAATTGGGCACGAATTTGGCTGCGTGCTCCCAATTGAGGTCAACACCACATGTTTATCGCAAAAATTGATGATAACGGGGTCACTGTTTCGACTCATGCAAATCATTGAGGTATTGAACGCTATGTATCTCATATGCTACACGAGCTGAAGCCCGATCAATCGACATCTGGTACCGGCAAGTGGTCTACGAGCTTCATCCGAAGACCCAACTTCGCGAGAGCCTCTGTGGCATTTTTATCCCTCAGATCGTCAGTTTCCTTCTCAGTAACAAGGACAAAGTCGTGCTTCAGCAACCAATCTCCCTCCTTCACATTGTATTTCTCGGCGGTCTCCTTATCAACCTTATCGAGATCGACTATGAGGCTTTGCTTGACACCAAACACTGCATCGGATGTCTCGTAGGGGTCTCCTCGTAGATATAGGGCACTGTTCAGTTAGTCTCAGTTATACCAAAGTGTGGAATACAACCAAGTGGGACGAGCAGCGGTTTCTGGAGGATAGCTAAGGACAACATACGTAATCAACCGATCTAGGCCATCTTTTCCAAACATGAAATGCAAATGCGCGGGCCGCCAACAGTGTCGGCCGAGCTGCTCAAGTAGCTTACCCACAGGCCCATCGTGGGGGATTGGGTAGCTCACGGGCTTTATGGCTTTGAACCAGAACAGCCCGTTTTCATCACTCTCCATGACGCATCGCTCGCTCGCCACTTCGCGGCCAGCATGCTGTACATCATAGTGTCCAGAGCTGTCCGTTTCCCAGATATCGATCTTCACTCCTTGTATCGGCTTGCCGCTCGTGTCTTTCACGGTGCATATGCACAATAACGGCTCGCCTTCGGGATCCGAGGACATAGAGCCGCCGTTGGGCATTGTAGGTGCATCGTGCGTGTGGAATGGGCCTAATACAGAACCCTCGGTTGAAGCGGTTGGTTTGGGATGATTGATACTGTCGACGAGAAGCGATAGTCCGAGCACATCGGAAAGTAGGATGAACTCCTAGGAGTGCAATTGGGTCAGTTTCACGGCATTTTTTCATGGTTCGGGGGTTAGACATCACTTACATGGCGGACATCACTGCTGATCTGCCCACAGCCCACGAGGAAGTTCAACGCCGCCATCCATTCTTCGGTGCTCAATCTGGTCTCGCGCGCAAAGTCGTGGAGATGTGTCACGAGTCTTGACATGAGGTATTTTAGCCGCGCATCTTTGCATTGTGCGTTGATCAAGTTCGTGTTTGGTGTGATATTGTCGATCGTGAGATCCAAAAGAGGTGGTCCATCGTAACTTGGCGCCATTGTATCCAAGTCTAATCAACCGTACTACTAGATAAATACCACGAATCTTCTTGGTAGATGTGTGTTACAGACGCTTGTATTGATATACAGTTCGAGTATTGCTAAAAGTCTTATAAATGCTGAGTAATGGATCTGTCATTAGGGTATATGTACGCCTGAACGGCAACCCTTGGTTCACCATCGGCAGATAAGTGATAGGACTTGTCACGCGTATAGCATGACAATAGTAGACGCTGGTAGCAAATCAACAGCTATCCGCAGGTATCAGCCTGACCAGATGACACAAGAGTCATTCCTACCCAGAGCAATGTCATTGTGTTTCGGGTTTTCGGACGAGGCGGCTCTTGTAGAATGCCCGACCATGAGGTAAATGAACGCGTCGATGTGGGGTAAATGATAGGTTCGGGAGTGGAAGGCGGGATCGCGGGGTAAAAGTTATTTGATGTAGTGAAAGAAGACCACCGAGGTAATTGTCTTTAGGTATGCATGCGTCTACACTACCCCAACCCATCATATAGGGCGTCTAATAACATTGGCCTATTGAACGATGAATAGTGCAGATACGACTATCATATTGCGTATAGTGTTGCCCTTACACGAGTAAAGTCGGATATCAATCCAATTCCTTAAAGTCTGATCAACCTCTCATCTTGAGGCTATGTTGCCTTCAGCTTCTATAGTATTTCGAGACCGGACTTATATATAGTCGAAACACATGCAGGTAGGTTTCCTTGCAGAATAAGACCTCCCCATATTGCTCTTCCCCTGATCGTTCATTCTGCTGGTTTTATTAAGCGCTCAAGTGGGTCATGGTTGAGGCTGTATCAAAGCTGACGCAATTCTTTGGCAGTAAAACGGATGGGCTTGGCGTGGCAGTGTCAATGCCATGATATGATGTGAAGTCGCATTCTGCTGTCATACGGCACAGCCTGACCGAGAATAGGATTCTTCAGCTGTTGCCGCCAATCCAAACCATTGCTACTTGTCACCAAATGTTCAAGATCTGCTTGGGGGCGAGGCTTTGTTCTCTTCGCCTTGACTAATCACTTATACACTGAAATGATTTAATTAATTATTCTGAGACGAAGTTTTGCTTTCGGGATTTTTGCACAACTCTACAAAGTCACCACACTGTGTTCAGTTTGTGCACACCTTACACCAAGCCTCACCGTTACAGCTTTCCTGTTTCCTTTCTTTCAAATACGAGATGATATCTCCGTGATCATCAAGGACATAGTCGTCATTCCAACATGGACAACTTCACAGTTTCTACCTCGTGGGTGGCGCCAGGTATCGATGCACTCAACTCTAGCAGTGAAAACTGCAACGTGGGCGCCGCATGGATTGGAACAGCCATAAAAGGCCTGACCAGTGACGACCTGCGCAACAATGTACCACTTGGGTTGACGCTCAACTATCTTCGAACACTGGTCCCTAGTAATTGGCCGACAACAACGGACACGGACCTTTTTGCCTGGTACACCGAGTACTTGACCTCACCTGACAATGCACAAGGCAATTACACCCTCGAGTATATCCTTTCATTACCTTTAGTGCATTGTCACAAGGAGATATGTACCACAATGGACTGGGAGGGAGACCCAGATGTGTCAGGTGAAGGCATGATCGTCAGCTACTATCTTGCGGCTGTGCTTGCGACGATTTACTTTGCCATTTTGGTGTGGACCATTGTTGGACGATACGATGTCCCTTGGACGCACCACAAAATTGCCAAAAGGGGACTCAGCGCGGTTCAGGAGTCCAGCAACACTTTCCTCGATGCTGCTCTCATCTTCGCAGTGGCCATGTTGGGTGCTGCAACTGTGCGATTATACGTGCTCATGACAAACCAAAACGAGGATCGTTCCACTTATGCTACTATCGGTTCAGTTTCAATGTCCGCCTTTTCTTTGTTCCCAGCTTTGATACTCCAAGCTGTAACCGATGGTCAGCGGACGCATATTCTTCGACAGGTTCTATGGTTTGTCGCCATCTCCCTCACAATTGCGGTGGAAATCATGTAAGCGCGCACAATTTCTGGCCCCATGAGTCGTATTTTGCTAATAACCTTCAAATAGGTACCGAACAACATATCATGCCCCGGGATCCCGACAAGACGATCCGAATGCCAGCTGCGCAGATGGCAAGCTTCAAAAAGCGTGGTTGGCATTCTGCGAGGACGCTGCTATCAGAAGACAACTTGAACTAGGCCTAACCATGGCACATATCATACTTGGATTGCAATGTCTCTGGTGGCTATACTACCTTTTGGTGACGATTACACCGAAGCACTGGCACGAAAGACAGGGCCAAACGATGTTTGGACAGTTCTTTGCTCATTGTCGTCGCTGGATGCGAGCCTTAGACGGCATCATCTGCTTGGCCCTCATGTGGACATTGCTCGTACTGTTCCGGAGATACCGAAGCTCAATCCAAGACTCGACCGGCTACTCTGATACGGACAGTACATGGACTTTCGGACAGGTATTAGCTCTTGCTACTTGGGCGCCCGTGTTTATGGATCTGGTGGGTATACTAATATGTGAGTCGTCCTCCATCTGATATTATTCAGGATTCAATCTAATCTTGGTATTGCAGATGGCCCCGAAAAGGGATTGGATAAGAAGATCTCGGACAATTACCGGATCGTTCCAGCTGATGAGAGTCGTGCGACCACAATTGAGAAGTCCACCTATGGACCACTCCACGCACAAAATGTTTAAAAGGCGAAGTGTTGGGACCCCGGCGTTTACTTTGGAGGCGGTTTGAAAAACAAGATCGACGTGATGTGCCATCTGGTTTCGGTCCGGAGTTTTTTTGTAAACTTCTAGCATTATGATACCCTTTCTTGTTATTTATAATAGACAAAACTTCTCTGAATTATAGAATTTCAAAAGCTTTCCCTCAATATACCGACGATACAAAAATATTTGAGTTCTTTGTGTCAATTTTTGATTCTATTCGAGCCTAAGTACTCATTAGCAATTCGGAGACAATCTAATTTTCTGTTCTCTGGTTGGCCTGCGTGGCTGACCTGCATTGTGGCAGTGCCAAGGTTATGCGATCATCCCTCCTCAGTCTGCCAGCCTGACACATTATCTCCTCTTTCGAAACACGTTACTTGGAACAAACTTGGTATGTTCATTATTCAAGCAGATCTTTAGTACATCATCATGTCTGGTATCGAGGCGATAGTTGGCTTAGTCGCCGGCGGTGCAGGGTTGCTCTCACTGGCCATTCAGCTCGGCGAGAGCGCCATGAAACTCAAGAAGGCTTGCGGCATCGTCAAGGACGCCCCAAAAACAGTCTCAAAATTGACCTTCAGCCTCGAGACCATGGCCATTGCGTTGCAACAACTCGAGGAGCAACGACAGCACAGCATGCGAAGCGGGGTTATCCTCGCGCGTTGCATTATGGAGTGTCAATCGTGCACGGCCGAGATACAGGCGCTCGTTGACAAGATGGTCGACCGCTTGACACGACATGGAAGAATCGGTGGCAAGGTTTACGTCGCTTTTAAAGATACCCAGATGACCGAGCTCCTCCATGAGGTGGAAAGGACCAAAAGTTCTCTAGAGCTCGCCTATATGATGTATCTCGCCGAGGAACAAAGACAGCGAGATATGGAACGATCAGTTCAGCTCAACACCTTTCAGGACCTTCTCAGCCAGGGAAGACAGAAACTTCCCGAGGAGACAATGGTACCAGCTAGTTCCGGAGGTCCAAACCTACTGAGCAATTGGTCATTGGTGTCAGTGGCACCGAATGAACCACGAGTTGACCAGAACACAAGCGACCTTATCCGCTGGGACTCTAGACACCCGTACTCACCTAAATACAACCAGCTTGATCCTATAATAAGACATCGCAAGCGGAGAAACAGCAAGACACACTTGCAAGCTGGTTTGAAATTTCCCACGTGGCTATGTTCTCAAGTATGGCACCTAGCTGTGACGCGATCGCAAGATCGTTGGAGCATGCACCTGCGCACAGTCAATGTTGTTCCTCTCAATTCCCCTATCTTCCGCTATTGCCATAGTGGTAATTTGGAGGCAGTTAGACAGCTCATAGAAGGTGGTAAAGCTACGCCCCTGGACGTTGGACATGTCTCAAATAGGCAACGTGACTTGACCTTACTAGAGGTAATTTGGTCCATATACTAGATCATTGAAAACAACCGTCTGACTTAAATAGTATGCCTCACTAGGGGGCAGTCAAAAGTGGTTAGGTATCTCCTGAGCCAGACAACATTCCCAAACCATGAAGCAGTTCTCGCCACCGCCCTCATGTTTGCCAGTGGTGGCATCAAATATTACCCGCAAAAACCAGAGATATGGCATACGATAATGTCGGAGCCAGAATTCGATATAACTGCTGAGGAAGATCATGATTGCCCGTGGCTGTGGAGATGCTCAGACTCTCGAAGCCTGGAACATATTCTACAAAACAGATACGAAAAGTTTGAACTTTGGCCGTTGGAGAAGCGCTTCCAGCTAGCACTTCGTTTCGAAATATTGCCAGTTTCGGCATTTCTAAGATGTCTTGGCGTGTCATCATTGGATGCAAGGCTCGTTTCTTTGAAGGATGTCTATGGTACAACCATTCTACATCATATAGCGCGACGTGTATTTGCATATCAAACCTGCCGATTGGTCGATGAAGATAAGCAAAACTGGTTTGATTTCGGGGTAGATATGTTGAAGAACGGCGCGGATCCTTGTTGTATCGCGGAAGTAGACCGAGCTTATCGGATGGTGCCAGAATCTGCACAATCATACGACTCGATCACGCCACTGTTAGAAACTCTCGGTATCAGCTGGTTGCACATAGAGGGTTCATCATCAGTTCTGACGCAACGGCTTGAAAATTGGTGCAAAATGATAGAGCACGGCGGTATCAATCTGCGTGATTACGCCGCCATGGAAAGTCAAGCATGGAAAATGCTCCGTATCAAAAACTGTGCAACAAATGATCCTGGTACAGTACTATATGGTGGGAAAAGGTACAGCCTTCTCGGTTTAGATACTGAGTCTGGATTGTTCGTGGATACATTTGGAAATTGTAGCTTCAAGCTTGTGCGTCAACATACTCATGTTGTGTGCGAGCTGGGACGAACTCCAGGGGCATACATTGATAATGATAACCTACCAAGGACTGTTAATTGGTGGCCTAATCAAGATGAGAAGAATGAAGGCATTTGGGAAGTTATCGCTTATATAACAACGGCTTCGAAAGCCATTGATGTAAGAGAACACTTGCGTCAAGCGAAAGAACCTTTCACCTTACTGGTTGATGGTATTCAAGATGACTCAGGGCCCTTGAGTCTGATGCAGTACCGGGCTTCACGCCAACGCAGCCATATGCGAAGATCTAACAGCCAACCACCAAATTTAAGGCGCAGAGAAATTGCCCAGACTGCATTGTTGCAATCCGTTAGCCACCCATGGCTTGATAGTTATCACCTCTGTCCTTCCGAAAGTAGATGGAGATTTGGATGCTCAAAATTTTCTTGCGATGGGGATAACACTGTTTTTCAATTATTCAGCGACAATTACAAACGCACTGCGGCGGCTGTTAGGAGCTGTGTCCAAGAAAAGCTTCACAGCACAAGTGCGGTCCAGCAGAGCATCTATTGGAAAGTCTCAAGTTTCCTTGCGGAGATTGCCAGTTGTCAAGATGGAAGCGTGCCCGACTTGGCTCCAACAGTGTCTCGACATAATCGGGGGCGTGACTGCCCAGAAGGCTGCAGCACTGTTGATCTAAATAAGCTCAAAGTACCAGAGGCTCTTCGGTCACATCATCCCCAGCGATTTTATGAAGAATAGTGACGACCGATGGTTCTGAGGATCGCGAGAGTTCTTAAAGTACTCGACTGAACTTCAAGAATTATTGGGATAATCCCAACAAGCTTCGATCGGTACTTGAATTCATGACCGCATGTAAGGTCATTTCCCTGTCTTTACTCGACCCCCCTGCCACATAGCACTTGCTTCATGAGGCAAATCCCATTCAGTTTCTGTCCCAATCCAGACCTTGCATATTGGTACCATTTTGTCCGCTGCTATATTGCTACTACTATCCTGGGTTTGTACAAACACGCGGCCTCCTCGTAGCCATTGCACAGAGAGTCTATACGGCAATTCAGAATCTGACCGAATGTCCAAGCCGGCCCATTTGACGGTCGGCGTCCAACGCATCGCCTTTGAAATGTCAACAACCAAATGATTAAATATATCAGGCCTTGTTTTCCTCCGCCACTGATGAGGTGGATTGTCTCCGATCACTAAAGCGTCTTTTCCTCCTGAGTCTGCAGAATCATCACTTTCTAATTCATCATCACCGTTACCATTGTTGCAGGCAAAACTCTATGTCGTACTTCAGCTCTAACGGCCGTCGGATTTCTCGTGTATATTCATTTCCGGTTTGAGGAAATATACCGGTAGATATGTTGAGATAGAGAAATGTGAGTTATTCCGAGGACGTTGCGCCTTGCTGGCGATCTCGGACAAGGTCAGGCGACACGATGATAATTCTTGGCTCTCGATGCACCAATTCGATGCTTCCGCGTATCGCCTGAAGGAGGCAGGTAAACAATGAGTGTAGATTGGTGCATCTAGCATTTTCGGCGTGGGCCAGAAAACATTGCAACAGAATGCGAGAGCTCAGTTTTGGAAGTTGGATCTTCTTGCATTTCTCTTTAGCACATTGCCATAATCGAGACAGCGTTGGCAAAGATGCATATCTGATTGGTGTCACTAAAGCGTGAAAATGTGGAGGCGTTGAAGGAGTGAGACTGGCTGTAAACTAACCTATAAGATCACCGGGTCGTCGCTACGAGAGCCGACGACCCGACACGTTCTGTATTCGAGTAGCACCACATTTGTCATTGGCCATAAGCTCATTTGCGGCCCCATTCATCTAGCTCACTACTATTGGGTGTACCAAAGTGCATACTACTGATGCGTGATCCTGCGATTAGTAAATCATGGTTTTGATGAACTCACTCGGCGCGACACCAGTCCGGCTTCGTAATGGCCACTTCTGTAATTATCGACGGCGTTGACGCATTCCTCGCAGTGGGATAGTGGAACTGAACGATATAAAAGGGGATTGATGTCCACGATATGAAAGTCGTGCTGGCCAGAATAGATTATACAAAATCACTACGTGACATCCTGCATGAAACATCTGGCTATCATTCTTGTCATGTCTACCTTCGACAACCTTTTAAGCGCTGCAGTGGCAGATCATGTCATCCCCGGTGCCGCAATGGTGGCCAGGAACAAGTCTGGTCAGCAGCACCCCTCTATTATGTATTCTTCTGACTGCCTGCGAGCGTAATTCACTGACACGTGTATTTCCAGGAACTCTGAAATTCAACAAATCCTTCGGTCTCCAATCATCCGGTACCAACTCGGACATTCCATACAGTGCCTCCACCGTCTTAGAAATGGCATCCATGACCAAGCTCATCACCAGCATCGCCGCATTGCAACTCATCGAGCGCGGCCTCGTAGGACTGGACGACGACCTCTCCTCCATCCTGCCGGAGTTGGCATCGCAGCCGATCCTCACAGGCTTCGACCCGGCGGGGAAGCCCCAGCTCAAGCAGCGCCGGAACCCCATCACGCTGCGGCTGCTGCTGACCCACAGCACCGGCGCCGGGTACACGTTCACGCCGGGCTCGGTCCTGGCCGAGTATCGGACGCGGATCCAGGGTGGGGGCATCCTAGACGGGGCGACGGTGAACGCGCGGTTCGACTTCCCGCTGCTCTACGAGCCGGGCGAGGACTGGGAATACGGGCACTCCATCGACCGCGCCGGGCAGGTGGTCGAGCGGGTCTCGGGACTGCGGCTCGGGACGTACTTCCGGGAGAACATCTTCGCGCCCCTGGGCATCCGCAGCGGGACCTTCACGCCAGAGCTGGACACAGACCCCGGCAGCAGAGCCGCCGTCACGTTCCGGGACCCGGAGACAGGGCGCGCGGTCGAGCGCCCCGGCGAGCCCACCCTCGCGGGCAACACCACCGAGGACTTCGGCGGCCAGGGCCTGCACATGTCCGTCGAGGACTACCTGAAGGTGCTAGAGTCGCTGCTCCTGGACGACGGGAAGCTGCTGGACCCAAAGGTGGCGAAGACACTGTTCGAGCCGCAGCTGGGCCCCAAAAGCAAGGAAGCCCTGCTCAAGGCCGTGGTGACCCGGGAGGATTTCGTCGGGAACTTTCCGAAGACCGGGGAGTATGACTGGAGCTTTGGAGGGGCTGTGATCGATGGCGACAGCCATGAGTTTAGGAAGAAAGGGGCGCTGCTCTGGGGTGGTGCGGCGAATTTGTTTTTTGTAAGTTTCCCAGTTTTTGCTGACGTGGCTGTGGTGGGAGAACCTGACTGACTTGTCACTAGTTCGTGGACAGAGAAGCGGGCGTCACTGGTGTCTTCGGCACCCAGGTATACCCCTCAGGCGATAAGAAGATCAAAAAGTTGTATTCCGCTTTTGAGAAGGAGATCTATAAGCTAGGTGCGAGTCAATAAGTTAGAAGTCACTAGGGAACATGGCGTGCTGCAAGCTTGGTGTTTAAGGTTAGAATTTAGACAATAGTCACATTTCAATTCTTTATGTATGGACGGGAGATTCGCGGTGGTCATTGAAGTAGATATCAATTGATTCACGGCTTCATTGGTATTGCTAATCCGTCAAAAGATCATGTGAAATGCCATTGAGAACTCTCCATAGCCTTCGCTCTATAACTAGCATCTCTTCATTCACATCTCTAACAAAAACTATATCATTCCACTCCCTCGCCGCCATCCTCTGAAGATGCTTCTGCAGCTCCGCCTTGCCAACATGACCGAGCTTGATCTGACGCTCCAATCTAGAAAGGTGTTTCTCCTCGTAGCCTCGGGAGGAATGCATATCGGGCATCTTGCAGATATATAGCTCCCGCTGGTCCATATCCCAGTTGATGCCTAGCGCGTCAGCGTAGGGCTGGAGTCGGATGAAGATGTCGGTCAGGTATACGATCTGGGCGATGAAGACGGAGGAGTTGGTAATAGTGAAGTTGAACCTGTGCACGGTCCAGCCGCACTCGATCCAGAATCCGAGGGTGTAACTGCTTGCGTACTCATGGGCTTCGGAGTGCTCTTCTGTTTGCAGACTGTACGTGTCTCGTCAATAGACCGGACATATGTGGTGCGATAGTGAGTTCTTTCCGGGCGTATATGTATATACATGTGTACATGACAAGATCAAAAGCAATGAGTGTGAGAAAATAAGATTCCATGTCTGTTGCGCCTTATAGATAGAATATCTATCGACAAATCTACTGTCCATATTAGGTTGCAATACAACAGGCATCGCTACAAAGAAATCATCGTGGCACTTGACAGCGCGCTGTCTTGTCAAGCGAAACTAACAAAGGAACAGCACGAGCTCTAGCTCTTTGAAGTTGCTTATTTTTGGTTGATAACAGATCTGTTAAGAGGGGAAGATGTTAGCGCCGGCATACAATACATTGTCAGTATACAATACGTCAGAAATATACTAGAATCAGTCGAGACATATTTAAGTCAGCCATTTCTCGTATTCCAATATCAAATATTGAAATAGTCAGGAGCACTAATAGCAACAAGAAACAACCAAAACACACATCTTTGTATGCCGAAAAATTAGCCTCTTGAAACATCTTTTAAACGTCAAGACCTCAAGATGAGTCACCGCCGTGCCAAGACTAAGAAGTGTGTTAGTGACGGTTGCAACACAAACATAGCCATTACTAGCAACCCCTACTGCGCTGTTTGCGAAGAGAGGGTTAGGCAGGTTGAGGCGACTCTAAGAAATACACCAACTCATCCCTGCCTCGGAGGTTGCGGCTTAGAGATCCCCAAAATTCTCAATCCTTATTGCGTCCGGTGCGAAAAGTGGACTCAGCAACTTATAGAGGCCAAGAAGGCTGAGACAGTGACCATACCATGCATTGGAGGTTGCGGCAGGGAGATGCCAACCGAACTTGGTCCTTCCTGCGTCAAGTGCAGAGAGCAGGGCAAGCAGAATCAGTACGCTACGTGCAGTGAAAATACTCGTCCATGCGTTGGAGGTTGTGGCAAAAAGATCCCCGTTACTAACAATCCCTACTGCGCCAAGTGCAGAGATATCTACCATGGGAAGCGAGAGAAGCGAAGCAAGTAAGAAGGCAACGCTGCCGCCAAGTGTCACGTATGGCGACTAATGTTCTGAGGCGCTAGGGGATAATAGAGGACAGAAAACAAGATTGAAATATAAAGGGGTTTGGATAAGTACCAGTCTGTCTAAGTTAACATATATCAATTATACATTTGGAGAAATTCCGCCGTGATGGAAAAGTGTAAAAGCAAGAAGAGAGGCTCAAGATCAGTCTAGGGACCTTTTGGAGACCTATATCCGACCAAGAGCAAGTAAACATGGACCAAAGCATTATATATTGAGAGACGATTAGTGTTATCGAGGCAAAGGGTTGTAAAACTAGAGGAATGAAGGGATAAAGGAAAATTTAAAAATAAACACAGAAAGATGTGGTCGGGGTGTTCTACCGTACTCGAACCTTGATCTCTCAGTGAGCGATACTCCGTATCCTAATATCTAGACATACGGGCTGGAGGACGGGGTCCATCAGGTATCCTACCATTTTACCTTTAAGGCAAGCAGGTTGGTGTCTGTGTTGAAAACATTGCCCTTTGATATTCTCTACAACCTTTTTACCTCTCAACGCTCCCGCAGTCTTTCCAGAGTTAAACGAGAACCACCCGACGAGCTTGAGGGCATTGTTGACAAGCCTAATGCATTTCAATCTTCTCTGACATTCAATTTATGATGTTGTGTCTGTATTTCATTCTGCTTGCTTCAGGACAGAACTCTTAAACACACTTGCGTCGGCATAATGTTTTCAAATTAAGGTACACACAAATGCAAGCCATACTAGTCAAAATGGACGAATCTATTGCTTCGGGTATCAACAGGGTATCATAATTCATAATGCTTTACGCACTCCCAATCGTATTGTGACTTCTCGGGGGCCCAGACATTTGCTCACATGCCATAAATATCGCCTCGTACGGCTCGAATCACTTCTTGATGAGATTGTTCTGACTCCCCCAGAAAGGATTTGGCTGAAAGGTGTGCAGCTCATTCCCGTTTGAGCCTAGAAATGTCGTCTTGTCGTCGTCATCTGCAACGGGTGGCGCGCATCGAACCTCGCCCCTAAGAATCTCAATGACGGACACGACGGGCAGAAGAAGCATGCTCAGGGACAGAAGCGTGCCGAAACTCCAAGTCCTCTCACCCTCGTCGCTTAGTTTCACGGAGGGCTCCCCGAAGGCTTGCGACAACGTGAGCACTCTCACCGTAGCACCAACTGCGCTGGCCGTCATGAGCACCAGGCCGACAAGCTGGATCGTTCGGTAGAACTTTTGGTTTCGCGAGTGTAAATACCACGTGGCTGCTGCAAAGAGGATGGCGTTTGCCGCGATGACCGCGATTGTGGCGAAATATGACAGGCCGACGTTGGTTCCAGCGTCCTCCGCAGTGATAGCCTCCGGGTCCCATACGCAGGATATTGGTAGCGTCGAATCGGTGAGATGTCTTTCCACAGCCTTGAGCACGAAACCTCCGTAGACACTGCTCAGAGCGAGGTTTACGAACATCAGGAATTGGCGTAGCCATCGTAGAACCCTGTGCGTACCAGGAAAGATTAGTCCCATTGTTCCAGGCGTACGTAGCAGCCGCGCAATGTCAACGGCTGTGTGGTCGCTCACCAGTCTCTTCGGAAGTCATGTACCAATGCCAATAATGTGGCATTGTGGACCGCCATGGACAACAAGGAAAGCATCCATATTATGAAAAAATGATACGGAATCATGACATCCATCCTTACCAGCCCCACAGACTGGATGCCAATGCCCGTAAGAATCTGCTGGTCGGAATATGCATTGAGGAGTTTTCGTCGTACAACCGAGGGCTTTATCTGCTTCGAAAATTGCTCTTGGAATACCAAGGTGGCGGATATGACAAGTGCGACCGCTGCGGTGATAACAAAACTTAGGATAACCTGGGATAGAAAAGGGTCAGCACCTGTTAACAACCTCCTTGCTAGCCAGATCCGCCAGGTGGGCGTATGCATAACAGGTGGGTTGCAGCAACGGAGCAGATGGCTCAACCAGACCTCGCCCGCCTTGCTTGAAGCAAGCAATCACCAACATGTACTGGGCCCCTAAAGTCTAGGCCTCAGGAATTTGAGGTCTGGTTGCCTGTAATTCCAACGATTCTCCCTCTCAGAACAATGTACCAAAAACCCCCCCATAGACCGTTGGTTCCTGCATTAGACTAGCGCATTGCTGACTTACCCCAGTTCCAGCGACGCCAGCGTCGGTCGCAGCAGAATCCGGAGGCGACGTGCAGTTCGCCATATTTGTTCCGTGTCCTTTCGGGGGTTTGGCACCCTGAACAGCGATGGAAATCAATCGAAAATCCGGAAAGAATCAAGACGAATGCGGAATCAAAGTAACTTAATGGAAGCGACAGGCCGGGCAAGGGGTTGTGAATCATGTGGATTTGGGGGTATCCGCCCTCTTTTTAGGCTTTTAAGTATGTATCCAGCCCCGAAAGGGCCCCCCGAAAGGATCCCTGCTGGAATGACGCAGCGCGCCTGCTGAAACGCGGGTGAGGATCCCCAGATCGACGGCGTATCCTTGTATGAGCCAGCCTTGGCAAGGGTTCCAGTGGATGGGAATTGATTGAGTTGACCCAACTGGGGCGGCTGTGTTTTATGCGAATTGGTAGTGGTTGATGGAAAGGGAATCCGAAGGCTGATGCAGGGGGGGTTCGGAAAGGTATATATGAACACCGTACAAATTTTCTTTGTCGCAATCGACATTGAGACGAACCAACCTTGAAAGGCAGGTCGCAAGGTTTTGTTTATCGTCACAAAACTGCAACTCGCTCAGTGGTCCACGAAAGTCTGCAGAGCGACCATTGCAGAGTAGCTGGATCTGGCCAATTTCCTTTGACATTTGACACAGCACCATCCATCCGGTATCACAAATAGCTTGTTTACTGGGCTGATGAATCATAGTGTACCAGCACGTCAAGCAAGCCCCCACGATTAATGCGCATTGCAATGATTCGGAATTGGGTATCTCGTCTATATTCTCATGAAGCAACCACACACTCTTCCCGACGCTGGGATGCTTATGCCTTGTGATGAAGTCTGACGTCTGACGTCTGACATCACGAGTGATCATCAATCATACTCGCTTTCCATCTCTTAAATTGCTTGCCGAAAGTGCCTTTGGCAGGTCTTTCGTTCCTATAAATTCGCTCATCTCCCATATCAACCAACGGCACCATCGACGGGCGCCCATGAGCACACTGGAATGGGAATGCACAATCTGCGAGTCTCCTCAACAAATCTTTGCACTCATCCAAAGACAAAGGATCGTTGAACATGATCGCACTCCGGCATGCTCTAGAGTTTATCAATTCCAGAATTCCTTGCGGGCAACCATGAAATCTTGCAAGCCAATGCAGCTCAGCTTCGTCGTTATGACCTGATCCTGGTGCCCCCTTTTCCAATCTTCGTCGTGCCTGGGTGCGACCGCTATCGTCAAGCTTCCATGCCTCCTTTCTGAGCAAACTAATCAGAAGCTGCGGTTCTGTTTGGCATCTCTCAGCAATGCTGGGAGGCAGACTTGTGACTTTGAGGAATGATGGGAATTTAATGCTTTGTAGTTGAAGGCGTGAGGCAATGGTGTTCAATTGATACTCGATGCCCCAGTGCTCGAAATATGATTCATGTCTCTCAAACAACGACCGCTCTTGGGTAGAGATCTCGTACTGTAAAAACTTGTCTAACGTCTCAGTTTGTGCCGCTCCTGATGAGCCTGGATTGAAGTAACTCGCCATCAGTGCTTCAACCCTGCATCGTTCATCTGCAGCGTGCTGATCGATGACGATCAGAAGTGAGATCTGGTCTTCGGGGCATTTCGTGCTCGAAATTGGCTCCAAGGGAGCCTTGGCAAGAATGAACTTCCGATCTACTTGTGCTAGGACTTCGGCTGCTCGCAACGCATCCTTGGAGACTTTTGCTTCGACATTAAAAATGTTGTCTAGCGGAAGATGGCGGCAATGATGGCTGTTCCGGCTAGAATTATTCATTGAGCTAATAAGCCTAGCTTCATCAAAAGCTGCAGGTATCTGAGGCTCAGCAGCTTCGAAAACCGGGTTCTTCCACGACGAAAGCAGGTCCTCTATCCACGTGCAATCACTCTTTCTTGATGCTGCTTCAGTCCGCACACGTTTTGTAGAAGTAAGACGAGAAGGTCTGGCACTGTATGAACGAGCCTTTACAGGCTCCTCAGGCTGTATGACAAAGCCTGTGCGCGCATCGATGGTAGATTTCCTCTTTGTCGCAGGATTGGTCCACACAATGTCCTTCTCGACTACCAATAATGACCCAATTTCCTCTGGCTTTTCTACTACCATGTCCGAATTGTGATCTTGGTTGGCGGGTTCTGGGTGTTCTTCAACGTCAAGAAACGGCACCCGTCGCAGTTCTCCTTTGTCATTGAACAGTGGCGAATCTGAGGAAACTGTACGCTTTGTGGATAGAAACATACTGCTGCTCCTGGGTTCACTTGGTTCACCATGGACTCCGAATTCGATATCTTTGGCTGGCATTGGTGTTTGGCGACCACTCTTGATTCTTAACCACCCATCGAACGGAGACTCTTGACTAGACGCTGGGCTCTGGGTTGTTGGGAGATAAAGACGAGAGGTTGCCAAGTCGCCAGGAGGACCCATCTTCACTTTTTCAAATGAGATACCAGATTGTGAACGTGGTCGGGATGGTAAAGCAGATGTGGCAGCTTCCGGCGGTATCCTACTTCCAAAATGCTTGCAGGGCTGACGCTTTTTCTTATTGTAGTAGACTGGACGGAAATTATGTCTTTTCAGAAACTCATAGATCATTGCTCTGAGCACATCAATAATGCCCGATAGGTGATTCCGGCGTTCATCCAGAATGTCGCGTAGATCGTGCACCGCACTTGATTCCGCTGGGTCGTCAACATCAATTGAGATGTGAAACATAGGCCATCTGTTAATTCCTTTTCTGGCTTTCAGCTCACGATCAGTGTAGCCTTCGCTTTTGTATCGGCGGTCCTCGGCTCTCCGCGTCTTCTCTGGCTCATCGATATTGTTGATTTCTTCCTCCACACCAAAGCCTGAATTGGCGAACAAACGATTGACCTCTTCGTATAGAACATTCGAGCCACGTTCGTTAGACACTGGCTGGATCCCTATACTGATAAACTGCATTCGTTTGGTAGCCACGGGTGTCAGGCATACAGCACCGCTCATGGAAAGAGACCCTGCCGCAGCTTTCAACGCAACCCATGAGTCAGCAACGTTCTCTTCAGAGAGTCCCGCTTGATACAATAAACTCGAGACACGTGAGACATACAGCGAGCGCCGAGCTCTTTCTGCCAACGCTCCGTCAATGGCCTCCTTATTTCTTATCGTAGCTGTTTGTTGACTAGCAGAGTCACGAACAGAAATGGTGGCCTGCCCGGGCCAAGGGAGTAGCAAAGCCACGATAGACGCTTTCAAGTACTCCCAGTCTCTCGTCAATGCAGATTTATCAGTGGTAAGCGATCTCTGCTTGACTCTTACGGGCATGGAGCCAAACAGATCTCGGACAGTAATACGGGTTCCATGACTGAAGGTGAGCAGTCTCTGGTCCGGCGGCGAAGGGATATGCCGTGCCAGGACTTTGGAGTTATGGATCTGGATTGTGTTATGGGAACGATAGTCCTTGTGATGCGAAGTTATGGATAATAACGACAGGGCAGCTACGGATGCCAAAAACGTGCCACTATTACCGTGAATATGGGAGCGTATTGGAAAGTGGGATGTATCTATACCCAGGTAAGCTTGGCACCATGGAAGAAACTGGGACTGGCAAATTTGAGGCTCACAGTGCAGTTTACCGAGGCCTCCAGCTGTAGTAAACTCTGCTGGTAGAATACCAATTCCGTTATCCTCTACTGAACAGTTTCCTTTAGCATAGTCGACCGAGATGTTGAGCTTCGTCGCCCCAGCATCCAAAGAGTTTTTGAGCAAACCGCATATCACCTCGTTCAGTGAGGTTATGGCGGTTGAAGATTTGATCTGTGCGACAACATCTTCTGGCAGCCTTTGGATTGACATGAACGGTCGACGACTTGGCAATCATCAAACATAATTTTTTTTTTTTTATTCTTTTTAATGAACCAGTACTCAAACGGTCTTGTGTAATGTCATGGGTGATCTGCAGATTGGTTGAGGGGAGGGCCACAAGCATTAGCACGAGGCAGGCAGTCTGAGACAGAACTGCATTCCTCCAACTGGCGCAAAATGGTGATAGCTTGCTCAGCCTTGGAAGCCAAAGAAGGGCGGAGTTGGCAGAAGATGATGGAGCTATGGTAAATCCGTGAGGCCTCTTCACTGAGTTGCAAGCTCAGCAGTGACCTAACTTAGTAATCGGCAAAGGCCTAAGAGCGCAGGATCACGTGCCAAGTTGAAAATGACGTTGCCAGTTTGATTCGTGATTTTGGGCAACCGCAACTGTGATACGGGGCAGACGGGGCACCTTGGGCACTTAAAGTAAGTGTAGCATAGCTTTAGTGGCTTCAGTACCCGAAGATAGCACTAACCTGACCTTAGTGCAGTACCCTAGAGCAGAGGGCTCGTATCGTATTGGATCAGGGTTCAGTAAGTGCTAGTTATATTTGTCCCAAGGCTGCGCTTCGAGTGAGCAGGAGAGCGGCCAGCGGCGTGTGTGCAAGTGGGCTGAAGAAAGAAACGGGGCGAGCGTCTGGGCACACCCCTCTGGGCCTTTCCCATTTATTTTTCTAGGCGGACATTCCCCTGCCACATGGGGGCGTCGGAGGCTGGACTTGGCTGGGGTCCAGCTTTGTCGCTAAAGTAAGTAACCAGGTCACTAAATACTGCACTGTAGGAGCGTGATTACAAACGTATGAGGTCGCCGATCCAATTGATCTCAGATGAGTGCGATTAACCTAAGGTTAGTCTATAACTTGTGTATGATGTGCCTCACCTTAAGAGTAACTACTACTGCTGCTCCTACTACTGTGCTTTACCTGATTTAGATACTACAACAACACGCCTTGGGGATTCTCTTCTCAAGCCCTTTCCCACCTGCCGCTGATACGTCAAAGTTGAACCGCACCACACCACAAAACCACACCCTGACTCTGTTTGTCATCGCATGACGTTCCGGGGCCGATGCTCCATTCAGAAACCCACTCAGGACCCTTTTGAGTCCTTTATCGCCAGTGCTGTACGACGGCTCACAGCTAACCTAAGACTGTTCGTTTCCACAGTCGCGGACGACAAGCATAACCTGACCTTACGGATCCGTACCCTACATAGTCGACTCCATACTGCATACCAGCTGCAGTTGGGCATTGACGGCAGCGCAGCGCCTTATTCTTACCGTATCACCAAACCACAAACAATGGCCATGACCCAGGCAGTCCTGCAGAACGGTACGTCAGCCTCGGAGGCTCGTCGTCCTTGTTCATTCCACGCCGCTTCTCTTTTGCCGCAGCCATGATTGCCTTGAGGATGGTTCTAATGAGTCGTGTAGACCACACTGCCGAAAGAGAGCGCCCAGGTCGCCGCCGCCCATTCTCCACCTGGGTCAAGAAGCTCACCAACTTCAAGAATGGCTCCTCCTCCACCGACAGCACCAAGCAGAGCCACTCCAAACGCGATCATGCCGCGAAGCCTTCCAAGCGACGACCATCCAAGCAGAACAACCCGTACCCGGAGTCGGGCTGCATCGCCTCTTCACGACACCACAGCCAGCCGTCACTTTCTACCACCTACACTGGGGTCACTTCCAACCTCTCCACCGAGCAGAGTCGCACATCCATGAACTCCTCCGTCGACGGCCACGCTCCGACGACTGCCGGCGGCCTCTCCATGGCCGGCACCGACCACGAAGCATCGCATTCCATCAATGCGCCTTCACATATGGCCTCCTCTGTCGCCGGAACCAGTAGGACAGCCAACGGCAGGCGAGGAGGGGACAGTACATTCTCATCCCCGTCGCCTTCCGTGCGCTCCCTCACCACCACCTTGACCACTATCCAGTCCATGGCCGTCAACCCCAATTCAAACCAGGGACAGTCCTCGTCTCACCACCATGGCAACAACAACAACTCCCAGAATATCCAGTTCAGCCAGCCCTTCCCGACCGCATCTCCGGCCTCGGCGATACCTGCGCATTTGGCCCCGCACGTGAGCAATCACCCGACCACCTACCAGGCGGCAACCGCCAACAACTTGCTGTCTGACGACGCCTCAATTCTCACATTGGCCTCTTCCAGCAAGAGGAGGCGGCGCAGATCTTTCGACACGGACGCTTCGGTCAGAGCTCTTGCCCCATCATCAGTCTGGGGAGCTTCCCGCGAGAGCTTGCCCTTGAGTGTCCTCAGTGCCAACATCGACGGCGTACCAGCAACCCCCAGTCTCCATCAGACGGCCTCAAGGATGGGACCCGCTGCTGAGCGCAACAGCCTCTACTCTACCACCGGCATTGTACCAGCCCTTCCCAGCGAAAGAAACAGCTTCTACGCAAAGCAGAGTATCGCTGGGGACGGAGCCAGTGTACGAAGTGGTTTCATGGGCCACGGCAGGGCTGATAGTATCAATGGCAGCGTGGCTGGAGTGACTAGCCCTCTGGCTAGTCCCCTTGAGGTGGCTGAGAGAGACCACGTCGCCGAGATAGATGAGATGGTGAAAGAAAGGGCCCCAGAATGAGGACCCCGACTACATTTTCTATGTCGAGGCTCGCTCTGGATCTGAGCTTCCAGTGAGGGGGGCATTGCGGGCATATGGAGTTACGGACATTCTTCCTGGCGTTTCGGTAGAGAGGGCCATGTTCACTACGATGGATACTCGGCAGCGACTGGGCTACGAGCTGACAAAGACTAATGACTAAAGAATGAACCTGGTATGGAATTGAAGGACTTGATTGGTATCTGAACGTTGAGGTCATAAGTTGTTAGTAACCATAGATACCCATGTAATTGATCATTATTTGCATTGCTTTCTCGCCATGCAGTCACTTGGTTGGGGCATTATCTCTATGGGCGAAGCCAACTCTATAATGTCCTATCTTTTTCAAGTGCTGTTCTTGGACGGAACAGGCACCTACTGAAGTAGTTTCTGACGGCCATCTTAATACCCATGACTCTACTCTGTTAGCTTACTGGTCGGTGAACAGATATCTCCTAGTTGAGGCTGAGTCTATATTTCTTGGTACTGACGTCTTTCAAGCAATGTAAATCCACTCCTGGCCAGCGCATAACAATACTTCCTGGTCTTCGGTTTCCTTCTTCCGCTTTATTGTGAAACATTCATCCAACAAACCATCAGCAATGCATCACAGCGTGCCCTCAAGAATACATATATAGTGGCTATCTAAGAAGAAGAAGAAAAGATACAATTTTACATCCTATGCTCCAAGCCCTACGACTACATGAACGGCAATCTCAGTAATAGGGCAACGGGTCCATATCCAAGCCTTCAACCTCAAACCTGAACGAATCGTTCCTCGAGTAGCTGCCCGCCACGTCGATGTCCAGCCGCCCACGGACGCAGTCCTCGAAATCGACGTCGGCGTAGATGATGCCCTCCTCGTCCTCCCACTGCGGGCCGGCCACGACATCGCCAAACGGCGAGACGATGCACGAGCCCCCGCGGGAGACGAACTCGTCGGCGGCCTTGCCCCCAGCCGTTGTCGTCGTCTTGGAGGCCGGCGCCTCCTCGGTCGCCTCCTCCTCCTCTTCCTCCTTCTCCTCCTCAATCACGGCGCCCGTGTCCTGCCCACAGAGCACGATCTCGTTGCCGTCCCCGTCGAACACGGACCGGCGCCTCTGTCCCCTGGAGCGCGAAAACGCCGCCTCTTCCTCCTCCTCCTCATGCCCCTCCCCCACGGTCCCGGGCAGCGCGATCTCGAAGCCCTCCTCCGTGAAGCACGAATTGCGCCGACCGCCGCCGCGGGGGTGCGACTCCGGGATGCCGTTGACCTGCTCGCCGGCCGCCTGCGCGCCGACGCCTTTGCTGTACGCGCTTGCGTTTGCGGCGCCGGTAGGCTCCCGTGGCTCAGGTTGCTTCCTGGTGGTGGCCCCACTGCTGCGGACGCACATGTTGGAGCTGACGACGAAGCAGCGCCCCTCGAGCCCGATCGTCCGCATGGTCGAGAGCCAGGCGTCCCGGCCGTCGGCCGTGGGGGCGAGGTAGAGGTTGATGTTTTGTTGGTAGACTATGCTTGCGAGGTCAGAGAAAGAGATAGATCGGGAGGATATACCAAAGTTGGGGGGGGGGGGGGGGGGGGGGGGGGGGCAGTAGAGAATGCTTACGGGTCTGTCGTAACAGGGGCATGTAGTTTTCCCAGCAGATGGCGGCGGCGAGGTTGATTCGGACGCCCTTGATCGTCGTGCTCACCGCTTTCAAGGTTGCGGGCGAACCTTGGGCCCAGACGAGGCGTTCTGTACCAGTCTCGAGATTATGTTAGCAATGGCTACATGATTTCAGATAGCAGTACACGATATTAGTTTCGGGGATGGGCAGCAGGATATCCCGGGCATGGTTGGGTACCATCGCCCCATGGTCTTCGCAACAGACATTGATCTCTAGGGAACGTATCATATTGTTGGCTTTGTGCTCCTTTTGACCAGCGTCTGTCATCGCTCCTTTTGACCAGCGTCTGTCATCACTCTACCCAAAGAGAGATCCAAGTCGTTCCCTTGAAACGGTTCATTGCGTTGTCGCTATTTTGCCAGCATAACATGGTTGAAGTTGTAGAGGAGCTGGACTTGGTGCTGTAGGCAGCAGCAAGACATCAGATATCTTCAGATGACCTTGCGGTCGACAGCAATAAGCCATGTGCCGTGTTAAGCATATCAAGAGATATTAAAGACCCAACACAAATGCTCTTGGACAACTGCACTGCCTTGAGATGTCGTCTGGTAAGAGACAATGATTCCAGCCTCGGATCGTTAAGGGACGCGAAAAGGCATCTTTCGGCTCGTCGAAGTGGCCATGGCAGCGATGTTCTACTAGAGCGAGCAAAGCTTTTCATTTTGTGAACTTTGTTACGCGGTACTTCACTGTTGACTGCGGATTTGCTTGATAGCGACAAAGATGCCGCTATATTCGCTCTAGAGGTATGAGTCTTTAACTGGTTCGTGCAAGAGGTAGTCCTGGGGAACAGCCCTCCGGCATTTCTTGATTGGTGATCGTAGGAACCTTTCTTCTTCAAGGTCTTGAGAAGATGATATTTTTGTTCTCTTTTCGTGCTTGCTGATACTATTTTTGTAAGCTATAGGGCTTCAGAAAAGGATTCAATAACTTACGTAAATTGGTGTTTGGGGACTAGCATTGGTGACCTGATCTAAGAGTGTGACTTTTACCCAGATAGTACCCGTGGTATATTTGTGTTGCTCGTACTTCTTTCGAGCAATCCGATGCTGCCTCAGAACTCCGCGACGACACTGTTCAGCCTATGCTATTCAGAGTTGTGCATCAGACGTCATGTGTTCTGGTACCATGAACCCAAAGTGCTTTAAGTCATACTAAGGAGCTCGAGCTGTTGGTCCAGGACATGTGTGCTGTACGGACTGGCCGTATCCGGTAGAGCTTGTGCGACTCTGTTATGCAAAGCATCCCCCTGAACAGATCCATCATTGACCGGCAATTGTCATGACCCCTTTCAACAGGTATTTCGTTGGTTCCCATACGTGATCATCCATTGTTTAAAGCAGTATTTCAGCTTATTTAAAAAAGAACAGAACAGAACTTACCGGCTGCGTTTTCCTCCTCTTGCCGATTATGCCCAATTTCGGGCAGACATAAACTGCTGAGCAGTATAGGCTACCTCCAGCCTTCTCGATCAGTCCAGTGACTACAAAGACCCCAGTCTCCCTGGAAATGCGCTCGAGCTCCTCGCGCGTGCCATCGCCGCGCTGAGGTGGGCCCTCCTTACTCGTCTTTCCCTCGACGGAGTTGCCGCCCAGTTGTCGCTTGACCCAGGCGTCTCCGGCTCCCGCACCACCGCCGACGGTGTCTCCCAGGTCCACTGCGTTCTTGAAATACTGCAGATACTCATCGCGGCCCTCAGCTGTGCGTGAGCCGATCTTGCACCCGAAATAAGTGCCGCGTGGGTACCCGCCAAGATAAGCTTCCGGGAGCAGGAGTATATCCGCCTTCTCGGCGGCCGCGCGTCGCGCGATCTGATGAAGATGCGCGAGAGTCTCCTTGAGTGTCCCTTGTGTTCCGGGAGAGGATGTTGCGAGCCTGATCTTCTGATTCGCCATTTTTAAGTTGCCGCTGCCGCTGTGGTCATGAAAAGAAATGCGAACAGTGCCGTTGCCTGTCGAATTACTCACCATGTGAGGGGTTTGGTCTCGGGCTTTGAACTTTATAATGCCACGCTTTCAAGTGGATAACGTCGGCAGGAGGGGCAGAGGCCGTCTTCGGACACTTTGACTAACGACGTAATAAGACAAAATGACTGTGAAATGATCATCAAATCACCCGGAGATCCTACATATGGGTATGGCATATTAACCGTATATGCCGATCATAGTCCCGTGATTACAGCTTTTGGGGCGATACTGCGGCTACGGCGAACGCCAATCCACTTCAGTTTAGCAACCACCAGCTTGCAAAACTATGCAATTACGAATACAGATAAACGCGAACATATTAAAAGAGTGTCTACGTGCAAATATGTTTACGGGCGATGCATCTCTCACTTCGTAATGTTGATCAACATCTGAAATGAAGCTGCGTCATCGTGGAAATTGCATGAGTGTAAAGTCATGATACTGTCACTATGGCTTTCATCATTTGAGTTTCTCAACTTTGCAACTTAGTGCTCTTCTGATTACAACGTACACCATTACACTGCTAGTCCGGATCGAAACTCAATACAAATTCAATCCAACCCCATTGTGGATTATGATCTCAATCGCTGTATCCTATTGTGAGACTAATGCTTCAAAAAGCAGAACGTCAGATATCAACTCCCAACTTGCGCGGTGATAAAGACCACCACTTCAAAGCAAATACTCTGCCATATTCACCAGATCGGCTTTCTTCACTCTCTCCAGCGTAGGCATGAGTTCCCGAGGAAACCAATCTTCAACTCGCCCCGGGAGCCGGCCAGGAACTGCTGGTAGCTCGTCCTTCTCACTCCCCATGATGGTCGTTCCTAAAGCCGTGCCTGAGAGCCAAGCCCATACCATCCCATCGCCACAGTAGCCAGCAGCGACCCATTCGCCACCCGAAACTCCAGCAGATGGCTGTGTGCTAGGTGGTCGGCGTTCCGTCAACTGTTGGTCAAGCCTGCCAACAAAGGGGAGGAAATCCCCAGTAAGGCAGACTATACCGGTCCATATCCGTTTTATTCTACCTCCATCTTGTTCATCGCCCCATTTAGGTGAAAATATGGTGGGAAATATGTTAGTAATGTGATTGATCGTCAGCGCGTCAAAAGTCTCGGCGCTGTCATCCCAACGTCCGATGACATTCATGCCCTGATCTCGGGCGCGGTCAAACCCGCCTCCAAGCATGATATCGCCTTGCACTCCATCGATGGTTGGACGTTGTGTGACATAATCGAATGCCTTGCCGTAGACGACAGACCAGGAGCGAGAGCCATTATAATTTGAAAATTGCTTGCCTGGGCGTTGAGCAGACATATGCGCCTGGAACCCACTCATTTTACCTCGTAATCCCGGAATGAATTGGCTGGCGAAACCATTGGTTGCATGGACGACGTGATCGCATCTTATTGTGCCGCGAGTTGTGACAACATTATAGGCTGATTGACTATCACTACCTTCATGTATATCAGTAACTGCAGTTCCGGTCTCTATGGACAAGCTCTTCTCGAACCTGGCCAGAAGAGTCTTCCAGACAGTAGCTACGAATCGATATGGCCAAAGTGCACCAGCGGTGTAGGATATTGCACCGACAACAAATCGATTGACCTCGAATTTCTGTGCAAGTCAACTCAAGTCCCTGATGCAAAGAGAAATACTAGCACTTACCTTTTGCGCTGAGGCCGCATCATGCGTCTCAATCTCCAACTCCGGTATCCACTTCTTCATCTCCTCGACCTCTTCGAGGGCTTTATCCCGATCTTCGGCATCAAGGTACAGATCCGCCGTCTCGACTTCACGGCACTCCGCAACGTCCCACCCCTCCGCCTTGCATAATTCCGTCAACACGTTTACATGCGCAAGCTGAAACCTCGTGAGAGCAGCGGCACGTTCTGGGCCCAGCCTGTCCTTTAGTCGCACGAACAGCTCGTGCGGCGATGACTTGATATGCCCGCCGTTGCGCCCTGTCGCTCCAGAGCACAATGTCCGTGCCTCCAGCACAACCACCCTGCGGGTCTCGCCTTTCCGCTCACATTCGAGCAGAATCGAGCGTGCCACGGCTGCTCCTGTGATCCCCGACCCGATAATCACGATATCGGCATGGTCCGGCAGGTCCGGGGATTGTATGTCCACTAATTCCGGGTACGGTGGGTCCTCGAGCCAATATGATTGTGATGGGTTTGGGACTGGCAAGCCCGGTGGTAGGCTGGCGCGCTTGAGTAGTTCCTCCAGCTGCTTGTTAATCTGGAGTATTGCTTTTAGAGCGAGACTGAGTGTCTTCAGCTTCGATTGAACTCCACCCATGATGTCTGGATCAGCAATCGTTGTTTGATTTGAAGTTGGTGCGGAGCGTCACAAGACGTACGTAAGTTGTTCAGTGCGCACAGGTCTTGTATCGTTAAAAGATTGTATCGAGGTCATTGAAAAATATCTTCGAGTTACTTGACCTTCTTTTACAATCTCGCATACGTTGTTGCTGTTGTTGAATATGATAATAAAGTTGAATCATCTTGGCCGGGATCAGCTCTCCACTGTCTGTGCGCAGTCGGGTTATGCACTGTATTGTGGCGCATTCTCGAAAATTCCGACGCTCGATATTGACTTGACTTCACAGAGTCAACAAGAACGGCAGCACAACAGCTACATAATCTTCAAAAGTCTTCCATCTAATCGAAGCCAATCGACTTCAACCGTCTTTGGTTACACGCAGCCTCATTGAGTTTATGACTTTGGACTCCATGGTCCCATAAATCTCTTAAGATCAATATTCAATCTACTGTATCAAAGCCGGGGCCGCCTGCTCGTGACCTTTGCCAACCGCACAGGGCTCAACACAGTGTCCGTTCTTTCTAGGCCATCTAGATCAATGAGATCTTCCATCCTAGCAGCCCGCACTCTCCTCAGGGCGAGCTCCACGCGATACAACGTCCCATCAACCAGCATTGCTGCACGGAGAACCATGGCGTCAACGCCGTCAAAAGACTCACCTTCGCCAGCTCAGCCTTCAACCGGGACATCAGCGAATCCACTGGCAGAAAACTCCACAGGCACAGATGGCAAACAACCTCTACCCCTGCCCGAGCCGCCCAAGGATGGAGAGACTATCAACCTCACCGTAGGCGGCGACGGCGTGAAGTTGGACCATATGGGGCCTTTGGTCGTCAACCAGGACGGGACCATGAGCCGGATCTCGAACTGGGCCGAGATGAGTGAGATCGAGAGGCAGAATACGCTGCGGATCCTGGGGAAGCGCAATCAGCAGCGCCTGAAGAAGCTGAGAGAGGATGCAGGTTTGAGCCCGGATGGCAATTAAGGAGATTATAGTGTTCGTGGATGTATCGTGAGGATAAAGGGGCGGCAACTCTGGGACGATCGAAAATGGAATCACAACGAGACAAGCGTGGTGACGTGCCGTATCGCCGGGGAACGAGCGGCTCTTGAATTAGTGGTACAATTCTCCTTCGTGTAAGGGAGTTAGGATGAGACGATATGGCGATGTCGTGTTGTCTACATCAAGGCGAAGCGACAGAGCTGTACAATAACTATGTATCATACCTGCGTTACCAACATTACTCGCAACGTATTCTTAGGTTTGATAATTAATTTAGTAGATCTGACAGAGCCGCTCTAGAAGATATCCCAACTTTCACAGATAGAAAACAAGAAGGCTGGCCGCCATGTATTGTCTTCCGAAAATCGTAGATATGTTTTCCTGGGAACATTTTCGCTACTGGCATCCACTATCTCCAAATATGCAGTGTTGGATTTTGTCCTTCCTAAAAATCTATGGCTCGTGTCGCCAACGACAATTATTCATGGTCTTGAAACATCGAGATCGTTGCGTGTTCATCCGGGGTAGACAGAGTGTTTACATGTAGCTATCCTGTCATCTAATTCTATTGGTACTAGTATCTCCACATGCAACAGGTATTGCAGGTACTCATGTTCAATGTAACCTTGTACCTTTTTTTTTTTTTTGGGTTAAAGGTGCAGGACAGGAGGCTCCTGGCAAGGGCAAGTCGCTTGGCGTCTATGGAAGCGGCAATTGTGCCATCACATGCTCCCAGCATCTGTAATTATCTACACCCGCAGTGATATCTGGCTCCAATAAAGTTTTGTCTTTTCCTGTACTGGGCGTTGCATTGAACGATGTTGCCATTTTGGTGGGAAATATCGTATAGCAAGAGGCGGTAGCATTGTGAAGTGGCGTTGGAGCGCTTAGAGGGAGTATCCGCGTATGATTCCTCTCCCCCCCACCCTTGGGGTCATACACGACCGGATTCGGTCAGCGGCGTGGGATATATAACTAAGAGAAACCAAAGTTAGCGTTTTCTCGTCGCAGTATCCCACATGACGCCTAAATTGAATGTCACTTGAACATGGTTTATCCCACGTAAGTCACGCAATATTCCGCTGCATTTAAACAAGACCACTCATAAGTGGGATAACTAGTTAGTGGGATAAGGGGTAATGGGCATTGCTCCCCGTCGGTGATATACACCAGTGTGACACTGCAGATGTGATCTGTGCCGAAAAGATGAAACCATAAAATTAAAAAAGGCCAACGGAAGATTTATTTGCTGGAGCAGAATATCGAAATTGTATCACATTCGGTGCGGCACGGTATCGGCCGGGGGTTCCTTTGGCAGCCAAACCATCAGATGAGGCGAGTAGTTCCCGTCAGCTTGGCATTCTGTTCAATAATTTCAAATCGAACCGTCTTCCAATCAGCTCTTCTCCTGTGCAAAAGCACCTGTAATGACATGATAATGTTTAGAAGTCTTGCCGCTAACCATATTTCAATCAGCACGGATTCCTTTAACAGACGTACCTTAGATTAAGAAACTTCTCCAGAGTGATATGTGATGACATTTCTGAATTAGGCTCATTTATGTAATGTAATATTTATGACGAGTTGCTGAAGACTAAACTCGAGCCCTTAAGCCCTGGGTCCATTCTTGATTCTAGTCATATTCTTATAGTTCTTCAGCCTCGTCTGCAATATAGCGTTTGATATCAACCACGTTTGCGCTTGGTATGCAACTTCGATGTGCCGCAATCCAAGCAAACTAGCCTTTCTGCCACCATACTGTCTGTGGGCCTGTCAGTAAAAGCAAGCCACTCAAGATTCTGCTTTGGTATGTATGCAGATGCAGCTGCTTGTGCGATAGCTGATAGGAGGGTGGCGAGATGACTAAACAGGTCACTGAGTAGAGCCTTATCATGTAGAGCCGCCTTCTGAATCAACGGCTTCTCCAAGAATCGTGTCGCTTCTTCCACGGTCTCTTCTCCACGCATGTCCTTAATCAAACCTGGCTAGGAACAGCTTTGGCGTAGCCAGCCGCATTTGCTTGTAGCGTTCGGTCGTCATTTCTCGATTATGTGCTTGTGCCGTAATTGCATACTTTGGGGCAATGCCCGCTGCAGCTCGATCCGTAGTCCGCGTTGCTTCCACCGCCGGATATCTTCTCTTGGCTCTTTCATCTTGTGCGCATTCTTTTAAGGTATCTGCTCTCCCGGGCCAATCGGATATTACGGTACTCGAATCCCTCGTCGTCGTAATCTTCGAACGTGGTCGACTCGATTCTCTGTCCCATCTTCTTGAACAACGTATAACTTGTCACGATCCTAGCTGGGGTCAGAAAATGTGCCAGCTGTGTGCTCTGTCACGAAGTAGGTCGTGGTAAAGTAAGAGCATCTAATCGTCATCAGGCGTCTGGAGTTCGAAGCTGTCAATAACTCAAGTGTAAATGGGATAGATGGTAGAGGGTGTGTTGTCCAGATGGAAAAAAGAACCATAAGCGACGAGCACGTCATCACGTCAAACATCGCGAGATCGAATTCGGAAGGGATCTGGTGAAACGGCAGCGGCGCTAACAAGAAGCCTTGACCAGAGGTTCGCAAACAACCTCCAGACACGGACCTGCGAGGGTAGCCGCAGAAGCCCGTCCCGAATTCTTAACCTCCTGGGATGTGTTGTGAATAGTGACCATGTAAGTATAGTCGTCGCCTCGGCTAACGTAAAAGTTTGTACCAGTAATATCGGTAATAAAGCATGTGTAAGGCAGCCTAGGACCTTGATTGCCAGGCAAGCAATCCATTCTATCGGTTAGTCAGTCATCTGGGTCAAGATTTAACAATGAGTCCAATATCACTGTCGCTCTGCACAACTAGTTGGGTGCAATAGCAAGAAACTCTTCATATTGAGACGTGCTCTTCATGGCGCATAGATTTTTGGCGGTCTGTCACCTTCCCGCAGCTCCAATTAGCGATTGGGATATATTCTGTGCCTGGCTCGTTCGCGCCAAGTCCTCCACGAATGCATCGTTCAAGTTAAACCAAAGTACAGCACGATATTGCGAGTCGTCCTTGGCCCAGCATATAGCCCGCCATATGCACATAAGTCACGTCGATATCCCCGACGGGTTCGTAGAATATTCTCCGGCTCATATTGGATGAGAGATCATCCACCAGCCAACACCCGCATAAATTTCTTTTTATACTTTTACACAAACAATACATCCTATCCCTACCTTGCCAAAATCGGTCTCTAATGCCCAGAACTCATTCTGCTTGTTGAGCGAGCAGGCATTCGCGGACCAAACCTGGAAACAAAGCATTGACATTCTTCTTACGCATTGCCGGATGCCTTGCCGCTCACTTTTGGCAAGTCGATAGTGCGCCATTTCCAAACCCTTACAGTCTGTCGGGTTGCGAAGTCATGAGTATGAAGGGGCGTTCTATGTACGTAAAAAGCCGATCGAGTTCGGAAAAGGATTTCTCGAGAGCGCCGCAATGCCAGGGGTCTCTTACTAATTCACCTGGTATTCTTACGGCAAACTCTTCGCGCCGCCCCACGGTTCGTATAGATGCTTGTCGTTCAGATGGGCCGCAAACGCTACAAGTTTGCCATCCGGCGTGGGGGATCTCATGGATACCAATCTCGCTGTAGGGCCTCTTAGCCGTCCTCGAAACTGGTGGCAAGGTGGATTTCCTTACCTTCGACGTCTTTTGGATGCCTTAAACAGCAACGCGGGCCGGTCAGATTTTCGGTCGCATACGAATAGTCCAGCAAGTCCCATGGTGATACAGGGAATAGTCATTGAGGCTTAAGGTGGAGTGGAGCGGTCCTTTGGAAGTTAACAGCTCAAAACAATAGCAGAGCATTTCAGGGGCAGCTGAATGAAGTTTTTTTTCTCCCTACCCGAGTAGTCAAACGACAAGGGCAAGATCTCAAAGCTCCGCCTAGTAAATAGTCTTGGTTTTCTTTTGGGAGGCTAATTGTGCAGTGTGACAAAAATTACTTACTACCGTCGTGGTTCATGTCTTTACCTAACCATAAGTGATATACTGTCCGACTCTATGTTTTGAGTACAGTACGATGAGCTAGAAGCAGTCCACTTTTTAATATTCGGAGGCTGGACCCTCACCAGGTACGAGTCCCTGAAGCTGATTTTGCCTGCGTCTTGATTGGCAAGATAGCCACCAGGTTTACATAGTAGGTGAGCCAATCCTGTTTGGCGGCTACGGCTAGAGGCGGCGGAGAGGAATCTATTAGCATAGCCAAACTCGTTCTTTGGTTCCAGACTTTCCAGATGGGGGTTGCAGCATTGAAAATCGTGGTCGGGTTGTGATTGCGTGATATGGACCCTTTCTGGCGTTTACAGTCTGACCCCCAAATAGCGCCGTTAGGGCGAAAGCTTCGGCCCCAGCAGGAGTGACGGTGGGAAATGATGCTCACTCACACACAGGCTGTCGATATTTCGAAAAGGCGATCAGGATGGCCGGGAATCGAAACGAAGGACAGCTCTGGTGCAAAAAGTCAGTGGCATCTCCGGGCATCTTGATGTAGTTACGTAGCGCATGTGGACAAATGGATGATGTCATCAAATATGCATCAGCTCGTGAATGAATAAAGTTACGATGCATAGATAGTTAACAGTCATGTGGTTGTTACTGCGTAGTGAAAACAACAATACCATTAATGGCTAAATGTTGCCCGGGATATATAATCATGGAACCATAATAATTCTTCAAGTCCAGCCTCGAGGGGCATAGATCACTCGTGATATACGTAGCCCATCAATGACTTGCGATAGTGTGCAGAGCACGCAAATCAACATCTTCAAACCCCACCAATACGCTCGCCTTCCCGTGAAACGCCATCCCAATGTAAAACCAGACCTTGGACCTTTGTTCATGTGTTACGGATTATTTAGCTTCGACCTCAGAGTCTTCCGACTTTGCTCTTTTCGATTCGTCCTCGGAATCCGAATCCTTTCCTAGGACCTTCAATGCTGCGGCCAACTTGGGGTCGAATTTTGACTCCTTGGATCCCGTCTTCTCCATGACCAGGCCGCGTAACCACTTGTTCTCAGTTTCTAGATGGGTGATGCGGTTTTTGAGCTGAGAAACTTCGTCTTGGAGCTCCTTCTCCTTCTTCTCGAGAGCTTGTTCGCGAGCCTTCTTCTTGATTCTGAATCGGGCGCTCGCAGCCGTATTTCGCCTGCGCTTGTCTTCTTCTGCGGCGAGGCGGGACTGATCCTCGAGATTGTATTGCCGGCTGTGGCCAGCATCAGAGGGCCGCTTGACCCCCGCGTGGGGCGGGACGGCGTATGGGCTCTGTTGCGCCGACTGATACGCGGCCGTCTGATTTGATTGCAACTGTTGCAGGCTCCCTATATTGTCCGAGAAGCTAGGGACAGCGGGAGTTGCAAAAGTGCCAAAGTCAAAGTTGTTGAAGTCGTCTAGAGGCATTGTGAGTTAGAGTATGTTCGGATCGACGCAAACGGGAGGGAGGCGTGGTTCATGCATCGAGTGCATGGGCGGAATGCTGGAAGCGCAGAAGATGATAACTTCATCACCTAGTATGGCACTCCCAAGACATGAATTGGTGTTTTGCTCCCGGTATGGGGCATCCACGGGGCTGCTCCCCGGAATCCTAGGTCACGGGATATGGCACCATATGTCGAATTGCGCAATGGCTTGGCAAAATTGGTAAGCCGACAGGTTGGGGGTCAGGATCGAAGAGGCGCTAACGACAACGAGCCTGCGCATCCTCGGCAAAACGCAAGACCGTGAAAATGCAACGTCGAGCAGTGTGCCAATCAGCGCCCGACTGCTCTGCGTGGGAGCGAGCTTACGAAGTAAAGAAAGTGGGGTAAAGGCCATGCTGTTTTTCCAAGGGCCCTTGCTGCCATACCCAAAGTGCCACTCTATACCATAGGTAGGGACCGTTTTGTCGAACTCTCGGACAGGGTTTCTATAACGCAGTCGTTGAAGTGACAAGGCACTCGCCTCATCAAGAATGGCATCTTATGCAATGTAGGGGGGTTCATGCTGCCCGGGAAACGAGAGACTTTGTCGCCGGATAATCAGGGAAAACAGTGATGCAAAACACTGGTGCAAGCCAGACTCATGAAAAAGCGCCCAGAACTAACCTTGAATGTCGAAGTTGAAATCTCCCACTGCTGAAGTAGCCGGAGCAGGCTCAACAGCTGCGGCTGCGGCAGGCTTTTTCTCGGGCTCTGGCCCGTGAAGGGTAGCGGCCTGAAACTCGGCCGCACCTGAGGCCTTCTCCCAATCGAAGAATTGCGTGTTTGTGAACATGGCCAGATCCTTATCCCAATCGTCGCTCACGGGAGAAGTTCCCTGAGACGGCACCTCCACGTTCAGATCCTGGATAAATGTCGAAAAGTTGACCTGGCCGCCGCCGCGGCGACTCGAAGCGTAGTTGGACGACATTTTCGTCTGCGACTTGGAGGACCCAAGATTCTTTCAAATGTTCCCCCTTGGTGTTGTAGTTCAGACCCGTGGTCGCGAGGCGTGCTGAGCCGTCACGAGCACCGCTGCTGCTACTGCTAGTACTGCTACTCCAGTGATGTCGTGGCTTTGAAGAGAGTGGTTGACAAAAGTGCCCCCCCAATGTCGATGTCAAGTGCAAAGTTGGTGTTTGGTTGGGTGGGCCTGTGCAAGAACAAAGAAAGCCACAGGCGAAACCGGTCCTTCCCACAACTGGCAGTTGGCCAAAAAAAATATCTAGCCAATAGCAGAGTACCGACGTCCTTGGTCGAACGGCGGTTGATGTGCTGTTGGGTTGTTGTCTCGAGACTCGAGTAAGGTTCGAGTCTACAACAGTAATGCAGCAGGTGTTCGCTTCCCCGGATTATACGATGGGGAGAGGGTCGGTTATGATTGATAAGTTGAATAAGAGGAAAAAGCAAAGGTCAAGAAGCGACGCTGGGGATGCGCCCGGGTTGAGCAGCAGAATTAGTCAGGAAGTGGGAAACTCGCAAGCAGCAGGAGGGTCGGACCCAATCATGTGCATGGCATCCCCACTGCACCTCCACGCGGGTTTTGAACGTTTCCATCAAGACTAGATCTCGGCCAAACTCGACTGATCGAACGACTAGAGCCCACATCACGCTGCGCCAGGTCAGGCAAATGCAGCCGGAAACGCTGGAAAGCTAGTTGCTGTAGTCCTGTGTACTAACTACGTATTATTGGGCACACATTTGCCCTTAGTCCTCGAGTCAAGTAATGGGACAAGGCCAAAGCCAAAGCCTCAGTCGTCGGTTAAAGACCTCATGCCAATTCCCGAGAGAGCGGGAAGAATGTCTGCGCGCAAGGATCGATGATGCACTGGAAAGCGCCCTTGGTGTACTCACCCCCTCCCCCCTCCACCCACTGAAAGCGTCAATGTGATGCGTTGATCGCAGCAAAGAGTTCTCACTGCTGACGTCAAATCCCGACAAACAAAATCTCGTGCTACATTTTTGTTGATCTTTCCGCGCATGCATGCATGAGCACGTCAGCTATGTAAGAGCCTCAGTTCCTTTTGGACTTGTTGAATTGGTTTCAAGATGCCTACAGCCCAGACGGCGGTTGATTCCCTCGTGTAACGAGTTCTGCCGATGACGGAGACGCTGCAAGCGGGGACTTGCAGCTGCTTTCTCGTGCCCTTGTTAGGCAATCCCGGAAAATGCAGGGTCCACGCAAATGAACCATTACCCTTGCCTCTTGGCATGGGCAAATGTCGGCTTGCCAGTTTCAGTAGCTTTACTCGATGCATAGACCAAGTATTTCGGTAGTCGGCGCTTGGTGCTAATAATTATACTCCGCCATGGTACACTGCTCAATTCACGGACGATGCATGCCCTTCGATGAAATGATATCGCTTTTGATGAGAGAATGGGATGTAAGGGCGCAGGGAAAAGTAGTATGCTTCGGTAGCCTGGGCACATGTGACAGTAAAGTCGATTTTCGGCACAGAATTACGCTTTCCATATTAGGTAGTTCCTCTCACTCTGAGCCGAAAGCAGCTGAAGCGCCGCCGCAGCATGGATGGCCATATTTTATATGACAAGACCAAGAGCATGATAGTGTCAATCCTCTGCTTCCAGCCGAAAATACCGGGCAGCACAACCGACAATACTCATGACTGACGAAAACTCCCAGCATCGTCCTCCCTTGGCCGAATGCCATAGTGAAACGGCTGCGGTTCTTGGACGGTCGCCAAATGGCTGTATCTATGTCCTAAGGGCTTTTCTTGGAGTTGAACACGACTGCCTAGAGCTGATCCATCTCTGCAGCAAGAAGTGGTCGCCGACGTCTGACGTCGACTCCAAATCTGATCAAGACACATTGCGACAGACGTTAAGTATTAAAAAAGTTCAGTTTAGCTCTTGGGGGCCTTGCACGCCACGTCTCCGGTGTAGTCTAGAAGCCCTAAACAGCTAATAGCTTTATTTCAACTTTGTATTTACTATATAATCACTAATTTAAGCTTATATTCACACATATGACTATAGCTCTTAGAAAGCTCAGCATTCCGTCCGCTCTGCTCTAAATAAATTGTGAAGCGCAAACATTCCTATTATCCACCTTAGTATACACCGATTTGCTGACTTATCCGCCCGCGGCCCGTCACGCTAGCATTATTTACTGGGCCCGCTTTTTCTCTTCCTTCGCTGCGTTATAACTCTTAACTGCCTGCGTTTTAATACCACTCAGAACCGTTCTATCGGTGCTTTTGTATCCTCTCCATTACGGCCCCCCTCGCATATGAGGCGCCAGGACGCTACGGGCAATATTATCATATCAAAAGCAAGGAGGCCACAATAATATTTCAGATCCAGACCGAACGGATTGGGCTCGCAGCGTTCCGGTTTAGGATCGGAGTCTTCGGGGTATATACGCCTCTATGCCGCTGAAGCAACGCCCCAGAAACGTTAGAGCCCGTGTTTCTCTATCGCAGACTATTAGAAGAGTCCCAAGAACGCTTACGGCGCGCTATAGCACCGGCCAAGCTAAATACACGCCACGACGTCGCAGAGTGTGACGATTATACTATCGGGTTGCACAACCACAAATAATATAATGCAAGGGGGTTTATGCTAACAAGATATGCTAGCCACGAATAGAAGACTATAGAGATAGACCTTCAGAATATACTGAGCAAAGAGATTCACAAGTGTAGTCGTCAAAGCGTGAGCTTCACCTATGGGTAAGATAGATGCTTAGATTGATCACTGAAGTAATGACTGTCTATGTAGAGTAGGAAACCCAATCCTTATTATATCCATTCATTCCTTCACTGATGTTGGTTGGATCACCTTGGATCACTGTTGGCTCACCAGTGATCCCCTTTGTCCATAGGTGATCCCCTGCATGGATCACCATGGGCTCACGCCAAGGCTGGGTGATCCCGTGATCCTCACGTGACCTTGTCTCCGTTGGAGACCAGCCGTCTGGCACTCTGCCGGCTGTACTTATGTGGGGTCCTGCGGCCTACCTGTAGACCTCGTTCGTAACACAGAGGCTACGACAAACCTAGATAGGGCAAGATTATTGGCTAGGCGGTTATTAAGAACGGATAGGCTATCGTTTAATAAGGGTAGATAGTCTTTTCGGGTGTAGTGTCGTTGATTAGGTGAGAACTAACGTCGCATTATAGTGAACGTAGCGTAGTCCCCGTTAAGGCGTGTAGTACACGAAGCGTACGGGTTTTGTCCAACTCTTAGAGTAAGGTTTACCGTACGGCTTTACTCGTAGAGATACCAAGGGACTTCGAGTTTTACGGTTTATATAATAATAATAAATAAGAGTAATTAGTTTAATCCTTTCAAAAATAACTTAAGCTTATCTCTTATTAAGTGTAAGCTAGTTACTACTAAATGAATGTCAATGACTCCATTTGGTTTAACAATAATTAAAAAAAAAATGTATTTGGGCATTGAAAATGAAAAAAATTGAATAGTAAAGTCCTTGAGCGAAACCGGCTATAACTACATGGTGTCTCAGTCTAGGTCTAAAGAATGGTTCGTCACGGTAGCAGTGGATTCCGTTTACATCATATCAAATAGCGCCTTCCGACTATCCTAGGATGTACATATTTGGCAGCGGTAGTCATTAACTACCGTGTCTGATTTTGGTTCATAGCTCTCAGTGCCACTATGCATCTCTACAGTTGGTATAGAAGACTGCTGTAGTGAAGGTCTGGTATGATGCACTGAAAGGAAGAGCCTGAACCTACTCGAGCATGGGATGGTGAATACGGTGCTCGCATGAGCGTGGGATCGCAAGTGTAACGCTCTAAGCGTGAAATGATAGTATAGGTACCGTCAAGTAGTATATAGAAGTCCGAGTCTACAAAAGAGAATATCGGTGTACAGAAAGTGGGCATATGACCACTGGCTAAGTCACGTGATCACCACTCCTAAGTTGAGTGATCTGAGAGCTCGTCGCCTTTGGTGTACGGAGTGCTCTCCGTTCACTGTGGCCATTTATAGTCATCTATATTGCCACATTTTGCAAAGCCAGATCTTGTAGAATATGTTATCAGGCTTTATAAAGGGTTGATTAACCTCCTTGGACATGGTGTCAAGCAATCAGTAGGCGTTAAGTTTTTGAAATATCATTTTGTGTCAGTCTTGGACAACACCGGCGCCGTTGAATCTTGAAGTCATACATCATGTCTACTGTTGTGGCAATATGGATGACTATAGATGGCCATAGTGTACGTGGAGCACTCCGTACACCAAAGGCGACGAGCTCGCGGATCACCGAACTTGGGAAGTGGTGATCACGTGACTTAATCAGTGGGTATACACCCATTTTCTGTACACCGATATTCTCTTTTGTAGACTCGGACTTCTATATACTACTTGACGGTACCTATACTATCATTTCACGCTTAGAGCGTTACACTTGCGATCCCACGCTCATGCGAGCACCGTATTCACCATCCCATGCTCGAGTAGGTTCAGGCTCTTCCTTTCAGTGCATCATACCAGACCTTCATTACAACAGTGTTCTATATCAACCGTAGAAACTGTCATAGAAGGTCAATAGAAATTATTATTTGGAATGAAGAGTTCTCGCCCATGTGTACATCTTTAGTATGGCCGAAGGAAAACATCTCCTGCTATCATTGCGCAAAGCCACTCTTTGACTGACGATATTGCCTCGATTTGTCTAGCGCTCCACTTGGTCCAGCCCAAGCGTATCGCCAGCCCCCTGAGCATCTTCCACGTGATTGAGCGGATCGTGTTTTCTCAGCTTGCTGAGCTTTGTCGACCGAGAAGATACTGACACACTCACGCAATTGCATTCATTATGCCACGATTCATTCTAAAAGTTCGAGCACCTTTTTTAACCGTTCTTGGATCAGTATTGGCGAAAACTCGTCACCGCGCCGTGTCCCATATGGCGCACAGCCGCTATGTTTGTAATGCCGATGCCGAGCCTCTCCATCGCTATCGAGCTGGAGGGTACCATCCGGTCAAATTGGGTGATTTGCTTAACAAGGAGAGGTACAAGATTCTTCACAAACTCGGATGGGGTGGATATTCGACTACCTGGGCTGCGTATGATCGAAGGTAAACAAGCTTATGTATGCTCAAAAAGATCATCCACTTACACGCTCTAACTGCCTGCAGACAAAACCGATACGTTGCTGTTTAAATCTGTGTTTCGAAACATCGTCATGGCTGCGAGATCCAAATTCTCCAGAGAATGTCGGCACTAGCGGATGATCATCTGGGCCGAGCTCACTTGGTCCAAATGCTGGATCATTTCACGTTAGCCGGGCCTAACGGAGTGCATGGCTGCCTTGTCCTCGAATTACTGGGCGTCAGTGTCGTGAACTTTATCGATTCCTTTTGCCGTCATGAGAGACTCCCGGCAGTCTTAGCCAAATCTATAACCTACCAGGTGTTGTTAGGGATCGACCTCCTAGCTCAACATCGAATTGGTCATGGGGGTAGGATTTCTAAGGTGGCTATCAATATATATCAGCCCACTGACTCTTCTGTTTTAGACATTCATACAGGAAACTTGGCAATTGCAATACCTGACTTACATACCCTTAGTGAGAAGCAATTTTTCGACAAGTTTGGAGGGCCTGATACCGCCCCAATGCGTAGAACAGATGGTGCATCGCTAGAAGACCACAGGCCCGACTATTTAGTGCGAAACGCTTCCTTGAAAATGAGTCTTCGCGAGAGCCTACATTCATCTCCTGTTGTCAAAATCATCGACTTTGGAGAATCATACATTGATGATCATGCACCTAAGACATTGCATACACCATTAGCAATGCGGGCACCAGAAACTGTATTTGGCGACCAAATCGACCATCGCGTTGATATGTGGAGTATGGGTTGCCTGATATGTTGCCTCTCCGATTTGACCTGCCTTTGCATGCTAATTAGTAAAAGATTTCGAACTTATGACCGGTCAACCCCCTTTCGATGTTATTATGTTGACCCCTGCTACCTTAGTCTCACAGATGATTGATTTTTCGACCGACGAACTCCCAGCTCGTTGGCAAGAGAAATGGCAGGCAATAAGAAATGGAATATCTAGTGATGACCATCCATATACACTTCAAGAGTGGCTGTAAGAAGTTTACTTTGACGAGAACAAATGTCCCGAATTCACGAAGTCGGACATAGATATAATTTCGAACCTGATAGGACAAATGCTCAAGTTCGATCCAACATCAAGGGCTTTGGCCAATGATATTCTAGATAATCCATGGTTCACTCGATCTATATGAAGGCTAAAATAATATTTCATGCCGAATGCATGGAGTTTTAACGTTCCCGTTGTTGCCACTCCCGCTCTCTCTGCTTCTCGGTCCGTCTTTTCTCGCGGAAGCAGTCTATGAACTTTTCCGACAGCGATGCGTCATATTCTACGAACTGATATACATGTGATTATAGCATCGTCAAGGGTGGCTTGCCGAGGTTCTCGCTTCGAGCATTTAAGAAATAGACAACGGTTTGGTGATTGACCAACTCGTTTTGACAATACTTCAGAGTATGCTTCAGTGGCGTTGATTTGCCCGCTCCTGGCCTTTAATCCAAAGCAATCCGTTATGGCTTGCATGTAAAATCGGTCTCGCCATTCCCGGAACTCGTTGGTTTCGATTAAACAATCACAAGTGTTTCGATGGACGGGTTCGATGTCGAATAGTCGAGCTTTGGTATTTAGAAAGACCAGAGAGCGAAGGAATGCTGTAATTTGTTAGTGATACATTTCTGGCCATAGATTGCGCTGCTCACTCTTCCTCTCATCGAGTTTCATAGGGTTGTCAGCTCAATGATTATTAAATAGCACTAGGCTCATTAGCGAAAAGATTTTAAGTAATGCTTATATACGTGGCTTTCTCGTACATCCGTTGAAATGGTACGTTGCTTCTCAAGTGCCGAAATTGGGAATCCATGAACCAACCAAGGCGGTATAGGAATTGATCAGTGACAGCAATATACATCTCAAAATGTGATGAAACCGCAATATTATATAGTACTTGGCTGGGGCCTGGTCATATCGGATCATTGGCAGATTGAGCAACCACCTCGGATACAACTCACCATTGCGTTATCCAAGAGATGGCTCGTCAACTGAGGAATGGCTCACCGACAGGTGTGACGCATTAATGGAGGGTTGAATTGGCGTGCCAGCAAATATAGGGCGATGGAATCGATGAGCTGTAGCAGAAATGTCGACAGCAACTCGCATCCCTTGGTCGGCTTGCTGCTCTCTCCAATGTATTTGTTCTCGCGATCCGGGTTCGTGTTGATCGATACATGCACTTGCCAGCATTCCGCCAAATGCAAGGCTTGTGATAGATCCAGAACGCGCTCTTTCAACTTATCAAATGTCGTAACAATTGTTCGCTCGCGCCAAGATGGATTATTTCAATGCGAATCTGGACGTCCTTTCGATCGACCAGTATAGCCCATGGATGACGTCTCGGTTGAACAGTTCGCCATCAGAAGCGGATCTCGGGACACAGAGCCAACCGTCACTAAGTCCTGCTTCAAGCAGTAATGGCAACTATGTGCTTCACAGCCAGATCATTCTCTCGTTCATGGACGCTGAGCTGTGGGATGAGGGTGTCTTGTACGATGAGAACCCTCTGAAGGGACATTCGGTGTATATTGCAATGGAAATCCATAATAAATGATAGAGCTAAGGCGAAGGACACGGAAGTAGATATCGTCATCTCTCCTCGCGACTTCTGGGATCTAGACCTACAGGACAAAATCAACAAGCTTGTCGAGAACAATCGCGTGTCTCATCCAGCTGCTCGAGTTCATGAGACTAGCCTAGTTGTTTCAGTGAATAAGAACCATGAGTTTGACCTGGCGAAGCGGGCTGAAGAACTCAAGATCAACCGGCGGTAGATCGAGAGACAACTCTAGAAGTGGGGCCACTTGTTCCGTATTGGCAACGACTGCGTCTACAGATTGTCTTCAAGCTTACAAACAAGGATGGTCCAGCATCTGCCTGGAGAGGCCGCAGATTTTGGGGAAGTGGTCGACAGAGAATGTTCGCAAACCCAAAGTCTCGTGACACCTGGATGGATGGGCGTGCCGAGGACCCTGAGACACGCATAGATGACGTTTCATTTCTTCCAACGTAGTCGTCATCGAACTGCCGTGTAGCCCGCAGTGCAGCACTAATGAATACCAATTTCTCATCCTCGGCGAAGGAAGCTTTGCTTATCGATCGCAAATATGGCGGAAGACCTAAGCTCAAAGACCCGCTGTGAAGTTCCGTCGGCCGTCGCCTCCTCCAGGCTAGGGGCTAGTCTTGGCACACTCCTACCATCTTCAAAAGCCCAGTTGTCGATCTCATCCTCGTTGAGAGCGATATCGCCATACAAATGGTTGTTTGCCAGCAACCACTTAAGCGCTGCACGAAGAGTTGGAGGTCGCACACTCAAAAACTTACTCACGTCCGCAGGCATGAGTCGCTCGACGCCGGTCCAGATGATGTGAAGCTGGTCTTACTACCGGGGTTGAATATTGATGTTTGAGGAATCCATTAGGATAGTGTCAAGTCTGTGAATACAGTTGTCTTTTTCTTGTTCTCCACATGACTAGCAATGTACTTTCAAAGAGACACATGGCTCTTGTCACGCCCACCGGCCGGCTTCCGGCTTGATTGCATCTGAACTCGGGGATTGATATGGACGTAGCGATTTTTAATACTTAGACATCATTAAAAAAAAAAACTATTTCTTGACAAATATTTTAAAAGTAATCTGATCTGTTTAATTTGAAGTTTGGTTAGGAAAGTTAACAGAATTAAAAAAATGTGGACAAAAAAGTTTCCTTCTATGATATGGCCTCATAGTCCTTCATGGAAGTAATGTTGTCTCTGCGGCATTCTCTTCGACATTCCCTCATCATTTATTTTGTTGTGGCGCTGGTGATGGCAAGGGCGGCTGGATTGTTGGCTGGCCTGATTGTGCACCAGGTACCTGCGACGAGTCGTGGCTAAAATTGTACATGAGGGAAGCCTGCTGAGTCATGACACCATTTGGGTCCTGGTTTGCTGTTGGCAAAAGTGTAAAAGGATATTCACTATGTACCTGTGATGAGTTATAGTTGTGGTTGTACATATGTGATGGCTGCTGAGTAATGGCACCGATTGGTCCCATATTTGTTCCCAAGGCAGTTGAAAAGGCACGCCCTCCGGATACCTGCGATGAGTTATGATTGGGCCCGTACATGCGGGAAGGCTGCCGAGTAGTAGCACCGATTGAGCTCTGATCTTTTGTCAAGGGAGTTGAAAAGGTACGCCCACCAGATACTTGCGATGACTTATGATTGCGTTTGTACATGTGCGAAGGCTTCTGAGTAGTAGCACCGATTGAGCTCTGATCTTTTGTCAAGGGGTTTGAAAAAGTACGCCCATCAGATACTTGCAATGAGTTATGATTGGGTTTGTACATGTGGGAAGGTTGCTGAGCAATGACACCGCTTGGGCTCTGTTGTGCTGCTGAGGAACATGGAACCGAAGTTCCAGCAGTACCCTGCACGGCTGGGTAAGACTGAAGCGTTTTGACAACACCAGTATGCCCCACGTTCATTTCGATATCGATATCGTGTAGCATCCTGCCGAACTGGTCTTCCTTATCAAGACGTGCACCATATCTGAGTAGAAGTTGCACGGCCTCCTCCTTGCCCTCTCGATTAGCCCACCAAAGCGGCGATTGCCCATCTTTGTCAGTGGAGTCTAAGTCCACAGCGCGAGTGTCTAACAAAAGCTTCATGACAGATATATGCCCTTTTTTGGCACTATATGTAAGAGGTGATTCGCCACGCAAATCAGCTTTGTCGCGTTCAATGCTATGATTTTGCAATAAAACAGTGACGACGTGAGCGCGCTCATGTAAACAGACGAGATGTAGGGGCGTTTGTCCGAGTCTGTTGGATGTGTTCAACAATTCACATGAGGCGGCTAACAAAGCACGCGCTGTGAGGTGATGACCATTGAGCGAAGCCCAGTGTAGTGCATTTTGGCCGCATTCCTTGTCGCTGGTGATCAAACGAGAGCCGTGAGTCAATAATAACTTTACTGCTTCAGTGTGTCCAAGTTTTGCAGCGTAAACTAGAGGTGTGCATTCATCTCCATCACTACAATCGTGATATGATGCCTCTTTGCTGGTTCCATAAGCCGACAACAGAGCTTGCACGATGTCTTTGCTGCCCTTCTGCATTGCATAGTGTAGTGGCGTCTTTCCATTTGTATCAGTCAAGTGACAGGATGCTCCTCTTTCGAGAAGTTGCAGAACCACTCTGGTGTTGTCTACAGCAGCGAGGTGAAGAGCTGTGCGACCAAAGTAATCCTGATGATCCAAGAAATCTTTTGCCAGGTCGGTGTGGGCAGCCAGGAAATCATAAGCATCGTCTGCCATTCCGAGCTCCAGTGCCACCTGTAGTATATTTCGCTTCAAATAGTCTATTCTGCCATCAAAATAGCAATGGACCATAGCCCCACGAAGGATGGCTGGTCCTGGGTAAATTGGTAAGGTGGCATAGACTTGATAGCCTCGTAGACGTGCGTGTTTTATGGTCTCCATTTCGGTCATGCACTTAGCCCAAACTTTTTCATACTCCTTGAGTAACGGCTGTATCTCTCCTGACCTAGAGCTGCTGCCTTCACCAGATGTTTTAAACTTGATTTCAAGCACACACTCGTATAAAGCTATTTCAAGATCAATCCTATCCATCATTGGAGAATTGACCATCATTTTTCCCATGATGTTCACATCGCATTGCAGCAGGAGTGATTGGGAATGGTTAAGTTGCATAGCGGGATCTGAATAGTTCAAGAGGCAAAGCGCCCAGTATTTCACGTTAGCACCTGTGCTCACGAGGAGTTGGTTCGTTTCGTCGAGTATGGATGTTAATTCGCCTTTGATATCATTTTTCATTCCTTTGATGGCTTCGGTTGTCCATTGATGGAGTCTCACCAGGTCAGTCTCTATGCGTCTGACCCAGAACAGCCTCAAGGCTCTAGAGTCAAGTCAGCAAGTTCTACAAACACACACAGCTCTACGCACAACTGTTTGAAACGGACAATGTTTTCGTTCTGGTGGACTTCGGATTTTCTCGTAGTCAATACTTCCGATCTCCTTACTTCAGTCGTTCCGGGGGTTGTTTGATTGATCCGCTCGTTAGCTGAGCAGTTTAAGCCGCTTTGCTCACAACGCTCGCATTTTTGACCCGGCCAAAGTCGGTTAACAGGTTCGCACTAAACCAATGGTCAGCACAGCGTAAAAAGATGTAGACAAAAGCTGACCTTCTTCTTTGCTGTCCTACAGGTGGTACATTTTTGGTAGTTTAGGCGACGTCTCTTGGGCTTTGATTCCTCGGTGCTGTCTTGACTAGTAGATTCGAGCGCTGGCAGCCTCGTATGCTCAGTTTGACTTGACATTTGCGGATGCTCTCGACGATCTGTACTGGTCTCAGCCGAACGGTCCGAAGTCAAGACTCTCACGGCTTCGACTGCGGCTAGATTTGATATCAAAGAGTGTGTTGAATTGTAAATTAGCGGCACAAAAAAAAAAAAAAAGAGTGACCATCTCTGCGATGGGCTACATAGAAACGCGTTTTCGTACAGGTGACAGAGTAGCTGGGTACCGATCGCACGGTCCAAATGTCGCGCAGTGGTTTCGCAGTGGTCGCAGTTTAGCGCTGTGCTTCAACACGCATCCTATCGCAGCTCATCGCAGTGCCGCAGCGCGTCGCAGTTCCGCAGCGCGTCGCAGTGCCGCAGCGCAATACAACATACTTAGTATGGACTACAGCATGCGCGATGCAGTATCAATTCCTACGAGAAAGTACCGAGAAGATTTTGCTAATGTTGTATTGATGTAAGTGGACTACCTAAGCATACAGGCTGACATAAAACGTGACAAAGTTGCAAACATCGCTTTCGTCGCAGTGTCGCAGTGCCCATCCTACTACGACCAGGCTTTTAACAACGACTACTGTCTATTCCATTCTATTCTATTATAACTATCATTAGAACGATCATTGCCAATGGATAATAATGCAGGCGTTTTATCGTTGCTTCCGGCCACCTCTTTTCTAACTTGTCTACTATTGATCTTACACCACCGACTACCATAAAGTTCTCGGGATTGGTTCTTCTAGATCATCTTGTCATACCCTATTGTGTTATGGCGTCTGGCTCAAACATCTCCCTAGAAGCAGCCCTGGCCATTGCATTTGGGCTACCGTCGCTGCTAATCGCCTTGTTCTCTCTATGGATTGCGTATCTGACCTTCTCACATGCGCGAACATCGAGAGCTCAGTCAATGGCTGGACGCGTACACCACCAATTCTGACATGGAGCTCCCGATCTTACCTCAGGCCGCACGATGCCGGTAACCGGTTCTGTTCGTATGGAGGTATATCAGGCGGTTATTATACAAGTCGTTTTAGACAGTACAGTTCGCTATACGATCGGGAGCGCTGCGAAGTATACAAGGGTCTAGGTTAGCATGGAGCACAAACGGAGAAAGTATAGGGACTCGACTTATTCGGCAGCGGAATTGTGGGGCCAGAATAGTTCAGGAAAATGGAACTGTGTACATGACAATATGTTATTCTGTGGGGCTCGGATCAATCTCGTTCAGTCCACGATTATACATACGATCCTAAGAGTGGGAACAGTAATCAACATATTGCTGCGAATTTGATGGCTTTCCGATGGCAATTATCAGTGGGTGGATCGTTCAAAGTTGGGAGTTGGGAGTCGCGCCTGATATCTGAGCATAAACTATGGTGCAATAAACGACCTTCATCTTCCCATCGAATCAAAAAGATTCGACTGATTTCACGTTGAGTTATCAAATTGGCGTTCAAGCCACGTAGAAAAAACTTTCCCTCTTGCGTAATAGGTCTTGCAATGAACGAAGGAAACAAATGCTCTTACCCCGATAGAGTGCAACACTGGGGTCGTCTTCAATTTCACCTATGAGGCTGACCAACATCATAAATGCCACATCGAATTTCAATATGGAGAGCATGGGGAAGGTTTCTTGTTGATGATAGTAATTGATTGGCAATAGAGGGTCGAGTCCAAGACCTCGCAAATAAATTCCAATGCTTCGACCAGCCGGATTGGCGTAATGGTTGGTATTGTAGTGTCGAAGAGGCATTTTGGATTTCCCAGATGTAAAGGGATTCGTATAATGGGGAAGATGGGAGAAGTGTGCTTTGGATGAGACATCCACGTACCATAAACCCTGCTTGGCATTTCACTGTTGCACTGCTGGGTTCCACTCAGTCTATACAAAGTATACAGACCCCACCTACAGGCCTATTTTTAGCGCCCAACTCTAGCCAGCTTTGTTTGCAACCAACGTCCCTGCAGCTATCTCACCACAGGTCACTTCTATCAACCTTCCGCAACGACCTCAACGACACCAGCAACACCAGACCAGAGCGTGAACGGGCACCATCATGTCTTTCATGTCGTCTGTTCGTACCCGCTACCTAGCATGGTCACATTCCACACCACTACCAGATCTGTCAGACGCAGCCCCGCCTGTTTTTCAGCACTGGCATATCTTCGACAAATCGACCTGCAAATGGGTGTTTGTTCAACCCAGTCCTCTGAACGCCCAGGGCCGCAGCGAAACCTCCACACCGATACCACAAACACCTAATCTACAACTTCTGACATGGAATATCGACGCTTTCGGTGGCCGGCACGAAGCCCGTATGGAAGGAATTCTTTCCTCACTTCAGCAAATGCTTGTAAACGGTAATTGTCCAGACATCGTGTTATTTCAGGAAGTATCACGAAAAGCCCTCGCCTATCTACTTCAAAACGCTTGGGCTAGGGAATTCTGGATCTCAAGTGAGGCTGATGAGACAAACTGGGCCGACGTACCCTTCGCTACTATGACTTTGCTTTCCCGGTCTCGATTTGGCGGCCTTTCTGGCAACCCTGGCAGTAATCCCGAATCCACTTCGCCCCCTACCGCCGCCGTCAGCAATGGGTTGTTCTTCCTGGGTCCAGTCTGGAGAGTCAAATATCCAAGTCGCTTCAACCGGGACGCTCTCTGCTGTGATATCTTCTGGAACCGCACAACACGCATTCGTCTAGTCAATGTGCATCTCGACTCCCTTCCCATTCAGCCAAACCGGCGACCACGTCAGGTAGCTATCGCTGCTAGTCTCCTTCGGACGGCTAGTGTGGGTCGTGGAGTCATCGCCGGCGATTGGAACACGGTTACGGAGGAGGACATGGCCCTGGCGCAGAAAAACAGCTTGACAGACGCATGGGAGCATCTGCATCCTGGGGAAGACGGTTTTACATGGGGTTTGGACGGGACAGGGGAACCGTTTCCTCCGGGACGGTTGGATAGGGTTGCCGTGCTGGGTATCAGGCTTGTGGACATCAGAGTTGTTCATCCCCAGACTTTACCGACAGCGATTGACTCTAGAGGGGAGAGAATTGCGAGCGGTAATGGAGAAATAGTGCCGTGGAGTGATCATTCGGGGCTTGTTTGTAGCTTCGTTATTGACGGGGCAACAGGAAACGACAGAAATGATTGATTTTGCAACCTACGCTGCCATCGATCCGTATCTTGACCCGTTTACTAACTTAATCTGTGGCGCAGAAGAATGATTAGCTCAAAAAAAAAAAAACAATTTTGAAGCCGTGTAAAGCAGCTTTAGGCCCGGGCCACAAGGTGCTGGTCCCTAAATATCTCCCTCCCCGCTTCGGGTATACCGGGATACATTATCCTGGCCGAGCTGCATTTATACGTGAAAGTGCGTGGTCAATGGTTGGCTACCGTGCATTGTTCCTATCATGCGGAGCTATTGCATGCAGCTTTATCTCTTCCCGGCCCAAACTCGAGCCCAGAGAGCCGCCAACACAAGGCCCAATCCAGAGGATCAGGCTATGTTTCAGGAAGTGCCGACAAGGTCCCTTCCCAAACCACACAGAATATGAACTAGACAAGATGGAAGGAATGGACAAAAACTCTAAGATTTCGTGGGTTAAAATGAAGTTTCTAAGCAAGGATAGTTGGTTCGTAGTCGTTCGTGACAACTGCAATCCCCTTTATTATCGCTGTCCTCAGCCATCATAGCATATAGATACACTAGAAATGATTGCTTACCGCACTCCCGGAGACCTTTTAAGTCCGTGCTCTAGCTATTTAATATGTTTTCAAGGGCCTTTCGCAGGTCCAACGCTTTGCTTAACTCTTTCTCTCACGCTTGTTCTCAATTGGCGATACAGCCACTGGCGGCGTTACCACCACGTTGCGTCCTAGCCTCAACTTTGCTCCGTAGGGCCCCCATTAGGATGGACTTTCTTTACAGCCCGGTCCTAGAATCGAACTTCGAGTTCTTCATTAAGGTATGTTTCGAGCATAGATGTCAAGCTATGGTCACTGCCACACTGCCATATCGCGTAGAAAGGGAGGCTGCTCGCAATCGGTTATGACGCGCACGTGTATCGTAGACTATACACCCTTGTTCTAGAACAGAGTATTGTAGTAAGTCCGGAGCCATTCGCGACATGTTTAAACTTTCAATCATTTAATTTAAAATAGCTTATTATGGCAATACCCCTATTGACGGGGAAGCTGATTGTGCTTACACACTTCGGTACCGAGGTTCGCATATAACACTGTCAACTACTCCGTGAGCGACCAATATTGTCCCTATTCTTCAGCCAACATGTCACTAACTATGAGGCAGTAACAATGATAGGATTTGTCATTTCATCGACCGTTATGTCAATCCGCTCTTCTCGCCCCGGGGACTGGACTGTATCCCATACTACGGCCAGATAGTCCAGCTCATTGGTGAGAGTGGGCCATCAGATAATCTCCGACCATTGGGTCAGGACTTGGGTTGAACCTAGTCCATCATGCATCATGTTGTACATCTGGAGCCCGAGATGAGCGTGTGCTGCATACAGGGTCTTGTTTATGTCCAAGCAGTGCTCATAGGTAGTGGACTTTCGTGAGCTGCGTTTACCCAATCTCCGGGCCCCGCAGTATCTCCAGCTTCGTGCAATGTCATGTTCACCGAGAGTCCCAAGCCTGATACTGCGGCTTCTACCAAAGCTGGGGCTACAGGCTTTTTGCGCCATTGTACGGCCTGGGGATTTCCCTGGTGTCCCTCATGGCATATATCAACTGTATTGGTCTGGTAGCCCACCTTGTTTCTACCGCATTTGCTATTATGTTTGGGATTTAGTATACTTGGGGAATGGGGTGGCAAGGTATCCGAGCGTTGAATGAGCATAATGACAATTATTCTAATTAAGAAATGCTATTATTTATATAAGAGGGGTTAGTCTATGATTCAGCAGGCCCGGTATTTATAGCGAGGGGTTATAATTAGTCCAACGTTAGACTGGATGGACGGGCTAAGGTTAGGTGGGGCGGTTGTGTACATGTCTCAACCGCGACAGACGAATTCGTGAAATAATCACAACAATGCCTCGCGACAACCACACTCAGCAAAACCTGCAATGCCGCGCCTTACGGTGCCTACCTCCGCGCGCCTTCCATCATCGCTGCGCGTCGAAGCCACCAATGCCGCCGTGGTAAAGCTCCTGAACCGCCTGTCGCGTGCATCCCTCCTGTCCCTCGTCCTAGACTGGCTATCGGACAACAACCAATCCCTGTGTCCTCCTCTGCTGCGACATATCGACGACGACGAAGAGAGCGATGACTTCTACCCTCCCGCCCGCTCGCTCGAAGAGCTGCGCGAGATCTATGCCAACCTGCAGTCCGCGAAGGGCAGCCGGCGCGATGTCGTGGACCGCATCATCGAGGGCGACTGGCGGCACGGGCTGACGCTCTACCAGCTCGCCATGGCCGACCTGCAACACCTGTACGACCACCCGTCGTCCCTGAAATGGAGCGCCTACAAGATCGAGCGGCTAAAGACGCCGCGGGACGAGGACGACGCCGAGGCCCCCGGGAAGACGGACAGGGAGGCGCTCGACATACCCCGGTTCCACCCCTCGACGTTCCTGCAGAACCTCCAGGCCGAGGTCCCGCCCGACGTCAAGGCGCACTACAACTTCGACCGGCCGCGGGACCTGCCGCTGCTGCTCCTGCGCGTCTTCATCCTCGACTCGCCCTACAACACGGGCCTTGCCCTGTCGTCGCGCGCCACGAGCTTGGAGGCCTCGAGGACCACCTACATCGCCTTCCCGGACTCTTCGCCGCACATCTACATCTCCCGGTCCCAGAGCACGGGCGCGACCACGGCGGGCGACTCGCGCAGCCTGAGTCGGCTGGTGCTGGAGGGCATACCCAAGGCGTTGTCGCGGCCGCGGGAGAGATACGCGCTCCGGCCCACGAACCTGACCTCGAAGAACCTGTCGGGCCTGCTGGCCGTCCGGGGCGCAGGGCGCACCAATGCGGCTGGAGGCGGCTGGAGCATCTATGCCGACGACGACCGCAAGGACTCCCCGCTCAATGCCGTATTGCCGGCGCCGCCTCTGTCAGAGATCTCTGGGAACGTCAACAGAAGCGTTGCAGCGAGCGGGGCTGAGGAGGAGAAGACGAAGAAGCGCAAGAGGGGACTCGAGCCGGAGAAGGACAGAGAGGAGCGGGAGGCGAAGCGCAGGATGGACATCGCGCAGGCCCGCTTTGGGGGCTCGGCAATGATTGACGACGGGAAGGGGGTCGAGAGGCTCGACGTCCTCATCGAAGATGCGCTCCCCGGTGCTCCGCGCCGACTGCCCCAGCACGTCGACGTCGAAGAAGAGGATTCGGGACTTCGTCGCTCGAGGAGATCCAGAGGTCGGAGGAGCGGTGTTGACCTTGCACTCGAGAAAGCGCGCGAAAACGATGAGGATGCCGCGGAGGAGGCCGATGAGGATCAGCCCAAGCCAAGGATAAGGTTGACGTTCACAGGACCGCATGTTTTTGGCGGCATCAGGCAGCTCGTCGAGGCTGGGGTCATCGATGGCGAGCGCATGCCCGGCTGGATGACTGGCGACGAAGGGGTCACCATGGGCATTGTTAGGAATGGCAGGATCAGGGGCTATAAGGGGTCAGGGGTGTAAAATGGCTTGGCCGTAATGTTTACTCGGACGAAAATCATGACATGGCGTTGGGGTTGTACATCAAGGAGCAACTGACAGATACCCAAATGAGGACATATTACTACAAGCTGCGCCAGGCGTTTCACATGACACAGCTGTTCTGTCTTTCTTCTATTCGTGGCACTTCTACGTCTTCTATGATTCTATGTCAAACACTTTGGCAGTGTTACGCCATGCCGCCTCACATACCTCCTCTACCGAAGCTCCCTTGATGCCAGCAACGATCTTGCCAACACGCTCAATCGAGCAAGGCTCATTGCGGCCCTTGACCATGGCGCCTTCGACCCACTTCTCTTTCTTCACCGTCTTCCACCGCTCCGGGACCTCGGGTTCCTTCTTCTGCGGCTTCTTCGATTTCTGGGCCTGTTTCGTGGGCTGCTGACCCTGGCCGTTCGCCGCGGCAGCAGGCGTTTCCGGTGTGGCGGCGGGCGTGGGCGGCTTTGCGTCGATCAGGTACTTGTATCCTTCATGGCTGGGTCTGACCTCGCACCAGGGCCCGTCCGTCTCCAGCATGAGCCGGTCGAGGTGGATCTCCTTGACCACGGCGCAGTTGTCGGCCGTCTTGAAGCTGCAGCCGTTGGTGCCGATGTACAGGCCGAGGTCCATCAGCTCGCGCATCTCCTCGACGGTGCCCGTGAAGCTGTGCACCACGCCGCCCTTTTCCAGCTTCTCGAGCTCGCCGCCAAACTTCTCCTTGAGCAGACGTACGAAGTCCCCGTGCGCCGCGCGCGAGTGGAGGAATAGCGGTGGTTGCGGCTTGAGCGACAGGACCAGATCCAGCTGTGCGGCAAAGGAGTGGAGCTGGATCTTCTTGGAGCAGTAGTGCAGGCGGTCGTAGTCGAGTCCAAACTCGCCGAACGCCACCAGGGCGTTGGGGGCCTCGGTTCTGGCGTCCTCGATGAGTTTCCTCAGGTCGGTTATGATTTTGGACGACTTCTCATGATCTGGTTCATGCTCCTCTGATACTTCCTTTGTCGGATCCGGGTCGCAGGGCATAGTATGCCCATCTGTATCCTCATGTGAGTTGGCTGTGCTGAATATTGCGCTGGAGCATGGATGAATTCCTGCTGTTGTGTATACTGTTCCCGGGTATTCCTTGGCGATCTCGAGTGCATGTCTCGAGCTTGTGAAGTCTGAGCCGGTGACGATCAGCTTGGTACAGCCAACTTCCTTCGCCCTCGACACGACGGCACTGAGATCGTCTGGATGTCTTTGCGTGCCATGATATTTGCCCCTGAAAATAGGGTCTGCAAGGTTGATGCCGATCTGCCCAGTTTATTAGCGACAGGAGGTCGGCAGACAAATGCCCTGAATTGGAGAAATAGCTCACGTCTATGTACCGGGGCTTGTAAAGCGGTTCCGTGGTGTTTTCCACGACTGTTGCGGAATGTGGGAGTGCTGAGGCCATACTGGGCAATGATGATACTCGTCTTGAAATGCTCAGAGTTGACCTGACCAAGTATCTGTATCTAGGGCACGCGAACACCGATGATGGATATCTCGCCAGTATCATGGGGATCTGAAAATTCTTGCCCGGCGTCTTATACGAGTATACACTATGTGACTCAGACTCGAAGGATTACCCTTAGCAGTTTTGGGTATGTTGACTCAGTCGTGGCACAGGAATTGAGGCGTTTGAGGGACACTTAAAGCCACGTGCTTTCGTGTAGATGATGACAGGGGGGTCTGACGTGCATTAATCCTGCATATACATAGAAAACAAGTTGCAACGAGCTCAAATGTGGGGTCATATGGTACGCATGAGTATTTGTACATACGCCGTCTGCTCATCGGGTGTTTTGTATACCAAAACTATATTCGGTTTTACGAGAACCCCGAGGCTCATCATTCAACCGAAATGACTAACCTAGCAGTGTTTTCTCTAGCTGCCAGGATAGCGGGCAATGATGGTGGGGCGGACGCCTGACTCGTCATGGATCTAGCACAGACACCCAGATGTATGATATGATTCCCAGTGAAGAGAATCACTCCATTTTGCAGGGAAGTCTCGTAAACCTGACCGTGACGATGCATACAGTTCGACATTGCATGACGGCATGGAATAGCATATATGAAATACTCTCGCAGCCGGATGACAAGATGGAAAGATAGGCTTATCCGTCCCTACTGTAAGCAGCGGGTGCTGTCAACACGCCGCTAATTCGGACACTTGCCTCAGCCTATGTATTGCTGCCACTTTAGAGATTGAAGATTATGGTCTTTCGAGAGGAAAGGGATATTTACGAGATTTGAATGTATGAGCCGCAACTCTGCTCCTGCAGTATTTGAGGCTCGTCTTGCAGCTCAGACAGGTGAATCGAGGACGAGATCTCTGTCTTTTTTTGCTGACAAGTTGGCATCCCAACCCCACCAAGTTCAGCCGTCAACGCGTTAAGTGTGCAGGGGACGCGAACTCGCGTCTTAGTCGCGTAAATTCGCTAACCAGGTTAAAAGGTTTCCAACGCTCTTGGGCATTCTCTTCAGCGGTCACCCGCTGATTAATGCTCTTCAATCCATACTGATCTTTTTTTGGGACTTTTCGCGTGGGTCCGAGTTCGAGTTTCTGTTGTCGCGTTAACCCAAGCGTGTAACGCGACTCGCATATAAACTGCCTGCGAATTTCGGTGCTGTACGCTCTCTGTCTACCTTCCACTCAACATCACCCACCACAGATCACGACATCTCGCGTAAAGGCTTTCAACTGTAGCCTGTCGTGTCATTGCTTGCTTCTTCCCCTTTTCCATATCCAAGGGCATCTGATTCTTCCGTGTTGTCCTTTGCACTGATACCACGACCTCGTCATCACCCCCACCACATTCCCTCTCTCGGGTTCGACCACAACCCATCCCTCGCAATGTATGTCAAGAAGCGTGGTATGTATCTTCCTGCCCCTCGGCACACGGGACACCATGACCTAACTGGCATCCAGATGGACGCCAAGAGCGCGTTCAGTTCGACAAGATCACAGCCCGTGTCTCCAGGCTATGTTATGGCCTCGACGGAGACCATGTCGACCCCGTTGCCATCACACAAAAGGTTATCTCTGGTGTCTATGGTGGTGTGACCACAGCACAATTGGACGATCTTGTAAGCCATTCAACCCAGTCCAGTCCCCAACGCGAACACAAGTCTGACTGAAATTTTCAAACAGGCTGCCGAGACTGCGGCATACATGACCGTTACCCACCCAGACTACGCCATCCTGGCAGCACGCATCGCCGTGTCGAACCTCCACAAGCAGACCAAGAAGCAATGGTCTTCCGTCATCGGTGATCTGTATCACTATGTCAACCCCAGAAACCGCACGGCATCGCCCATGATTGCCAAGGAAACATACGAGTGCGTCATGAGGCATAAGGATGAGCTGGACTCGGCTATTGTTTATGACCGAGACTTCAACTACCAGTACTTCGGCTTCAAGACCCTCGAGCGTTCATACCTGCTGAAGCTCGACGGCAAGATCGCCGAGAGACCCCAGCACATGATCATGCGTGTCGCTGTTGGCATCTGGGGCGATGATGTCGAGAAGGTCATTCAGACCTACAACTACATGTCCCAGAAGTTCTTCACGCATGCTTCTCCCACACTCTTCAACGCCGGCACACCCCAAGCCCAGCTTTCCTCGTGCTTCCTGGTCGCCATGAAGGATGACAGCATAGAGGGCATCTACGATACCCTGAAGACCTGCGCCATGATCTCCAAGATGGCCGGTGGTATCGGTCTGAACGTCCACAACATCCGTGCTACCGGCTCATACATTGCCGGCACCAACGGAACATCCAACGGCATCGTCCCCATGCTTCGTGTCTTCAACAACACTGCCAGATACGTCGACCAGGGTGGCAACAAGCGACCTGGTGCCTTTGCTATCTACCTTGAGCCTTGGCACGCCGATGTTTTCGAGTTCCTCGACCTGCGCAAGAACCACGGTAAGGAGGAGGTCCGTGCTCGTGATCTCTTCCTCGCTCTGTGGATCCCGGATCTGTTCATGAAGCGTGTCGAGAAGAACGGTGACTGGACCTTGATGTGCCCCAACGAGTGTCCCGGCCTTGCCGACTGCTACGGTGACGAGTTCGAGGCCCTTTACGAGAAGTACGAGGCCGAGGGCCGTGGTCGCAAGACTATCCGCGCCCAGAAGCTCTGGTACGCTATTCTTGAGGCTCAGACCGAGACTGGCAACCCCTTTATGCTTTACAAGGATGCCTGCAACCGAAAGAGCAACCAGAAGAATCTCGGTACCATTCGCAGCTCCAACCTGTGCACTGAGATCATCGAGTACTCTGCCCCTGATGAGGTCGCCGTCTGCAACCTGGCCTCCTTGGCCCTCCCTGCCTTCGTCGACTACAACTCGGGCTCCTATGACTTCCAGAAGTTGCACGAGGTCACCCAAGTTGTCGTCCGCAATTTGAACAAGATCATCGATGTCAACCACTATCCCGTCCAGGAGGCACGCAACAGCAACATGCGTCACCGTCCCATTGGTGTCGGTGTCCAGGGTCTTGCTGATGCCTTCTTGGCTCTCCGCATGCCTTTTGAATCGCCCGAGGCCAGACAGCTCAACAAGCAGATCTTCGAGACCATCTACCACGCCGCTTTGACAGCCTCGATGAACATTGCCAAGGTCGAGGGAGCCTACTCTACCTATGAAGGCTCCCCTGTCTCTCAGGGTATCCTTCAGTACGACATGTGGAAGGACGTCACTCCCTCTGATCTCTGGGATTGGGAGTCCCTGAAGGTACAGATCAAGCAGCACGGTGTTCGGAACAGTCTTTTGCTGGCACCCATGCCCACCGCCTCCACGTCCCAGATTCTGGGTAACAACGAGTGCTTCGAGCCTTACACCTCCAACATCTACTCCCGCCGCGTCTTGGCTGGCGAGTTCCAGGTCGTTAACCCTTGGCTGCTCAAGGACCTTGTCGAGCTCGGCTTGTGGTCTGACAACATGAAGAACCACATCATTGCCGCTGGCGGTTCCATCCAGAATATTCCCAGCATTCCTGCTGACATCAAGGCTCTGTACAAGACTGTCTGGGAGATCTCTCAGAGAACAATTGTTCAGATGGCTGCTGACCGCGGTGCCTTCATCGATCAGTCTCAGTCGCTCAACATCCACATGCGCGACCCCACCATGGGCAAGATTACGTCTATGCACTTCGCTGGCTGGAAGCTTGGACTCAAGACTGGCATGTACTATTTGAGGACGACGGCTGCCTCGGCACCCATTCAGTTCACTGTCGATCAGGAGGCTTTGAAGGTTCACGAGCAACAAGCAGCCAAGTCTTCTGGTTTGAAGAAGCGCAATGCTCCTACTGGAACCTACTCGTCCTCGGCCGCCAGCGCCTCTCCTCGCCCTATGTACAGTGAGAACTCAATTTCAAACAGCACCCTTGCAGTCACCAGCCCCAACGGCGTTCCTACACCAAGCACAACCCCTCCTCCTGTGGCCAAGGTTGTTGCATCTCCTTTGAAGGAAGTCCCCTTCAAGGCAGACCAGGACGAGAGTGAGAGCCCCAAGGCCCTTCCTACCGAGCCAGCGGAAAAGCCCAATAAGATTGAGGAGCTGTCCGATCCAGCAATTGATAACAAGAAGGCCCCTCAGCAGTCAGAGGACCAGGACAACACTACCAAGGAGCGAGAGTATGATATTTACAACGAAGCTGTACTAGCTTGTAAGTCATGTCACTTTATTCCCTTGTCCCCATCAAAGCTAACAAGTTGAACAGGCAGTATTGAGAACCCAGAGTCCTGCGTGATGTGCAGCGGTTAAAGTGCTTGAGCTTGCTAGGAAAGAAAAATGACGACGATACGAGTTGGGTTTTGATTGATGACGGATATAATGCGTTGGGGGAATTTCTGCTACTATACCTCCTATTTGCCCCCCACCCCCTGTCTGCTCTTGGCGAAGAGCACCGGGCAGACGACGCCACACTACGAGGGCGTGAAATAAACACCAAGCATCAGTGCATTTGTATTATGGGATAGGGTTGCTCTTGTATTGTGCTCACCGCAAGGGTGGATTGGGCATATTGACTTTCTCGAGTTTTTGACATCTTTTGGCCGCATATTTCATAGTAGCCTGCATCGCAGAGGATGGTTCCCTGCTGTAGGATAGACAATAAAGTCGAGTTCATGAAATTTTACTAAAGCTTCTAATGTCCTGTATGTTGATGTGCTCGCCAACCGCCGGACAGTCTCTGCCAGCCAGCACAGCAGAAGAATTCGTGCCACATTAACACCGGGTACCTGTAAACCACGACAGCGGCAAGACTGCAGCTTTCCATATCCTCAATCGACGTTGCCACACATCCTCGGATTGCGGTGCCCCGATTAAGATTACGCGACACAAAAACGAACTCTTGCCCCTTCCCCTTCCCTTTCTCCTTCCCCTCCCCTCTTACCCCGACATGGCAGATTGCAGCAACCCAGATGAAGGGTTTCAGAAAACTACCCCCCCCCCCCCCCCCCCCTTCTCCCACTAACTTACTGCCGATGCCCAGCCGTGGTGTACAAACAAACGAACAAACAAACAAACAACAACTTGGTGCAAGAACAAATTTTGAGACGCATGGATCAGGATACGGTGGCCGGCGTACTTCAACCCCGGTGCTTTCCCTGGTATGCCCTTGTAACAAGCGCTTCGTTTTATATTTTCAGGGGTGTCGTGACGTTCATGAAAGCTGTGGACCGAATATTCGTAGACTGATACCCAGTAAATAGAACATTTACTAGACAGCACGACAGCATAAGTGAATATACCACCTTCTAATCAGAGCTGCAGCAAGTTGACATACGATAGGCCGAGTTCGGTATTGGCGCGGTAAATGTGCTCAGGTCAATTATTGCTCCAATACAACCATGCGTACGTGACCAAGCAAACAAAAATACCACAGTATAGCATCTATTGGGGCAAATGTTTCTAGACTGGAAATTACAAGTTAACTGGACAAAAACATCATCACAAGTATCAAGTTAATCAAGAGAAGCGAGTGAAGTTGGAGCAAGTACTCTGTTATTAATTACCTAAAAAAGACGGCAAAAGCCAACTCCATTGCCCCTTGGGGATGGGTATCTCAACAATGCGGCATTAATGGTCTACCATGACCCTTTCTTCTGTTATTTACATGATCCATTACGTCATTACATCCGTAGTAAAGCACAATCCATACAATCCTGACAGGATCGTTCTCATCCTCGCTCTTACATCATCATGTACATACCGACTCCGGCGGCAGCGATGAGACCAGCGGGGCCAACAGTCTGCTGGGCAGCGAAACCTGCGGAGCTGCTGCTAGAGGCAGAGCCAGAGGTTTGAGAACCAGTGGCAGTGCTGGTGTGGAGGGTAGTGCCAGTGGAGGTCTCGGTCTGGGTCTGGGTGGTGCTCTCGTTGGAGACGACGTTAGTACCAGTGCTGGTGAAGGTCTCGGAGCTGACAACCTCAGAGGCGCTGGCAGTCTCGCTAGCGGTCGAGAAGACAGTGGAGACAGCGACAGAGGTGGTAGAGCCGTCGCTGTTGGTGGACTCAGAGTAGACAGTGGAAACAGCAGAGGTAGAGACGGCGCTGGCGGCACCAGTGACGGTAGAAACGGCGATGGTAGAGACGGAACCAGCGCTATCAGTGGACTCGGAGAAGACTGTGGAGAGAGCGCCAGCAGCACCGTAGACAGTCGAGACGGGGACGGAAGTGACAGAGCCATCGCTGGCAGTCGACTCGGTGTAGGCAGTGGAGATGGCAGAGCTGGAGCCCTCAGAAGCGCCAGCAGTAACGGTGGTGGAGGCGTCGCTAGCAGTAACTGTTGTAGAGGCACCGGTCGTAGGAGCATCAGTAGCAGTGATTGTCGTGGTGGGCGAAGCTGTAGCCGAGATGGAACCAGTGACGGAAATACCAGAAACGGCAACACCGGCGTTTTCGCAGTACTGGACACCAACCTGCTTCACAGTGTTGGCATCGTTGGCATCTGAGCAGGCCTGGTCTGCGCAGTCTCTAACTCCGTACAGGAAGTTGGCACTGCCGCACAGGCACTGCAAGTCCGAAGCACCGCAGTTGAACTCGCTTTGAGACTTTGAAAGCATGTTGGTGATACATGTGATCTACAGGAGCAGTATAAGTCAGCATAATGAAGGGTGAGTAAGAGAAATTCTTCGTTTCGATTACTTACACCACACTGCGGGAAGCCGGCAGGGAAGTCGGACTGGGCCGAGACGATGGCAGCAGAGGCGCCGATGAGGATGGTGGAGGCCTTCATCTTGATGGATTTCTGAAGTGGTTGACTTGACGGTCTGCGAGAGTGTAAGAATTTGGTCTCTGATAGAATTCAATATGATGCTCAAAAAAAGCGTGCAAAAATGAGTAGATGCGCAGGAAGACGTGTCACGCGTGTTGTTGTTGTTGATGTTTTGTGGAGAGATGAAGTCAAGTGGGAAGATGTCTTGGGTTGGAAGAAGAAAGAAGCAGAAGTAGAAAAGGTTCTTGGGGGGGTAATTTGCTTCCAACGTTTTGAATCGCCCAGAAACACGAACAAGATGGAAGCCGCGTTGTGGTTTCTGTGAACTGTTGTTGGGAAGGAGCGTGCAGGTGTGATGTGGATATGAATATATGTGAATCGATTCCTTGACGGCTGTTGGTGGACGTGACGGGAAGTGCCAAGGCGTGTTGTATTGTAGGTATTGTATTATAAAGTGGGAAGTTCCCAAATCGGGAAGGGACAACGGACGAGATGAGATGAGATAGGGTCGGATGGGAGACAAGGACCGTTCCGTGTGTCGGCAGACGATGTCCCAGCCCACTGTGTATCACTGTTGACTTACCAGATGATATTATTGATTCAGAAATTTCTGTTTGCTTTTAGACTCTGCTGGGCAGTCGGGCGCTGTCAGATGAGGAAGGGATGGCTGTGGATGAGGTGATGTGTAAGTTGAGAGGTTCGGCAGGGTGTCTGGGGAGGACAACCAACACTTATTAAATATCAGCAAAACAACTAGCAAAGGCTCATAGCGTCGCCTAGACTAACTAGGTCATACAACAAATCTCGACGTGCAAGCTTGTTTGACGATAGAATCCGTTGTAACTCGTAGTAGCGTCGGTTTTCTCGTTCTCGTACACACCAACCACCCGCCGCTGTACCTTTTCCATGTGGCCTAGTGCAGTACCTGGTTATTAGCTAATGCCGTCGTCTTTCCTTGGTTTTCTGTATAACATTGCGCTAGCAGGGAACCACCCGCAAAGCTTGCTCGCCTACCGTGCCAGCACAGGCACTGAGCTCATCGCTATGTCCATCCTATGCATGATGATGGGGCCCAAAGGTACGGTGGGGCCATGGAATATCTTGATCAGACCGCAACTAAACTCCTCTAGCTGGGAGGCCTACTTTGGGCGATGATATCAAAATCTCCAGATCCTCTTGTGAATCGGGTATCGGCCATGCCAACTGGCCTGGTATGACGAACACGTAGGATACAGAATCACGATCACAATCACGGTTGGTCGGCACTTGTTTCCAGTGTGAATACCTATTTCCCTATCGGGACATCGTATGTATCCTATTGCAGTATCTGTGGCACGGAACCAAAGAAAGAAAAAGGGAGAAGAGAAAAAAAAACCACCGTTTGTGGCGAAGAGCCTCTTGCGCCCGGAGCCCTGGATGAAACAAAGCAACTGTTTCCTTGGCATACCTGGGGTAAGGTACACAAGGTGCAGTGGTATCGCACGTACGGTAGGGGGAATGCCTATGTAATACCTAATACCATCTACCATCCATGTACACACTGCTTCAGACCTCTGCCACAGTAGAAAGCATCCGATACTTAATTCAGCACGGGCAAGCGCTTGTTCTGCACTACGAGCGCCTGGCCAGGTTGGAGGCTAGCCGCTTGTACCCCCATTTACATCACAGGTCCGAAAGGTGGCACTTCCTTTCATTTCCCAACCGACCTGTCGGGAGTGTAGTTTGCCAATACGCGACGGACAATTTCTAGTCCCTTGTTAGTTATTAAGCTACATGCGGGCTTCCTTTGCGAAAGTACAGCTATATTCCAAAGATCGGACGTTTCACAGCCCTCCAAGATTTTGCTTGGAAGGCATGATGTGTCCATGGACTACACATTGCTGGATGTCCACAGGGAACCGACACTGCGGTTCATACATGCCATGGCAGTGTGGCCACCTGCTACGGCAAGAAGTCCATCAAATTTTGGGGACATGGGCGCCCAAAACAAAACCAAAAAACGATCCAATGATGCAATATCCATCTGATAAACTGCAACAATTGCGTCCACGGCTTCGCGGGGTGGAAGTCGCATTGACCAAGCAATATCCCAAGACCCAGGCGGAGATGCACAATGCACGCCAGAGATGAATGCATGGGCCATTTCCCCGGTTCATCGGTCCATCGTTTTCAGCATCAACACCCAACCACGGGCCTGCCATCCTTAGTGATGAAGTCAAGTTTGATATGCAACGGAAAGTGGTTGGAGCTATGCCGCTGGCAGCTTCTCATTTGTCAATGGCCCCTGACGAAGCTTGGCTAGCTCCGAACTAGGTTTAATTGAGGGCTTGACAGAGCTTTCAGCACTGCAAGTTCACTGTCAATGGCTAGCTGGGACAGGCTGCCTCCTTTCGCGAGCCGCCGCCGCGTCGCTTGTGTTGTTTCTTCTACGCGTTGCCTCCCCAACTCTGCGAGCGGTTGGCACCACCGCACAAACGAAAAAGAAAAGAAAAAAGCTTTGCAGCCAGCAATGGCGCCGGCCTGCAAACCCTTGAAGTTAGACGAGACAAGATGCTTTCCAAGTACCCATATCCAGCCAGCAAGTTTTCGGCTCCCGCATTGCAGGCAATATCTCAACAGCATGATCCGCATTCGAAGATGCGATCTTCGGTACTCTTGTAAGATGCCTCTTTCCAAACTTCTAAAGCGATCCATCCGTCTTTGGCAAGGCAACCGTAATGCAAGGCACAAGCCGCCGTCACCAATTCTCCCGCTTGCCTGATGTCATATCTTGACTAAGAAGAGCAAGCTCGAACGGGAGAGTGAGTGGAATTCTAGCCTAGAAAGCATTGGTCGCAAAAACTGGTCCTGCCAATTTGAGGGCCCCTTGCAAAGGTAACCCTGCGCAACTCATCAATCTTGCTTCCCCCCATGACCTCAATACTACACACCAAGCAATGCAGAAACGGCACATCGGCAGTCTACTCTGTGTATCTTGATGGACAGGGTTACGATCTGATGACGGTCTAGATTTCCGGACCCTGTTCCATACCAGCTGAAGATGACTTGCCCTGGTCGGTGGCTCTTGAAATTCCCCGATGCCATTGACGTTCACCGCAACTGTTCCCTCCTTGCGGCCAAGGTATGGAAGTCGGCTCAATCTGCAGCCGCACCCACCGGGAGTGACGAAACACCCCCACAAAACAAATAAGGTTGCATATGGTTGAGCCTCTAATCAGGGCCTATTGCTCCCCGCTGGGCAAAATCTTTCTGCTTATTGGGTTCTCGATGTTGTCAGTCAGAACTCTTCACGCCTACTCCCCCTCTAGTCACCGCTACTGCGAACATCATTCAATGGATGGCCCCCGATGCAAATCTATTGAGAATATTCCCAAACTGGAAAGACTACCTTCACCGTTCCGTCCACTTTCGGCTCTGGACCTCTCCCTCACGGCGGCCTTTTCCGCTCTGATGAGAAGCTAACGACAAACAATGGGGTCGGTTATGCATATGTGAAGTAAAGATTAGCTTGGGCGCTGCTCAACTTTCTCGACCGGTTGCCGATAGGCAGCTGATTCGCGAAGTTATTGTTGTTTCTTGCAAACGGCACTCCAACTCAAGAGGAGCAACAGTTATGTACTTAGCACATGGATGATGCTGGTTTGGTTTCTAGCCTCTCATAAAGCATGCGGCGCTTCTTATGTATAAACTGATACGCTAATCATTGCCCGCGATATCTGTGAAACAGCCAGTTGCTAAACAGGCAAGTTGGTGACATACGCGTGTTATTTTGAATTTTAGCTTCTGTCGGTCGCAACGTTTGTGCACTACCACAGCAGACTTCGACATGCCATCGAGTCGATTTGCGCGCATCATTCACAAGTGCCGAACCGGTATATGCATCACTTCGGACAGGGACTTTTACTATGCCAAGGCCTCTGAAAATCATTGGTTGTTTGGTCAGTTCGAGGCATTACAACAGACTCAATCAACATGACATCGGCACTTTGCTTTCCTGTCCTTTTGCGTTGCGAAGTAATTTCCCCAGATCGCGCATGGTTTCCGGGCGCTTGTTAATACGGAATTATGTGCTCAAGAAGTGAAACATAAAAGCATGGTGTAGAAATATCTTCTTGCAATGACCCGCCTCCTAGTCTTGGCTGCCATTTGCACGCCGATCGCGAGCAGCCGCTTCCTATTCGCCATGGCGCCGTGCATTGGGCCCATTAGTGATGTACGATCTTGCGGGCACATAACAAACTTTGGCCGTATGCGCCTGGGTAGCGCGCATAAGCTGACTTCTAGGCTAGCTATTTGTTAGACAGCGGGCTACCTGGCGGCGTCGCTAACAAGCTTGAGACATCTCACCTGGTCTAGAGGTACTTAACACACATGTGCCACTACCTAAAGATCGTTGGAAGCTTCCCAAATTCAATTCAAACCTAAGTAGCATGGGAAAACAGTACCAAGTACGTTGGCGGCGTTGCAGAGCTTGGAGTATAAAAGCATGATAAGTAGGGGCGGGCTGGTGCGAACCATAGTTCAAAAAAGTCAATCGGCATCGATATGGATCGGCGACGCAAGCGGCGATGCTATCGGGTACTATTGAGGCGCTAAGCCCCCCGCCAGGATTGGTATATGCCCACCTTGAACTCCAACATCCTGCATCTTGACATGTCCTCACGGCACCCGGACTCGGTCGTTCCGAACTCGGTTCCCTCAGAGGTTTAGGTAAATGAGACGACAACACTTACCGCTAATCGTCGCGCACAGAATCAGCTCTGCCTTTGCCGAAATCAGCACTGGATTATCAAAGACTTTATCGGGACCTTTAGTCCGGGGAATTGCTAATGAAAGAGCGTACCCAGAACAGCGCGCCGGCTATACCACAAATATGCTTCGGCCACTCGAAAAGAATCTGCATAGATCGCAAACTTTATCTGAAAGGTTCTCGACCTTGATCGAGGTTCATCAGTTTCCGCCGTCTTGTTTCCGTGCCAAGCGTCGAAGGATCTCAGTCGTTGCAATGTCGATGCTGCCCAGAAGTTTCCACGGGCTGGCTTTCTCCAGCCTCCTGATGAGAGCACACGTATGAGGTACATCGTCCAAACTCCCGCGGTATCCCAACGGCCAAGAGAACATGATGTCCCTTGGGGGACTGAAAAGCCAGCGATGGTTTCCGTACCATGCTTTCCGACCTGCTCGTTTCATCTCCTATTTTAGGTGGTTGGGGTCAATATCAAACAGACGCCAGGTTTTCTTGGCCTGCACCACGTTCGATGTCTAATCGGGAAAAGTTTGTTGAGTATTTAGGTCCAAACACCACGAAATGCTCCCACTGCTTTAACGTACGGCCTCAGCTGCGAATTTGCGGGGGCTGGTCTTGAGTGGCTCTTCTGGATCACAGGTCCATGTGAATGTGAAAGAGAGGTTCAATAAGAATCCTAAACTATCCTGAAAGCTTTTCATGTCGCTGCTTGACTGCATCCTCGCACTGCAGGCAAGAGCAGGAACCGCGTAAACGTCCACGGCTCAAGATTGTGAGGTGAGGGCTGCCCTTGAGGTCGACGTCGTTCCTCAACTTGTAGTTGGCCCACAAACTCGTGCTTTTAGGGTCCATAAATCGACCGCAGTCTCTGTATGGCCCCGACTGTTCCGGTACAGTTTGGTATTTATCGGAGAATTGATGATTCTAGTCATTCCTTGTAGTAAACTTGCTGATATCCCAACATATATTCCCTGTCATCTCCTACTCAGAGGAGAATTCATTTTTCTCGTACGCCCCTCGGCCGTCATCCTCATCGTGAGGAAGATATATCGGACTTGTATGAGACAGATAGATATAGTCAGAGGCCAATCAGTAGCCAAGTACTCCTCCAGACTTGTCCTTCCGAAACACATTCCCGGCTGCTAAGTCGTATTGCGTTTATAATTAAATTAAAATAAAGATAAAAAGAGGTTAAGGACAATGCTACGCAGGTCATTCGCGAGCATGCTCTACGGTGGCTGCCACCAGCGGGAAATCAGTGACCGTGTATGAGAGTGTGTCCGCGCATACGTGGGTAAGGGTTTTCTCCCTCTTTAGAGCACGGGCTGGCTATCAAAAGAGTAATAGTAAAATAAAAAATGAAAAGATGCCCTGCAAGACGCTGTTCTAGACTAGGTGATAGTTCAGGGCGGAAGGTCGCACCTTCATCAGACATGACATCCGCCGAAACACAATGGTCTGGAGTCAGCCACTCGTCCCACCGGTAATTGACCCAGGTATCATGAACAGGATCTCGTCTTTCGGAAGTTCAGGGCGTACTCCACGGCGCGCGAACGAAACACACGTGAGGCGACTGGGCAAATATTATTTCCCATGTACAATTATCATTCATGCGCCAGGGGCGGCGGACAGGTTAGGCACTTGGTCAAGTCGGGAGGTATTGGTCTGGCTGGACTGTTTAACCTTCTGGATGGACTAATTACATGTCGATGTATTATGAATGGGAGATTCCCCCCTTCCCCTCCCCCCCCAAAGTTCGTACACACGACACGACATGATACAAGCATTTGAGCAAGTAAGCCAGCAAGCGAGCAAGTAATCAGAGCCTAGGGGCTCGACATGCCGATCAAGGCAACCGCCCCGGGAAGAACAGATACGATCTGATTGGGCAAGGGCCACCTACCCGATGGGTTCGCAAGACGGTATATCATGACCATAATTACCTACGGCAGTCAGGGTATTCACAATGATCACTCCCGTGTCCGAGGCACTCCGGAGGTGGCATCAGCTTCTGGAATGTGGTCCCGTATCGGCTGACCAACACCGGCGTGCCGATTCTTATGTGAAAGGGGGTCGTTGTTGACACCAATCGAAGCTCGGATGAGATCCGCTCCGCCCCTGTCATCGGCACACGTTGATGATGGCAAGTGTCCGCTCTATTGTCACCACCTTTGGAAGTGAACTTATCAGTTCTGCCCACCGTGGTCTGGAGATTTTGTATTTGCCGTTGTGCACAAGACTAAGAGAAAGGTTTTATTTATGTATATTGTCACGTCACGCAGGGAAAGAAAAAAGAAAAAATTATTTCGACCCGCAGGACGACAAGCTGAGAGCAGGCCAAAACAAGCCGCAAGTAGAATTCGTATGCTACTATGATATTTGCTCGTTGCCGAGAACAATTGTATATTCGCCCTCCCCAGAACCAGAACGTGGGCTCTTTCAACCAAGAACGCCAGAAAAATAACAACGCCCAGTCCTCCGTAGAGCCGTATGTACCCTCTTCTACCTGTTTGGCCGTATATAATATATCCCTGATTGTACGCCTGTCTTTGCCGTATATGACGCCCGTTATCGGGACAATCTCCGAAAATGTGTGCACCACCCAAGTAACTTTTCTAAAAACCGTTGAACTCCATTTCAAAATGAAGATATACATAGTAGCAATCGAAGCAGTCCAACACCGCCCCGATTGTAGATACATTGAAACCAGCCCGCTCTGAGACGGATTTCCAAAAGTCGATGGATACCTTTTGCTTCAACCTCTCCCTGCTTTTGGCCACCATCAACGCTATTCACCATAGACCATCGATGGAATCCTCGTCAGGTAGTGGCATGAGAGTCCTTGGTCTCAGACGGTAAGCTCGTCGCCATCCCATGCCGACGTTCATGGCTGTCTAGACCGCAGGCGTGTTCCTCTTCAGATTGAACGTGCCGCGCAATTGCGGGAACGTCTGAGCAAACTGCTCACCAAGGGTCCAGTTCTCCAGCCTCTTCATGTGTGTCTCGAAGACGGGATTGATCAGCAATTCGCCATCAGGTGTCTCGATCAGGACATCCGTCTCCTCATACGGCCAGTTCAGCGAGAGGGTGTCCGTGAAAGGCACGAAGAAATCATTGAACGGGAACTCGACCTGGGCAGCTGGGGGGTAGCGAAACGCCTTGGCGATTTTCTCCCGCATTTCTGGGAAGGGGAGGTGATCGACCCAAGCAGGGTGCAAGATCTGGAGTTGTGACTGCGTGGGGACGCACCACGATGGTAGGCGATCGTAGTTCTCCTTGCTGGGGAAGATCTGCCACCGCATGATGAGAAACATGACATATAGCACAGCGACCTTTTCGGGCAGTCTACTGATGCCCGGGAAAGCGCGGAGGATGTCCGTGAAGACCTTTGACACGGGGTGCGAGTTCTGACTCTGCTGTGGATTGAGCAACGAGCTGACACTGGGATAGCGTGGACCAACAAGCTCCTGAGCCGATACACCCTCGGCAGCGCGTTGTCTCCGTTCGTTCAGGAAGTCCAACAGTAAGCTGTCAAGGGGACAAGTAGGGCCACAGTTCCTGACCGGAACCGAAAAGCCAGACCAAGAGTCAGTGCCTTGTGTCGGCGGCACGCTGCCCTGGTCAGCTATGTAGCTGGATTGTTGTTGTTGTTGGGCGATCTGAGCTCCAGGGCCCGAGTGTTGCCCATAGCTGTTCGGGCGGGGGGCCGCTTGTGCGAAACCGCTCCAATCGTGCTTCATGGGCATATGGTGATAGTTGGCTGTATCTTGAGCACCGTCATCGCCAGCTTGCATACGATTGACTGGTATGGAGGCCCCCTCAAGGAGGAAGTTAAGCTTGAGCTGTTCGCCGTTGGACCCAAGGTCTAGAGCATGAAGCGAATTATGACGCTGCTGACTGATCATTCTTGCTTGATCAAAATTTGGACTCGTCTGCGTCGAGGATCCGGCGCTCTGCATAGTAGGCTGTTGCCAGGAAGGAGCAGCCGAGTTCGGCGAAGCTGTGCTAGGTGGTGTCGAGGCAGCACCTGTGCTGGCAGGTATGCCGGCAGGAGGCCCGGGCTGGTTGGGCAAGAAGGAAGGGCCAGGTGAAGCATAGACGCCTTGTTGTGACCCGAGTACAGGCTGGATTATGGACATGATAGACGCCATTCGGTTCCTGACATCTGCAAGCTCTTGCTCGACCGCTTCCTTCTCCCTGAGTACGGCCTGAAGCTCCTGGTACGGCTGTTGAGAGGTCAAGTCCTGGATCTTCTTCTCCAGGTTCTCGATCGTATGCTTGGTTCGTTCGCGAATGGCTCTCTGAGCTTCTCGGTCTGGTGACAGGTGGTGCCATTAGCTACCTGGAATCGCCAGATGAGGGCATGCGGCAGGCATGGGAAGAAGTGACACATAAGGCGACCTCGGCCGGCGCTCGGACCGCATGGGGATATGCATAGTATACGTGTATGTGTATATGGATACGTGTATGTGTATATGTATGTGTGGATATGTGTACGGTATATGTGCAGCACGACTGGACTGATGGTGAGGCTACATACCATTGGCGCGTTTCTTGGCCAGCTGCTCCGGTGTCAAGTTCGCAACGCCCCTGGAGCCAGGACCGCCTTTCCGCTTTCTGGTCCTCTGGTCTTCGGGGCGACAGCACCGCCATCGTCGGGCGAGGCGTGGGAATCAGCTGGAGAATCAGCGGCGGGGGCAGGATGCTGGCCGGAGGGGAGGCCGGGCCGGTGGGTACTGCTGGTGGCAGTGGGAGGGACAGGATCGGGGGTGGATGCCGTAGCCGTAGCGGTAGCCGCAGGCGATGTGTTGATGGTGGTCGATGATGTTGAGGCCGTGTTCGGGGCGTTCATCACACTGACCGGGGTCGGCATGATTTATGTATAGCTATCACAACGATGGGACGATGCATATCCCACACCCCATCCTAGGATCAGCCTGTAGGAATGTACGAATGCGTACGAATGCGGAGGGCGGATCACACCATTCGTGGGTATCCAATGCGTCTTCCCGGGAAGTGCAAGTGCTTCGAAGAGGTGGACAGCTGCAGCTCGGCCTTGCGATTTCACGAAATTGCTGACCCCACGACCCACGACCCGCGGCCAACGGACCCAGCATTTCCCTTCTGCGTTTCTGCACTTTCTGCATTTCTGCCGAGGCTGGACCAATGGGCTCTGATGCGGTGCCCCAGGCTCGAGTCAGACACATCGGCTGTGGCAGCTGTCGCCGAGTCAGACGGTCTAGGCTAGATTTCTTCGATGCCAAGCCCTGTAGCCGACGGAGCTACCCGAAGAGGCATCAGCACAATCCTTGACTTGATTAGTCTGCAGCAGCTTAGGTCATTCATGAACCCGTGCAGTACATAAGTTAGCACCTTGTCACTTTCACCAATAAGAGCTTTCTGCAGCTGCTCGGCCTAACAGGCCGGGCCTCTTGTGGTTCAGGCCTGCGGATTAACCAACATAGCATAGCGAGCTGTAGTGTAACACCTTGTATACACTCCGTAGCACGAACGAAGTAGCCAACATATCACTAGCCTCCCATCTCGGGAAAGGGATCGACTGACCGTGGTAGTCACGATCAACTTACGACACAGCTCTGTCAATGCTCCTGCTCTTCTCTCTCTTTTTGCGTCTTCTACTCATACAATATAAACGCCCAGACGAGGACACCTGCCATCACTTCAATAACTGAGCATTGCCGCACATAATCCCATCTTCTAGTCCAATCCCCTGAAATCTCGGCCAGAATAATGCATGCCCAGCTCAGTTTGCACCCAACCCAAATCTCAACGACCCGTCAACGCCGAAGCCAATACCTAGTCAGCAGAAGCCCTTGCAAGAGCCTGGTGCAGATGCGGCGGGAACCTGTACTTCAGCTGACTAGTGTACGTCGTCAAGTCCATGCTGATCTGCTTGAGGTTGTCGACCATGATGCGTCGAGTTCCCTCGTTACCGCTGTACTGTCCACTCAGAAGTCGCTCCTTTTGGTTCATGCAGCACGTAATCGTCCACATCAACAGGTTGGGCACATTGATGGCAACCGGCTGTGACAAGCCACCAAACCTGGATGCGTAGTGCCGGATCGTGCTAGGGTCTCCACGTGCATCCAGCGGCAGGATGTCAAGTGCTTGGATTTTCTGTATTTCTTGGTCAGTAAAAAGGGGGGAATTTCTTCTTTCTTTTTCGGTTTCTTTTTCAAAGGTTCGACAATAACTGTTACTTACGTCTAGGCTTTCTGGCCACTGGTTAGCCTCAACCATGCCCTTGATCTCGCTCATTTGCAGCAGAAGATGGCATGCACTTCTGTTCTGGTCCTGGATTCTGGTGTAAAACATGGCATCCTTCTCGTACATGGACATCATCGTCCTAGCAAGGTCGATCGGGTCGTCGATAGAAGCCAAACTGAGGCTGCTTCTGGGCGGACCCTCGCCGTCCTTGCCACCTGCCCTAGGCTTGACGGGCTGGAGACGCATAGGGTCTTCTCCAATGTCGAGTGAGATGGCCTCGCTGAGCGCACGACTGACAATGGTGACAACGCTGTCATAGTCGCCTGCGAGGTGGTACAGGAGCACGGCATCCGTAGTCCTGCCATTCTCGTCCGCGAACCTGGCCGCCTGCAACGTCACAGCCTTGATGAAGTCGTCCTCTTCTCGCAGACCGATGAGAGGGCCGCGCTCCTCGATGAGTCCAGTAATTCGGTGTCCGTCAGGTCGGATATCACCAATCAGCTTGCTGAACTCGCGCGTCTCGAGAACAAGCTCGCGAAGTGCCAAGTGGCACAGCTCGACTTGAGATCTTCCAGCCTCTCCCTCCAGGTCGGCATTGAGGCAGATCAGCGTGAAATAGTCAACAGCTGAAGCCACATCAGCGGCTCGGAAGTCTCTGGTGTAATACCCAAGCATCCGCCCAAAGCTAATTTGTGGCTGCTGCCGGGTGTCATAGGTGAGCAGCTCGTTGGCATTGCCCCAGGAGTCGGAAGGACGTAGCAGACCGTAGAACTCCAAACCGATGGCGAAATGGATGGCATCCACATAGGAGAAAGGATAGAGATATGATATCGCTTGCTCGAACATGCCAGCCAAGACTTGGAGGAAGAAAGACATGCCGAATTGACCGTTAGTATCATCGGCAGGGGACTTGGGGAAGTGTTTGAGAACGATTTCTCGAATGGTGTCTTGAAGATCCTTGAGCGTGTAGGACTCTCCGGCCATCTCGGTCAACTTGTCGTTCTCCCGGGCAAGGTTGAACTGCAGCCATATCCAGTCGTAGATGTCCGTGTTCAAACCCTCCAGGTTGCGGTTGGCAACCTCGCAACGGCCAACAATCTTGTAGCAGGCCATTCGGAAGGGGTCAATGCTGTTCTCGGGGGCGTTGCGAACGCGCTGAGTGTACTCGTTGTTGCACCGCTCCTGAAGTTGCCGCCTGAGACGGCGGTCATCGCTTGACGCATACTCTAAAAGATATGATGAAAACGTGCGGTCGATGCTGCGGAAGATGGTGGCATGCTCCTTTACGTATTCGGCCGCCTCCGTCACATGGCCGGATCGCAAAAGGTAGTAAACCAAGGCCCACACATATTCCTTGTTCACCTCTTGGAGCTGGGTGTTGTCCGGGACGAGATCCTTACGGTTGTGCCGCAACCGCACGTATGCCTTGATCTTGCTAACCACGTCAGGACGACCGCCTAGATTAGCCTCGCGAGGATATTTCGTAATGAGGGCCTCGACTTCGTTGAAGAACTTCTTCTCCAAGAACTCGTTGGAGCCCTTCAGCACCCTCTTGCGCCACTGGATCGAGTTTGCAGAATTGCTTTGCAAGTCCAAGTACAATTTCTGGAATTGCCTTTCCTTGGCCGTCGAGTTCTGCGCAAACGACTCCGCCTCAGGGTTCTCTCCAACCATGGACATGACAGCATGGTATGCATCAACCAAGTTTTGAGCATGGCGGTCGCCAGAAGCATTTTCGACTTCGCCGAGCTCGTACAGCAAGGGGAACGGCCTTTGGTTCAATCGCGCGTTGTTGAGCTCTCGAATTCGCTCAGCCAGCTTGCTCTGCTTCTCCCGTACAAATCTATCGTCCATCGATCCGGCTCCGTTCATCGAGGGCTTGGTGTTTTGGCTCTCCACATCGGTGAAATCAGCTTGATGCGAACCAATCTTGCTAGGTGCACCAATGACAGACTTTTGCAGGTTAGAGCGGCCGAAAACACTGCTCTTCTCACCACCAGCAATCGATTTTCCACCCTTGCCTCTTTTAGACCGCCCAAACCCTCCTAGAGACTCCCTCGGCGCACCCGGGGCATCTGCAGGGCTGTCTCTGGGCTTGATGCCGAAGTGCTCGTAGATTCGTTTCCGCTGTGCCTCCCATTCTTCCGTGACGTTGTCCTCGAGGAAGTTGTCGAAGTCCCTGACCGATCGCTCTAGACCGTCTGCGATCATGGCGAGGGTGGTCTTTTGTTGTAAATTGGCCAGGTATGTGTCGACGTCGATCTCGGCAGGGCCAGTAACAGGACGCTCGACACGACCAGCTTGGATGTCAAAGTAGTTGAGATCTCTGACAGCAGCACCCGGGTCCATGCCGGAGGCAGCGAGGGTATACTGAGCCCTGGCGCTCTGGAGGGGATCTTGGCCGCGCGGGCCGAGTTTCCTAAGCTTCTGTCTCAAGTCGCCCAAACCTAGCTGAAGAGTAGGGAGGTCGTCGCTGGGAGCTTCGCCGTTGGCCTGCTTCTTGCTCTTAGCGAGCAGGCTGTCGAAATAGCCCATGGGGGCAGCTTGTGATTGTGCATTGCGATTCGCTTGCGATGCACCGAGGCCGAGCAAACTCTGCCCTGCTTGATTGTTTGTATACTGCCCGAGACCTAGAGCACCAGTATTTGATGCCTGGTTTATTGTCGAAGCACCGAAGAGCCCGCCTCCGGTATTGGATTGCGGTTGAGCCGTGGCACCCCGAAGAGCCCTCCACCTACAGCTGGGTTGTTCTGTGTGCCTAGCCCGCCCAACAAGCTTGTGCCTGCCGGCGGCTGGGCGGCAGGGTTGTTGTTTCCAAACAACCCGCCCCCGGTGCTTGTGTTTGTGTTTGTGTTTCCAGCAGTGTTCAAGTTCAGTGCTCCGCCAAAAGGACTGCTTGTATTGCCAGGGTTCGACTGGGTGTTTGAAGTGTTTGGCGCGCCGAACAGACCGCCCATGGCAGGTGCGGGCGTGGTGGTCGTCGGAGCACCACCAAAGAGGCCACCGGAGCCAGCAGGCTTGTTTCCACCCAACAGCCCACCGAATAGGCCTCCCGAAGCGGGTGCTGCTGGTGCGGTAGCTGTATTGTTTTGGTTCGGGTTCGGGCTCGCGTTGCCAAAAAGGCCACCACCGGTGCTGGGGGCGGCGGCCGAATTGCCGAAGAGACTCATGATAGTAGAAGGAATGGGTGAGGTGAGGTGAGGTGAGGTGAGGCTCACCAAACAGTCGAGAGCAGTTCGGGCGACGGCAGCAGACCAGACGAGATTGCCACCTTGGTTGCTTGTGAAGCTCCGAAATCCACACGAGGCTGAGAAAACAAATCAACAAGGGACAAGGCGTAGACAGCACAGCCAGAGACACTGGAAGCTGCAAGATTACTTTTACATAGCTGATAGGACTAGCGGGGGACGGGCGTTGTCCACTGAACGAAGAACTAAAGTTATTTTTTTCTGGGAGCTTGGGCCATCCATTCTTTGCCCCCCCCCCGGGAACAGAAAGCTCGACAGAAAGCCCGACCATCAAGGAGGTTGTATTTCTGGGTGTGCGGATTACATCTTCGTCCTGTCTTCATTCAATTCACCAAAATCTATTTTTTATTTCTATAGAATCATTTCTATAGAATTATCTCTATAGAATAATTATGTCTCCTCCGATTCAATCCTCTTGTCTCTCACCGCATAGCCAGATGAGGTCAAGCAAACTCATTTGCCAAATTCCTTAATCCAGCTAGCCGTTGCCTCGTCCACCTTCTTGCGGTACTCCTGTTGTGTCCGGCATTGCTCCAAGAAGACCTCGTACTTGGCACCCAGCAGTTTCTTCTCACCACCGTCTGTCCCGGGTTTGACCAACCGGCCGGGCTTGCTCATGCGATCCATGATAGACCACAGGTTTTCTGTCTTACCCTCGGAATCCGCGCTTGCTGCCTTGGCTCCGAGCATGGCCGCCCCATGTACCACTGCGGCATGTACGTAGCGTGGGATCAGCACCGGCATGTCACAAGCCGTCGCGATGAGGTCCATCAGCAGCGGGTTCTGGCATTGAGATCCCGACATGAAAATCGTTGAAATGCTATGCCCAGACTTGTTCATAGCTTCCACGATTTGCCTGGTTTGCAGCGCAATGAACTCCATGGTCGCGTAGTAGTACAATGCCAAGCCGTCTAGGGAAGAGTCTGAGCTCAACCCAATCACCGATCCCTTCATATTCGGGTCGGCCACTGGCGAACGGTTGCCCCAAAGATCCCCATAGAAGAAGAAATGCCGTCCGAGATACGATACCGAAGGGGCGCCTTGCTTCTCTGCCAGCTCCGATAGGTGGTCATTCAGATACTCGTAGATGTTCTTCTGCGTGGCCTCGGCCAACGTCACGGCATTAGAGTTAGCTGGGTGGGTCTCGATAACATGTCTCAGGAGTTCACCCGTGGCAGACTGTCCTCCCTCCGCCATCCAGTAGTCGGGTAGAAGAACATCTCGGTAAGGACCCCATACACCATTGACAAATACGGGCTTTTCCGACATGGCGAGGTGACAAGTCGAAGTACCGGCCACGGCAGCCAGCCGAGTGAATGCTTGCGATATGTCGTTTGCAGCATGTGTCTCGTCGGCGTGACCGTACTGCGTGTCAACCTTGGCGCCCACCGTACCGATCCAACCAGCATATGCATCAATAACGCCACTGCCAACGGCGATGCCAGCTGGAAGACCCAGCTCCCGCCCTGCTTTTTCCGACAAGGTGCCAACGAGCTCACCGGCGCTGGCATATTTTCCGTTCTGAGTATTTCCCGTTAGCAATCATGTCCAGAATGGCTGTCAGACAACGAAAAGAAAATAGGCTCACCACCCCGTCGACGCCGCCCATGCGCTTGAAGTCATCCTTAACCAAGTCGCCTAGGCCAATTGTCTCGTAGAAATCCTCTTGCCAACCCTTGACACTGCCGTCAACGCCGACAGGCACGAAACCCTGCTTACAGACAGTGCTGCAGTAGCTTCTCGTCTCATTGCCAGTGGCAAGATGTGTCAGAGCATCCGCCAAGTCATAGAATTTGCAACGGTCGAACAGCTCGGGAGGCATGTTGTTCTTGAGCCATAGGACCTTGGGAATCTCCATCTCAATGCTCATCGTGCCTCCCACATATCGCAACAGGTTATGGCCAGTAGCATTAATCTTCTCTGTCTCTTCAACTGGTCGGTGGTCCAGCCATAGGATGACGTTTCGCGCGTTGCCATCGTCCTCGAAGTTGGGGCCCGTAACAGTGACGGGCTCGTCAGTGTCATGGGAGAACACCGACAGAGAGCAAGTTGCGTCGAAGCCAATGCCCTTGATGGTGCTCGGGTCGATGTTGGACTGGTGGACTACTTTGTGCACGCAGGAGCAGATGCAGCGCCAGATATCTGTGGTAGATTGTTCCTGACGACGAATTAGCTTTGGCTCCTCGTTGAGTCAAACGTTGTACATCTTACATAGTAGCCGGTCTGAGGCTGCCACAGCTTGATTGGCTCTGTAGCAAGTGCTTTTATGTCACCGCTTGCGTCGATGAGACAGGCACGGGCAGAACCAGTGCCCACGTCTATGCCGATAAAGTGATCCTGGGTTATTATGTCAATTGCCATTTTTCTTAGGTTTGGGGAAATAGACAAGCAGTCTCCTGGTTGGGGGTGAAGTAGATTAGGCAAGGCTAGGTATTGCGAAGACCAAGAGTGCAACCTACGTTATTTTCGACGTGAATGACATTTCGGGCACTAGGAAAACAGGAAGCAATGTCAGCATTGTGCAGTGTGGCATCCTTGCAGCCGACTGCAATTGACTTTGAGGTTGCTTCGAATCACTGTGACGACGTACTCCATGATTATTAATTCTTAGGGGCTTCTTCTAGATAACCAACGCTCGACGGTTGAGTGATGGCCGCGATGGTGTGCTGCTGTCGTTCTTCCCGACCAATCCGCAAGCTTGTCTCAAAAGTCCGATGGTAGATGTGATGTGTTAAGCGGCGTCAGGGATTGCGTCGTAAGACAGACGACTCAGAGAGACCTAGTCACAGGAAGGAGCAAACGAATGAAACTCGCGTGGGCCTGCAAATATTTCTTCTTTTCTTCCTTTCGTCTTGGGAGCTCGCCAGCTCGCTACGGAGTATGCAGAGAGACGCGGGATGTCGTCACAAGGGTCTCCCCACCGTCGGATACAGCTATATGTGGGCCTAGACAGTGGGGTTTGGGGAAGAGGTGGTCCCTATCAGGCGCTACCAGCGTGCCTATCAATGTCATCTTTCGAACGATCTGCTTACATTTGGCCGTCGTGGCCCTCGTCGGCTTGCTGCCCAGAAGCGCCACTCGCAACACTGAATTGACTTACAGGCAATAATCGGCACAGGCAGTTTGCACTTTTTCCTTTTCCTCTCACAGGACAAAGTCCGTTCGCTGGAAAGATGATCGGCATGCCCCAAACCTTAATATGCTTAGTATTCTGGACGCGAGAGCCACACCGACTTGACCGTTTTAGAACCCCCAGTCCCCCTCGTCACCAATGTGCCATGCGGCCCTGGTGTTCACAACTGCAGACCTATCATACCTGATTTGGACAGTAAAATCCTTGGTTCGAACTACAGCTGCCATAGTAAATGGAGCATTGCCAAGCCTATGGAAAATATTTAGGGCTGATGGGCCAGACCAGACCCGGCCAGATGTCCACTTCTCGGATTGCCTCTTCCGACTTCCCCGAGCTAGCTCACTACCTAGGTATTGTATCAATGACCAATATTGATGGCATCGTCAACCGCAAATATATGCATAATGTGACGCGTTATCCCTTGGACAACATTGTCGCTCGTTATTATCAGTCCAGGTCCCGTTGCTGATCTTCCACAAGTATCACGACTGTTAAAGTAGCCGCATATGCTTCCCGAATAGCGCATGCCATACTGTAGCACGTTAGTAGGAATTAGACGAGGAAACCCCCGACAGTTTTTTGAACGTACCAAGTCTTGCCAATATGCGCCACCACTGCACTAAGGCCCCAGTGCGAGCACCAAGCTCGGGCGAGGACTTCATTATCTGACACACCGAAAGCCTCAACTACGAGAACTCTCTCTTGATCATCGTCATCTTGCACAGTAGGTTGGGCTGGGTTGCTCCCACCTACTGGAGTAGAGCTGACGCTTCTCTCGCCGGGGCTCCCAGGATTTGCCCAGTTCCGAATGTTCACAACTTCATCGACCCTTGTTGAAGTGTACACATAGTCGAAGAAGAGCGGATGGGGTCCCGATGAACAGGGCCAAGCATTAATGAAGGAGACATCATAGTTGAGTCGCAATGGCCATGAGACACCATCGATCGCAAACTGCATTGATGCATCAAACCACTGAGGACCGTGGTCTTGGCGTGACGGTAGAGTACTTCTGAAATTCAGAAGTTCGATACGGACCGTATCTACGAAGTCATCGACGTCTGGCGCGACTAGTGTGTATTCACCAACAGGGAACACTTCAGCAGGTGGTCCTAAAGGATCCGATCTCTCGCTCATTGAGGCGACGTCTTCCGGTGTTATTCGTTGTCGGGGCCTTCTGGCACGGATACGGGCTATCTGTGAGGGCCCCAAGTCCGCAGTTGGGCGAGCAGGTCCGATCCAACCTCCTACCTCGAGGCATGTAGGGGCCAGTACCTTGCCAACAATGCATGCTGAGGACCAGTAAGTATAGCTCTTTCGGTACTGGAAGCCGCAGTGAGGATGGAGATGTGTTAGTAACGCGAGATCGTCTGTAACCTCGTCTGGATCTAGGTCGACCAGTGTATTCATCAAGAGAAAAGGGAATGTGGACTGCCAGTATGTTAGTGGGTCTGGCTCGTTTGTTGTTAGAAATGAACTTACTCCAGGAAGCACTAGTCCACTGAAGAATGCCATTGTATGCGAACTGATGCCCAAGAGGTTACCCTCCACCTCACTTCGCTTGAGCGCATGTAATGTCTCCTCGAGATTCGGCCATTTCATCATCTGAGCGAATCGCTTCAACATTTTTGCTTGGCGCTTCCTCAATTTGAACCGTAGCCGTACTTTCTCAGCCACCTCGCCAAACTCGCTAACGCGGACATACTCTTTCCAGCGCCTGGCAAGAGCAAGGTTCCATTGGATTCTTGAGGGTATTTGGCCGATCAATTTCTCCTTTTCCAACTCACTACGAAACCTTGCAGAGACCCTGAGTTCCAGTTCAAGGCTCAGGAGTAGTTGGTGAAAGAACTTTTGATATTGTTGCTCATTGTCCGGACTAGTGTCGTAAATGAATCGTGTGACGACTTGATTCTTAGGTATTGTGAAATCAATCCAGTCCGGGGCTGAAAGGACCATGATAAGATCTGTGATCTGTGTGTCCAAAGCCTTGTGTGGATTGAAGATTTTATCGGGGTCTTTCAGAAATCGCTTATACAGGTTGCGGTACATCAGATCTCCATCTTCTAGCCCTCCTTCCAGCTCCAGTAATCGTTCAAAGATCTGCACCAGATCCACATCACGCGGCTTCAGCCCTGGATCACGAAGTTCTATAGCTGGCGGAATCATGCTCGATAGACTCGCCCATTGATTGAGCGTGATCGTACCTGGGCGAGAACCGCATGCAAATGCCAAGCTTGGCTGCTCCAGGGTCTCCCAGGGGTTGTTCGGTGCACTTGTACCTTGTATTCGGAGGGACGTCAGCTGTGTCATCGAAGCGTGTAGATCGGCTGCATCCGTGTCTTCGTCTCTGCTCCCAGCCGTTGTCGCGTAAAGGGTGTAGTACTGCTCCGAGCGGTATGGGATCGGCCGCTCGTGGCCTTTGTGCACTGGAGCTCCTCGAGAAATCAACTCCATCGCATGTCTGAGCGGAAGCTCTTCCTCGCTGGAAATACCCGATGGGGGCCATTCAGAGAGTGGCGACGCATCGCGGGCATGCCCGTTAGGATCTGCCCGCCCTTTGCCCTTGATATCATGGGGAGGAGCGCGGCGAGGCCTGCGCCGAGCGCTCATGGCAACTGGCCTGTCACTCCGACGACTATGCGGGACGTCACCGTCGCTAACTCTTCTGGGCTGTTCTTTGTACTGGACAGCGTGTTAGCAAGTACTTGGGGCTTTGGCGTTCGTTGGGCATGATTATGCGAACCAAATTGCCACTTTGCGCATTGCTCTTGCTGCGGAAAATCCCGCTCCAAAATCCTTTCCTTGGTCCTTCCATTGCCAGATAAATGCATTTGATAGTCTGGCCTGAGTGTGATGGCGCGTCTCAAGTGAAGCGTCAAATGCGTTGGGAGGCGGCTTCACATGTGACAACCTGGAGGCTGTGTTTGGCACGGGGCAATGAGTCCGTCCGGTGGCTGCGGTCACCAAACAATAAAGTTGATGGGCTATTGTCCAGAGCAATATTTGCGCCCGGGTCTGGTCTTAAATCAACGAAGCTTTCGAAGAGCCCTCTCGGTCTCTTCTCTGTAGGACGATATGAATCACGTAAATCGAGTTTGTGTCCTGATTTGGTGGTTCAGGTTCGTTCTTCGTGGCAAGTGCGATTTACGTAGCATGAAACAGGGAGTGTGCATGATGCAATTGCATTTTGCGGAAGAGCTTAAAATCACATCTCGGAGCTGGCGCCCACCAGTGCTGAGACAATCTAGACGCAAACGGGCTGCTCAAGGCGAAACGGCAGGTCCTGAATGGATGAAATTGAGAAGTTTACGACTGCCACATCCGACAATCGTGTGCTGAGTTGATGTTCTGCCAATGGCACATCGACAGAGGAGTGGTGGGGTTCTTTAGCTGGGAAGCTGGAACTGCTCATTGCGCATGAACCCAGCACAGATAAATAAAAATAATCACCGTACCGCATTATACTTTCCGGCAAAAATCTTCTTCCAAGTGTTTCACATCCTTCAGTCAGGTTCGCTCGAATACTGCGCCCACGTTGTTGCGCAACTTTGTGTTTCTCGATGGCCTCGATGTCGACGCGCTATAATTACACTATGGAAAGAAATAGTGGATACAAACTACAATGCGACTGCAACTGGTGCGGTTCTTTCGCTTCCCTCAACATAACATCGGAGAGACGAAGACCTCCGGTCCTTCCAAACGGATTTCCAACACTTTAATCCATCAATTCAATTTCTGGTCATCTTGTCTTTTAGGTACTTGGAGTCGAGGTAGAGTTAAAAAATGGTAGCCGCCAATAGATAGTCGCAACGAATGCAGCCGAGATGGTTCATTTCGAGAGCGCCATTCGCCATAATATGGATTCTCAATAGGAGCGTTGACATATTTCACACAATATTAGAAGAGAGTGTACTCAGGGACGTTGTTGCTCACAATTTTCCATGCAGCTGATTGCGTCATCAGTACTGGCAGCATTTAGATCTCATCGGCGTTGTCAGTCATTCCCAGGGAGCAAACCTTGAGATGTCTGCCAACTCCGATGAATAAAGATGAATGCAGATCCCTAGACATCTTCTCAAATTGTAGAGCCTCGATAGGGCCACGCCCAATTGCTCCGGCATCAATTCGGTCAATACAGGAGGATTTGACTCGATGTCCCGACTTGAGGGAATAGAGGGCAAGCTTGCCATTGTCATGTGCAGCAGCCACGATCCCCGCCTCGAGATCGACATCGAAACCAATCTTGTTGTGGGCATTGTTCTTGTACTCAGGAAACGAGATGACACTGCGGTCTGCCTTTCTTCTTTGACTGTTCTCGCAGCCTTTTGTTGACACAATTCTAGTGTGTCCCTTGATCATGCGGAGGTCGTACGTCTCAAGCGTGCTCTCTAGGCCACTGACCAGGACATGGTGCTCGTTGAGCGATCTTATGTGTGTGATACTACTCGCATGGCGGAAAGACATCCATCCTGTATCGGCGAGGCGAGTATCAGCAAGGAAGCATCTCCCCGAGCGGCCGCCACCAAAAATAACATTCTCGTGACCTCGGCGAAACTCGACAGCGAATATATCGTGGAAAGCCTTGTCTGAGAGCAAACGACTTGACATGGTTGGTGCGACCCAGTCAAACGAGCCACTCAACCTCGAGCAATGCTCGCCTTTCCACAACAACATTCCACGGTTGGTCCCGACAGCACAAATTATATCGTCAGACCAGTCAGGGCCGACTGCAACTGCATTCACCTCATACTGTCGAGAACCTTTGAAGTGAAAGTCTGCTAATGGGCGTCTGGCTAAATTATTCGGACGAGAGCTCTTCGGCCAACGGGGATTTTCCGAGGACGGCTCTCTGATAATCGGAGGGCCAGTCGTCAAGATATTTTGTGCGTAGGGAGCTTTGCAAATATCAGCAAAAGTATGCCTGAGTGGGCTGTTCGTCACTTACGCATACCAAGCTGCCAGAATGGCATGGTCTTTTGTCGCTGAGAGCAATGTGCTTGCAACGGCTTTACTGCTCGCAATGAAGCAAACTCTTTAGGTTCGCGAGATGCTACTATCAGAATGCCTCGGCGGCGGTGGAACTTGACAGACGATATCTGGTCAAGAGAAGCTTCATGGTAAGGGGCGATGTGGTGTCCAGGAACATCGTATCCGGTGAGCAGCTGACGATGAACTCTACTACCATCAGTTTCAAAACTTGAGCTTGGCCCTAGTAGATTATACAAACCTGCCGTTTTTGTCTCTTGGTAAATATGTGGATGTAAGTGCGGAACCATCAGGACCTGAGGACACAATGAGTATTGGATTTGCAGCCAACAGAGGTGAGTTTTCGCTTACAGACGTATCCAATGCCAAGGTCAGTCCAAGGATCATCCCCAATTATACATATAGATGATAGGTTTTGTGATGGACTCCACCGATTATCGATGAAGGAGATACTTCCCTTTTCGACAAAGCTGTCTGCAAGGACGGCAGGCATCATATCTTGCTGCGTAGAACCATATTCACGAGCTAGGAACCCACCAGTAAAGGGGTCGTTCAGTGCTTGTGCACGCTTGATGCGGTACTTGTTCAATGTCAAGCGCCGCAAGACCTCAGCTGCGTTCTCATCCTCAAGCTTGCGCTTCTTGACACTGTCGTGAGACCAGACTGACTGGGTGGGTGCTGTTTGACTACCCTCGATTTTGAAGTAGCGCTTCTTCTCAGGGTCTGTGAAGAAGGATCAGTTTGATGGCCAAAAAGTGTAGGAAATCCGAGCTTACCGAAGTAGTAGCCAGGAATGTTCATATCGGCGATTGCGGCGCCGTAGCTTGGACCACTTTGCAAAAATGATGTTGATGATAGGGGGAGCCTCTAAGGAAAGATTTGGTTAGAGGCCTGCGACAACGAACGGTTGCGTGAACATCCTGAACCTTCTGTCGGTAGGTCCTTGCGATTGATATCTTAGATACGCAAAGTTTTCAATGCATGGAACGATGCCTTGAAAACGTGGCTGTGATATCAAGGTGATAAAATCCTTTGAACGGAGTTGGTGATCAAATAATCACGTAAAAAGCTTGAAGTAAGATAGTGTTTTCCTAATGCTTGAAGTTTTCAGGCCATATTATGCTTTAGGCGATCAAAGTGCTGTGACCTTAACCTAGGGAGTTCTGTGGGTGAGCACTGAAATTTTGTGCAAAGAGCACTTTACAGCGCCCAATGGGCTCTATGCGTGGTTTCCATGTTGTTTCGTCCAACTCGTGTATCTATTACCACTATGAGCAATTAGCCACCATATTTAACATGATATGTTCATTGCAAAAAGCTTTCTATACCCAAAACTTTGGATAGACCCTGCAAGAATGGGAAGTATTGAACCAGGGTTGTTTGGGCCTCAAACTGGGGGGAAAAAAGATACAAAATTTAGATATTCTGCTTCCAAGTCATCAATTGTATCTGAGCCTAAGATCTTTGTTTCATCCCGTAAGCGACATACCTATACACATGCATGATTATACTTCTACCAAGAACATCTTCACACAGATCTATTACGAGGTGTATAAGATAACACCACTCGCTACTCGCCTACTGCAAGCATAATTTGGGTTTCTCTGCAAGATCGAGTCAAACCTAACAAGCAACGTTCTTCCAACTATCACACGTCTTGTTGCGGCTGCACAAATGGAGTCGAAACGGTTCACAACATGGGTTACATACCAGAAAATCTCATGTCGCCAGGAAAGCAGTCCCAATTTCCAAATATCTAAGTATTAAAGTTGCGAGGAATAGGTTATGGACAGCTACTCACGTTTTTTTCAAGCTAGACTAGTCTAGTCTAGATCAACTGCTCCAAGGTTGTTGTGTTGATGGTAAGAGCTGGACCGAGTAGTCGAGCCCCAAATCTCTGTCCATCAAGCATGGAAGACTTGGCAGATTTCACGCATCCCCCAGTATCCCCAGGATACATCGATCTCAGCCCGCGGTACGTCAGTGCATGGTATAGTGTTGTCGATGGAGTTCTAACTTAGATCACCGGTCACAAGACTGCCTTGCCTATCCACTCCCTGACCAGCGGCCCGATTAAGCACTTGGGCGTCCCACTGAAAACTCACCGCGATTCAAATCGCGATTACCGCATAACTCGCTGCGACCACCACAAGACAAGCTTCCATGCTGAGGAAACGACTCATGCAAAGACTTTTATTAATGTAAACTCAATTATGGGCACGGGTGCCCCACAGCAAGAGCTTTCGAGAGCTCAAAGAGTTACCCCTCATTGCCGGTATTTGTATGAGAGCCATAAAGTGACATCCCCTTGTCCCCAAAGTTGTGTAACCTACCAGTTTTGTATAGTCAGCATACTGTTATACTTTTATTTTATTTTTGTACAGCGACAACCCAAACAGCCCAGCCAATTGGCCAGAACAACGAACAGTCAGCAACAATGGTCTACACACTCACCGTCCACCTCTACGCCAAGGACGAGCCCGAAGCGATTGAGCGAATCAAGCTTAAGCTCATTGAAGCATCGCGTGTCTACCGCAACGACAAGGAGACAGTCGACTGGATTGTCATGCAGGACGTCCACGACCCTCGAGCCTTTACGATCGTCGAAAGATTTGAGCAGGAATCTGTAGGTCCAACTGGCGTTGCTACATACCGGCTGCGAAGAAATATACAATCCACCCGGGAAGATCTTATTGCAGCACTTGTACTGATGTTGTTTGCGTCTCGCTTAGTCCCAGAAATACCATCTCGAGAACCCGTATTGGAAGACCTTCGATCCGTAAGTATCCGAACATTTGCCCGCCAACTCTGACAAGTTTCTGATGAATGCCAGTTATGTTATACCTTTGTTGGCCAAGCCAATGGATTTGAGACGCCACGAAGAGTTGGACATTAGCAAGGATGTTGTGGTTCCTCAATAGCTTCGGCACTATAAAACAAGAATCGTGATAGAAAACTGATAGAAACACGTTATGCAAATATGATGATACCTTTCGATCAATTGTTGGACTAACGCCTAGGCGGACAACATTTGATTTCGATCGTGATGCGTAGTGAACATCAGAATACTGGTCCATGAACCCCTACTGCCTGCACGTCATAGTTATCCATGTCAAAAATTCCAGTTCAGGTATCGAAACAATAGAAATTATCACGAAATAGCAGCGGGTAGTTTTACTTCTTTATTAGGTTTGTCTAGAGTAGTAGGAAATGGATATAATTTGCCACACCGCATGCATCCCGGACGCGCCCACTCTCGACGATTAACCGAGGCGGAGGCCAACATCATACAGTTTGGACAAGGAATGAGTGAAAACACGAGCGCTGCCGGAGCATCGCAAGGGTATCATCTGATACTCTCGGCAGTGTATCGTGGCCAAGAACCCCATCGGAACCGTCGTGCTTATAAGCATGGTCGGTCGTATGGTGGGGAAACTTATGCGGACTTCTCGTGCTGGGTGGAGACACGCTGGAGCGAAACGACTGTGAAACAGTTAGTGAAAAGCACGTCAAAGCAAGAACAGTAGAAAACTCACCGAAATCCTCGAGGGATCGCTGCTTCTGGTTGCCCTTGATGGAGCGACCGTGCATCATGTTGTCGAAGCCCTGGCTGCCAGACATGAGGTAGTAGATACCACCCATGATGCAGAAGACACCGAATGAGAAGATCCAGATACGGACGACAGCGACAATGCTGGTCTGTTGGCCGCCTTCGAAGAAACCCCAGATGGTGAAGCAAGTAGCAAGGATATCGACGACAAGGATAGCGCCGGTCAATTGCCACGAGGGGATGGACGACCAGAAAGGACCGTTGGCACGAGTGATGAAGATCAACCAGTTCTCAGTCAAGGAGATCTCGAGGAAGAGAACCTCATCCATGTTACCGAAGTTCTGGACGATACCACCATCCTCACCTTGAGCGTACATGGTAGTAACAGTGATCCAGGTACCGACGGCAAGGACTATTCCAAGGACAACGGACATTCCCCAAAGCTTGGGCAGGTTCCACTTGACGGGACTCTTGGAGAAGGGAGCGTTGTCGTAGGCGATAGCGAGAGTGGCAACATCAGCAAAGATGGCAATGAAGACAACGAGCTCGATGTTCAGGGAGCGGTTGAGAATGGCGATCCAAAGACCAAGGAAGATCTCCAAGTGGATGGAGAGGGCAATACGGTAGACGACGTAGGCGTACATTCTGTGGAAAATCTGGCGGGAAGTCTTGAGAGCATCGATGATAGCACCGAGACCGGGGGCAAGGAAAACAATATCAGCAGCAGATCGAGCGGCATCCGAAGCGCCCTCGACAGCAATACCGGTATCAGCCTTCTTCAAAGAGGGTGCGTCGTTCACACCGTCACCGGTCATGGCAACGAGGTAACCACGCTGCTGCAAGATCTCGACGACGTTGTACTTGTGCTGGGGGAAAACCTCGGCGAAACCATCGGCAGCCTCGACGAAATCGTAGACCTCGGAACCGGGCATGTCGCCACCGCCACCAAGACCAAGACGCTCAGCATTGTAGATGTTGGTACCGAGACCGAGTTGGCGAGAAGTCTCACGAGCGATACCGACGGCATCACCAGTCAACATCTTGATAGAGAGACCGAGAGTCTTGGCTTCGTTGACAGTCTTGGCGGTATCGTGACGGGGAGGGTCAGAGCAAGGCATAATTCCAAGAATCTCCCAGGCACCCTCACCACGCTTGCGGGCAACACCGAGGGATCGGAAACCACGGGTGGCAAACTCGGCAACCTTGTTCTTGTAGGCGTTATCAATCTCCTCAGGGATAGGGTGGTCTTCCTCAACGGTCTTCAGGACGAAAAGAGGGGCGCCCTTGACACAGGTGATGATCTCACCCTGGGGGGACTCAACAACGGCGGTAACCTTCTTGGAGACAGGGTCGAAAGGGAAGAACTCGCGGACAATGTACTTGGACAAGACACCCTTGGCGCGGGGGTAGAACTTGAGGGACTTCAGGAAGGCCTTGTCAATGGCGTCGATACCCTTCTTCTTGCGGCTAGCAGCCAAGCAGGCAGTCAACATGAGGTCCTCGGGGTCAACACCCTGGACGGTGAAAGGCTCAGAGAGGGACAGCTTGTTCTTGGTCAAAGTACCAGTCTTGTCGGAGCAGAGAATCTCTACACCAGCGAGGGACTCAATGGCGGAGAGCTTCTGAACGATAGCCTTCTTCTTGGCGAGGTAGGCGGCGCCGACAGCCATGGTGGTGGTGACGACAGCGGGAAGACCGACAGGAACACCGACAATGGTGATGGCCAGGGTGAAAGCCAAGATATCAACGATGGGGTTGGATCGGTAGAAGGAAGAAACCCAGACGACAACGAGGGTCAAGATAACAAGGACAAGGAGGACTTGACCGATACCGTTGAGCACCTCAGTGAAATGACCAGTACCGGCGCTGGCCTGGGAGACGAGAGCAGCAGCGCGACCGACGAAAGTGTTGTCACCGGTGGCAGTGATAACAACGAAGGCCTCACCACGCTTGACAGCGGAGGAAGCGAAACACTGATCACCGTGGTGCTTGTCGACGGCGAGAGATTCACCGGTAAGGGCAGACTGATCGACCTGGAGGAAGGCGTCATCGGTCACGATTCTTCCATCAGCTGTGAATTTTGTTAGAACGTTTTCCAACATTGTTCGGCGATACTTGAGCAGTATTGAGCACACTTTGGTCGAGACCGTGTCATGTACTCAAGGCAGGCTTAGAAGGCCAGGAAATGATTCCGTTTGCTTACCAGGGATGATTGTACCCTCCTCTACCTGAAGAATATCACCAGGAACGACCTCGGGCTAGAAAAGCACGTTAGCGATAATCTTGATATCAGAAAGGCGGAGAATGCCTACTGCTTCGATCTCCTTGAGCTGACCATCACGGAGAACGACGGCCTTGAGGGCAAGAGTCTTCTTCAACTCGTCGACGATAGAACCAGCTTGGTATTCTTGGACGAAACCGACACAGGCGTTGAGCAGGAGCAGGGCGCAAATGACACCGAAATCGACCCAATCCTCAAGACCGGCAGCCAGGACGGCAGCGGCCTCCATGACGAACTGGATAGGACCAATGCTACGAAGACGTTAGTTGAAGCGACAGAGAAAAGGAGAGGGTGGTAGTGCTCACAAGAATCCCAGAAACTTGAGGATCATGTTCTCCTTCTCCTCCTTCATCTGGTTGAGACCGAAACGCTTTCGGCGGGCGGCAACCTCGTCGGAAGTGAGACCGATGCGGGAGTCGGTCTGGAGGAGCTCCTCGGGGACCTGGCGACCACCGCCCGGGGTGGACTCCTCCTCCTCCTCCTCGAGGGCCTCGGCGCCATCGGCGGACTCGAGGTCCTCGATCAAAGCATCGATATCCTCATCCTCGTCTTCTTCGCCCTCGACCTTCTTGGCAGTGGTGGGGTCGGTGGCGTGGTGCTCCTTCTCATCAAACTTGCCAGACTCGATGTTGGTGTGCAAAGCCGGCGCAGCGGCAGTGTTGGACTCAGCCATGACTGGCGAGTGTAAGGGGACAGCCGAGTTCGACGGACTGTCGTGAAAGAAGAGAAAATTAAAGTCCAAGTATTAGGTACGAGTCGACAGAAGTAAGTTTTGTTTTTAGGTGAGGTTGTTGTGTTCCGCAGGGATTAGATTGAGGGGTGTTGATGGGAACTCAACGATTGTCCTCAAGTGTCACGACTGATTAAACGGTCCAACGAAGTCCTGTAATGGAAGGCGTCGACGGATGTCAAACAGATCGTAAGGAAAAAAGAGAGGAAGGAAAAGAACAAGAGCAAGTGCGCTGCTGGTTATATTGTGCTCCGAGCCAGTGGAGCTGCGCTGATTTTTCGCGGCTGCAATTGGTGAGAGCGCCAACCAGGGCAGCGAAGCTAATTTGCGCCGGGGGGAATACATTCACCTGGTACTGGCAAACCTACAGCAGGTAGGGTACATTCTCCGTACAGTAGTAGCAGTAGGTATGGATTGTTTTCCCAGACTTATGCGGGAAATTCTGGATATCCACTCGAACCCCATGGAACAAGCTGGGACGCCTTCATATTGGCAACTATCTACTGTGAGCTAGAGCCCGGGCTGTTCCATCGATTCGCTATTCCATCTACTCTTCTGCCATTGCTCGTGTGCCCGTCTCTGTTATCCCAGCACAGCAGCCCATTGTTTTTGTTGTGATCGATAGATGGGATGTACTCCGTGCTCATCTCCACGGGTGCGCTTGCAGGTACAAGGGTACATGCTTGCAGGTGAGCTTTGAGCTTACCTGTTGTGGGGCAGCCGGTCCCCGCCAATCATCGGCTTCGCTTCATCGCTGGAAAAAACACGCGAAGCCGATGCTGTAAATACCGCAAAGATGGATTCGTGACGTCGCCATGCTGCGCCAAAGACCTCGTTCCTATTTCCCCCTGCTGAAGTCTCGTGCTGCCTGTGGCTGCCATGAGACAGCATCAATTGGCCCCTGGGATAGCGAAAACTCGACGATCGGATCACAAATTGCTCAATCCTGCGTGCAGTGTTTGCAATATTGTTCTCATTTCAGACTGTGACCCAACATTCATGGCAGAGCTCAAGCTCCACGACTATCTAAGACCACCGAACGTATGTACCTTAGGCTATCGCCCTAGCTAAATGCACGCAGGGATAGCTTAGTTCGGAGAAAGCCTATTCGCACGGTCTGGCAGAAGTCACGCACTGTCGCACAGGGTGGTGGACAGAACTGCTAGACCCCTAGACTCGCCCACTCACCGAGGCGTACCGAAGTTAGAACATCCAAGCCAACTATTGTTTTATCCATTCTCGCCCAGAGGATCGTCTTCATATCCATCTCCTGGACATGCCCAATCCAGTCTGCAACTGTCTTCTCAGGCGAATCGGAGACCAGCGGCTCAGCTCTGGCGAACCAAAGTGCCGTGAGCTTGTTAATCCTCAGCAATACGTCATTCCAATGTCCATGTCGGATGCTGGCTTGGCAAGCAGGTTAATATGAGCACATCTGTTCTAACAGGACGACTTGTAGTCGCACAATCTGCCTCGTATACTGCTTCATCTATAGAGTACAGTGAAATCGTTGGTGGCTCTTTCGACGAGCCCAGTTCTAGCCAGGACCCAGTCCTTCTCCATACAGCGGATGCATAGTATGCAGACCGCCCAACATGAGCTACTGTGCACTATGTGGATTTCTCCATTATTCAGGAACCATATCGCAGCAAGGACGGTGGCTGCATACTAGGTCTTCGGCTTTGCCATTGAGAATTTTGCGACTTTCTTGCTTGCGAGCTCTTGGTCCCTATGCCAGGCTCGTCTGGATGCTGCACGATGTGAAGAAAAGTGTGGTGGTGAGTGACTCGGTCTGCCCGGCTATGTTTTGCCGCACACTTTTAGAACTATTTGCCGCTGCGATGCCCCATATTTGTCGCTCTTTCCCTTTCCTGGGGATGCCTATGCACGGTTCTCGAGTCATATCCGATCCCCATCTCTTTCTCAACGAGCTACCCAGCCCGGCTTCTCGCGAATTTTTTCTTGACCAAAGCACGCTGAGGTAATTTTCAGCAAGCCTATCGGACGGGACTTTCCAGACTCGTTGGCGCTGTGCTACTGTACCAAATCCGCCGAACAGGTCGAGACACCAACAATGGCCCTGTTTTCAATTGGTACGTATTGTATAGAAGAACACAGCCGTGACAGCACTTGGAACGTTGACCGCTCGAAGCCGACTTACCTCACCGCAGGGGCAATTGGAATCGTTCGCGTCGATACTGGGAATATTCACAGTACCTCGTCAATCGTACTAGCAAACACAATTCCCCGATTTTATGACCGAATCATCTGAGGTCTGCCGAGGCATTGCTCTCGTGGTATCTATTGAGATCCATCACAATTCACGGGTGAAGGTCGTCGTTTTCCGAAGTAGTTCGCGAAGCCAACATTGACTGTTCATCCTCCGCATTGCTGCAATATCACGAGTCCCAGAATTCATATTCGAGTAAAATCACCTGCAGCAGCTCGTCTCCAGCAAGCTGCATCCCGCGAATCGGCCCCGCAGAACCCCCATCCTCCCAATTCTCCAATCATTTGCGTCTGAATTGACAATTCAGGAAGACTCCAATCGAAATTAGCAGGGATCATCCGAGCGGCTTTGATGGCAATCTGCGCTAGCACGGCGAGGCGAAATTTGCGCGCGATATTTCCAACGGACTTTACGCGGGCATGATTCGAGAGCACAGGCAGAGCACAGGCAGAGCCAAGCAATTGAAAATTCCAGATCTTCAGCGGGATTATCCTCGACTCAATTCATCCATTGCCTCTTATGAGATCGGTATCGGAACGGGTACTGTATGCGCCTTTTTCTGCTGAGCGGGAATATCTAGTACACAGTAGTGCGTGACTCGCCGAGGCATTTCCATACAGTACTGTAGCCCGCCAGCTCCCATCCCTATCCCCCCCCCAGGTCATTATTGCTTTTCAGCACAGTACCACACAGATCCTTCTTACTTCGTTCGTAACGGGCCAGTTCTCTCGGATATTACGCCTCTCCAGGTGCCCACACTGGAAGCTACCCGAAGCGCTCGCAATCATGATGTTTACAACCGGGCGACGCGTACCGCCCAGTTCGCGCACCTTGCTCTCCCTGCTCGTCCTTTCTACCAAGCTTTTCCGATTCCCTGTGCGCCATTGCCCTTGTTGCCCTACATGGCCTCAGCTCAAGCCTTATTGTGCGCGTTATCAGTGATGGTCAAGGGTGGCTGTCGCAGATGAGCGCTGTTCGACCGGGAATTTGGTGTCGCTTGTCATTACTCGTATCGCATGCGCTCACTCTTCCTTGCTGATACGTCAGTCGGCGGCGCATTAGACATCACAGTGCCGCACCGTTGCACATGGCAGATGTCAATTGACATGGGTAGCTCCGGGACATTTGAAACAAGCCCTGGGAGCTTATCCGTCAAAACGTTCAAACGAACGGGGTCTGTTCACAAGAAACAAGTTTATTTACCATCTGTATATTCCTTTCAATGGGATGAAACGACGAAACACAGCACCAATCGTAGTAGGTGTCGTTAGACTTGCAATTCTGGATTGACCCGGTAACCAGCAGCCCATTTTGAATGGATATGATCAGGATTCAGACGACCAATTCACTTAGACCATGTACTTCCTGATTCTAATCATGTAGCGGATCATCCCGTGTGTTCCCACTGGAAAGAAACATATGAGGCCTGAACGCGTTGGATATGCTACCCAACCTGCCCATCTGTCATATCCCGAAGCTATGCATGAAGCGAAAACTGTGTTCCAGCCCAGTCAGCTTGGTGTGCTACCTCTTATTAAGGCGACAAGTCTGCCTGATACGGTATTCCGAAGTCCGCCTACTAGTAGCGCTAAAAACCTTCTAGAGAGCCAAAAGAAAAATCGCCGTGCATAAGCTCGCCTTCGGGCGCACCGAATACCAGGCTTATGCAAGTATCGTTGAGAAATCTCGGCATTCACGAGCGTCAATGAGGCGGCCCTTCATCTGCTTCAGCCTTACATCATGTCGACCACCGTTTTTAGAGGAGTGGTTGACAGGTGCATGGTTTGGATGGCGGTCCCAGTGCCTAGGTAGCTTCGCGGCTTTCGCTGTCTCAGAAGAGCGCGCGCGCGCGCGTGTGTATGTGTGTGTATGTTTGGCGTGCCCAAAGGGTCGGTTGACTATGTCCGGCAACTCTAACTCCTTCCATTGAGACCGAACGACTGTTGTTTTCCTTTAGTTCACATTGTCGTACCATTCTCAATTGGTCTACAAAAGTTCCCCAGGTACAATCTCTCCCCCACTGATCACCACCGGATCAGGTGTTCCAGCCAAGACGGCATAGTGAATCGATGGCTGTTATCGATTATGGCCAAGGCTCTTGACTGTTGATCCTGATATTGATTTTGGCTCTTATTTCTTCGGGGCGCCGTTTACCCCCCCCCCCCCCCCCCCCCCCCCGCCCTTCTTCGTGCCAAACCATGTTTTCCCCATTATCCAAAGTTTGTCGAGGTCTCTTGCTACGCGTGTGGGCGAGAATGGGTCTCATTTGGAAACTCCAGTGTCTCAAGTTAGTGCTACACACTCACGGCCCGTCTCTGCTTGGCAACCTACTTTCACCGCATAATACTATATAAGTACGACAGCCCACAGTCTGGGCAAAGGACGATCTATTTGCTTGGCCGGCATTTCACCTCCTCCGGAGTTCGTGAAAACGAGTTTGTTGTCCTCCGGACTACCCAGTGGCGCAGAGTGTTGCGGCATGATCCTGCCATGGAGGATATTCTTGGCCTCACGTTCGTGAGATCACAAATCAGGACAACCAGGTACAGCAGCTGAGACATTTCCCATGACCACGTCTATTTCTTATCACTGAGCTGCGCCGTCTGTGATGCTATCAAGTGACGATCCATGACAAGTATCTAGCCAAAAGTGTCAACTCCAGTCTATGGCGACAGAATACGGAATCCCGCTGAGGAGGGAACGATTCATTTCTAACTGCACTGGTCTTTTGCATGAGACCCATTCCGCCATGCAAAATGATATACATCATAAACGAATCATTCCGCGGTCTGCCTCTGATGTTGCGATACCTGCTCGGTACTGCCACACCATGACAGATCCGAACCCTGGTTCACTTATGGCAGCTTGGCTGTGATCTCGTACGACCTAGAGAGTTGCCAGCATCATCCCCATCTGTGTATGGGAGCAACAAAGATCTTGTGGAAGCATGAAGGCATCCGACGTGCTTGGCTATGCAACGGCCCGTGAGACCCGGCCCTCCGCCGGGTTCGGCGACGTCAGATCATGCAGGTGAACAACGGCAGCGCCGGCTTGGTGGTTTCAGGCTCTGGAGTACAGCATGTCTGGTCATGTGCTGAGGTGAGAGAAACGAGCTATACATCAGTGCCGGTTGCCTCTCGGCCATGATCCGTATTGTGGTGTAAGGTTGTATACTGGCAATTACAAGAATAAAAATGGAAGACAGCTGAAAAACTGTGGTATCAGGCCTTGAAAACAACAGTGGGGCAAGTACCGCACATTCTCCTATTACGGAAAAGCCGTACAAGCAACGCACAAGATTTTGATACAGTCACGAATCCAGCTGTTTAACAGCCTGGATTTACAAACAACGGCAAAGATGGCGCGCCAGCTCCGTGAAGAGGAACAGTACCGCGTGCGTACGCTCTGGTTTGATGCCCGGATGACCTACGAGCAGATTGTTAAAGCTACAGGCTATAGCGAGATGCAAATCCGAACAGCACTGGCTAAAGAGATACTTGACCCACTGTTGCTTTTTACCGCTGATGACTAGAAAGAGAAAGCATACACGATGTGGAATGAGGCGGTGCCTTGTTTGAGCCGTAAAAATAGGGTTTTTTTGGGGGGGGGGGGGGGGAGGGGTGGGTTTGCAACAGATCGCAACAGCCTTACACTGGTGTATATCATTCACGGGGTACAAGTGCCTGTTTGTTTGATTGCCTGATGCTAGCTGGTCTGAAGCCATCTCAATAGATATATCCATGATAAAAGGCAATATGTAGTAGTCTACCTTGCAAACAAGTGAAGCGAGCAGTTCAAACATCCTCAACTTGTCTGGCGCATAATGTTCCGGATTGTTCCATATCAAAGTACTCGCACCATGGTCATCTTATGGCCACGATTAAATGGTTTACCTACCGTTCGATGATAAACCCCCCGTTGATGTGGACATACCTGGATGTTGTTCTATCTCACAACCACTCATTGCAAGAAACGTACTGTGTAATCAGCAAACACATCCTGTGCCAACGAGAATATACCATGATAACCACTATTTGAATAACGGTGATGCCACTGTTGTTGACAGTGTCACAAAACCCGACTACCATGACAAGTCTCACACATCAAGCAGCATTCCATAGTCATTAGCATCGCACAGTATATGTAGAGATGAAGCTATATCGTGGTATGCTATTCTTTCAGCAAAGAGCGCCTACAGTAAATTGCTCTCGCGTTATTATTTGCCATGCTTCGCAAGAGGCAAGTCCAGACGGCCTCCCCGTCGCAAGTGTTTATGGTCCTGCTGTTCTCTTCTACAGCTCGTCACGACCCTTTCTTTGTAAGTCTTAGCCTTCCTGCCACATACACATACCAGACTGCCAATTCAGGACAGCTGAGCCATTGGGAGAGTAGGGGCACGAATGTGAAGCTCTGGCAGCTGTTGATGGGCTTCTGCTAGACATCTTTTGGAGCTTTCGCGACCGAGCAACCGATCTCCACCTTCTGCGTTCGTATCATCTCTCGTCGCCGACCTTATTGTCGTTGTCCGTCTTTCAACATGAACATGGACTCCCCTGCTGAGTACATCACGAAATTTTCAACAACCAAGGGACACAGCGGCAAGAGTGCCCTCATGCTGTGAGACATAATCAGTTATTCGTAATATCATTTTTTCGAGTCGAAGAAGATTGGTTCGAGGGTTTCGACGGTTCCAATATTCAAATTTAAAATCTAATATCGTTGCTTTGGTGAACAGTCAATATCATATCTCAGTACCTGTTCGAATCAGGCCTGCGTAGCTTTTAATTTCCATTTTTCAGGTGTTTCAATCACTCTGCCTTTCTCTTTTTACTCTAGTGTACCCTGTTCGCTAAGGCGAAAGGGCTTCTTTCTCCACAGGGCGGCGATGGCTAGGAACTGTGCAGCAGAGAATCCCAGAGTGGCGCGCATCTGCAGGTTGTAGGCTTCGCCGCAGACACCGCGGATAAACGTTTGGAGGTCCTGAGGATACTGGGCTAAGCTCCCGATGGACGATAGTAGCTCGTCAATCTCCGCGGTCGACATGGCCGAGGCAAGGTGCGATCGCACGTAGTTGACCCACACGCTGTTTACCACGGCGATGCCGACAGCGCCGCCTAGCATCCGGGCCTGGAGAGCCAGGCCAACAGCCAGAGCTTTCCCCGTGCATCACGATTTAGTGTTTTTCTCGACCAAGTGCCTTTCTGGATTGTTGGGAGTCACTCACGTTGGTCTTCTTTCTCGCAAGAGATAGGCGTTAGGACGTAAAACGTCCCAGCTGTCACACCGGCACCCATACCCGCCAGCACACAAAACCCATACATTCCATTCCACAGATTGACCGTCGTCGGGACCGTGGATATGAGGGTGAACCCAGTGATCTGCAGGCAGGCCCCGAAGGTGAGCGTGTAGACAAAAGGTATGCGCAGACGCCCTGTCAGGACCGAAGCGACAACGATGCCCACGGGTGTGGCGACGGCAAAGGCCAAGAGGCGGACGCCAGCATCTAAGGGCGAGCTCTCGTTGACCAGCTGGAACCGCTGTGGGAGCTCGATGGCCGCTATTGTCATGGGCGCTCCGCCCACGATGCAGCCACTGATATTTGCGTTTCTTAGCTAGACTGTTTACTTGGTAGGAGGGGGGTATCGGAAAGGGACAACCCACAAGATGGCCGACATCAAGCACCTGTTGATCAGAAAGCGATGTGGAATTGTAGGTTCAACCGTGACTTTCTCTCGGGCGGCATACCAGTTCCACAGCAAAAACATAATCCACAGGAACCCCGACACAGCTAGGAATGAACTTATAATCGCCGAGTTCCACGGAAACCGCACGTTTCCTTCCTCGAGTGCGGCAACGAGAAAGATGACGGCAGCTAGAAGCAGTGAAGCTCCTAGAAGGTCAGCCTTCTCGAAGAATGATCTGGTTGAACGCCAACTCCGTTCGTGCTTTTCGAGTGGTGGTTCACAGTGAGCAGGGAACCGAGCGGGCAGGACGAAGGCAAGCAGCATCGCAGCCACGCCACCAGCCGGAAGACTTGGATGGTTGAGTCAGCCATAATTGACCCTACGACTGCAGCAAGAGAGGGGAGACGCACTTTAGATAGAATATCCAACGCCATGCGTCATGTTGGCTTATGCTGCCGCCGATGATTGGACTGATGATGAGTGCGATGGCCATTGTGCTCGAGGAGACAGCGTTGATTATGTTGTACTGCGTCGGAGGCACAAGCTGGAAAAATGCGATACTGGGCAGAGAATATGCTCCGGCGCCTGTGATTCCTTGGAATGCACGCATAATGATACTGATCGCGATGCGTTAGAGCGTTTGAAACCCGAATCAAGACTAGGGTCAGCTTCTTACAGCTGTTCTACGGATTTTGCAGCGCCACAGCCAGCTGAGAACGCCATGAACAGCAGCACAGAGGCAATGAGGGCAGGCTTGAGCCCGAAAAAGGTGCTAATTTTTGACCATAATAGTATGAAGCCTTGACGATAATAAGCTGGCGAGCTTGATTGGCAAAAGGAGCGGAGATGTGCCTACCAGTGAAGGCTGATAGATAGGCTGTGATGATCCAGCTGCTCTGATCAAAGCCATTGAGATCTTCCGAGACAGTGATCAAAGATGTGCTTACGATGCTTATCTCGGCGGCAGGGAGGAACACGGTCAGGCCCAGCCTGTGTTTGAGGGTCTCAGTAACTCGAATGCTTCTGTACAAAATGAGACTTACCCCAGTACGGCCAAAGCCAGACGAATGCCAGTCAGATACCGATCTGAGTTCGCCGGCTCGTCAACGTTCGACGGGATGGCAATAGAGTCAATCCCATATTGCTTACTGTCGTCCTCAGACATGCTGGTTGACGAGATGCTTTGCTGGCTTGGGGGTTAGACTTGACGACGCCGAACAACACGCAAGATGGTAGAAACTGAGTATTTCCGCTTCAACTACCCTTTCGCGTTGACCTTGGGCTTCGTTCCGCCAGAGCCTCGGTCTGATCTGAGGTCCAATACGCAATGCCATCCTTCCATGCCCAGGTAGTATTGATCTGCATGCATTACTTACATCGAAGATGTGGTAAATTAGACGTTGGACTGACGGGCACAGGTTCTGCACCGTGGCTAGCCTTTTACCCATGATCTGTGCATATGTTGTGTAACCCCACGTGGAGATTGTAGCCCGTTCCGGTCCATGTTGATTAAAGAGCGCATGCAGGCTGCAATCCTTCGAACACCAACGCTGATCCTGGGCTTGAAAATACACCATCGACCGAAACCCTTCAGTAATCGAGGTAATATCTCCGGTTTTGCGCAGGGCAGGCTCCTGGGTTCAGCCACTGATTCATGCCGCGTCCCTGCTTCTTGATGTTTTGCTGTGAAGTGCCGCATAAGATGTAGCGTCAAGTACGCCGTCAAGCATGACACCCCTCCTCGGGTACCTCTCTGTTGTCGGTCCGCGCCTCATCGGCGTGATCGCTCCAGGTCATGGAGCTGTATGCTGATGATGTTGCCGAGGTTGCAGCATCCGTATGGACTGATGCGTGCGTACGTGGTCAATCCTTCTGGGGTCGAGGTCACTAATGCAGATTTTAGTGTTACTGCCCCTGGCTATATCGTCGCAGCTAATACCCGTCCCCTGTAATCAATCAGACAGACTTCTGATCATTGAGCAGTTTTTTTCAGGAGATGAAGAATTTGGGCTTCGCTGATATCTGTACAAGGCCAATAGACCATGAGAGGCTCGAGGCGTCTTGTATGCAAGCAATGCACATCCCAAGTGAGGTTCTATCGGCCGAAAAGGGTCCCAACGGCACAGCATCCAATCGTCAAGTTAGCAGTGCTCTAACCTCAGTCTCTGACATGACAGTATTTGCGGCGCTACATGAATGTTTACCACTGCCCCGGGCCACCCGCGGGATTAACTTACCACTAAATATGGGTAAGCATGGATACATAGTGCTGTAGCTATCCCGGCCCTGCAGAGTGCCCCACATTCCACGATTTCCTGTTCGCCTGATCTCTAACTGTCTTTATTCTTGATATTGTATCTCTATTTTTCACTCTAACCATAGATTGGAAGAGTCTTGGGGTAAACCTCTCGATGCTCAATGCTCGATATGGCATAAGAATGGGAGTTTGTATTGTCTTGATTTCCAAGTTTCTTGTAGCTCCAGATCATAATTTACGTGCGCTGAACTTTTTAATACTAGACTGCACAGGATCTGCTCAGCAGTCTTCTCAACGACTGCAAATGTCTAGCTCGACCTGCTAAGAAATTTGCCCAGAATGATAGGTGCCGGTGAGTTATCTCACCCGATGGACTCACATATGTTGCACTACTAGAAGTCGCTTTTTGTAAGTCCAGATCTGGGCTTTCATGGACAATACCATGCTAGTCCGTGAGATAGCTTGGAGCCGGTCGTCTACTCTGGATGCCTTGATATGCTTCGATCATGAAGTTAGAATAATGATACCGATGTAGGATACACCATGCCTTTTTCGTCGGGCTCATGATACATTCCCAACTACTTGGATTTGTCACAAGTCAACCACTTAGTAATGTGTCTGATAGTCACATTTCGGAGACAAGGCATTAGATCATTAGACTTTCACCCTTCCACTTGCCACGAGTCGAAGTCAGTCTTCTGAGGCCGCGTGGACATCATCAAGTACTTGGATAAACAACCGCGTAGAGTGTTGCTAACCTGGATGGCGGATTCCTTATCTGTAAGCTGGCTTTACATAGCGGTCTTGTAGATCTATATGTTCGGTTCCTTGGGATAGTGGCTCCCTCGCTAAAGGACTGAATAGACGATAGTTGGCGCCTCATAGTTGTTGCGTTCACTTTTGATGACAATAACAAAAGCTTAAGTTCCGTCTCCGCGAGCCTCGAGGCAGTGCTGCAACCAGATGTACCTCCTAAGATTAGTTAGAATATAATGCCAGTAGGCATTGCAGCTATTCCTTACTCCAGTGACAACCATATCTATTTCGTAGACCCCTTAGAAAGCGACTTACAGATGGCCATGGTAGACCAGTGGTACAATTATTGCAGCAGGAGAGAAGTTTGAAGCCATATCAGGATCAATTTAGAAGTCTTGCATAGTTCAAGGTGAGTATGTGCCCTTGTGGTGCATGTGATAACCAACATGAACTCGTGGCGTAATTCTATGCTGCAAGAGCCGGGCACAGAAAGCGGAGGGACAGGATACAGAAAGGTTGTCAACAGGAAATACCAGCATGTCTCTATGTAATATTTTTGAACACGTGCAAATCTCAGGGGCTTGAGGGGCTTGCAGGTTGCAGGGGAGCACCCCTGGCGACCAATACAGGGGCTGATGTGCACATGTGCTGGTACGATCGTATGGCAATATGAGCCAGGCATCTGAGCTGGCATGCATTCACAAAGACGGTGAAGGCTAAAAGGGTGCAGTTAAAACTTACTGCTGGCTTCCTCTTACGAGAACCAGGAATTTGCAACAGAAAATCCATGGCCCATTACTTACACGAGCCTTGGGAACGTCTTTGTTGCAGTACGAACCGCTTTACATGTCGCCTTCATGCTGGTTGCTGCTTTGGGCCAGTAATATGTCATACTGGCGCAGCTAAGCCGTAATTAATACATACATGGAGACATGCCAATAAGCTACCTAGTCACCGATCCACGGTACCGTCACGGCAATACTACCGCACGGTAGCAGGCCTTCAAGACCACACCGCGTGAGTTTTGAAACACGACTGCATCGACACCGAGCTGGACAGCATCGAAAAATACCCCTGCTCTCGGCCCGGCGCTTGCACCGAGTTTCCTACCGTACAAGGTCCCACTCTTCATGTATGGAATGGTGCATCTGAAATGGAGAAAAGCAATCTCGCAATGTAGCTGCATGGCTACATACCAAGCACGAGGATGAGGTGGGGACACAAACGGCCTAAGCAGCGGGCGATCCGGGGAGTTCTAACGGATGCGCTCCCCGATTGGCCGAATGCCTGGTCCTGAGGATTATCTCTCACCGTATTCACAAAATCTCCCCGCTTCATATAGTGTGTATATCATGAGATCCTGCATACCAACATTTGGCGAATAGGAACTTGCTTTCCCCTCCGGCGAATCGACAAGACCATGGACATCATGATTCCACCCTGGACTTAGTGGGGGCCATCTGATTTTGAAAAGTTTGTTGGCACAGGGTTGAGGACGCTGGAGGGAATAATATGTGCAGAAGTACTGCACGTGGTAGCTGAACACTTAGATAATTCAAGGGGAGCGGATTGCGGCCGTTAAGATAGCATTGCTGTGAGAGCTTGATTGGTTGCAAAAAATAGCAATAAAGAATATAGCTGTTTCTATGGGGGTTTGACGACGTATTTTTCGTGCAGGTATGGCTACCGTGCAGGTACATAGTATAGACTGGATGCATCGTTAGTGTCAAACGGTGGAGCGACTTTTGCCGAGAAGGCAACCTGGCCGAACGGACACTTTGTGTACATAGTACTGTAGTAGGATGCATCGTTATTTATTGGCACTAGACCAGACTATACCCGCTCAGCGATTGATAACGGAGATGAAGGATCATCCGTCGTCGCATATAACCTCGCTCAAGCGACACAGTCCTTGTCTGCGCATATGATGTATTTGGCGTATGTCGCTCTTGCTTAATATCGCGACCGCAGTATCGAGTCTCCGGTTCGAGATCTGTTTACATCCCTTCAACAAAAACCCCGCAATCCGTCCTGAACTTGGCTAGGACCAGTGAAGGCATGACACCGGACATGGAGCCCATAGCTATTGTTGGCCTCTCTTTCAAGTTGCCGGGGGATGTCACCGACGAGGGTGCACTCTGGCAAATGCTCGTGGACCGACGAAATGCCATGACTGAATGGCCTGCAAATCGGATCGCAATCGATGCTTTCTTTGACAAAACATCTGAGGCTCGAAACAGGGTGAAATTTTGATCAATGATTCCTTTGAACTGAACTTGACCGTTGATACTCAATAGTTGCAATCTCGTGGAGGTCATTTCGTGAGCGATGATCCAGCTAGCTTCGATGCTCCATTCTTTTCCATAACAGCAAAAGATGCAGCTTCGATGGACCCCCAACAAAGATGGGCCCTGGAGTGCTCCTTCCACGCATTTGAGAACGGTGCGTGTTTTAGACTGAGGCCCTCAATGTGAGCTAACATCACCATGACAGCCGGCATGCCTGTCGAAAGCCTCAAAGGTTCTCGGATGGCCGTGTTTGGCTCGAGCATGTCCGACGACTACTCTCGAATGCTCTCAAGAGATCCTGATACTTTTCCTCGTACCGCTATAACTGGTATTCAATCTGCTATGTTGTCGAACAGGGTCAGTTGGTATTATGGCTTGACAGGGCCGAGTATGACTGTCGACACAGCGTGTTCAAGCGCCATGGTTTCCCTTGACCTAGCTTGCCAATCTCTACGAAGCCGCGAAGCAACTTCGGTAAGCTCTCCTGTACCTGTAGAAATAGTTGGGTTAGCATTTTTGAGTGATAATGCCATCATATCGAGATCCATGCAATAGCTAACGCGCGTTTGAGGCCTTGGTATTTGGGTCTAATTGGATGCTTGCCCCTGATAATTCTTTGATGTTGGCGAACATGGGTTTCACATCTCCAGACAGTGTTTGCTGGAGTTTCGATTCACGCGCCAATGGCTATGGCAGGGGCGAAGGCGTCATTGCTCTTGTGCTGAAACCTCTGTCCGCAGCGATTGAAGATGGTGACATGATCAGAGCTGTGATCAGATCAAGCGGGAGTAACCAAGATGGACACACACCAGGTCTGACGCAACCAAGTCTCGATGCTCAAGAAAGCTTGATCAGACATGTCTACGAAAAAGCGAATCTAGACTATGACTCGACACGTTATGTCGAGGCTCATGGTGGGAGGCCAATATTTCTTAGCCGTTTCAATGATAAAATACTGACATTCATAGGCACTGGAACACCGGTCGGCGATCCGATCGAAATGGAAGCTATTGGAAAAGTGTTCCGAAAATTTCGCTCTACAGAAGAGCCACTCTACGTGTATGGTGAACGGCTTTGACTTCCCCTAATCTGCGACGCTGTGCTTGTATATCCACGACGATTAATGCAAGAGGTTTTCATTGGCTTTGAAGATATACTGACGCTGTTAGTGGCTCTATCAAATCAAACATTGGTCATTTGGAAGCAGGGAGTGGTCTTGCTGGGATCCTCAAGGCAATTATGATCCTTGAAAAGGGCGTCATCCCACCCAATGCCCTGTTCGAAAATATCAATCCGAAAATCGACACAGCCTTTTTGCGTACCCAGGTAAGCAACAATGACGGTTCACAAGCAGCAAATCTGCTAACAATGGCCTTAGGTGCCAACAGGAAGTATTTCTTGGCCAGCTTGTGGACTCCGTAGAGTATCAGTCAATTCGTTTGGATTTGGCGGAACAAATGCCCACGTGGTACTCGACAGCGCTTCACATTATCTTAGAAGTCAGGGGTTAGTAGGCCATCATAGGTGTACCACTCTGTCGACAGATCTTGGGGTACCTCATGTCCTTGAGGACTCATCCCAAGCTCCAGTCACTACATACGATGACAGTGTCTTTAAGACCAACCCGGTTGTTGATGACTACCGTGAAAACCTCGCGCATGATCAATTAAATGGAATTACGAACGGCAGCACTCATATTCTGAGAAACGGCACGACAAATGGCGGCGTGACTGACTTTTCGGACGAGATTACTGTTAATGGAAAACTACCGGACTATCCCCGGCTACTGGTTTGGACAGCTTCAAGCGAGAAAACGCTGGTCCGATTGACGAGCGACTATGATGCTTATTACCGTGCCAAAATTCATGCCGATGAGGAGAAGCTTGAACAGCTGGCTCACACTTTAGCTTCTCGAAGAAGTTGTATGAAATGGAGATCGTTTGCCGTGGTTCATGCCGGGAGCGGTGCTCAAGCTGATATAGGGCTGTCTGTGGAGAAACCTCTCCAGACGTCGACTCAGCCACGCACTTCTGTCTTTGTCTTCACCGGACAGGGGGCACAGTATGCAGGCATGGGTCTGGAGTTATTGGTGTACAGAACATTCCGGGACCACCTGCAGAAGGCTGAGGATATTTTTGCAAGCTTGGGTTGTACATGGTCGATACTTGGTGCGTTCCTCAACCTCTTTTAGTATTCCTTGATATCCGCTAACCCGCATGAAATTACAGATAAAATTAAGGATCCAGATGCCATGAATAATCCTGAATACAGTCAACCTTTATGTACGGCAATTCAGATCGCTCTTGTAGAGCTGCTGAGAAGCTTTAACATCACTCCTAAAGCGGTTGTGGGCCACTCTTCTGGTGAGATTGCAGCTGCGTAAGGAGAATCAAATGACCCCAGATTGCCTTCTGCTGTATATACTGACGGTTTCACAGATACACCGCTGGTGCCCTATCCATACAGTCAGCTTGTAAAGTAGCCTATTTAAGAGGCTTGGTTACTGCTCAAGCTCAAGTGATACACCAATCCTCACCAGGCGCCATGTTATCCGTGAACATAACTGAAGATGAGCTTCCTACATACCTGAGAAACTCGAATTCTGAGGACTTAGGCGACAAGATCTCCATAGCCTGTGTAAACAGCCCGTCGAATTGCACTCTGGCAGCGACCGAGGCGGTGATTGACAGGCTAAAGATGCAACTCGAGGACGACCAAATATTTGCGCAGAAGCTAAACACAGGGGTTGCCTACCATTCACCTATGATGGAGGAAGTTGCATCGCAATATCTTAATCTATTAGGAACTCTCGACTCGCCAGATACTACTAAAGGTGGTATACTAATGATATCATCAGTCACAGGATGCGACGTGACTCCTAAGGTTTTGACAACGGCAGAGTACTGGGTTGCTAATTTGACGTCCCAGGTCAAATTCTCACCGGCAGTGACCGCACTTATTCAAACCGTTCTGAACTCTGGCCAGAAAAGTGAGCCTCACATTGATTTGATCGAGATCGGTCCACACGCGGCACTGAGACGACCGATCCGTGACATAACAAGCCAAGACTCCCTCCGCGAAAAAGTCTTTTGGTATGGATCAGTTTTGGATCGCTCAACGCCATCTCACAAAGCAGCCTTGGTCCTTCTGGGACGTTTGTTCTGTCGTGGCTACCCAGTTTCCCTTGCAGAAGTTAACATGTCAGAAGTACAGGTTTCGGAGAGAAAGGCTAGGTTGCTCACTGACTGCCCGAAATATCCGTTCGATCATTCACACACGTTTTGGAGTGAGTCCAGGTTCAGCCGCGACTTCAGAAATCAGCGTGACACTTTCAGCTACGTATTAGGGTACAGATCGCACGACTGGAATCCTTTGGAGCCGACGTGGAGAAACTATCTCAGCACGGAGTCAATGTCCTGGCTTGGAGATCATGTCGTAAGTCTACAGTGCACTTCATAGAATTTGTTCTTCCTCCATCTGACTGCTGTCAGGTTTCGGGCAAGACAATCTTTCCAGGTTCAGGGATGTTGGTTATGGCAATGGAGGCAGCAAGAGAAACAAGCTCTCCAGGTCGCTCAATCCGTGGGTTCTATTTCAAAGAGGCTCAATTCCTCAATTCCATTCCAATCGGCGCAACAGTCGAGGAGGCCACTGAAACAGTCACTCGTTTGAGGCCGGTCAAGCAGATGTACGAAAAGGAGGCGTCGTGGGTAGAAATCAGCATTTTCGCGGTTCATGATGGCCGTTGGGACGAATGCTTCACAGCTAAAATCCAAGTCCAATACCATGAGTCAGCGACTCAAGTGGACGGCGGCAAAGAGCGGCGCTTAGGAGACCAGTGGGTGGTTGACAGTTATAAACGTATAACCGGGTCCTGCAAATCTGTAATCAAGCCCCAAGTTTTCTACGACTTTTGTCAGGATTTGGGGATCACGTATGGAGAGTCGTTTCAACTCCTGAACTCCATCACATATACGGCCGACGAAGCGGCCGCTGCCAAAATCACCGTGGCAAAGTCTCCCCACCAAGGTCCTGGTCTTGTCCATCCAGCCATCCTGGACGCTTCCCATCATCTCTTGATGGCTCAGATGTCGAAACGCCGGATAGAAACGATACCGACATTAGTGCCGCGTCAGTTCAACAACACTTGGATTTCAGCGGCCGGATGGGGCCCCTCGGAAACGAGTCAGATCCGACTTGTATCGATTTCGAAGTGCGGTAAAGGGAAAATGCCGACTGAGAGCATTTTATATGGACTTGGTGACGACGACTCCATCCTTTGCAAGATGGAACACATGATTATGGCTCCAGTTTCAAGAAACAAGATGGCTTCTCCCCGGTCTAGTGGTTTGCTACATTCCATCGAATGGAAACCACAGTTGAGTTTGCTAGAGCCTCAACAATTGCAGGAAATATGCAACGCCAGGTCTATTGTGTCTGCGGAAAGCCAGGCAGACATGATCAACAAATACGTCAATCTGGACAAGGCGATGACCACAGCGATGTACCATGCACTGAGCAGAGTGACGGATGCAGACCTCCAGCATGCGCCCGCACATATCCGCCAATATGCAGCGATGGTGGGAAGCCATCTCCGGGGTGATTTCCTACCTCCGAATGGAGACACGAAAATAGAAGTGTATCTGGAAGACATGTTACAAACATCCGAGAAAGAGTTGCCCGAGATGGAAATGACCTCCATTGTGGCTCGCAATCTCGACGGTATCCTCCGAGGGCACGTGAATCCACTTGAGCTGATCTTCTCTACCGATTGCGCGGAGAGGCTATATAGGGACTTGTTTCGCTTAGTACTTGATGAAAGGTTCTGCAAGTTCCTAGAATTGGCCACTCACGAGACGCCCGAGCTCAGGATTCTCGAGGTTGGAGCCGGAACAGGTGGTGTAACTGAGCATGTGCTGTCCGCGATACGTGACTTTGAGACGCAGACTGGCGCTAGTCTTTTCGCAGAGTACGTATATACCGACATCTCCGCTGGATTCTTTGACAATGCTAGGGCCAAGTTCCAAGATTTCGAGGAACGAATGGTCTTTAAGACTTTCGACTTGCAACGCGATGCTTCTAAACAAGGGTTCAAGCACAGCAGCTTTGACATTGTGATTGCCGGCAGCGTTCTCCACGCCACAGCGGACTTAAAGTCTACTCTGCGGGGTATACGGTCCCTGCTGAAATCAGGCGGGCGATTAGTCAACCTGGAGATGGTCATGCCGGACAGTGCTTGCTCAAATGTAACATTTGGTGTGCTGCCTGGCTGGTGGCTCAGCACGGAGGAGTGGCGAGCAACAGGCCCGCTTATAACGGAGGAAAAATGGGATGAGATCACAAAGGAAACGGGATTTTCAGGCAACGATATGATCATTAGAGATTTTGACAGTGCTGTATGGCACCTCGCTAGTCTCATTGTTACGACCGCGGTGGATCCGTCCGGGCAGCCATCCCAGTTGCCTCAGCTTAATCTCGTGATTGATCCACTGTCAGATGACCAGCTCGTTCTGGCTACTGAGCTCCGTATACACACTAATACCAAGACACTCTGTCTAAGAGAATTAGGGGAGGCCGGTTTAAGTAGAGACGACATTATTGTCTGTCTTCTAGAACTTGACAAGCCGTTTCTCGCCACCATATCTGAGCAGGATTTCGGAACACTTCAGAGCCTGCTACGACAGACGCAAAAGTTACTTTGGATTACCTCATCGGCTATCACCGATGAATCGTATGCATTCGATGGCCTTAGCACGGGCTTTCTGAGAAGTATCAGGTCGGAAGAGGGTGAAAAGTATATCGCAACACTCAACATTGAGTCAACCTCCCAGATTGCGCCGGAAGCGTGTTCGGGCTATATTCGAAAAGTACTAGATTCTGTGTTCGTAAAACTTTCTAAAGAACGGGATTTCGTCGTGCGAGATGGCTTCCTGTCAGCAGGAAGGGCGGTCGAAGAGGTTGCCTTGAATGAAAGGCATATTTCGCTTCTAGAGCCCAAATGGGAACGTCAATCGTGGCTTCCTGGGCCCCCTCTAGCGCTTGAAGTCGGCACGCCTGGAGCACTCGACAGTCTTCAGCTAGTGGAAGATCGCTCGTACCAGAACCCACTTCGCCCGGATGAGATTGAAATCGAGGCGAAGGCGTGGGCTATCAGCTTTAGAGACACTTTCATTGCTCTTGGGCGATTGCCAGCCGGCGAGGAACTGGGCTTTGAGTGCACTGGCATCGTGACCAGAGTGGGTGATCAGGGCTCGCCCGACTTTCAGCCGGGGGATAGAGTATGTCTAGCAGCGTTTGGTAGTATGCGGACATATCCTCGTGGGAAGATAGATTTCGTCTTCAAAATACCTGACGGAATCTCATTCGAATCTGCCGTTTCTACTATCAACCCGGGCGCGACAGCTTACCATACCTTAATCAATCTGGCTCGACTGCAGAAAGGCGAAAGGATTCTTATCCATTCAGCGGCTGGCAGCACAGGACAGATGGCGCTTTATATTGCCAAAATGATAGGCGCTGAGATCTTTGCTACGGTTGGCTTTGACGACAAGAAGGAGCTTCTGATAAATGAGTTTGACATACCCGCAGACCATATATTCTATAGCCGGAACACGTCATTCGCACAAGGTATCTTGCGCCTCACTGATGGTCGTGGTGTTGACGTGGTTCTGAATTCATTGTCCGGAGACGGGCTGCGCGCCTCGTGGGAATGCGTAGCCCCATATGGTCGTTTTGTCGAAATCGGCAAATCTGACATCATGAGCAATTCTTCTTTACCGATGGCCGGGTTTGCCAAGAACGTCAGCTTTTTTGCGATGGACTTGTATCACATCGCAATAACAAAGCCTGAGCTGGGGCGGTCCCTCATACTGTCTTTGATGGAACTTCTTGCCGAAAAGCGTATTGATTACCCCAAGCCGCTGCATATATATCCAGTTTCACGTATAGAAGAATCCTTCAGACTGATCCAAAGCGGCAAGAATACAGGAAGAGTAGTGATTACCATAGATCAAGCCGAGGTGGTATCAGTAAGTATCTCACCCACCAAACCAAATTTTATGGTACTGACAGGATTTGAAGAAGTTGATACGACATCAAGATAGATGTGAATTTAACCACGAGGCAACATACTTGGTCGTCGGCGGACTTGGAGGTCTTGGTCGAGCAATCGTTCGATGGATGGCAAGACAGGGCGCGAAGAATATGATCTTACCATCACGAACTGGACCTGTATCCCAAGCGGCAATTCAAGTCGTTCTAGATCTGAAAGCACGGGGTATAAATGTTGTCACACCAATCTGCGACGCGTCGTCATTTTCTTCACTTTCAGCAGTCCTAGAAGATTGCGCCAAGTCGATGCCTCCTGTTAAGGGCTGCATAAACGGCTCTATGGTTCTTCAGGTGAGTAAGGTTGGTGAATAGGCAAATGAGCCCCTAGCGCTGACAAGGACGTCTTCAAAATTAGGATGCCGTATTCCAGAACATGACGCATGCGCAATGGGAACTAACCATCAAGTCGAAAGTGCAGGTGTCGTGGAATCTGCACCGGCTCCTCCCAAATATGGACTTCTTCATCCTTCTCGCCTCGCTTTCTGGTGTATACGGTAGCGTCGCTCAGTCAAATTACGCAGCAGGGTGTACCTTCCAGGATGCCCTGGCGCGATTTCGAGTCGCTCGTGGGGAAAATACCGTTGCACTGGATCTCGGTTGGATGAGAAGTATCGGAATCGTTGCGGAGACGGAAAAATTCCAAGAGTATCGACAGGGTGTCCGGAACATGATACCACTCGAGGAAGAGGAACTACTCGCGCTGTTGGAGCTTTGTTGTGATTCGTCTACCCGGCGTTCGCCGATGAGGAGCCAAGTCATGATGGGGGCAAAAACTCCAGCGTATTATGCTGCTCGGGGCGAGACCCCCGACTCAACGGTGTTTTCACCGCTGTTCTCGACTTTCGCGCGTGTGAGTGACAAGATGCTTCAGGGGGGGTTGCCCACCAAGGCCAGTGATCCGGCGGTACTCTTCCGACACGCATCAGATTTGCAGGAGCGGGCAGAGATTTTCACGAACGCACTGATTGCGAAGCTTGCTCGTTCTTTGTCCATGCCCAGCACGGAAGTGGAAGCGACCAAACAGCTGTCAGACTACGGCGTTGACTCCTTGATGGCAGTGGAACTTCGTAACTGGATCAGCAAAGACTTCAAGGTCCAGATCGCTGTGTTTGATATCATGGGTGGCACAACCCTTGCAGCAATAGGCGACTTGGTCGCTACTAGAACTGAAATATGAGAATTAAGAGTACAAAAGGAGTTGAACTCCAGACAAGGTCTAATGGATGCCTCAGGAATCCACCCGAGGACCCACCTAATATAGCTATTTAGGTAGCCTTCACTAGGAATAGAGGATAGTCTTATTCCTCGTCCGTTTCATAAACACCATCAAAAGACCTAATATTGATCCTATTTGTGTTACATGTTCATCAAGGGTTTATGTGCAATGTTGGCCACGATGCTGGGTCGTCGATCAAACCGCTTGTTAGCTGGTGTCTCTTGACCAGAAAATTGGCAAGAAAGGCAACACAACCCGACCCAATAATGGCCTGTGCTGCCGATGGCACTTCATCGGATCGATACTGACGATGATGACAATGGTGAGGCAATCTGCCACGAGATTTCGAGCATAATGCGGAGAACGGGACAGCGGCATGGTAAAACGGTTGGATCGAAACGCGATGTCAATATTTCATCATTGAGTGCAGGTGTGGAGACCGGAAGCTAGAAAGTAAGTATGTTTCTATCCGGAAAGAGAATCATGTAGATGGATATCAAAGTTTGACTTAAACTTTCAACTCGTGCAATGATATGCGCGTGTTCCATTGTAACTATATACGCGCAGAGGCGTGAAACAAGTGGTTAAAAACAGGGTATCTCAGTCGAATAAACAGTAAACCATGGGTATCATTTCCTCCATTTTAAATTCACCTCCTCTAGCCTGTCATTCTGGTGCGAAAGTGGTCCCTTGAAAATCGAGACAACATCACTTGAAATGTGCTTTACATCAACAATATCGCTAGGAGAAACATGTTAGCTCAATCTCGTTCAGAATGCTCGGCGGGTCATGGAAAGAAATCCTTACCAATCAAACTCCTCTCCAAATCGATCCAAGAAATCCAGATGTCGGCTACCCTGTGCGCTGTCACCAAAGCGCACGAAATGCAGGGTGACTTGGTGTCGGCTGAGTTTTCGACGCTGGACTTCGTCGATGAGATCTTTGACCGGGCGCTCGACTCTGCACGCGCCATTTGGATCGTTGCCCCAATTCCCGTCAGTGAAGATGTAAACGCTGACGCGCTTGCGGGAAATGAGGTTAATGTTAAACCCCATTTTCCGAACGGGAAGTTTCTTGATGATCTGATGCTCAATGAGCTCGGAAAGGCTCTTTTCCATCATTGTGGGATCATGGCGAAACTCGTGTTTCTTGAGTAATTTGACCAGCTTCTTCGTGTCACGGGCGCGATAAACAAATTTCGCACTTGATGCGAATGCGAGCTCAACTCGATTAGGATCTAGGCGCTTGGCGATGGAAGAGAGAGCTTGGAAGCCCTCGAGAACTATGCTACTGTAGGCTTGCATACTGGTGGAGTCGTCGATAAAGAAGAATTGATCTCGATCGCGCAAATTGCTTGTAATCTTGTCGACAAGATCCTTAACGGTGGAATCAAGAACTTTTCCGTCAAAGAAAGTGTTGATTCGTTTCATGCTTTCGATGCTTGTCGGTGTGCTGGCACCGTCGTCGGTAAAAGTGCTTATCAGGGCCGATCTGCGTCGTATCGATATAGTGGTAACTGGGCTGGTTGGCTCATTCGATGCAACATTTGAGAACAAATCTATCAGGACACTGGCTTGCTTGCGCCCTGAAGACTCTGGCTGTAGCATATGACATTCGACAATGTCCAGAATTTGTGGTGTAAGCAGGTCTCGATGCATGTGGCAGTGAGACTTAAGTTCATCATGCATTTGCCTTACAGCCGAGAATTGTTGCAACCCTGCATGAAAGCATCCTTCATAATCAGTCCCGGCAAATTCCTTTAGTTTGGTATGAGCGCTCTTTCGCTTTTCAAAATATTGGTGTTGAAGTGAAGCGCCACCGATGACCCAAGCAGCAGCTGTGCTTAATACTGCGCCAAAGGAGAATATATCGGCGCCTGGAGTGATGAGACTCAAGCCTTTGGCTTTGCGTCGGCGAATGGCACCAACTTCAGGGGCGGCTATTTATAATATCAGCAAATATGGTATGCAGTATGAGGCAGCGCACCTTACCGAAAATCTGGTTGCCGTACTTGTTGTTGCCTTTGGCTTCACTGCTGTTGCTACGTGTCTTCCTTGCATGGCTGAATAAGCCAAAGTCTGCAATTTTTGGCGAGAAATCGTAAGGCGAGCTGGACGCACCCTTGAACAGAAGAATATTCGCCGGTCTAATGTCTTGATGGATGCTGTCTCTGATTAGCTACTTCACAGCGACTCTTTGCTTGTACTTACCCTTGTATGATGCTCTTCATGTTGCTATCAACACTCATCAATTGGTGTATCCTATCGAGCCCCGACAAAGCTTTCAGCAAGCTCGCCCAGAAGAAGCTTATATCCATAGCACTGGATGGCGGGAAGTTTTCGGTGAAGAAATCCGACAGGTCCCCCGCATCGGCATACTCCAGTATGAGAAATCCGTGGCCGTCTTTTCTGAAGGAACCGTAGAAAGTGACCAAATTCTCCGATGGGCTCATGCGAAGCATGTTCAAGGCCTCCATCTCAGTGGAGTAGCGGTTGCCAGATTGTTTGAGATCGTAGTCCTTGAGAGCAAAATATCGCTCCTTGAATGAAGGGACCTAAGACTCGTCAGTATTCATTTTTGACCAAGCGGACATCAATACTTGGGCTAAAACCTACCAAGTCATTGTATGTATCAAGTATCTTGATCTTATGAATAGCAGAACTATTTTCTTGAGTGATAGTCTCCAGATAACTGATGGGGAGGATGCAGTTTGGGTCAATTTGACTATCATTCAGCCGGCTGGCCCTGAAGTGGTACGGGAAGAAGGTCCATTGCGCCTTCTTGACGGCCTCGAAAGCACGGGAGCAATCGTCGTATCGCGGCCAATTGTTGGGATGATCAACTCGGGGCCATTGGGTATCGTCCAGATTGAAGCTCAAGACCAAGCCTAGGAGCTGTCTTGTGGTCCCTGTATAGACTAAGGTGGAGAATATCCGCAGGTAATCCGACTGAATACTTTTGAAATCGAAGGGCAGCGGCTTATCGTATGATCGCAAGATAGCTACAATCTTCCCTGCGCCCCAGTAGTCTTCCAGCTCGTGAAGCGGAATATATTGTAGTGTGTTTTCAAGAAGATCCCGACCTTCGTAGTTCACTCGTGTGTCTCTCACCCAATTATGAAAGTCGTGGCTGGGTTGGTGATTCGTGTCTTCCGCCATCCTGATAGGGCGCGTCCGCTAAGGGACTCGCTAAAGTAATCTTGGCGGTGCCCACAAATCGCCTGCTGACCAGTAACAATAGTGCTAAGCGCTCTCTGGCAGAGGGTACAGGTAACCGAAGCGTTTTACTGACCGACGCAACACGATTATGATTTTGTCAAGTTGGAAAACCGGAGAACAAGACAAAACTCTCACAAGGTTGGCGAAAGAAGATGAATATTTCAATACATTGCGTCGGTATTATTAAATGATCATTGAAGCGAACCTGCGGCTGATAACATTGGGGGCCGTGAAACGAACAACCATCTGCAAGGGCGCACATGTGCACCCAGGATGGTGGTAACAATAAGCACTTCCAGGGCTGTGTCATGCAAGGGTGGTTCGCGGGAAACGCCATCTTACTGCAAAAGGAAATCGATCCAGGCGAAGTGGTTCGTTTGAACCAAATTGCACATGGAAAAACGCAGCCTTGCTGACATGTATGTCACACTCCATGTCTATGGTTGCAGTCCAAGACCTATTTTCAGACCCCAACCTCTGCTGAAGGATTCATCTGCGCTAATTGCACGAGGCTTTCTTTACGCGACCCAAGGTGGCCGTCCGGTTATTTACAGGCACAGAAACCGGCGAACGCGCTTGAGCCTGCCTGCACATTGCCGATGGCCAAGCCAATGGCATCTCATTTCTTGGCTGTGTGAAATTATATTTTCTATATGAGTTTGTGTACCCCGTGAAACATGATCAATTGACACAAAAGAATAGTAGAGTCGCAGAAACTGTAACCTTGTACTCCATACAAGCAGAGTGATTGACAATATAGTCAGTTCATCCAATCCTGCTAGTGAGCGGAACCGTTTCCTACTATACTTGTGGAGCTATCTTGCAGTAAATCAGGATTAATAATGGATTTTTATCGACACCACTTATATATTCACAAATGTACTTGGCGTGTTTTTAGGGGAGGCATTATTGGTTGCGATAAACTGTTTACTCGTATTTCACTGTTTTGCCCTAGGCAATATATCGTCTTTTCTAGCTTTCCTTTGTCGTCGTGCGAACCAGTAGATCAACGCCCAGATGACCATAATCACAATTGTCAAGGGCAACATGGTGACAAAGAAAAGCTTCATGCCGCCCGGGCGGGCTATATAGTCGGTGCCAAGCGTTCCATCGTCATCCCACTGGATGGCCCCGCTGCTAAAGAAGGTCTGGATTTGCGTCAGGGCCGCAATCAAGAATTGCCGAAGATGAGGCCAGCCGTATCTTACTGCAACAAAGGTTCCTGGAAGGAAAATGAGCGTGAATATTGTGATGACGTGCATTGAAACTGTCTCATGTTCGGTCTTGATCGCGACCTCGTGCATTTGTATCGTCCAATCCTCCATTCTGTCTGCAGATTCTCTTGCCGTGTATGCGAAGTGCTCGGATACTTTGGCGCTTTGGTATTGCAAAGCCGCGCCGTACTAAGAGTTCACAGATCAGTAAAATGCTAATATAGAGGCAGTACTGCGCGTCTGTGCCGTGCTTACCAGGGCCTTGTCATTATCTAGCATGCGCGCAACGGCTCGCAATCGATCTTGATTGACATTGAGATCTCGTATAGCCCCATTGATTTTCGTCAAAAACCTTGCTAAGCTGCTTGAGACGTCCTGTGTCTTGATGTTCTGAGTGAAACCGTGAGATTCCTGAACTTCACGATAGTGGTCCCCAAGCTCTCTGAGAACACCCTTATTCTGTTCAATGGCGGTTGATGATTGCTCGAGCTCCTCACTCCAGCGGTTCATTCTTTGGAACTCTTCGAATGACAGACTTTCGTCAAGGTCGAAGCCAAGCCAGTTGTTCTCTTGACTTCCTCGAGGGGCCATTTCAATGTCAACATTTTCAGAGCTTTTGCTTCGCTGAGTTGAGACCTTAGAAAAAAGATCGGCGACAGATTGGCGAAGACTTGAAGTTCGTCGTCTTATGGGAGCGATAGGTGTGGCCGGGCTTGCAGCCTGTGAGTCAAACACTGCTCCCTCTGTCTCTGGTATAGTGGCGGTCAACTGCGGAGGTGGTTGTTTTGTACCTGTCGCAGAGTCTCGACTCCAGGTGTTACTCCTTGTTGCGAATGTACTCATACGTGAAGCCACTGGAGATGTTGCTATACTCCTCCGTGATATGTTCGTCTCAATTGCCATAGGACTAGTGGCAGCCGAGATGGGAGCCATTTTCCCTTCAAGCGATTTCTCTCTTACCTTCTGCTCGAAGTCGTCAATGTATTCGGACCAATTCTCAGTGCACCATTCTACCATGATGAGATGCGTTAGTAGTGTCGCAGTGAATGACTTCTCTGGAACATGCAGTGCGGTCGGATGCATATCGCGGTTCCTCAAGGCCTCTTGAGCCATTCGTTTTAGTATGTTGGTGTCTGCTTTGAGTACCATAAATATTGTTTGACCGTCGACAACATCAAAGGAGTGATACACTGCCGCTTGGCGGAGCGGCCACTGGTTTCGCTCATTAGGTACGTCCGTTCGTTCCACAGATAACAGATTGAAGGCGATTTGGATTTGCACACCACTTCTTCCATATTCAGGAAGAGCGAACTGGGGGCTGTCTTGCTGCAGATAGCTTTCATGTCTGAATATGGCATGAGTGACAGGCCTTGAACGTGGCTTAAAAGCCATTATTAGGTCGGAGAAGGTTGGCATTACTTGATGGTACGAAAGAACCGTGGTCAACTGGTCCTTTGTGCATCCCAATGGAGAGCGCGAGTTTGGGGACTGTAAAAAGCTATTATGGAGTCAGCAGCGTAACGTTGACAGCTCGTATTCTCATTGTTGAGACATACATGAACCGCCATCTTGGGTGATATGGCTGCGCAAGATATGTCGTTAATGCTTCCACGGTTTCTGTCTGGGTGTTCTTAAATTTTAATTCTGCGTAGTGGGATTTGTCATTAGCAGCTTGTCTTGAGGTGGTCTGACGGCTTGAAGTTACCTTGACTACCCTCATTGATAGGCACGAGATCTAGCAGATAAAGTGATCTCTGGTTCTTGTGGAACAGCTCCTCCTGTTGCAAACATCGTCGATACCGGTCAACGGTGTGAAGAAATGCCTGATTCCTAATGATATTACTGGGGTATAGATGATGATTTCTTAAAGATTTTTCAAACTCCTCATTGTCATTTCTTATCGGACCCATGGTGGATGTGCTAAGATGTTATCAATTGAGTACATTGATATCTAGTTAACCAGACCACAATGAGAGTAGGCGCATCAGAGCCTCAACGAAGCACTCCAGGACATGTGTATAAAGTCTGTAAGATATATATCAAATCGCTTCTGCATCCAACGCACGAGAAGTGTTCGTACGTACTATACATGGGCGTAGTCGTGTATCCGAGGGGGGCGCCAGGTTTCAGCTCCTTCCTCGGAGGCTGAGGGGAAGTGGAAATACCAGGATCTTCCGAAAGTCCTTGTAGGACTTGAGATCGAGGCATTGTTTCGGCCCCCAAAGCGGGGTTCTTGCGCCAAACATGCCAGGTTTGCCAGGCTTGCTGTAAGCTCCCTCAATCCAGGTCGGCCCTGTACCAAAGGATGTAACGAGGCAATATGGTGGCAATGATCATTTAGTTATTGATTGGTTAAACTGAAAGACATTGAGATTTGGACTCAGGTGGGCATGTATGTAAACACCATTTGCGGACTCATTTGCCCTGTCCACAGCCCGACTAACTATTTAACGAACCGATGAACTACAAGTTCGAAAATGGATCTTCTTTGGGCTTAGCATATCGGAATTCCTCCAAAACAGACTCTTGCTTTTCCTTCTGCATGATTACTAGATGTCAGCTTTTTGGGTCGAAATGAACCACACAAGTCCAACACTTACTTCCGTCAACAACCGAGGAATCCAAACCCGATAATGCTTCTCGCCAACGGCCTATACACAACGCTGTCAGTCAAAATCGCCGAAAATTTGGAAGTAGAATTCTCTCACCTCCCAACTAATATTACGCCTATCTGCAGCGGCTGGGAATATGCTATGCAGATACCTCGTTAAGCCCGCATGATCCAGGCGATAAGTCGACACGGTATCCCAAACAAAGTCCATTTGGAAGGGCCTATTTGTGAGCCTCTTTCTACGAATTGGTCGAGTTGTGCAGGAAGTGTTGCAGTGAAACTGTGCCTGGCAAGAGGGCGAGGGGCGAACTGCTTATTTATCTCCACTCACGCCCGGAGGACTCACGATTCGACAGGGGTGCGGCGAGCCTTACGGAACCAAAAGGCTCAGGCGACCTCTGCATATAGGATATCTCCTGGTATGTCTTTTGCAGCCTCGAATCCGATCAGTTAGACAAGTGTTCAGGTATTTACAGTTGGCAATGTCCATGTTATTTGGGGTCTATCTTAACCGAGTGGATGAAAGCGACCTCCATTATACCCCCAATATCACTCAGCAACGCAATCCAGCCTTGCATGTCGTGAAGTCGCAAAGTCCTACCAGAGACTGTTATTTCTGAATCCTTAAGCCTCTGGACTTAGACGTAATTACGTCGAAACCTATCTCCTTTAAGCGATACATAGCATGACGTATCTCAGAAGATGCCAACTCTAGTGCAAAATGACGCTGATGTCGCGCAACAGCTCATGAACTGTGAACCTCTGAATGGCGGATGCGAATCGCTATCTTCGCAAAATGCTTCTGTGCATCGAGACGTCTATATGCGTCTCGCGCGTCTGCTAATTCGAACACCTTATCATCTAGAGCCGGCTTGATATTATGTTTGTCGACGAAACGGACGAGCTCACGCAGTTGTGCTCGACTACCCCCAAGGATGCCGCGAACAACGCAGGTATGCTGCAGAACGGACATAATTGCCACTGGTTCGGCAGCGTCTCCTCCCAAATGACCTAAAACCATAACGAGGCCATTTGTACGAACCGCCGCCAGCGACTGGGGGAGGGATGCGTTTCCGCCCATATCTAAAACAATGTCATATCCTTTCCCATCGGGTGTCAACTGCCGTGCCTTGTGTCCCCAATCGCTCGAGTTGGATTGGTAGTTGACAGTATATGCTGCTCCCAATGAGCGCAAACGAGCTGCCTTATCCTCCGTCGAGGTCGTCGCGACAACGGTAGCGCCCACTGCTGCTGCTATCTGTAGCGCTGCGACGCTGACGCCACCGGATCCTTGAACAAGTATCCACGCATCTGGGCCAACGGCGAAATCTTTCAGTCCGAATAGCGCATTCCATGCTGTGGCCCAGGTGCACGTCAATGTAGAAGCGGCCAACCAATCGAGAGATACAGGGGCATGAACTAGAGCGGCCTCTGAGAAGACACCATGAGAACGCAGTGTACCGTCGGTCCCCTGACCGAGCATGAGCGAAACATCTTTCAAGGTGCATGATGCCTCATCATCGCCGGTGATCTCGACAAGTTTCGGGGCAAAGTACGTGACGACTCGGTCTCCGGGTTGGAACTCCTGCACGGAAGACCCAACTGCCAGCACGATACCCGCGCCGTCACATGCCGGGACAACGGATGTCTTCATGTCTCCGGTATAGCTCTTTCAACTATCAGTACAGCCCATATGAAATGTGTTGTGTCCTTTGGACAATCCTTACCTGGGGGCTTGGAATCGCGATCTCGCGATAGTTCAAGCTGGCAGCATAGAGTTTGACGAGGACTTGATGATGGTTGAGCTGAGATTGCAAGGGTATTGGAACATTTTCTTGGTATTCTAGGGAATCCTCGAAGCCTTTCTGGCCGTTCAAAATCCATTGATGTGCCATTGTTGCCTACAAGAATTGCCAATATCGTATTGTAAACCATCTAGAAACGTCACAATGCTTTATTGAACGTTAGCTTTAGACTCCAATAGTGACATATTATATAGACTTGTAGGCTTTGGCTTGCCAAACACATTGACGCGGGATCGATCTTGTCTCAGCAGTACAATCGCGACCGAGCCGATCCGGACGCAGATGGTATCATTGTGATTGGCCGCGACCTATAGTTCGTGTCTAAATTGATTTGCCTAGTCGGGAATAGCCCCAATCTGCGTAAGCATATACATTTGTAAGCTCAATAGCGCACCCCAAGATGCTTAAAAAACTGTTGGCCTCACTCTTGGCAAAGGATTCGTCTCAGACTAGTGAAAGAAAAAAAGAAGACAAAGGGTACTCCAAAAATTGCAGTTGAACGCGGCGATTACGCAGGATCATGCAGGTATTAGAAAAAATGGCACACTGGAGAAGCAACTTCCGAACAGCAGATCCTGGTTTCTGAACACACGACCACGTTTTGAGAGAGTGTGAGCTCTGATATCTAGCTATATGTAAGCGTAAAGGCGCTATGCTATTTGGAAATGTAGGCATACCTAACAAAATGATACGGGCCGGCTTAGTATATTCTTGAGCCACTCATCATTTTCCAGATTCATCGACTGCATCCAACCCATCTGATCCAAATCCATCGTGTGGCTAGTATGACTAACCACGCTGGGATCGTCAATATGAAATGCCTCGGCCCCTATATCTTGCGCCTGAGGGGCCAGGTTCCACCATGTCTCAGCCCATCCTCGACACCTTCTTAGGAGTCTGGATAAGAGATCAAACAGGCTGTCGCTGCACTGAAGTCTCGGTTCTTCGCTACATAGGTCGAGCCTTTGAATCATAGAGTCTATCGTCGAGATCAGATCGACAGTGTTGCGTACAGCCTGGCAATCCCAAGCCGGGTCTCCAAGCGTCGACAGATACTTCAGAACCGTGACACATAGGATCATTTGGGACCAGAAATGAAATGGAAGACCGATAAGCTTCGAGGGGGGGATCGTATAGAAATTGTCTAGCCATGACTTGATACACTCGACAGACCGCCACAGACACTCTAAGCGTTCGAATCCGGGTAGAAGCCCGCCGTCGCTCCTCTGCCCCGAAATATTAAGAGGTGGTGAGTCCAAGCTTATTGAATACGCCAGGTGATTGATGTATAGCTCAATGTATTGTGCATTCGTATCGAGTATGCCTACATGGACATGGCTGGGCATCAGCCATGCCTATATCTCAATTATCCCGTACTCGAAATTTTCAGCACGTTCACGAGGGGAAATTACTTACCTTTTTGGGGAATATGCAGAGGGAACGATGACTTGAGCTCATGAAGCTGGGCCCGCAATGTCTTCAGATACAATAATCCCGGAAGTGACGTAGTCACGGAAGCTGCTTCTATGCGAGCGCGGTCTACCTCGTGCTGCTCGCGGATATATGCCGCTCTCTGCTTTAACAGATACAGCCGCACTTGGAAAGCAAATGCCTCATCTGTTGAACAGGACTTGTTCATTTCGAGGAGGCGAGTTGCCTCTTCCATTTGGGGCGTCCACCTGAGAGCATCCTGGCGCCCTAGGTGAGATGAAATACTGCCAGTAGATACAAGTCAGTTGGCTCTCCCGACATGGCGATGGCAAGAATACCGTTGTGACATACGTACTTCGAGCTCAGAACAAAACAGGCCAAAAGAGCTCGCTGCTTTTCCATAAATCCCAGGGCTGTTTCCTCGCCGATGTTCAGATCTGCTGCGTAGGGTTGACCCTGTGTCATAGACATCATAAGCTGAACATCGGGCGGGGTTGGCTTAAACAATCGCAGATCATATACTAGCGAGATGGCGAGCATCATGAGACGAGAGAGAAAGTTCGCTCGGCCAAGAAAGGCGTCGGTGCTCCATGTTAGGTACGTGAGTAATCCAAGCAGCAGATCCATGTTTGATTGAACATTAATCAAAGCAGATTCATGCAGAAAACGTTTCAGATCCTCGACTTGGGACAGCTTCATCCTACTTGAGAAAGTGGTGACGGCGAGAATGGCTTGGTAAAGAAAAGGCCGCTCATGGTGTAGCTGCCTGGCTGTAATTTCTTGGGAAAAATTAATGAAAGGGAAGCACGGCAGCATCTGGGATCGGAAAAATACAAGACATTCTTCTGCTTGGTTTGACAAAGGATCAGAGAGCAATTGAAGTGAAGAGTTTGGATGGAGCGGCGTCGTCTGCATTGGCTCTTCAATAATGCTCGAACTGGTGCTAGTGGAGTTTGTCGGAATGCCCGCTGAACGAGATGTGGACGCTGAAATATTTTCGTCGTTGAGGAGCTGGACAATGTCGATTGAAGACCCAGAAGAGCTAGCGATAGATTGCATGGCGGAAGTAAGAGTCTCTATCTTACTCTCCAGCTGTGCGATTCGGCTATCTGACTCTTCTGGTCTCTGAGCATTACGCCTGCGAAACGTGTTTGACGGCTGACATTGTTTCTTGAGGCGAAGGCATCTACCAGATTATCAATTATGTACCATATATGAATGAACCATGCCGAGAGGAAACTATTCACCTTTCGCATTCACCATTCCGTAGACTAGGCACACATCGGCACTTCGCCTTGTAGCATTGCATGCAAGCTTGGCCATATGTGCTGGAGTGGCCGAGATCCGGCATACTCCTGTCTAAAATCGGTTGCTGTACAATAGTTGTGACTTAGGCTAGGAAGTCCGGATATCCTTTGGATTCTTAAAATGACACGTGAACGGTCTTAGAGATGCGCGTAGAGCGGGGGGAAATCCAACGGAATTACCTCCGTGTCAGATGCTTATAAATCCGATGTCAGCATCACTAGGTGTGAAGGGGCTACGTGATGGTGTGATCGCAACATGAGCTTCGGGATGCTGCTCCTTTTTGTATGAAGAAAATGAGACATACTGTAGGAATGGAAATAATTCCAATCGAAATTCAGACGTGGCACTGAAAATCTTGAATACAGCCCCAGTAGGATGGACCACCAAGCCTCGGGTTTCCATACCGAAATCCGGTTGAACTGGGGTTTTCATTCTCATATCCCAGCTCAACAAAGAAAGAAGTACTTCGTTGAGAATCTTTCATCTTTGTAGATCTAGCCTTTAATCTCAGCGGACGGGCTGTAGCTGTTGTCTGAAATGCCGTTCTCAGTATCTTCTAGTCTAGGCGCACTTTTCACATTGATACACCGCAGTTTTCAGCGCTTCGAATAACCCCACGTTCTAGTCTTTTAGATGAAGGAGATTGTGCTTCAATTGCATGTATAGTGAAGTATCACAGCAGCCCTAGCTACGAAACATACTGCAAGCGCACTCTAGACTAGTAGTAATCGTCATAAACAGTTCCTGGATTGTCATATTCGGGGTACTGACTACATAGAATACAGTCCGTATTCTCCACTCCGTGCATACCGACGGATGTAACTATCCAAATTCCGCTTGTTTACTGGCGAGACCGCCCAATCCTAGACACTGTGTTGTATATAATGGCAGTTGCCCGTATCTTTGGGCTTGACGTGAACTCTACTCAAACTATCAACGCTCATAATATTGACTTCTCATACCACCAGTACGAGAAAACATGCCAGAACAAACTGTTCTGATCACCGGCTGCAGCCATGGCGGACTCGGGGCGGCAATGGCGAAGGCATACCACGCTCGAGGCTTCAGAGTTTTCGCGACACTACGGAACACGAAGAAGGTCGGATCCCTAGGCGACATCAAGGGCATAGAGATCCTCGAGCTCGAAGTCACATCCGAGGAGTCTATAGGTCAATGTGCGAAGACCGTAGAGAAGCTCACTGGAGGATCGCTAGATATCTTGGTTAACAACGCCGGGACTTCTGACTCCATGCCGCTCCTGGATACATCAATTGAGGACGCGAAGAAGATGTACGACATTAACGTCTGGGCGGTACTCGCAATGTCACAGGCGTTCGCGCCGATGCTCATCAAGGCTCAAGGGACTGTGTGTAATATCAGTTCAGTGGCCTGCGAATTAGTCTTTGCCTGGGGGGTATGCCATGACTTATCCAGAGTATACATTTAAGTTCTGTGCTCACTCCGCGGTAGGTGTGTACAACAGCTCCAAGGCTGCAACGACACTGCTTTCCGAGACGCTGCGCCTCGAAATGGCCCCCCTTGGCGTGCGGGTCGTCACAGTCATACTCGGGGCCGTCGAGACAACCGGAAACGACCCTGCCAATAGAAGGGAACTCGAACTGCCCGCGAATTCGTACTACGAAAAGATAGCAGCCGTCATTAATTACCATAAGAAGGGACTGGCGTACACCGACAAAGAGAACGTCGATGTGGCAGCGAAGAACATCATCAATGATGTTCTCAGCGGTGGCAGTATTTTCATTCGCCGCGGGGTGGCTTCCACTGTTAGCTGGTTAGGCAACACGTTCTTGCCTTACAGGCTCTTTACTTTCCTGGTAAACAGAGACAGGGGACTTGCCGAACTCGCCAGTAAATAGATAACTCGTCGATATAACAAGACGATCCAGGAATGGAAATAGTAATACAGCCAATCACATCTAGCGTAGGAAAAAACATCGAGTTGATTGCGGAACGTAAAAATCGTATCAAATTGTTCTCTAAACTCAAGCGATCTAATGCGCCCAGCAAATGCCAGCACGGGTGATGAAGAAAGTAAGCACCAAACGTAATCGTAAAAATCATCTGCTGCAAAGGGGCCGGCTCGAAGTGAAGAAAAGAAGTGAAGTGAAAGGACCGAGCGGGCCGTGGAGAAAAGAAGGTCGTCCTGTCATAATCATGAACCCAGTGCTACCACTCCATCGTAATCGTGAATAGCAATGCCTGCAAAACTGCTGTGGCTTGAAGCAGTTGTCTTGATAGAAACAAGATCCTCAAACAGAGCAGACTTCGTCTTGCTGTAGTAGCTGATCAGAAGCGAGTCGGCTGCGTCAACCGTCTCGACAGCCAGCCAAACGGGCTTGCCCGCTGTGTTGCCTGCCTCGAGGGCCTTGGTCGCAATATCCAGCAGCTCAGCAGCTGTGTTGCGGTATGTCATGAAAACAGCAGAGTCTAGGTTGTTGAGCATCCAGCTGTCGAGGGTTTGGCCAGTGGTTGGGCACTCGATGGTGTATGCCCAGTAAGGCAAGTCTGCAACGACTGGCAGGCCCAGGGCTTCACCCAGGGTCTTGACCTGCGTCACAATAGACTGAAGAGCTGAAGTGTAGGTCTCGGTGTTTGTTGTCCAGCCATCGAGACCCCAGGGTTCCACATCCATGTGGATTGCAGAGAACTGTGATTCAGCGGATGCGTTTCCTTGGTACTGCTCCAGCCAGTTCAGCTGTGATTCCAAGGTTGGGTCGCCCCCTCCAGTAATCCATTGCGCGTTGCCCATCAATGCTTCGACGGCAATCCCGCTTGCATTGCATTGCGCGATGAAGCTCACGAAAACCTCGTCGCCCATATCGCGGTCGATGAGCGTATAGACCGAGTTAATCTCATTAGACTCGGCGAAAGACAAGAACTCGGTGACCTTGGTGTCATCCTGGAGTAAGTCCGACGACCAAAGCCATATCGCTCTCGCGGGTGTATTGTCTGTGGATGCTGCAGAAGTGGCTGAAGCAGATTCCGTGGTTTGACTGGTCTGAACAGCATATGTCGCAGTGACTTGGACTGCACTGGTCTGGACTGCACTGGTCTGGGCTGCACTGGTCCTGACACTGGTTTTCACAGTAGTCCGTACAGTGGTTTGAGCAGCATATGTTGCAGTTGTCTGAACCACCTGGCTCGTCTGCACCGCGTCTATTTTTTCTACTGCATACGCTGCGGCCACCGCGGCCTGTGTTGTGGAACAAGCACGCCTCTTATGCTGGTGTCTGTGGTTGTGAGACCACACTGGCGCAGCCAGTGCGACAACAATAAGGGTCAACCAATTCATCCTGGAATCGAGGTGTGGGAAAGGAACGGCTACGCGAAAAAGTCGCGTTGAAAGGAACGTAAGATAGCAAAAGGCTGGTGACCGGAAGCAGTGTAGGAATGTTGGAATCGCCGGCGACAACCAACATATATGTCTATCAACATGCGTTATGGGGGGGAAAAAAAAGCACCAGCCGCGTGGGCATGGGATTCTAGGCTCCTTTAATCTCTGGCCTTGTCATTGCTTCCTTGTAGATGAGCCACAAATACTCTACCGGGCCATTGGCTGGGTAGGCACTTTACGTAAATATTCATCTGCGAGCTACGAGGATTAGCATGCGACGGCGTGTTTGATGGCGCGGGGTTAACGCTGTCGAGAGCTGCAGGAGTATAAGTGGGCCTAAATAAGCAAACGCTGGACCGCCTAGACCAATCCCATCACATCTTACCCAAACTCCGAAACATTGTATTGCAAATTTATAGTAATGAGGCGGCAATGCGAAAACCCAGTTTCTACGGATACATAGACGTGAGATATAAATGCCCGATCACGTATCATCGATTACTGGTCCATGTAGCGGCGATGAGGTCATTGGAAGCTCTGCTGCCAAGGACGGGTACAAGAGAAGCACAAACATGGCCGCTCGGATGCCGCGGGAATAAAGGGTGAAGACCCGTTCCCTTCGTGTTCCTTTGCGTACATGTGCATTCGTGTTCCTTTGCGTGCACATCCCGCTGGAATGTCAGACTGTGGAGTGACTCCTTTTGCCCCAGAGGCAGAAGGAACACTAGCGATATTCCGCTGACTAGACGTGGTCAGATCTCCTGAGATTGCAGCGATACATATGCACAGAGCTTTGTTTGGTAAATTCAGACCACAACAAGAACAACAATAAGCATTCCATTACGCACGTCTATCCCCGGACATTACGGTCCCACAGGCCATGATTCATTTCTATACCTCATGACGTTTCAACATAGTATCATTACCATAATGAGAATGTCTGCAAGATGAACACTTTCGGGCGCGACAAGGATCGGCTGTCTTGTTCCCAAGCGGGCGGCTCCTGGAGGGGATAGTGGATGCCCACAGAGATGCGCTAGCGCAAGACCAGATGAACACCCAAACTGGTAGTGATTGGATCTGGCTGACCGATCGCAAATTGACAATGCGCGAGTTTCCGACGAGGGGCGGCCCGTCTCGAACACACTTGGTAGTTTAATAAATGATTTGGTTTCATGTTCAACTAAAAAGGGCTCAGCACCTCAGGGTGCATAGCGCTTTATGAGATTCCAAACAAAACAAAACATCTAATGCCGCTTGCTCACACCTACTAGCAATTCATCAAGTCCAGGAATAGGCTGTTGCCTGCACCCATTCTTCATACTTGGCAGGTTCCTGCCCCAGCAGTTCCAACTGCTGGCGATATGCTTCTTCCGTCATGCCGAAGCCCTGAGTTGCAAAGGTCTCATACATCAGCCTCAGGTCTCTCCCCCAAGCAACTCCAGCCTTGTCACCTATTCGTGCGCCAAATTCTTCTTCATAACGTTGCAGGCCCTCCTCGTCTGCGGCAGGCATAGTTATTTGCTTCCCCAATGCACTGGACCAGATCTTGGTGATCTCCGAACCTCTATACGCCTTTCTTGAACCGATCGCAATCTGCTTGTTGTTCCACTTCTGGGTCCTGTCAGAGACGAGGTTCGTGGCTGCAAGTGCGATATCCCACGGTGCTACGCGACTGACTCCCGCTTCGCCAAGCGGTTCGTCGAAGATGGCTCTTTCGATCATACTCTCTTTCGACCTCAAGTCATTGATGAAGAACAAGGTAGGTCGCAAGACTGTCCATTCGAACGCCAGGTTGCCGTGGATCAGTTTTTGTTCAACCAGTGCCTTCACCAGGACGTGTGCGGCCGAACAATGGCCCAGATAATGTCTGATGCCCTCAGTCGAATCAAAATCCATGCAGGCAGAGACATATATCAGTTTCTTGACTGAACTCGATCGAGACATACAGTCGAGGCAGTTCATAGTAGTGAACAATTCGTCTTCACCGGTGAGGTTGAGGAAGACAGTGTCAACTCTGTGAGCTGTAAGCAGTTCTTGAAACCAAGACGGGTTCTTGACAGAACCCTCCTCGATGACCACGTTCCCCTGATGCCATTGCTGCTGGTTCGCAAATTTGGAACGCAGGCGGGACGCGTCACTCGTCGGAAGAATGAGTTTTATCGTCGGATCTGTTGCAAGGAGTGGCACGAGACTTTCGCCGATGTGGCCCGACGCTGCCGTCACCAACACAACTCTTGACGTGGTCATATTTGATGATGCTTTCGAAATATCCTACAGGAACGACAAGCGGCTGCACATATGCACGTATACATTTTATGTGACCAAATGTCCCTTGTCGAGTCTTGCTTCGCGTTTTCCTCGCGCTCAACATGCCGCTTCTGCTTGGTAATACGACTACAATTGGTAATCAGCCTGATATTAGTTTCATATACCCCGCTCTGGCCCCATCATGACATAGAGTTTGTCGTTGGAGACCAAAGGCCGCCCAATGTTATCATGCTTCTCTGCAACATGTACGGTCTGTATGCGGTGATACCTGGCGTGGTAGAATATCTACACTATATCTTCCCTCGACTGCGACAAACTTATGGATATTTCCCTCCTTGTCCACTTGTGCTTGTTCTGCATTCGACCCGAAAGCTAAGTGTAGAGTATTAGTACCTTGTCGCTTAGGTAGCACCGCCGTATGAGAAAAATGGAAGTAGCTGTGCGCTGATACGAATATTATGGACATGTTTTTCGATTATCCTGGATTTCATTGTCGACAATGAGTCAAGCCTCGCGAAAGCCTGGTTTTGCAACATCAGTGTTTAAAAAGGCCCAGCGTTGCTCTATAGCCCTTCGAGGCCCCGCGACATTATCGTTTGAAGCAGTCGCTGATAGAATCACGAAACCTTTTCCACCTGGTTGTACGAGGATGCGTGCTGCCATGTCATCACTATCGATACTGACGTAGTGTATAATTACCTTTGATGGCCCGGATATTGAAATACTTATTACTTTAAATCAGACAATTGAGATGCCAGACGGAGACTGAGAACTTATAAACACTATGCTTTGCACAAGCCCCAGATATGTAGATATTGCGAGGCAATTGATAAGCGCCAAGACTGCCCTCAATCAAGGCCTCTGACGCGAGCTTGTACGTGTATCTATGTCTGGTAGACTTTGCATTAGTGGTGTTACAATAGGGCCAACCGGAACAGTGTTTCATGGTAGTAATAGGAGACGCGCCAAATGCAACGTAAGCATCCTCGCAGATTTGTGGACATACTTGATCTCACCCTAATGCCTAATCAACAACGATATCTTACAATAAGGATGCCAAGTGCAGCCAAGTTAGTTAAGTGCAATCTCACTTCTCACAAAACATGATGCTTTCACCTGGTCTCAATACGAGCGCCATCCATATAAGCCGGGCGTACTGGAACAAATAGGAGTATGCGGGGATGTATGCACCAAGGTTGTTCTGTGGCACACTACCACCCAATCGAGAGGGAAGCCCCTGTCAATGTCAACTTCAGCCTCTTCGCATAGGACTGTGCCGCCGGGTCGCATAGGTAGGTCTTTTTCCAGTTGGCCAACGCGGTCCAATAGGTCTGGGGACTTGCAGGCTTGTTATCGGGGACTTTTCAGCATCTCTAGGAGCATCGTTGAGATGATTGTGGAACGATCACCCTTAAACTCTGTCGATACCCAGCTCTATCTGTGCCAGAATCGTGATTCAACTAGTTACTACTCTGATTTTGTGTCACGCATATCATCACTTTGCATTGACTTTGTGCTTCGCTCTGATAGACACTCGCCCCCAATGCTCAAACAACTTGTATTACTGGTCGGACTGGCCTCAAGCCTTGTCAACGCTGCGCCGTCATATGGGAGTGTGGTGATCGTCAACACCGAAGAAAGCGCCGCCACGAGCCAGCAGCCCGAGACCCGTACCGGCTCTACGTCCGATAACTCTTGCTGGGTCAAGGAACTTCCAAACCGTGCACCGATTTTCCGCCACCCGCAGCCCGACTTATGTGTGCAGATCGAACCGCTGCGGCAGCTAAAGATTTATCACACGGCCATCTGTAGCAACGGTACCGAGGCTCTCCTCGCCCGCTACGACGTCCCTGGATGCATCGGAGAGCCGTCCAGTCTGGAGACCGTGTCTGAGGATCTGCTCAAGACCTGTCTGAGCATGCCTTCGAAGGGCGCTGGGAGCTACGCATTCTGGTGCGAGGGTGCCGCCGAGGCGCCGCCGCAGAAGCAGCCATCATCGGATCCGAGCAAGCCTAACAACAATGGCGGAAGCATCTGGGGCCTCCTCGGGATTTTGCTTCTGATCTTTGCCACGATGCTGTTGGTCGCGGTTATCAAGCTGGTATCCTTCATCCAGCGGGCTACTAATGCGGGTAACAAGTTCTTGGTATGTTCAATCGGACCCATCGTCCGGAGCTATGACTGACTTCATTTCAGGGTATCTTTGGACAGAGAGATGGAGCTATTGCCCTGAATTAGGCGACTAATTCGGACTTGGAGACTCAGAGAGGGGCTGTTCGTGCTGTAAAGATGGGATGTAGATGGCAGAATTAGTGCTTCATGTTGATGGCCTGTCTTGAGTGTGTAATGAGAATGAAAGCATACGAGAATGTTGGTGATCCTTATCAATATAATCTTACTGTTGGAGAAGACTAGTTTAGTACTTCTTATGGTGAACTCTTGCCATGTGTAAGCTAATCATTATCTCGAGAAGCTTTCTCTTTGCTTTCCCAATGGCCAAACGGACCAGTAGGTCTTCCTCACCCCATACATCTTTTTCGAAAAACTCCAAACGCCTTGCCGTACGAGAGTGCGGATGACTGGACGTGCGCTGCCGTGCTTCGCGGTAAACGAGCTGCCTCACATCTCGTGACTAGAGGCCATATAATATTGACAGCACCGCAAAGGAAGTGAGCGGATCGTTGGAAAGAAGCGCGCGCTGCTTGAAGCAAGATAGCCTGCCAGAATAAGCGCGGATGTTGGGTAACAACGCCCAGCAGCCAGTCGCGGCCCCTGTCGCAACGAAGTGCGAGACAAAGCGGTAAGCACGGACTACATCCGGTGGCTCCCCCGTTGGTTGGCTCACAAGATCCCGTGGATAAGTCCAGAATTAGCAATTCCTTTGTTTCAATCGACAGCGCGGCTTCAATGATGGCCAAAGAATCACTTTGGGTCTTTATGGACCTGGAGACAAAGCCGTTGGGTCTTCAGTATCAGGCAGTTAAATAGAAAATAGACCAGTGTTTCCATCCTGTTCACGATTTTCCTAGTCATTCCACAAATTCTCCTTCAATCTTTTCTCTTATTATAATCTCAGAGCTTATTCGACGCTGGAAGTCACTCGCTTTACTATCACATACCTCTTAATCACACACGCTCACTAGGGACATATTTGATCAGACCCATCCGAGGCTGGAAACCCACCAACTCAAACCCAACAAGCCACACCACCCAAACCATCTACACATCACGAACCAAAACAACACTCTAAGCTTTCAGAATGGCTTTCATCAACGCCCGAAAGCTCGTCGCCCGCGCCGGCAAAGGCGCCGCCACCAAGCAAATCGGGCTGTACGAGAACGTCGCGCGCTGGGTCGCGCGGGGCATCCAGCTGATCTTTGCGCTGATCGTGGTGGGCTTCTACGCGCACCGGGTGGACTCGGACCGGAAGGCAGGCAGCGCCGCGTCAGCGGCCTGGGTGTACGCGACGTTCGTGGCGGGGACGTCGTGCATCACGTGCGTGCTGTACTCGATCCCGTTCGTGCCGGTGCACCGGCTGTTCTACATGGACGGGCTGCTGGCGCTGCTGTGGCTGGTGGTGTTCGGTGTGTTCGCGGGCATCTTCCTGCCCAAGGAGTCTGGGACGGAGTGGGAGGGCACCAGCGTCCGGCTCATGAAGGTCGGGGTCTGGATCGACCTGGTCAACTGCCTGCTCTGGATCGCCACGTGCGCGTACGGCGTCTTCCGGACCTTCCTGGGCAGGAAGGCCAAGGCGTACGAGAACAAGATCGACGCCAAGCTGGGCGAGATGGAGGACAGGGCCATCGGCAAGGTCACGGAGAAGCTGCCGCCTGGCGTGACCAAGGTCGCCGAGCGATTTCCTCCAGGGTTTGTGCCTGCCCGCTTGCCACTGGGCGTCAGGGGCGTCACTGAGAAGCTGCCCCTAAATAGAGACCCTGCCCACATGGTGTAGATGTTCTTTAGACGGGCCAATGTCATTTTAGCCTGGTCCTTTTCTTGTATTATACAAAGTTAGCGTCATGGTGTCCACAAGATTTAGATTTGCGTTGATGTGTTACGTACCTGCTCTTGACGGTTCGTGTATCAATTATTTTCGTTTAATTCAAACCAACCCAACCTGCTACTACTCTCTTTGACAATCGCACATGCCAGTCCGTCAATCCAATGCCGGGGATAGCAACACCACGTTTCCCCAACACCATGTACGCGTCACCAAACGAAACTGAGGTGTACGTTGATGAAGTATTGTATTAGCATTTAGGTGTCCAGTATGTTACTTCTACCCTGTTCCAGATGGACCGTCCCGGGTATCATTCAGTCGTTCCGCGATCCATTCTCATTTCAAAGGTCTATATCAAACCCCTGAGCTGTGTTCAGCATATATACCAACCAACTGCCCAGTATATCCATCTCTGAGCAGTGCAACGCCTCATATCCCGGGTAAAAGTGTATATACAAGCGAAAAATAGCAATGGTGGGATCTCACCCCCCCAAACAGAACGCGCGCCTTATTCAGTGGCCATGGTTGGTACCGGCTTTGAGTGACAGCCGTCCTCCAGCTTCCTTGCCATGGCGTAGTTGATGCCGGATATGACGTTTTCTCTGTAGTCCCCGATAATCGCCCATGGTGCATAGTGACATTGCTTGGTAACTTGATTCCAAGTCCATGCAAGGCATTCTGTCGAGTGGGCACCGCATTCCTTGACACAGTCTTCCACAGTCTCAGTGTGTTCCACGGTCGTACTGTGTTCGTCAAGGCGGCCGACGAAGTCTGTGTTCAGTCTAATCGGTTCGGCGACAAAAGACTCGAAGTCTGCGGCACCATAAATCCTTCCCAATTGCCTCCAGAAAACGGGCTCTTTCGCGCCCTTGAAATGTTGGTTTGTTTCCTCCATTTTGACAGGGTCGCCAAGCCCGTGAAATGAAAGGAGTGGCAGACAAAATCGATCCGCCCACATCCTGGTCATATGTGGAGGCTCGCCGTTGAAGAGCCTGGCATACTTCTCATCCAAGTAGACGCCGGTCTTCATGAGAGTAGTTGCCAGGAGCTTGTCACCCCACGTGGCCGAAATGGATTCGAGATGGGCACCAGCCACAACTTCGGGATGGCTGTCAAACAACTTGGCCATGGCGGCCCCGGAGATGACAGCTGACGAACCTCCGTGGGCGAAACGTCCCAGAAAGTCGCCAACGGGGTTTCCGAAATAGTGAGGTTGTCTGAAGTCGAAGTGACCCAAAGTCAGGGCCAGGGAAGACTTGATGAGGTAGGTATCATCATCAGACATGATGTACCACTTCTTCTTTGGTAAGTTTTCCCAGGCATACTGCAGGCCCGATATAAACTGAACGATTGTGGGTTAGCGCGGGTGCAAGGGGGCGCTGGAGAGGTCATGTAGACTTTCTTACCTTCATGGCATCTAATTCCCAACCATTGCCCTTGGCCAGCGTGTCGGCCATGAAGTAGTCTTCAGCATCGATGGCATCAGCAAGCAGCTCATATTTCATGAGGCGTTCACTCTTGGCGTGGCCCAAAAGCTTGTTGTTTTGTATCATCCAGCCGATAATGTCGACAGTGGGCACCTGCTTTCCGCCAGCGGTCACGTACGACCTCTTCTGTTCGACGGGAGCGTCCTGGACGATCAAGATATCGCTGTCGAATGTCTCGTTCCCAAGAGCTGCCAAGACGTTGGGAACTCTGTTTCTGGTGCCAAAGCCGGTCTTGAGGATGATGGCGACGTCCTGATCCGGGTCTATGGGGTATTTCTGCTCCTTGAAGAGCCACTTGTCGCTTGGGTATTTATGTTGGACATAGTCGGAGGCTATTGTGGTCTGCCACCGCAGGGCTGAGCGTATTTGGCTGTCGTAGGGGGAAAGGACGTAGATGACGAAGAAACAGGCGAAGAAGCCGACCAGGAGCAGACGCGGGCGTGAGAGTCGTGCAAAGATGAGCTTCTTTATCCGCGTGCCATTGTCCATGGTGTCTAATCCCATAGCGGTATTGCGGACGGCAGTTGACTCGCCTCGGAATGCAGCGGAGTACGGAGTTGTCGGTCGATCGTGGGGGGGTTGATTCGATCCCAAGGCAATGCAAGTCTTGGTGCTTCGCTTCCCTTGCCGGTGCTATGACAGAAGCGGTGGGTTCATGGGTTATCGGTGTCTAGGAAAGCCTTGATGGGGGCGAGGAAGGACGGGGACGAGGACGGCAGCAAACACATCTGACCTCACAATGGCGATGGGAGGAATGCAGAAAACAAAACGAGTGACAGAGGTGAGATTTCGAATCGGCCGAATGACGAGTCCTTTCAGGATCAAGCAGAATTGCACCGACGCAAGTCCAAGTTAGTTCTGGCGGATCCTATTTCTGGGATGAGGACGGATGAAAAAGGAGAAGGGGATCGACTGATTCGACAGGGGTGTGTGCGCGTGTGTACTGCATGGCGCCGTATTGTATGTATGCATGTACTATGTGTACTATGCGTGGCCTAGGTCAGGTTAGTTGCTGTGCTGTGCTTAAGAACTAACTAGGTTAATAATAAGTGTGTCTTGGGTCTTGAGGGTACATTGTATGGATCCCGCAGCAGCAAGGTTGGTGCAAATGCAAACGGCAGGCTCGCAGGCAGGCTCGCTGTGCGGATTGCAAGACCCAAACACCACTTGATCACCTTAATCCAGCACGCACCCGCTGAATCCCAGCGGACCATGACGCCTGTAATCGACGATAGCCCGCTGCGGCGGCGGGGCCAGCTGAAATTAGTTCCTGCAATATGCCCGCTGATCAACCCCCTGTCTGGCCCTGCATCCCACACTTTGCACACTCCCTGACTCCTCTCCCAGTCCGAACAAGTAAGTTAAAGCGCGCGCCGTCGCTTTTCTCCCTTGCCGTGACAGATTGCCTACTGAAGCTGATCCGCACACGCGCTGTGCAAATTACGGGCTACCGTACATCGTCGGGAGGCTGTGCACCACTTCACTCTCCAGCAGATTCGGTCTGGAACGAGCAAAGTCCACTGAACACCCTGAACTGCCGGATCCCACGGTCGAGAACAGCTGCTCACTAACCGCTGGCTCGCATAACCGAAATTGCATTCCCATGATAGACACCACTCCTGCTGACGACGACACTTGAGGGTCACATTGAGCAGCCAGCAGCCAGATTCAAATCCAACTGCCCAGCCCTGCCCAGCCTGAAGAACAGCTTTCCTAAAAGTATGGCAAGCTGCAATCACACGCGCCGACAGGGCTCTCAAAATAAGCATCAGGACTATGCTTATTCGCCCAGGTCAGAATCAATCAAGTGCCTGCCTATAAAGGTGTTGCTCATACGTCATCCACAGCTGCTGTCAATCCAATGTGTCATTGAGCCGCTTGATTTGCTCATTACCTCCCACTGGCGCTTTGGGCAAGTGTTTACGCAAGCCTGGTATCAGTCAAATTGTTCGATATATCCGAATGGACATCTGTCATCCCAACTGACCCAACTTGCCGAGTATTGTCTTGGCAGGTTTTTCAAGGTTCGAGGAAAAGCGGCTCACATGACTTCGGACATGAAGGTGCAGCCCTGCATGATGCAAACACTTATGGAATACAACAACTGCCATCGCTGGCATACATACCGCATGTGAATAGCTGTACATCGTTCCTTTCTTATTCACAGCTTCCGCGCTTTTCACCACGATTCTGCTTCCCTCGCACTATCATTTATTCACATTTCAGAAATGGCCCCCAAATGTAGCCTGTCGCCATGCGACAAACAGGGACTAGTCTGTTGCCAACAGAAGCAAACAGCTTTTTCACCAACCTCCCATGGCCTCCAATTTGTGGCGTAAAGCACTGTTATGCAACATCAATCCCAAACCTAGATCTCCTTAAATCTTGCAACCATACCTGCATGTTTGTTTGCAAAATGCCGAATCTATTTGGCTTCTTCGATCCGGATGCGGTGAATCCCACTTTCCAGGCCGTAGCGGCTCTGGCTGGCATCGGCATCGCAATGTTGTTCTACCGCCTCTATCAAGTCCGGATGATGTTCAGAATCGCTGCAAAGCAGCCTGGAGTTGTACGTGTGGTCGCAATGACTCTACCTGAGTCTCTGGAATGGCCCCTGCCTATTGCTCCGTTTGAAATACTGACCGCTTGCGATGCATGCAAAACCTGCCTATATTGCCCGAAACCGCATCAGTGAAGTTCGCTGATGTCCATCTAGTTTTTGATGCCCCATTCATTCCTTTTCGGCCATCTAGTTGTATTCGCGAAGCTTGCTATCAAGAAGAAGATGCCTAGAGATGCTTCTGGCCAAAGTATGCCATTGCTTCTGGCCCAAGAATACCCGGAAGCCCTGAAGGCTGGCTGTATCTATATGGACGTTTGGCCGATAAGCGCGCCAATGCTGGCCGTGTTTCATCCGGACATGATGGCCCAATTCACGCAGGAGGACAGTCAGTTGAAACATCCATATATGCATTCCGAGTTTCTACCGTTCACTGGTGCCAAGGATCTTGTGTGTTCCGAGGGTAGAGAATGGAAAGCCGGTCGAGCGATCTTCAACCCCGGGTTCTCGACAAGGAACTTGCTATCACTGATCCCGAACTTCATTGAGGAGGTATTGGTATTCAGAGACCATTTGTTTGACTTTGCAAGGAAAGGCAATGTCATCAATCTGGAGCATGCGACAACTAATCTGACTGTTGACATCATCGCACGGGCGGTCCTGTAAGTTTCTATCTGCACTCTCTATCAAATGCTGTTTACTGAACAGCTGAGTAGAGGAGCACGCGTAAATGCCCAAAATAAGCCAGTCAAATTTCTTGAAACCATGCTGGATCAAGTTAAACTACTCTACTTTGACCTCGACCTGAAGAAAGCTTTGAACCCCCTTCGACCCTTCCGTCACCATGCTCTCAACCGCACCTTTCGTAACGAGATGATGCCGTACGTGCAGCACGCTGTTCAAAATTACGAGAAGATTGAAGGTCCAAAGACAATCTTGAACCTTGCTTTGAAGTCCTACGTTGAGGAAGTGCAGGATGTCTCCACGCGAGGCAACATACCGCCTGAATTCTTGGACCTGGTCATCAACCACATCAAGATGTTTCTCTTTGCTGGCCACGACACTACTGCAACTACAATGGCTTACGCTTATTTCGAACTATACAGCAACTCTTCAAAGCTGGCATTGCTGCGTGCTGAGCATGACTCTGTCCTCGGTACAAATGTGCTTGAAGCAGCATCCCGTATAGCCGCTGACCCGACGCTCTTGAACCAGATGCCCTACACGCTCGCCGTCGTCAAGGAGACGCTCCGGCTGTGGCCCGTTGTGGGGACCGTTCGCATCGGCTCAAAGGGCTTCATGCTTCACAACCGGGAAACTGGAGTTCACTACCCTGCAGAGGGGTTCATGCTGTTTGGCTGCTCTGCTGCTGCGCACCGCAACCCAAACTTTTGGCCTGACCCCGACGTCTTTATTCCTGAACGGTGGACTATCCGCGACGAGAACGATCCTCTCCATCCGGTGAAGAACTCGTTCAGACCGTGGGAGCAAGGACCTCGGAACTGCATCGGACAAGAGCTGGCAAGCTTGGAACTGAGGCTCATTCTAGCGTTGACAATAAGAGAATTTGATATGGAGATCGCCTATCCGGAGGATGCAGAAACATTTCAGGGCATCAAGCATTATCAGATCCACCCGGCCGAAATGATCACTGCCCATCCGAAGGGTGGCATGCCCGTTAGAGTTAACATTAGATCTTGAGGAGCATATCGCAAGTCACGGCACTTGTACATAACTCTCGAGAGCGACTTGTGCGCATGTTTAGACAGCCGGGAAAGACTTTCAGGCATAGAGTGGGAAGGAGGGACACAGATGCGTAGACAAAAGTAGATAATTAATGCAAAAGAGCGGGACATACTCTTGGAGATGTACATACCCGGTGCTGACTCAACCTGGCTCAACGTGTACCTTCTCATAGCTTACCTAAGCCCCACCAGACATAGATATGGGTATGCTCTCTTGCCGTTTCCGGGAATATCCTGACCATGATTTGGCCAGCCCGGCGCTGCCCGACATAGGGCATGACAACCGCATCATGCTTCAACAACAAAGACCCGCCTGGTTAGCTCAATCGGTAGAGCGTGAGACTCTTAATCTCAAGGCTGCGGGTTCGACCCCCGCATCGGGCTCAATTCCTGATGCATCTCAGTTGACTGAGATAACTTTCTTTTTGCGTTTTCCCGGCTTGCTCGGATCATTAACGCTTAGTGGACAAAGCGGAGACTAGGAGCAGCATTGCGGGGCTGTAAGAATTTTTTGACGCTGGGCTTCTGGCGCTAGGCAGTGAAAGTCGGGTTGGTCACGAGAGCAACTTCTTTCCGATAATTGAAGAGTGCCAATGCCATATCCATATGCGAACAAAATGAACGTGTTGCACAGCCATGTGCAGCCGAGCAGTGGGGAGACAAGGTGCATGGTGGTGGTATGGCTATAGAAAACCTATTTCTCCTGTGAACTTTAGTGAAGTTGTGCTCGAATACATTGAATCCAAATACACTTGTGTTGTTCTCTCATTCAGGAAGGACCAATACGATTATACGACTGGAGGGCCTACCTACAGTGCTATATATATACACATGCGAGCATGCACCTGTCATTGCAAACAGCAAAAAGCAACTTGCTCAGCCACAGGATTGAACTGAGGACCTTCGCATGACTTGATATTACCAAGATAGATAGTATTAGTACGACGCTCTAACCAACTGAGCTAGCCGAGCTTGTTGTTGAAGTAATGGCAAGTTATGGGTGAATAAGTTGGTTGGGCAACACTGCGGTGGGTACTGTTGTGGGCTTCCATTGTGACAAACCTTCTGATCGCTTGAAGGCATGAAGGCATGACTCGTTCCTCTCTTCCCCTTTCGTGGTATGATTGCCCCACCGGCTTTGGAAGACTTTAGAGATGGGGCCCAGGTTCGCTATAGCATCGATTGATTGACCGTGTTTAATGAGCCAGTGTCATCTTAGATATCGTTGGGACCAAACAGGGACACGGCCGCATTGCCACCGACTCATGTTGGGAGGAAACACTGATACGATAGTAAGGCATGGGAAGTACCCATGTGTTGCAGCTGAGTTTTAATTCAGCAGAGCCAGATTATTAGTCGCGACACATTCAACGTCCATTATAAACCGTCCACATATGATGTCTTCTAAGTTTACGACTTGCAGCCCCTCAACGTTTTACACAAATACTGTAAAGAACCCCGTCGACTGGGCAGTGGCATCAACATGGCCTCCAGGTATATTATGCTTTTGCACAACGTCCAACTGCCTTGTGACACCCATTAGATCCGTCCACCCATCAAATCCGTCCACTTATCACGTAAGTATTCATCTGCAGCTGCCCTTTTTGCGGCCGCATCAGCAACGTCATTCCACTCTCTAGGAATCTTCCAGAATTGAATAGCAACGTCCTTGTCGTGCCATCGCTCGACCTCGCCGAGAAGCATTTCCCACAAGTCCCTGTTCTTGACGTCGGCCCTAGCGTTCGTCTTCCAGCCGTGCCGGATCCAGGTCTTGACCCACTTGCAGCAACCCTGGACCACATATGCCGAGTCCGTCGCAATGATTATTGTGTAATATCCCTCGACGTCCCAATCTCTAAAACGAAGGGCTGCTATGACAGCACGGAGCTCCGCACGGTTGCTGCTCTGGATGCCATCGTCGCCAAATGGGCCCTTCGTCTCCAGACGGCCAGATCTTGTGCCGGCCCCGATTCCGCGTCCCGGTCCATCCACAAATGCCCACCCGGCTTTCGGGTTCGGCTGCCCATTATTCAAGCACGCGCCGTCTGTGAAGATGAGGACTTTGTGTGGATCGCTCCGGTGAGTCCACTTGGCCTGTCCGTGAACTATAGTTTAGCCGAACTCTCATGGCAGCCGAACTTGAACGTTGCAAATGAAAACGCTGCTTACCAGTTGTGATGGCTGCAATGTCCGACTCGTGAATAGCTCGGTTGGTCTGATCGAAGACGAAGGTGGAAAGAACTTGGTAGGAAAGACGCGACCAGTGCCTCTTCTCATCTCAAGGCCAAAGTCAAGAGGGATCCCATTACGCGTGACATAAATCGGGCCTAAAACCATGGGCCAAGGTAGTCGAACGGCTGCGGCCTCCTCTTCGTTGTTCGAGCGATGCAGAGAGTGCGGGCCCCATCTAGCATCGATCTCTGCTCTTGCCGAGGGACTCAACTCCCTGTACATGGCCTCTGTGTCTGAATCAACAACCTCGTCATCATCGTCATCATCATCGTCGTCATCAACACGACCGTGTTCATCTTCTTCGCTCAGGACATCGTCCATGAAGCTGTAGTCCGTGCAACACCTCCCACAGGTAACGAGGCCATGCGGACCACACACAAGTCGACCGTTTGGTAACGTACATGGACCCTCTTCGTCATCACTGCTACTAGGCCCCAATGGCACCATACCCTGAGCGAGGTACCAACCTAGAGGCATCTTCTAAACCACAAGCAGGATATTAGTTGTATTTAAGGTTTGCTGAAAGTGTGGCAATATGGATGACTATAGGTGGCCACAGTGTACGGGGAGCACTCCGTACACTAAGGCGACGAGCTAGCGGATCACCGAACTTGGGAAGTGGTGATCACGTGACTTAAGCCAGTAGGTATATGTCCACTTTCCGTACACCGATATTCTCTTTTGTAGACTCAGACATCTATATACTAACTGCTTGACAGTACCTGTACTTTCATTTCACGCTTGGAGCGTTACACTTGCGGTCCCACGCTCATGCGAGCACCGTATTCACCATCCTATGCTCGAGTAGATTTAGGCTCTTCCTTTCAGTGCGTCATATCTGACTTTCACTACAACAGTGTTCTATATCAACTGTAGAAACTGTCAAAGAAAGACCGTGGCATAGTGCAAACCGCAAACGGGTATGTGAATGTAAAGTCTTGCGGGGCAGCTGGAATACCCCGAGGTTCAAACACGCCCCACTCATTATCTCCATGAAAGGCACGAGCTGCAGGAGACTTGAACCTTGCATGATAGTAAATGCTTTTGGAAACCTGCATTACATTATACCTTATGTAGACTGAGAGTTCTGTCTTAGTTCTTAAAACGGAAGTCTGAATTGGCAACATTTCTAACTTGTTTACGTAAGGTGTTTTCCGGGAATTCTAAGGCTAGCATTCTCTCAGTGCCTTTGCGGCAAAATATCCTCCACATCCTTACAACCATTATTCTGGAGTATAATTATCTCGTGGTTTACGTACTTCGTGGGCCAAGTGAGCAGAGCGCTACTTTGATAAGGACTCGGGCAAAAGACAAAGCCCGGATGCTCCATCTCAAGAATACGTACTCAAAGAAGCTCAATCTAGCAAACAAAAGGAGCTTCAATATTGACTATTTTCGTACTTAGGCCAACGCCAAAAGACAACCAAGCAACCAACGGGTAGGTAGTTATATTTTTCCTTGGTGTCGTTCAGCCGTTCTTGGTATGGAACGCTGAGTTGTTCAACAACAAAGACATGGATTAATACCAGAAGTTATAGTGAAATGCTTCACATTAGAAACTACGGTTAGGTACTCTTCATTTTTACGCTTAATTCTGCTACCTGATGGTCATCAACCATCTAGTGCAATTGGCAAAAAGAATGCTGCATCCAGGAATCGAACCAGGCTCTAGCGCTTGGAAGGCGCTAATGATAACCACTACACCAATGCAGCATCAGGTGGTAATCCAATGTTTGATGTCGGAGATTCGGTTTATTGACAATTATATTAATCTGCTGTGTGGATAGAAAACGCCAGATCATGGGGCTAGATCGTGAGAAACCCAAGGGTTTATTAGGAGTGGTCGGCGCCGAGATCTGATGGTTGACGCGCTACGGACTGTGGCCCCACTACTTCTACAACTCGGATTTCGCGTCACGCGAACTGGAAGGCTTCTGTGTCACGCTATTAGAAGCGATGCAAGATTCGTACGTCTTCAGAGCAGGCTGATTACCGGCGCGTTCAGGACAGGCCGAAACTGAAATCCATTTAGACGCCGCGCAGTTATAACTTGCTCGTCAGCCACAGCCCCCTTGAATCTATCTGCTTTCAAGCTTGGGTCTCTACGGAGTGTCCAGCCAGTACTTGATGCATTTGGGCATCGACGGCAAGTACGCTGAAACTCAGCAGGGATTGTTTCTACTGCCAGCTACGTGGGCTTTAATGTTTGGTATTCTCGAAGTCCCACCCGGAAATATCAAGTGCCTTCGAGCTTTACTTCCTGCTGCGCCATAAGCTCATGAGCATGGGGCTTTCGTCCATATACAGCGATGCTAACAGTGGACGTTGGCTATGAAAGTCTTTCATGACTCTGAAGGAGATTAATGCTGGGAGCACCAATGAATACTGCGAGCGGCAATAACACGCTGGACTGGGCCAAAAAACGGGCATTTTCGTATTGTCTCATGCCTACTCCTTGCAACATCTTGCGAGAAATCCCGTCAAGTCCGATCAGCAGATTTCTAGCGACAAAAGCGCCAACTGTCTTCCACTTTAGGTCTTCGGGCCATTCATTGCCTGTTGTACATATGACTGATGGCATCCACCGGCTTATGCGCACTCATCGGGCAGTAGGACCGGGACTTCGATTATATCTACGAAGTCAACTTTCTTCATCCATTGGCCGTACTTTCGAGCTACATCGGTGTCCCGACCCATAGACTTGGATCCTGCTACTAGCTTTTGCCCCGCTGCTCGAGAGTTGTTCCATGCACTAAGCCATCCGGTGACCAGATATCACTCTAAATGTTGTGGCACTCAATCCAGCCGCCAGGCCAAAGGTTCTCGAAAGCGCTTTTCATGTCATTTTTGGGAGCATTGAAGCAAGTAGTCATGTATCCCGCGTGGGTATAGAGTTAAACAAATGCAAAATTACCCAAGGATCCTCCGCGTCGTCCCGTATAAAGGACACATTCGGAGGCGCATTGCCGGCTGGATAAGGCTGGAAGCAGTCCCCATCACCTTGATTTATAACTGGGCTGCAACCGCGCGAATTCTATTGCCCAAATTCCCGTCTTGGTGCAATATCTAACACATACTCTGGGTCGCTTATAAACGGCGCCAAAACTTTTTGTGTTGAAGATCTAGCTCGTTAGCGATGCGTTTTGTGACAGATTGCCATACTTACCAAGACGATCCTGTTCTATCTGTCACTCGTGTATTAGCCAGAAACCCAGACTGATAGGTTACCTACACCATCGTTCGGTAGGAAGTATTCTTCAACTGGTCAGCTCATTTCCGCCGTTGAGGTCACTTCGGTATACTTACAGCTTTCCTTGGAGCCATAATAGGTGCGCCCCCTCCCATCTCATCATTCACAGTGACGAGAACCGAGATCGTTATATTACTGCATATAGTCAAGACCTGGTCTCTCTATTCATCTAGACGTTCTGCATGGAATCGCGATGAGCGGTGTCAACATCAATGCTCGGATGAACCGCAAGCTTAACGTTAGGATGGTATGCGACTGCTACTCAGCCCCCAAGTCGATGAACGTCTGACTACGTTCGTTTTCGTCGCTGCTTCTGTTGGCAGCGCCTTGCTATAGTGCCATATTGGGCAATGTTGTTTAACATCGTTATCGATCGCTGATGGAAATTGTGGCTGTGAGGGGTACTTCCATACAGATGAATGTGAGCTCCCCTTGCATGAGGGACTTGCCAGAGGGTGGTTAAACCCCGTTGGTCCAAAGTCGCCGAGACAGGATCCGGGCCGAAAGTACAGGGTCGCACCGCAGAGACATGACGAATGTGCCCCTAAGCACATTGAGAATTTTCTCCATCTTGCCTCGTGCAAAAGAGTTTGACGTTCGAGCGGTTCGGCATCCGGAAATCTGGGGTCGAAGTAAGAACACAAAGTCCGTTGCTTCCTGGCATTTGCGAGCTTCGCGAGGCTCAAATAACACAGCGGGCTTGCTTTGGGCTATGCAGCTACCACCTCACTATTTCATTGTACAGTTGACGAAGTGTTGATCGCCGTATTGAGACCTTGTCCGATGCAAGTTGAGAGTCAAGCACTAAATGGAACACGATAGTAATACGAGATATAAGTGGTCTCTAGTTTAACAGAAAGCTCAAAACATGCACATCCTCGCCACTTCGAGAGGCGAGCATTCTACTGCTTGTGATGATATCTAATAATCTACACCCTTGCACTTCCCTTGAACGCTGCTGCCCCTGGGAGGTGTAGAATGGTAAGCAGAGGGTACTATTACTTAAATAAGTGGAAATCATACTCATTTCAGGTAGCTTATATTATCGATTAACAGCAACACCAACTCATGCGACAATTCCGCCAAAGGATAGGCGGCGAGAAGTAGTTACACGAGCGGCGCAGATCCGAGCCATGTAGCTGACTACAAACTACAATGTACTGATATTCTAGTTGGGACATCATCGCTTCGATATAAGCTTCACGACGATACTGTGCCGACTATCTGGGCTTATTCTAGGAGTGTTCGCAACCGATGATATGTGAGTTACACGGCGAAAATCGATTACATTCTCGTTTTATTCGAGGGCCCTGTTGCTGCCGTCGACATACTGGTCTTAGGCAAAAGACCTCTGACAGCCAGGGAGAAAGATTTGACGGAACTGGCAAATTCCCTCCCAGCCTAGTCCGAGTAACAAACATTATCAGAGTAATGCCGCAAAATATGGAAGGTTCGTGGATGTGCAACACGCAGTTTCACTGTAACGGCCTAGAGAGAGCCTTCTACTATATCCTGGCAACTGTCTCAAGGACGATGAGAGGGACATATTTTCGGGAAATCCGCATAGGAGCTCAGACTCGGCTGTAAGATGTACGTCAGAGAAAGCATGACGAAGATCAGGATTTTACTATGATGAGTCGAATACGATTGATAAGCCGAAACCTTGATCACTGGAGACATTAACATACGATGGAGATTTTCAGGACAAGGTTGATAGAATACTGGTCGGGACTGTCCCATTACGTAATACCGTACATCCCATTGTGGCAGGTCACCAGCCACGCCCAATCGTATACGGTCCCTCGTCGCATACCTTTACAGATGGCGAACCTCAACCGACTCCCAATGGCGGTCGCTTGAGAAGAGTTTTTCCGCACGCACGCGTCTTTAGCCTCTTGGAAGCAATCTCAGAAGTACTTCGCGTGAATGGTTTCCAAGAGCACGGTCAACACTAACCCGTATTTATTTCGAGATCGACGACGCTGTCTTTCCAAACCCCACAACCCCAGTACCCCGCATAACTGGGATCCATTCATCGTGGAGTATTCCACCTATCATAAAGACAGTTCGGGTCCAACCGATCAAAAGTGCCGCTCAGTGTTGCATTCGGATGTTGATACGGTGTATACCGATCTGCCGCTTAGATGCCAAGTGGTTGTATCCTCGTCTTTGACACTAGTCTCGCGATACTTGATAGGTGCGCATACGTTGGCGAGCCGCATATCTTGGTTCGCACGATGCATACTCCAAGCATGGCGAGAATTCCCCAAACTGACATCGTAACATTCTCCAACGGTCAACCCCAATTCTTGACGGTGCCTGCAGGACATTGATTTACCCGGAGACAGGGACTGTATATAAAATGACGCGCGGAATTCGCTCGCTGCTCAAAGCTCGAAGTGGCAAGCAGTCCCGTCTGTCACCTTTCTCAACTCTTCGGTGTGCGCTATCATGGTTCACTCCCGCTTCCTTGGCCTCTTGGCAGCAGTCACGCCGCTAGCTGCTGCCCTCAACATCACAGTGAGCTCTGAAGGCGGCAATGTCACGAGTGGGCATCAATATGGCTTTCTGCACGAGGTCAGTAGGGAGTATACGGTTAAGTTAGCTTGGAAGACTGACATGAGCATTAGGACATCAGCAATTCGGGAGATGGTGGTCTTTACGCCGAACTGATCCGCAACCGAGCCTTCCAGTCGAGCTACTCATACCCGTCCACGCTCGAGGGTTGGTATCCCGTCAACGGCGCTGCCCTGAGTCTCCAGAACCTGAGCACGCCTCTTTCTGATGCCTTGCCCACTTCCGTAAACGTCGCTGTAAGCGGAGACAGCGCCAACGGCACTGCCGGTCTTTACAACGATGGTTACTGGGGAATAGATGTCAAGCAGAAGACCTACACTGGCTCCTTCTGGGTCAAGGGCACTTACAGCGGTAGCTTCAAGGCTGCCCTCATTTCCAATATCACTGGAGAGGTCTTCGGAAGTGTTGCTGTCGAGTCAAAGAGCACTGCTGATGGGTGGGTGGAACACCCATTCGAGTTGATCCCCACTGTTGATGCTCCCAACTCCAACAACTCTTTCGCGCTTACCTTCGATGCTGCCGTAGGTTGTGCTATCCTCTTGTCAAGCCACGCAACTGACGCGAAATAGTTTGCCACGGATGGCTCGCTTGATTTCAATCTTGTCAGCTTGTTCCCGCCGACATACAAGGGTCGTGCTAACGGTGTTCGAGTCGATCTTGCAGAAGTTCTAGAGGGTTTCCACCCCGTAGGTTTTGCCATAGAATACTGCGACGACGCGCACTAACAGGGACAACCAGACTAATTTGCGCGTACCTGGCGGTAACATGCTCGAAGGATTGGTTAACAGCTCGTACTGGGACTGGAAGAACTCCATTGGCCCTCTGAAGAACCGTCCTGGTTTCGCTGGCGTCTGGAACTATCAACAGACCAACGGCCTGGGGCTTCTCGAGTACCTTGAGCTGTCTGAGGACATGAACCTCGAACTTGGTAAGTTCTTGTACAGTCGCTGAATCGTCCCCGGAATCGCACTAATATGTATTTATGTAGTCGTCGCAGTGTATGCTGGATTGTCGCTCAATGGCGATGTGACTCCTCAGGACGAGCTGCAACCCTTCATTGACGATGCATTGAACGAGATTGAGTTCATCACAGGTTCGGTCGATACCACATGGGGCGCAAAGCGTGCTGAGTACGGTCACCCCGAGCCGTTTACTCTGAAGTACGTTGAGGTCGGTAATGAGGACTGGCTCGCCGGCGCTCCAGTGGGCTGGGAGACCTACAAAGAATATCGTTTCCCCATGTTCCTCGAGGCCATCAACGCTGCCTACCCCGACATCCGGGTCATCTCATCTGGCTCGGTGCTTGACAACTACGCCATTCCGGCCCCTGCTGATGGTGACTACCACATCTACGGAACCCCCGATGACATGGTCGACCAATTCGATCTCTTCGACAACGTCGAGATTCCCCATCTCATTGGTGAGGCTGCCGCTGTACACCCAAACGGCGGGTCCGCCTGGAACGGTGGTCTCCTTGAGTACCCTTGGTGGGGTGGCTCCGTGGGCGAAGCCGCCTCCTTGATCGGATACGAGCGAAACTCGGACAGGATCCTGGGCGCTCTGTACGCACCCATCATCAGGAGCCTGGACAGATGGCAGTGGGCGACAACAATGATACAGTTCGCGGCCGACCCTGCGCTGACGACCAAATCCACCAGCTGGTACACCTGGGAGCTCTTCGCCGGACATATCTTCACGCACACCCTGCCCGCCACCGCCGACTTCGACCCCGCCTTTTATGTCGCGGGTAAGAATGCAGACACCGGCGCCTACATATTCAAGTCCGCTGTATACAACACGACCGACGGCGCTGATGTGCCCGTGTCGCTGACTTTCGATGGCGTTGCCGCCGGGACTTCGGCCGAGTTGACCCTTTTGACTGGACCAGAGGATCCCTATGGCTATAACGACCCATTCACTGGCGTCAACGTGGTTACCACCACCAAGACCACCGTTACTTCTAACGGTGACGGTGCATTCGAGTTCACATTGCCGCAACTAAGTGTCGCCGTCTTGGATACTGGTGCCGTAAGCAACTACACAACGAGGTCGACGAAGTCGATGAAGTATGGGAAGCGAACTTGAAACTACAACATAAAGTGACCGTATGGCAAGTAGCAACATGACAGGAGTAACTACATGAATAAAATAGAAATAAGTTCTCATCACGTTGATTCTTTTTCTTTTCTTTTTCTTTTTACTTTTTTTTACTTTTTTCTTTTTTGGAAACGTGGCATGGATTCGACACCCGAGTCTTCCACAACAACTGAGCTTCAACACTCTCACTTGAGAAGATCGCTTGATATACTTAGTAATAGCCCGCCGCCGATCATAAGCTTCATCGAAAAGAATTATATGTCCCGTAGTGGGAATAAAAGTTTGGCTGATCATATAGGCAATGCTGAAAATGGTTGGTAATGGGGTTTGGCTCAGCAATGAGCAGAGCGCCAAGATCGGGCATGTGAGCGTCAACTCCCATATGTGAGAACGGCCCTACTTCGTCGGAGGAAGTGGCCAAAAGTGGCTGAATTATTTGATCATGCGGTGCAGTAGGGACTTCCAAGAAGAACGGATACGAGTCGTTAGCGGCTCCTTCATTGAAGATGCTAGCTGAGCCAGAAAGGCCATCAAGGGGCTGAATTTCGTTGAAGGCTTCTCCGACCGAGATTTCCTGGTTCCAAGCACTTGTACGATGATTGTGGGAACCGGATTGATCTACCTCGTTCATCGCTGAATTGAAATTATAATCGATGCAAGAGCTGCTATAAGAAAACGGCTGGGAGGGAACGGGGACAAAGTTTGTGCCTTGATAGAACGGCCCGAAATCGGAGCCCTGGTCATGCCTCGTTGGCAGCGCTACATCATCGGACTGGTGCATGTCGTTCAGAGATGAAGGACACTCGGTGACAAAACCGGGAAAATTTGTCGTCATTAGGCTGTGACTTAAAACGGCAATCCCCTCTTTAATTCCCTGGTCGATTTGCCTCTGAACAGTTTGGCCAGTGCAAAACTGCTCAGGCGGGTAATGTTGAGAGATCCTTGGTAAAAGCGTGTGACTATGTTCCTGGAGGTGGTTGCAAATAAACTTTATGAGCTGGATACGATGAGGCTCCACATATGGGCTAGGGAACGGTGGCTTAGCATCTGGGAAAATGATCCTATAAAATCGTAACCACTGCTCAGGAAGGGAGGCATCTTTATCAGCTCGCTCACGGAGGCGTCTGATGGCTTCCTTAGTTAGAAAGTTCACATTGTGAGTGTAGTGTCCTACACAGACGGGACCGTGAAACAAACGCTGCTCCACAGTCAGAATTTGTAGGCATGATTCACAATGAGACTGTTGGTGATTGTCCATGAGATGAGCCCTAAGGTCTTGGATTCTTTTAAAGCCCGCGTTTGTACAAAGTCTGAACCCAAAGGGATTGTTCTTGTAGAAAGGGCAGTCAACTGGAACCTTTGCGGTTTTCGTTTGCCGATTCTTGTTCTTCGGTCTGCTCTGATTGTCCTCTTCAGAATCTTCATCATTGTTGTCATCGCCAGAAGAACCTTTTCGCTGCTGCTGCTGCTTCTTGGTTCGCCCATTTGATTTCGAGATCCTGTTTCCACCACGCGAAGATCCCGATGACTGGAGGTAGCCACTGGTGTGGCAAGATTTATCGCTCTCCTTGCGCGGGTTTCGTGCGCCGCATGTTCGCCAAAAGTGATCATCCAGGATGTTGATCACCTTTTGACGAAACTCATACCAAATTTCTTCAGCAAGGTCGTTACATGGAGCTTTTTGGGATGCTGGGGTCTCGCGGTTCGAGGATAGCGAGTCACGGTCGGCATCAGCAGTAGCAGTACCTGCAACACAGATGATGGAAGCAGCTAGAGTGTCGTCGGAAAGCGTGACGCTATCCGCGGTCGATGCACCAAGTGTTTGGCCGATCAAGTGTTCTCCAGCATATATTAGACGTCCAGCTTCCCATGAGAACTCTATGCGCCAGGGGAAAAGGGGCAGCATATCGACTTCGAGACCTGTGCCATTTTGAGGTATTTCTGAAGTGAAAATGTCGAGTTCATCCACGGAAGGCAGCTCAGATACTCGTACAGGGGAGACGTCAATACCAGAAAACAGGTCCATGTCCAGCCCGCAATCATGACGCGGGTGCGTGATTGACGTACCATCGGTCAAAACTGAAAAGGACCTGCCATGGGACGAGACTGAATGCACTGCAGTTTCTGCGTATTCAGCAGCGGGTGCTTCATATTGCAGTGGCAATTGGAGTGTAGAAGCAGAAATAACAGGAGCCGAGGTTATCCCCAACTGCTGCGACTCGCTTGGCGCCAAGTCGAGGTCAACATGGTGCTGAGACTCGTTGTCGTCAGTTATACACCCGCCACCAAGATTTTGAAAGAAATGGCCCGATTGTAGGTTCTCTTCGCGGTTCACGGAGAATTCGAATTGATCAAGCACCTACACCAATGCGTGTGCAGTAGTTAGTATGAATTACTCCCAAAATATTTAATGCGGAGTAGAGAGTCTTTCAGAAAAACCCCCAGGGCCCACCTCCACTTACTCTAAGGAACAATTTTGTGGGGCTGCGTTGGTTCGTGGCGATCCCCCGTGCTGCTGCGCTGTCTTCTGGGGCCTGCATTGTGTTGCTCCTAGCCGCTTCCTTAATATTGATTGCTATTGAGAGGGCGGCAGGAATCGATATCTTGAGTTTAAAGACATGTTCGTATGTTGGAATCTTAGCATTTATATACTATGACATGACCGCCAACTGGCTGCGTTGACGCGCTACTCGACCATCAACAACCAAATTTTGCTTTTTGTCAAGTGGATGCACTGTTGGTGTTCTGCATCTCCAAAGTGAATGCGTTTGTTTAAATGCAGGTCAGTCCAATAGGAAGTCGCCCTGTTGCATGGCTTGGACCAGCACCCCAGTCGCTGGTTCCTGCCGGATTGCTTGTGAGCCAACCAGAATAGTTGCACTTCAGGAAAAAGGACTTTTTAAACGAAACTCCAACGAGTGAAGCGGAACTCTTTCCTGGCCACACGGTTAGAAGCTCGAGTAAGCATCAGGTACAATCTTTATCAAAGTCAACAACGAATCACAACCAGTTTTTCAGCTCCATGATAAGATGACAAGAAGCTAGAGAAACTGAATGCCGTGCTTGGATTATTCCGTACGTACGACCACAAAGAATTGTTGCTCTTTGAAGGAACACCACCGCTAGACCTAATCCGGATGCGGCAGATCCGGCCACTCTCGTTGTTCCCGCATAATATCACGCAAGGCGACTGGACGGCCAAGTATCTCAGACTGACTTCAGTCGATGGGCATTTGGAAAGACAACATGACTTGTGCGCGCCAGCCAAGCCGACTTGCCCGCAATATTGGGATCAGGTCCGTTGAAGTCATGAGGAAAGCCGAGCTGGAACGGTCGCACGCTCTCCAGTGAGGTAATTTGCTTATCAGTGAGCTTGATGCTCAACCCCCTGATGTTGTCTTGCAAGTGCTCAACCTTCCGACCACCCAAAATTGGGAAGACGTTCGGCGCTTTGTGCAGCACGTACGCCAGTGCGATTGCAGTGACAGACTCAATGCCGTGCTCAGCGGCTACCTTCGCCAGAGCCGCGCTCATTCTCACTTCTTCTGGCGTCTGGTAGGCTCCGGAGAGCAGGCGCAGGGGTTCGCCTATTTCTTTGCGCTGCTCAATTGCTGCTTTGGTCTGGAACTTACCTCCTCCCAAAACATCCCACCTACGTTGACATCAGCCACACTCAGGGTCAAATACCAGACCAAGCGAGCGTAAATTCGACATGATTCATTGAAACACAAAGGCTTTCACGCACAGTAAACAGGGATTAACTCACGGAGCAAGCGCCATCCCAAAATGCCGAGCCATGGGGATTATATCTCTTTCAAATGCCCTGGTCATGACATTCCATCGACCCTGGTAGACACTAAATGGCGTCTTTCCATGGTCGGCAGCGTAGGTATTGGCTGCCGCAACAATCCACGCTGGTGTATCAGAGACACCTAGGTAGAGTACCTTACCTTGCTCTACTAGCATGTGGAGAGTGTCCATAAGCTCTTTGATAGAAGTCGTCTGGTCCCACCAATGAATGTATAAGATGTCGATGTAGTCGGTCTGCAACTTCCTTAATGAGTCCCGTACACTCATATGAATGACCTTTCGGTGATTACCGCTGAAGTTCGCCGCTTGCGGGCCTTTTCCGATGGCGTGGCTTCGGTAATCCGTGGTAAACTTGGTCGCAACTACAACGGAGTCACGAACTCCGCGTTCTTTCATCCACTCTCCGATCCAGGTCTCAGACTGCTCGTCCTGATAGTTGTTGGATGTATCGATAATATTACCACCAGCTTCATAGTATGTGTCAAGCAACTTGAAGGAGGACTCTTTATCCATGGAGCCAAGAAAACCAGACCAGGCCTCGCCGATTGACATGCCACCCAATTGAAGAGGAGAGACCCTTATTGCTGCAGTTGAGGAAAATATCCGGTGGCGGCCGAGTTCCGTTGCTGGCTCTGGCGTGCTTTGGAAAGCCATTGTTCGTTTAATATTGAATTTCAACGCCGATAATCAATGGCCGAGGATGCTTCAGCACTCAAGCAAACGCTTTCGTGCTGTATTGACGCAGATGGTTGTGCCGGAACAGCTTAAATATAGATGTCCCTTCTACAGCAAGTGAGGTCTCGAAGCAGTGATATTCGCCTTGACAGCGCGGCAAGCGACACCATTGCTCTGCTTTTCACATGCATGATTCTGTTGTTTGATCGCTGACACGTGATTAAATACTCCTTGAAGTGGAAGGTGAGAAATATTCGAGGTCGAAACACCTATTGTTCCTAATTGCACTTGCCGGGCCGTTGTCGGACCGTGGAACATTGCATTCCAGCCCGCTACCTTCATCTTTCGTCAAACACTTCGTACTGGATGCATGAAAAGAACTTTGCAAGTTGCTAGTTTGTGCACTGGTCATTTGTATTTATCTTGTTCTTCATTACCACGATTTTGGCGCAAACTTGTTTTACACCCAGAAGCATGTTCAAAGAGGTCTACTAGTAAGATGCGGTATATCCTGCAACCACCGGATAAGTCGCGTAGTCCCAGGACTCTGCTTTCGAAAGCAGCTGATAGTCAATTCCGTCGCCTCCTCCGCTAACGTATAGCAGCTTGGTGTATGCAGCTGTCGCGTAATAGCTGAAAGATGTCTCAGCGGGGACGAAAATAACGTCGCCCTGGATCAGGGAAATGGTGTCATAACCATCGACCTCGACGGCAAGCTGACCCTCCTCCAACTGGAACGCAAGCGGCTGCGTGTAAGACACTGTGGTGGCAATCTGATTCGCGAGCAGCGGGCTGATGACTATATTACCCATAGTGAAGTTGTCGGCGGTCTGCGCACCAGTTGCAAGCGGGCTGATCAAGCGGTAGACACCGTCGTCGGTGTTCAGATATTTGGGGCCCTGGTTCTTGGCGACGAAGTTAGGGGTCACCTCATCGGCGGCGAGAGCGTTTGACCCGTTGTGCCAGTTTGCCTCACCACCAGCACTGCCGTTGACAATGTCCCGGCGAGGGTTGAAGTCGAGCTGGGCGTAGACGTCAAACGCTTCAAGAGCTGTGATCAGGGAAGCATCGGAGCCTGCTTCGTCTGCAATATCGGCGGGAACGAACTCGGAGCCCAAAGGAGACTCGTAATCAGTACCGAGGGCAATGAAGAGAGCCTCGAAACCACCTGGCTGAATGACACCAGTGAGTTGGGTATCGGGGTCTGTGATCTGGAAGGTGTGGATGGTGTTTTGCGGGACAGCACCGTAGTCTCCCTGCGTCAGGACTCGAGCAGCTTCTCCCGTCGCGTTGGTCTCCGCCCAGATTTGAACTCTACCCTTGGTGCAGTAGAAGTTCTCATAGTGCTCCTTGTGGATGTGAGGCAAGACACCGAGACCTGTCTTGTCAGGCGCATTGGTGTTCATCAAGGTGAAGGCACCATCAGAAGAATTGCCAGTAACAGCGAAACGGTATACTTGTGAACCAACTTGGACGGCTTGGCCAGCACCCTTGCGCAGAGCGTATGGTCGAAGGTACTGAGGAGCTTCATCTACAATGAGTGTTCCATTACTAGCTCTCTTTCCGACACAGTTAGGCAGAGCGGCGACCAGCGAAAACGCCGAAGCCAGCACAGTCGCGGTTTTCATCTTGATTTCTTGCGCTAGGTGTTGGTGTCGGGACAGATAATGATAGTAATCGACGCAACCAGTCGGGCTGAAAGAATTCGAAGACAGATGTCGTTCACTTGGGATGGACAGGCTCAGGCAACGAGAAAGGAATCTTCATAGAAAGCAGGTGCAGAAGAAGGTAATATATCCGTGTTCGCTCCTTGCAGGATCCTCCGCCTTGCAAATCTGGAAACACCCGGGCAGACTCCATTCGTTACATCGGCGACGTTGCCCAAATGCCTTTTGCTTGCATGGGCAGAGGCGTCATTATGGATCTGCCGGGTTTGCATGGGAAATGCGTGTGGGCCATCAAGACTTTCTATCTCATCTCGACGCATAGATCTGCAAGGGACATGCGTACAACGATATCCATCCGAACATGCCGTGCAGGGACAGAATTATCATCATAGCCTGCACGGGGCATACTATGCGCACGACACGCAAATACTGTTTGTAGAGTGGATCGGCCCGTGGACCTTATCGTGAATCGCGCCCGGCATTTCTTCCAGGAACAAGCAAACTGGATCCAACGTTCCGTGAAACAAGCGATTGCGCCCATGTCATATCTTCAATAAATCCACATGGTACCCTTGTCGCTCCTGAAATTGGTAGGTGCCAATGATTTTCCCGAATTCATCGCCGGCGGCAATTCCGAGCAGCCACTACGGAGATTCCGGCTCCCCACAAAGTTCAGGTCTGTCTGCATTTACCATGACTGTTGAATACTTATAGCGCAAACAGCGCTCGTATAGGTGTGTAGCATCGGCGATATGAAAATTGATGTTACAGGTATGTAGTCGCGTTGCGAAATCGCTTTGATAATTTCGTGATTTGAAACAAGGCGAAGCCGCTGACTAATTTGGCCAAGTATTTGACAAGCTTTCTCAGTGCCAAATGTGCCAAATGATGTGAAGTGTCGTATCCATTCTCCAGCTCTGAGTCTGTTAAGACCTTAGGTTCGGTATTCATAGGTGTGACATTATACATGACGTGCTCAGGAAACTAATTTTAACTCCTTTTTTATTCACTTTATCGGTAATCAGATCAGGGCTTTTGGCAAAGACACCTCAGCGCCGACGAAGCTGCTATAGGCTGTAGCTTAACCCGCTGAAGCTCAAGTCCCGTAGTCTTTTTGAAGCTCTGTTTCAGAGCTACATCGAGTACTTAACTCCGAACTCTCTCTATTAGCAACTATAGTACTTAATGTCTTGCTACTTGTTGGCCACAGCACTAAGGGCGTAGCGAGGTGCCAAGTAGCCATTATTCATACCGGAACCGTCGCCAGCACCCTCATCTTTTACACGGGTGACGACTGGGAGGATCAATTACTGGGTTGTTAAAGGAGATTAGCCAAAAGAGGCTCGGTGGATAGGAGTGCCGGAGTTCCATTTGAATACAATACACCATCCCAGTGGAACCGATGCAGCGGCTTAGTTTTTCGATATTGGCTATGAGGCAAGATCCCGAGCATCTAGTCATACCGTCTATTATAGGTAGATTCTCATACTCTATATAATTGAGAACGATGAAAAAACATTAACATCATAATTCAGAAACACACAACACGAGGGGTTTCCTTATGGTCACCCAAAAACATACCTACCTGGCGAGCAGGGATTAATTACCCCACAGCTCATAACACGGCAACGTATAACGTATAAACCACCAACCTAGCCATATAGGCCTGGTACGAGTTTTTTAAAGGTAGTATATTTTCTCATTACCACGCTATTTTTGCCATTTAATTACCATCTTAATTATTTCTCTCATTTCGTTGAATGTTAAGAAAATTTATAATATTTATGCTTTAGATTATTTCGAAGTTGTCTAATTCTTACTTCGCAAATTAATAATTGCGTTTCGGCGGTGAGAGAGCTCAAGACCGAGCTAAATTGGCAGCACAGTGCCTAGCAGTTCGAGGATTGAAATGGAGAAATAAATTGATATTGATACATGCAAAGACACGGTCAGGTCGGGGCTGGGAGGCGAGCATTTCATTCACTATGAAACACTTGCCTTGAACTATATATCACTTCGCTTGTCTCGAGGAGACGCCCACGCAATAAGCATCACCTACCCATCTCAGCATCTGCGAACGAGGAACCGCTGGTTGCGACAAACCCTCAATGAGTCGCCATCGTAAGCCACGTACCAAGCGTTGCAGATTGTTGGCTGGCTTGACTGAGTTTGTCCTGGTGGCCGAGCCATGGTGAACCCCTTAGGATACCTGACCAAATAACTAAGTAAATATCATAAATAGGCCCGAGAATTGAAAAGTATACCCTAAACAAATGAAACGCCACAAGTAGTTCGCAGTAGCCAGTACATATCAACTCCAAGTCTGCGCCTGGTCGTAATCGCTCATCATTCATAATATTCAACTATACCATTGATCTAGATTATTGTGTTTTACAAATCCCTCGACATCTTCACTCGAAAACCTTATTGTTCTGCTTCATCTTCCAGACTACGGCGTTGGTGGAGATGTATTAGAAGGTCCAGCCATTTTCAAGGGCGGTGAGGTTTCTGGCTCTGGTTCTGGGGAAACAACAATGACAGGCAGATGGTCACTTGCTGCTAGAGTCACTTTAGGCTCAGGTTTTGCTGGCAGACTGTTGCGCATCTGTGCCGCGTGGGTCGGTGACGGCACCTCCAGCGTCTCTCGACGTCGCCGACGGCCTCGAATCTCACCAGACAAGTTCGAGTGCATGTCGAGCAGGGGACCGGGCGTTCGCCCTGTGGGCAAAGTGCTTGCCCGAACAGCACGAGGTGGGTTGGTGGGCAACTGAATGGTTGGTATCTGTGCGGACGGCGGCGGCGATTCTCTTCCATGCCGTGACATATCTTCACTCACGTTAAGATGTGAGTCTGGGCTGCCTTCCCGTGATTGCTCACGTAACGAAGGCGAGGTCCAGACTTGTCTGAGCTGAGATATTTCACGATTTCGATTGTCCTCGCCCGGAATTTCAGGATAGTCCGTGGCTGGTCCTTGTTGGAACTCAGTCAAGTCGAAACGCTTACGGGAAGGCGTTCCGATATAATTGCCCATTTTGTTCAAAGCAGCGGCAAACATCCGTCGATTACCAGCATCCCTCATATTTGTTGCATTCGAGCGGCGACTCATTATGTTCGTTAAGCGACTGCCGAATTCCGACTCTGAAACACGGGGCGGGCTATCAGGGGATCCGCCATGGCCGTGTCGGCTCCTGGCGGGTGAGAGTCTCGGGCTTGCGTGAAAGACGCCACCATTAGGATCATGTGCGCTCTTGGTCTCAGAGTATTCCGACATAGCTTCATCGTCCACAGCTTTGGCCAGCAAGATATACAACGAACCGAATGCGGCAAGAGCTGTTCCGACGATCGAACCCCATTGGCCTGTATAAGTCAGTAAGTGATTAGTGTCTTGGTATGATCAACAGTAGATAGTCACTCACCAACGCTCCCGATTGGCTCGGTCATATAGTTCACAGTTTTGCTCCAAAAGTTCTTTTCGCCGAGAATTACGATAGCCATCACGGCGGCGCCGAAGACGGGAATTTCTATGGCGACCCTGAGATATTTCTTGATCTGCTCCTGGACCGTCATCATCTGTCTATCCGTGGCGCCATTCGTGCCGTCTATCATTTGATCAAGCTCGGTATTAGGCTTTGGGAAAAAATGCTGCGCCCAGTTGGCTTCTGCGATGCGATTCCACATGGATGCAAGTGATAAAAGGGCCGGGAGACAGCATGCGGCCGCAAGGAGTGTGCCAGTGCCAAAGGTCAGGACGTGGGGAGCCGGAATTACATAAATGTTATTTGTGCTTCCATTCCAACTTCGCATTGGCGACCACGGATTCCCAGGACCAATATCGCAAGTGATTCCGCATGTAAACGGTTCGCCGAAAGGACCATAGGGAAAAGCATCCGGGTTACTATCTGTTAAGGGGTTGCCTTCATTGTCTTGCAAACATGACTTCGAATTGCTACGGTAGAACTCGACCGTCAAACTCAGAAGCCCAGCCAGAATAAGACCGGTCCAGACAAAGATGAGATTCCGACCGCGATCATTGAAATACGTGGAAGAAAGTTTGACTGTGACCGGTGCTGCTAGAATACCGATTGCGCATATTTGGAAAGCCCCATATATATCCATATCGACAGCATCTGCCCATGGAGATCAGTATAATAGTGGCGCCGATGAATGCCAAGAACTTACCATCTGTGTGCACTATAGCCAGGACGATGCCGTGTATGGCGGCAATCGCCGGCAGCAAGAGAGCAGCCGCCAAGCATGCTTTCTTCAGCCATTCTACTTTCCGGGCGAGTAGACAAGCTACGACGAGTGCGTAATATCTGATAATATTAGGTTGGTACGTTTTGGATCATAGACTATTGAGCTGAAGTAGAAGACCTACAAGACTCGAGAACCCGGTCCGTATTGACCGCTCACAGGCCAAGCGCAGACTACTTGCAAAGCGTTGCTGGTAGCGTTGGAGTCGCGGGCAATCAGATTGTTTATCACCGCTGCAGTTGTGGGGATGGCTGGCATATCCGCATTTCCTCCAACATCAAGAATTCTTGTGAATCCTTGGTAGCGAAAATTTAATGGTAACCTCAAGCACGTGGGTTCAGCGGGGGAAAGCGAGTGGTTCGAGGGGGCATTGTTGGGCTTTTGAAGAGGCTCAATGGCAATTGAGAATGGGAATCTAATTGAAGCCACGACATACGCCCAGGGGACGAGGACAAGGCTCGGGGTCTCAGGCACCTCATCCGCACACTCGTGCTGACTTGCCCGTACTGGCCCTGTGATCCTTCCAGCCCTGTAAGGTGAGATCTGCAAGCCATCAATGGTAAATGAGGTGTGCTTCTGAACACAGAACGCACGGCGCAGTCCATTCACCAGCCGTCACCTGCAGCAAAGTCACGAGAATCTATGGCAGATCCACCAATGGAATTGATAAAGAAGTTCTCGCAAACGCAGCTTAGTCTAAGTATGCGGCAAGAGTCTGAACGGGCGCCAAGCTACTCCCTGAGAGGAAATACCTCACTTCAGTCACCGACGTTGCGGGGTATCTTGCGGCTTAGACCAGCCACGGGGAGCTGACAGGCACCTTCGATTTGTTGACAACATAATAATAACAGCACTGCCACCACCCGCTTGACGCTAGAAGCTTTGGAAGCTTGGCTGCAATTCCATGGCACAGCGGTGACTAGACGCTACATGTTCCAAGGATCAGAAGTCTCTATCGATTGGCGTCATCAAAGCATTGACTTCAAACCAAGCGGTAGCCCCAATTGTAGCAGCCAACTCTATACCCGCGTACAGCATTGAAGCATCATCCCATGTTCATATGAGATCTCTGGCACCATCGCATGTCATTCGGGTGAGACAAAAATTGACGTCTCATTCTGCGACGGAGTACTGACGCTCTATGCGTAGATGGTATCCTCTTAACACTGCAGTCCCAAGCACAGGTCCGTACCAGTAGTGCAAACCGCTGGCGACATGACCTCCGACTCCACTCTAACAGCCGTATCACCGTCCTAAGGCCTTGATTCCCCTCGTCATGGCGGAAAGCAACAGCGCTGATATAATCGATCTGAATACCGACAAGATCAGAGAGTGGCGGTCAATCGTCATTCTCATCGTATTTGTCCTGACCAGTGAGTATCTCAGGACCGTCACCGCGGCGAATGCGCAACGATCGATCATGTCGCTTATGTCGCAATAGATATTAATGTGTTATTTCCCTATCACATTCCTATATACGTTCCACGCGTGCTGGTCAATGCTGGCCTAGATACACTCGCTGCGCTGAGACTTATCGCCAAGACAAATCATGGCTGTCGAGATGGCCCTGCAATCGGCCACTCCGCTGTCAAAGGTGCAACATTTGTTCTCTTCAGATTTCCCATGAACTTCTTAACAGCTCCCTTGGTTGCTGATCTCTTCCTGCTGGCTATCTCGGCCATTGGTGGAGATGAGGTCTACCAGGGCGTTGTCGAGGCTAACAATATCAAGCCGTATGATATTATGATATTCTTCATCTCGTTAGCATATATCGCCATCTCCATTGATGCTTCTGGACTCATCAGATGGTTAGCATTCAAGGTTCTACAGAGAGGAGGCAGTGCTGGTCACAAACTGTTCTTCTATCTGTATTCCTTCTTCTTCGTGCTGGGCAGCTTCATTGGCAACGACCCAATCATTCTATCCGGCACCGCGTTCCTGGCATACATGACTCGTGTATCGAGCAATATCGTTCATCCCAGGGCATGGATTCATTCTCAGTTTGCCATTGCCAACATCGCCTCCGCCATCCTTGTCTCGTCTAACCCTACCAACCTGGTACTGGCAGGCGCATTCGGGATTCGGTTTCTGGACTACACGGCGAATATGATCGTCCCGGTCGTCATTACTGCAATATTCCTTTTCCCATTACTTCTCTATCTAATATTTAACGATGAGAAATTCGTCCCTTCCAAGATCGATATGCATGAGCTACCTCAGGAAATCAAGGACAAGAAACCGGTCAACCCAAACATTCCGCACGCCAGAGGCAAGGCCGAAGAGGAGGAGAACCAGCACATCAATGATGAGCAAGGCAAGGTACTATCACTGGAAGAGATCATGAATCCTTTTCTGGACAAGGGTGGTGCTAGTTTCGGAGCTTTCATCATGGCAGCAACCCTCATCACTTTGATCGCGCTGAACGCGTCCGGTCACGAATGGCCAGTCTTTTACGTCACGTTGCCCGCTGCAGTGGTCATGCTCATCTGGGACATTGCCTACGGTTGGATACACCGTCATGAAACTCGAAAGATTGCTCAAGCTGGCCGACTGGAGGTAGAAGAAGCTCGTGCAAAGCGTGCAAAGGAGGAGGAAGAGTCGAAACAGCGAGACCTGGCTCAGCAGCGCGATCATGGATCTCAAAGCAGGATGCCTCTAACAGAAACCAATCCATCTGGAGATCACAGCAATGGTGATAATCGTTTTCCCGAGCTCTCGGTTTCTAATACGGAGAACGAATATAGCGAAAAAGGCTCGGAATCAAGACCGTCGAAAGGGCTGTTCAGGGATGAGACACCAAACCAAGAACACACCAAAGGCACTTCTAAATCAATTGAAGAAGAAATAGAGAAAGAGGAGAAAGCGGCCGATGCCCAGACCCGCCCTACACACGACTCCCACACGCTCAGCTCATATCTGGCCGACAGATACAGATGGTCTCAGGAAACGTTCCCGACGGTCACAGCCGTAATTTCTCATTTACCATTTGCGCTCATACCTTTCGCGTTCTGCATGTTTACTCTGGTGCAAGCACTAGTCACAAAAGGTTGGATCGCGGTGTTCGCATATGGCTGGGACCACTGGGTAGGCAAGACAGGAACCGTCGGTGCCATTGGTGGCATGGGCTTTCTGTCAGTCATCTTGTGCAACGTAAGTCCCTTCTCAAGCACTTCGCCCGTCATTCATCATATGCCCTATGTATCCCAAACTAACTTACAAGTAGTTCGCAGGAACGAACATTGGCACCACCATTCTTCTCTCACGTGTCATTCAATCCTGGGCCAAGATCCACCAACTGAGCGGACAGCCCATCACGGAGCGTACATTCTGGGCTACTGTATATGCCATGGCACTTGGCGTCAATTACGGGGCCTTCAGCACGGCTTTCAGTGCGTCGCTGGCCGGTCTGTTATGGCGAGATATACTTGCCAGGAAACACATCCGCGTCAAAAGCCTTGACTTTGCGCGTGTAAACCTACCAATTATCGCCATTTCAATGACTGTGGGGTGTGCCGTGCTCATCGGCGAGGTGTATATAATGAGACACGATGTCGATTACAACCCAGAGTGGCTCCATTGATGAGTCCTGGAAAATAGACACTTACATATATAGATGATTTTCCATACTTTTATTAACAGACGCGTTACGTATGGTGATCAGCAGTAAGTATTTCGATGATGTGTGATTTAACGACAAGGAACAGAGCTAACCTCCGTTCCACTGAAAGGTACCTAGTGTGCCCCAGGTGAATAAATGAGGCACCGATTATTTATTGCTACGGTACAGCAGAGACCAAATCTCCTGTCTGTGTTGGGCAGCGAGACGAAACGACGGACATTTGGTCACGCCCGACTCTGGCTGCTGCGATATAGAAATTTGGAGCTACGCTCAGGAATCTCGGTTTTAGCGTAGATATGCTGCTAGATCAGGATAGTCCTCTTCAATATTCATGCGGTATCTTTCAATGCTCTCTGTAATCAGACACCTGCGAATCTCCGTCCAGGAAATAGGCATTTCACCAATAGCAGTAGAATATGGGAGCACCTCGTAGTCGACTTCCTCTCCGCGAGTCATAGTGAACCGAATGCTTTCATCCTGTCTGGCGTACAGTGGATATCCAATTATTTCTGGAAATCCATCGTGTTTGGAAACTTTCGATGTGCTTGAAATATAGCCGCTGTTCATGTTAACATCGCATTTTCCATCAAGACCCATGCACCTGAAGATGCACCTTCTCTGGTCGAGACCATCTCGCGGAAATACCACGGGGGTGGCACATGCCTAAAGTCATACACCAGCGGAGGGTGCACATCCACCAATCGACTATAATTATGTTGCTATTTCATAATGTATCCACAGCGGGTGATAAGGTAGACAGTCTTCTAATCATTAGTGCTTGCAATGAAATCGCCGAGGTCGTCACGCAAACAGATCATGTGGGGGACTTGATATCGGAGGGTGAGTGTGTCCAGCCTGAGACCGGTTAAAACCCCCAGAGCGGTTGACAGCTGGACGGACCGCGGTGCGATAGGATCCGGTTCGTCTAATCTCTTTGGTAACAATATCTTGCCGCAAACCACGTCGACGTCGCGCACACTCTCCCGAAGTATCTGGGGTAGCTATCCAAGCAGTCTGATCATGTGGTCCGGCGTTGTGAAGACGAAGGTGACATGCGATACCCAGCTCTGTCCAATTTCTCGGGCGATGCAGCGGCAGGTGATCAAGATAGAGAGCGGTTGGCTATCCACTGGAGGTCCACCTGTGTTATCAGGTTTACGAGCGCAGAAGTAGTACCCGGGAGTGTGTTGGATCCTGGTGGAGCGGAAGAGCTCTCTGTAGACTTTATCACGCAGCTCTTGAGATAGCTTATACAGTTCGCTCTCAGTTTGCGGGTAGAAGTTGCGATCTGGCGAGACTCCAAGACTCATATCCATGAAAGGCAATGCTTTGGTGCCGTACACTGTGTACGGGTTCGGCAACGATATTGATGGAAGCCGAAAAAAATCGACAGTGAAGCAGAGAATGACGGATAACTGAGCCCTAAGTTATCTGAAGGCTTTTCTAGAAAGTGTAATCTTTTGTGGTGGATGAGGCTGTAGATAAAATATTGCTCTATAAACTTCATGAAGTAGGTACTCTAAGAATTTCTTCGGCTATTTGAGCAGTTCTGAAAATGAGTCTGTTATTCTGATTCACATGATGCCGAAGTTGTTTACCACATGCGCTTGCCATTAAAGAAGCCGCAACTGTGAATAATAGAATATTCATCAAACCTTTAATCGTCGGTATTATGTCCGGTACAAAGACTTTACAACCACCACTATCCTTTTAATCGCCATTGCGGCCCAAACCGCTTCTTATAGTCGTTGTGGACAGACAAGCTATACAAGAGACCATCTCCTTCATCTTGCATAGCCTCTTGACGTGTTCGCGGCCAGCGCTGGTAGTAGTAGCCTGCGTACACATGAATCGGGTAACACGGTTCGAAAATTTCAACGTTACAGTTGGGGAGGGCTCTGCGTAGCAAAACATCATTATCCAGCACTCCATTCTTCCCGGGCACCTCATCGGTATCCGTTCCAGTCGGCAAGCCCCTGATTTGGAGCCCTCTCAAAGAAAGTTGTCTCAGCTGCGAGAAGTGATCGCCTCGCTCTAACAACAGTCGTAGGACAGATCTACAGAAAAGCTCATCCCCGCGATCGGGATCAGTCGACTCTGTGGGTTGGAATGCGTTGCGAGCCGATCTCTTCAGTTCAGGGACTGGGTCACTATCACCAGCAGCACTGCCCTCGTTCTTTGGGATTCGGTGCTCAAGTATCAACTCTTTGAGCGTGCCTGATACTCCTTGGAGGATGATCATCCATTCTCTGTTCATGATCTGTTCATACCGGTGTGGTATGTCATAACCGTCGGAGTTGGGCGCGGTCCGAATAATGGTCTCGCCAGTGAACGGTTTGATCAAGTGCAAATGTGTGAGCGCTCTGAATTGTTGAGGTAGTGACCTTGGAAGCCATATTGGACTGTGAAAGGCCCAGGTTTGTGGCTCCCGGTCACCATCTGAGTCGTCCTCGTCCTCATCCTTCCAATCGTCTTCATGAGCTTCCCCACTGGTCTTACCCTCCGAACTGGGCGAGAGTGCAGCTACCGCAGCATCAATCTGTTGGTAACACTCGGCTTCCTTCTCGGCGACCAGTGCCCAATCATCATCGTTGTTTAGAAGGGTGTCAGCATAAACAGCATCATCAGTCGGTGTTGCAAGCAACCCCAAGTCTAAGTATTTAATATGTTCACAATTGCTGCAAAATATTCTCACCAGAGCAGCTGAGAAGTATCCTCGGAGCCTGAGGTTCTGCAAGTTTGGCAGCCATACATCCGGTGCTGTCACTGCATGCCCTTTCTCCAGGGGCAGGCCGACGAGCTCCAAGGACTTCAGATTTCTGAAACTTCCAATCACCTCCACTACCTCGCTGTCGACGCCAATCGACATGCATAGCGAGTGGACATGCTGCGCCAAGAAGTTCCAGCGCTCCACCGACGTAATCTCCCTGACCCTCACGAAACTCTCCTCCCTCCCGAACTGAAGGTTCCTTCGATTGCAGTTGTCAGTAGCTCTGAGGTCATTGCGGTCGCGACTTCGCCAGTGGCGTCTCTTGAGCTTGAGGTCCTTCGCCCATTGATCGGGATTGAACTCATCTTGGGCATACTTGCGCAAAGATGGCTGATACACCAACTGTTTATGCGGATATCTGAGTTCCTCTCGGCGCGTCCATTCAAATCGTTCTTCACGTTCTTCGGGCCCTTCGTGCTCTATATCCTCCGTCTCCCCCTCTATGTCAATACCCTCATGTGTGCCTCGGTGATGGAGCTCAACCTCGTCCCAGATGACTGGGGTCAGCAGGCGCTCTAGGACTCGGCATGTTCGGCCCAGTGCTACTTGGTCTGGCAGCAGAAGAAGCGAGGTGATTTTCTGGAACAACTCGATGGGCAGCGAGGCCAACAGCAGGTTCATTCTGAACAAAGTTATGATTGGGACTTAAAATTGACTTTTAAGGGAAAGCTCAAAGACACAACGACCTGTCATGATTGGTGAGCCTCCTTCATCTCGCTGGCCTCATCCATGCGCTGGTTGTCAGCCTAAATAAGCGATTGCCTGTTTGAGCGCGCTGTGCTGAACCATTCGGAACAAAGTCTCCACTATGTTGCTAAACAGTTGGGTGAGCGCCACCTCAATCAATGATGTACAACGAGCTTGCAATGAAAGCTGTTGGGCTATATCATCGCACTCAATATGAGGTACCCCATGCCTGAATGGCTGCGAAAGTTGCATGAAGCACTTGTTGCCGTGCCGGATGAGTCACTATCCTTCTACGGCACTATGTAGGATTGCGCGAGATCTGACCAATGGCTGATGCTTCTGCCATAAAGACTAGTCGACAGACCAGACTTCAGGCCATGATGCCTCGAGAAACGATAACTAGGTCCTTTCAAAGCTGATGCTCATACCAGGCAACGAGATACGAATTATAGAGATGTCTGCGAAAGCAAACGAATCACAACAGACGACTGCATCGCAGAATGTCTATGACACAGCTGAGTTTTTCAATGGGTATGTGAAGCTGGAGAGGCAAGTCGCGGGCCTCGCCGGCGCCCCAGAATGGCCAAGGCTACGGGCAATGCTACCAGCGTTGAACGGGACCCGAGTTCTTGATCTTGGGTGTGGCATGGGATGGTTTGCTCGCTGGGCGAGAGAGGGCGGCGCCGCTCATGTTCGCGGGGTAGACTTGTCGGAAAACATGCTCGACAAGGCGCGCAGCCTGACCACTGTGGAGGGCATTGAATATCAAAGGGCTGACCTAGAGGAGATTGAGCTCGCAGAAGCCGATTACGATCTCGTCTTCAGCTCGCTCGCCTTTCATTATCTGGTCAACTTACCAGCACTATTCAGGGAGATCCGGAAGGCGTTGAGGCCGGGCGGCAGGCTGGTATTCTCAATTGAACATCCCATCTTCACGGGGCCGACTCGTGGTGGGCTAGTTACTGCCGAGGACGGGCGCAAGATATGGCCATTGGATGCTTACCAAAGAGAAGGACTGAGACTCCGGAACTGGTTCGTGGACGGTGTCAGGAAGCAACACCACACAATGGGAACATATCTGAATATACTATTGCGGGCCGGGTTCGAGCTGACGGATTTTGTTGAATGGTGCCCGACAGCTGAGGACTTGCAGAAGTTCCCTGATTGGGAGACCGAGTTTATTCGACCAACGTTTTTGCTGATTGGTGCGACCAAGAAGGCTTCTTGAGAAGGTCTGGATTGAAGGTGCACGATTTCGTTCATTCAGATCCCAAGGCTTGATCAACCTAACCTAATTGATTGACTTGACCTGAAATGGCATCGCAGTGCAAGCATGTGATAAGCGGTTAATACTTGGCACCGTGAGCCGGGCGATAAGCTCGAGCTGTGCTTGACTTTGAATCAACTAGGTTAAGCTTAGGTGAGTGGGACCGGGACTGGGGTAACAAGCTGACCGGCTGAGACCTCCAGGCTCAAGGCGGGTGCGTCACTCGCTGGCAATGGGCAGTGGACAATGGGCAATGGGCAATGGGCCTCGAGGAATTGAATGTGGGAATCTCCAACGCCGAGCTACCTTAACCGCAGGCAATCCGTAAACAATCCCCCCATGGACGTTTGGGGATGGTAATCTGACCCGACGACACCATCTCATACAAAACGCAGTCTCGTGCAATCCCTCGTTTTCTTTTCTGCCGGTTGCTGTTGCCCGTGTCTCTTGCCATGAGATAACAATCGGCAAGGCGACAGCGGCCCCGGATTTCTGGTGCTGGTACGGAGACTCTGTACCCTTTGTGGACAGATTCCCCGTCATTGCTCCCTCCCTATCCAACCACCAAGCACCTGTCACTGTGCGGTAGCTCCCTACTGAGTTGAGTTACGCGCGATTCAGCCATCTGCCATCCCGTTCGCATCCGAGCCCCCATCATCCGTACGCAGTTTGCGGCCACGACAGGTCGCATTCCCCATCCGTAATTCCGGCATCAGGCCCAGGGGCATCGCAAGAGTTTCTCGCTCTCAATTGTTTGAATGCTTCCCTTGAACCCATACCTGGCCGCCTTCTTCCGACACGGCAACCCCATCATCGCCCAGTGCTCCCCAGTGCATCACCACGTCCTCCTCGTCCCAACCACCGAATTCCTCCTCACCTCCCGCGAGACCGAGAGTGGCCAGTCGCCTTCAGAGCTCGTAGCCTCTGAAGACTTCTTGGGCAGCCATGTGCTCAAGATACCCAGCAGTGTTGCGACAGCGGGAGGGAAGGATTCCGGCGTGGGAAATCTGCGAGAGCTGAGGGGCAAAGCACGACAATACAATACCTTAAACGGCCGCAGTGTGGTTATCAAGGATGCATTCGTGTACAGCAACAAAGGTGCGCTCTCCTTTCTCTGCCCATCTATCTATCCATCCATCGAGGTACAGCCTGACTAATGTCATGCACCAGGCTTCAAGAGTCTTGCACAAGCCCAGATACTTGGTGATGCCATCTGGTACGCCGACTCGCTCGAACCGAAGCAATGGCTGATATACTACATATCGCGACCCTTGGTAGGGACGTGGGACGAGGTCCACGTTCCCCGGGCGGTACTCACCCCAGGTATGGCCAAAAGGAGGCTCGCTCAGGCCAAGCAAGCAGCAGCCATCGAGAACGGGGAGCCGAGTCTCCCCAAGAAGAAAGAGATCAAGACCTTCCATGATCTCCTGAACAACTTTCCCATCATCGCGAGGCAGATGCAATCTGGTCTCGACAAGCTATTCCGAGAATTTACCATAGTCTTCGAGAGGCCTCTTCCGCCGCCGCCTTCCGCAGTACATATTCCTGATCCCCTGCCGGATGGGCCAATCGCGACAGCTATGAAACACGTGCGATCGAATAGCACAACGCCAGGTCAGGTTGGCACGAACGGCCCTGGCCCCAGCGAAAGCAGGCACACCAGGGTGACGGAGAATTTCTTTGCCGAGGACGATGAAGACGTGATGAGAGCGTCACATGAGACCGCCGTGACTACCGCTATCGACCTTTTTCAAAATGTCGATAAGCAACAACTGTCCATGTTAGGCGCAACAACTGACCTCACTGGGCCCGTGGTGGAGCGATTGATTGAGAGATACGTAGCAGAGAACGTCCATAATCTCGTATGGCCTAGGCTCGCTGCTATGCGGCGAGCCGAGGACCTCGAACTTGAAGCCAAGATAAGACAGATGGAGTTTATCGACATCTCCCAACTCGGTCTCGCCATTGAAGGCGGCCAGAAAGACAAGCGCGACCTCACCATCAGACTTGGACGCGCGGTTGAGGAATTCAACAAGATGACCACAGCAATGGGTCCGCAGGAGATGATGGATCTGCTTCTCTCAACAATGAAGGCTGTCACAACTATGCCTGAGCAACCAGGGCCGGAAGGAAAGCCTAATGGGGCCGCAGAAAAGCCTCCGCTTACCATCAATGCTGACACACTAGTTTCGCTGCTGCTTTATGTTGTCATCAGGGCTGGCGTCAAACATTTACAGGCGCGCCTTCAATACATCAGGCATTTTATCTTCATCGACGATGTCGACAGTGGCGAAATGGGGTATGCGCTGAGTACTTTTGAAGCAGTCTTGTCATACCTCATGAGGGATTCTAGTACTCTGAGGCGAGCGAGCAAGCGCAACAAAGCTCTATGGGACATGGTTGCGAAAGGGAATACCACAGAGCTCCAAAAGATGATTGATTATGACGGAGAGGTCGTCGACGACGAGCCGCCGGAATCGCCCATCTCGACCCAAGCCCCGTCTGTCAGCTGGAGCATGTTAAACGGGTCCTCCAAGGGATCTTCCACAACTTATACTAGCTTCGACACCTACTCTCAAGGAACCGGTCTTAGTCATGTTTTCCCTTTTGAGAGTGACCTCATTGGCGAGTCTTCTTCCTCGCCGGTAAAACGAGTCAAGCGAGTGTCTATGGATACGAGGAGTATGTCGAGTGGCTCCGAATTTTCCTACCGCTCTCGAGCTGCCAGCGTCGCGACTACGATGGGTAGTGCTATCGAGGGCGACACATCGGCAGTACGGCTGTGTCAAACTCTTGACTCGTTTGGGGAGTCGGTCCCCATGATGGCAGTCCAGAATGAGCGGCCTGAAACATTGAAATATTTGTTATCCTTGACAGAGTATTTTCCGCCCGAAGTTATTCTGGAGGATACCAACAATCAAGGAACCACGCTTTTAAGCGCTGCAGTTCAGCTGGGTCATACCGAACTGATTGACGTCATCTTGGATTTCATCATGGCTGCAGCCAGCCGTGAGCGAGTCGCTCGATACTTCGCAGTTCAGGATACGATGGGACGTAGTGTGGCACACTATTTGTTTCACGCGCCCGTACTGATCAGGCGCATTGGCAAATTGCTACCATGGCGGCAAAAAGATAAAAATGGCTTGACCCCATTGTTTTCGCTATGTCGGTCATACGATCACACCGTTTACCACTCCATGGTTGAAGCCGGACTGGAAGCTGCCACGGAATCCCAACGTGATGGTCAATCATTGCATCTTGACGATCATGTTGACTCGAAAGGAAACACGCTCCTGCATATTGTGCACGATGCCTCATTGACTCACCGCATTTTGCAATATTGTGACGTCGATGCCAACGCAACCAACGAAAAGAAGTTCACCGCGCTCATGGTGGCTAGCAAGTATGGCCGCTATGACATGGTGAGAGCTTTATTTGGGGATGCTAGAGTTGACGTGGCAGCAAAAGATTTTCGAGGTCTGACGGCGGTGGAGCTGGCCAAGGACGATGAGGTTCGGAATAAGATTGATGATCTTACACTCTTTTCGATGCCAGCAGCTGAAGATGGACGCGTCACAGGTGTGGTACGATCGTTTTTTGTGGAGGACGCTACGATACGGCTCGTCATTAAGTCTGGCGCCCCGAGCGAAGGGAATAGTTTTACGATCACAACTTGCCGCCGTTCCCTCTTAGATTTTGAGCGTCTCGCCAATCTTCTGTCGGTCGAGAATCCGGCATCATGGATTCCCAACGTCTCAAGTCAACGAACACCTTTCCAGATCCCCGCCAAGCCCTCAAGAGCAGTCTTGAAGGACATACAGGTTCGTACGGACTGGTTTCTAAGGATTTTACTGGCACACCCTACTTTTGCCACTCACGAAATGCTTTGGGAATTCTTCTTAGTCCCTGATCTACAGCCTGATATGATAGAACAGCGTAGTAGGCTGAAGGCTGAGACACGTGCTGAGACCATTCACGATGAGTACGAGCCGCTTGAAGATATTCGGGAGGTCGAGCAATTCGTTGATCACGCGCGTGACATGGTTCGTAGCGTCAACTTTTCGACCAAAAGCGTTGCGCGGCGTGCCAATGGAATATGTGTCGCCAATGCGGGTAAGCAGCATGGCGTCCAAACATGAGTAACTTAGCTAATATGTTGTAGATCTTTACGAAGCAGCGAATCTCTTGAGCAAGCAAGTTGGCAACTTGGAATTCTTGCCGCACACACACTTCGCCGCATTTGAGGCCTATGCCCATACTCTGCTACCATTGCAGTCTGCACCTGCGCAAACGCTACATAGTACACTTTTGGCGATCCAATCCACCATGATAGCAATGCTCGCCGCTTTGGCACGCCCGCCGCAAATTGTCGCGCAGATACAATCATCCCGCAGAGCTATTGAACGGTCGTACAACTCATTGAGCCGCTCCACACGATGGCCCTTGGGACTTCTTGATGACACTCGCCAGCGACTCAACGAAGAGAAGGAGGAGAGAGCACGGGAGAAACAGAAGGAAGCTGACGACCTGGGTCGCGAGCTGAGATATACGCAGCAGGTGGTAGCTGGTGAACTTGCCGGCTGGCAGGACATGCACGAAAGACTGGGACGTCGAGCCGTAAAGGAATTTGCCAGAGGCATGGTCGTTCTTGAACGTGAAAGACTGGCGGGTTTGCGGCGCGCCATAAGGAAACTAAAGGAAGTTTCTACCGGCCCAGTGTTCAGGATGGGCTCAATTGGTGGGCCTCAAGCCGAAGCAGCAGTCGATGAACTCGAAGCACGGCGACAGATGGAAGACGTCGTCGACTCTGGTCTCATAGACTCGCTTGCGCCGCCAGTAGGAGCGGACCCGGCATTGCCAGGAAAGGAGGCTTCCGAGTCTTCCAAGAGTGGTGGCCCCGAAACAGATAATGGTGAGATTTCGTTGGGGGTTAGTGGCGGTTCGAATACTGCAAAGTCTGCAGAAAGCGTAGGAAACACCATCAGTGCAGATGGTGTGCAACAATGAAACGCCGTAGACCAATTCCGGCTGTAGAAATGGCTGTGGTAGATACCCTAGATAAGACAAGAGTTGACTTTGAATAGACAACGCAATCCAGTCACACGGCTTCTGATGAGACCAGAATGTGTCATTCTTCTGACGATCGGAGGCAGCCCACAGGACTTTATCATCTCCAACGCCCACACATTTCATGGGATATGGACGGAGGTGGCAGTGTTTGCCCAGTGACCTGGATGGGCCATGAAACAAGGTCTACCCACCGGCCACCAAAGAGACCTAGGGCTGAACGATCAATGGAAGGGTGCAGATGAACCCTCGCGATCGACTTGTCATGTACTGATTAGGATACTCTTCGAGCGACGCCGTGGTCTACTCAATAATTCAGTGCTACGTGGCTGTTGGTGGACATGTGTTCCGAATAAACGTCAACCCAAGCCCCTGCATTCGGGTTTCTTGAGGCAATGAATGTGATGTAATACGTCAACCCACGATCGGCGCATCATCTAATAACTACATTTTCGAAGTAGCCAGGCAGAGAACAACTTGGCGTATGTAGTTGATGTTTTTCTGCGTCTGGGAAAGAGCATCCCAAGTAGACGTCACCCTGAGCCCCTGCATATCGTTCTACTCATTCTCGAAGCTTCTCGGCCATTGAAATCTCTGATCGTAACCATGGTCCGGAACGGCGGGGACGAATGATCTTACGGTGAGGACATCTGGATGGAGCAAAAAAGAACAAGGGCTCCCGGGTCGGCATTCCGTGCTAACGATCCCATCTGGGCCAGCTTTGCCCGGGTATGCGATGCGGTGACACGCCTCAAGATCAAGCTAATATGTGAGAAGCTATGGCCCTGTCGAGCTCTAGAGCTTTGGAGATCACTGCCAGGCCGGCAGCAACGCTATACCGCTTCTTGCTCATGACTCAATCTGGTTCTAGTGTAGGAACGAGTTAGAAAAAGCTAATGCAGGTTGCACATTGCACAAAAAGTCGGTCGACAAGTGCCGCAGTAGCTTTAAACCCCCCCGGCTGCTTGGGAACCTGAAACACAAAACATCCTGCGAATGAAGAGAGGTCAAGATTTGGCCGGGACGCACGAGGGCCAATGGTGCCGAAATTCGCGGGCGCGCTGTCGAGGCTCGTGGTGGGAGGTGCCGATTGGCCCAACGCGTGAACAAGGGTTGCGCGATATCGTTAACCAATCACGGAGCGAAAGATCGTGGCTGGAATTTTTAAGGATTCTGGCGACGGAGCCCCCCGTGGGTGAGCCACGCTCGACGCCAGATGAGCTACGCGCCCAGCTCTTGGAGGCTGTGCGAAGATGCGACACGAAAACATTTCTTCTCAGGAATTGCCAGCGCCTGTCAGGTGTCGAGGCTGCTATCCGCCCAAGCCTGCTTGCCGCGCGATAGCACCGTAGGTTTTGGGCGAGGATGGAATTTAACCCCGACCGACTACTTTCTTTCTTTCTATTCCTCGGTAGGGTAGGTAGGAGAATGCGGCACAGGCGAGATTGCCATGCGCGGCTTCGTATTACACTTTGCTCCTCCTCAGCGCCTACAGCCCTGTGACAGCCTCGTAACGTGACCGTTTTTACTTCTACGTAGCGGTTTGTCTCCATGAGAATCGTCTGAGGTCAGGTGGTGCGCACCGTGAGCGGCTCTGGAAATTGCCGTGGGTCTGGGAGACGGCAGCCCGTATGATTTTCGGCCTCAGGCGTCTTGCTTATTTCATGCCTACACACGACGCTTTGTACAGTACCTTATAGCCGCCCACCGCGTTTAATTACCCCAGCGGCTACCACCACTCAGCGTCACGGGTCCTTCTGAGCTCTCGCTCGCCGAAAGGACTCAACGTAGTCGATGCTTGATTTCAGCAGGCGCCTGCCGCCTGCCTCCTCTGCCCATCCATGGGAAAGCGATAATTTTAAGCGGCCCTGTCTCGGATTGCGGCAAGCAACCAAAAATAGACCCTCTGCTGAAGATTCTTCCTACTCTCGGCAGACCAGTAGGCCGACTGTGTGCATGCACATGCGACAGGCGAAATCATTCAATGAGAATCAGGACCAAGGTCTGCGACTGGCTTGAATCGGATACCGGGGGGATTTTCAATTCGAGTGTTATGCGCGCTTGCACTATGCGACAGACGCAGGAGAGGTAGGAAAACTGCCATCGTCACTTGCCAGCTGCACGCCGAGTATCATCGCAGAGAGTCGCGAGACTTCTCGTTCGTCGCGACGGGCAACGTCAGTGCTGCGCGCAAGTCGTGTGCCCTCGCGACTGGTTGTGTTCTCTGGAATGCGCGTCGAACAGTAGACGTGCCCCCAAAAGGCGTGTGAGTGGACAAGGTGATCCAATGCGGGTAGATCCCGTCCTGCCCAACCCCACACCTCGCGTCTTTCTTTTTTTTGTTCTCTCTCATCAACAATCGACCCGTCTGCATACACCGCTGGCGATGCCGGGGGTAAGGTAGTATCCACAAGCATACATGCTCCCAGCACACTAGAAGCAGAAAATTACCCAAGGCTAATGCAGCAGAGTATCCGCCATGTGTCTAAATTTGAGTGAGTCATAAACGCTGCATACTGCATTCGTACGTGGTACAGACTAGCGACGCCAGACCGCAATCCAGTCAGTGTACAGAACAGGGCTACGACAAGTGAGAGACCCTTGGCTATACCGCTTGATAGGTGGGACCTGGTGGGATGTCGTACAGGGGTCTCTATTGACAAGACACTGTACACAGGCACATACTCGACCTCATGGTATAGTGTCTCATCTTGCCCAAATTACACGGTCGACGGCGCCTATCCCTTGCGGAAGCCGCAAAGTGCCCAAGAGCGCCAAGCTTCGAAACTCGCACTTTGTATCCTCCTGCATCTCGAGTTCGACCTTACCCAAAGCCCAATACTAGGCCAGACTAGGCCCATCGGCCAGACCAAGAAACTCTCATTCGGGCTCTGGCATGCATGCTGATTATCGAAGCCGACAATCTGCGAGTCTCTTTCTCCATGTTTCAGATTTTCCCTTTCTGCATATGGCTACATCATCTAGTCGAGTTCGGGACCCCGGTGGGCTGATTGTTTGGCCCATCGTGGCTCGTCGTGCTAGAGGATAAGTAGACGCTCTCGTCCTCCCTCATCAATTCGTTCCTATTCAGTATCTCCATCAGTCCAACAGTCCAACAGTCCGAGACCAATCCTTTCACTTCCTTTCTTTTCTTCCTTGACTCGTCTCAAACAACGTTAGATCTCTTGAAGAGTTGGCCGCCAGACAAGCGACCTTGGTTCCCTCTTCCTGCTTCACAGCAAACTTGCATCGTCATAGTACATAAGCATTTTCAACACAAAAGTCAACAGTGGAGCCGGTCTCCTTTCCTGTCTTATAAACTAATCTTTCTATTGTTGTTGTTTGTCAAAGTCGACAACAACAAATTACCCGTCTTTGACATGGCTTCGTAAGTTCGCTGTCTTGGTGTAACCCACTTGCAAGTATACCCAAACTAACTAGTCACAATAGTCTGGCAGCAGACATGTCTTTTGACTTCACATTTCCTTCTTGCGAGCCTGTCACCCCGCCAAGCTTTTCTTTTGACCCGTCTCTGCTCGAGATTCCATTCCACCCCGGGCATGCTCGCTCCAGCTCGTATAACTCCATCATCTCCACTACCGAGTCATCGCCCTGCGACTCGGTCAGCAGTCACATGACGACGCCAACGCGTCGCTCTCCGGCTCCTATCAGACAACATGGTCCTATCTTGTTGCCCAAGATCCGCTCCCAGGACCAGGAGATCAAGCAATCCGCTCCGAAGCGGGCGAGAACTTCATTGACGCCGGCTCCCAGGCCCAGCCGCCCGGCTGCTTATCGCCCATCTCACAGCCGGAGCTTCACCAACCCGGAGTCTCTGAACCAGTTCTCAGCTGCCTTCTTCACACCTACCGAGAACCAGACTCAATACTCGCAGTCACTCATGTGCTCACCTGTCATCTTCCCTCAGGACAACATGCAATCACGCCGCGCATCTACATGCAGTCTGGACGGTACGACCCTGGAGAAGTACGGCTTCCCTACATACCGCCAGATGCCCACCTACATGCCGGCCGTTCCCCAACCCGCTCAGGTTGACCCTTATATGTACTCTCAGTACACACCTCAATATGTATCCCGTGCACCATCACCCTTGAGCGTTGCATCAACACCTGAGCCCGTTGCCTCTACTACGTTGATGAGCTACATGACATCAGCCAACCCTGCCCCATCCCTGGTTCGCACAATCTCTTTCCCCCTGAAAGATCCCAACACCAAGCATTTCTGGTGGGACGTCCGACAGGTTCGCCCATGGACAGGCTTCAACGCCTCTGCCATCCTGTCCCTGCCTGGCGCGTCGGGTCTGCTAAGCTGCCCCATCCCGGCTCCTCTCCTCCCCCAGCCCGCAGCCTCATCCCGGCACCCAGAGACCGAGGCCGCACTCCACCAGATCTACGCCTCATACTACCTGCCCAAGCTGAACTCCGCCCTGGCCATCTCCTCTCAGCGGCCCCTGCAGCTCTCCATGCCCACCGCAAAGCAGGTCAACAACACTGAGCACATCTTCACGGCCAACGTGTCCGGCGATTCCGCCTCCGCGGCCGCCATGTTCGGCGGCAAGCCCACGGCACGCGTCGTGGGACTCGTCAAGAGCTTCGACCGCTTCAACACGGGCATGCGCGTCGAGGGCAACATCAAGCGCGTCGAGTACCTGCGAGGCTTGTCGCACCTGCACCACGTCATGCGCGAGTACGGCTGCCGCTACGGCTTCATCCTCACCGAGATCGAGCTCGTCGTCGTCCGCAACGGCGGCGAGAACACGCCTCACTTCGGCTTCCTCGAGGTCTCCAGCGTCCAGCTCGCCGCCGCCGGCGAGGAGGACTTCCAGGAGGACCAGGGCCTCACCGCCTGCCTCGCCCTCTGGGGCCTGTGCATGATGGCCTCGGACGAGCCCGCGCCCGGCCACGCCGGCTGGAGGAGTGAGATCGGTGCCCCTGCCGAGGGCACCAGGAGGAAGGCCCTCGCTAGGGATGACTGGATGCCGCAGCCGCAGCTCGCAGAGAAGAGGGAGGCCAAGAGGGCCAGGGGCTGGGTGTTGCCCGAGGACCCCGTCGGCCGCAAGGAGTTGGGCAAGAGGGGTGTGAGGTATGGAGGTTGTTAAAGAAAGAGCGCGGTTGCACAAGAGAAGGAAAGACTGAGTAGGTGCTGGCTGGCTTGGCTGGTTCCAGGCCTCCAGCTACTACTGATGATGATCATGAAAGAGTAATGATTCGCAAATGGTAACGAAGGAAATGTTGGGGAAAAAAAGATGACGGTGTCCTAAGGCTTGGGATTGGGTTGGACTGGACTGGACTTGGATGGTTGGGGTTTCTGATGATGGGGCGTGCTATGCATGCCATTATTATACCTTTTTAATAGCTCAAATGCCAAAAGAAGTAAAATTTATCTATTCTGAAAGCTCGTTGTGACATGAAAAAAGTAGATCACTAGAAGAAAAGACTCGGAGGAAAATATTGGAAGGCAAGTCCTTGGGGCTGAGAAGTGGTAGCCCGTCACCGACAGCATTGCATTGGGAGAATCAAATGACACCAACCTAAACAATGAGTTGTTTTACTCCGGGGACCAAATACGATACTACACACCGTGTCCAGATCGCAGCGAAATGAATGGGGTGTATTTGTTTGTGGTGAAGTCCGGATGTTTGTGCCTTGATTCGAGTCAAATTTCCATATCGGATCCTCTCATGTGCAATTCGGCGGTGGGGTGTTTCTGTCACTGCGTTGTACGAAGTATATAAGTCTTCCGTTTCGTCGATGTTCCTGCTGGAAATTCTAGATGTGATGTATGATATCACCAGATTTTATTAATTATATTTGGAAAGAATCGAAAGTAGCTGTTGTTAGGATGAGGGTGCAACGTGATAGGGCGGCATATAAACACGGTACAAGTAATCTTTTCAGAGAGTAAGTATTCATAAACAAGCATCGGATGATCTCCAATGATACGATACGATGGTTTTAATCTCTCGAGGGAATTTGTTATTCGACTTCATGCCTTTTAGATCAGAATTTGAGGGAGATTGTAAAGACGCCATTCTATAGTGCTGTGGTAACTCTTGTATGTGCTTTCCCTGGAATTTTTCGCAGTGTAATTACTTTACGTCGGATCTCTTTATATTACTCTAATTTGATACTCTGGATATGTTGGATTCTGTTGCATGCATGTATCTTGTCAAATTTCTCGTATCGTCGCTCTTTAGCACTCACCTCCGTTCTCTGAGAATTCACAGCTAATGCTCCCACTTATACAACCCTCAGTCCGATATATTTGCTCGCGAGGCATTTGGTTTCCTTTGCATACGAACTGGCTCTGTAATTGGCGTTGGCTCCTAAGTACAGACGACCATTCACACTTGCGCGCAAGATATCTGCGTTCATATCTGGAGTCAAACCATTCAATACGAAGGATTACCCGTAATGAATGTATATGATGCACTGGCGGGCTTGAGTGCAATCCAAATTGTACGCCCTATAATGCCGTTGGCTGAGTCATGCACGGATCTGGTTGGCCACATTGCCGCGTGCTTGGTGCATTAGAATATGAATGGAAGTACGTGACGAGACTTCGACACCGAAACGACAAATTCGCCTATCATATCGAAAGTCACTGCCGCATGCATTGTCTAACGAACGTAATACGCGGCTAGTCCTTCGAGGAGATTTGAACTCCCTCCCCATTTCCAAGCGACTTTTACAAACAGTCAATGGTCTCATAGCATGCGCGTCGGAACTTTACGTCAAAGTGAATGCTACTCATAGTCCGTACTCATTGTTCTGTTGCTTATTGCATAGCTCATCCGATTTATCTATTCGGCTAGTGCCACTATGTACTTGACAACATTCAGTCCCGCTTGACCCCATAATATTCCAAAACACCGGCTTTTGGCCATTAACTACATCGAACCTCGACTTCACACCAACTTGCATGATCCGGCTAATACCAGCAGACTTTGGCACTTGTCATCGCAAGGATTAAGGTCATCCACCACTGCTACCTTCGACAGTAAGCTTAACAGGCGCATGGCTGCTCCGCTTGCGACCGATGCAATCGCTTGCAATCGCTTCCAAGGCTTCCAGGTGGAGATCTTGACCGCCGGCTAGCTCCGGTACCAACAGGGGTAGCACAGACCCTAAATGCCTGGGGCACCAGCGCAATCTTGGTCCTTAGTATGTTACAAAAGGACATGTTTTCATCCAATCATCGTAAGATGACTTCACCTTCTTCTGTAAGGTTATCTCAGGGGATGTGGTCTAGTGGTATGACGTTTCCTTAGCATGTGAAAGCATGGAAAAGGTTCTGGGTTCGATTCCCAGCCTCTCCACCAAATCTTTTGCGCATGGCGCACAGGAGTTCTTTTTGGCTGCCAGTCTACTGGTTTGGGTTTGTGGTTAGTGTTACCAAGCTGCCACATTGCATATAGCAAAATACGCCCCTTGTATCTTTTTTTCTTCTCCATGTCGTTCAACGTAACGTTGCAAGCCTGCCTGTGGAGCAAGATGTTTGCCATCTTGGCTATTTGTCTTATCATGTTGTGTTTCAGCTCACAAGGTAGACCATCTGTGTTATAACGCAGTATAATTTGGGACAGCGGAACTCGCGATATAGGTGGACAGAAAATTGGTAAATTATGACGCAAGCTACTAGTGTGTATACTATGGCTGTTTAAATTTTCATCTTGCCTAGAAATATGGAGCAAAACCGAGGACAGCATCAATCCTTTACTTTTAGAAAGCTTCTTTATCTCATACTTCTATCTAGCAATGACCGGAGCACCCACAAGGAGCTGAATCCGCATGCTCTAGGGCATTTCAAGTAACATCCTCCCAAATCACATCAAGCTCAAGCTCGTTTCCGGCATCTTCCCTGCCGACCTCGAAATCACGGTCCTGGTACGATTTGTATCCTTGTTGAACCTGGATCGTGAGGTCTCGGCGCCGGTATTGTCTGCGCTTCTCTAGGTACTGTTGATGATATGGGCACCAGCCCATCGTTAGAGTTCTGGCGTGATCTTGAGTTCGATGTGATAATATGTAAATCTTAGTTGATTCGTTCAGTGGCCTGTTTACATTCAAAGTGCTAATCTTGTTGAGCTTCTACTTATTATATATAACTCACCTAAGATTGATGATAAACAGACTCCATTGTTGGCATCAGGACGCATACTAAAACTTTGCTTAACCCTGGGACAAAGGTTGTGGGCGTAGTGGTGGAGTAGAACAAAGCCCGTGGTAACAGACATGTCTTTGACTAGACAATATAGTTCTTTGCTCAACTGTTTGTATTGTGCTGGAAGGTTAGAAGGAAGGAAAGGGAAGGGGAACATCTTCTTTACCCACTAAGCATTGTAACATACATTTTGCGAGATGACATAGGTGATTCGCACCGCAAACCAGCAAAGTTGAGCAATCCATTGCGTGTCCACCAAGTGGTTCGAGCTGGTCTCGGCAGGCATGATACTAAATCCCAAACTCACTAATCCTGGACATTTTTGTCAATTGAGGATCCCAGAGTTAGATTCCGCGTCTGGCACTGTATTTCGTTTGCTAGAAGCATAGTGGATATTGTTCCATAAGGCTGACAGTAGCTTCGTCGTGGAAATAGTGAGTATTTGTTCATGTGCCCCTCAAGATCCGACAGAAAACCCATCTCGAGGTCTAATGTATCTTCCATGCCGGAATCCGTGATATGCTCGAATGCCTCAAGTCGGTATTCGTGTTATAGCATTATTGAAACTTTTCAAAGAGGTAATAATAGCGATGCATACCTACTATGTTCCGTTAATGAAGATATGAACTAAAACAGCGGATTATAAATCTAGCTGGTATATCGTAGGGTCAACAAGAACATTACAGACGATGTGATTTCTTGCGATAGTCCACCGTAGAAGTGGCCTCGCTAAGATCCCACTTGCGCTTGCAAAACTGAACTGCTGGCAAAGTAACCTGAGTTGTGGCCGAGTCTCCCTGAGCTCAGCCACTCTAGAACTTTAAAAGCCTGAATTGTCTACTTAACATGATTTTGACAGTTGGAAGATTGAGAACCATTTGCCAGCCTATTCGATTAAGATAGCAGTACCATGTACACCGCCGAGGTTTAGCACTTGGGTAGAGGTATTATGAATTATGACAGCAAGTATGAATAGAAGATTGGAACAAATTATGCTAGTACAGAGTATGGGCTGGAACGAGCTCGGAGTTGGGATGTTATACACTGCCACCTAAGAACCTAAGATAAGTGGTAAAGCTACGAAAGTGCTAGCCCAGAGTCCATAATGGTGCCCTTCGTGCTGGTAAGGCAAGCGCTAAGGAGCACGTTGCACGCCTTCACGTGGCGTGTAGCCCCGAAGTTTTGACAATCATACTCTATGCTGCACAAATCCATGGTGATAGTAGGATGATAGGTCCATGATGACACAAGTCGCAAAGATGGGCCAACAAAGCCCCGAGACTACCTCCGAGTTCACAGTGGAGTCATTTGTCACCGTCGTGGAATTTATAAGTGACAGACAGGAGTAGCAAAAGGCGGCGGAGCACGTAATAGTCACATAAATGCTCAGCAGAACGATCTTCCCCAGCTTGCTAATCAATACTGTTACTAAATGTTGTTATTAGTACATGTCAGCCTATGACCAATGTTGGTTTCGAGAAGCGTTCTGATTGCAATACTGATTTTCTTTCGATTGTCCACAGTATATATGTCTTAGTCGTTGCCTGTGATTTTGAATCCAATTCTTAACAACAAATGGTTCTGCTTTCTTTGCCCCGAAATTATACTCTATGCTTGATGGTCGGATTTCTATCGTCTGCCCTTCGGCTCTTCCACTAAATTCGAGGAGATAGGAGCTTGTTGGCTGGGAATCTATTGCAATCCGACAAAATTGTCGACGGCTTTCTTATTCTTTTCTTAAAGCACGACATGCTACGTAACATAGCAGCCATTTATAGAGCGTACGGTGGGCTAAGAATCTTAATAAGTTGTACCCTATTAGAGATGTAGAACATATGCCTTACCCTTAAACAATTCTCGCATCCATATTTTGGCTCCGCAGCCTTATCGAAGAGCAATTCTAAGAACCGATCGTCATCGCAAAAACTGAATAGAGCTCCAGGCGTATCTTTTTGAATGTTCTGCGCGGCTTTGGAAGACGCTGATCTATCCGCCCATTCTACTAAAATCTTGAGACTTCTATCTCAGCGACCGCTATAGCTATAGATGGTCGAGTTCCAGAAGATTCCTAAAGTTTACGCTCATGGTCTTCACTAATTCTCTATGATCACTCAGATATATATGGGTAGATGATAATCCCCTCAGCCTTACAACGCTTGCTTGTGTGGTCGTTACAATTGGATAAAAACAATAATTTCAATCAAGAGCTGGTAAAAACTACGTATTTATGGCACGGTCTCCCTTCCTATGAAACGAGATGTTTTCAGCAGGTATGTGTATGCCGAAAACTTTAGGAAAATCAATACTAAAGGCAATATAGACAGTAATTCGATCCATATGTCTCTATTTTAAGCCTGTGCGTCGAAGAATCGGCTCTGGATAGTTTCATCGCCTGAAAATCGGACGGATTCAATACCACACGCAGGCAAGATATAATGATCATTTTAGTGCTTGTAAAATGCTCATTTACAGCGGTGCCTGTAAGAAGATTGCGTTATTCCCAATCACAGATTTGTGTTGATTGTGGTTATCGTTGTTTAGAAGTGGCTGCACTATGGTCAATAGCTCCACTGGTGGGACCCTTGAGTTTCAAAAGCTGTCCATCAACATCTTCGCAGAGTACAAATGCCTATATACCTTTCATGAATTCGTTGCCGGATGCCGGATGTTGAGAGGCTTTTAAGAATCAGTTGGCGCAAATCCAAAAAATAAATAAAAGAAGCGCCTGTTACAGCATACGCACCTGTTTCTCAAACTGGCTTTTTAAGACAAGATTGCGTGAAAAAAGTAAAGAATGAATATAGTTGGCATTTATGAAGGAATGACTATGACTATATATATGGTACATGACCAAGTAATCTTTCGTCTCAAATACAATGACTAATATTCTTTTAAATTGCCTGATCTTGCCCTAATGTTGGCTCAAAAGAAAATCTGATTTTGTTCGAGTACCACTCTGCCTTGAAAACCAAGGATCTTCCGTGCTGTACCTCAAAACTAGCCTAGGTCGTTGCTGCAGCTGAAGTAGTCAGCGTACCAGTGTCGGTGGCAGAGTTACTGGTTGCAGTCGCAGTGTCAGTAACACTCGCAGACGCAGATTCAGTGCCAGTCGCAGAGGCGGATCCAGTGTCAGTCGCAGAGGCGGATCCAGTGTCAGTTGTAGAGGCAGATTCAGTCGCACTAGCAGACCCCGAATCTGAACCAGTCACTGAAGACGCCTCAGCGGAGTTACTGGCTGTCGTCGTTGTGCCACCACTTCCCGAAATCAGGACACACAACGGATTTGCTGGATCGGCCTAGAAGTCACGGAGTCAGTCGCGGAAGAACTCGACGAGAGGTCAATCAAGATGCTAGCTCGTTCAGTGTGTACTCACAATATTGCAGCAATAGGTATCATCGGCTGCTGCACATGTGGGAGCGGCATCACATGTGCCTGTGCCGGTGTTACAACAGATTGTCTGCGTGTAGCCGGCTGGATCAGCTGGATCGCAGGTCGCAGCTTGTCTAATTCTCATGCTCTTCTTTGTTGGAGGTCGTTTCTACTTGGAGTTAGTAGTTTAAAATCCGAGTGTGATATCCTTTTTACTCACAAATACAGTGCAAATTGGTTTGAAGATGTTTGCCTGAGGATTATGTTTTAGTGCTGATTCAAATTGAAGCTTCGTAGGCAGGACTTTTAGTTATAACTCACCACATTGCAACACCATGTCACCTCAGTGGGACCACAGACTTGGTTAAAGATACAGGTGCCGCCGAAACAATTGCTGCAGCAAAGCTGTTGGTTCTTGGGGCCTGGGCATACATTGACCACCTCAAGCTGAGCACTGATAGTGCTAGCAAGGCTGAGTGCAACGAGACTCTGGATAAAGACTCTCATGCTGATGATGTGATAGTGTATGGTGAGCAATGAGTTGTTTGGTTTAAGTAGTTAAGAGAAAGATAGTCTATTCCAATGGCCCTTCAAGGAGGCTTTATAGTTATTTGCTCAGTATGCTATATCGAGCATTATACACCAGCCCCAGACACAAATTGTCAAAGACTAAGGTGAAACGCCGCAGGAGCGTTAGTGGACAGTTCTCTTAGAGAGACAACAGTTGAACCCATTAGGCATGTAGTTTGAAACTTAAAGTAAGGTAAGAGCTTGTCAGTAGTTCAATTGTTTTGCTTTCCTAAACTTTCCATGCCTAAGGGTAAAATCTCCATCGATGCGACTGATTTAGCTTACCGCTAACAACGCCACGAAGTTCTAACAGCAACGAGGCCGCATGTACCTTCACTTAGAAGTTCAGCTGTAGAAATATTGGAATACAGTATTACAGTTGAGGATAAGCTTTTGGATCTTTGGTATAGCAGTGTAATCTGACATTTACTCCATGGCAAGCTGTGAGCACCGGTGTTTCGCTACCGCCATCATATTTCGATAGATTTGCATAAATATCCCAAATATTACATTGGCTCGTACGAAAACATACTAACATAATTGTAACAGCTGGCTCTGATCATGTATAACCCAGAACAATCATAGATACCTAAGAGGTTAATAGATGTTGCACTTAAGCTACACAGAGCTAGTCAAGTTACTGACTTGTATATTCTGAACTGTCGTAAAATTCTCAAATTTCTAGTTGATCTCCCATTATAGCTTCAACTTAAGAGAATTAAGGTTTTTGTCAGACTCATGCAGGGTGCTTATGATTGCATTTCCCACGAACCAATCACACTTTTAGGTTTTAGCCAGCACGTAATTATATAGTCTCCGTCTCTATTAGCTTGGACCTAGTCACCAGCCCAGGCTCATACATACAAAAGACTGATTATTTGTTGCATATATTGTGCTAATCTTAGCATTATTTCATGGCTTCAGCCTGGTGATAGACCAGTGGATATCTGTAAGCACAATGTTAGAGCATTAATTCTTTCCAACGCATCATCTTTCTCTACTTTATCGCTTGTGCAAATAATTTTAATAGGTATACCTGCCATTAAACCGGCCTGTCATAGAGATTTGGCACGCATGAAATAGGCCCATAGGTAAAAATTTCCCTATATGCCGACAGATGGTTAATTTGCTCTTACGAGTCTGCGTAGATACAAACCTGCTGTCCTAGCCGGGATACAGTGTTGAATGTTCACTGTGTATCATCAACAGGTAGCAGTAGCAGACGCGACCGTTGATCATAACTTAAACGATCAACTTTTAGCAAATAAGGTTGATTCCTTAACCTTCAGTTGGAATGAGCTCCAAGGCGGGGACTACTCAATTTGGGGCAGCAATCGCAGCGGACTTGCAGCCGATATCCTCTCAGCTCGGCGATGACTTCTGAGCCGATAGCCTTCCAAGCCGACGAGCTTGGGGTTTGGTAGCTTTCAATCTTTGAACGCATGGGCGACAAATCGCTGTCTTGTTTCTCAAACTACAATAACGCAAGAATCGACGTACATGACAGCTAGCCACGTGCAAGCCACCATAGCCACACCAAAAAGTATGCTTAGCTTCCCGAATCCTCAACTTTGATTGGCTTTTAAACAAGTTTGATCCAGCTTAGCTTAGCAAACATGCTACACCAAATAGGACCAGTGGTCACCTTCCCGCACTTCTTGAGATAAAGCTGTAAAAAAGCTTCCTTGGTAACCCTAGCTATCAACACTACAAGTATTTTGACTGTGCTTACTACATAGTACCCGAGAATTTAGTCGAATATGATCTAACGTGGACCAGCCCTGCACAGCCGAACTTTGGGGCGCGGTGAACAGCTGCACGACAGATCTGAGGAAACGCCACCGACAATACAACTCAAGTACAATTGCATATTCTCTCGTAAGCAGCCAAGCCCGTACCAAGAGATATGAAATATAGTATAGTACAGCCCCAAAAGGCTTTCGTTCGTCATAATTTGGTGGTCTAATTAATATAGTAATTACGATTTCCGCGGAATTACACGATGTTTCATGACGACGTCCTTCAATAAACTAAGTTATGTCACCACCTTGTCAGCATCTGAATTCATGCCATGAAGGTACATTCTCGCTCCGCTTTCATCTCGATCTTAATATCTTACATCGCCGTTGCGTAGACAGACAAGGAGGACCAGATGAGACTTCAATGGTCTTGGTACATCCTGCAACGTGACGATATTCTCTAATGGAGAATTTAAACCTAGCTCGCAGCGTCATCACAAAAGTGTGATCTCAATACAAAACCAGTAAGGACCATCTGATGGAATTCGATACCATAGTGTGGCATACTAATGTCCGAGTTTTCATACGTGATACTTCACTAAACTATCTCTGCGGTTCTGGATCGCCCTTATAGATAAGCTGCTATTCATAGCTGAACATAGACAGTCGGGCAGGTGATCCGCCTTTTCCCGCAACCGAGACCGGCTTCGTACTGTAAAACGAAGTCTCAAGGCTGTAGTAAGACGTGGAGGGAAACGCTCCAGGCTCACTAGCCCGCACGTTGTCCCTCCAGTCCGCGAATTACGTGCGTAATCAAGAAAATCGGGACCGTCAATTGTCATTTGGGTGACTATTACACAGTACATCTATCAGTAAAAGCAACACCACAATGTCAAGACGGCCAAAAAAAAAAAAAGTGCCGCTCTCTTTCACAGTAAGCATACCATGCATAGCATCAACGATAAAGGGAAGGCTTGTCCGGCTCCATCAGGAAAGTATGTCAATCAGGTGTTTCTAGATGGTAAAAAAGCGTATAAATCAAGCTTTTCGCCGATGAATGCCCTCATTCCTTCGGAACAAAATTCCCGATGTTTGAATACATGCAACTCGGATAGTGAAATGTGGACAAGGCCAGATGTGTCTAGCCGCCCGGATATCCAACCAATCTTACACACCTCGTGACGCTGGTTTTGAGGTTAGCCACACTGGTGGAACCTTGTATTAACGAAGAAATTCGATCGTTTGCAGGTCGTTGAAGCGCACGGACGTCTTTGTATCATACTATCAACAGCGCAAGCAGTGGTTTTGAAATGTGGAATAGACCGTAGGAGATAGAGAAGGGCAGTGCAGGCCATTATTGAAAATAGGCAGAGTTAATTATCATGGTAATAATTGATCTGAATTGTACGCGATCTTTTCGGACCAAACTAGCACGGGTTCGGACTTACTTGGTTTTTCAACCTGTAGCTATATCAGGTCTTTGCTGGCGACGAGTAACACCTAAGTACAAACCTGTTGCAGAAGTATGGGAGGTTCAATCGCTGGCGGACTTGTCCGGGTATCGTTCGGAGGCTGCTATCTGCCGACTACCGACCTGTCAGCCTGGGTACCGACTGCACCACTAGTTAGCGTGCTATGGGGTCTACTGTATAATGCCGCTGCACTTGTAAGAGCTAATCGCCCAAGGACACTAGGTTAGGGAATGCCGCACGATATGTCCCTAAGACATTTACTTGAGATTCTTTGCACATGTTCAGAGTGGTGCCTGCCGACTATCTTCGTCTCTATGTAACACCAAGTAACCAAACCCAGACGTCTAGGTTAGCGTTCTCCAGTGCGTCGGCGTGCGGTTCTAGGCCCGTCTACCACTAACTATTCATCGGTGTCATTTACACTGGTTTTGGCAAGGCGGTTTCGGACTAAGCCCTGCAACTTTTGGGGTACTTCCGCAAATTTATGCGAATAATGAACGCGACAGCAGCTGGCACAGCGGCTGACGACTACGCTGGAAGGCCTTGTAACTAAGCTTGGAACTTCTTGCAAAGTCCTACCAAGCATAAACCCGTCATGCCGAAAGCGCAGTTGAGCAATGGGTCGCTATTGTCGCCTGGCAATTCGGATGCAGTCTCATGCACTACTCGAGTCCTATGAAAACCTCAGATTCTAGACTAGACTAACCTAGGTTACGGTTAGTTAGTCTAACCTTAGTTGACCATTGGATGATCTGCATGCCTAAGTTCTGTGGCTTGAAGGTTGCGACCCGGCAGTCAGGTTATGTGGGACTTGGCGCATACGTGGGCGCCACGCACGGATTTGTGGCTTGGTTCATCCAGGTACTGAGGCTCCGAAGATCAACATCGCACATCAATTACCACGTTGTCCACGTTACGTGATACTCTTTAATGATAGGAGATCTCAGTCCAGACTTGCAGCTATAACGCTTGAGACCTCGTGCCAGCATACCTGAACCCCTCATTCACCCATCATAGATCTTCCCAGCAAGCGCCTGCGACCCTTTCGATATGTGTGTCGACGCATACTCACTTCAATAATGAAGATTGGTGTTTCTAATAAATTTCTTCGAACTCGCTGTTTCTTTATGTGTTAATATTCAATTCATGGCGACCCGCCGCACCGAAGCATTGAACATGTCGCAGGAAATGAGGAGGTTCAGAGAACGAAAGGACATAAACAATTGCGATGAATAAATGGGCAATTTCATTTTTAAGGGCTATAGTAGTAGAATCTCCGGAGAGATAAACAACCTATAAGCTCTTCAGTACATGGTTTTATTTAGTGTATATAGCCATGTTCGTTGCCCCTTTATCTCATATAGCTTATTCGAAAATGACAAGACTTGCCCAATCTCGGAAGAGGAACTTCGGTGTCATACTAGATGACACTCATACTATGAGCAGTCATAATCCACGTGGTCAATTTTCATTCGCCATTCATTGTAGACCCCATCACCCTCGCAGTTTCCGCAGTCTGGGTCATTGCCGCACCCGCAAGCAACTTGTACCCATTCTTCGACCTTCTTCTCGCAGGTGCCATCCCCGGCGCATTTAGGGCATTTAGGGTCATTCTTTGTAAAAGTGAATTATTTTTAGTAGAGAGCTAGTATGTCAGTATGAGATTCTTTCCTTGAGGCAATCACATAGTGTATAAAGTTCTCTCACACGAATGAACTTTGGGATAGGTAGACACTAGCTTGAGTATTTCGCAATAGAGATAGATAGAAGACCGGTTTGTAGTTATATTACCATGATATATTGTTGGTTGCTACTTTTTCGTCGTTAGTTACTACTTTTTCGCTGTTGGTTTGAGGTTGTTACATGTTGAATATAGATGGTGGTTTTCGGCATGGAGATGTCTAAGACTGGAGGTTTTGGGATCAGAAAATGAGCAGCATTCTCAATGACGCCAGTGTCGGACTGATCAAAGTCAGATCATTTAGATTGACCGTGGTCTGAGAATTTGGCGCATAAAACGAACGGCTCGATGCCACGGATGAGTTTCCGTAGAAGTTTGACGGCATCCTTCTTACGATGATCGCGTATATACGACCGAGCCAATTACCTTGCGAGCGGGAGAATAAGCTCCTCTAGTTGTATTTGTCGAAAGACCTTCCACCCGATAGTCAAGAGCTGCTCGGTAATATCTCTCGAAATGAATGTGTGTTGAATTGCGAATACAAGGTCCCAAAAAAGTGAACCAACGTTGTGGCCGCTGATTCGATCATGCTGTGCTAAGAAAATATCGCGTAGGATGCGACAACTGTCATTAAGATACCAGTTGCGTAGCGTACTGCAGGTTCGCAAAGCGTAGAATAACGAGGTGAAATCGGGTAAAAAGCGTAATACCTCGACGCCCACCTCGGGAGGCAACTCGAAAAGCGGGGTACGCGATGTTGACGACATCATCAATAGATAGGGGCGAAACGAGGTGACGTGATAAGAGGTAGTTGAGATTGAAATCGGAACGGATGTGTGCAAAGGGGGATGAGGTGTAGCCTACATTATATAGGCAGATTGAAGCCTTGGACTGCTAAGCCACAAGTCCGGAAATATATTAATCCTCTTTAGTAACCCAATTTGTGGTCCTCCTGTTGGTCTTGAGCAGCAACTCCTCAATTTCTGCCCTTAGCATGCTGCCGCAGGATGGTTTATTAGGGATAGAATGGAATGAATTATACGGCTTCGCGACTAAGAACCTTGTCCACATCTTGGCGGTGTTCGGAGAAGTCTACTCATATTGCGGACCCAGTAATCGAAGGCGGGATAGGTTGAGTGGAGACAGGGCGAAACGGCGTGGAACGGGTGTGCGGAATCCATCATTGTACTAGACCAGCTCCTAGTTCCACTGGCATGCAAGTGTTCGAGTTCGGCCATATTTTCAGAGCCATACTAAAATAAGATACAATACTAAGAATAGAGACAACTTGGGAAGTCTTCCAGAAGCAAGAGCACGAGAAAGAGGAGGACGCTAGTTATTATGGTCTCGTCCGAAATAGCCGCCACGAGAAAGCGAGGCAGCTTTGGAGGCGGTATTACCAGTGACAATATCTGATAGTAAAAATAAGCGCTCGTCGAAATGCGCACTAGTCTAGTACATAAAATTGGGTTACCAGTTCCAGCAGAAGGCAGTAAAATGTTCAAGGGTTACTAGTTCCGTCAGAAGATGGTAAAGCTATGTGCCAGTATACTGTAGATCGTGCTACTAGTATCAGAATCCACACCAGTAACGCTTAGGGCATGCTACCAGTACCAACCGGTAATGGTAACTATGTGCAGCAGTACGAAGCCGGTGCGATACTGGTAACAGTATTAGGTAGTAAAGGACATATGAGTTACCAGTAGATAAGTGGGACAGTAAGTTCAGACAGCCAGCTAATATATACTGAACCCGGCTATAGCTTGAAGTCATCGTGATTAATGTTGGACAAGAAACTCGCTGAGCGATTGCACCTTGTAAAGACATAGACTTGATCCTTTTCTTGAGTTACTGGCAAGACTTCCTTCTGTAGATTATTATATTATCATATATTATGACACTTTCTACAGTTGATATAGAACATTGTTGTAGTGAAGGTCTGGTATGATGCACTGAAAGGAAGAGCCTGAATTTACTCGAGCATAGGATGGTGAATATGGTGCTCGCATGAGCGTGGGACCGCAAGTGTAACGCTCTAAGCGTGAAATGATAGTATAGGTGCTGTCAAGTAGTATACAGAAGTCTGAGTCTACAAAAGATAATATCGGTGTACAGAAAGTGGGCATATACCCACTGGCTAAGTCACGTGATCACCACTTCCTAAGTTCGATGATCCGCGAGCTTGTCGCCTTAGTGTACGGAGTGCTCCCCATACACTGTGGCCATCTATAGTCATCCATATTGCCACATATGTGCATGGTTGAAATCTTGCTTTGGTCCCCTTTGAATCATCTTCTCACGGCGACCTAGCGCAATCTCCCAGTTCGGACGTGGGGTTTGTGCCAGCCACATCTTCAGCTTCCCATCTAGGGTAGCACAGGCGACAGCCACTGCGACTGGGCTTGTTGGTCGCATTTGCGTATGCAGTAGGGTAGAGCAATCAGGACGGTATATCTAAGTTTAATTTTATGGTACTTTAGTATTTGGAGAGCAAGTCACTTGGAATTAAGCACTCGTTTGATATCTGCTGCCAGGCTGTATGCCGCGTTTTGGTCCATGGTGCATATCGATGTGCAGCAAACGGAAGCAATACCCTGGAGCCTATTACTCTATACCCATAGTAAAGCTCCTAAACATGCCTATTTAGGAGACTGCGCCTACGTGCCAAAGCCGGCCACCCAGCACCATGTGGTCCGCTGTGTCATCTTCCAAGTACTGATGCAGGTTTTCGCCCTCCGTCCAGGGAACGGGGTCAGCAAAAAGCACCTGTATGAGCACTCCGCTCTCCGTATGCACGATGCGAGTGCGTAGGATAGGGAAGAGACCCGTCATGTCGTTCCACACGACCCGGAACCTATGCAGATCGACGGATGACGGCAGATTCAGCACCAGTCGCAGGACGTACGCCTTGGCATCGACGGACATGGTCGTAAGGGCTAACAGGCCCTCTGAAGAGCAGCGCAGGGATAGGCATCTTCGATGGCCGCGAGATCTACTTGGTAAAGAGTGGCTGCAGGTTGGCGTAAACTGTCGACCGCGTCGCTATCCATGACTTCGAAAGGCTACAACGGCAGCGTATCGGATGCTCCCCCGTACTAGATCTGTGCTGCTTCCTCTCCTGTCCGTGCCGCCTCCCCTCTCTGTGCTAGCTGATTGAGGAATGGGTAACGGAAAATGTCAGCGACGGACAGGGAGAGTAGGGCGTGGCCAACCTCACGGACCGCGCTAACGACCTTCATGGCCGAGATGGAGTCACCACCAGGGCGGAAGAAACTATCGTCAGCGCTGACGGTGCCAGAGTCAAGATTGAGCACGCGACTCCAGATCTGTTGCGACGCCTCTCCCACATCCGTTGTTGGTACTTCCTTGTCGTTGCTGGAAGTACGAATCTGCGTTTGCCGGCGGCTAGAAATGCTGGAACCAATCTCGCGTAGTTTTCGTTGGTCCGTGTTGCCAGAGATAATAAGTGGTATACATGAAAGCGTAAAGTAAATAGCCGGTAACATGTAGTTGGGTAATCGCTCCGTAAGAGCGTCCTGTACCTCTGAAGCTACGGTCATAAGACGGGCTATAACAGGCTCGACAATATGGTCGTGGTCGTTGGTGTCTTCGATACAACGAAGCTGTTATTATAGGGCTAGCGTTTCCGCCTTTAGGAAGAATCAGCTCCACGGCTATAGTGGAGCATATTCCTGAAAGGCATTCTCGAATATGGTGTTCTACCTCGCCGAGCTTAAGTCGTTGGCCTCGGATTTTGACTTAGGTATCTTTCCGGCCGAGATAGACTAAATTGCTAGCTTTATTATATTGTAATAGGTCGTCTGTCTTGTATAGATGGCCACGGCGTCCTGGTGTCAGATCGGGGTTGGCAGCAGAGTGAAGAGTTACAAGAAAGGCAATAGGTATGGTATAGATTGAATACAGACCGAACTCTGCCCTTCCAACTAGCAGCTAGCACGCCCTCTTTTATCTAGCGCTTTTACAGCGCAACGCCTGCAGTGCGCATAATAGGCGCTACCGTAGATCCGTCGGCCCGGTCTCAGCGTGCGTCCCGGGGCGGGGCCCCTGAGACGCAGCTCGTACGCTGCTGCTACAGTTCTTGATTGAGATGTGCGCCTTGTTACAATTCTCGTCTGACAGATAACCATTACACTAGCTTCTTCGTAGATACTCTCTCTTCGGTCTCTAGCCTGGGATGAATTAATAGGAACGCAAGCGGCCCTAGCTTTTATAATAGCGAGCACCACGACCATTATCCACTTTGACTTCTCGAAGCATAGTAGTATCATGGTGCTCTATTCCACTCCTAGGCTAATAATGAGGTAGTGCGCTAGTTATGTTAATAGTATATGGAGCTCGGTATACGTAAAGTCTCCGTCCTATAAGCATACTACGGAGGCATCTGGCCGTTTTTCTGCTTCCGCCTTCACAATGTTATGTGTGTATCGGTCCACCGTTAGCGGCACTGAACCGTTCCGCGACCATACACTTTCATAGTCTTCTACCGACAAGGCGTCTATGTCTACTAGTATGACTTTCTCACTCGCGTTAGCTAGCTAGCTTATTACGAACTCTAGGCTCTCTAAGAGCCTTTGAACGGATAATTGGTCGATAATGCTATTGTCAAAAATGGCCTTAATACTAATGCCTTCGTCACCCAGTGAGTAAATCAAGTTTAGAGTATAGGTAGAAAAAGCTTCCACGCCTGAAATGTCTTTCCATTGTCCCAAGGCAATTCCAGACTGCCCTGGCTCTAATTCCTGTGGCGGCTACACTAGTACCAATGTCTGGAATTGGCAGGCGTGGTAAGCGTCACCGCTAACGTTCTTTATATTAGGAAGCCCTAACTACTCATGAGGAATCATATCGATTGACTACTTCTGCACCTGGTGAAGGAGTTCAAACAAGGCCTCAAAATAGGCAATGGGGTGAGTTCTTTCGCAGTGGAGCTACAACTGGCTCGGAGCTCGACATCGCGGGAAAACACCCATGCAATCGACCTGGGACCTGCCCCATTGCCACTTCTAACCCTCCATACCATAGTCTCCCAAGCCGATAATGTAACGTCGCTTAATATTTAATCATTGAATGCCATACAGCTCACAAACCAAGAGCTCGTCAAAGTGGTGCGTCAAAAAGATTTCACTAATGCTAGACGAGTACTCTAGATCGCTCTAAGAACTCTTTTCTGAGATCATAAGAACATTTGAACATATTTTTGGCTTGCTTAGGCTAAGCATCTTGAAACATAATCAGTTCGACGTCTAAATTACCGATCGTGCCTACCAGCGGGTGTTAAACGACTATGATAAGGTGATGATTGAATGACTCTCGGGCCGAGCTTAGCATTTATAGTGCTATTGTAGTTAACTAAGTAGGTGGGTACGTGGCACATGGCAATCCCAACACGGTAAAAATCAGCTGACCGACATTTCTCACATTGAAAATGGAACCTTGGAACAGGAAAGGGTATATGTGGAACTGATTTTTGGAAATTCAAAGATAACAAGGACGTAAGTTATACATATCGTCCAGACCGGATTATCAGGGATAAGTGGCGATCAAGTTATCAATCAAGCCCCCACAGCAATCCAGATAGGGGTGGGACATGTATCCGTACGATATAACTCGTCGATAGATACGATACGTCTCCTCAGTGCCTGTCGTATTTGCTTTGCGATATTCGCGATGCTGTTTTTAGTGACCGTTCAAGCTAACAAGTCACAAGGAAGCGCTAGCCAGACTCGTGCCAAGTAATCGCTTCGAGTAGCTTGACTGGCCGATGATTTGATGTTTGTTGCCTTACAGCCAACATACATGCCTTTGATCCCTTGCGGAGACGAACCAGACCATTCCTACTCAAAACCAAGTAAGCGAGGTGGGTAATTTCAATAGAATATACTGATGGTTGCCTGGGGCCACCAGTTAGGTAGATGCCTGAGGTGCACAGTCCACCCTTGATAGATAGCCTTCAGAAATTCCTCAGAATAGCTGAGGAACTTCACAACGGAACAACACTCTACTGAGGATCAATATACACACTTGATCGGTATCATGACCCTACAAAGTAGTGACGCCCATCACATACCCCTGGTTTATAGCGACAGGATTTGGCTCGTGCGGATGGCGAATAGGGATGAAGTTTCTTTTTGATCACTTAGCAGCCAAGAAATTGAAAATGAACCCTTGTCAAATTGAGCCAATCGGAAAACGCATTCCGAAAGGCCATGCTGAGAGCAGTGGAGCTCGGCCCGTTGTTAATAAAGGTACATGACCCTATTGGTCAATCGAATTAGAGCGTTCAAGCGTCAAAACTAAGCTTATTTGGCCGTTTTGAGATGCCTCATTTGTGCCCGCCCAAATCCGGAGGAAATCAGCCTCAAAACCCACAGAGTTAGTTTCATGCAGATGAATGCAATGGTATAAATGGTATTATCTTATTCAAGCTTAAGCTCAAACCATGGCGGTCCGGCCCATACGCAACGGTGAAAGCTATTCTCCATATTGAAAATTGTGGTCCTTCATGGTGCATATATTGAATTTAGGCAACTGCATGACGAACCAATCACAGGGTAATTTTCGATGCATTTGCGCATTTTGTGGAAACGGTAATGAGGCCTATCGTAACTAGGCAACGAAATTTCACGAGATTTATGATTTTCCACGATATTTCTCGATCCTCGTAAATCACCGTTAAATAACGAAATTTACCACCACTCAAATCAGTGATCTTGACATAATCTTCACGTCATTCTCACGTGACCCACTCGAGGCTTGGGTAGGAGTCAAGTACGAATTGTCTTACAAAATCCAACTAAACAAGGAAGGTGCTCGTGCACTTGCCCACGGACGACGATTTTGATAATAAACCGCGATATTTCCTAGATAGAATACTAAATTTACTGGGCCGTGATTTATTTTTGGCGTTCCCTAATCGTAACTGCGTGACTAGTGACCGACCAAGGTGGTCAAGCCGATCGGATCGACCGCCCTTTTCTTGCAATGTGTCCATCCCCTTATGGAATCGCCTCGAAAACGCCCCGTTGGTTATACCAAGTGGAAATCCTTACATTTTTGCATGCCAATATCACTAGTTCGGTAGCGGCATGTCATATGATCCTTGTGTGGGGGGTATAGGTACCTTGTCCAGGCACGTCCGACAGGGAATATGCGGTCGATCCTATCATCAATCAGGGTTCCAAGAGTGGTTCAAGCGGGGTTGGGAAATGGTTTCAGGAGAGTACGTAGGGGTATGAATTGTATATGAGGCAGGTAACTCACATGGGCTTGCTTTTGTAGCCTGCGTACAAGAGAAAGTGGAAGGATGTGGTAGATCCCCTCGTGGGTTGTTGTGTTTGCTTTGTGTAAATGGTACTCGCGATGTTACTTTCAGCGACTTTCAAGCTAATGATTCATGCGCTGGGATACTTTAAAAGATCATGAAGTTCAGCGGTTCGGAGCTCCACTGTCTGGGATACATTTCATGGCATATCTTCCGATTGGCTTGACCATGAATCAAGCTTAATTTTTTATTTTGACTTCTTGACCACTAAACGAACAAATATCGCACGGTCCACAAAAGCGAAAGACTTGTCCATGATAAGTAACTGGACAAGCCTATTTACGATAGAATGAAGCAGGGGTGTGATATGAAAAGGCTATCACGGAAGCCTGGACTACCCCGACGTAGCCAAAGTCTGCTTTCCTTCTCATGTTTCTCCTAAGATCTTGCCAGGTGACACATTAAACTCAAGCTGTGAGCTCCACCCGGTTGACTTGGTTGTAATCAATCTCGAATCGTTCCTCCTCTTTCTCTTTACTGCTGTCAAGCCTATCAACAGGTCAACTGCCTAGCGATCGCTTACGGCCTCTCCTTCTTTCCTGTAATCGTCAAAGCTCTCTTAAATCTTAATGGATTCGACCTGTTTCCCAGGATTGAATACGCTGATGATATCAGTAGTACTGCTGATACGGAGACGGTCCTTTATCATCATCGCCTTTGCTTTGACCTGTTTATTATTTTTGATTCGATTTGATTACTTTTATTCATGGATACAACCCGCAAGGCTTCAATGGACAGTTGCGGCAACAACATCATCATTGATTCCAAGAAGAATATGGCAAATTCTATTACCGATGCCGAACACGATACATGCGAAAGGTATCTCTAATGCACAAACGCGCTCGTGGCTGCTCATGAACCCCGATTACACGTACACTCGCTTCGGTTCCGATGGTGCAGTTGAATTCCTTGCGAAACACTACTCAGGAACACCATACCTCAAAACGTTCAATAAATTACAGAACCCAGCATTAAAGTCCGATTTTCTACGATACCTACTATTATTCGCCGAAGGTGGTGTATATAGCGATCTGGATACCACAATCATCCATCCGGTAGATGATTGGATTCCAGAACAATACAGAACACGGGCGAAGGTTCTTGCAGGTATTGAATGGGACCAACGCGATGAAAAGGATTTGAGAGATGAGTACGCATATCCTGTGCAGTTTCAGCAATGGACGTTAGCTACCGTACCCGGGCATCCTATTTTTGAAGACATTACGGAACATATAATGGCCAGTCTTCAAAACTATACAATGGCTTACGACACGACATTAAGTGAATTGAAGCTTAGTGACCGAGAGATACTCCGGGCGACAGGGCCAGGGGCTTGGACAGGAGCTGTCTGGAGGTATATTCAAGTATGTGGAGTGACCGACTTGAGGGATCTTTCGTACATGACCGAACCGACGCTGTTTGGGGACTTGTTAGTTTTTCCAGTTAATGGTTTTGGATCAGGGCAGGACCATTCGGGCAGCGCACGCTGGTTCACGCCGAAAGATGCTCTGGTAAAGCATCACTTTAAAGGATCATGGAGGGTTCATCAATGACGATATTTATATAGCATAGATTGAGAATACACTACCTAAAGGCACTCCCGCTTCTTGATATTAGTGCTTCGTTCATTATACTATACCTCCTGGTGTTCGGTTTTCAGACTGCGTCACAGTCTCTCAATCGTCCTGACAGTGGATTGCCGGTCTATCTTGACCGTGGTCCTGATTTTGACATTGTCGAAATTATATTAGACTAGCGGCGTCCTAGTCAATATACAGCTAGAGTCTTCACTTTACCTATCAAATATCCTAGTTAAGTACTATCTACACCAGTACTGAGTAGACATCGTAGCCCAACGGATAGGAGCCGGCGCACAGCTTGCAAACAAGCTAAGGGTCACACCTCGAACAGACTGTAACATTTAGTACGCCATAACCCGTACTAACATTTCAGGCTCAACAACACACCCACCCTATGGCCGTTAGAAGCTAGCGTCAATGATGTATCTAACTTGAATGCTCTCCGAAAGTTCCTCCACTCGTTCACTTGCTGCCCCTGTCGTCAAATTGTGCCGCCCCACATGCAATTATTCCCGAAATGAGCCATGCTAAGCGCCTGGAGTCTGCTTCAGTCCCATGTCAGCTCTTCTTACTATGAACAAGATACGTATGTGTTATCGGAGATTCCGCGTTGGATCACTACAGCCTATAAGTTGAAATTTGCCCAAAAGTGTGCTAATCGCCTCGACCACTTCATATGGTCCCTACTTTGCTAGAACCGGAATATCTTAACACCACCTTCTTGTCATGCTGCGTAGGCGGGTACGCCACTTGCGCTTACGGCCTGTATTTTGGATTGGCCTCGCAATTCTTGTCGAAATCTGGATCCATACCTCCAAGTTTCGCATCCCGACTCCCGACCACGACATCGACCCGCCATTCTATTCAGGATGTCAGGAACCAAACACCAACATGTCCCGCGAGAACGCCGTTATTGTAATGCTGGCCCGAAATGCAGAGGCAACGAAAGCTCAACACTCTGTAGCTAGCTTAGAGAGGCGGTTTAACCGCTGGTTTCAATATCCGTACATCTTTCTCAACGATGAGCCATGGAGCGACGACTTTATAGCCGCTATCCGTGCTACAACGAACGCGAGTACCCTATTTGAGGTAATACCTCAAGAAATTTGGGCTTTTCCGTCATGGATGGATCGAGACAAGGCTCAGGCCAGCATAAACGAGCAAGGTGACCGGGGTGTGCACTATGGGGGGCTAACGACGTATCATCATATGTGTCGCTTCTTCTCCGGGTACGTGCAAATGAATTAATTTCTACGTCATGAGCTGAAGAACATGTACTGGCAGTGCATTTTATACTATCGATATTCTGAAGCAGTACAAATACTACTGGCGACTAGAGCCTGATGTCGACTTCTCTTGTTCGATCACTTACGATCCGTTCTACGAAATGGCCAAACATAAGAAAGTGTATGGATACACTATTGCGCTTGAAGAAGAACCAGCTACGTGCCCAAGCTTATTTCGCGAGGTGTCAGACTGGAAGGCGGCACATAATATACCGACGTCGGACCTCTGGAAGGCATCGATATCACCATCGAAACTGCCCTGGCTGTTGCGCGGCTTCGCCAGCTGGTTTTCACACCGCGATCGCTTCGGAGACCAGTGGAATTTCTGCCATTATTGGAGCAATTTCGAGATCGGTGATCTTGACTTCTTCCGTGGGCCGTCGTATCAAAGCTTGTATGAGCATCTTGAGAAAACTGGCAATTTTTACTTCGAAAGAGTATGTATCTTCAAATTAGTTAATGTCGCCGCCCATCGTTAATGGTTTAATAGTGGGGAGATGCCGCCGTGCACGCTTTAGCAATCAACATGTTAGTGGAGCCTAACAAGGTTCATCATTTTGCAGACTTTGCATACCGACATGATCTGTTTTACCAATGCCCAGCGAACGCACCGGGAGGACAGCTGCTTAAATCAGAGCTTTTGAATAACGCGGAGTTAGTCTGGGCCGCAGAGGTTGCTGGCGGTATAGGATGCCGGTGCGATTGTGATAGCCGCCAGAGACGCAACCACTCAAGTTACTGTCTAAATAAATTAAGGGAACCAACAAGCCCCAAAAGGTCGTGGAATGCATGGCTGCTTGGAGGCTTATAATCAACTAATGTATGTGCTTAAAACGGGTTCTTGTATAACATGAAAGGATTGACGCGAAAGTGATAATCCCAGAACTGATATATATTTTGTAGATGATACTATACCAAATGAGCATTTGGACGATCGACTACAGACAAGCATTTTCACAAGATGACCAAAAGCCGTTGCAGGTAGCATTGGGATCTTGGTTCAGTGAACTCAGAAGACAGTTTAGACTTAGAGACCAGTCTGCGGGAAGCAGGTCGTGGTATTTATTGCAGCTCAGTGGCTAAGCCACGTGGCCGAATGGAGCTAAATGAAAAACACTGAATTATAGCTTTAACAACCCTGCTAAACCACAACTGGAACATTATTGGCAAGACTTTACATGTCACCAAGCGAACAAAATCAACAAATAACCCTGTATCTAGGATCACCAGGGAAATATTACATGTATGGTTGCGATTTTGAGCTAGATTCCACACTTGCCGTGGTGCGCAAGAGTGAATCGGCACAACTTTTCATATTGCCCAGTGCCCAAATGAGCTCCGTAAGGGTCAACATGCTCCGTGAACTGAAATATGACAACATCATAAGATCTTGCGAGACTTTCCTTCGGGGACAAAATATCTTTGCAACATCTGAAAAGACTCTAAGATCACTCAATGATATTATCATTTCTCGTCAGAATGAGATCCAACTAGTTACCATAACACATCAAGTCAGCTAGCCCAGATCCTATGGATGTCGAGATAATTGCTTTCCTAGGCCTCAATGGTATATCATATCTCCTGAGTTATTATTTCTACCATATACAGAATTTGAGTATTCGGAGTGAAGAGACCTAGGGGATACTGATAAAGTTTGTTTGGGTTAGTTTGGGTGAACCGAATGCCTCACCGCGGAATGATCCTGAGACTGTATAAGATCCATGGCTTCAACTGATAGGCTTAGTAGACTTTATAAACTTGTTACGTCGTTTTCCCACTGCGAGGTAATCTCATCTACATTTGCATGATCATCGTCACGGGATTTTCTCAGAAAAGCAAGATATACACGTTTCCGCACGAACATAGAAGTTAGTTCTGCATCATGAATAAGATCCTTCATGCATCTTGAGTGCCCAATGACATTGAAAGTAGAAATCTTCTGTTATATTTGTAATGAGGAGTAGGAGGGAGCCGCAACGATGTTTGAGAAGATTTCCAGTCACCAGAGCATATTCTGTGCGTATTGCCGGCTCCAAGATGCGGCTTGAGGGATAATCTGTTGTTGAATTGGGTGGACTGTCATCTTCATTCGCATTGCGCTTAAGATGATCAGTTTGAACATTTCTGAAACCTTGTTGGCTGGCCAATACCGCGAAGTTGGTCAAGGTTTCTGCATCTGCCTGCTGGTTGCTGACTCTTACAAGTGCTATTCTGTGGTTCTGCGTCGGTCGTTTCATTTCTCGGTCAGATCTTGTTCTTCAAAGACCACGCGATCCTATAGATTCTTCACCCGACAAACCGAGCCAACGCACTACTCCAGCTCGTGGACATTCATCTGATGATGAAGACGAGCTCTCACCTTTGGAAGTTCTATTACGATGTAATGAGGACGCAAACTGCCCACCACCGCACGACGGGGGTCTGCTGACTCATCCCGACGCTCGGACGCGGCCTCCATTTTTACGGCTTTTTAGCGCCGACCAAAAGCTCCGTATCGTTCTCCGTTTCGGGGCTCCCTACCGGAAGGCCGTTTTGTAGACACGAATTTAACCAATTAGATTAAGACGTGTCCGGAGCCAGATTTAGCCAACTTCGATCTGTCGACACCCTCTTTCCCTCGCTCCACACTTCCTCCATGACCTCCAACATGGTTGTGATAAATGTCGTCGAGTCCTGTTTGCCGCCGGAAAATTACACTAACGACCGACGCTTAACCCGGCCGCGAAAAACGACTCTAGTAGGCACTCTTCGAAAACAACCCTATTACCCGTACTATATTTAAAGCCAAGTTATATCGCACTTTCTTAGAAACATTTGTTAGTTAGACTTGTCCTAAATTCTTGCTTTACTATAATGCCATCTATATGTAATGCTAATAAAGTGCGAGGGAAGAAAGTGTATACGGGTGTTACAATACCCACAGCGGGGCTATGGGATATGACAGGTATATAGACAGCTCTCTCTGACCTGTACCTAGAATAGCTTTCAAGACAAGACATATTACAAGCCTATATCAACTTTACAGTTCGTGACGTTATAGGCTTGTTGTCTTACACCAGTGTTGTCAACTCTTACAGCTTAGCGCTAACCGCGCCCATACTCTTACAAGTGGTGCCTTATACGTAAGCCCGAATCAGTTATATACCTCCTCATCACCTCACCCCGGGGGCAGTCTATAAGTGAGGAGTGACAAAAGTCACTGTTCAGTATTACAGTACTGTCGCCGTAAGGGCCTATAGACATTGACAACCCCTTAATTACAAGAAGCGACGTTAAGCTAGCGAGAAATCTATACGCCTTTATCGATTCGAACGAAGACAAGCCCGTAGTTCGCACACTTCGCGAACAAGTACGGAGAGTCATCCGTGACTTAACAACCGTTCGAATTAACAGAATACCGTATAAGGTAAACAGGACCCTCGATCTAATCAGGGAGCCCTACCCTAGAGAGTGGGATCGCGAAGATAATTTCTTTCTTATAAGAGCTACTAACTTAGCTGTCAAATTTGCTTATATCGCGAGCATACCACGCGAAGGACTAATAACACCACAATTCGGATCTATAAGCCAGTATCTTAACACACCTCTAAACACGCGTAATCATCGTTCTTCAAACCCTTAGCGTAGGGAAATAACGCCCTCCCCGTTAAGCATGTCGGCGGAAGGGAGCGCAGACCTACCTAAGGAGGATCCCGGTAGGGGTGCTAATAACGGCGGAGCCAATACCACTAATAACATCGACGCGCAAGGGCTAATAGCCCTAATAACAGCCCTTACTAAGACAGTTAGGGAGCTCGCTATAGAGCTAAAACGCACCAAGACCCCGTCGGTAAGATCATCGGATCTGCTAGATAACGCTCCTATAGTGCCAGCCACGTCACGTTCCGCTTGGCGGCTAACTAATGCTAGCCTGTTCCACCCGGATCACCCGGACGCAAAGGACTCTATATAGTCGGATAGGAAGACCATGACTTGGAAGGACGTACACCTATAGGCCAAGCACGTTACTAACTAGAATAACGACAACCTTACTAGGCAAGAAGCCATTCGTAGCGAAGGATGGACGTTACTACGAGGGCAGGCGTTATAATAGGTAAACCAGTAGTTATCAGACGAGGAAACACGCGCACTCAAGGTGTTATATACGACATTCGTGGAGGGAGTGGTAAAGCAGTTCGGCATACGGCCAGAGGAGGCAGGAGAATGGCTTACTAAACGGACGTATACCCTAGAGATAAACTAGAAGGATGAATCCATTCGCACCTTCGCAATAGAACTGTTCAAGTACGCAAGGATCTAGGGTGATACTACACCGTTCCAACTATTATCTCGATTATACAAAGCACTACACCCGTAGCTACGTACGTTATGTATAAAGCCGGAACAGACCAGCCTGACGTTAACATACTTGGACAAGCTAGAAGAGAAGCAGAAAGCCTTAGTTAACACGCTTAAGGCTAGCCCTAACAGGTCCACGGTAACACTACTCGCAGAGTAGGGCTAGAAAGAGGATATCGCCTACTAGGGAGAAAGGCGAGGCAACGGGCAGAATCGTAAGGATTCTAACCCGGATAACCATATCCGCGAACGTTACACTCGACCATTAGACAGATAGGGTCGACAAGATTAACGCGTAAGACTCCTAGACAAGCCGTAATGGCGGGGAAACGACGTTAGGCGTCAATCCTCGCGGCCACCCATACGAGGGCTGCCGCGCGAGGATGGCACAACCAGGTATAACTAACTTAATAGACAACGTCGATTTAGGCGTTATAAACGTTAAGGCTAGCAACGTCGCAGGCCTAATGGTAGTTACAGCTTTATTAACGAGACAGTTACCTAGGAACACGATAAAAGCACCCCCGACGACGAAGCAGCTCTCCTTAAAGAAGGCTATACTTGTTTTAGCGAAGGAGAAGAGGAGTTATTTAACGCCGAGGAAGAAGTGTACTTCGTTACTCATCCCGAAACCCTTAATACCTAAGCGGTTCAAGCTAGCAAACACGTACTAATGCCTAAGTAATTATTAGGAATTAAACCTAAGGATAACAAGAAAGGGGGCCAGAGGACTAAAGTCGCTAGCGAGGAAGGATTACTTGCCTTTTAGCCTAATTAAGTAATCGAAGCAAACCCGGCCCCGGGAGGGAACAAAAGGTTGCCATCTAAGAGCTCGTATTTCAAGATACCCGTAAAAGCGAGTCTAAACGACCAACCTGTCGAAGTTTGCTTAAATTCAGGCAGCTCGGACAACGTGGTTAACGAAGCATAGTTACGCCAATAGGCGACTAAGCCAGAATTCGTTAACTAAAAAGAAGTGATCATTAGGGGAGTTAACGGCATAACTCGTCTCGATAAGGCCGCTAACTTTAACTTCTATATCGAAAGAAGAGTTAAAAGAGTTTTAATAAAAGGACACTTTAACATACGAGCGAACGTATTACTAGACCTAGCGCCTAAGCTATTACTAGGAACCAAGTTTATAACGGACTATAAGGTTAAAATAAACTTTGTTAAGTCTATAACAAGCTTTAAGTCGGTTTTTAACATAGTAATAAAAGGGCACGTTACTCGAAAAGGGCTTATTCCGGTAGTGCGTAAAGTTATATTAGCATATACCGTTACGATACTAGCCTTATTTAACGTAATGATTAATACTTACTTTATAAATCTTCCCCGGAAGAATCCCGACGAAGGAGAAACCTTTATATCTTTTACGATAGAAAGCAGCTATAAGGCAGTTCTTAATACGATACTAGATCGTAAGACACTAAAAAAGGCGGTAGTATTAAACCCATTTACATAAGTTATAACTATCCGAAAAAGAGAAAGGGTAAGAACGATTAAGGAAACCGATCCTACCGTAATATAAGAACCTACTAACTAGGGCGAGATAAAAGATTGTTAAGACGATAGTTATTCTAGAGAAGACTAGGTATTTATACGCGAACACTTCGCGGCCGTTAAGACGGACGCCGAGAAAGAAACACTCGATAAGGACTTCGCACGACCTGTCCCGTCGTATAAAATATCGAAACCTACGGATACCCCATTCGTTAAAACAAAAGCAAGAGCTAGCGTTTATACCACGAACCCCGAATTCGCGGTAAAGGTAATCGAAATAGCCGAGAAGTATGACATTTAACGCGACCGCGGCACCATCTTAATAACGGAAGAAGACAAAATGCGAGTAAATCTTATCGATAAATGGCAAGAAAAACTTAGGGTCGTAAGGTTATACCCCTTAAGCGTCAAGGATCGTAAGTTCTTAAACAGTACCCACGATAGATTATACGTATAAGGCAAGATGTCCTTTTAAAAGGAACCTACCTCGATCGCGTGTCTTATATTCGTTATTTGGCGTAAAGTAAACAACGTTAATAAAGGGAGAGTAGTATTAAACTTACGACTACTAAACAAAATAGTAACGCTTAACGTCTATTCGTTACCGGATTAGGATGACATTATCGGCGATCTCGTTAGAAAAAGTCACGTATCTTCCGTCGATACTTCCAAGTTCTTCTTCCAACTCCTAGTAAAAGAAGCACACTATAACCGCATAGTGGTAATAAGCCCTAAAGGATTAGAAAGATTAAATGTAACGCTAATAAGCTTTCGGAACTTACTAGCATTCGCGTAACGCTTTATAAACCGGATATTCTTCCCTTATAAGAAGTTTATTAGAGCTTACATTAATAATATCATTATTTTCAGTGATAATGAAGAGGATTACTTAAGACACCTAGTAGTAGTATTTAAGATACTCGAGGAAATAAGAGTTTATATCGCCGTAGAAAAATCCTTCTTAAGCTACTCTTTAATGGTATTATGTAACGATTATACTATCGGGTTATATAACCGCAAATAATATAATGCAAGGGGGTTTATGTTAACAAGATATGCTAGCCACGAATAGAAGACTATAGAGATAGACCTTTAATAATATACTAAGTAAAGAGATTCATAAGTGTAGTCGTTAAAGCGTGAGCTTTACCTATGGGTAAGATAGATGCTTAGATTAATCACTGAAGTAATGACTGTCTATATAGAGTAGGAAACCCAATCCTTATTATACCCATTCATTCCTTTAATGATACTTCTTAGAGCGCTAGGAGCGCGATGCTCCTGTCGCTCCTAGAGCGCTAGGAGCGCGGCGCCTTTATCGCTCCTAGAGTCGCATGAAGCGCCGTCCTTGTGTAGCTCCCAAGTCACGTGACCCAGAGTCCTGTGCTGTCTTTTGTCTAATGGAATCTTAACAGTGGTAACTAGCTGGTTTATACTTCCTTTCTCCACTTTAGGCCTGGTTCCTGGCCTTCGTTCGTAATATCAGGTCCTCCCTCTCTTTGTCTTAGCCCTCTAAGACTTGGTCACATAAGTAGGTCGCTGTCGCCTACTTCCTTGGTTTGGTAAGTTTATCCTTCTTTTATATGTTTTTCGTGATATATGCTTATCATGTTAAATTGTATTAAGGAAACTACTGTGCGCAAAACTCGCGAACGTTCCTCTCTTGTTCGATTAATCAGTCGCCTTAGTGTTCCGGCCATAATGCCGTGTACTTACTGCTTCAAGCGTAAGCTTGAGTGTAAGATGATCGAGAAGTCTTCTCGTTGCCAACGGTGCGCTCAGGCTCGGAAGTAATATGATGGAGTTTTGGTGGCGGGGTCCTTGGAAAAGTTACTCGCGTATTATGAAAAACTGGATGCGGAGGAAGATAAAGCGAATCTGGATTTGCTTTAACTTCATGAGAAAATGACTAAGATCCAATCTTAGCTTTTTACGGCGGTTAGCCGTTTAGCGCGGATCCGTAAGATCCGGAATTATGTGAAAGGGAAAAGTCTAGAGTTAGCTAAACGGGGTATATTGGAACTAGACAAGGAGGACAAAATCCTTCCTGCCTTGGACAGTTATAAGCATTATGTTGTTAACGATATCTAATCGATAGGCGTTCTTAACGATGTGGACTGGGCTTCGTTTGGCCTCGGCGAGGAGTTCGTAGAGCTTAGGCCCCTTGTGCCTTCGGGTGTCGCTAATATTCCTTAAGAGTCTCCTTCTTAAAGTGGGACGTAGGTTCCTAAGTGTTTTCCTCGGGTGGGTAATCTTCCTATTTTACTAAGTATTGGTATCCTTTTCCTTTCTTTCTATGTTCGAGAATCTTCTCGATTATATAGTCTTGTTAATTAAGTTGTTCGACTTCTAGATTAGTTTCGAGTTCGGCGTTTTCTAGTGCCGGTTCGAGTAAGGCTATATGTACGGTTGGAAATATTCGCATGGTTTTTGGTAGCGATAGTCGATAATTGACTAGCGAAATGACTTCGTCGATTTTAAATGGTCCGATTTTCTTAAAATCGAGTTTGTCGCTTGGTCGCTTTGTTTTGATGTTTTTGCGTAAGAGGTAGACCTTGTCTCCCCTCCCTAAGGTTAGTCCCTTAACCTTATTCTTGTCGTAGTATGTTTTCATGCGTTGTTATACAAATATTAGTTCTTGTTATAATGATTCTTATAGGCTTCGTAGCTTATCGACGTGTTCGATAGCTTTCGGAGCTTCTTCTCCTTTTAACGGTTTTTTAGTAATGTCTAGTTAGTAGCCATAATTTGCGTAGAATGGTAATATTCCGGTAGGTTTACTAACCGCACTATTGTATGTAAATTGTGTTATAGGTAATAACGATACCTAATTGTCTTGTTCGTAATTGATATAGCACCGTAAGTATTGTTCGAGCGTTTAATTAGCTCGTTCCGTTTATTTATCCGTCTGTGGATAATAAGCTGTGGATAGCTTATGCTTAACGCTTAGCTACGTTATAAGTGATTTCCAAAATTTCGACGTGAAGAGCTTGTCTCTATCGGAGATGAATTCATTTAGTAGCCCGTGCTAGCTAATTACTACTCGTAAGATTGCATATGCGAGTTCTTCTACATTACTAGCTTCTTTGTACGGGATGAAGTAAGCGTACTTCGTGAGT